CCCCCCCCTCTCCCGTAACCGTACTGGTGCAGCTCCAACCTTTGCAGTTCGCTAGCGGGTCTGGTATCTCAAGCCACACGTTGGTGTCGATTTCGACCCGTCTCGATATTCATTCTTCACTTTCTCTTTTTCAACATCTTTTTCCACAACCCTCCCCCCTGCTTCAACGATTGTCAAGGGTATTAATAGAATCATCCTCAACCCTCTGTTTGTTTAATTGACGATCTTTTCCCCGACAACCACCCCCTCCGCCTTACCGCTCTGTATTATATTCCATCTCCTTCAACTACGATTTTCCTTGTCACGCCTTGGCTGCGTCCGGCCCAGTCACTGGCACACACATACGCTCTCTCCACGACACCGAACTGGGCCTTCTCCGTCGTTCGTCCGAGTGATCCTGGAAAGAGAAATCTGCCCTTTGGTTTGGACGGTTCAAATACGCCAATTTCTCGGACCGCTCGCATCTTGCAACCTTCAATCACCCACGGTTACCCGTCTGCAATTCATTCAGCGGAGATTCCTGTTGTTATTCCTGGCATGCTAGCGGATCCTCCACCTTACTAGCTGTCATACATGTAACAATGTCACATCCTGATCTCACGTCGCATCATGTCAACTACCTAATTTGGAGGTACGTACTAATCTCGCTGCCAACCTCCGATTGTACCATCTTGATCGTTCACAACACCACACCCCCTGATCGATATTCTCGTCGTATGGCTCACTGACTTCCCGGCGCCTAGGTATCTTCAAGAATCAGGTCAGTTCCAAACCAGTCTCTCATTTTAATCTCTTAGTTCTTTTATTTTTCTATCATTGAATTTTCTTTCATGGCGTTCATGTCCTTGGCTAGGCAGAACGCGATATTTCTTGCAACAATTAGGATTGACATCTAACCCACTTCACAGGTCACGGTGAGGCCGCAGTGACACTGCAGCGCGCATGGAATCATGATCCACAGAGCTTACCTTTCGCTCCGTATATAAAAACGCATGCGTTGGTATCCCTCGTCCAAAAGGGCTTACAATATTACGAACTCGAACAGTCACTCGACCAGGCATGTTACCTTAATTTTGTCGCGATTTGCGTTCTCATACCGCGGGAAATTTTTTCTCTCTTTCTTTTCATTAATTCCCGCAATACCGATTTACCAAAAAACTAATGAGTTTTACAGGATGGAAATTTAAGGCCAATTTCACCTTCCGATTATTTCTTTGGGCCAGAACTGCTGGAGGCGGAACCGCGGAAAAGTCAAGGTGAAAATGGCACAGACAAGGCGCCTGTCTCGCCTACGAGTAAAGTCGCGCGCGACGGCGTGATCAACGGTCACTTGACAGGCGAACCCGCAGCGCCTCAAACTGTCCCCAATGCGAAGAAAAGCCGGAAGAGTGACCGCCTGGAAACCAACGGAGATGAAATTCCAATGGAAATTGATTCCAATGGCGTCTCAAATGAGACCAAAACCGCTGTAGTTGCATCACCATCGTTGGCCGACACGGTTGTAGATGGTGATGGGGACGTGAGCATGGGCATCCGACCGGACTCACAAGACCAGGAACCTCCCGCGGCCCCGACCTTCACATTGACCAACGGCCACAGCGTTGGCGTCCAGATCACCCCCGCCAAGGCCGCCGACCTTAGTCCCGATACCGCCATCCTGGATGTGGCTGGTGACGACCACGTGACACAAACACTGTGGCGTCCCAACGACCCCACTGTGATTGTTGCAGTTGGCGAGACGTTTTGCAGCCTATGGAAGATGCCTTCCTCGGCAACTCCGGTGCAAGAGAAGCTTGTGGAGAGTAAAGGCGACAACACCTGCGTTTCTGCGGTGGCTTGGGACCCAACGGGCCAGAAATTGGCTGTAGCCACATACAATGACATGAGAGGGTCGATCACTATGTATGATGTGGCCGGGAATGCCGTTGATCTCCTGCCCGAAGTGCCTAGGATTATCACCGGACTGCATTGGACCGAGAACGGTACCCATTTAATCGTCGTGGCGTCAGATAGTAAAGTCTCCGAGCTGGCTCTCTGGGATGATTCATTACGGCCAGACGAGTTCCCCTCTCCACAGGTAATCGACGGGTCGGTTTATGACCTCAGCTGGCTTGGGCATAATGAAGCATATGCTTCAGGTAATGGGACGGTTTACCAATGCGAGGTCGACTCGAGTATCCATATCTCCAAGACATTCACCAGTGAAACAGATAAACCTTGGACGTTCATCCGTTGCGCAAACATAAATTCTTCCTCCGTGGCAGTGGCAGCGTCGTCTGCTACTGCCTCCTTCTGGGTCCCGACGCACGGCATGCACCTGGATGGTGCACATGAGGGTGATATCACGGCAATCGAGCTTAAACCAAACACCCTAGAGCCACCGCAATCGAATCATCCTTTGGTTCTAGCCTCTTCATCCACTGATGATACAGTCAAAGTGTGGCACATTGATCTGGAGACAAAACGGTTTGACTGTATCCATCGTCTGTTCCTCGGCCCATCGTCACCCGCTCTCACTAGTAGTTTTTCCCCGGATGGGTATGCCCTGGCCGCTGCAAGCAAAGAAAGGCTATTCATTTGGAACTCACAGCGGGGTGGCACAGCGATGGCTACTTGGTCGGTTCCCACGACAGAAGACACAAACGTCGAAGAAGGGCAGAATTACGTGGTCAATGGACATAATGGAAATGTAGTAGAGCAAATACCGGATCGCTCTCTTGCATGGGACACTGATGGTAAAAGACTCGCTTTTGGCTTCGGCAAGCAGGTATGTTATTTATCGTACCCGATTTGAAACATCAGTCTGACTGAGATGGAATAGCTGGCTATTATAAACATGCAAAGTTGATCTACAAACGGCAAATACGCGATGCTGGACTCAAACCTAGGAGTATTTATATCTTGATACTGCTCTATTATGCGACACTACAACATTCCACTACATAATTTGCAAAATTCTCGTCAGCGAGCACACAGCTGAAAGCTATACACTAGCGTTCGCTTTCAGACCTCTTAGAGGGGTTGTTGCCCCTCTGCCCATCGGACCTTTAGCCAGGCTGGCCCTCCGGTCTGTGAGACTAGGCGGAGTGCAAGCGGTTCGATCAATTTGATTACTAGCTCAACGAGTAGCGCCATTCCACGAGGATTTTGTTGTTTTCTTTTCGCTTCAACGTTATAATCTATTCGATAACCTGTTGGTTAGATGATACATATCGGCGCAGACTCGGGGTTTCCAACGAAAAAACAGTGGTTGCGGATATAGTGGGTAACGGTGGGCATATTGGCGCATTTTATTCTCTTAATTTTCAACTGTACCATTGTTTCTTGGTTGGCATGATTACTGAATGTCAGAAACTTCCTTTCTTTTGAGTTTGGCATAGTGTTGCGGGATATCCTTGCTCTCAATTTGTTACGTTGCGGCCGGTGCAATTTCACCTCGTTTCCAGTCGAAACTTCATCTCCAACCCGCCAACTCGGCTCCCTCCCCTTCCAGTTTACGTGATGGTTTATCATGTGTTGTCCGCGGGCTCTGTGGCTACTTTAGTTCGCCTCTCTTCCCTTTTCACTTCGCGATCTCTTTCACGGATGCGGAAGCCTTCTTCAACATCCTTCCATCCGCGCATCCACGCCGTTATGCCTTCTAGAAGTGCGTCGGTACCGCTTTCGTTGTGTTCTTCCTGTTGACGCTTCATCCGCCGCTTGGCCTGATTCTGTCGCAATGTCCCCGGAGCCCTACCGGCTAGATCAGGTTCTTTCTGCCATGCATTTATCCAAGCCTCGAGCCCGCGAACCGTGCCCTGGAGTGCTTCGCGCTCCGCGGAGTCTTCTACTATGTCTGATTCCCTGCATAGAAGAGAATCACGCATTAGCCTAGGGAAGGACGATGGCGGCTTGGTGGATATTAGCTCACAGCTCATGGACCTCATCTTCTAGCTCGGATATCCTTCGTGACAGCCCTTGAGACTCGCGCATAAGAAGGGCATATATGCGGAACGATTCTTCGCGGCGCTGGTTCAATTCGACGTTGAGCGCCGTTACTTCGTTGAGGAGGGCTTGGAGTTGCGGATGGAAAGGCTCGTTTACAGATGCGGCACGATCTTCCATCGGGGAAGGATAGGCGGACGAGGGAGCGACCAGGGTCGAAGTTTCGGGGTAGATGCGGGGGGGCCTGCATTTCACAATCTCTTGGGTGAGTTTCGGGCGAGGATCCAAGAGGGCTTCTAGAGTGTCGAGACAATGGTAGACCGCGGTCGTATCCTCAGTCGACACGTGGGCATTCTGGGAGGCCATGTGAGCTAGTTTGGCAAGCCGCTCTGGCAGCAGCGTTGCACCTTCGCCTGTGTCGTGGACTTCCGGGGGAGAGGTAGGGTGCGACATGTCAGCCTTCCAGGTCTGTTCCGGAAGGGAATGCGGGGGCGAAAGCTGATCCAAGCGAGATGGGTACGATGAACTCTCCATGCCTGGTTATAGTGTTTCACTGTATATATTGGTACCCTCTTTTCTTATTCTTTGGCTTGTTCTGTTGCATATGCGTGTAGATAAGGGAACGAATAGGAATATTCATTGATTTGCTGCCTTGCGCAGGAGCCGGATGTAAGGAAGGTACTTATTTCCTGAGCATATTATCAATTTGCGGACACCTAAGTCTGCTGCTAGATGTGGGTAAGTATAGGTAACGAGAGAAGTGGAGCTGGTATCACCCAAGACACACTTCTGCGCAACCGATTTAGAGTGGTATAAGAATAGCGAAAGGATATAATAGAGTCCGTCGGGAATGTTCCCCAAAAAAAAAAAAGAAAAGAAAGAAAGAAAAAGAACAAAAGACGGTCAAGTTCGAACAATCGAGGCCGCATCAACGCTAGGCCGGAGCGACTATTCCGGATCGGGGTATGATTTGAAAAGCGACGGTCACCGATGAAATGAAACACAATGGAATTAATTGCCTGTTGTGCTGGGAGGGAATTTATTTATTTATTTAAACCAAGTCTGATCCTAATCCTCATCTTTGCTTTTTCTTTCTGACTCACGGACTATCTAGCCTGTGAGGTCTTATTCATCGCGTAGTATCCATCAACTCTGATTTTAGCGGTATCGGATTGCCTTTTTATCTCCGCCGTCGTTTTTCATTTTATCCCTTCTACCTCCCCCGCAGAAGCTTGATTCGGAGTTCTTTGGCACTGTCAGATTTGCTAGGATGGCACCCCCTGTGAGTATTCGATTTCCTTGATCTTATTCATCATCTGATTTCTTCGACCCTCTTTTGCCCCCTCGTTTTTCTCCAGAGCCAAATTGGTTGTACTAATGCCGCCGAATTATATGACTCAGATCACCGTTGTGCCGTCGCTGGAGACCGCAAGAGATGTGATCAGCCACTCGAAAGACTCTAAATACCCTCCAAACTTACTCCCTCTTACGGCGTCTATCCCCGCTGATCTGTTGACGCCCACATTGGCATATCTGAAGATTGCCGAGAAGTGAGTGAACAAGTCCCACGCACCCTCTTGTTTAGAGAGCGGGGGGGAGCTGATACCGCCCTCTCTTACGCAGGTCGAAATTATCCTTTCTCTACGAGAGTGCTGCGACTACGGAAACCATTGGGAGATATAGTTTTGTGGGAGCCGGTATGTATCCATCTCCGTCATGGCCTATTCTGCTAGACCTTCCTTTGACTTGTGCGTTTGCGACCCGATGAAGAGCCCCGGAAAGTCCTCAAGACCGGCCCTGGCCATGGACCTGAGTGCGACCCTCTTCCGATTCTGGAACGTGAGATCGCTGAATATCGCGTTGCGACGATACCCGGCTTGACGCTACCGCCACTCACTGCCGGTGCTATCGGTTACGTCGGATACGACTGCGTCAGGTACTTTGAGCCCAAGACAGCACGGCCTCTCAAGGATGTGCTTGGTATCCCAGAGTCATTGTTCATGTTGTTCGATACCATTGTCGCCTTCGACCACTTCTACCAGGTCATCAAGATCATCACCTACATTCCTATCACCCACGTTACCTCGGAACTCGAAGCCGAATACCGGAAAGGCGAAGATGTGATCACGCGCACCATCGAACGACTGCTCCGGCCGGAAATCCCGCTCCCCCCCCAAGGCCCCATTATCCCTGACCAGGAGTACACGTCCAACATCGGACGCGAAGGATACGAGCGGCACGTGGTGAAGCTCAAGGAGCACATCTCCAAAGGTGATATCTTCCAAACCGTACCGTCGCAGAGGCTGTCCCGCCCGACCTCTCTCCATCCGTTCAACCTCTTCCGTCATTTGCGCACCGTCAATCCATCCCCGTACCTATTCTACATCGATTGCGAAGACTTCCAACTCGTGGGCGCGAGCCCGGAGCTTTTGGCGAAGGAAGAAAAGGGCCGCATCATTACCCATCCGATCGCGGGTACGGTCAAGCGTGGCAAGTCGCCCGAGGAGGACGAGGCGCTCGCGGAGGAGCTGCGAGGAAGCCTGAAGGACCGGGCGGAGCACGTCATGCTGGTGGATCTGGCGCGGAACGATGTCAACCGGGTGTGCGACCCGACCACCACACAGGTGGACCGGTTGATGGTGGTTGAGAAATTCTCACACGTGCAGCACCTGGTGTCCCAGGTGTCGGGCGTCCTGCGGCCGGAGAAGACCCGGTTCGACGCGTTCCGGTCGATCTTCCCCGCTGGCACGGTCTCGGGGGCGCCTAAGGTGCGGGCGATGCAACTGATCGCGGAGCTGGAGGGGGAGAAGCGCGGGGTGTACGCCGGCGCGGTGGGTTATTTCGGGTACAACATCGCCAGCGTGGATGGCACGGCGGAAGTACCCGGTGCGATGGATACATGCATTGCGCTACGGACCATGCTTGTAAAGGATGGGGTGGCCTACCTCCAGGCGGGCGGCGGAATTGTATTCGACTCGGACCCGTACGATGAATATATGGAGACGATCAACAAACTGGGGGCCAACGTCGCCTGCATCAAGGGGGCGGAGGCGAAGTATTTGAGCATGGAGGGGGAACAATCATAGAATTCGATGCCTTTTCTTCTTTTCCCGCTTTCTTCTCTTTCTCTTTCTGTCTTTCTTTGGTTTTTTTTTTTTTTTTTTTTTTTTTTTCCCGCTATGGTCTGTGTTGGGAGTTGAATGATGACTATGTTATAGAGCGATGGGGGACTATTGCAATCATTCCGGGCATTTATTCACCATAATTCCTTCCTCGCCGTGTGATCGAGAACTACTAATATACATCGATAGATTAACCCCTGGGGAGAGGGGGGGGGGGCGCTGGTCCAATAAAGATGGCGGAACAACTACTAGATTGAAAGAGGTGAAGGAACACTGCTGCCTAAACGGTACTCTTTGATTCCCGGTCATTATTCGCGATGTGCGTTAAATTTTGTAAAAATAAGAGGAACAAGAAGAGAAGAAGGGATTGGATGTGCAGAGTTTATGTCAATTGGGGGAGAAAAAAGCTAAAGAAAAAAAGGAGAGAAAAGGAAGGTCGTTGACTGATGACGTCGTTTCTCCAGACCTAGAAAAAGAAAAGGGAAAGAGAGAGAAAGAGAGCACCGCCACAATACTGTCCGTATGGTAAAACAAGTCAAGTATCGTGAAGGGTTGAATTGAAGAACGAGCATAGAAGGATAAATGCCACGTCGTTTTGTTGTCCTTTGCCACGACTCCAATGACATGACAGTGCATGGAGATATATGTATGCATGTATAGTCGGTACGGAGTACAGAACCTATATGATATCTCGATATCGGAATTGAACCCTGGGATCTAGGAACAACTATTTGGACGGTTCATTTTAAGATCTTTAAAAATAAAAATAAAAAAAATAAAAAATAAACAAAAGGGGTCCCTCTCACACTCGGGCCGTTGTGCATAATCCGTATATGTACCATACATACTGTACATAGTCATACATACCAACCGTATACTAAACGAAGTCATTCTTCAGATCTTTAAACCCATTGTCGCCTTTTTTCTTCACAACTTCTTGACTTGCGAGTCAATTGACTACTATTGTCTTCATTGTGTTGGACTCAACGGACGCTCAATTGATACGGTGGATACCACGCAACCTCTCTGTCCCTCATCATATCGTTTGAGATACTAACTAACTGGCTACCATCGTTCACTGGAGTAGTAGTCAGTCAAAAGAAAAGTGTGGGGGGAAAAAGAGTGGAAGAGTTCTTGGAGCGTCGTCAGCCTGTCAAACCAGTGGCGCCGAAAAAAATAAGAGACTCTCACTCGTCATCACAATTCTTTTCTTTCTACCGCTTCTTCCATAACACATCTCCTTTTTCTTCTTTCTTTTCCTCCTTCCCCACCTGGACCTTTCTCTCTCTCTGTTACTTTCTCTCCAATCGCCTTCTTTCCGGATACCTTTGTCTTTCACATCGTACATTTTCTTTTTGATTTGTGTCGGACGATTGCTTCCGAGCGGTGGCTGATAATACCGTCACTACCTAACCTTACCTAACCTAACCTCACTAACCAACTCCACTACTACTACAACCGCCCGCGATAAGGAGACCTCCGCAACCTCACCCAAACGATCCCACCCCTACCCATTTCCTCCTCGATCCTCCTTCCCTGGGTGGTTTGCGCCTGATCCCTCCCGGAAGAAGCCGGATAACAAGGAGCTCTGGTGTCTCGCCTGTCTTCTCTAACACCGCCCACCCCCCCCGGTTTACCTTAATAGTGCCCGACTGCCGTCGCCATGTCGAAGGTCGTGCGCAGTGTCAAAAATGTCACCAAGGGTTACTCATCAGTTCAGGTAAAGGTCCGGAATGGTATGTACTGCTGTCTCCGCCCTTACCGCACCCCGGTTGGCCACTGAGGGAACGGTCGCCGTCGCTCGTCGGCCGCTTTACACCCCCCCGTTCTTGACCACCCGCTGACCTTCGCAATTCCAGCCACGAGTAATGATCCCTGGGGCCCGACCGGCACAGAGATGGGGGAGATTGCTGCCCTGACGTTTAGCAGGTAGGCTGGCCGACCCATTGGCCTCTGCGGCCCTTCCCCCCTCTAGACCGAACTAATCCGGTTTGTACGTACAGTCCCACCGATTTCTACGAGATTATGGACATGCTGGACAAGCGTCTGAACGACAAGGGAAAGAATTGGCGCCATGTGTTGAAGTCGTTGAAAGTCTTGGATTATTGCCTCCACGAGGGTTCGGAGCTCGTCGTGACATGGGCCCGGAAGAACGTCTACATCATCAAGACTCTGCGCGAGTTCCAGTACGTTGACGAGGACGGCAGAGATGTCGGTCAAAACGGTGAGTTGGGGGAAGGAATGGATTCGGGTCGCAATTGCTAACGGGGAATAGTGCGTGTGGCTGCCAAAGAACTCACCTCCCTGGTGATGGATGAAGACCGATTGCGGAGTGAACGTTCCGATCGAAAGCTTTGGAAATCGCGGGTCAGTGGGCTGGACGAATACCCGGGCCACGGGAGTGAACCGCAACCGCGTCGAAACGAGCGCCGTCGACGTCCGCAGGACGATGAAGATGTCGAGTACCGCTTGGCGATCGAGGCGAGCAAGGCAGAGGCCGAAGAAGAACGGAAGCGACGGGCGAAGGGCGCCATGCAATTCGAGGACGACGAAGATCTAGCCAAGGCGATCAAGCTAAGCAAGGAGGAAGAGGAGCTGCGCAAGCGTGAATTGGAAGAGAGCAACGCACAATCTCTCTTCGATGATACCCCCGTCCAAGTCGCACCAACACAGCCGACTGGCTTCAATCAGGGTTATCAGCAGCAAAGTGCCGTGGACTGGTTTGGGAACCCAATTAATACCCAGCAACCTCTGACCACAGGATACTTGAACAACCAATACGCACAACCGACTGGATTCCAGGGACAGATGACCGGCATGCCCAACGGATACACCAATGGTTTCCAATCGCAGCACACAGCCTTCGACCAGAACCCGTACAGCCAACCCCAAAACAATTTCGTGCAGCCGCAAGCCACGCTCCAGCCCCAGGCAACCCTGCAGGGGCAGCAACAGACGGCCTTCCACGCGAACAACCCGTATGGAACCACAGATGTGTTCGGCCAGTCGCAGCAACAGCAACCGCAACAGCAGCAGCAGCAGCAATCGCAGGATAACTACCTTTCCGCAGGCTCCAATAACCCATGGGCCTCCGGCAGCCCACAGCCGGCTGATATGCTGAAACCAATGGCCACCGGATCTAACAACCCATTCGCACAGCGCACGCAGCCGCAGTATCAACACAGGCCCGCGACGTCCGGACATCCATCGCTGAACACACTCGCGGAAGAGAGAGCTACTAGCGCCTTCAATCCGATCACCAATTATCAGGCTCCGGTGGCCCCAGCTCCGCCCAAGAGTACGCCGCCTCAGATGAACGACCCCCATCACGCTCGTCTCAACGCACTGCTTGCAAGCGGCGAAGGCCAAGATACCTTTGGCAATGTCGGCGACCTCCGTATCCCTGCTCAGCACACCGCCCCCGGAACTTTCGTCAACTCGGCTGGTCAAGGCCTTGATCGCCTGCGAGCCCACCAGACCGGCAACAACCCATTCTTCGGTCAACAACGGTTCGTTCCCCAGCAAACAGGGTTCGCCCCACAGCAGCCTGGTTTCTCACAGCCCACGAACAACCCTTGGGGTGCACAGCAATCGTATCCTCAGCAGCCTCAGGCTGGAGGCAGTCTGATAGATCTGTGAAAGACGAAAAAATACCGATCCGTGAAGTCAGTAGTATATAGCTCAACGGGTTTGAGGTGGAAGTTGAATACGATACCAGGTTGTTTTTGTCTCGCTCGATTGAATTTCTCCCTCTCTTTCACACACACACACACACGCTCACTCTATTCCCTTTGTTCCGTTGCGTCGTTCTCACAACGAATGGTTGGGTGTTATGTTTGCATTGTATTAGGGTGCCGGAATTGACATACAGATTTCAGTCCAGGTCATGCAAACGCCCTTGCTACTACTGCCCCATCATATTTTCATGGTTCCTTTTTTTTTTTCGCCCCCTCGATATCTAAACTCGATATGATGGTGCTCGGGATGACCAACTGACACCCCCCCACCTCCGACTCTTCCTCACTGCGCTTTTTCGTTTTCTTTTTTTTATTGATGATGCGCCGTTCTACTTATACCTATTACCTACCTTACTTATTTGGCTCATGTCTCGTAGTATATAAATTATATTGTATTGTATCATACATGCTTGTATTCTGGTACCTATGTGCAGTTATTCTTATTGCTTAGGGTTGGTAGCTATGTAAAACACCCCTAGCGAGCTGGACACTTGATAAACAGACAAGATTAGGCAAGTTCGGACACGATAACAAACCAAGTGCGTACGTTATACAAATGATATTGCGGCTGTCCCTCCAGAGTACGTATTGCTTTACCTGTACCCATCTACCCGTCTCATACCCTAACATAAAGTAGCATATGATAGTATATAGTAAAAGTAACCACCAGCTAGCTCCATTCATGAATAGGTACCCCGACCCAATACGGTATTCAAAACGTACATATATGTATGTACATAGCATAAGTCCCCCGGAAACCCATACCACAGACAAATCATAATCATAACCCCATACGCACCCTCATACCGCATAATCCGAGTACCAGACCCAAAGGTATCATATAATTATCATACCCCCGTTTCGCCTATACTAAAAACACTGTTTGACCCCCGAATGCACCGGTCCATGACGTGAATCATTCAAAGGAAGAAAAGAAAAGAAAAGAAAAAAAGTATATAAAGTCTGATAGGGGATAGGGGGAGAAAATTATCCGCCTCGCTCGCCGAATTGCCGGGCCCATTCTTCGTATTCTTGTAATCCTTCCCGGCTGACGCTGGGTCGGATGGACGAGAGACTGGCTTCGAAGTCTTGGAAGCGGATGGCGCGGATTTGGTCCATGGGGGTGTGAAGGAGAGCTTCGCCGAGGTTGCGGAGGGGGCCCATTGCGGCGTCTTTGGCGAGGGCTGTGATGTCGGAGCCTGAGAAACCTGTTTATGGCATTGTTAGTTTTTGTTTAGGTTTTAGGGTTGGGAGAGTGGGGTGGGGGAGGAAGAAGTAATGTGATACCCTCTGTAAGCTGAACTAAGGTTTCGATATCTCGATCGGTCAAGTCGTGCACCTGGTGACTTAGCAACGTCCGAAGTTGTTGTTCGCGGACATGATGCTCTGGGAGGGGGATATATTGCCGGCGGACAAAGCGACGGCGCGCGGCCTCATCGATGTCCCAGGGCATGTTGGTGGCCGCTAGGACGAGGACCCGGCTGGCGTCGCCGCCCGTCTTCTTGTCACGGCCCGGTGATTCACGGCCTGCTGCTGCGCGCTGCAGGTCCGACCATTGGATCAGGAACTCGGTCTTCGAGCGTCGGGACGCTTCGTTCTCAGTACCGGACGAGCGAGCGGATAGTAACGAGTCGATCTCGTCCACGAAGATAATCGACGGCGCCAGCGCCTTGGCCAGGCCGAACAACGCGCGGACGAGCTTTTCGCTCTCCCCGTGCCATTTGGAGGTCAACGTTGATGCGGAAACCGAGAAAAAGGTGGATTTAGATTCCGTCGCGACGGCCCGCGCAAGCATGGTCTTGCCTGTCCCTGGAGGTCCGAACAGGAGCATTCCCCGAGCTGGCTCTCGTAGACCGGAGAAAAGGTCTGGACGCAAAAACGGGTAGACGACGGCTTCCTTGAGGGCCTTCTTAGCCCCATCTAAACCTGCAATATCGTCCCAGTGTACTTCATCCCCACGGACTACAATATCATTGAGGATCTGCCGGGCGGTTGGCACATCTATCCCTTTCGGGAGCTTGTTCAAGATATCCAAAACCGCGTCATCCTTCTCGATTTCGGCTTCGTCCTCATCTGCATCGGTGGACTTGGGACCGAGGGATTCGGGATCGCTGGAGGATAGTGGGGTAATAGTACGCCTGATGCGTGGGATAGAGCGCCTTTCCGGGCTTGTACGGGAAACTGCCATGCGGTCCATATTATCGCTTAGCGCATCGTCCCCCGTGGAAGCGGGAGTCATTTTGCGCGGCGTGCTGGTGGATTTCACCCTCGGTGTGTTGGAAGCATCATTTACTCCCGCTGCCCCTGCGGAAGGCGTCGGCGGCTGGTATGATGACCTCAATGCGACCGGCTTAGGTTTGACCGAAGGCTTCGGAGAGGCACGTGGCTGAATGGTATCCCTAGAGCCCGACGAGACGGACGCGGAATGGGCGCGACTAGTCTCCTGCTGCCGGGTTCCAGCCGGAGAGCGAGGCATGGATGTCGGGGTTGAAGTTGGAGCGGGAGTTGACTTCGCCGGCGACCGTCGCGGCGTCTGACTAGATACGCGAGGTTTCCGCCCGGCGCGACGGTCTTCACCGGAGTCTTCTGGGGGTACGCTTCTCCGGGGGGGTATCCCGTCGCCCGACTTCGACCGGGGTGGTCCTGGGTCCTTTCGGAAACTGGGATCATTGGCGGCAGTCAAACGGGAGGACGCCAGAGCTGCATCGCTGACGGTCTTCTCTGACGACGGAGCGCGATACAGATTGCCCCAGGCCAGGCCCGCGGCTTGAGATGCTGCGGCCGGCCGCAGATCTTTCCGTCGCGGGCTGGTTTTCTTCTTGACGGGTTTCTTCAAATCGGACGTGCGTAGTGTAGACGGCATCATCTTCCGACGCTCAGGGCTGGAGGTGCGGGATGAAGTAGTCTTGGCGGAAGAAGAATGCGTCTTGTGCAATACCGGACGACTCGCCATTGAGGTTGAGGAGTTTGATTCATTCCTAACTGACTCCGAGCTCGTCCTGCTGACAGGGGGTGGTGGGCGTCCGGGGATCGTGGGCGGTTTGGACAGGTCGGTATATCCGACCGCGGGGACGGTTCCCTCGCCAATCCAGCCACGATGACCCGGAAGCGGAGGCGGCGGCTTTCCTGACGAGTCCTTTCTGCTCTCACGCAGGGCTTCAAGTAGATCGACACGCTCCCGACATTGGAGCTCTAACTGGCGGATGGAATCCTGGAGGGCCTTCTCCGTTTCGTTCTTGGGGGAGTACTTGGAGGGAACCCGATAGGCATTATGATAGTAGATGGTCTCAAGAGCGGAGCGCCAAGACTTCAATGCTTCAACTTCATTGTTCTGCGAGATGAGTGAGATGCAAGGTCAAATTGACGAAAGAGGAAATTGAGAAAAAGACAGACCTGTCCTTCAAAGTAGACGGCTGTGGAGCACATCAAGTAGCAATCATCGTAGGTCTTCTGGAGGGAAGACATAGGTTTGGGGCGCATCATGGATTTAGGTTGATCAGATCATTCAATCAACGGCGGAATTGCAGGACCCGCCCGCGCGCTATGAATCGTAGGGAGTAGTCGATCAAAGATGATCCTATCACCTCAAGGGAAAGGAAGGAGAGGTTCGCAAAAGAAAGAACGAATTGACAGACAGCGGTGTGAGAGTGAGAGAGGAAGAGAGTAAAGGGAGGAGAGAAGAGGTTGTCCAAGTCCAATTTTTCTCTTTCCCAAATTCGGCCATGATTTCTCGTGACGTCGTTGGTGCACCAAAAGGCGCCCCACGACCTCTGATGGCAAAAAAAAAAAAAAAAAAAAAAAAATAAATTCCCCAATGTTACCTTGAACTATTGGAAATTCCCTTTGACATACCAAAGATAATTGTGGAGCTGAGTCTCAATCCTTTATATTAACCATCATGGATATCTGATTCTGCCTGCCATATCATCCCGTCTATGTATACATGGGGGTCCCAAATGCGTAGTATATCAAAAGAAAATTCCAGAATTTGGAATTCAATCAAATGACGAAAAGAAATAAAAGAAGAAAAAGGAAATAAAACCCTCCAAAAAGAAAAAAAAAAATAAAACAACACGTCCCTTGCGTGCCAACGCCGGTACAAATATAGCATACATCGGACCTAAAGGACCGATCCAAGAAAAGCTCTCGCACTTTTCCCAACTCATTCCGTCCCACAAGGTGTATATCAATCATTGTCCAACCAAACAAAAGGATATGAACGGGGAACCAAAAGATGAGGTGAAACCTCCTTTCGCTCCGCCGCATTCACGGTGGCTCCCGCCAGGCTGTGCGATTCTCGGTGTCTCAGACATTTCGCATACATCCGACAAAACGAGAAAAGAGAGGGAGCGTGTGTGTGAAAGGTAACGGGGTCAGGGATCGAGTTAAGGAAAGAGAAATTTTGACATGATGAACGCCACGCACCCGGGGAATTCTTCCTCCCCGCAACAGCAAGCTTTGCGATATCGTGTCCGTTGTGTCCACCTCCCGCACGTGATCCGTTCAAACAGGCATCTATTACTTATGAATTTATGTGATTTTTTCCCTTACTTTCATTTTTTCTGCTTTTGATAGTCTCGTTGGGTGATTTCTTTGTCCCTTCTGGTCGTGGAATGCCTGAACCGAGGGTCGCAGGATGGGGGGATGGGTCGTAGAGGTCGCAGTCGTGCGATCGGGCCAGTGGGAGAACAGACGTGGGGGTTTGATTTTAGGCAGCCTCCAGGCCCTTGAAGTACGCCTTAGCCATTTCATAAGAGGTCCTGTGCATATTGTCAGCATAATATCCAATCATAGTGTAGATGAGGTTAGGGCAATAAAAAAAGGAAAGAAGAGCGAAAGAAGGACTCACCAGCATATGGCCGTGCTGGGCATGGTGGATATAATACGGGGGCGAGCGCCTCGGAGGAAACCACTCCATCCGAACTGACGCTTGATGATGGCCGCGGCGTTGAAGAGACCCTTCGCGGTCCGAATCTCCTCATTCTGCGCCAACCCACGGGTCTGCAGGAGCGTCTTCACCACGTCGAGCGGTGTTGTGAGACCGGCCGCGAAAGCACCTGCCAGACCACCGGCAATGCAATGGGTAAAGGGGTCGTAATCTCCGGAGGGGTTCATGATCTTCGAGAGCGACTCATATGCGACGAACTGTGTAGCAGTGAAGGGGACGGTCATACAGAGTGTCGTCGGGTAGGAAACGTAGAAAGCCTGCAGCCCCTCCGTTCGGTAGACGGTCTGGGCGCACTGGAGGAGACTCTTGTGTACCGATCCATGAACTTGCATACGCTGCTTCATCACTGCGGTTTCCAGTTAGGACACAATGGTGGGGTTGTCTTTTCCCTTTTTTTTTTTTTTTTCTTGGGATTGGGACATACCGTCGAAAGGATTCATTAAAGCATCACTGGCAATGGTCGCAGAGGCACCACTCAGAGCTGTGCAATGTTAGTCGTCGTCAATCCATGACACAATGATAACCCCATCCGTCACTTACCGGCAGCGACGGGATGGTGACCGTCATCGACATTTCCTCCGGCCAGGTCCTTCACAATCTCATACGTGCCAAAGTACACCGCGTGGGCCGGACCTATCGGGGAATTCATATCAGCTTCCGAGATGTCTGAGCAGGCAACTCCGGCGACTACGGCTCACCAGCACCAACAATCACACTCGACACGCCCTTCCATAGTGTCCGCCAGCCCTCAATCCGGTAAATTGTGGAAACCGCATTAGTGAGACCCGTGTAAAGTCCACCGGTCGTAGGATGCAAGACTTGCATGCGAGTCTGCCGAGGCAATCCGTCGTTAGTGTCGGTCAATGTGGAACCCGCGCGAGGTCGCTGAACAAAATTTCACGCAGCACGGGGTCAAGAGCGGACTGGCGCCCAACATACCTTCAGCAAGTCCACCGGATACATGACAGCATGTTCCTTGCCCATAATCAGTACCAACCCCCGTATAGTTCACGTCCTGGCTGACATACCGCTATCCCTGCAAAGGCACCAGCCAGCATATTCCGGCCGAGGCCGTAGTTGGAGGGGAGGGCTTCATAGCTGTGTCGAAAGGCATGGTTAGCTCTGGAAAACCCAAGCTGCTGCCAGAAAAGAACGAAAGAAAAAATGGCGGGCCACAGATTAAACAGAAAAAAAAAAGAAAGAAAAAAAAGGGAAACCATTGCAATCAGAAGCGAGAAGATGGTATGCCTTGTAAACATAGCAGTGTTTCAAAGCCCAGTACCTTCATGCATCCCAGCAAACGATTGACCAGGCCCTAGAATAGTTGAAGCGGGTTTTGCGAAAGAATAAAAAAACATACTCAAACTCCTGCCCGGGGATATGTTCGGGGACCGCCATCGAGCTGTCGTAGCTCCAGACGCAGCCGGAGCCGCAGAGAGGGGGAAAAGAAGAAGAAGAAGAATAAGAAGAATAAGAAGAAGGGAGGTTAGAGGAAAAGGAAGGAGTGAAAAGGCGTGCGGTGGTGGGTGCAGCGTCGGTGTTGTGAAAGAACAAAAAGATATGTACCGAAGAAACCGGGCCTAGGTTGCGGAGTGGAGAGGCAAATCAGTAGGGCCGACTCCGAGGTGCAAAACCAACAAAAAAAAATATAGATGGAAGAAGAGACCTGTCTCAACTACCAAAGGAATCTGGAAAGATCAATGCAAATTGTACGGAGGGAAAGAGGAAATAAAAAGGTGGTCAGGACGGAGAAAGTGAGAGTGCGGGAGGGAGAAGAAGTTTTGAGAGGCAGTCAAATAAAATAATAAACTAAATTCCAATAAAATAAATTAAATCCAAGTCCTTCTCGGGTCGGCCTTTTTTGATGGAACGAACTTATCTGATGGATTAGATTAAAATACTATGAAACGAATCACTACCTTTTCCTATCTGACCTTATTAACTACGTTCTTTCTCTAAGTAGAATTATTTTAGAATATCTAGAAGTCGCCTTTAATTTAAGTCTTATCCTCCACCTCTTCTCTTTATTGCGTTCTTGTTCAATTTCACGTTTTCTAGTTAGTCCTTCGATAGCTCTCCCAGCTAACCTCCGTACGCACCAAAGTAGTAAAATTCGCCTGCTGAATCAGCTTCCCTCGGCCAGACCTGCAACCACAAAAGAGAAAAGATCAGCGACGCTTCTTGTCCGATGACGGAGTTTGGATCTCTCAACCATAACTCACCACCCACTGGGTATCAACCACTCAACCAGTTGACCTTTTGACTCGGAACGAATCCCTTGAATCAATTACCGATCCATCCTCCAATGCCTGTCCTAGGAAGAGCAAAAAGAGCCAGAAGAACAATTTCCTGGGGACTGCCACACCTGACTAGAAACTGCCGAAGGACGGAGGAATCGCCCCGTTCTAGTGGAAGGCTTACCTAACACGGTAAGCATGGTCGCCTTTTTTCTTATCTGATCTCTTCCTTTTTTTACGCCGTTCTTTCGCGTTCTCTCTCTCTGTGTCTCTTTCTGATTTGTCCTGTACTCTCTCTTTCTTCAGTTACTCTGCGGCTCACCGGGATACCGTGTCCCGCATGGAGAAAGGGAAGAAAAAGGTATATAGTTTATGTCTTTCAATATATGGTCTTCCCTGCTTGGTAGAATCATTTCTTCTATCTCTCTCGGTGTGATACATCTCCGCGGATTAATTATGTCCACTCAGCTATTCTCTTACATAAACCCAGTAGGAATGTTCATCCTCGGATCTGTGCTTTATACGAGGTTATATACCCATCCCTTGCCTATACCAAGAAATTATTCCGGGAAAAAGTCTTGGAAGAAAGGAAAAAGAAAAAAAAAAAAAAAAATAGAAAAGGAAACCATGAAAATAGGAAGAATGAAAAAGGAAGATGAAAAATAAACTAAAATAATAAGAATAAAATAAATATAGTCCCATATTGTTCAGCCAAGTACAGTGATAGAATGAATATAGATGTGGTTCCCTATAGTAAATGATAATTGATACAATCAAAGGAAATCACCATGCAAATAATACCCGCGAAAAGCTCCTCTTTCAAATATTCACAAGGATACTGTCCGGTAGAGAATTCATATGCGCTGTCATGCACGTCGTTAAAGCAGAAGAATAATTTCGCCCACCATGGTCTTTTGGGTTGCCGGTTTGGTATGGTTTAGTAACATATGTCTGTTCCCTCTATGTCGTATGTGTGTGTGTGTGTGTGTGTGTGTGTGTGTGTGTGTGGTTTCGTGTTCGTTCTAGTCTACCAGTCCACGTTGAAAGACCATACCCCTACAAAAGTCAGTCTTCACCCGTCGGCAAATAGCTAATACTGCGGTGCCTGACCGTTTTTCAAGTTTTCGGCCGTGTCGCATAACAATATCACTCGTCTCTTGTTACAATACGCCGTTTTATCCAAGATATCCACCTTGAGGTTCGCTAATTCCGGCACAGGCTTCTCGAACATCTCGCTCAGGTTCTCCACCGCAAGCTCCAGGTCCTTCTGGTTATCCTCGAAGATCTCCGTCAAGTTGTTTCGCGCCAGGTAGTAGGCAAACGCGTAGGTCCACTTGAGGGTCTGTCGGCATTGTTGGAGCGCTTGGGATGCGGTGTCGAGGAACTGGACTTCAATCCACGATAAGCCAGACTGAGACTGGAGGCTGGTCATTTTCTTCTCCGTCTTCAGGTACAGGTCTTTATCGAGCTTGGCCGATTGCTCGTGATTCGCATATCGGTTGTAGTAATGGAGATATCGCTCCAATGAGGCGCGGGATTTCGCCTGTGCGGTACGGGCTTCGGATCCCGACTTCTCCTCATACCGGTTACAGTTATACCAGCTGGTACCGTGCTCGGACCATAGGCCCATGCACATCCAGCAGAACTCATGCTTGCATTTGCGGCACGTCATGTGGTTGCAACCCCCGTTTTTCTCGATCGTCGAGTGACACCTGGGGCACTCTTTGGTATTGGCTGAGATCCAGTTGGCTGTTTCAGAATCATCTTCACATTTCTGCAGCCACATTTTGACTAGCTGACAGGGCGCCGGTTGATGGTCGTTGAGAGTGCACCCAAAACAAAAATGATGCTTGCAGTTACATTGCACGGTAGGAACAATGCGACGGAGGTCTCGCTGCTTGATTGGACAATCAACAGCGTATTCGCAATTGGGAGCTGGGCACCATTTGAGGTTCTCTTTGTCATCGACGTAGGTCCTTGTCAATAGGGTATTATACCTAAAAGGATAAAGTTAGCAATGGTGCCCATATACACGCGGGTCGAAGAGACTCTCACCTGTCCTTGAGAGCAGCTGTGACAAGCAGGCTCAGAGACTTAGAGTCGACAATCATGTGACAGCCGTCACGAGGGCACTCTATCCTGGCCGCCTCCCCTTCCCCACGGATTTTTTGCGCAAGATAATGTCGATAGCAGTCGACGCAGAACCGATGTCCACACCGCATAGCATATGTCTCAAGGCCATCACCGTCTTCGCAACAGATGTCGCACATGAACCCGGATAATACCTCAGTCTTCGGAGTGCCTTCGAAGTTCGTCCCTAAACCTGCCTCATCCAGTGTCTCCTCAGGATGATCCATGTAGGACTCTATAAGCTTTTCCCGATTCCACCGTCCATATCGGAGGAGAATGGCGGACGATTCCGGCGGTAAACTTAGGATGGATGAAACCTCGTTGATCTGTCGATTCTGGTCCCGTTCGATGTCATCCGGGCTTAGGACCTTGAAGTCTACTTCGTAAGGTTTTCGTGAGGTTGATATGATATCTTTATCTTTGGAAAAACCACCGTCAAAGTCGTCTCCAAAATCTACCCATCGCGAGAAAAGAAAAAAAAGAAAGCACCGTCAGCACCCGGTCATCACCATGTCTAATAGTACAAGCCAGGAAGGAGACAACGACAACATACCTTCCCCTAAACTCTCATCATCACTCGCCTGTGTATCCAAAAAGTCATCAGCACTAGAGGCAACGCTCATGAAATCTTCATCGGACTCCATAGTGGTCGACGCCGGCGTAACCAAATCAGGGCCCTTCTTTTCCGCGGAAATCGTGAACTCCCCTGAGACGACGGAGGCCAGGTCTGTGGCGGGGTCAGGGTCTGCGACCTCAAGGTCAACAGCGGCTTTCGTCTTGCGGGCAGACTTTCGGGAAGAAGGTCCGGTGGCGGCTTGCGATCGGGCGACGAAATCCTTGGTGGCGGAGTGTTTGTCTGTTATCGCCGCCTCGGCCGCCTTTCGCTTCCTTGTTTGAGGAGGCGTGGTGAAAACAATGGTATCGCGGCAAGCCGGTATGTGCTGAGACGAAAAAAAAGTAGGTCTCGAAATTCAACGTCGAGACCTTCGCTTTTTTTCCGAGACAACACAAGGCGCAGCTTACCAAAGGTGGGTAATCAGTCCTGGGGGATCGGCTGATAAATGTAACGGATGACGGCGGACACGAAGGGTGGACTGGAGGTAGAGAACTATGCAGTAGCAGGAACGGTAGCACCATGCACTAGCTCTCAGCCAGTCAATCGTTGGGCGTGAACAGCTTATTGATGTTGAAGCCTTTTGGGCTTTGGAGTAGAGGAGAGGGGTGCGGATGTAACTAAGGGACGGGAGACGGACGGACGTCACGGGAGAGTGGGGGGCCTTAGGAGACAAGCCTCAGGTTTGTCTTCGAACTAAAGGCCCGGTATTGCCGTGCACACGAACTACACGGAGTACACGCAAGTAAAATATTGGATACTCAGAAATACAAGCAAAAAGGAAAGGGAAAAAACAATAAAGGAAAAGGAAAAGAAGAAAACAGTTTTTTACTTCAGTGGGATTGCTAAGCACACAGCCTTTTACTTATAGCGGCGTGCCTGTATGGGGCACTTTCCCTAGATCTGATGCTAATGCCACGGAATGTCTGTGTGGGGGAAGGCAACAACAAGGCTACCTAAAGCGGTAGACACCTGAATATGGGTTCCAAATTTATGCGTCTTTTCATTGGAACTTGTTCCTTTTTCAGACTCGGGAGGGACCGTACGGAAGATGGTAAACATTGGTTCGCTGGAATAAAAAGCTCGAAGGGTACTCCATGCCAATGATGTCAGATAACTGAATGTGATTGTCATCATCTGATATTTTCTTTTTAGATATATCTGGGAACGTATGAACAGGCATGACTCAACATCGTGATCGGTGCAAGTGACCTGGAATGCTAACCTTAGGCAGCCACCAGGCAATCAATTCCTTTTATGTTTCTATTCCAGTTCTCTAATATAATACTACTAGAAATGCTTTTGATTTTGCACTCGTAACAGTTCATTCCGTGGTTTTTCTGCGTCAGACATTATCAGATCACTCATCGTCGCTTTCTTCCTCCTCGTCATCACCATCTTCTTCCTCGCTGCTCTCCTCTTCTTCGGCGCTTGCCAACCAATCCACAAACTGTTGGGTCTGGCTGCGCACTTGTTTCATCTCGTCAGTACTGCTGGACCTCTCATCATCCCACCATTGTTCATATGCCTCCTCCTCCAGAATCTCGAGGTCATATAATTCCTTGGCAGCGAACAAGAGGATGGTGTCGCCGCGATTGCGGTGTACAAGGTCCTGCTGGAGCAAAAGTAACAAGTCGACCTGATCAGACTTCGCATTATTGTCCCGGTCGAACAGCGACCGTTCAATAATTTCGCGATACTTTCCAAAAAGCTCCCGAACGACGTCCCCGGCTCCCTTGCCGGCTTCCATCAATTGCTGAGTCCGTTTCATGAATGCCATCACCACGGCTCGTCGGACATGGTGATCAGAAGCGTTGGCTGTCATGCGTAGACTGACTAGTTCTAGTTGCACCACATCTGATGTGACGCCATCGCGCAAACTGTCGTAGACACTGGTGGCGGCGTCATGGACGAAATGCTCATGCTCATCATCGTCACCGCCCGAGCTGCTGAAACTTCCCGAGCGAGATAAACCGTACTCTGAAATCTCCGATGAAAGGGTAGAAATGGATTCTGTAGAGAGAGAAAGCTTTGCCATATTGTAAACTGCGTGAAAGACCTGTTAGCTTGGCCTGAGTCGGTAGTTTAAGAAAAATAGGGGAAAGAGCGTACTCAGACCTGACGAGGCGTTGCTCTCGGTATCAGAGTCATCCTCATCTTCATAGGGCACATATTCATAACCCTCACCCCCTTCACCGACGACTTCTGGTTCACTTTCTGGCACACCACCGTCTTCCTCCCTCGCAGCGTTCGTGATGCGTTTACCTTCGTCGATAGTCATTCCACTGGCGATCTTCACTCCGAATGACAGGAGCGCACCAGGCTCGACGCTACAATTGCTGCCAACCTGTACGCCATCAGCAACGACAGCGTGGCGCACAGTCGTGCCGTCACCAATCACAGCACCGTCCCAGATGTAGGCACCGTTCAAAGTGACATTCTTGCCAATCTTACAGTTCCTTCCTAGTACTGTATCACTGACCGTCGTCTTGTCTCCGATGCTTGTGCCTTGCCCAATAACGGTTCGCCGGCCGATGACACATGAACGAGCCAAGGTCACACCATGCTCCTGATATAGGTTTCCCTTCCGAAGTTCATAGTTGTGGCCTGGGAGCAGGTTTGTGTCCGGGCACAGAGGGTACGCCCACCTCGAAATGACATCCTTGCTAACCGCATCATATGCCTTCAAGTTCCTCACTCTGGCAGCGTAGTGATCTTTGACGATATGTGTGTGGATAGTCTTTCCATTTAGCTCGTAATCTTTCAGCACACCAAACAGAAACTGCGTCCGTGGAGTCTGATAATCGAAACTGTCAGACCACAGACTCAGCACGTCGGGAGTGCAGATGTCAATGTTGCAGTCGATGAGATCTTGGCGGATATCTAGCTCCGGGTGTTCAAGGACAATCTCCGAGTCAATGTTAAGGCGAGTGGACTCCTGTGAATGGTGATTGATTTCCTCGTAATGTAGACAGCGGTCCTTGGTGGGATCAATAATGAAGACGGGCGAAGAAGATGAGGACTTGGTCCGGTGGTTCCTGCCGGCCTCCCGGAGAATCATGGTCATAATGGCATCCTTGTTCGCTGCACGGCGAGCCCGATGCTTGGCCAAAGCGCCTTCAATAGGCAGGTTGCTGATGACGTCGCCGCTCACAACAATGAAATCCCCGGTAATAAGATGCTTCCCATCAAGGTCGCGCATGACATCTCCGACGGAGGTGGAGGTGGACTTGAGGAAGGTCAACTGCTTAAACGGTGACGACGGTGATCTCCATTTTGATGCACTGTAGTGGCCCCGATATCAGTATAACCGCGACCATTGTATGTCCCAGAGGAGCAAGCGTTATCCACATACTTGATGTATTTCTCCAACTGATCCGAATGCGCTCCACCGTACAAGAACACATCTTCGACACCGGCATTGGCAAGGAATTCCAACGTGTATTCGATTAACGGAGTGTTCGCAAGAGGTAAAAGACACTGTGATCGCGCGTGTCAGCCCAGAATCCATGACTCGGCCTTCCCCGCAACGCCCGCTTTCGCATGAATATCCTATCTCTGATACATACCCGAGGCTTGTCGAGAGTGAACGGCTCGAACTTTGTCTCGAAAGTGTCGGCAATAACCTATACAGCATCGGAACGTTAGCTATCCGCCCTTCGTACACCCCCCGCCGGCGTATCGCGGCCTAGCAGGCGCTAGGGAATGATCATTTGTGAAAAAAGCAACATACCACAGCCTGCAAAGTCTCCTCTACCTCCTCCGCAGCATTGCCCCTCTGCTTCGAGCCACCGCCTTTTTGCTTCGGACCCATCTGCTAAAATCATCGTCAGCTCAAGTTGCGCGGAGAGATCGAATGTCGCTGCAACTCACTGTGCAGCTGATTTCCCCCCGCCTCACTTGAAGGTCAAATAGAACTAAAAGAAATGCAACAAGGGCTGCTCAAGAGTGTTTAAAAGCCCAGGCGATAATGAGGTCAACAAAGAAAGCGAACTAAACAATGAATCGGCAAGCACAGTCTAAAGAAATCATTCCGGTTTCCCCTCGACACAAAAACTCCGCCAAGCACATATCGAGTGATTCATCCCACTCCCGCCTTTTTTTTTTTGTTTGCATGTTTGTCCCATTTGCCAAGTTTGCTCGCCAGCTTGCCCCCTTCCACGTGATACACGTGATTGACTACACTAGCCACACACCACCGTAAAGGGTCAGCTTCAGCCTCAAAGAGTCCAGAACAAGAGAGAAGGCCCAGGCCCTCCTGGACTTCTTGCAATATCCCTTGTTCAGGAACCAACGGTCTAGAACCTTAATATGGCTCTTTAATGTAGGTAAAACCAAACAGGAGCGCTGGTCAAACAGCCTATGCCCCCGACCCGAAGGGCGATCGGAAGCTCCTGTGGGTTACCCGGTCGGCATGGGGCTCGTGTAGTACAAAGCAACTCCACTTCCGTACGTGTGTGTAGTGTGCGACTTCTGCATCTGATTGGAAGGTATCTTGCAGACATGGCTGTGCCGTGAAAATATGGTAGGCGGTAGGTAACCAAGATGAATGGATGAGTTGTGTTTTGTATTGTGGTAGTGTGGCTAGGATATAAGCACCATCAAATTGTGTTCCAATTCCGAAACAGCAAAAAATGCGCCAACCGTGGATCTTCCACTCAACAGGACAATTTACCCACGTAACATGTCCAAGTAATTACAGCAACAAGTACACCACCCAAAAAAAAAAAAAATAATCAGTCTGGATGCCCCGACCTAATATAGTTAAAACTCCCTTATATCCCTTTATAATGGAAAAACAACGGTGAAACAAACAGTTCTGCTGAGAGTATCCGCAAGGGGAAGCAAAGAAGTCAAAAAAGATAAATAATTAAAAGCCTTATAAACGCCGTAAGTTATCAAAGATCCACCAGGGGTCAACGGTATCGTACGGGTAGAGATTTCATATAGCGGAGATAGCGATCGTGAAAGGGGGATGTAGTGAGTGAAGATAGGTGGAGAGTAATGCAGTATAGGTGGTGGGTTGGTTGGGAAATATACAGGACTTGAGGTAAGCGACGCTTAGCCGGTCCGTGCGGCCTGCACGGGGTTGACCATCGTTTGAGGCTGAGCCGCATATACACGCGGTCGCTTGGCGAGGTTGGGGTTTTCGGCAGCACTGGCCATGTCAGAGACCTGCCGTCGTTGTTGCGGCCGTGCTGCAGCTGTAGCCGCAGCCGGGAGGGCCACAGGAGCTGTGGGATACTGCACCCCATTCTGATCTACCGCATATGCAGCGGCAGCAGGAGGGGCCGCAGGCACATATTGACCTGGAACCTGCTGAAGGTTAGGATGAACAGTAGCCATGCCCTGGAACTGGCTCGGCGTTTGCCAATTGTTGATTGATGTAGATGGCGATTGGCTAGGGGAGCTGTCCTCTTTGACCGACTGGCCTGCGGAGCTCTGTGCAGCCATTGTAACTGCCGCCGTAGGTTGGGCTGCTTCCATGCCTTGCGGAATAGTCTTCAGGTGAACCAAGTGCTTCTCCAGCATATCCAGAAGACTCTTTCGCGTAAAAGGTTTCGGCAGAACATCATCCATTCCTGATCAGCGTCAGCAGGGGCAACCGCAATTAACCCGTTCCCCTTCGCAGATGGGACATACCATGTTGGAAGTAAAGTTGAATGTCATCACTTCGAATGTTAGACGTCATTGCAATAATAGGTGTCCGGTCGAATTGCCGAATGAGGTGACACGCCGAGACACCGTCCAAGTTGGGCATAATGATATCCATCAGAATCAGGTCATATTTCGAGCCATCCTGTATTTTGTTCACCGCCTCAAGTCCATCAAACTGCGTTGTCGCCCATCAGAAAAACCAATCTTTTGAGCGGTGATCCGCAACGTAGAATACTTACAGCAGTATCAATCACGCAGGAAAACGAATAGAGAAACTTTCCGCCAATTTGCCGACACGTCGCATCGTCTTCGACCAGTAAGATATGCGGGCTACGCATCCACCCCGGATCAACATTCGTGCTCTTTTTCCGACTGTCTGGGAACTGCCTTCGAGTATCGTCGACTTCTTGTTTGGGTGGCATTGGGTAAGGGACATTGTTGACGTGCTCACTATACATCGGATCGATTCCATTGGTTGCACCCACCGGGTACACGACCGGTTCAATCTCGCCATTCATCTTCGGATAAACCAAGGCTGCGGTTGCGGCATTCGCGGGATTGGCTGGGTTTGCGGGGGTCGTGGCGGCCGCAGTCGGTGGGCGCACCACGCCATTCCGCGGCGCAGTTTCCAGTGCGGGTGTAGGGGCCACAACGGGGCCGGTCTTTGGTGGCTCGCCTAGCGAATCAAGGCCACTGAGATTGAACTGGATTTCGGCGTTCATGTCATTGAGAAGTTTCGAGGCATGCTGCAAGGGTGACGAAGGTTCATCGTCCATCGACGCCACCTGGGAAGGGCTTAAGGTCGAACCCCCCTGGCCTTGGGCCTGGAAAGGCGCGGAGGCTTTACTGTCTCGCCGTTGGCGAGCATCCACCGATAAGAGGTAGGTCATCAGTTGGTGGATGACATGCTCGTGGTTTAGGACTGTCTTTTGGACTCTCATCACCTCCTGCAGCATGATCTGGTGGTCCACGGTTAACTGGGCATACCGATCCGAGAGATGTTGAATTTGTTGTTGCTGCGCCAATATTTGCGAATTTAAAAGGTCGATCTGTTGCGTGGGGACCGAGTCCTCGTTGCTCTGGGTCTGTTTGCGAGGGGCGGGCGCCTTCCGTCGGATATTGTCGAGTGATTCTTTGCTGTTTGCACGGAATTCGGGATGCTTGAATTCCCACGCCTGGATTCCTGGTCAGAAAAACGCCGCTCAATCACCAGCGCCAAAAAACATGCGCAGCCTTACATTCTGCCCATACGGTGATTGACCATTCTCTTCATTATTTTGTCTCACTTTGTGGAAATCATACTTGTTCAGTTGTCGTACGAAGCTGGCAAAATTGCTATGTTTGAAATGTTTGGGGAGAATTGTTTTTGTAAATTTCTCGCACTGTAACAGCGTAAGGACCGATTAGCCCGAGAGCAGCCACCGGGCGAAGGCACGAGGGGTGTGCATTAATTACCTCCAAGACGACGAAACTGTCCCCTTCATCACCCCACCGCACAATCTCCGAGTAGGACGGATCTTCCAGCATTCTTGCAGAGAAATGTTAGTGACAAGACCGAGGTAGGAACGAGCTGCTTGGACCGTAGGCGAGCCATCGTAAATGGAAGCACGTGTAGTCGCATGGAGTCGGACTGACGAAGCTCGGAGGAGGGGTGGGGGGGGGGAGGGAAAGGAGTGGAGGGAGCAAGTTGGGAAAAGGAGAAGAATACTCACTTGTAAAGTTTCCGCACCTATGCATCTTGTTAGTGTAATTCTTTGTCCACGATAGACTCAAAGACCAAAAGTATAACAATAATAATGTAACAAAGAAAAAAAAAAACACAAAAAGGGAAGAAAGGGGAAAAAAAAAAAAGAAACAACAATATCTATATCAGCATCAAAAAAAAGATCATCACATACAAAATCGCTGGAGTTGCCCGCGGGGGCGGCGTTGGTAGTGGTCTGGCCACCGTCCATCGTGGGCTAGATGGGTCGCGACCGATCGAACAAGCAACAGGCTCAAGCACGTCGCAGAACCTCAAGAGCAACGGCTGCGGGAGAGTATGAATAGGAAAATGAATATCAGACTCGGTAGTCAATTACCCACCGAAATCGAGAGTGAGGGAAAATGCCCCGGGGGAAAGGATAAGAATGAAGAAAAGGAAAAGAAGAGGGAAAAAGGCAAAGGAAAACCGAAGGGGAAAAAAAATGACGGTCTACGGGTTGTTTGGTTGGGAGAGGAAAAAGAGAGAGGGAAGAGAAAGTTTTGGGTAATTTACTACTTCTGCAAAAGTGGGACTTTTGATGGGGGGGGGTCACTGACTTGGTGCCATTGGTTTCCGGTCACCACTGGGCACTAGCCACACCTCTTTTGCTTTTGCTTTTTAGTGTCCTGTCCGTCCCCTTCCTGCTAGAAATCTTCTCTGAGTTGTGCTTGTTACTTGTTTAATATTGACTGATTTTATCCCGAACAATGCAAGGAGCTTAAAGGGGGAAACGGAAGCGCAACGGAAGCTCCTCTCTTTCAAAACCACAGCTAGCTAGGTACGTCCGCTGTAGGTACATACAAGTCTGTACTAGGCAATAACCTCGGAGGGGGGAAGATGATGTGGGGATCCTCCTATTCGGCCGTAGTGCCTTAAAAGGGCAGGAGAATGGCTTGACGATGACTAGTAATTAACCGCAGGAGTCAGGAGGGGAACAACAAATGACTACATGAGGAAAATAGTCTCTGTGCTTTCGTGGTTTCATTTGAATTTTATATTTATATTTTTTGAACTTCCAAGAGGCGGACGTTACAACAAAGGTCAGTGCGTTCATGATGCAGATAACGTGCAAGGAAAGGATGGAGGGGGAAAAATGGAGATAGGCTGTGGAAGAGAAAGAGAGGGGCAAACCAACAAACCAACCTGCGATGATCATCGAGAGGCGACGGTGGACTCTCATAGGTATGTATGTCTTCAAGAAACATTTGACCCTTTTGTGACTCCAACTTTTGAGCGCCGTTAAAAAGCAAAAATAATCTGAAAAATCCTCTTTTTCGCCCGAGGAAGCATCCTAGTCAGGTGCACATATTACATAAAACTAATTATGTACATACATACATACATGATCCACACACATCACACTTCCATACGCCTGGGTATCTTCTAGAGTCGTATTGACAGGAAAGACAATTGTTGTTTGCTTTTTTTTCTCTTTTCTTCTCTTCTTCTTTTTCTTTTTTTTTTTTTTCTTTTTTTTTTGCTCTCTCAAATTGAAGAGAGGGGGCTTGTACTCTGTACAGTTGTTTACAGTTAGAAAAGCGTTCAGCGGTGGAGACCAAGCAGTTTATCCACAATCATATACTTATTCTGGTTACTCAGTGCTGATCTTATTTTCCCTCCTCCACATCGTAACAGCCTGACAGGATGCGACCCTCCTCCACATGAATAAATTGCAAGTCTACTGCGGGTTTCCTTTCTACTTCTTTGAATTTTGATCCTGGATATAGAAAGTACCAAAGCAAGTGCCACCGGTTCCAGGGTAGGGTTGGCCAGACCTTTATCTCTTTCCACGGTTAACAAGGTAGTTTTAACGCCACCTCCAGAGGATCGATCGCTTTCCGTCGGGTATGATAGCATAAGGACACCGACCTATAATAAGAACAAATGGGGGAAAAAAAAAAGAAGGCTCGCATCCGAACCTCCGTGACGTAGCCCGAATAAATTCCAAATGATCGACTGTGATCGACGACTTGGAGGCGGGAATTGAGTGGATTCCTTAGTTTAGGAGGTACAAACGAACCGGCTCCCTCTCAACTCAAACTCCTGTTCGATTTGTGTGTATATACCATCCTGAATTCTGACTTACCTGGCCCGAAATGTTCGCCACGCAGACGGAGTTATCCAAGGTAGAGCGCTACTAGTACCCCGACGTCTCATCGAGTCGCTTCCTTAACATGCCGTGGAAGATAGTAGTTCCGACCCAGTCCAGCCCAGTGAACCCCATCCAGTCGGACCAGGGCTGGATTCATCAACGAAAACCCCTCGCTCTGCCTGCGGAGAGCCTGTCGCCACATATGCACCAACCGTCTAGCCCTGAGGGCGTGGTCTTTCGAGGTGCTTGCACAAGGAGGAGCAACATAAAGGCTGGAAACAGTTGGAAACCCGTCTTAGCACCCTGAATTTAGATCATCCTTTATGTCAGATATGAAACAAGGAAGGAAAAGGGACAACACATACACGAGTACCAATATCCAGCCAAAGACACTATACACCATTCTCACCAACAATCGAAGCATCTTCGCTGCACTAATTTCGGCCGCTTTGAGAACCGCACTAATCTCATTGGATAGGTCTATGGTCGGGGTCGGTTCGATCTCGTCAGACTCTATGGTATAAAATATGTAGTCGTCAGGGGCTGTGGTGAAATTGGTTGAGGCTTCCATTTCCTCGAACAAGGGTGGCGGAGTAGCCGATCGGACCATCGGTCGTAAGCGCCGAAGATGAACACTTCCAGTAGCGTGTAGGCAAAATGAAGACAGGCGGATTGAGGACCTGTTCCGTCAACGGAAGCGACAAGCCTATCGTGCATTCGCAGCGGCTGTGGTAAATTAGGGTACCATTCTCAGTTTCTGGAGAAGTGGACGAGTGGTTTAGAGGGACTCGGGCAAAGTTTGTCGAAGTGTATTGTAACGACCTCAGCGCACTATGGAGGTCTTTGTTATCGGCGATGTCTTTGCGACATGATAAAGTGATTACTAGAGGCCATACTGCACCTCATCTGCCACCCGAGACAAACGGCCAAAGCCTTGAAATTGTTGACCATGGCGCACATCTTGCCTAAGGGGTCTGTTTGAGGGAGGCAACTAGGATACTCGCTCATCAGTGCGAAAATTGTCGTCCAGATCTGTTACATCCCATTCATCATATCTAATATATGGAGGCTGACACATTAGGAGGCTCCCCCACTTATCACTAGAGTCTCCTGCGTAGTCGCCGCTCCTAGGCCGGGAGGCCCATCGGTCCGTATTCTAATTGAAGACCAAAAGATGTAGCGGGCCCGACGAGTAACCCAACAAAGGACCACAGGGATGCGCTGTCAGCAACAGCAGTTTGACTCTTTTGAGGGGGTTTGTGTAGATAAAGAAGCCCAGCCTGCAGGACAGCTAAGTGAGGTGTGTGTATCTCTTGCAGCAAAACCTCCAGCACTATGCACCAGAGCTATTCAGTTGGTTGCCTTGAATAAACGTCGAGAACAGAGAGGTACTCATCAAACTTGATAAATGGTTGCGTGGAGGCATATATGACAGCTAAGAGATGTACCGGCAAGTTGATCAGGTGTGACAAGGGTAGAGGCGAGACCGAGTTGCGGCCTTGAGATGATAGGAAGAGTTGGGAAAACGAATGTCCCGAACCTGCCACGTCAGTCGACGTCACAGAGGCTCAAGAAGGGGGGATTATACAAAACTACCAGTTTCTCGTCGCACTCCAGGAGCACCAGGCTATTTAATTCGTCCCTAAGACTTTGACTCCTAGGGATCGCTGTTGCTTTCTTCGTGGACTCATACAACTCGTCCGTAGTCGCTATGAACTGAACGGGGATCTTTTCTTCTAACGGAACCCCTCCTGCATATCGAAAAATGTACCTGATGGGAAAGGAGGAAGTCACGGTCGTCAAACCTGCAATGCCGAAGAAGCCATGGGTCCGATTCGCCTGATGTTCCAAGAACTTGATTATGAGAACCCTTTCAACTGATCCAACGCCTGAATCGCTTGAGCTGGAAGTCTTTCTGGGAAGTGGTAAGTTGCTGGGGCCGCTGTAATGGGCTCGCTAGGTGGGACTTCCAACGAAACGGGATCAAGTAGAGGGACTAAGGGGAAGATAGGCTCTGATTGGCATCGAGCAGAATTATCCGTGTTGACTGCGATGCTTGCCTCCTCTCCTGGCTGCACCACTGTTACTTGTCGAGCCGATCAGGAAGCTGCCTCGGGAAGTGTTGTCGATGGCTAATGGACATTCTGAAGGCCACCGAAGTTACACAAAGAACCAGAAGTCTGGCATCCCTGGCATATATTCCCCCCTATCTGCTTGGCATCTCACTTTTTTGCAGCGACATGGATCACAAGGGCGATGCCGCTTCGAACGATAGGGGCGAGCATAGTCCGGGGTACGAGAGCTATTTGCATTTCTCGGGGAAAGGGACTCCATAGTCTACCTGTAGGATGTTCGGCGAAGGCTAGTAGAGTAAGTGGGTTTATCTTGTATCTACCGAAGAAGCACTTCGACGTTCGGCGAAATCATGATCTGATTCGTTGAACCCTCGGCCCTAACATATGCTGCGAGAAGGCGCAACAAAAGAGTCAATTTGGAGCAACTCTCCAATCAGCTCCTCGGTATGACTAAACTATCATTTAAAACTCCTGCAAAAGTCATTATCCATACTGTTCCGGAACTATACGGTGGGGGGTATGACAGTTGTTGCAGGGTTGGCTAGTGTGTCTGTTAAGGGCAACAATGATCATGTGCGGCTACTACGCGTTCTAACAATATCACTCTTTGTACAAACAAGGCCAACTAGTCAAATATTTCAGTCCAAAGCCGAAGCTCTACAATGGAATACTTAACGGGTGAGCTCTTCCTCTGGATATACATTTGTATTTAGTGGATCCTCCTCATAGCCATGTATCCATGTGTTTTCGGAGGGCGCAAGAGTGGTCCCCTAGGCGGCAAAAACGGGGGAAAAAAATCGATAAAGCAGCTCTTATATCAAAGAGAAAGGTAACTTTGCTGGCGCTTCTATTAGCCCATCGTTCTTTAAGAGACAAACACGATGTCCGCATCACTGCCAGGGACTCGGGAATTGCCCGCTTCGCAGTACGATCTCACGACTTATCTAGGACGCGTCCGCCAATGTGCAGACTTATCAGACCCGAGGTAATTCTATATACACCTGCTACTGAACGCGACATAGGATGGCTGACAAGGTAATACCTTAAGAACATTATTTACGTCAAGCGTTGGACTGCAGAATGCCAAAGAGCTTCTCACGAACTACAAGTTGGGGCAAATCCAGAACATGACCCCGGAATTGTGGCAAGCTAAGAAGGTTGTCGATTCAACTATTCACCCTGATACAGGCGAACCGGTTCTTCTACCTTTCCGTATGTCGTGCTATGTCTTCTCTAATCTGATTGTCACCGCGGGCATGCTTATCCCGGGGATGAAGGTGAATCCGGACTATGCAACAACCCCTAATATAGGCATGAATTGCGGGCTAATACTGTGCCTAATGATAGTGGAAAGGCACTCTGGGCTGGCAAATCGCGAATCAATCTCTAAATGTGGCGATTAACAGCGCGAACGCGAACAAATCCGCACCTCTCACCACAGCCGGCATGATCAAGTCGTACCTCATGGCCGTATCTGCTTCTTGCTCGGTTGCACTAGGGTTGAATTCTATCGTTCCCCGACTGAAATCTGTTTCACCAAGCGCGAAGATTATTCTTGGACGTCTGGTTCCCTTCGCGGCTGTTGCCAGTGCTGGTGCGCTGAACGTTTTCCTCATGCGCGGTGAGGAGATCAGGCAAGGAATCGACGTATACCCTTTCACATCAGAGCCCAACGAAACAATACATGCTGGAGAAGAGAGACTCGTAGCCACGACGAGTCTGGGGAAGAGCCAGAAGGCTGCAACCATCGCAGTAAGCGAGACGGCCATTAGTCGCGTTGTCACTTCTACGCCTGTTATGGTGATCCCTCCTCTGCTTCTTCTGCGCTTCCAGAAGACAGCGCTGCTGAAGAAACGTCCGTATCTTGCAATGCCTATCAATATAGGTTAGTGAAGTACTTACTCCTAGGATATCATATTGTACACGAGCTAACTTGAAATCTTGTAGGATTGGTCTTTCTGACGTCCGCCTTCGCTCTTCCGTTTGCCTTGGGCGTATTCCCACAAAGATTGATCGTAAACTCGGACAGCCTAGAGGAGAGATTTCACGGAAGGGGAGGTGAGAATGGGCAAGTGGCATTTAACCGTGGCATTTGATGTTATCACTTTATTGGGCAAGAATCTAGCTTGCTAGCTATGTGATGGAGCACATCCTCCTACGGTTTCATTATCTGATCTAGTAGCAGAGCACCCTTGTTCCCAAAGCTGCCTTTATAGAACAATTATATAACTGAATAGATTCTAGAAAATAAGTTTAAGTATATATGGATCAGGTGAGGAGCCTTTTATATACAACCTCGCTAGTTCAACTTTCTGCTACCCCGTTTCTTACACATACTTGCAAATACTAAGTATCTATCTACACACGTCTTTCGGGCTAGGATGTCCTCTAGTGGTTCAGATGATGAATACCATAAAAAAAAAAAAAAAAAAAAAAAAAAAAAAAAAAAAAAAAAAAAGCAAAGTTTCTCGCAGACAAACATTATTTTTACCCATGTGCTTACACTGCGCAATATCCAACGGCATTTCCAGCGCCTGAATCTTTCTTCGAGGAGAAGTTGCGGAATTTGACACGGACTTTATTAAACTGGGCAACGAGCTACGTGTGGTTCGATTACAGCAGCAGATGCGAAAGGTGGAGTTAATAAAAGGCTACATAAATCACCTAAGGCATAAAAATAAGAGCATAGAATTCTTGCCAGGGAGTGCAAGTGTCTCAAAGCGACGTGCTGTACGGCATATGTCGAACAGGGACACCGGGGAAGCCGATGGCTCTCATATAGACCACCGATGCTTTGGAAAAGCCTGTTCGTGGCCACATGGTCGGTGTGCCGTATACAAGTGCGGTTTATGTACTAATAATGACGCAAGATGTAGGTTCTGAGTCTCTTGCCATCCATATAGACCTCGAATCCGACCCTCGTTTGGATGTTAAATGGTCTAGAGTTGATGCGGAAGCGACAATTGACCAATGTGACGTGTATGCGCAGAGCCTGTAGCTCCCCACCATCGTGAAAGAACATAAAGCCTAGGGTAACAAGGTCAAGTAACTTGACAGGGTGCAGAATTTGCAGGCTCGGGGCATGCTGTTCTGGTTTTATAGGGTTTCTTTCTATCTGGAATAGGAATAACGTCAAGTTCTTGCCTTCTTTCCTCCCACCGAGTCTACACTGCCACCGAAGTATTTCAAATGCGGTGAATGGCATTCCTAGAAGGCTGATCCGACTCGGGTGCTATTTTTTCGCATTAATATGCCAGGATTGCTATGAATACAATGGTTATCCCTGACTTGGGACTAGTGGGCTCGCGAGATCGCCAGTTAGGGCTCTGTTAACCGATCGCTTAATTCCGTCAATAAGCATTCGAGATGGCCAACTCTTTACTATCGGGGAATCCTCTGAATGTAAGGTTCCACTTGAATTCGGCGTGTAATCAATCACTGAGTTGGGTAGAACTTAATTTCTCATGACGATTCTTACCCACTATTGAGGGTTACTCTGAGAAGTCGCCTTCTATCTCATATATGGGGCTTTCGATGCCGAATTAACTTAACGGTCCCGCAAGTAGGCACACGTGTAGCTTGCTCTCTCAGCACCTAGACGGCCATTTAAAATCTCGGTGTATGGCCCTCCATGATGCTCATCTAGTTTCTAGCAACTCCGTGCTCTTGATCACGAATTGCTCTTTGCCGTTCCTCTGGGCATGGGCATGTCAAACAAAGAAGACCATAGTTTGGCTCATTCACAGACGCCCGAGAGCTCCCAATAATCGAACAATGAAACATATCCCGAAGGGGGTTTCAGAGCGTATTCGGAGCGTGGTGCGCTGTGGTCCCGTTCATGGGCCTGTTAATCAGCCTGGGGATCCTATATCCCTGGACAAGTACTTACCAGCTTCAGGGTTACTCGGAATCAAGCATTGGCTGGATATATGGTGCTTATGGGTTTTTCCTCTATCTTGACGGATCACAGGATGGTAGGCATGACTGCACCGAGCTTCTGTAAACAGTTATTAAACTATACAAAACGGGGCCGATCTTCGATGCACACGGCCTAGCCTATGTCATTATACCTAGACCCATAGATTGGTGGCTGCATTGATCTGCTTCAGCTTCAGTGAGGGTATGTACTAGTGTAATTCATACAGTGGCAATCAATAACACGAAGCAGAGTATTACCATATCTTCCTAGCCTTCAGCGTCCTCGGAGGTCTCTCTGTATGTACACTATTCACACTAGCCGTTTTTTGCGTTGGACACAGGCTCAACATCCGCTACGGCTATACAACAGGCATCGCTTACACAGCCGGCGGACTAGGCAGCGTCATATTCCCACTGATAACCCTATTCGCGGCCCCCAAGATCGGCTTCACATGGGCCATCCGCACCATTGCTCTCCTCTGCGCCGTCCTCTGGACACTAGCCTGCCTTCTCCTGAAATCACGACCCCCGAGCAACAAGAAAGCCGGTGCCTCCAACATCAAGCATGCCTCAACCACAGAAGCCGTATTCGTCGAATTCGCCGTCCTCATCCCAATAACCTACATCTCCTCATACGCAGTCCATATTAGCTTAAGCAACACTTTTTTCTATGCACTGATCGTCTTCCTTAACTTAGGAGCCGTGCCAGGCCGCTTCTTATCAGGCTTCGTTGCCGATCGCCTAGGCCGGTTCAACGTCATGGTCCTCAACTCTCTAGTTTGCGCAGTCTCTGGCTCAACGCGTGGGGCAATGTCGCTGCTATTTTCTGCTACGCTGCGTTATTTGGGTTCTGGAGATGAGCGGTGATCAGTCTAACGCCTGTGTGCACCTCACAAGTCTGCGCGACGGTAGACTACGGGGAAGAGGAACGAGACGACGTTTACGATTGTTAGTGTTGGGACGCTGACGGGGTATCCCGACTGCGGGGGCTATTCAGCAGCGCGTTGGAGGGGAATACTGTGGGCTTATTACGTTTGGAGGTGTCCTTTATCTGGTGGCTACAATTGCTTTTGGTATCGCGAGGGGAGTTTGTGCTGGGTGGGGGTTGAGGACTAGATTTTAGACGGGTGGATTGGGATAGATTTAGAAGATAAGATGGAGATTTACTGCATAAAGAAGGACTAGAGCGGAAGAATAGACATGTTCAGATACATGGAGTGTCGATTAATCCAAGTATATCTACTTTGGCAAAGTCCAACAAATCAACGTAAGCCACACGAGACAGCGCAGTGCCATACGATCCTCTCTAATGATATGACGATCTACGCGCCAATTCACCAAATTTAAATATCCCTAAATAGAGATTTTCAGCGTACTACCCCTATTAGCAATGCCGAACTGTCTAGTCATAATATCCTATTGTCATCAGGACGTTGCCTCATGATTTAAGTGGGATGTTCACGAACATATAGGGTTCTACTCCGCGTGGACCAACGAGAGTCCGTTTCTCCCAAAGGACCACTACTGATATGCGACCTTCAATGCCGCGTCCATATACCTACCTACCTGGCTAGCTATTTAATAAATTTCTGACAGGAACAAATATTGAAAATTGTATATCACAGTAAGTACGTACATATACATATCTAATATAGCTACTCTAATGATCATGTGTGTATATATGAGCACCAGCCCAGTCTATCAAAAGACCCATATTCCCCCCAAAAAAACTCAACCCAAAGCCCACCAAGCGACCCTACCTCGCCCGACCTGGCAAAACAAGCCAAATAACCAAGCAAAGAACAAGCATCCCAAAAGCCATAGGCTGCAAGACTTGAATCCCCACAATTTCCGCCAAACTCCCCATCACAAACGGGAACACACACCCACCGGCACTGCCCAACGTACACGCAATCCCAACTCCCGCAACATGCAAATGCTTAGGTAGCAGCCTCGCCAATTCAATAACCGCCTCAGGGAACAACGGACCCAGGAAGAACCCCAGGGATACAACGGCACTAACCGAAACAGCAAGGTCAGTAACGAGGCAGAAAAGCCCGTGAGAAGCGAGACAAGCAAGCAAGTAGATCGTCACCATCGCTTTACCGGACTTCTGACGTGAAGTCACGAAACCCAGGATCACGCGGCCTATGGTGAGACCGGCCCAGTAGAGGCCGACGACCATGCCAGCGGTATAGGTGGTTGCGTTTCGGCGATTGACGAGGAAGGTGAAGATCCAGCCGCCGAAGGAGATTTCGACGCCGGCATAGAGAAAGATGAAGAGGCTGATGATCCATGTGAAGGATGATTGGAGGGATTGGATTGTGGGGCTGTTGCGTAGGGAGTCGAGTTTGAAGTATCCGGAGTGGTCTTTGTCGCCCGTATCGTGGTTGGGGGGTGTTCCGTGAGTGAACCCCCGGGCGGACCAGAATACCGCGGTTAGGCCTACGAGCTCGATCACTGCTGCTGCGGCCATGATACAGTAGACTTCGTACCAGGTCCAGCCGCTTTTGGTTATTAGGGATGTGGCGATTAAGGGGGCCAGCGCTGCGCCGAGGCCGTAGAAGCCGTGGAGAATACCCATTGGCTTGCTGCTATCTTGCATGCTTCCGATCCAGGCGTTCCAGCCTGCATCCAGGAGACCGCTTCCTAGTCCTGCTAGGACGAAGACGAAGACCAGGACTCCGAAGGATGGGTGCAGGGATGAGGTGCCGTAGGCAATGACGTGGAACGCAGGGCCCAGAAGTGCAATTCCGCGCCGTCCAAAATGCACATGGATCCAGTTGCTTACTAGAGCTGCGGTGGCATATCCAACGCAGGGGGAAAGAAACACCGCCGAAACATGAGCATAGTTAACTTCGTAGTATTCCCCGAGCTAGATGAAGGAGGTGGCCTTGGTTAGTTGGGAGGCCATCGGCAAAAGATTTGCGTAGTGAAACCTACATAATGAACCAATGCCTGAAAGTGAAAATTGGTCAGTGTAATGCAAGGTAGGCAGGCGGGACTTCACATACGCCATATATTCCATCGTTTGCGCCGACCACGATGAAGCTGAGGAAGGCGGCAAGAATCCGTGCTACATTGATGGGGGGATCGTTCCACTTCTCAGGTAGATGCTCCGGTTCGCCCTGGCTACCTTCAACATCTCTACAGGGCCCGAATGCCTCGTATGTCGGTCCCTCAGGATCTGGCCAGGCTCTCCCTAGCAAAGGAGTAGTAGGGTCAGGCGCTGCAGGCTCACCCGCACCTGCAATACGCGGCATATTAACCCTTGATTCCAGATAGATGCCCGGGAGGAAAGTCAGTCAGCAGGGCAGAGAAAGGTCAGAACTGAACTGAATCGAACAGAAGTGCGTTTCTAGGTCGATACCGGTATAGACACTGCAGGACCGGTAAAATGCTTATATAATAGGTACGGTCAGCGTTGGACCTAGGCTTAGCCCTATTATGTAACGAGATGGTAGGCTGGAAGGTCCTTGTTGGTCGAGTTATGGGTGAAAAATGCTACATCACGGGGATGGTGTTTTAAGGTGGGCAGCACTATAGTGTGGTAGATAATCAATTCCGGAAACAGATGTATATCCCTTCGTCGGATTTATCTTCCTTTGGTATGATGCCAGAGGTCTTTTCAGTGGAGACTTTTGTATGCATGTTATCTTCGTCCCACAAGATGCCTATTGCTTTCAAATCACGCAATTCTATCTCTAGACTGATTCCATGGTTTACAGTGACCGGAAGCAACCCCAACTTGACGAGGATTCTACAAAATGCAACAGAACAGTGCAACAGGAAGTCGATTGAGGCTGGCTGAGTGCTAAGTATAGGCCCTCTTGACTCCCGAGAAGTATGTGTCCTTCCACTTGGTCCCTCAGAGATTGAGAGACAAAGTGATGATTATTCTCATGACATCATTACTCCCAAAGGGAAAGGAATCGCTAGTAACTGAACCACAGATCATGTCTTCACTGCTTAGCGGGAACGGAAGTCTTTGGAGCCCTGTCACATCGAGCTATGGCATCTGAGGAGCGGAGGCTGTCGATATAGTTTGAGGGCTACGATACATATAAAAACTCTCTCAACCTCGTGTTTACAGTCCCTTGCCAACTACTCAATTACCACACTCTCCAGCTTAGTCCTCAAGCGTTGCCCTTGCCCCCTCCTGCATCATGGGATCCATAGAGGAGCCTACATATCTGTACCAAAGCGTGAAGGATGAAATCCCTCCCCCAGTTGTCAAGAGCGCGGAGGGAATGTACTTCACCCTTGAAAATGGCCAAAAAGTCCTCGATGCAACATGCGGAGCTGCTGTCTCCGCTATCGGCCATGGCAACCAACGTGTCAAGGATGCCATTGTTCGCCAGTTGAATGAGGTTACCTACTGTCACCCGGGGTATTTTGGGAATAAGCCCTCGCTTGAACTTGCCGACTTGCTGGTGAAAACCACTAACGGGCGACTGGCGCGAGCATGTCTCCTTGGCTCTGGTTTGTCCTACCCGCACCCCTACAGCATCGCAGCTGGGCACAGTGTTTTCTGACCTCGAGCGAACAGGATCCGAAGCAGTTGAAGCAGCACTTAAGCTGGCTTACCAGTACCATCTCGAACTGACACCGGAGTCCCCTCGAATTAACTTCATTTCGCGGAGGGGCTCCTGGCATGGTTGTACTCTGGGCGCACTATCAGTTGGAGATATAAAGTCTAGAAAGACAGTCTTCGAGCCGCTACTGCTCAAGAGTGTATCCCAGGTCTCTCCGTGCCACCCGTACCGGGACCTGCGGGACGGGGAAACGACAGAGCAGTATGTAGCTCGCTTGCAACAGGAGCTTGAAGATGAGTTCCAGAGACTTGGCCCTGAGACAGTCTGCGCCTTTGTTCTGGAGCCCATGGTGGGCACGGTAAGCCAGCACACAGTATATCACACGTACATGAAAGTCTGATTTCCTCCCAGGCGCTAGGCTGCGTTGCGGCATTACCGGGCTATCTACAAGCCATGAAGGATGTCTGTGACCGCCACGGAGCGTTGATCATCTTTGATGAAATCATGTGTGGTTTAGGCCGGACAGGGGCTTATCACGCCTGGCAACACGATGATGTTGTTCCAGACATCCAGGCCGTGGGAAAGGTGCTCGGTGGAGGATACGCTCCTGTTTCCGGGGTCCTGGTCCACGAGCGTGTGATCCGTACCTTAAAGGCAGGGAGCGGGACTGTCATCCATTCGCAGACCTACCAGGCGCAGCCCTTGGGTTGCATTGCCGCGTTAGAGACACAACGCATCATCGTTGAGGATAATCTGGTGGAGAACGCTCGTGCTATGGGCGAGTACCTCGGCCAGCAACTCAAACTGCATATTGGGAATCACCCTAATGTGGGGGAGGTTCGTGGTCGAGGGCTCTTTTGGGCAGTGGAGTTTGTCAAAGACAAAACCACCAAAGAGCCCTTGGAACCGAAGTTGAATGTGGCTAGGCGCATACGTAACCGTGGACTTGAAAAGGGATATGATGTTTGTATCTTCTCTGCTACGGGTGCCGCTGATGGTTGGAGGGGTGACCAGTTCCTTTTGGCTCCAGCATTCACTGTCACCAAGGATGACATTGACGAGATCGTGAGCCGTGTTACTCGGGTTATACACAGTGTGTGGAAGGAAATCCAGCCTGCTATAGATGCTCTAGATGCTGTTGATCCTGTGGATGATGCACTATAATGCGGGCTTTAAGATTGTCTCGCAATGCTCGCCCTGGCTTACTCGTTATGAACTTCTTTATATTTGGTTTAATTATACTGAGGTGTTTGGTTGGTGGGTTAATGGGATGAAACCGACAATCTTTTCCTGCATAAACAGCAATGCTAGAGGAAGAATTTAGAAGCACTTTTGTAATGAAAATTAAGTTCCTTGAATCATTCTTTCCCTTAGAATTCCAGTCAACAACGAAGTTCTCCAGCATATCTTGGGGATTGAAGAATTATCTAGGGGGTGAGACACCATGGCCATATCGGGCCTGCCCCTGGCTGGGATTAAAATCCGAAGATGCAAATCTCCTAACAGGTTGATATTGATAGCATAGACTCATATATTTAAATAGCAATCGATATTGACACTTCTGGAGACCTGGTCCGGATGATCATTTCGTACTATGAATCAACCGACCGCAACATACACCAATTCCGGTTGTTGGAGTAGCCTTAAGGTCCACTCCCAGTTCCACCGACATCTTTCTGCATTCGGTAGAAAAGTCCCAGTTGCACCATTCTCATAGCTCTTGAGCGAATTGAATGGACGTTGGCAAGTGCAGAAACATGCCAGCATCAACGCTAAAAGTTGCAGTTGGGTCGTGAAGTCACCATGTAAGATGGCCCCTACGGTGACTTTCCTGTAGTGAAGGGTATTACTCTTCCCTAGATAATGGACTGCATAGTGGATTAGGCCTTTTTTTGGACCTGTGTCGAATACTACGCTATCACACTATTACCATGGAAAGGCCAAATGAATATCTGGTCAAATATTCATGGTCTCTGCACCGCGTGCAATGGCGTGATGCGAGCAACCATAGCTAAGGTGATCTGGTTGCTTGAAATTTTTACAGTTTGGCTACTCGTGGGGATCGTTGCAGAGCTCTTGCCTGGAGCATAATGCTGATATTCCATAGCTTCTTCGTATAGTGATCAATAGTGGTTCTAGTTAGAATAAAGTGATGTATGTGGTGTTAAAGACTGTTAAATGTATGGCAGAAACTATATCGAAACCACACTTAACCCCGGCGGTTGTGACCACAACTTCATTTAGACCTTCCCTGAGGTCACTGGGCTCCTCTGCTGGCAATGTCGTGCTACAACTACATCTTTACGATGTGTACTTATGGCTCTGATCTGGGCAAAAATGACGAGAGGTATATTTTCCTAGAGTGCTATTCATATGGACTATTTATCTCTCGATTGTTACCACATTAACGCGAAGATGTTGTCAGAAGCCAATAGTCTAGTTTCTCACGTAGTCTTCAGGAATGGCTGCCAAATTGGTGCCACCTCGTGCTTTGAAAATCTCCTTGACGGTAGCGTGGATCGATGCCCAGTTATCAAAAGGAACGAATGGGATCCCCTTCCTCTCACAATACTTGACCAGGCCTGCGGCGACTGTTAGCTTTCAATGGAGCTCCCTGGAAATATATGTCCCGGAATACACTTACCTAATCCTGTCTTTGCAAAGAGAATATCCGTCTCCGAGGCAGCCGACAAATCGGAGGCACCGTCTCCAGCATAGAGCAAGAGGGGCCTCTGCTGGTCGGGCAATGCAGCATAAGGCCTGATGGCCAGAGATTTGTCATGTCCAAAATGGCTAACAAGATTCGGTAATATGAGCGGCAGATCCTCTTGAAGGTATGTAGAGACATTCCTCACCTGCTGTCGCGGAACTTGACTTGCCAGCCGCCGGGAATATTGATATCCTTCCCATCCCTGGACTCGACATCATTTGCAACCACGAAGATATTCTCAGCATTGGAGCCGAGAAAACCCTTTAGCAGTTCTGTGATGACAGGTTCCATCCCAGAAGAGAGGACCACAACTGGAATGTTGTGTTCCTGTGCCCATCTGTAGAACTCGACGAAGTGAGGGTCGAGCTTGATGTTCTCTTTTAGGGCTTGAAGACAGGTGCTAAAGGGGGCTTCCACACTGTCAAGCATATCCTTGAAGCCAACCCTAGTTACCTTTAATCTTCTTCTCTTTCAAACAATTTGGAAATTCTTTTGTGTCATACCTGAAGCTTATATTTTCCGCATTAAGTTCTCGTTCGAGTACCTGGCGCTTGTCGTAGCCAAACCCGAGGTTGTCAACCTACACGCAGCGTGAGTGAAAGAAGAAAAGATTCAAGTCTTGAGAAGGTACCAAGAAGTCGTTGCCTATATAATATATGAGTAAATGGCCCAAGTGGGCTAGGGTATAAGGTATGGAAGACTTACAATCTTCGAGCGTGATTGTTCCGTCAAAATCTGTGAAGAAGATAATTTCGGGCTGGCCTTTGAGATATGGTAGTGTTCCCTCCATGGTGTCTAAATAATTCTATAATAGGGCTTGATTCTAGTAGCAACGGGGGGAAATGATGGATATGGTTGGAGATGACTGTGTTGCAAAATGCCGCCGCACTACAATTATATTATCAAAGACTTTTACTTATTGACCTTCATGGACGTGAATAAGGTTAATGTGTTTTAGCTTCTGTTTGTAGGTAATGAAACGATTGATAGAGGAACCGGACGGATGCAGCATTACATCGCAGTCGGTTGCGAAAATCTTCCATGCAACGTAAGCCAGTTGCGGAACTCCAGGGAATACCTTGAACGGCCATAACGAATAGGTGCTTGGTGGATACTAGGATTCTATTTCTCAATATTGCATCCCATCCATCAATCATGTTCGTTGGATTCCCGTCTCCTTCGGCCGTTGGAAATAGTCAGCAAATAAGCAAGTCAGCCTGGCTTTCCTGGGTGTAAGAACATCTCCATACACATTCAGTAGGTAGAGTAGAATCTAACCGGTGAAAGCTGGCCACTAGAAGACCTGAATACCTGGCAAGGAGCAGTGCTTAACCGAGATTTGTAAATTGTGATGTTCACTGTGGGTTTACTGAGCTATTTTCATCCCTCATAGGGGGCTTTTCTTCCTGTCCAGTGTCATGTCTTTGCTGGCTCCCCTCCGCAAGGGGATGTATATGGCGAGCTGGGAAAAGAGTGGGGTTTCAACCTTCCAAAATTTCCCCAAAGAATAAGGTAGGGTAGGTTGATGTACCTGACGGTTCATTGCGTTGACTGCCTACCCCGTTCTTGCTAGAATTACACATTTGTAACGTTCCCTTGTGTTTTAACTGAGACTAGGTGGACCAGGTAGCTGTTTACATATGCCAGTCTAATGGTATACCAGGTTGTAATGAACGGGACTACAGATGCCGGTGCGGAAGGCCACATTTGAGTCAAATAAAAAAGGTTAGTACCTCCTTGAGAACATTGATGAAAATACCGACAGCATCCGTTTCGGAAATGCCGATCCTCCTTTCTTACCATGGGTCTGATTAATTAGCTGTTCCTGAGTTTGCATAGCTTAACACATCTTGGACGTGACAGACCAATGCGAATCAGGCCAACACTCTCCAAAAAGGCACCATATGTCACCAAAACCCACCAAAGGATGTATTTGGTGTAAGTGTTGAAGCATCAAGAAGTCTTCCAACCCACGTTGGTGCTGTCCTGAAAGGGTTGCCCGTCTGTCTATCCCTTACTCTGTGTGCAACATACCATGCACCCCCTTGCGTCACCTTCAAGATGCACACTCAACATATAGCAATCTTAACAATTGAAAACAGCCCTGGCAGTGAAATACACAGTGTTCCATCCATTGGTCGTATCGACCTAGTTACAAGGACAAGCATATTTGTGAAGGTTCCCGTTCCGGCACTGGAAGGGAGGGTGGGGCCCGAAGAATGTTAATCCTTTAATATTCTTTCTCCCTTTTCTCGGTAGATTTACCCTCCAATAAAGGCAGAAATGGTTTTTATTTTCCTTCCTATACTCGATGGGAAGCGGATTGGGGTGCTTCAAACTTGCTCTGGCGGCGCTTGAGCGAGACTAGACTTACATTCTAACCTGAAAATGCAGTATATGGAACTAATTACCATCCAAACCATCTTTTGAACCTCTTAAAATCTAGAGAAAGGTCAATGTGGGCTACAGTGAGCAAACAGGCCGTCAGTTTATGCTATAGGCGTAGTTCCCCCGAGCGTCGAGCATTCAAGTGCTGATGAGATAACGAGCAAAGTTCCCAAAGTCCCTCAACTGAGGGTGTAAAGAAATACTCTCCGCCTCTATGAACTACCCAGGAGTCAAGGTCAAGCCGAACCGCACTAGGGTGTTTGCTGTCGGGTAAGGAAATGGACCGAGGAGGGTGGTGGGAGAGCCGTTGAGCGGCAAAGGCATCGACACCGGGGCCCTCTGGACCTACAGCCTCCTGCTTATGGTTCGGAAAGTGGTGGTTGCTCGCCCATCCTGCAACCAAGTCAGATTGATGCCATAACAATAATTTGTGAGATTGGGTTGTCAGATTGGGCTGTCCTACGGGTGGTTATGAAGTTGAATCCGTTGCGAATATCACTTTGATAACATAGGAATAGCAGGCCACGGTCCTTTTCTGACCGCCGGCTTTTCCTCTCCGTGTCTGAGACTTCCGGCCCATAGGGAATACCTCGACGGATGATGACTGAAGTGTCATCTGCGAGCTCGGCTCTTGGTCGCGTCTTGCGAATATGCGCTGCGAATGGGCATCTCTCTTGTGATTCGATTGGGTTGAAGTCGAAGTCATTCGCGGTGTGCAGCGAGGTATCATTGTCATGGTAGGGATTGAGATCAAGTGGTGTCCCTGCGCATGATTCTCATATTAGTATAGACTTGGCGTTATTCTAGTGTAAGAGTTTGACGGACCATTTCTCCATCTCCCCATAAGGAGCGCAGCCAACTTTTCAGACGGAGGGTGTGGGCCAGTGCTCTCGACTTGATCTGCGTTTTCTTCTAGAAATCTTGCGAGCATGGTTTTAGTTCAAACTGCTTGATAGCTTGAAGATTAACCGGGATCATCTTACCTTTCAAATTCTGGAACAAATTGTTGCAAGTCTCTGAAGACCAGGAAGCTGCCGTCCTTAGCCCATGCAGGCTGATTCAAGGGGTCTCCGTCTCGTTTGAGAAAAATGAGACTAGAACAGTAGTTAGCATTACCATATCGCTGAGCCTTGCACATAGATCGGATCATTACCCTGGAGGGATGGCTTTCGGCTCTTTTGACCCCAAAGGCTCAGGATCCAAGCCACGCATTTGCGGCTGGGAGAGTCCATGTCGGTAACCAAAACTTCAAAACGGTCAGATAATCAGGATCAAAATAGCTTGTCATATTCTGGGGACAAAAAACATACTGCTCCTTTCCCTTCAACGGACCGGGTCGGCAATTTCCCTTTCTCATTGAAACCTGTCTGCAAACAGTATTCTCGTCCACTTCCTCCTCCACGTCTAGCATATGCAACTTCTCCTTGACGAAGCCAACAGCCCTTTCCAGCTTCCCTTCACTACAAGCAGCAATCAGGACAACCCCGTCAATCTGCCGATGACCCGTCACAGGATCGGGCTTATACTCCGGTCGTAGCTCCTCCGGATTATCCCAACCCTCCCGTGTCAAGTCCTCAAACATGCCCTTGTCGAACAGATCTCCCCGAATCTGATACTTTTTGACCTCGCGCCATCTCGCCGGATCCTTTTTCGCTGAGTATATGTCAAAAACATGTTTCCCCAACTGCAGCATGAGTCTCAGTAAAATATTGTGCTTCGTATATGCAGGAGTAGGGTTTCAAACTTACCGCTGCCAAACCAGTAGCAGAAAAGGCAATGTTGACTCCACAGAAGGGCACTAGTCTCGGGACTTCGTTGACAGAAGCTGCAGTCGCCTTTTCCTCCAGAATACGCGTCTTAGTCTTCAGCACATCATGTGCCGTTGTGATGTGCGGGATAAGACCCTGGAGATGCTCTTTAAATTTCTGGCGCTGTTTGTTGCCATCTGCGATGCTGAAAAACAGGAGGGTTTCACATCGTTTGGGTAATCCGGGCCTTTTTTTTTGTTTTTTGAAAGCTAGATTAGCGGGTGGAAGGGGATTGACCTGGTTTCCTTTTACCTACCAGATGTCGCCCTGTATATTCTTCCTGTTTGGGGTGCCCATGGCGAGGAATGCGTAAGGGCTTTTGAAGATCAGTCACATATGCAACCTTTCTGGTCAACACTGAAAGATCTACGAACAACTGATTTCTTAAGATAATGTCGGTGGTTGGATACCATTTATTGTCAGTAGAGTGGAACATAATCATGGGTCTACAGCCCTAGGAAGAAGAGACAAAAGGGTATGTGTACACCCAGACGTAGTAGTCCACCGGAATATGTCTGGCTGTGGTTGCAGGAGACAGTACACCCCAGTATTACAACTAGGGCCAGCCGAAAGAGTCTAGTAAGGAGTCCAGCTTCGAGTAACATCATCATACTGGTGAATACCGTCTGTTAATACTACCCGAAACCCATGGAGCCAACTGAGCCAACTGATACCTGCCAAATTGAATCCCTCATCCCTTACAGCGGGTTAACCCGTCTACTTACCGTACCGCATCTCCGGACTTGTTACAAACTCGCAGGTGCATGTCCCACCCACTCGATCCCTAGCAGGGTATGAAGTAAAAGCCCTAGATTCTCAGCTTATACGGACCAGTCATGACGTATCTTCTGTTCTATTCCAGACGTGCATGTCCTGAACATACAGTAGTAGCCTCTTGAAATGGAACGTTTCATCGCTCCACAAGATAGTGAGACAGGGAATCCAGCCTTGTCCTCCACCCCCTTTCGTTTTGAGCTTTTTCCCTCTTTTCTTTTCTTTGGTAGACCAAGGCTACTTAAATGAATACACCATTCCGCCACTAGTCCCACTCCGATCTACTGGCAAAGACGAAGAGGCTTGCTACCAACCAGCTGAAGAAAACATTCTGCTTGCATGCCTAAATTCCGTTTCTGTTGAATCCGGATGTTACGTAGGGCTTCTTCGTCACATGATCGACAGTCCGTACAATCACGACATGCTGCGCCAATAAATGTACTATATGCTTTGCTTTTCTTAGAGGGCCGATGACAGATAAATGGCTGGTCGCATAAGCAGGTGGTCTTGTATTTTTGCCTTTGGGGAAAAATATCCTTTGCCATTGGAATGGAATGTTGGTATGCCAGGGTTTGGAGATGTAATGTCACTCACCGCGGACGGGTGGATGTCACCGTCTAGGTTGGAAGTTAATATTATTATTACTTTAAGGGAAAATTGAGTTTAGTATACCTTATTTTTCTTTTCCCCCCCTTCTTTTTTTTTTTTTTTTTTTTTTTTTTTTTTTTTTTTTTTTTTTTTTTTTTTTTTTTTTTTTTTTTTTTTTTTTTTTTTTTTTTCCTTTTTTTTTTTTTTTTTTTTTTTTTTTTTTTTTGGCTCCCTTTCTTTTGTAAACTGAGGTTGCATGTATGATTTGTCACCACGCGTTATCCCCATTAACGTACCGGATATGGAATTAGAGGCAGATGGAGGATAAACTAATGTAACTCAAAGCTTGCGCGCCCCTGGTTATATTTATTCACTTGTATATTCGGCCGACGGGCTGGTTTATCGGAGCCTGAGGTGGATGGTTGGTGCTGAATATAACTCTATGTATACTTCATAACATACCTTGGACCTCTCGGTACATTAATAAATCAATATCTATTTATAAAAAGACATGTCAGGAATACCTCATATTGTAAATTAGAAAACTAATCCGCTCATACACCCCAACTCCACAACCAACGCAGTGACCCCAGAACCCGCTGAAGACACCCCGACTCCCAAGACTCCCACGCCGGCTTCTGGAAGAAATAACCTTGCTTCCTTGGAACAGTAGGCCTAGGATCACCCAATACACGAGCAGAGATAAAAATAACCTTCGCTACGCTAGGCACGCCTTCTGCATCCATGACGAATAGCATCCAGTAACCCGGCGTCACGATGCCCGAGTCATTTGGGATAGTGAAGCTGTACTCTGTACGAGTCACTCGCTTAAGCAAGAGGGGTACACGCCGCTGGTCCGTATTAACGGTATGAGTTGCACCACCTAGGCGGACCAAGGAGGCGCTACCGATCTTTGGCCTTGTGCGGATGAAGATTTCGTCGCCGATGGTGGCGGTCTCACGCGAGATGGTGAGAATTTCGGGTCTCGTGCGAAGCTGCCCCGAGCTGGTGAGAAGGTACGGGGGTGTGAATACCTGGGCGTCGTAGTGATTGGCCGAGCAATTTCCACATAGGCCGCCGCCACCGTTGAGTACCGTGGCGTCAGGGAGTAAGAGAGACCAGCTGTGATAAACGCGGATGATGTTGTTGGTCTGGAGCTGTACGAAGGTATTGTTATGCGGGAAGTAGAGTTCCGGGGTTAGCATGGTATTTTGCTCATTGAACGCGAGGCTGTAGCCCTGGCCACCGGTGATGAAGACCGTGCCGTCTGGGAGGATGACGGAGGTCCCGAAGGCGCGTGCGGAATGCATGCCTCCTCCGTTTTGTCCAGCGACTTCGACCTTGGGGATGGTGCCGGGGTCGCCAATTGTGATGATATGGGCATGATTGGTGGCGTAGGACATCTCGTAGTCTGGGGCGCCGCCGAAGGTGAGGATTTTACCGGCTACCGCATCGAACATGACTGCGTTCCCGGACATGGAGTCCTGGTCGTGTAGTCGGGGACCAGCGTCGGTGACATTGCCTCCATCTGTGACGTAGTACCAGTGCATGGCGATACTGGGTCCCGCTTGGAAGATGGATAGGTTCTTCCAGCCGAAGAGCCAGCCGTGGTTGTCCGATCGCCATCTTCCCTCCATGTCGTCGGTTAGCATTGGGTCGACGCGGGCTCCTGGGAGCTTGGTCCATGTCCTTGCTATAGGATCGTAGATCTCGCCGTCCTTAGGTGTGACGGACCCGCCGTTCCAGGAGCCTCCGATTGTGAAAACTCGGCCGTCGGATAAAGTGACGGAGGACTGATACCCGCGGCGAAAGTGCATCTTGGGGCCTGTATCCCATTTGCCTGTGGTGATATTGTAGAGACTAGTTTCCTCGGCATCATTCCCACCCGTGACTAGTAACATTCCGGTGCCGTCGACGGAGATCCCCGGACAGAACATATCATGGTGAGTATCAGAGATAGTCCGTTGGGAGACAGTATGTTGGAAAGGATGCCATTGACTCGTAGCCGTTTGCCCCCCCGGCGACGAGAAGTAAAGATCTGGAGCCCAAGATGACCAGAGGATGATCATACCGGATGCTTCAGTTGCACCGGCTACAGGCACAATTGGGAAATCAATCGTGGGACCCCAAATACCGCGAGTTGGATCAGGAGGAATAGCATACGGTGTGGCGTAGACATTCAGCTCGGAGATGCCAACCCAGGCCTGACTTTCAGCGACAAGGCGCACATATCGAGCCGGCTTGGGTTCGAAGGTAGATAGCTTCTCCTTGGGCTCCCGTGGCCACAGTCCGTAAGCCACCGGTTCCCCCCAGTTATGGTTATTCTCGCTTAGGAACACCTTATGGTGGAGGAAGAGACCCTCCTGCCCGTCTAGTTGCGGTGGTAACATGACAACAGCACTGACATGGTATGCAGGACGGCCCAGATCGACCGTGATAGATGAGGAGTCATGGTCACAGCTGGCCCAGAAAGTGTTATTACTGCCATCAATAGTGTTGCTGCACTTGTGGCCGTCTTTCTCACAGGTACAAGTGACTGTCCAGTCTGTCCGGTCAATGAGAACCCCGCTGTAAGGTGGCGATTGATCAGGAAATGATGGAATATATGACTCCTCTGATTGAGCTAGGAGGTCCCCTATTCCAAGAGGGCTACTGAAGGGAGATCTGATTGCGCCAACTCCTGCAAGGACTGACCCTAGGAGTGGATAAAGCGATTTAACATTCATATTCATACTCCAGGGTCAGGGCGCGGTAAGTCTGGACGTTGACCCAGAGGACTGAAAGCAATGGAGTACTTTAATTCTCAACAGCGGGTGACCCCAGCGGCAACTGCTAAGTGGCTTGGCCATTCTGATCAAACCGAGTGAGACAGACATAAGATCTACCTGTAATGATCCAAGTGAGATCCATGGATATAGTCAGTACCTAGCGGAATCTGTAAGAAGGTCCCTCTGATGGAAGAACAAGTGAGCATGGTCAAGTAGCGCTTTAAGGTTTAAGATGGCGACATACATACTGGACTGGCATAATTGCTGGTTGGTTTAGTGATCTTGGTTCGAAACGTACTCCGGTGTGGGGTTCAGGTTGAGATCCACCGTCTTGGTAGGTTACCGTTACATGGCCGGGACAGCACCCCTAGAGGAATTGGCAACGGGACCATGATTTACTTCCAATAGTCGATTCCCAATTCTAGGCAGAGCCCATGAGAATGTAACGAATTCTGGAACTTACTATTTTCGTAGAAGCTGATTCATTATGCCTATGCGCAATACCCAGTTTGCAGGTATGATCGTGTCCATATTAAGGAGGCGATGGCCTTCATTTCCACGGAAGGCGAAGAGGAACTCTTGGTACTTCTATTATAGCTTCAGCTTGGCGTTGAAACTGTAGTATTTGAGCCCATGGTCACAGTCCCTAGGGACTGGCCTGTTTGGCCTCAAGCTTCGCCCTCAAGCAAGCCTACCCGAAACAGGGAGACAGAATCCCCACCTGAATTGTCGAGATTTTTTATTGAATAAACCTATTGCTGCTCGTCCTTAGGTCAGAAAATGCTATGTTAGCCGTTTTTGTAGTAACAATGTAACATAGGAAGTAATGTGCCTGACGTGTACCTGGAATAGCCACTATATATCCATCCATGCTCGATCTTGACCTGAGATGCAGAATGGACAGACCTTCAGCGAGCTGTGTATCGCTCTGTGTCGCTCCTCTAATCTCATTTATCTCTGCTCGTCATCATGAGGTATTCTGTGCTAGGAGCTACGGCCCTAGTTGCCGCTGAGGCTCTGGCCTCAGATCATTATCAGGCACCATTCCAAGCGCATAACGATAAGGATAGCTTTCATGCTAGAATACGCGAAGGAATCTTCACAGACGACAGTAGAGACATCACACCCGGGATAATCAGTGATCCGCTCAAAGTCGCCAACAAGACATACGACTATGTTATCGCAGGTGGCGGTCTCACCGGCCTCACACTCGCCGCCCAGCTCCTTGAGACGCCCAAGGCAAACTTTACAGTCCTAATCATCGAAAATGGTTTCTACGGTTCCCAGCACGGTCCCATAATAGACGACCTCAACACCTACGGCCAGATCTTCGGCAGCAGGGTGGACCATGCCTATGAGACCACTGTGCAGCCGGTGAACAACCGCGCCCAGATCATGCGATCTGGAAATGGCCTGGGTGGGTCGACTCTGGTGAACGGAGGGACGTGGACGCGTCCACATAAAGCCCAGCTCGACTCCTGGAGTACGGTATTCGGTAACACCGAGTGGTCGTGGGACAAACTAGTACCATACATGAACTCCATCGAGAAGCCACGGGATCCAACGGACCTAAGATACAACATCACCCCCGGCTCTTGGCATCATTTTGATCCTAAATGCCATAACCAGGATAATTTCACCGGCCGGGTGCATGTTGGTGCTCGTGATCGTGGTTCGGACCGTGGCTGGTCGCCGGTTATCCCGGCTCTTATGTACACTGTCAACCAGACCTACCCGCAGGTGTCGAACCAAAAGGATCTCTGCTGCGGAGATCCCCATGGTGTGTCTATGTTTATGAATACTTTGTCTCCTGGGCAGGTTCGAGCGGACGCTGCCAGGTCCTGGTTGTATCCGGTGGTGGCAAATGAGACCACGAGACATCGTGTCACCGTTCTGACCGGTCACATGGCTGGAAAGGTTCACCTTCAGAAGAAAAACGACCCCAGCTCTGGCGCAAAATACAAAGCCACAGGCGTCGAATTTGGCGTCCACAATCAAGATGGCTGGAAGTGGGATGTCACTGCCGAACAGGAGGTTCTTGTCGCTTCCGGCTCGGCCATCTCCCCTCTCATCCTTCAATATTCCGGCATTGGGACCAGGGACGTGCTCGATAGCGTAGGCATCGCACAGAAAGTGGATCTCCCAGTCGGCCTGAATCTGCAAGAGCAAACCAACACAAATCTCAGAACAGAAGTGGTGCCTAAGGGGAACGGGCAGGGTCAAGCGGCCTACTTCGCCGCGTTCGAGGAGGTCTTTGGCCCCGACGCGATGGAGTACAAGGGTATCCTCAACAACCATGAGAACCTCAAAAAGTGGGCAGACGAAACCGTCAGCGGCGGCGGCTTTCACAACAAAACGGCACTCCTTCTCCAGTACCAGAACTACCAAAAGTGGCTCCTGGAGGACAATGTCGCCTACGCCGAACTGTTCCTAGATACAGACAACAGGATCAATTTTGACCTGATGAACTTTATCCCATTCACTCGCGGGTATGTGAAGATTCTCAACAAGGATCCTTACCTCCGCAGCTTCGAATTTAACCCCCGATTCTTCGAGAATGAGCTGGACGTTGCGGGCCAAGCTGCGGTCTCCAGACTTGCGCGTAACTTGACTAGGTCCTATAACATGACAGAGTTTGCTGGTAAGGAGGTTGTCCCCGGTGATCTGCTGAAGATGGATGCTACTTTGGAGGACTGGAAGCACTACGTGAAGCAAAATTTCCGTGCCAACTATCATCCAGTGGGCACCTGCTCAATGATGGCCAAGGAGCTTGGTGGTGTGGTTGATCAAAATGCCCGAGTATACGGTGTGGACAGGCTACGTGTTGTGGATAGCTCTATCCCTCCTACCCAGCTGTCTTCCCACGTTATGTCGGTGTTCTATGGCATGTCTGTGAAGATTGCGGAGGCTGTTATTGACGCCTACCAACATGAAAAGTAAAATGTCCCAGAGGCGGAGGAAACCCAGAGCAGATTGATAGAAACACACTTGCGGGACACCGGCCACGCCTTGGAATAGGATATATGCTATATTAGTTGGCCTCATAGACCTGAGGGGGTTGGGTTGTTTCTTATTGTCATTTGCTTGGCTAGTCGTATTGGGTCTATTAGTGGTAACTTAGAATAAAATCGGGTTAGTAAAATGATATATTGTGTCGCTCATCTCAAAGAGCTCGCTGAAGCTGGGAGAGTCATAACTGAAGTTAGGAGAAGGAGAATAGGGAGGAAGAACCAGGTGTCGGAATACCATTTACCCATCGCCCCACAACCACAAATCTGTCTGAAGTCCCTCGCGCTCTGCATCCAGAACTAGGTTATTCGCATTCAATTGATCCGTAACGGAGAGCATATGATCCAAGGACAGTTCACAATCCCTCCAGTCTAAGTGTATCTCATCATCATGCACGGCGTTTCGGGCCGAGATAGCTGGGCTGATTCCCGCATTCAGCACAGCTACAGGTTCGTTAGCCTGGTCTGTCACGCGATACGCGGTCGCATGTTTTGCGCTGCCTCCGGGAGTGAGTGGCTCCAGATGAGGCTGGAGCAACGGCTGGACTAATTCCTCTAACTGCACGATTTCAGACTTCCGCAGCTGTGCAACGCAGTTTCCCCGAGCGATCATATCATCTAGAAGACTGAATCCCATGTCTCGGTAGCTAGGGTCTAGAATGATATCGGGGAGTATAGCTGATACAAGTGACAGAATGAAAAAGGATGAGAAGAGGTTTTCTAGATCGAAGGGAAGGAACGTTTCTTAGTTGTACAGTTAGCACCATAATCCATCAACTAGTGGGAAATACGGACCGAGGAGGTTTTGGTCGCGTAATGCAATCAATATTCTCAAAGACTTTATTGCGGAGTCAGTAGACGCTTCAAGCAGAGTCTGAACTGGCGATGATAGTGTGCGAAACACGTCGCCTTCCTCAAAACAGTTGAGTCGCTCCCAGAGCAGAGTCAGAACTAGAGGCCGAGTCGTAACAATGATGCACTTTATCCTTGTTAGCGTTCCGTCTGCTCCAATGCTAAGGAAGGCTTACCTGGTGGCAGGATAAAGTCAGCCGTGTCGTGACGCCGGAGAGGGCATCCACGGAGTTTGAAAAACGATGCGCGAAAACATCATCTAGCTCGCGCGAAAGATCCGTCATTTCTTGTAGAACTGATCGGACCCTCCGAAGGAAGATGCCGCCTAGTTTGCCATCTGGACTATATACAGCTGGGACGCATCTAGTCAGACCAAGCGAGATGTGAGGTAGAAAACATCACTTACTATCCACCACCCGGGTGATAACCTGTGTGATTCGCACATGTAAACTCAATGCGGCCTCTTTTTGGGAACCCTTTTTTGGATCACAGAGGGGGGTAGTTATTTCTTCATCATTGACAGCATTCGGCGATCCGATCAAGGATGAAAACTTTCGGTCTAGTATATACACCGTCCACCATATGTTTTGACACCGATCAACCAGTTTCTGACCTAGTTGTACAACTGGTGGAGCACGGTGGTGACCTTCCACCAATGCCATCCGCATAGCGTGGCCGACCTAAGCTGATTAGCTGTCTGATGTCCTAGTAAAGCTAAGGAACAAGGATGAGCAAGAAGTTACCACATACGTAGCAATACGCGGTATCTCTCATGTCGATTGAATGGAAATACAGTCCGATGAGAGTAAGAACCTCGATAGCCAGAACTGGATCTTGCCATAATCCCGTAATGTCGGGAAGTAAGGACATCGCCCGAGAGAAATATTTGGTCCAACTCGCAGTATTGGAAGCCTTTCGCACAGGGGCGAGAAGAGCCTCGCCGAACGCTAATACAATCAAGAACTGGACATACCAGAGACGACTCTCCTGAACCTTAGCTGCTGCATTATCGTAGAATTCATGTAGATGATGAAGAAACTCATCCTCATCAAATAATAAGTAGAGATGACTAAAATGGAACTGAACCGTGTTTAGGATGTACTGCGCATGCTCTAATGATGGCAGTCCACTGATATCGGGGAGTTCATCGGAGCTGGCCTGTCGCCACTGAAGCTGGTACGCATCCCCGTCTACAGCAAGGGGGAGAGGTGTTGGATTCTGAGGGCTCAAACGAGTCTGAATGGTGGTGAGAACCCGACGGCTGAAAGACCAGGTTGAAGTCGGTGAAAGGAACACTGAGACCGGTCAGCTTTTGGCGGCCATTCTACACGGGTGACCGACGTACACCATGTTCTCTGTTTACGGCCCGTATGCTTAACGTAGCCCGGAGATACTAAAGGATTTGAGGCAAATCGCTCATCATACCGGTTTCCCTCTGGATGGTCGGCTGCATACCCTTGGGGCGTCTCTACTACTTGTGCTTAGATCCGTTAGCGTACGATCCACCATATGTTCGTATTCGTACCACCATAAGTGCTTTCACCTGCACTGCTATTGTCCAACGTACGAGTGCGTTTTCTCGGCGTTGAAGTGCTCTCGATGGCCTCAACTCTCCGTTTTAAGGATAGAAATAGCCTCGGAGCATTGTCAATCAAAGCGCAGAAAACATTATAAAGGATGTAAGTTGGGATATGTACTCCTCTGAGACCACAATCTTACGATCATCTTCAAATACACACTCCTGACGACGCTGTCGACACTTTTCACAAGGGTGTGTGCCAGAGCATTTCACCTTGCGAGATCGGCATCGTTTGCAACTGCGGGAAGTGAGTACTTGGCTGATTTGCTGACAGGTAAAGGTGGGCGTACGCATTGGAGGTCCGCTTTGGGCGCTCAGGGTGGTCCATAGTCCCAGGCACTTGATTGTCTGCAGTGTAGGGAATGCATTGAGGAGGATGTCTTGTTCAATAGCATTGAATTGTTGGCCGTCTTTGATCCACGTGGTGAGTCAGCAACCCCGCAGTCGGACTCCGAACGAGGGCAGCTTAATGGATCAACCCAGATAAAAACATCTACTACTCTACTTAGGTAGTAGGACTGGATGCTGTTGTGTCTCAAATTGGCGATATCTTGCTACCGTGATATATACCTTGAGGGTAACGATCAGGTTTGTGGGCAGTGGGGGATAACTTCCACCCTCTACGCCCTGTGTAATCGAGATAAGCAATTAGCGCGCATGACTCACTAAAGCCCTATTTAAGATTTAAGATGTAAACCACTTCTTCCAGACCCAACATTTATTAGATTCAACCATCATTCACCATGACCACTCATCTTAATTTTGTCACCCTCGACGTCTTCACCACCACGCCGTTCAAGGGCAACCCCCTCGGCGTCGTCCACCTCCCCCCGGGGGTCCCAATCTCTCAAAACCAGAAACAAACCATTGCCCGAGAGTTTAACCTCTCGGAAACCGTGTTCATACACGATGTCGACCCAAGCAACGACTCCGATCCGCACACCCGCCGCATCGACATCTTCACGACGAACAAGGAACTTCCCTTTGCCGGCCATCCCACCATCGGCACAGCCAGCTACCTCCAGGAGCAGGGAATAAACAAGCTCATCACCAAGGCGGGCCCGATTCCCATTCGCTCCAGTATGGAAGAAGGACACATTAGCGCTGCAATCCCGCACGATACCCACGTCAACTCAAGGGTCCTTGCCGACATTGAAACGACTCTCCATGCGGATCGCCTACATCCCACGCCCGAAATCCGCTCCGCAGAGCTCACAGCGCCGCTCTTTAGCATTGTCAAGGGCATGACATTTGCGCTTATCCCACTCCCAGGCCTGGACCTCTTGTCGCAAGTCTACCCGGGCGCATTCCCCTGTACGCCGCACGACGTTATCGACGCCGAGTGGAGCGAGACGTTCATCGGGCGGTACTACTATGTTCGCATTGGGTCGAGCGTCTCGAGTTCCGGAGTGCGGGCGGTTCAGTTGAGGACGAGGATGGTGGAGGACCAGATAGAGGATCCGGCTACAGGGTCGGCGGCGTGTGCTTTAACGAGTTATCTTGCGCTTAGGGAGTATCACGAGACAAGGATCCGATTTGAACTGACGCAGGGCGTTGAGATGGGGCGCCAAAGTGATATTGTCGTCGATGTTAGGGTCAATGTTGGAGAGGATGGGGAGCGGAGAGTGAAGGAGGTACTGCTGGGGGGGAAGACGAGACAAATCATGAAGGGCGCTATGGTTGTACCTCCAGTTTAAGTAAGTCTTAGTTTCCATGTCAATGAGTGCGTTCCAGGCTATTCAAACACCCGCTATCATTTCCTCATCCACAAGACAATAGTCTGGATTTGGGCGGTTTAGTAATTCCCATCATTGACCATTGTTCATTCGTGCCAATGCATTCGTGTTCAAGGTTGAGTAGTCAAAATTCATAGTCCCCATCCGAGTGACGTAGGAGCGGGACGGTAATTACGGCCAAATAGGATTCAGCCTAACATCGGCGGTGCGCGCTCTTGGAGGCCATCCAAGCAGACCGCTTAGACTCCTCCCAGAGCCTTATTGAGCAAGGGGCACAGCATCAATCCCGAATTGCCAAGCTCTCCCGGCACTTCTAGCCTATCAACTAGTGTATCATTGCCGATTGAACGCGGTTGAATGATATCAACCGGGCCCATTGGCCTAAAAGATTGAAGGAAAGAGGGGAAACCTCCAACTTCCATTCAAGTCAACATCAAAGCTCAATATCAAACTAAGCCATTTACGGCAAGAGATACGCCGTGTCGGCTGCGGGCCAATCAAAGCCGGGAGAGATATAGATGTCATCCTAAAACGGCTTAAGCGTTGGAAGATTTCCGCCGTTTATCATTCCGAATAGAGAAAGATTAGGTGATCAAGACCCACTGGACGCTCTTCTGGGGTAACGGCTATATAATTGGCACTCCATCCTTTGTAGGTAAATAGTAGGCCTAATTGCTTTGGATTCTTTCATGCGGAAAGAGAACTGGAACAATGGCAGCATCAACCCCTCACCCGTTTGACCCCATCACTCCCGAGGAGATCCAGTTGGCCACTAAGATCCTCCAGGCTGCCTTCCCCGGGGTATCCCTCCGGTATAAGAAGATCGATGTTCAGGAACCAATTAAGAAGGAGGTGGTGCCTTTTATCGAGGCGGAGAGACTAGGACAACCACTTCCTACCCGGCCAACCCGGTTGTTACAGGTTCTCTTCCATCGGCTAGACAATGGGGCATTCTATAAGGCATTGCTGAATGCCGGAACACGCTCCATCATCTCGGCCAAGGAAATGCCGAAAGATATCCAGGTATGCTCAGCCATGGCTTCTAAAGATTATGGGCTTCAAGCTAACACCCCCAGGCCTCCGTCGATGCAGATGAGATGATCGAGATCGAGCAGCTATGTCTGAACCATCCTGCTGTCCAGGCGGAAGTGGCGAAACTTCAATTACCCGCGGGGGTCACGGTGTGCAACGACCCCTGGATCTATGGAACGGATGATCCGAAGGAGACTCGTCGCCTGTTCCAATGCTATATGTATATCGTAGCCACCGATCATCCGCAGAATAACCACTACTCCACACCTTGCAAATTCTCTCCAGTCTTTGATGGTCTCACCCGAGAGCTAGTTCGCATAGACTATCTTCCGGGTGGACATGATGCCCAGATCACAGAGACTCAACCTTGGAAGCCCGTCGAGACCATTCAATACGCACATGACCTCCTACAGGGGCCATTGCGCCCAGATCTAAAGCCGTACATTGTCCAGCAACCCCAGGGAGCATCATTCGACGTCCAGGGCAATGTAGTCTCCTGGCAGAAGTGGCGATTCCGAGTGGGTTTCAACAGCCGTGAGGGTCTAGTTATCTACAACCTGACATACGGCGGACGCAATGTGTTCTACCGACTGTCGGTTTCGGAGATGACCGTTCCGTACGGCGACCCCCGCGCACCCTACCACCGCAAGCAAGCATTTGACGTGGGAGACGTGGGCTTTGGTATCACCGCGAACCAACTATCCCTGGGATGCGACTGTCTCGGCCACATCAAGTACTTTGACGGCTACCGCTCCGACTCCAAAGGCAACCCTGTTCACCTGCCCAACGTTATCTGTCTGCACGAGCAAGACAACGGGCTTCAACACAAACACACCAACTATCGCTCGGGGGCCGCGACCGTCGTCCGCAACCGCCAGCTGGTGGTGCAAATGATCTGCACAGTGGCTAACTATGAATACATCTTTGCGTTCATTTTCGACCAAGCGGCCAACATCGAGCTGGAGGTTCGCGCCACCGGGATCCTCTCCACCGTCCCCTTTGACAACCATGAATTCGGCAAAACCGTCCCTTGGGGCACGAACGTGGGCCCCGGTGTGATGGCCCCCTATCACCAACACATGTTTTCGTTCCGAATGGACCCTGCGATAGACGGATTCCAAAATACCGTTTACTACGAAGACAGCGTCGCAATGCCCGAGGACGAAAACAACCCGTACAACGTGGGATACACAACGGAGCAAACGGTCCTCCGCACGAGTGGAACCGCCAGTACCAGCGTCGATCGCCACCGTGTGTTCAAAATCCGCAACGACTCCCAGATCAACCCCATCACCTACAAGCCCATCGCATATAAACTGCAAACGGCACCCAGTCAGATGCTCCTCGCCAGCCCGAGGTCGTACGGCGCCAAGCGTGCGGGCTTCGCCACCCAGCCCATCTGGGTGACGAAATACAAGGATGACGAGCTGTACGCCGGGGGCGAGTTCACCAACCAGAGTAAGGAAAGTCAAGGTGTGGAAAAATGGGTGCAGCGCAACGACCCCGTAGAAAACGAAGATGTCGTTCTCTGGCACAGTACGTATTCTCGCAATGCACTTCTTTCCGCAGATCATAACTAACCCCCTCCCCTCTAGCATTCGGCCTGACCCACAACCCCCGCATCGAAGACTTCCCCGTCATGCCGATGGAACGCATTAGCGTCATGCTGAAGCCCGATGGTTTCTTCACCAAGAACCCAGCCCTCGACGTCCCTCAATCCTCTCAGTCATTCAACAAGTCGACGTTGCACCCAGAACCAGTGGCGTGCTGTGGCCCCGCCAAGGGCAAGCTGTAGTTAAACATTCGTCCTGGATTAATAATACCGATATCAAAAAGGATATAGTTCAATGACTCCTGAGATCAACACGTCACACACTTTTGCTTATGTCCAAACTACTGAGTAACGCGGGAATATTCGTAACTAGACGCCGGAAATAGGTTCCATACGAACGACAAGATCAGTATTTCTAGTAGTAGTCACTACCTACCGAGCCGAGTATCATCACATATAACAATTTAAAAGCGTGGGAAGAACCCTAACAAAACAGGAAATAGCAAACATATAAAAAAAAAAAAAAAAAAAAAAAAAAAAAAAAAAAAAAAAAAAAAAAAAAAAAAAAAAAAAAAAAAGGAAAAAAAGAAGAAAACAAAAAAAGAAAAAACAGAGAGAGAGACTAAACCCACTAATCAGGTATTTCCTACGTAGTAACGAGCACCTAGTAATAAAAACGAAAGAAACCGACACCTTGCCTCGGGGACCCAACACAAAAAAATCCAAACGGCGATGTAAACCCCGTACCGTACGCACGGCCCCACTCACCGTACCCTATAAATGCTCCTGATTAAATGATTCGATTCCTCCCCATATCTTTTTTCTCTATCTATCTCTACATACATACATACATCCATCCATCCGACTCTCTCTCACACCCTATCCCCGATTCCCTACTACTTGACCGTAAAAATGTGTATGAAGGCCACTTGCTCTACCTGCCGTATGCTCTCTCCCATCTACTACTGTTTCAGACAAGATGAGACCATACTGACAGCCCTAGACAAAACCTCGTGGTGGGGTTGCGGGGCACATATCCCATCCGTTATGGACGCCGTGCCGGAGAGTGAGCGCTGCACTTGTGCGCCTAAGGTGGAGCGGGATGGGAAGGAGTATCCGCCCAAGGCTGAACGGTGACTAGCCGGTTGTATTGTTTTGTGATGGAGTTTGGGAGTGGGTGGGATGGGAGTCTTCACTATGGTACGGTTGGGCCGGGGGGCGGAAGGGGGTTAGTTTAATTGATGAGTTTGGGTGATGTGGACTTTGCAAGGGATTTTTGATATACGATACGCGCTTGTGGATGTTTTCAGTTTAAAAGAAAGAATATATTATATGTTCTTCTTTTTATTCATTTATAGTACACTATCGTCAGTGTGGGACTGGTTATCTAAGTACTAATCATGCCTCGACGCGGGAATGCCAGCAGCCGGAGTTGGAAACGTGGGCGTGGGTCCTGGGGGCCCTTTTCCCGAAGGGCTTCATGATGGAGCGGGCGCGGCGGTGGAGGGAGGCGGTTGCGTTGCGCTTGGGGATCGAGCTGAGGTCGTTGGCGTAGGTGGCGACGGCGAAGGCCGTGGCTTGGGAGTTGATGAGGAAGGCTTCGTGGTTCAGGTTGGTCATGTTGTCTCCTGCGGCGTGATAGTTGGCGTCGTAGGCGAGACCGGCCTGGCCGCCGAAGTGGCCGGCGTTTTGCTCAGACATGATGCCCTCTGCTCCTGTGAAGACTCCGCCGGCGGGGATGCCGTTCAGGATAAAGGCCTCGTAGTCGGAACGTCCGTCGAATTCGGTGGGGATGTGATGCAGACCCTTAGAGTCGTAGTAGTCCTCGAACAATTTCTCGATTTGAGCTGACCCGGCCGGTCCGGACTTGTTGAAGGCCGATCCGTCACCGTCGTAGAGCATGATGGCGTAGTTGGGCGAGGCGATCATATCAAAGTTCAGGTACAGACGGATCTTGTTGAGCTCGGTGCCATTCAGGTGGGAGACGTAGTAATCGCTGCCCAGCAGACCGAACTCCTCAGCCGTCCAGAACAGGAAGCGCACGGCGTGCTTGACTGAATACTGCGTCAGGGCCTTGGCGACGACCAGATTGCTGATGATGCCCGAGCCATCGTCGTTGATTCCAGGGCCCGCCTCGACCGAGTCAGTGTGGCCACCCAGCGCGACCACATTGTTCGGATCGCCTCCCTTCGTCTGCGCGATCACGTTGTAGGTCGTGCGGTTCTCCTGCTGGCTGTCGACCCACAAGTCCACCGATACAGCTCCCGCCTCAGCAAGGCTGATCAGCTTCTGGCCATCGGCCAAGCTGATCCCCACAATGGCTGAGTACTCGCCCTTGTCGCTGTGCGCTGCGCCCAGGGTACCCGCCATGGAGCCGGCGACATTGTTGTAGACGATGGAAGCCGCGGCTTTGGCTTTGGCGGCGTTCACGGACTTGTCGCCGAATGGACATTCGCCACGCTTGATCAGGGCGATCTTTCCCGCGACATCGGATGGGTAATCGGACGCACTGCATCCCAGATTCTTGATGACGGCGATCTCGGCGCTCACGTCGACGCTGGGACTGTAGGTCATGGTCTTGGCCTCGATGGATTCATCGTTCAGGCTGAGCGTCTGTTCGGCATTACTCCAGAGGTGAACCTGAGGCTGCTTATAGACATCGTAGTAGCCGGTCTCCTTCAACTCCTCGTAGAGATAGTTTACTGTGTCTTCATGGGCCGCGCCACCGAAGACGCGATTGCGCTCGGGGTAAGCATACGCGAAGTCTTCGAGTTGCTGCGCTCCTTCGAGAAGATCTTCCAATTGGATCTGTTCAGGGAACTCTTCCTATACAGCGACAATGTCAGAGCACAATCTCCGGGAAACAATAACCACAAAGCGCAAAAAAATAAAAAAAAAAACGAAAAAGAAAAAGAAAAAGGGCCAGAGAGAAAACGAACCGGAGAAACAAGCGGTTTCTTCCCAGCCAGAGCCAGCGAAACAAACGAAGCAAGCAACAGCGACCTCATGATGAGCCCTAAAAATAAGGACGAGCCACTAAAGTTAAGGTTAAAGAATAATTGGACTCTGCATAAAAGAAAATCAATCCCCAGGGTCCCCAGTCGCTTTATATATTTTGGCTCATCCCAGCGCCAGGCAGTCGCGATGGTTCTTCCCTTTTCTTATTTCCCCCTCTTTTTGCGTCTTCCCCCACATCAATGCACAGCCAGGCAGAACACTCAACGCCATCCGGCGAGAAAAGTACGCATTGACTCGCCATGCCGCCTGGAGTTGCATCGTGAGGGGGTTCCGTCATCAGGCCAAGACGGTGGCTACGCTTGGCAGAGATAAGAGTTGGACGGGGAACAAAGGCCACAAGAGCCAAGTACAGCCAAGTTGAGGGGACGCCGACGGTCCACGGCGGATGGTAGGACTTGGCTTGTCCTCGGGTTACACTGGCCAAGACGGGGTCGATCGCGATTCTTTGGTTGTGCCGGTGAGAGGGGGAATTCTTGTCAGTTGTTGATACGAGGGGTTTCGCCAAGTGGCCAGCGCTGATTCCCCATGGCTTGGCTTTCTTGGAGTCACTCGAAATCTCGAATTAATGTGGGGGCTTATTTATCTGCACGATCCTTGCTCTTTTAGGCACACCTAGACTTGTTGTCGGTATGTGTTAACCAGTCATCGTTGTGAATTATGAAGTGGCCCTGGCTTTTGAGTTAGGGTTGGTTGGGGTGCAGGTGGTTGGAGTAACATACTAGCTAGTAGGACACGACCCAAGGGCTGACCGTGGCCTCGTTTTCTTCATTTATGTTAATGTATTACATATGATCAATTGATATGATTGGATAAGGAGATAATACAGGAGAATAATCGAATATTCTATGTTGATAAGATGTGGGGTTACTACTCCATTGGCTGGCGTTTACGCATGAATATATGCAGCAGCCCCTAGAATCCATCCCTAGCACGCCTTTTCCTCAGAGTCATTTCTGCCACTAGGAATATCCCCGTCGCTAATATAGTAGCAAAGCTCTACGAGTATACGTGCGATACACACAACATAGATTCACTTTCAGCATGTTCCATGCCCAAGGATGTATAAGCCCCAGCCCCTCCCATTCCGAGCAAGAAAAGGAAATTAGGATATATGCATGAACTCAATCAAGGATCTTCAGGTCCCAATGTCAGGGGTCCTTGAGGCTCGTGCTGATCATTTGAAGAAGCTAGCTTGCCAAGAGCAAATTAATCTATGACCTGAGTGATCCTTCGGCAACATTACCCAGTAGTAAAGCAGCAAAGCTTCCCGATATATATACCTCACACTCATTAAACATCAAATGAAACTATATTCAGCCTGCTACAGGCAAGTATAGTCTGCTGCTGACCGTTACATCGGGTACAGTAGCGTGTAGGGGTAGTGAGCACGGTCTGACGAATCGTTACTCGCTAAATAACATCCTATCCAGAGTATTTATTAAACATAGGTAAAGTTTCCATGCCATGGAGGGATCGATCAACATGACCCCGTCAATGCGCAAACCGAAAATCCAACCTCTTACTCCCCGTATCAGTCGTATTATTCAAATAATCCTGTCGCTCCTACAACCCCCCCATATCAGCGAGCCAACACTTACCACATAGCCAATACAAAAAGAACAGTAACTCACCTCCTCAGTCATACCATTCCACACCTTATCCCGGTGCCGGTTCCTCAGAACATAGTATGCCTTCGTTGCCAGGAACAGAACAATTCCTAGGATATTCAAGGCAAACAGTACCGTGTTTCCCCGTCGGTACTTGGGCTTATCATCCTCTCGGTAGACATTATTTCCAATGATATTTCCCAGCTGCACGCACACTATTTCACCAGATCAGTCGGCCCTCACATCCCGTGCTAACGTGAGATATTAATATTGAAGAAAGAGGGATGGCTCACTGTTATAAATCGCCGCCGAAACAGTCCTCGTCCCCACGTTATTTGAATTTCTCGATGCCCAGCCGACTACAATCGCATGGCAGTACGGGTACGAAAGTAATATCGTGACGATGGAATACGTGCCCCACGCGTTCTCCATCGTTCCGGGCCAGAAACGCAAAGCCGCGAGGCAGGGTAGCGTCCAGACGCATTGTAGCATGGAGGTTAGGGATCGTTCGTTGAGGTAGCCGCTGAGTCGGGTAAGGGCTAGAAGCAGGATAATGTGACCCACGCTGTTTGGGATTGTGAGGAGGTTTGTTACGAACTGTGTTATTTTGTTAGATTTATGACTGTCTTGCTGGATATGTTAGGAGAGAATGAGGAGCGGAAGGTAGACGTACGGTGTTAAACCCGAGGCCCTTTAGGGTTAGGGTGATGTACGACCTTACGGGGACCATGGGCGTGTAGACGACCAGGCCGAGAAGGTAGATGGGCCAGAGGTCGTAGTCGCAGAGGGCGTTCCAGAGGCGTCGGGGGGTGATTGCTTGGCGGTTGTGCATGTCTCCTGTTTTGGTCTTGTGAGTTGTGACGTCTGGGTCCCAGCAATATGTATGGCTTTATATACCTTTTGAGGGATCATCTCGTAGGACACGATTGACGACAATGCGAACTTCGCGGTCTGTGAACCATCCCTTTGGACGGAACCACTTCTTCGTCTCGACAGCTGAAGCGGGCATTCGGAAGAAGGACGCCAGTCCGATTACGAGGGTTATCAGCCCTTCAATCAGGAAGAGCCATCTACGGTACCGAATTAGTAGGTCTGATTGCGCCAGCGATGGGTGTACACTTCTCACCTCCACCCGGCCCATCCAAGCACGCCACGCATGTGGAGAATACCAAATGCCATGAATGATGTAACGATCGTTGTCACGGATAGGGCAGTCCAGAATATACTAATACCGATCGTTAGAGAAGCCATTATTCCGCAGAACTAGGTCATACCTTAGTCGAGTGGGAAGCTCCTTGCTTGTATAAAAGTAAGACAACCAGAGCACGATATCCGGAATAAAGCCTCCCTATTGTTATGTGAGCTCGAATATGTAAAAAGTCCCCCCCCCCCAAAAGGTCTTACCTCCAAGATCCCCAAAAGTGCCCGCGTCGCATAGAACGAAGATCTGCCCATAAGGCCAGCCTGACAGGTAGCTACAATAGACCACAGGGAGATCTGCAGCGGGATCCACCTATCCGGTCCAATCTTCTTGGATATCAACTGAGACGGCAGCTCAGCTAACAGGAAGGAGACATAGAAAATAATATTTCCGGTATTATAATCTTCGCGATCAGCTAACACTTCTCAGACTCAACCCTACCAAACAGAGACATACCATTAGAAGAAAGGTTCAAATCATCCAACAAATTATCAGATACAGCCTGAACAAGGTTGCCCCGGTCGACCTGAAGCCCGAAGAACATCACACACTACATGAAATATCAGCCATTATTCCCCAAGTAAGAAAGAAGAGTATCATACGGCCCACAAACAAACCCTCCAATCTAACTTCCGCACCAACGCCCTCTCCTCCTCCACCGTCCAAGTCAATGTCGGATCAAACACATGCCGACACTCATACTGTGCCTTCTCATAGAGCAAAGCATACCGCCCCGCGACCTCCGCGTCTGCGAACGGATTATTCGCCTGGGAATTTAATCCCTCTTCATGCGGCTGTATTTCCACCCGGTAATTACCCTTGGGATCTACAGCCGGTTCGGTGTAGTAGCGGCCGGCGTTCTGGCTGTCCACCAGTTTCTGAGTGACATTTTTGTCGGTAGACATTTTGGTATAGGGCTAAGGAAGGCAAGCTTAGACAAGCATTCTTGTCGTTCTAGGCGGAGGAGCTCGTCCATTGTTATATGCGGAGAAGTGTACTAGGAGACTAGGTATGGGTGGTTTGGCACGCCATATGCGGGTGTTGTTGCGTGTAGATAAGATGTGCTGGTGATGGTTGTTGTTCTGAGATGAGTTTAGCTTTAGCCAAGAGGCTTATGCAGGTCTTTATGGGGTGGGTATAGATAGTACTCGTTACTACTCTTTGTATAACATGGTGGAGGGATTGGGGGTGTATTTTTATTCGCTGGTGGCTAGTACTTTGGTTGGTTATATTAGACCTATTGGGATTACGGGATAAACTGTACCCTTTAAGAGATTGGTTTGCTAGAATGAAACTTATTATCCAATTTATAAAATAATAAAATAATATGAGGAGAAAACGAGGGGCAAAAGACTTGATCAAGTGCCGAAATGGCATCATCGTTGATCGACTTGGCGTTGGACTTGCGTGACCCTGCCGCAAGTTGTCGACATAGAAGTAAATCCCGTAGAGAAAATCATTCATGCATTTGTCTCTCGTGAGATCAACAAACTATTGTACACAGAATTAAAACGTGCAGAGTGAAAAGGTTAGCACCCGGACAATGTAAAGAAAAGCTTCAGCAGAATAACCAGAGAGCCAAACGCCGCCCGCCGTGGCTGGTTCGATGTCATCATCAAATTGAAAGTTATCGCTTCCAGATTCCCGCTTAACAACATGATAAACAAAAAAAAAAAAAAAAAAAAAAAAAAAAAAAAAAACGACGGGAGAAACGTCAGAGAAGGTTCCTGCTGTAGATGCGCTTCTGGCCCTCCGAAAGTCCAGATCTTAAGCCATACGTCTTATTAGGGCCACTAGCGTGGTTCAGGGGTCTGTTCGATATGATCTGGAGAGTAGAGGGGCACCTTCACAGAGTACTCGCACTTTCCAGAGAAAGAATGGAAAGTCCTACAAATCATCGCATGTGGACCTGGAACAGGTACTTCTGGCGGATTTGAGCAACATCGTACACGATGTACTCATTGTACATCAGCGAGTGTTGGCTGAGGGCATTCTTGGATGAAGCAGAGACATCGGGCATAGTTACCCCCTGCAGCTCTGGATTGACACATCCGGCATCCTTCCAAGCGGCTGGGACAGTACTACCCCGACCGAGGGTAGCAATCTTGCCCTCCTTTTTGGCAACTTCATCGGCGTTGTAATTACTGTAGTCCAGCGTTAACATAGGGTTACCCAGTTCCACATCACAAAGGAGAAGCAGCCCCATGCCCCCGCTGTTGTATGAACAGCAGTAGTTGGCGGATTTACTAGACATGTCTGCAAAGTAGACACCCTTTCCAAACATGTATCCGCTCACAGGCGCTTCAGGCGGTGCGATTCGAAGACCCTGGCTTAAAATACCACCGAAGTTTGTACTGCGAGATCCATGCCATAACAGACGCCGGTCGCTGTTGTTGAGCTTCCCGTATTTGGATGAGTTGAATCGATCATTTTCGCCATCACGCTCAATGCGGAAGATATTGATGACCTATGTCCAGTCAGTATCGTAACCTCGCAGAGAGTTTCAGTCAAGCCTACATTGTAGCGCAGATTATGGGTTGAGGCACGCGACTGGTTGAGATAATTTTCGAGCTCCGTGAATTCGGTAGAACTGCGTTCCACTGTTGAGTGTTAGCCGCTTGCGACATAGGTAGGGACATGCCAAAGATGAGATATATGAATAGAAGGACAGGGAACGAGGAGAACGTACATGGAGTCATTTCCTGCATCTTTAGGCTTTGGAACTGACGGTCCAACTGGTGGACTGTATCGGCATCCTTTGAATCCTTCATGATACCATTTGCGACTTCCATGTCTGTCAGTGCCTCGAGAAGCTCGGTCTCCTTCTTGATGTGTTGGTCAGAGCTCAACACTGGAGGTCGATTACGGCCGAACACGTGAGGGATTAGGGTGAAATATTGGTTGCTAAGATCCTCTGCAGCTGCATTGAAGGTCGTATTATACTGAGAAGTGGCCAGAGTAGGGTCTGCAATGAGTTCGGATAGTTCCTTCAATTTCAGGAAGCCTTGTCGAAGAGTTCGTTTGCTCAACTTCCCCAGTGGCAACTTCTTTGCATCGTAATCCATGGATGCCATCGCAGACATGAAATGGCTTTGATTAAATATAAATGCCATGAGATCCTGGACAGGTGCAGACAGTTGGCTCTCCACTTTGGGCGGCTCATCCTGGATCTTCTTTGCGGTGCCCTCGTCCTCGTCCTCGTTTTCTTCATCAGAGTCCTCCTCGTAGTTGCGCTCGATGAAAGTGTATTTGCCCTTCTTGGGGGCGTCGAGTCTATTGTCCCATGATAGTCCGGACTTGTCTTTGAATTTCTTCTCAAACTCGTACTGGGCTGAATCAAGGGCGCCGGTTCCCAAGAGCCCAGTTTGACCGCTCTCACCCACTCGGCCCCAGCGAGTCCAAGTTTTGAAGTTACTACCACTCCTATCAACCAATAGTTGGATGCGGTAGAATTTGTTACTATTCTTAGCAGAAACAGTCTGGTTGAGAGTGGCATCCCAGATCAGTCCTGCCGGGTCAATGTAAACTGCGTAACCTACCATGGAACCCGTTAGTGTCCTGGTAAAAGCAGAATAAATTAAGCATTTGATCAGTTACCTGATAGATAACATCCCTCGTCGACAGGAATATTCAACGTCTTGATGCCGTTGCCCATTGTCTGTGCATCTTTAGGCTTTTTGTTCGAAGTGTCTTCATTGATGTGCAGCGCCTCTTCCAGAGTGCGTTTCTTTTTCTCTTTCTTGTCAACGGGCTCTTCCTCGTCTTGCTTTCCATTCGTATTCGCATCTTTCTTATCTGGGCTTAGCAAGTACGTCTTCACGGGGAGTTGTTTCTTCGCTTCAATCGACTCCACAAGCCAATCAATGGAGACAATGTTACAAGTGTATACATTGCAAGCTTGCTTGTCTACGTAGGTTTTGATGAGCTGAGGGTTCAAAAATATTGATTTGAAAGGTGGGTGCAATCGGTCGCAAGTCTAAAATGGATAGCGCAGAGACTCACATTTAGAATTATTGTTATCCACTTCTCTCTGGGTAGTAACCAGGTGTGTGCAATCACTTGTCACGGAACTACTGAATTTAGCTCCTTGTCCTTCCACAAGTGCTTTCACATCCGCTGCAGTTCTCAAATGTCGACAATTAGCTCTCCAATTCTCCCAACACATCAAGGGTGAAAAGTGAGGCTTGCCTTGCTTGTAGCCAGGAAGGGTCCCGGCAAGGACGACAACAACGTCTTTGAGTAGATTCTTCTTCGCCGGCATGGCTTTGACAAACCCTGGAGATGAATTTTGTGGAGAGAGGACGAAGGCAGAAGCGATGGAACGTGGTGTAGTGCAGTGTAGTGTAGTTCAATGTTGGCGTAAAAGCGATGAAATAATGGGAGTAGATGAGGAAACTGAGGAATTGAAAGGGAGCAGAGATAGTCGGGGCAGAAGAGAAGAATGACAGAGAGATGGAGAACAGGAGAAGCTGGTCTAATTGGAAGTTGGTCAAGTTAAGAAGAAGTTATACGAAGAGTCAACAAAGCCGATACTTATCCAATCGTAAAAGGGTCCGCCGACACCCTGGTGGCCTGAGCCAACAGGCCACCAATGGCCGCTGCTGCCTTGTGGTTGGCGGATCTAAAAGGTCATTGGCTGCGGGGTCTCCAGGCGACTCAGGCACCAGCCCCACCCAATGTTCCGACTGCCTGGGACTTTGCCAAATCGATCAGACTCTACCTAAGGTTGCTTATCGAGAGATCCATGAAGACCTAGCCGTAGCGATTATTGCCTAATGCAATTCTCAACTGCTCAACTATGCTATATGCTCAGGGTATTGTCCCTATCACTTACGCCATTAAGTGTAGTGCGCCACAACCGAGGAGCTGAAGTACATATATTCATTAAAACCTGTGGGGAAACAATTACAAGCCACAAGCCCATAACTAACATTCTCCCACAAGGGTATTGTGACAGAAAGGCGGTGCGGGATGGGATACAATTGGAAAGGGGAAGGGGAAGGCTCGGTGAACGTCTACAACAACCTGTCAGTTAGCAGTCATTAGTTCTAATCGGCCTTTATTAATTTTTTATCGAACTCATCCCTTCAATTCTAGTCATTCTCAGTACTAGTAATAGCCTCATAAAGCAAAACAGATAGAGTAGAGTACTACAGGAATTACTAGTAAATTCATCAGGAATTGTATGAAGTACACGTCAGAACAGAGACAGGCCAACGCCAGGTTTCATTGTTAGCATGAATACTATAATTTTTAAGTCTATTATAAGAAATCTATCCGACATCCACCTCTTCTTAGTGATACACCTCGACAGAAAGCAATTGGGTGAGAGCACACCTCACCTAACGGATAAAATGTCTGTCACGTTTGCTCGTTCCAAAATATCCCAAACCCCAAGAAGATAGCCAACCGCTGTCGGAAAAGCACTGTGGAGCAGAGTAGGGATCGGAAGTTGCAGTGCACGATACTTCCGATCGACAAACACGTCAAACAAGAACAAAGGTCAGCAACAATGTTTGCATCGTCAAGACCTCCACTTTATTGGCTCGCATGGCGTGCGGGGAGACCAATCAGATCCCTCGGTGGGCTGAGACTGGATCGATGATTTGGTTTTGTTCAGCTGAGGAATGACTGTAAATACTAGACGAGAGATCGGCCTTTGATATGGTAGATATCTTTTTACTCACGGTACATTTTCGAAACATATTATGCACTTGCGATTTCTCCCTAGTTTGGCAGACTCTTTTAGCCGATTAATCATGCTCTTCCTCGACACGGGTCTCCTGCCTTATAGCCCAATTGAGTCATTGTTAAACCCTTTGTTGTCTATATGGAATTGGCTGTCCCTTAAAAATACCTCCACGAGCTTGCACGATGAAGCGGCAGGGTATGCAATCGACGAAGCAGCGTCAAAAGAACCTATTACGGGACTGAGCTGTCATCATATCGATATGGAATCCTCAAGCACTGTACAGTTTCCAGGCCTGTCGTGATTTTATTATTGCAGTAGAGTTGGGCTAACCTTCCATTCTGCCTAGACGCTTTAGAGTTATAATCTGAGCTACCCTTGGGAGATGCCTCAATCTGATATTCTCTATTTCATGGAAGCCAATGATATATTGGTATTAACAGGCAGTTGGGAGACGAATTGAAAAGATAAACGCGCTTTCTCCAATACTCTTTATTATTTCATATAACTTTGGACTCTTTCAAAATAATATAGCTATAACTATATTCACCATTATATATGGTTCGCAGCTCGATAATCGCTTTTGTTAAACACAAATCTATGTTGTATAAGCAGATAGCCTCGATAGTCAAAAATGGCCTTATGTGGACGCCTGAGTCACACCAGGTAATGCTTCCCCTAAAAGCTCCCTAGCATCCGCACACATCTTTCCGATGTCCACATTCGCAATTATGCCGTTACGGCGGTTGATTTCTGCTTCAATCTTGGTGAAATCCTTCCCCACTCCCTCGGCTCGCCATTCATAACAATCCCCAATAAACCGGCTGCTTTGAACCAGCCACTGGGACCGTTCGCGTCGACTAATATCAAAAACGGCGAGGACAGCTTCTAGGTCCTTGTGCGTTTGTACCCGTTCATCCTCTAGCAACGCAGCCAGTATGGCGTTGTCTTCGATGCAGAAGCCAGCTCCAGCACCATGGTGGGGTGATGTCGCATGCGCAGCATCGCCGGATATTCCAACTCGGCCTTTGTAGAAGGTAGGAATCGGGTTTTCTCCAAGGTCAAAGATACCCCACTAGGTTTGGTTAATCTATGGATAATGGATATCCAAGAGTCAAAGAGACATACCACGCTGAGTTCTGCGTTTGCCAATTTCAGTAAATTTGTTACATTTGGCCCATACCCGGCAAAGTCGCGGAGGGCCTCATCTCGTGTTCCTCTTTTCGTCAATCTGGGATAGTCCACCCAGTCATCCGGAGAAGTGTGAAAGGCGACAATATTGAGAGTTTTCCCTTGGTTCACGGGGAAGGTCAGCATATGACCACCGGGGCCCATCTGTTCACTCCCTTAGTACATGTCACGAACGAGGTAAAACAAGGTTGTCTTACATGCATACACGAATTAGAAGCCAATTCATCACCCACCGCCTCGATCGCCTGGTCTATCGGGACCAGCCCGCGATACGCATACTTGTGGGTATACGACGGCTTCGCCGAAGGGTGATCCCGCCCAACAATCACCTGTCGCACCTGGGATTTGATACCATCGCAACCAAGAATCACATCAGCTTCATCTTGCGACCCATCGGCGAATGCCATAACAAGCTTTCCGTCCGTTTCACGCTCGAAAATATCCTCCAGTCGCTTTTTAAAATGGGCAATATCACTCGGAACCAATTTGACCAACTCGTTGAGGAAATGCGCACGGTGGGACCCCCTTTGGCCTAGACTGTTGGAAATAGTGAACGCGATTTCCTGACGGCCGGCATTTTGCGCTGTGGTGGACGTCCCCGTGTTATACCCGTCGAGATAATCGAACCAGACCTTTTCCTTTGAAGGCCACAAGTTCCGCGTACACACCGTCTCGAACGCTTTGTAGATGCCCTCATGGCAGACTTTCATCGCCTGAACGGCATTCGGACCGAAAGAAACGCCCGCTCCCACTTCACCGAAGGCTTCGGCTTGTTCGTAGATCGTGACAGGGATATTCCGGTGGTAGAGGGCGATGGCGAGAGTGAGACCAGCAATGCCACCGCCGATGACGGCGACATGGAAGTTCTTTCGTTGCGGGGCCATTGTGTAGGTACGTGCAGCAGAGATTCAAATGCAGAATTTTTCGAATCAAGGACTTAGGGTTATGATAAGCCAAGGTTCCGTGATAGGGCGAGACTCCCTCTATTTCTACCTGTATTGCCTACAGCGCATCGCCTCTTAAATAGGTATATTGCCCATGTCGGAACTGGGCAACGTACATCGGCTCTGGGGTAGGCCCCATCGGACGGTGAAGAGACCCACATATCGTCCACCGTGGGGCATCGGACTTGGCAACTGGGGTGCGGATCATGGGCAATGGAACAGCCGAAGTATATGCTGTGCTGTTGACATTTGTTTAATGGAAATACTATGATGGGTGCTGGTATCTCGAGGTAGCTATAAGCTCAACATTGAGTTATAGATGGTTTGTTCATCTCCCGAGTCGAGACGCAAGGTTCCGCGGCGGGATGATCTCACCGCAAGTGCGTATATAGATAGGATAAGAAAATCGTTGAACTCCTCTACTTCATATACGTTGCCAGTATTTGTTTAGAGCGGGATTTATTGTTTCTAGTTTTTGACTCATTTCTTTACTCACGAAGACTTTAGCACATACTATCTTCCTCGTCGTGTACTGGCCACGTCGAGAGTTCGAGCTGAGTTCATAGCTGAATAATCGCACATCTTCATTTTATAAGAACTCGACCTACAGCATAGCATCAAGATACGCTTGTCTCCATTCCTGCAAATAAGACAAGGATATTCAGGTATCTGCCAAGGACTACGGTAAGAATTACCATACTAAATATTGTCGCCTACAAAAATGAATTCGTTCTCAAATGAAGTGATACTAGATGCTAATAGGAAATCGACAGCGATGAGCGTCTCCCAGGGAGCTCAATGTTGATCATAAGATCCGGGACATCCATAGTAATCTAGAATACACCCATGGCGGCGGCGTAAGGTGTATCATATCCAGGTTCACATAGATCTCCAAGTCATAGCCTCTCGATTCGTCTTCAGGTGGTTTGTTCGGCACAATTGCTACGAGGCACAAGTATATGAATCTACATCATCGCGAAGTCCCTTGTATTAGAGAATGGTTCGCAGGAAAATTCACTTCCCGGAGAGGTTTATACTTACAAATCCCGTGAGTTTCACGATGATGCCGAATTCCACCACTGCCCGAATCTTTCCCAAGCCTTCATGTTATAGAAGGTAATGCCTAGGTTACACAGACTGGCAGAATACTGGAACCCGGAAAACCTAGAGCGAACATCCGGCCAGATAGTTACTTATCCGATTTGGCATTGTTTCTCGGTTAATTGGTCCGTACCCAAAAATGTGGCGGGGATTCTATATCAGAGGGAGGGGCATACTATAAATGGAGTATCCATAGTAAGTTCCACTCGTCACGCTTCTATACATAACAGCATTGGGAGGAGATGAGTCTTAGAGAATAGGGTATATTTCTGCAATTATGTATAGCTATTGTAGACGTACTAGGGACGTACTAGGCTTTCCAGTATGTTGGGTAGTTGGAACTCGGGAATGAATCGTTCCTCACTATGTATAGAATCAAAAATACTTCTTGCCCCTAGATACTGTTTTGTCATAATATGAATATCTATACGAGTTTTTATTTGCCGAAGTGAGCTCCCAAAGACCCCTTGTGTGAAGTCCCTGGAGTCTCTAGTCTCTATTCTGTGGTGGTACGTACTCAGTTCCCACTCCCAACCGGCTAATTGCCAAGCATAAGTAAAGCGATTACAATGGCTGCACAATTCAGTGGGGAATTGTCACCTAGGCCGCGTTTTACTTCTCTTTCGATTGGTTACCATATATCGCCCATGCCTCAACATCCGCCAATCATAATGCTTTTATTGAATGCAATGAGCCCGAAAGGGAAATTAACTGCAGTGGCCCATGACCCCTTTGCAAAACCCAAAAAGAAAGAAAGGAAAAACAGGAGCGTAATAAAAATATATTAGAAAGAAAAAGTGAGACGCAGGCAGCTCTGCGCCCCATGCAGGTGTCCTCACCCTGAGCTTAGGCTGGCCGTGCAGGTTGCATGATGAGACATTATTACTATTATCGCCCCTGATAGTCTATGAGAAGAACAATCAAGGGAATTCTGCAAGATGTTCATTTTATATTGGTTAAAAGCAAGGAATGATGAGGACTCTTTCTTTTTTCTTTCTCAGAGTTCAGCTTCTTAAAGAACAAAACCAAGGTTCGTTGTCTGTACATTGTATGCTGAACCGCTGGAAGTCGGGTCAAAAGTGGCCACTCGCTAATTATGGACGATGGAATCCACATGATAGATGGACTGATAGTTACTTTTGCGATTGTCAGAATTTCATTTGATGAGAAAAATTTTCAATCGCTGGAGTCGGTCAGCCATGTGGGTATAGTTTGAAACTTTACATTTTCCAGAACAATCACAATCCTTGTCACATATTTGACTGTTAAGGTACCGAGTTATATCTCTCCAGCCTCCCAGATATCGAGTAGTAGGTGCAAAATAGAATACAAAACCATCAGAGCAATTGATACCACTAGTACATCCCGAGGGATGTACCGTTGGTTCCCTTAAGTTTTGTGACAATGAGTGGTTCATTTTTTTATTTTTATTTATTCTCTAAAGGGGAAAAAAAAGACAAGGAAAAAATAAAACCAGGCTACAATATAAATGTCACGGTGATAAGCACCGCATGTCTCAGTACACTAAGAGGAAAACGAAGGGGTCATATTCACTCTTGAAGATCAAAACTCACGGAATAAACGGCGTCTTCTTCGCTTAAATAAATTGGGCACCAACCCCTCCATTCCGCGTGGTAGAATAGTGTGTGTTCCGGAGCACACTAAGTCGTTGAGGATATGGAGAACCTATCTACTGATTGATTAAGACTGGAGATGGGTTAATCAATATGCTCTGTCTTATTTTGTTTTAACTTATATCTTTTTTTTTTTTTTCCTTTTTATGCCACCATGGGTTTCGTATACGCCTTGTCCCCGGCTCGACAAGCCAAAAACCTTCGATCGCCACGTTCTCGAAGCATAGATGGAAGCAGAAGATAAAAATAACCCAGAAACTTTTACCCTTTTTTACATTTCCTCTTTTTTCTTTTTTTTCTCTTTTTTCTTTTTTTTTTGGAGGACTCTTGTTTCAACAAAATGGCCCCACTCGGACGCGGGAATAAGGAACTGGAGTGGCGGCGCAGTTAATTTGCTAAGCTGGAATGTCGCCACCGCGTTAAGCCAGATTGGGGGATAGTGGGAAAAGCTCTCGAGCTCTGAGCTCTGGAATGGGTTGCATGGGAAGCTGGGGAGAGCTGGAGGTGGGAGAGGAGGGGTAAGGTTGCACATGGTGGGATTTTAGCGTCTTCGTATCATGGCCTGCTAAACCCTTCTAAACCATTATCTCATCCGATCTACTCAATCCTATTAGATCAATTCGCCTGCCATTGGGAGGGTTATTGGATTCTTTTGGTCATAATCTTGAATTTTTCTCGAGGGATTAAAACTTGGCAAATCCCCCTTATGCTTACCTGCAGCTGTCGCAAACCTCTCAGAGAGGGGAAGCGGTCCCCACCGGCTTTCCCGAAATGCTGGTACATACATACTGTATACAGGATGTATGTAGGTACACACTTATTACTTAGTGTGGTACGGTATGGTCACAGTAGCTCCACCGTTTCCAGATTCCCACATGCAAATTTCTCATGTCCTAGCATTGGGGTTCAGACCGAACAGATTAATACCCTAGGTTAGATTGGATTGGTGATTAGTGGGGGAGGCAGCGGCCTTTGATACGAAACACTTCGGAGTGCAGGATATTGCCTGGTCCTAGTTAATATATAGAGTTGAACTTTTAAGGAAGGAATGATCATCATTTGCCTGAGAGCTCTTTTAGAAAACGAATTCTCGGTGAGTACGGAGTACGGAGTAGAAGGATAACCCCCCCCAAAAATTTCCTCTTACCGTACGGTTATGTTACCCGAGGTAAAATGAATTCACGTTCTGTACATACTGTACACATACATCCACTAAAGTTTCTTCTCCTGTGGGAGTGTCATTGATAAGAAGGTAATACTGTGGTCTCTCATGTATGCTAGGAGGGACTAAAGTAAAGAGGTTCGAGATCATATCATATTATACATGTCATACCATGAGCTCTACGCGAGGATATTTTTCATAGATATGTATGTCTATACCTTGAAGACGACGTTTTGAATAAGACATGAGCCATGTCTCCCGGGTGGTTCTGCCGGAGATCGCATTCATATTTCTTTTTTTTTTCAGCTTTCTTTACTTTTCTGTTTTCAACTAGTAGTAATGCTGGGTTTTCTCTATTGTTCAAGGCGGTCCATGTTGTACCACGCGACAAGTCTAAGGGATAAAATCATCATATCATATCTGTCAAGGGATATGCTTATTGCCAAGTGCTACGGTGGTAGCTGCCCTTCTTACTCAGATATGATATTACTATAACTTCCAACAACCCCCCATCAAAACATGGAAGTGTATCTAAAACAATGCACGATAGGTGATTGTGATCTGACTACAAATCCAATCCTATGAATTATAGTTACGGTAGTAACTTCTTGTTGCTCCCTGGTACGAGGTGGTATTCACCATGTCACAAACCTTGGCTGTGCATTCATTGCCTTGAACCTTTGGATGAGCTATTTTTTACTTCCCGGGAATATCTTTTCTTTCTTTCTTTCTTTTTTTCTTTCTTTCTTTTCTCCTTTCTCTTCATGCGCTTTCATGAACTCCTGCCCCACGGCATAGTTGATTCACTGTGAGAGATCATTCCTTTGTTCAATTTGGTTCAGATCTTTGTTTTCAGCCTATTTGCCCTCCTGCATAACCGGTTGTAATGCCACGCGGTCGGGGGTTCCCGGGGGCTGAATGCCCCCCATCCAGTCGGGGCTTAGTTTGCTGAGGTATCGAGTATTGATTAAATCTTACTGTAATACCTTTTAAGTAGAGAGCACTTGGCCTGAGGTACATCCTGACCTTACTGACTGTATTATAACGGTCTATTTGCCCATCCATACACACTATAAGGAGATACTCGATATTTTCTGTTTGTTTTCTATATCTTTCTACTGTTTCTCACTCTTTTTTTCTATTATTGATCTCTTTTTTTTGTCTTTTTCCTTTCTACTTTTCTGCTTTTCCGCTTTTCCTTGCTGATTTTTTTTTCCTTGCGTCCCGTTTTTTGTGATTTCCAAAATCTTTCGACTTGTTTGTCCTCCCATTTCTTGACTTTGGGTCTATAAATTACAAATACCACGCGGTACCGGCAATCACTAAAAGCTCCTCTTTAGCTTTTCCTGGAGGAGTTACCCACTAACAGTACACTAGTACTTACCTTAGCTTGCCTTTCCCCTCTCCCTTTAACTACTACGACACCTTTTAGCCCTTTAGTACTCTCGACTCCAGAGTACTACACTTACGTCCTTCGCAAAGCACTGGACCATTTCACCATTACTCATTTATCGGCTCCCCACAGCCCTATAGATCTTTCTGTATCTTTTCTCACTTTTCTTCCCTCTTGACTTTCAATTCTATTTCCACCTGGAATCACTATTTCCCCTAATCGCCAGAACCCCTCTACCCCTCCATAGATCGCATTCTTTGTTAAACCATCGCGGGTTAATATCCTTTTTTTTTTTTTTGGTTTTATTTCCTTTGATGGAGCATGTCCTTGCCGACTGGGCTCTGCTGCTTGATTTAAACCCTCTTTGATCGATTTATGGGATTATTTCCCTTCATACATTAGCACCAGAGTTGTTCGCCTCCCCGTCCACTCACCCCGCTGCCAAAGACGGATTCATGCAGACCATGCCGCCTCGAGCGTCTCTGACTAGTTCTTTCTCTGTCACCGACGCCAATAATGAGGTCGTCTGTCCCCTGAAGAACAATGACGGCTCCAATTGTCGGAAAAGGTGCCTGGGTGTGAGTATTCCCCTCCCCGTCTTTTGTGTGTCGGCCGATCGATCGGAAGCCCCACTCCCAACAACGCTCGCTATCGCAGCTGTACAATGGTGCGAAAAGGCTGGCCTTCCGGGATCAGCGGAGGCTATTAAATTCATCCGCTGGCTTTGAAAAACGCACATGTTCATATCTAACGTCGCTATGCATTCGTACAGGAGAAGCGCTATCGCTCCATGCAGGAGCATATTCGCCGGGCCCATCCGACTCACTACATCCCGAAGCTCCCGGCCACCGAAGAGAGCTTTATCTTGATGGTCACCACCCCTCCGGATCAACGGGCTCATATATCTCCCCCAAACCAGACTCAATCTCGACGACGCAATGGTCTGTTCTCCACCTATCGAGAAATGTAATCATCGGACCTGAAATGCTGACAAGGAGAGATGTAGCGGACCGAGATATATATGTTGCTGATGCCAGCTCACCGGCAACCCCACGGGGCATCGATGAAGCTCACCCGGCTGCTGCCACCGCTGCAGTCGCGTTAGCCCAATTGCACCATAATCGATTAGCCTCAGACTGGGATACGGATATGGTATGTGATACGATTTCGGTTTTAGTTGTGAAATCCAATTGTATTTTCCTAATTGCAAAGGAAGAAAACGCTCATGATTTTACTCGTAGGAATCGCATTCAGACAACGACATTGGAAGAGATCGCATGCGATCTTCGATCGAGCTGCCCTCCCTTCGTGATCACTTCAAACAAGAATCGCTGCCCCACTTTTCCGCACGCCCGCGAGAGCTTTTGCCGTCAATTCTCAACCATTCTCCCCCTGGTCGTTCATCAACGCTCCCTCCGATTCAGAGAAGGGACAAATTACCTCGGCCTCGCAAGGCGTCTATCTCCGCCGCGAGAAAGCCTAAGCATGAACGAGTTAAGTCGAAGGAATATGGCCGGCGTCCTAGCCTGGGCGATCGGAAAGCGCTATCCGCTGAGCCACAGACGGCAGCATGGGCTCAAGGCAAACGCTGGGAAGATCTGATCGAAGCAGCTACTTCGGCTACGGAGGCGGACGATGATCGAAACTCAGAGGTGAGTTCGCTATCAGATGCAGAGGAAAGACGGGGCCACCCGTTGTCTCTTCGGGAACAGCTTTTAACTGTTCCGCCTCAGGTCGGTCGGTCCCCGACCCTTGCACCTCTGATTTCGAACATCACTTCTGCCCCGTCTGCTCCGGGGAATCGGTCATCACTCCCTCCTGCTTTCCAATCGCTTGGCGGTTTACCACCACCCACGTCTCATCGTCCCTTTCCCCCACATGCTTTCGGCGCTTCGCCTTTGCACAAGTCCTTGACTCCCCCGCCGTATGAAACAGCACGCAACCGCGACAGTGACCTCGAGCCTTTTCCATCGATCGAGTCTTCGCTGGATTCGGCGTCTACGGCATCAGGAAAGAACTTCGCGTTCTCGAATCATCTGGGCCCAATGGGGAAGCCAGACTCCAGCCCGGGGTTGAACCTGTTTCCCCGTCAACACCATCGCTTTTCGAACCCGACACCAGCTTCATTTCGGCATAGGGAGATCCAGATTTACTGCGCGAGCTGCCATCGACCCTGGTCGCTAAACGAATGCTATGCCTGTACCGAGTGCATTTGTGGGGTATGCCGGGAGTGTATACCTATGTTCATCAGCAGCCCGCCTTCATCCTTCCGGAATGTCACATCGAGCCCGGGTAGTGCCATGTCACACGGGCCAACGAGCTATCCAGGTCCCCGAGGCTGTCCGCGGTGCCGCACTGCGAGGGGCAAATGGAAAGCATTCCAATTGGAATTTAAGTGAGCTACATTCTCAGCCTATCATTGGGCCGAGAGTTTCTGATGTTGATTTTCAATTTTAACGCTCTTTTCGGCCAAATTATGTTTTACGGATGTTACGATTAATGTTGAGGGTCACGGTTACTCAAAAGGATTACGCTTCAATGATGACATAGGCGGGTGACAATGTATTCGTCATGCGTCCACGTCGGTCCCACGACGAATGACCCTAGGGCTGGACTAACCGTACATGCCACGCACGATAGGATGATTGAAAAGCTGGGCTTTTGTCGTTTCCCCTGGTTTCTTGTTTAGTTCGAGATTTATTATGTGTGGTTGTGTTTATACCATCGCTGGGCGGTCTATATACACTACGGTGGCATTTTGGTGTTCTGTTACACTTTGTATTTGAATGACTCGCAAGATCCGCATCTGAAATGATATTTTTTAAGACATATATCCATCAAAAGATGTTCAAGTTGACAGGCACGTTGTCTACCCTGAAGTACAAATGGCAAAGGTCTTATGAATATACACATATGCAACTAACTCTATGTATCCCCCTCCCCAAGAGGTGAGCAAACCCTACTCGTACCACACAATGCTGCTCAGACCGCCGTACACATCTGGTGCTGGTGCCTCTCCAACGGGAAGAGAGGCGACTTCCTTCCGCAACTTGCCCGTTCGAGGATCCCTCTGGATGATCACCACGGTCGATGAATCCTGATTACCCACAGCGACCAAATCGCCCTTCTTATTGATGGCGAAGCTGCGCGGCGTCTTCCCACCCGACGAGAAGAGGTCACCGTCCTTCACCTTCTCCTGAGCCGGCTTCAATGTCACTAGCGAATCCTTGCCGTCAAATTTACCATCCTTTCGGACGGCGACATGAAGGGTGGGTCCAGCTGCATGGATTTCTGAGAGTGACGTTTTATCGTTGGGAAGCTTTGCTGCGGGCCAAGGGATGAAGCAGTTCACCTCCTTGAATTTGGGGCATTGGCCGTTCGCATACGTCACATCGAATGAACACACATGGTTGCCATACTCTTCTACAGTATACAGCGTGGTCTTTCCTGTCTGGCGCTTCGTCTGCCACTCCCGATGCATGTTCCTCCGCTGGTATGTGTGGTTTCCGCTCGAGGTCACGAACACACCGTTTCGCGGCCCGCTTCCCGTCTCATAGTAGATTTGCGAATCGTCGGGGCATGCTGTCAACTTGCCGGAGTCCTGATCGATCTTGAAGACGTGGACCTTGTCCAATCCCAGATCGGGGGATAGGAGGAAGGCTCCGGTGGGGTCGAGGAATACTTGGTGCGGCTTGGAGTTGGGCTGTTTGTCGGTGGGGTTTTCGGGTTTGGGGAACTCCAATACATCGAAGGGCTTCACGTTCTGGTCGTCCTTGAAGGGGATGTTCCAGAGGGAGATGGAGGAGTTGCCGCTATATTCGGCGGTGAGTATCGAGTCAGGTATCATTGGAAAGGGGAGAGAGGGGTGAGTGACATACTAGTGCGCTATCGCGAGATACTGCTTGTCCTTTCCATACATGACGCTATCGACCCCTCCAGGGGGAGTCTTTACCTTCACGACCTCCTTATACTTCCCATCTTGCTCGACTTGCAAGGCCGTCAAAGCACCGGGGGTTCCTTCACCAGAGCACCACAGGAGGCCCCGCGCGGTGTCCGCGGTCAGCGAGCTAGCTGAGCCTACACCACCGCATGCTGTCTGGTTATAGGTTTTCGAGAGCGAGTATTTACCGCCGTCCTCCTTCAGCTCGAGGGAGTAAACATTGCCATTGTAGTGGGTCGCGAAGAGTCGCGCGGCAGTTGATAGAGAGGGCAGCGCAAGAGAAAGCGCTAAAACAGGTTGGATAAACATGTGTTCGAAATAGAATTGAATCAAACCAGTCCCAGACCGGCTTCCGTAGAGTCAAATTGAAAAGCTGTTTAAGAGAATGTGATCGTCGCTCGCGACTTTAAATACAGAAAAGAAAATGCGTTGGAGAAGTGGGCTGACTTCGCATGGGAATGAAGGCGCAATAAATACTACCTTTCTCAGCCTTGCGGATGCCACAGCCTTCAAGATCCGCCATGATGTGCTTTGATTTGTTCACCGTCGCACAGGCACAAGTGGAGGCGGAGCTTTGTCTGGTATGGATCTTCATAGTGGGCTTGAAACCTGAAACAGTCAAAGGGTCTTGGGTGACATGGTTCTTTGAGCTTTCAGAGTGCCCCGTTGCCTTTAATTTCGTTCTTCACAGCATCTGGCGTTTGATTGGGATCGTCTAAATTGATTGAAAGGGGAACACTGGGGGGGGGGCGGGATTTCCCAGAATCAATCCACGAAATGGGTTGGTAGAGATCGACTGGATGGTCCACTTTTAGCCGCCGTGAAGTTGAAGGGTCTGTTTTCTCTTTTGGCCTGAGGCATGGGGGTCACCTTCCAGTGTACAGGTAACACACCTCAGCCCTGAAGTCGTGTTGGCAACACTCAGACTGCAGGACAGATCTTCCTCCACAATTCTAAATTAAAGACACTGGAGACATGATGATTTGGCGCCCCGTCTAAATACCGTGTCTTGGGCTGGTCTTAGTCAGCATGAAGGATTCTCAGCCCTGTAAACTGATTGATTGGGATTAATTAAACCATCAGGCAAGCCCTCATCCTTCCATTCCAAGCCATGGTGGGAGTTCCCCACAGCACTGGCTGCGAGACCTGCCGCCGCCGCAAGAAGAAAGTAAGCCACACAAAGTATCAGGAGGTCCCAAGAGACAAGGAGAATTAACCTTCAACAACTAGTGCGACAACAGGGCACCAGCATGCACGGCCTGTGTCACCTCTGGGCGTCTGTGCCCAGGGTATGAAAAAAGGTATAAGTTCGTCAATGAAAATGCAACCCTTCAAGCTCACTACCGGAAGAAGAAGTATCTCCTGGAGGAGATTGGTGTCAGTGTCGGCGAGAATGCGGTTTCATACACTTCGCCCGGTCCCCATGCGATTGGATTCCGTGGATGGATCCCCTGGCCCTTGATTTCGGCCCAGGAACATGACGGTACTAATCTGGTTTACATCCTGGATGACCCTGGCAGTCAGGGGGTGTTCCCTTTGACGTCGCATGGGAATTTCTACCGCTACATCCCAAGTCGATTGGGGGGTAACATCGCGTTGGATTCTGCGGTTTCGTGTCTTTGTACGGTGTATACCGATCTCTCGGCTGGGTGGGGGGGAATCTCTGAGCGTGCTTGGCGCACATACGCCCGGAGCCTTGGGGCACTTCGTCTGTGTCTAGGTGACCCTGAGCGTTGCTTTCAGTCGGAGACGATTTGCGCTTCGATTGTGTTGCAGTTGTGCGAGGTGGGTTCATTGTAATTTGATTCTGTGCTGGGCTAATTCTTGACTACAGCTTTTGACGAACGCAGATAATGGTCGGTGGAATCAGTTGTCGCATGGGACTAAGGCCCTTATTCAACGCTGTGATGTAGCGCGGTTTCGGCAGCCTTTTGAGAGGGCGATGCTTGAATCACAGCGAGCATTTTTCGTGAGCTCGGGTCCTGCTATCTTTCGGATTAGTATGTTAATGGGTAGTAGATTATTCAAGATTTGAACCAGCGACGACCATGCTTTCTCGCAGACTCTCCTTGGCGGGAGTTCCTACAGCAAACAAAAGAAACGGCATCGGGATCTTCAAGTCGAGCTTTTGCTCTGCGATCCAAGCTGTGCGACTGGTTGGTGGATATTCCTGTGCTTCTTCGGGAAATGTCAGGGGTCCTGCAAAGTGGAGACCATGAGATGCAACTAGCGAGCCTTGTGCAACGATCTACTGTCATACATGATCAGATAGAGGGCTGGTATCTAAAGGAGGTGGTACCAATTACTGTATTTGGTCATCGGCAAGGAGACTTCAATGCACCGTTTTACACCCCTGTCGGGTACTCCCAGCTGCTTCTGGCCGTACTGGACTGTGTGGTCAACTCTACGCTCAGTGTACTGGAAGATGCAATTTCTACCTGTACGCCTCCGCCATTACAGCTAGGATGCAATCGCTCGAAGGTTTATTATGCAAGTATGATAGCAGGGCGACAGCAGACCGCGATGAACGCTCTAGAATACGTCCGGGGATACTCCGCGGTGGCTGCCAAACCTCTAGAGTTCGGACTAAAACAGCTACGGTCGCTGAAAACAGACCAGTGATCGCTTATTGAGTTGAAAGGCCAAAGAGAAATGCTATACTAATATTCATGAGGGATATACATATTCGGCTCCGTCATCCGATCGGCAACAAATTCATGCTTGATTCAGCAACGCAACCATCTCATCAAACACCTCCACCACCTCTCTCCTCTCTTTCTCCCAAAAAGACAGATCCATTTCCCGCCCCTCCGCAGCTCTCATCAGAGTCTCCTTGCTAGGGAAGGTCAAGCCCACCGTTCGCTCGACCGGTCTCATCCGGACACCATGCAACACCTGCTTCAACTGCTCCGCCGCCTTCCCGCCACCGTGCCCGCCATAACTCACAATCATAGCGGGTTTCCCTTTCCATTCGTTATACAGATAGTCAATTGCATTTTTGATGCTGGCCGGATATCCCCAGTTGTACTGCGGCGTCACGAACACAAAAGCCGAATACGACGTGATCTCTTCCGACCATCTCCGCGTATGCGGGTGGGCATATTGGTCTGAAGAATGGATCTGCGACGGGATACCCGGCTCGTCATACATGGGGAGATTCCATTGTTGGAGATCGATGAGTGAGAGAGCGATGGCATTCATCCGAACAGTGTCGGTGCCTTGTAGATCGTTCAGAATGGAAGCGCCGATCTGAAGGCCAGCGCGAGGAGTGCGCTGGCTGCAGATGATGAGACCGATTTTAGGGGCCATTCTTCTGGAGTATGGAATGGTTTGTAGGTAATGAAAGCTGTGGACTCTTGGAAGTAGTATAATTTGAAAGAATGGTATGTGAAGAATTTTTGTTAACAATCCACCAGGATGTTGTCGGTTTATATAGTGTAGGAACTGATGACCCACTCAATGTAGGGGTTGATATTGCGCGCCAATAGGGATTCATCGGTCATCTTCCGCTGCCGATATCTACCTATTGCAGTGAACCAAGGAGTAGGAGTATCACACGGCCATTATTGTTGTCTAACCAGAGCATATATTTTGTTATCTCTCCTCAGAAAGATGCTTGTCCCCGTGATGGCCATAAGCCCTATCGCGTATGTCCTATGTCGTACTACTTACTACATTATGGTTGTGAGAAATATAGGTTATGCTGATAATTATCGATACATTATGCACCATATGGTCAAGACACCCTCTTATAATCAGTTTTTAACTACTCATCTTGACCACCAGAACATTATCTAACATTGATAACCCACTAACACGCTATACTGCCGAACAGCATTGTCTCAATATCAACCATGTCGTACAACCAATAGATCTTTGTCTTTGTCTACCCACCTATTTCCGTAGACAAAAAAAAAAATTAAAAAAAATTAAAGACCAGCCCTACATCCCCAATGTACTTATTTCTATATATGACCCATGAATAATAACCCTAAAGTACAAAGCCTCGAGCCGTGACTGTCATTGAGCCGCGTTCAGCCGTAACAGGATATATCTAGATAAATGGCACTAATAGACGTCCCCCAGTTTGGAAGAAACTTATTGTATATCGTTTTTTCCTTACTGTATGTACTGAAATATGTATTATGGTTCAACACTAAAATCAGAATTCTTGGTTACCATTCTTTTTAAGGCATACAACACAGCCGTCGATACGGACCTCGTCATCATTGCAAGATTCTGTGAGTGTTCGTACTTTCTAACACAGGTTTTTCTTATGGATATGTGGTAGATATTTTTGAAGACTGCTCTTACTTACTTTTGGGTATGTGTGTAAGAACGTCAGGATTGATAATCACCAGGGTGTTCCTGATGTTGCAGATGTTCCGGCAATGTCGTACAGGGGGCCAAAAAAGAGAGAGGCTGTTTGAGCGACGATGATTCACCGCTGCTTTCTCAAAGGACCATGTACTAGGCTGGGTCGATATTCAAGGTTAAATGGGCCTTTGTACTTTGAGGGGGGTATTGCGTCGGAGTTGTAGAAGTTAGTATTAGGGCTGTTGTTTATTGAAGCTGATTGGCGAAATATCTTGCGTATCTTGTCGAGGGAAGGCATGTTGAAGAGGAAGGACGTTTTGTTCACATCTCGATGGTACGAAGTACTAAATAGAGGCATTCAAGAAGGAGGGAGACAAATGGAGGAGCCAAAGATGAAGGGGATAAGGAGGGCTGGTGGAACGAATATAGGTCAAACTGCCTTCTCCCTGGGCTTATCGAGTACTCTCTCTTGGTCGCTACTGGAAATGACTCGAGTGTCTTTAGTCACAGAAACAGACGACTAACAGGTTTATTGTTTACCCATATTATGAGTTCAATAATCTAGACCAAGATGGTGAGACTCTAGAGGTAGGCCGTGCTCAACACACGGTTTTCGGGCTCATTTCTCTATTCCCCTTTGTTGGTCTATCATACATCCGCAGTCTATACCCTCGAGAGGATATCCCGTGAGTCTGCGCTGCTTTTCTAGAACCTTATTTGTTCTTTGTACAGTACGCCTTTCTCGATTTTTGAAGGCGGCAAACCGAATATTGCTCTGTCGGTTATATACTCATTAGCACAGCCTCGTATATATCCGTTAAGCATTGATTATTAACTTTGTCACAATATTGAGATTAGTATGGCTCTCACGATGCAATCTCAGTAGGCCTCTTACCGGACGTTCCTGTGAACATTGAGCCACCACGCCCATCTTGGTATTGGAATATTTTGAAAGCCCCTGCTTTTAGCTCCTACATACGTGTCGTGGCTTGGCTTCATTTGAGATATAGCATGTCCTTATATAGTTAGTGATTATTTCGTGATCTCTTAGATGTGACCCACACGGAAAGGACTGTTCCCTGGAATACCGCGCGCTCTCGCTGAGGCGGCATTGGTGATGGCTTAGGCAAGATTTGTCGTAGGTTTCCTCCTCCCGCCTGTTGCTGCTGTACCTGCTACTGTTGAGGCAGACTTGCCTGTCCCTGTCCTCCTACTGCCGGCTGCTGCTGAACAGAATTCGGCATTGGCACGGACACCTCAGTGCCTGGCTGCTCGGGCGGCTGGCGCTGGAAATTTGACATGGGGAGCCTATGGTCTGGCCCGCTAGGCTCCACCTTTGGCTCGAGCAATGGCCATGATCCATCTTTTGGACGAGGATCTACAGGGTCTGCAGCCACATTGTTGACGGGAATCAACAGGAGATGAATAACTGTAAGAAGAAGAAGAAGGTTCGCCATACTGAATAATTGCACTATGTACAGCACAAGGTAACTGAGAAGAGTCAACAATGAGTCAATAAGCCACGTATGATGGGCTGCAGAGCCCCTATATATCACTCAGACTGTAGTAAAGTTTCATCTATTATAGGTTTGAACATAATACTCCGTACTATACACTCCATTAGGGTTAATCGGGCACAGAACAAAGCCTTAAGTAGTCAGTAGTGTTATACATAGATTAAGACTTTTCCGGATAGAAAATTATCTTATTCTTATTGTGAGTTGGTTAATCTTGTTTGTCACACTTTGAAGGGTCATCGTTAGATAATGAGAAGCTGTGATTCGGTAGGTTATGTTCGGAATCGTCCTATAAAGTCTTTGGTATCGCAGCCACTTAGGACCAATCTTAAGCTTTGCCAATGTCCCAGTTAAGGCCTATCTAGCCGAAGAACGACTTCTAAACCGAGTCTCCGGTTTTCACGCCCGAGACCGGACAAAGCAGGGGTCCGAAGTACATAGCATCCTATAGCACAACCCCGTCCCCCCCGCAGAACCCCCCGACCATGCCAAAACATGTACTACGTACAATAAGCGAGCGAAACCCAATTACGTAGGTTACAAATTTACCTGATCTAACTAGGCAGATGGGTCGAGGCCCTAATGTTGATGCTGGTGTCGTATTGCGGAGCCGATGGAGCCGGTTGTCGATCATCTTCCGTAAAGCAAGTCCTAATCCATGTAATATCCGTATATGCGCGAGCCCCTTGCAACTCCGATTGAAGTCGGCTTAAATGCACAAGGCAACAGCGTATGCTGCCCAAATTTGCTGATTAAAATTAGGCAATTGGTACTAAGGGGGAGCTGATACTGGCACAGACTCTGTGGCAAAGAAACAGAGTCTGGGGCTCTATAATATTGGTTGGTAAAGATGTAATACAGTATCTATTTCAATGCGGACGGACTGTATAGAACAGAAGCTGGACCTTTCTCAAACTATTTAATCCCTAGTCTAGGCAGGCTAAAGCTCCAGCGCGCCATCGTTGCACGGAACAATTACTCGAACCCTAATCCATCGCTTCAAACTTGACGGGCAATCCGGGCTTCGCATATCCCATTGTAAATAAGTCCTTCTGTTCCGGCCGCTTGAAGTCAGCCGGGAAGCTGAGCTTGTAGTTCTTGAATATATACGCCATGATGATGGTGACTTCGGCGGAAGCGACACTAGGGGTATTATCAGCATTGAGGAGGAGCTGGCAAGTGTAGAGGTAGCACTCACTTCTGGCCAATGCACATCCGGGCACCCTTGGAGAAAGTGCATAGGTATTGGTCCAGATTCTTGGATTCGGGCTGCAACCAGCGCTCGGGGTTGAAGCTTCGGGCATCGGGGCCCCAGAGCTCTTCGCTGGAGTGCATCGTGTAGGCGGAAATTGAGACAATAGTCTGGAGCATTTAGTTTACCTCTTCCTTCCGGGAATAGTTTGTTGATGATAGATTGAATGGGTACATACTCCGGGGGGGATGACCTTTCCATCAATGGTCAACGGATGAGCCAAGTCATTGGGGACGACGCGCGGTAAGCGGCCAGCGACGGGCATTCCGATCCTCAGCGATTCCTTGACGCAAGCGGTCTAATATGGTAATTAGCATCTAACACTGTTTTTGGGTAAAAGGGTTTGCTGCAGCAGTGACTTAATGGAAACATACCAGATACTCAATCTTTTCTAGTTCTATGAGTGGAAGAATGCCCTGTTCGTCAGGCTGCACGGCTTGTAATTCACGCACGAGTTTGCTTTGTACCTTCTTGTCAGCGAGGATATGTTGCAGAGCTGCCGTCAGCGTAGACGCGGTGGTGTCCGACCCAGCTATTAATATATCTATTGACTCGGTGACCTTCTGAGGGTATGACACTGACGTCAGATGGTCCAAGACAACTGGATGAGACGTGGTATTCCCATGTTTCTCATAGTGGTTCAAACAGCCTTCAGCAAACTGGAGATTCGTTGCAAATATAGGTCAGTGAAGCCAAACATAACGCAAGACCCGCAGGGGGAGGAACCACGACTTACACTAATAATCTCAAAAAACGAGGCAAGCTTTTTATCCACCGCCTTGATGACTGTCTTTGGGAGCCATGCTCCAACACGTCGTGCCATTGGCCACTCCTTGGTTTTCCACACGTCGCTAGCTACTGAGTCAAATGCCCTCAGGTACCATGATCCAAAAGAATATTCCTCTTCCTCAAGCATATTTGCAGAGAGCGCAAAGGCAAATTCCATAATGACCTCTGTGGTGAGGCACCTTCATGCTGTTAGCCTCGAGCTTAGGGCCCTTGCCAAGTTTGGAACCGAGAAGATTACCGAAAGGCATCATAAACATTGATTAAGTGGGTCTCTTTCAACCTGTCGATCTTTTTCATCATGACATTCGCCTTTTTGTGGAAAATCCCTTCAAGCTTGAGCAAACCTGCGCGAGAAAACAGCGGGTTTAACATTTTGCGTCTCTGCTTGTGCAGTGTGGGATCGGTTTCAGCGAACAGCGAGTGTTCGATATTGAACGAGTCGTAGAAAGGGGCGTGTTTGGGGAAGGGGCTGGATTGACTGTATATGTTTTTATATTGGTGAACGTCCGAAAGGTGAAGTTCGTTAGGGGCGATGCGAAGGGCCTTCGTCTCTAAGGATTCCATGTAAATATGTTGTCAGCAGGCTGTACAATTATTTTACGTTAGATGTCTCCTTCTGGGGAAGGATGTACGGTATCTAGCGTGCAGCCTTTCGAATTCATGCTCCGGAAAGCCTGCCTGGGAGGTCTTATAGAGCCAGTAGGTAGATGAAGCCGCTTCAGGTGGACCTGAAAATTGGGACAGCGGGTGAAAATGGCGACGATAAACGCTGCGAGCGATATGAAAAGTCCCAAGTCCAATGACGAGGGCTATCAGAATACCAGCTCCCTGAACATCCAGGGAAGACAAGTCCACATTGTCTGTAACACTGTAGTTGAGGTTTGGCATGGTGATATCCATGTAGTCCTTCAATAGTCTGGTCTGGGGATGAGATGGACGAATGATATAGGGTACCTCTCAGATGCAGGACCATGTTGAGCTACTTATATCTCGTCCCCCCTGACACACACCAGAGTGCTTCTCCACTGATGCTCGATGACCGAGCTGAATGTGCATTGAAGCCTGAGTCTCGACCAACAGGCCTACTCCAAGATTTGTCTAAGGCCTTCGGTCTTCTATAGTATGTTCATTAGGTGGACTATGACTGGCTGTATCTCCACCGGGTAGTGGGGCCTTTTCTCGGCTCCGCAGATGGAATGGAGTGGGTGACTCAGTAGATGGTACTGTACATATATAGCAAACTTCTATAAGGATCCGACTGCAGATCTCCGAGGCCAAGCGAATATAAGCTAAGTATCAACCTAACCCCGCTGTCTCGTGTATGAAGAAAGATATTACTAGATCCCAGTAGGTCAATTGTATTGTTGTTCTATAGCTACCTTTTGGCTCAAAATGTCCAGATGCTTGTGCTATACTAAGTGTATCTATACTTGGATCCCTTGCATTTTTTTTTTTTTTTTTTTGGAAAATATTACTTCAGTCCAATATGAAACTATGGCGAGTCCCACGAATATGGGATATCTGTCAAAGGGTTTACCTCACCGGCAAGCTGGTCAAGGCACGAGCTGATTCCATTTCGGAAATGTGGCCACGCGTCATGCGAGCCAAGCATACGCTGACATTCCTTTATGAGGCGTGTGGAAACCCCCGGTTCCAGCAGGAGCCCTACGCCAGTGAGGTACGGTCTGCAGTGAGGATCTCCAACAATCCACTGTTTCACAAGCGCTTCATCGGGGTCCCGATCGATTCTAACCAGCCTACATGGCGAAGGCTGATTTTGGAGAGAAGCCTGATTAGGAGTGCTAGTCTGGAGGCGCACATAGACCCGTAAATATAAAAACGCCATCAAAAAGCTCAAGTAATGGTAGCAGGCAGGTGACGAGACACCACGAATCTCCCTAATCAACGCACCGGCGTGTACCACGCATGTACGTGCCCGTTCCTGGTCACTTTTCATCAATAGAGATAAGCGGTTTCCGGCAGCGGTACTCTCCGCTCTGGTAACAAGCCACCCTGTGTAAGCATATATATTACGCAGGGAAGTGTATCTCAGAATAGAAGTTAAATGATAGTAGATGATCAGGTTATGGGAGGAAACCGAGTTTGAGGATACTAAGTTGATGTTGGGCACCAAAAGCTTGTATCTAGAATCGAGCGTCCGATATGTGCTGGATTTTGTCTGTGAGTTGAGCGAAGCAGAAGAGTAACCCCTGGAATCCAAATAGCGAGAAGAAAATTGGGACGCATTGACAAATTGCTTTTCTCCGACAAAGAGACCGAGTAGTAATGTTAATTTACTGAACTCTGATAACTTCTCCAGTGAAAACTCGGTGCGGCAGCTAGACGACAAAAGTTCTTGTAGGCTATGTACCGGGTTGTCTAGTAGGCATTAGTACTTAGAGTAGTGGGGAAGATGGCCCCTACTTACCATGGACATATTTAAGATGCAGCTCCCAGTCATGAGCATCCCGAATGCTCCAAAGCTCGTCTGAATAAGGGAGCCTTTGCTGAAAATCATCCATCGAACAATTCGACTGCGAATCAAGATAAAGAACGCAGAACGAATCAAATACTCGCTATATCTTAGCTCCCCTGCCATTTCAAATGATAGCAAGATATGAACGTACTGAAGAATGAATATGCTAGGCGGCTGCGTGCTTCTGCCTGAAGCCATGCATGCCATCGGCTCTGAACATTGACAACCTTGGTCAGATCGAGCAATGCCAAATCTCTCTCATTAGGAGATTTCAAAAAAGGGCGAATCAATACTGCCAGCCAGGTCCTCAGAAACTGTAAGTTGAGGATATTGCCCCTGTAACCGTTGAATAGAAGGCTGAAATTTAGCAGAAGAGTACACTGCGCCAGAGTCATTACATTGTATTGCAGCGCTTTGACGGCCTGGGTCGGTCAGTGTTGCCAAATTGTGCCTCATTCACAGGATTAACATACGTCAAGGGGGATAGCTTCGCGCAAGAGTCCAGAAAGAACAATGGCATATTGCTCCCGCATAACCATTCTAGTGTATTGGCTTCCAATTGCCGCCACAGCAAGCACTAGAACCCATGACCCGTCGTTCTCAAAAAGATTAGGATGAAGAAATGGCATTTGGGGATGGAAATGCTCAAAATAAAGCTGGACAAAACAGTTGAGACGGTCAATATCCGGGAAAGCCAACCTCTTGAAACAGGCGCCTGTCTGGGTCTCATAGAAGCTATGGATTTTCTCATACGTCTCCACAGGTACGGCGCTAACATGGAAGAGGTTTTCTGCGATTACGATATCATCTTCGCCATAAGAAGCCAAAGAGAGTGTCGAAGACATTGGGCTAGACACTGCAGGATTACTTTGCTCATGCCTCTCATGTGAAGATGATTGATCAGATTCATGAAAGGCTACTGTAGCCGTAGGTAATGGCTTTCGAGGATCTCTGCCAGCAGCTGACCTTGCCATCGGGGACTGAGAATCGGGGGAAGGCTCAGGCGGAACTGTGAACTGCTGACAAATTGAGTCCAAACTATTGAGTCCAGTTCCCTTATTCAGTACATCGTTGAGAGGGTCAGAAGGGCCCCAGGCGAGCAGATTAGCCAGATCCATCGTATAGCTAGGAAGATCAAAGGCGCCTAGAAAAGACGCTGACTCTGGTAAGGCGTCGACAGTTTGAGAGTCAATGCTTGCACGGTTGAGGAGCTGCCTATCTGTTGTTGGGAGCGTAGAGTCTCTGATGTCTCTGTCAAGTCTCATTTCTGTATGACCCATGTCGTCATGCCATGATTCCTGGACTGTGGACAAGTCCTTTGCCTCTATAGCATGCCCATCACGGGTGTCATCGTTATTATGTACGTGGTTGTCAAATATGCAATTGCGGTTCTTGTTAACGCAGCGGATGCAAGGCAGATTCCCACTACATCGTTGTTTCTCCCGGGCGCAACTGCGACATGCATGATTGCTTCGAGGCCTTTTGGCCCTGGGTGTGGGAAGAGGGCGATCACACAGATCACCGTGCGTGTTGATATGTCGTTGAAGAGTATCCCTACGTGCCGATGAGATAAGAACACACTAATATCCTTGGCTCCATATACCAAGATCTCCATACCTTCGAGAGAATGATTTGGAACATAAAGTACATGAGAAAGGCCGGACCCCTAAATGACGCCGAACATGGCGATCCAGATGTTCCTGACGACGGAAGGTTTCACGACAAAACTCGCAAGGGTAAGTTGGAGAGACTTGTGTAGAGACCATTATTGAATTGGGATACTGACCAGTCACGTTTGGTCAGGAACCAACACTGAGAGCATCATGTTCAATGTCCTTTTTTCCCTAGGGCATATACCTATTGTTGAGCCCATATTATCGGAAGCGTGACTGGTAAGCTACTTCCGCTTACTCAGCCAGTCACGTAGGCACAGACTCTGCCAAGACATGCTAGTATATATCCAGCTTAGCTCCGGATGGGTTCAATTAACTCGCGGGGTTCTCCGGAATCAGATTAAATCCACACCTGAAGCGCTAAAGAACAGATTTATAAAGCAAAACGATCAAAAAAGGCAGCTTGTGAGGGAGCAATTAACGTAACTTAACCAAATATTTACATCTCGCAATTGGCGGTACATATTAATTCCTTACATTTGCCACAGCGATCATGGTGTTTAGTGCACTACAACGCATCTACTCCGGCTTTATAAGCCCCCCACCTGCCACAAAGAAGGAGGGCGCGATTCGATTCGGACTTCTTGGCGCATCAAACATCGCGTAAGTCGATCTCACTCCGGTGCTTCAGATTCAAATATTAATTCTGAGATTCTAAAGCCCCATTGCGCTGATCAACCCCGCAAAGGCCCACCCGGATGTCATCATAGCCGCCGTGGCAGCCAGAGACCGCAATCGTGCCGAGACATATGCCAAGAAGTATGACATTCCTATTGTACATGCTTCCTATGAGGGTGAGTATATTCTTATTCTGGTATATTCTATAGTGACATCCCGCTTACAATCGGTAGACCTTCTCAACGACCCGTCTGTCGACGCGGTCTACATCTCTCTCCCCAATTGTCTCCACTACGAATGGGCCGTGCGTGCTATCCGCGCGGGCAAACACGTCCTCCTGGAAAAACCGTCCTGCGCCAATAGCGAGGAGGCACGTGCACTCTTCAATCATCCCTTACTGCAACAGCCCGGTGCTCCAATCGTACTGGAGGCATTTCACTACAGGTTTCATCCAGCATGGCAGACATTTCTTTCCTTCATCCACCAGGGTCCTGAGGCAGGACCCGTAAGACACGCCCTGGCTCAACAGTATGCACCTAACGGGATGCTCCCTGCGGATGATATTCGGTGGCGGTATGACCTGGCCGGCGGTGCTATGATGGACTTTGGTACCTATCCAATGCATTGTCTACGCCAGATTTGGCGAGAGGAACCGACGGAGGTGGTGGAGGCAGAGTACAGGCCCGTACCTGTAGGGTCTGACCATGGGGAGGAAACGCAGGTCGACCAGGCGATGACAGCGACATATCGAACGGCAACTGGTGCGACGGGGAAGCTGATTGCTGATCTTGCTGCGTCGGGAGGCTGGCCGCTACTGCCAACTTCGTGGTCAAGTAAGTTGCCAGGCTTTGGGTGGCCGAAATGTGAGGTTGAGTTGGGTGAGAAGGAGGTCGAAATTGTTCAGGGTGAGAGCCGCTTTGTCAAGCGGAAGGTGACGATCTGGAATCATCTTGTTCCGAGTTTGTATCATCGGATTGATGTGGAAGATACCAACACGACCCATCGAGATGGGCAGATCGTGAGGACCTGGAAGGAGACTAAGCATGTCAAGGCTTATACCTGGCCTTCAGAGGACGAACAGTTTGGCGTTGCGAAAGAGTGGTGGCCTACATATCTCTACCAGCTCCACGAATTTGTGAGCAGGGTGAAGGGTGGCCAAAGCTCTGGGGCTTGGGTTGATGGAGATGACAGCATCAAACAGATGGAAGCTGTGGACCGGACATATGAGAAAGCTGGGCTGAGAATACGGCCAACAAGTAGCTTTGAACTGTGAGCTGTAGCTATATTGTTGAATTTACTTGTCCTTACTTGTCCTTTATTATTATATTAATCGGATTAATCTTAGCATACCTGTGAACCAGTATGGGAAGTTGCATTACCTAGTCATTAGTGCTATAGTTAAACATGAGCATACCCTCTTAAGTGTACCACGTAGGAGTTGGGACCTCATCCAGCAGCCAAAATCGTCCCAACTCGGACTCCTTGTAAGCCACAGGATCATGCAACGTATGAGTCCGCACATCCTTCCAGAAACGATCAAAGCCATACTTCTCTGCTGTGGATCTCGCCCCAGTAACCTCGAAGACCCCACTAGTGACCTCCAGCGATGTATGAGTAGCTATAATCTTTACACTGGCAACCCATTCCGCTACCTCACCCCGTCTACGTGCAGATAGATCCCTCCTTGGCCCATGCTCGTTAAACGCATCTGCTATCTCCTTCCCTGCGCGATCAGCAAGCGCGTCCGCCGCACGCAAGGAGGCAAACAACTTCCCATAGCGTGCAAGAACATAGTGCTCATCCGTCGGACTGGATTTAGGCTCATGAGCAAAAGGCCAGGCGCGAGTTTGCGTGAGAGTGTAATGCCTTGCTGTTCGGAGAGCACCGTGTGCGATTCCAATATAGAAATTAGAGAAAACAAGTTGGATAGTGGGCAAGAGCAGAGCGGCGAAGGAAGCCTGGAGGACTTCAGGTATGGGTGCTTTTGTTTCTTTCGACCACCCTAAAGCATCTTCCCAGGCGATGGGAACGTTGTGGATCTTGACTGAGCCGGATTCTGTGAGACGGAGTCCAATATTGTTCCAGTTGTGGGAGAAGACAATGCCCGGCTGGTCGGTTGGAACGATGGCGAATATATGCCCCTCCGTGTCTTCATAGATTCCTTCTAGTACAGTGAGATCTGAGACTACACCTCCTGTGCTGAAGTTCTTGAACCCGTTGAATACAAGACCGTCACCAGATGGTGCACGAGTGATTCTACTGTCGTTATCGCGAGGGTTTACGGCTCCTTGGGAGACTTAGCGTACTATACCTTTTCAAGAGATGGAACGATGATTGATACCTCCGAGAAAATAGTTGTTCTCAATGATCAATTTCTCATAACGCTCTTTCTGTTCGTCGGTACCCACGATGTGTGCCGTAACAGACCAGAGGAGGTGGTATCCTAATAACATACCGATCGATCTATAAGTCTAATTAGCATATCCAGCAGCCCATTCCCTACCAATAGCTCGACTCACCCATCCCCCGCAGCAACCTCCCGAATAACTTGGTACCCAGTTTCCCAACTCTCCCCGCCACCGCCGTACTTTACATCGCCCAGTACTTTGGTTAGACTGGAGCTCTTCAGCAAAGCAACCTCAGCCCGTGGTGTCTTTTGCTCTTTGCTCCTGGCCGAAGCATCCGGGGCAAGGATGTTGGACACCTTACGTGCACGCTCCAGCCACCCAGCCGTTGTAGTCGGCTGTCCTTCTGCCGCAAAGGCGGCATGATGAGCTTGATAGATAGATGGGTCCGATGCAGGGGGCGCCAGATTTGGCGGAGGGTGGCTTTGAAGAGTGAGAATTGTAGGGTTAGACTGAGCCATGATGTCTTAGGATGTGGTTGAGTTAGGACTGAGAGGCAATGTATGTACTGAAAATAAGAAATTAAGCTGCGAATAGATCGCAGTTTATATACCTTGGTTCATGCGGTCAAGGTGCAAAGATGCGTTCGTCCGAAACCCCTGCCGATGATGCCATTTCTATTGCTCATTATATCGACAAGTCGTAATGGTGATAGACTCCTCAGTTTCTTTCCCGACACCTAATCGGGCAGTGTTCGGCAAGTACTATCCTCATTAATTGGAAGACGCAATAAGGTTATTGCTTGCGAATGCCACTGGGGCTGGGTGTTGTGGAGATGATTCGCGGTGGATATGATTGTGTGCTTCTCGCTCCGATCACGTCTTCGAGTTAGTCGCTGTCCCCATTTTTGAGATTTATCCTGTAATTGGTGGCCTGTCGTGCCAGTAATTTTTAAAAAGGGAGTGGTTTTAATATTCTTATAGATAGAAACTATGTTGGAGATGGAATAATTCAGCCAATCAATCGGTCAAGGTGCCATTAACCTGTTGTAGTCCAATAACTATGCCCAGTTCAACCATCTAACGTGAAATTTCTCTGCTCTGCACTGCATATCAAGCAACGACTATTACCAACCAGTATGCTTTACTCAAAAAGAAAAAACCAGCACTGAATGGCCTTTAGCCGGTGCTTGTCGATGATATATGTTCTTTAGTTGTCGTTTGCTCCCTCATCAAGCCGTTGAAGCAGTCGAGCTATTGTCAAGTGTCCCTTTTCCGTTCTGAAAGATCCTTTCCATAGGATTCCTCGGGTAACCCGTCCATAGGATCGTATGTCCCTTGTCGCTAATGAAAGCTTTCGTTACAAGCTTCTCCTCCTTTCTATCCCATTCCTCCTGTGGCAACCGTATCGCGTCAAGCCCACGCTCTAGATCCTCTTAAAAAGCTTTTTTTTAATTCAACCCTATTGCCTTTATTTGGGCTTCTATATTGAGGTGGAGATCTTTCATTTGTAATGTACGCTTCGAATCCTGCAAGGCCTCTGTTAGCCTCATGGCCACAACGACCATATTGTCAATGGCCTGGGCCGTACTTCGAATCCGGTGAACTGTAGAGTGTCGAATCTCAGGTAAACGTGCAATGGATTTTTGGACACTCAACTTTAGTTCCTTATTAGGAAGACATGGTAACTACGTGGCCAAGAATGCTCTCCATCCCGTGAGTTCTACCGCTTCGGTGCAATCCCACCCATAAGAGTTTAAGTGCCGAAGGAAACCACTTCTGAGTAAATTTAAAGTAGGACTATTCTAGTAGTCGCTGGATAGTCGATAGGATACACTGTTGAGTGCGATATGGGAAGTACGATGGGTATAGTGGAAAACAACGCACTTCTGTCTCTTCCGTGGGCGAAGGAGATGGAGATGTGAAGGAGTGAGTTATAATCGATCAGATCACAAGGCTATTTACTTACCTGATATGATTTCTTTTTTGGGCATAAATTTCGGCTGTGGGTGTCACCTCTACCTGGATAGACAGAGGTGATGGTGGAAAAGGGCTTGTTTCGCTTTTCTCGCTCTCGAATACGGACATGACCTCCTTGAGATCCTCCGCCGCCGCATGGACTGCCTCTTTTTTCAGAAGCATCGTGTTGGTTCTTTCTAGACGGCGAAGGCTCACGCAACTTAGAAATAATTTTTAGTTTTGATATCTCATTCAAAGACTCCAGCTCGGAGGAGTTTCTTGGCAATCATTGTGACTCTGTCTACACTGAAATTAGGAATTAACGTGCGAAGCGAAGCTTCATGCTCCACTATTTGTTTCTTGACGCTCTCGGAAGTCCGTATTAGGGTGTTGCTGTCTGAGAAGATAGCCTTGCAGACTAAAAAGACCTGGCAAGTTTCTTCTGGGGTACAAGCCGTCGTTAAAACGTGGCTGGGTTTGGAGTATTTGAGGGTCTGAGGGTATGTCCTTGAGGGAAAGGAACTGGGAGAAAATTTTCTCTCTCAACTTAGTAGAAGTACTACATGGTGCCCGCCACTCACTCTCTAGCCCTATATAAAGCAACTGGCCACTGTAGATCATGATGATATAGGGTAGCCAATGCTGGTGAAGGTTAGCATTAGAACAACCACTCTATATATACTTCTTTCCTCGACGCTAAGTTGGTGACAAGAGGTACATCGGGACGGTCAAATAAATATGAAAGCCAGGTTTAAAGGATCCATTAAGAATTGCTGAGGATGATAAGAATAGATACGAATTCAGAATAATTTGATATTTTTCCAATATACTGTTAGGAAAAGGCGTCTTGTATTGACTGACTAGGCTTCAACGTGTTGAGGTCACTATAACAACCGGCATGGTATAGCTTCAGGGTAGACCTAGGTCACAACCACGCGTTTATCACTACGTATCATGACGCACCTTGCGCCCCGCAATATGCGAACGCTGTTCATGCCGGAATTCAAGCCATATCTTGTATCACCGACCTTTGATGAACCTATTACTCCTCTCTTGCCTTTGGCTTTGTACCGACACTATCCTCAAGATGCCACATCTCAACAAATCGTAAGCAAACATTTCCCAACTCTAAATGCTAATGTATTAACTAAGTTATGAGTAGGACACTTTGTGGAGGGATTGCAAAGATCGGTGCGGGAACCGCAGCCACCACTTTTGCTGTTCACATAGAGCTCCTTCGTGGCTGCTCACCATACTTTGATCGTTACTTCGGGCTTCCACTGGACGACAAGTTCTAATAGAACCGAATAACGCTCCCAGATATTGACTCTGATGTATTCACTAAGCTCATCTGCTGGATGTATCGCAGTGAACTCTGCATCGATCAATGTTCTGCTTCCAGCAAGGTCGTTCTACCCAAACTCTGGGTTTTAGCTGAAAGATTCGAAATGTCTGAACTACAGAACTCTGTCATCTCGCTCTGGAGGAAGATATCGAGTGAAGATCCGGACGTGCTGCTGAATTGACTATATCCACACTCACGCACTGCCGAACACGTCGCTGCGTTTACTGACAGTCGAGACAGGGGCAAGAAACGCGACAAGGCCCCAATTTTTGGCCTGTCAGGGTAGCCTTTCATATGGATTGCTTGCAGACCTCCGTTGTGCTTTGGTTGAGGCAAAGATTGATCCGTGCTCCAGCATTACAGGAATGGTCAGTCTTCGATACCGTTGCCTCTTATGCCTTGCCATTCTGATGAGGGATCTGGGCCTTGCCAGTGCTAACATTGCATAGCCCACAACCCCTGTTCTGGAGGAAGATCGAGAGATCCAACAAATCTCATCTCGTGTATATTCATCCTAGACTAACCGCGGCTCAAACCTGGTTGTTTCGACCCAAGGAAGTGCTAAATAAATGTCGGGGGCACCCCCAGGTCATCAATCAGCGGAGAATCTAATTCTTTCTTCATCAGGGAGGCTTCTATATACTACTTGCAACTCAACATAGCCTACACTTTATAGGACTGTCTACTGGACCATATTGAGTTGGAGAGGTTAACAGAGACAAGCTCGCACCACAGTCGAAACAATGCAGTCCTACTTCTTCTTGAATAACAATGACTTGTAGCTATCAACCTAACTAGGTATATAAGTAGTTCTACACCTATCTCATTCTATACTAGACAATAAGCCAGATCTACATACCTCATTCCCCTAACCTAGCAAGACGCAACACTACAACCTCTAAACCATCCTCATTCGCCCCGTCCTCAACCTATACCAAAGGAATAAAGACCCACGATGAACACGAAGACCGGTGGACCCTTCAAGATACGGATCCAACTACCCAATCCGGCAACCGAATCCGCCTCATTTATAAGACCCCAAACAGCCCACCACCACATCGCCAAACCACTCTATATACCACCCCTTCCAACAACAAGAAATAAAACAAAAAAAAAAAAAAGAAAAGAAAGAAATGACCCTCCACATCGCCATCCTAGACGCCGACGTCCCCGTCCCAGCTGTCTACAAATCCCGCGGCCTCTACTCAACGCAATTCCACCATCTCCTCCAATCTGCCGCCGCACGCCTCTCCAATGCAAGCCCCAACCCCCAAATCCAGATTATCACCACATCCTACGACGCCGTCGGCGGCTTCCTTCCCCCCTTAGCAAGCCTCCGCACCACAGCCCGCACCCCCAACGGACCCAAAGCCCCCAACCCCCTTGCAACCGCCATAGACGCCCTCCTAATAACTGGCGCCGCCCCCGGCATCTACGAGACAAAAGCCTACCCCTGGATCAAACCCCTAGAAACCTACATCCAAACCGTCTACACCCACTACCCGCACGTCAGATTCTTTGGCTCCTGCTTTGGCCATCAGATCATCGCCCAGGCCTTACTCTCCGCATCGACCCCGCACCGTCCACCGGGCCCCGCACTAAAAGTCGAGATATGTCCTTCGGGCCGCGAAACGGGTCTTGCTGCTGTTAATTTGTCGGAGGAGTTTGTGGATGCGTTTCCGCGGCTCCGGGAAGGACTTCCGGGGGGGAAGATGCGGTTGCAGATGATTCATGGGGATTGGGTGGTCCCTGATTCTGGGCGTGAGGGAGAGGGAGAGGTGCCGCGGGGGTGGGTGAATGTAGGACGGACGGGGTTGTGCGGGATTCAGGGCTTGTATTTTCCCGGTAGGGTTTTGACGTATCAGGGGCATTTTGAATTTGATGTTTTTGTCAACCGAGAGACGTGCTTGGCGTTTGGAGAGAGACTTGGGTGGCGGGAGGAGGTTGTGAGGGAGTATGTGCGGTTGATTGAGGAGGGGGCCGAGGGGGATGATTCGGAAATTGCGGCGGAGGTGGTGGTGTTGTTTTTCGCTGGCTTGGAGGGGTGATTGCGTGGATGCCATGGTAGTGGTAAATGTGATATGCATCTTTGATGTAATTAATTAATCTTGCATTGACTACACCTAGATATACTGCTCCTATGCGGATGGAGTGCTGCGAGTGTATTTAGTGCTCAATCAAGGTCACTCTTCCAAAATACATGGGAGGCTCGAATAACGTCTACAATTTTCCCATCAAGCCTGCCATTGCTCCCACACGTGGCAGATCCTCACATAAGGTGCGGTGATTCCTTTGCATGACAGCCACACGTTATAGCCCCTGTCATCAGCCATAATAGGATCTGTATGGCTCGAGTGGATGCACCATTCTGGGTAATACGGAGCTGGCTCGGGTTCCGGAGGATCCCTATCATTGCTGCTGCTGGCTTTTCACCATCAGCATCCATTGTTCGTGGCTGACAGAATTGGAAGCTAGCATGCTGAGCCTGAATGAGGCAGCGTCGGGCAGGGCAAGCTGCAAAGGCCATGGAGGAATACGGGCACGACCCAGGTGCACGATGTCGGCAGCAGACGGACTTTCGTTCGGAGCCTGTACACGGACTCTGTGTAGATGCATTGCCGTAAGCGGCGGTGACCGGCCGATGCGCGCAGTTTCGCTGACGTCTGTGTGCATGGCTACTGTCCCAAAGCCTATGTGGGATCGTAGGTCCAGAAGCGGATCAGAGCCAGTGATGGTTTCGACCAAAAAGCGCCTCGGCGACTGTGCGTATGAGTACGTGGTCCGCACAGACTGATTGTTATAGGCATGGATCCCTGGGCGCTTGGAGCGGCAACTCTGTATATTAGGGTTTACATGAGTGTATACGTACAACGGCCTTCGTCAGGTTTCCCACGGAGCCCCTCGCCACGCTTTGCCTGAGGGAGATAGACGGGGCCCGCCTTTGCGGGACCATGGTGATGGTTGGGTACGCGCTGGAGAAGAAAAGAAAGGGATGAATTGCGGTTGTGGTGGGCGGGCACACCTAGGCAGAGGGCCCATCACGCGTTAATAGGGCCTACTGCTTAGTGTGTGGATCATCTTTTTTTTTTCCCTTCCTTCTTTGTTTTCGGGATGCACAAGTTAGGTATCAAGGATCTCCTGTTACAGCACTGCAGCCCCTTGTCCAGGTTGGTCAGCGGTTGGACACAGTGCGGAGAATAGATCCCTTCTAGAAGTAAACACTTGATTATGCATGGCAAGAGTGATGAAACTCCTTCATAGAGATTGACTCATACTTTATGTAGCTTGGTTGTGGTCGCATCATAGTGTAATGAAGACATCACCATCCTCCTGATGCTCTGTGGAATTTTCTACCATTGTTAACCGCGTTCACTTCTCCCACTTACCTTCCCGAGGCTCTTAGAGCTGTTCCAGCGTGCCTTCCCAAGGATTTCCCATTCATTCATACTTAAGTGTCGGTAAGTGCCCGCGAAGGCCAACTCTTTCAGAGTACCTAGTCTTTTCCCACCCGACCCGCGTCTTGCCTTAACCGAACTGTGTGTTTTCCACCATGCCTCTGAAGAAAACATCGAAGAAGGCTGCTGACGTGAACATTTATACTGATACCGATGCTAGGTCTACCGCTGTACTCGCAACCAAGACTGACATAGCCTTAGAGTCTGACATGATTGCCGGTGCGAAAGGTCACTGGCTGAATGCCTTGATACCGACGAACTCCATTCGGAAGTCCTGTACGATAACATGTATACCGGCAACGACAAAGGTCTTGGAATAGTCAGGGAACACGCAAGAATACCTGCACTAAAGACCAAGCTCAAAGGGTTGGAGAGACAGCTCAACAAGTCAGACGACAAGCTCAAAGAGATGATGGACCGTTTCAGCGAACTCCACAACGCCTTCAATCGGCAAGCGCAACAGACAGACGTGAGGTTCTCTCTTCTTATGCTGATATCAGGAGCAGGTTTCTCTCTACATTCCGGAGAGATTTCATGGACGATGAGTCGAGGGAAAGTCAAAAGGTCATCGACAAGGGAAACATCGCCGCTCACCACGGATTCTTTATGGCGGACGCTATGCTATACGATCCAGAGGGCTTTAAGGACGAACACGGCCAGCAATTCCCACCACGCACTGATCAGGATACCTTCAAGCTTCTTTATGGTGTTGACCCTAGCCTTGCTGAGAAAATCGGTAAGCGTCACATTCTCCAGATCTTTATTAGTTTTGCTCAAAGGCTGACGCTACCTGTGTCCAGATTACACGCCGACAGTTCAGGTACTGGAGAGACATGCCACGGTTCGCGCTTCGTCTAGATTTCAAATGACCGCCCTGTTCGAGGAGAAATTTCAAGCATTCATACGCGCTTTGAAAGCCACAGACTTCGCTGGTGATTACCTGAATTTCCAATCAGATCAGGTTGCAGAGCTTCTGTTCGCATACCAAAAGTTCTGGAAGGCTAGCAGACAGTGCCAGCCACTAGGGTGATCCCAGGAGGCTGCTTCACACGCACTATTCGGCAGTCCTCCTGCGGAAAGGATAATGGGGACCACATGACCATTCTTAGTGCTTGTATGTCCCTCACGCGTGAGGTATAGACGTTATAAGAAACACAATAGAAACGAACACGAGGACATTATTGCTTTACGAATATATACATGATGACATCGTCATCATTGTAGCCGTCCTGTTATCTCACGCCTATGCCCAATTCGCAAATGACACCCCCCCCCCCCCCCCTGGCAGGCGATCAATCTCCATCTCCGTTGCAATCCCATCACATCGAAGAATCCCTTGGGGTCCAGCCCTTGTGTCGCTGCATCATCCTTACCAGTCTCCATGAGATACTTGTAGGCCCGGCGAATGGTGTGCAAAACGGACTTTCCGGCCACACCGGGGTAGATAGCCAGCTGTCTGTATTAGAGGAAACCTAGCAGGCAGCATAAGAGCCCAGAACTTACCTTGACTCCCCACTCGCCCAGCTGCTCCAGAGAGAACCATGCTGTCTTGCCGTTGGAAACTAGATTCACCATGAGCTGGCAGGTCAGTATCATCGAATTATGCATATGAATGGGACTGGATGTACAGGCATCGGCGCAAGAACCTTGACCGCGTTCTTAATCTGCTCCTCCGTTTCAATAGCCTCCAAGAAACCCATATCGGCACCGCATTCCCGTGCTGCCAGAAGCTGTAATATATTGTTAGACTGATCACACACACAAGCAGCCAGGAGTGGACATATCCTCTCCAAGGCCGCATCGTAGCCGTCCACAGCGAGCGAGACTGTACTCGCAATAATGACAATATCACTCCCTCCTTGCCTTTCAAATGGCCACATAGTTTGTTAGACACTGGTCTTCGATGTGGAAGCCCGCCACGCCGCACGAGTCATACATCTAGACCACGTGGGCGATGTTTGGTGGCGATCCGAAGCCCACGTCCGCGTCGGCGATGAGCGGAATCCGAGGATTGATGTTCGTGGTCATCTGGGCGTTTTGCGCAAAGTCGTTCAGCGACGCAAATGCAAGATCTGCTCGTCCCAGGCGTGCGGCTGTGGTCATCGAGCCGCCTTGGTACAGTTCTTGATTACTGTGCGCGACAAAATAGGGAAATGGTGGGAGATGTACCATGATTTTGAAGCCTTGCTCGATGGCGAGGCACGCGCAAATGCCATCATGTACTCCTCGTGCCTGAATGCAGACTCCTGGCTAGGAGAGTAGCTTTCACAGCCGCGTCGCAGGCTTCATGTACTGTCCTGTGTCTCCCATGTTTGTTCTGTCGGGTAGCCGGTGTTTACAGAGAAAATGATGTGGTATTCGTGCTGGGACATTTAAAAGAACTGTCAATCACTTCGGGGTAATATTGCTTAGCAAAAGCCGTAAATTGCATATCATCGGTGGTTCTGGCTTCAATGGGGCCTTTGAATATTTTGAGGCCCCACTATCAAAAAGATATTTTGGGTTCTGCGGCACAACCTAACTGGTAGATCTACCTGATCCATACTTCAATAAGAAAGTTATTGAGATGCTTCTCAACTACACTATAATTAAGTTATGACCTATTCTAGGAATCATATTATTTTATCTAGCCTAGCATAGCGGCTTTTGCCTCTCGCCATTGGAACCTGAACAAGTTTGTACACTGTGTGTTCAAAATATTTAGAAAATAACATCTTAAGCAGGAAGAGGAAGGCCCTTTTATCTTTTCTTCGCCTCCTTGTCCTTTTTGCTTTACTCCCTGTACTCACTGTGTAGGCGCCAGGCTCATCTCAAGTTGTTCACAGCACTAGGACAGACTGAGTAAGGTTGACCAACGCTCATAAACGCGGCGATGCACAGCGTGGAAAGGCCACGATTTCTAGCCCAAAGGCCACGCACAGCCATGTCCTTTCCGTCGTTACCCAGACTTACTCCGTATATATCAGGCTTTTGAGTGATAGACACAGGATGCGGATTCACTGTGCAGTTTGTCCTGGCTCTTCATGCTGCGATCATACATTGAATTGTGTAGCCATCTTTTTTGGGTAAACTCTTCAACCCTTAGGGTAACTCAAACGCAGAGAAAGCGAGGTCCTCATAAATCCAGGCTGAATACGACATGTTTCCGCCTACCACCAACAGGCCGGGCAATGTGTTTTCGTAAGGATAGAAGACTCTAAAGTTGGATAAATCCGTCTGCGACGTGGATATTGGAGTGCTGACCATATTATGCAGTGTGGAATATAAACCAACCACAGGCATAATAATTGACCAGAAATAGCAGCCAAACTAGCGGCCTTGGTAGCGACACCTCGACGGCATGGCATGCTGTCCAGATTCCATCCACTAAACCGGCGTCTAACGCGGTCTAGTTTCCCTGGAAAACCATTTAACTTGATCCTAGTTTTTATATCTAAACGACACCAGACGGTATCCATGGAGAGGGCTTTGATAACCGGGACATGTGCCCATAAATACGATTTGTGGCTCTCATTGCTGTCAACGTTAGCGAGACCCTTATTTTTCAGTGATTGTCGGTACATGAATTCAAGCATAATTATCTGTAGGGCCGAGTCTGCCCCAGCAAAAGCACGGAGCAAACCCTGTGAAAGGAATGGCCTTTGCTGGCCTATGGCGTGTGAGGTATCACCCATGCACGAATACTCTCTATTGAGGCTAGGGGCGGAGAGGATAAATTGGGAGACTTCCGAAGCGTCATTGTCTTTGTTTACAATCCCAGCATTGTCGAGCACGCCCGCTAGTGGTTCCTTCGGCAGTCTCGCATTTAGCGGATGGCGCAGTATGAAGCAAATACTCATGAAGATGACTATCAGCAAGAGCAGCTCCACTTCCATGGCTATCAGTGCGAAGTCTCGGGCGATCAGACGCTGCTTGTCGACAGCCATTGTATCCGTGATTGAGGTATTGGTGGGCTGGAGCAAGTATTGCCGGGCTCTCTACGCCGCCAGTGAGGGCAGGAAGTCCTTAGCTGCGCGTTGGAAGTCTACCATCTTACCAACTGGAATTGGAAGAGGGTTGAGGAAAGGGCGTATTAAAAACTCGGAAGATGGGATCGATCCAGTTGACAGGATGGCGTGTCATGTATCCATTCTGTGGTAGGAGCATAGCGGTCTGGTCGGTGCCCCGGAGAATTTTCAATGGTGTGATTCCTACCAACGTCCGGTTTGGCCTTTCTCGGCCGGCGATATGTCAAGAGAGACCACTGGGTCTAGCAAGTTTTTAGCCGTCAGCTGCGCCCGGAAAATGCGAGTCAGGCTTGAACAGCACGGTTGCAATCTTCTAGCCTGTTGTCCGGTTTTCATCCGTCACCGGGGCCATGGCATGTAGTAGCAAGTACAGCATGTTATGTTCAACAGCCTCAGTTTCAGGGGCCCACATCATTGTGACCGTATTTGACAGCGAGATGGCCATCGCAGCTTGCCCAATAAGATTCCCACGCGTTTTGATTGAAGAAGGGAAACGTGAGTTCACAACGTAGTGTCGAAATATGGAAATTCGAAGGACTCAAACGAACCCGAGTAGAAGGCTCGAGCTGCACCATGACTAGCTCAAAGACTCCATCTTCATCTAATGAGAATGTGATGGCAAGGTTATTGGCGCTATAATATGGCACACGGAGTAGGCCTCGAAAGCATCAACAATGCCCGTGATGGCGGTGTCGTATGTGGCGGGGGGACGAGTTAAAGGTCTGAAATGCGTGTCCATCAGTGCTGCCGAAGAGATACCCGTTTCCATGCTTCTGTGCAGTGGTCAACATGCCGAAAGGAAGCCAATCAATCCAGGTCCTAGGGTACTATCCGCTGCTGAACTGGGTAGACAAGTTGAGAGGCGTATTATGAAGTTAGATAGCCGTTTTCTGCAGTGACTAGAAATACGTCGAAAGAATAAAAGCAGCTTTGTTAACAACGTCCCAGATACCATGAGGCAAGTCAAGAGATCAGCCTCTCGTAGCAACGACGCGAGTCCCAATTCAATTCGAGACAAAGCATAGCTCAGACGTCGCGCAGACTTGTTAGAACTGTGTCACTTTCCCGGATTCTCCCAAGACCTCCGCTCAACAATCTGGAATTTCAAATGGACGCAGAGGCATGACACACCGATAGATACTGTTTATTTGCAGCCAAGGTGTTACCATGCTGCTCCAACGAGACCATGAACAGCTCCCCAGACTATCTTGCCATACATACCCACAGTTGGGCCATATACCCGTAAGAAATCGAAGCTTATCCCAGTCGGTAAGAGACCTCCATTACGTTTCGAAATGGTACCCAATGCGACGGCCAACGCCGCAAAGATGGCTGTGAAGCATGCGAAACACGCTCAGTTGGTGAAAGAAGCGGATGGTATTAACCTCTGGTGGAGAGCCATCCTGCTTTGTACCATTTTAGGACATCAGCAATCGAAAGTCTATTAGGATCAACGTGATCTCTCGTTTCGCCCTTGAGTTTCCATTTAATCGTGGCGGGGCTGGAGTCTACGACGCTCGCTGGTATTATTAAGGATTCGTACACCTTGCCGCACACCAAACACAGCCCCCAAAACTGTTGGCTTAGCACTATACCCAGCTAAAGTCGCAAAACATCCGATTGTAGGTAGAAGCTAACATTTAGTATAAATCCTACACTAGTGTGGAAGAAGCCTGCAGAGAGGTGGGAAATCCTTCACTGTACACGGTTCTCAAATAGGGCAACTATGCTTCTCGAGATACACGGCGAGTTACAATTTCGGTTATGTTTTTCCGTTGGATATCAGAGGTGAAAAGGTAATGTAGTTGTCTATTCTCGAGTAGCTCACATTATCAGCGAAATGAACCAATACTCGCTAAGTCGACTTTATATTGGCGCGCATTATCAACCCCTACTACTATACATTTAGCACTTCAGCCTATTGGGACATCCTGTATAAGCATCAGTCAGTTGGCATCATATCAAATGTCCGCACCGAGATAAGACACATGTCCGAATCTCCGTTCTGCATACGACATATGGATATTATTCGACAGTGTATTCCACTGACGTAAACCTGCAGCAGGAACGCCTAATCGCTGTGACTATGCATCGGTGGAAGCGGAGTCCGCTTGGTGAGAATTGTCACTCCATGCAGCGTATGACGTGTCGGTGAAGTCGAGAGTAACAAACCGTGCTGGGGGATGGCAACCATTAACCCCTCACCCTAAGCGCCTCTTAAGTGATTGCCCTAGTCAAAAGGGATCTTGGGTTTTCAATCAACACTCTGTTTGAGGTGTGAGGGTATTTAAGGGGCCACTGTAGGTATTGATCGAGGTTAAATTACATTAATGCCTAGACCAGGTTCGTCTAGGATGGGTAGACTAGTGGACTGGTAAGGGAGCCTGTTTGGTGACTCCACTAGATCTTTAGGCACCAAGTGCAGGTCACTAAAATTAAAAGAGTGTGCTAGTAGGCAAGGTCTTATCATTTATGCATCCCTGACTAGGGCTACCGGGCGATGGCTATTCCGGGTCGGATTTAAGCCCTGAATATACCGTACCTCAGGCACCCGCCACGGTTTTGACACTGGCCGATTCCGCCTAAAGTCCACCAATTAGAGTAGCCGGTCGGCATATGAAACGCCGTGTCGCCGACATTTTTAGAAAAATTAGACAAGGCGTGGTCCACATGTGGACCGGAAAGTCTCATCCGAGCGGCCAAGCATAACTTAAAAAAACTCCTATACATCAAGCCCGATATGGAAGAATCTACAACTGCACAATGGAGATGGATGGATGGATGGATGGTGGATCCGTCTCGAATATCATGTTCTATTACAAAGACCCCCCAATTCCGCCACCACCCCCTACCAATTAACTGTATACCGAATCTTCACACTGCCTTTGTAGGCACTATTCTATATACTGTGGCCGACGTGGGTACTTGTTGTTTCTTTCCCTCGTAGTTCCTCGCTGACACCGTCCCTAGAATGTCGTCCAAGGGTGAGACGGGCCCGGACGTCGACCGGGCGCCGCAAATTGACACTAAATTCGAACGCGATGACGATACCCTATCGGACACATCCTCATCTCTGTCATCGGACGAGGAACAGGAGCGACAGTCCTTGTCTCGCATTGCCTCTAGCCGACTGGGCCAAGTGCTCTCCACTCAGGGGAAGGATGACCCCCAGCTCGATCCTAACAGTCCTGAATTCGACCATCGTCGTTGGGCCCATTCCGTTCTGAAGTTAATGCACCAGTCCGGTATCGAACCACCACGACAAGGCGTCGTCTTCAAGGATCTCCAGGTCTCGGGGTCCGGGTCAGCGCTTCAGTACCAAGAGACGGTCCTATCCACGTTCACTATCCCCTTTCGCAAGGCGTCTAGAGCGATTTCGGGGCAGAAACAGGCCCCTCGTCGCCAGATCCTGCGCGGCTTTGATGGTCTCCTCGAGGGAGGAGAGCTCTTGCTTGTCCTGGGCAGGCCTGGAAGCGGATGCTCAACGTTACTCAAGACCATCTGTGGCCGCATGGGCGGACTATCCTTGGAGCCCGAAAGCACTATACACTACAACGGAATAGGGTATGAGGAGATGATAAAACACCACCGAGGAGATATTGCCTACAACAAGGAGGTAGATGAGCACTTTCCCCACCTCACTGTGGGCGAAACCCTCTCTTTTGCGGCGCATGCCCGGGCTCCTCGACGACGTCTCGAGGGCATGAGTCGCATGGAGTTTGTCGATACCATGACCAAGGTGGTCATGTCGATATACGGCCTCTCGCACACCGCTAACACCAAGGTGGGAGATAATTTCATCCGTGGAGTTAGTGGAGGTGAACGGAAACGGGTTAGCATTGCAGAGATGTTTCTGTCTAACTGTCGCATCGGTGCTTGGGATAATAGCACCCGAGGCCTCGATGCGGCGTCAGCCCTGAAGTTTGTGAGGTCCCTGCGTCTCTCCGCCGACATGAGCAACACCTGCCACGCTGTAGCTGCCTACCAGGCCTCTCAGTCAATGTACGAACTCTTCGAAAAGGTGGTGGTCCTTTACGAGGGTTATGAGATCTACTTTGGGCCCACAGACGGTGCTGTGAAATATTTCCAGCGGATGGGCTGGGAACGACCGGAGAAGCAAGTTAGCCCTGACTTTTTGACGGCCATTACCAACCCCGCAGAACGAAAAGCCCGTCCTGGCATGGAGGAGAAGGTCCCTCGGACCCCGAAGGAGTTCTCAGATTATTGGAAGCGCAGCCCTGAATATCAACAGTTGCGCAACGACATTGGCAAATATGTACAAGAACACCCGCCAAATAGCGAGGGGGCCCAGATCCTCCGCCACACCCATGAGGAGAAGCAGGCCCGGCATACCCGCACAGACAGCCCATATCTGCTATCCATTCCGATGCAAATCCGGCTTTGTGTCCGGCGGGCGTATCAGCGCCTGCGCAATGATTTGCCCACGGCGATGTCAACAGTAATCGTTCAGACCGTCCTGTCCCTGATTATCGGATCTGTCTTCTATAATTCTCCCAATACTAGCAATGCATTCTTCCAAAAGGGTGCTGTACTATATTTCGCCGTGTTGATGAACGCGCTAATTACTATTGGTGAGATCATGCAACTCTACAGCCAGCGGTCCATTGTGGAAAAGCAGGCCGCCTATGCCTTTGTGCATCCATTCACTGAGGCTTTGGCTGGCATCCTAGTGGATCTGCCCATTAAGATGCTCCGGTGTTCTGTTTTCTGTATCATCCTCTACTTCCTAGCCAACTTACGCCGGGAACCGTCACAGTTCTTCATCTTTTACATGTTTTTACTGTGCGCCGTTCTCACCATGTCGGGAATGTTCCGTAGCTTGGCTGCGTTGACGCGAACGGTTGGCCAAGCCATGGCACTTGCCGGTATCCTTGTCCTATGCATCGTTGTCTATACAGGGTTCACTCTGCCACAGCCATATATGCACCCATGGTTCTCCTGGATTCGCTGGATTAATCCCATTTACTATACCTTTGAATCACTAGTTGCCAATGAGTTCCATGGCCGGAATTTCGAATGTGCATCTTACATCCCATCATATGGCACGGGCAACTCTTTCATTTGCTCAGTCGTTGGTGCGGTGGCTGGGCAACGGTTTGTCTCCGGAGATGATTTCATTGAACAGAATTACCACTACTCATACTCGCATATATGGCGCAACTTCGGCATCCTGATCGCATTTATGATCTTTTTCAACGCACTCTACTTAACAGCCACGGAATTTATCTCTTCCGACAAGTCCAAGGCGGAGGCATTGGTATTCCGGCCTGGTCATGCTCCCAGATATCTCCAACATGGTGAGGATATCGAGGCAGAGAAGGCGAAGGTTGCAACGGAGGTTCGGGCTGATGCGAATTCCATCCGACTCCCTGAGCAAAAAGATATCCTGTCCTGGAAGTCTGTGTGTTATGATATTCCCGTCAAAGACGGAACTCGCCGGCTGCTGGATGACGTGAATGGATGGGTAAAGCCCGGCACACTGACAGCCTTGATGGGCGTTTCTGGTGCGGGGAAGACTACCCTCCTCGACGTACTTGCCCAGAGAGTGTCCATCGGAGTAGTCACCGGAGACATCCTCGTTAATGGTAAAGGTCTTGCCGCGAACTTCCCCCGTCGTACTGGTTATGTCCAGCAACAGGACCTCCACCTTGAGACCACTACGGTGCGTGAGGCTCTACGCTTCAGCGCCATGCTTCGTCAACCACGATCCGTCTCTCAACGAGAGAAGCATGATTATGTGGAGCAAGTCATCCAAGTTTTGGGCATGGAAGACTATGCCGAGGCAGTGGTGGGCAGGCTAGGTGAAGGGTTGAATGTAGAACAGCGAAAATTATTAAGCATTGGCGTTGAACTTGCTGCCAAGCCCACCCTTTTAGTCTTCCTCGACGAACCTACCAGCGGGCTGGACTCCCAGAGCTCATGGACGATCTGCGCGTTTCTTAAGAAGCTGAGCAATCAGGGCCAAGCGGTGCTTGCAACTATCCACCAGCCTAGTGCTATGTTATTTCAAACCTTTGACCGCTTGCTATTCCTTGCCAAGGGAGGAAAGACGGTCTACTTCGGTGATATTGGTGAGGACTCCCGCATTCTGTTGAACTATTTCGAACGCAACGGCGGCCGAATTTGCAAGGAACAAGAGAATCCGGCAGAGTACATCCTCGAAACGGTCTCCGGCGATGTTGATAAGAACGCACCAGATTGGGTAAAGGTGTGGAACGACAGCCCTGAGCATAAGGATATCCTCGCGGAGCTTGATCGATTACACTCACTCCAAGGTGAAGCAGATTCTCACTCTTCCAGCGTCGAGGAGGGGGCCAACAACGAATTCGCGATGCCATTATACAGCCAGCTCTATCATGTTCTCTATCGGGTGTTCCAGCAATACTTGCGCCAACCAGAGTATATATTCTCGAAATTCATCCTAGGAATAGTTTCCGGTCTATTCATCGGGTTTTCCTTTTGGAAAACCGACAATACGCAACAGGGCTTTCAGAACTCCCTCTTTAGTATTTTCTTGCTCTGCACAATCTTCAACACTCTGGTCAACCAGATCATGCCCAAGTTTGTGGCTCAGCGCGCCCTCTATGAGGTCCGTGAGCGGCCTTCACGCGTCTACTCCTGGAAGGTATTCATCCTCTCACAAATGATTGTTGAGATCCCCTTCCAAATCGGACTAGGTATCTGCTCCTGGGCATCATTCTACTGGTCTGTCTTCGGTGCAGGCCAAGACTCTGAGCGTCGCGCCCTGATCATGCTTTTCATCGTGCAGTTCTTCGTTTATAGTGCGAGTATGGCCCAGTTCGTTGTCTGCGCGATCGGGGAACCCGCATTGGCATCCATGCTTGCCACCCTTATGTTCGGTCTTTCATTCATGTTCTGTGGTGTCATGCAGCCACCCCCTGCCCTCCCCGGCTTCTGGATCTTCATGTACCGCGTCTCCCCTTTCACGTACTACATTGGAGGTATTGGTAGCACAGCCTTACATGGCCGCCGTGTGGAATGTAATGCTGCCGAGCTGAGCGTTTTCGACCCACCTCAGGGCGAAACCTGCGGCGACTATATGGCTAGGTATATTGCGAAGGCCGGGGGTCAATTATACAACAAGGACGCGACATCTGGCTGCGAGTATTGCTCCATGGACTCCGCAGACCAATATCTTGCCGCTCGGTGGATCTCCTGGGATGAGCGCTGGAGAAATTACGGCATCTTCTGGGCTTACTTCGTGTTCAACATTGTTGGGGCGATTACCCTCTATTACCTGTTCAGGGTCAGAAAGATCGGACTGAAAAAGACCTGAGTTTGGAGAAACTATACCCATAATTTCTAATTCTCTATTAATAATATGGCTTCTTTTGTTTTCTCTCTTCTTTGCGCGTCGTTCATAGCGTGGTGATTACGCATCACATTTCATCTCTGCTCATATTGACTGACAGGGAATTCCTAATTCACTGACTGACCTTCTACCATTATCTATGTCCATAGACATTATAAAATTTTAACCTCAACTTGTGTCCTTCTGATTAGCGATTATGATTATGTATATATGTCAGCTTTTGCTTGGCAATTCAACATCAGTACTTTTTATTGGCACAACCGGGATAAAAAAACGCTGCAAAGCGTATCCCTGGGCCTGAACCTGCTTTAGTATGGTGTGTCGATCTATAACACCCGCTATGTTAATATAGAATTTGAACCGCGATCATGAATTTCCAGGAAAACTTACTCATTCAGGCCACAGCGACGCATAATCCAACCAGTGCGGACTGGCCTTCCTTCAGGCTCATCCTAGGAATCAATCCCTACTGACTGTTGTTGCCTTGGCCGGCGCAACAAAAGGCAGCTCATCTCAGTTTTAGTATTGGCTCCTGTTTAACCCAATATCATTCAATGTTCTATTGAATGAATAATATTCCTAGGCGGGCCCCACGTCAATCCTGTATTATATGTCATTTCTCGGGTCTGCCAATCTTTCCAGTTACCACATCTCTAATATTTAACCTATCCATGCATTGAGCCAAGTAAGCACTGACGCCTTATTCTTAGAAATTATATAAAGCTAATAACATGAGAATGCAAGCTTTACATTCAAACTCTAATATGCCCCAGCTTCTCAAACACAACGCGCAACAATCAAGGCCAAGGACCGACTATGAGCGATGGCTTGGAGATAGAAATCCGGACTTCCAGGCTGCCAACAGTCCAGGGTATCATTCACCCATTACAGTCATTGGCGAAAGCTCGGTATCTTCCCCTGGTAGCCAGGCGAACTTACGCCAGCTCGGTAGTCCAACACATTCAGATGGTGTGCACTACCGGGGAGAACATAAGCACCATGGCTATTTCATGGTCGAGCCAGGTACACAGCCAGTCCCTGGGCTGGGAAGACCTTCCAGTGCGGCCCTTTGATCATACTGTGGAATGCCCTTATGTCAACTCGCAATATTGGGTCTTCTGGTTGTTGTGATAGTAAGTTTTGTGAAGGCCAGGGGAAGTCAATGCTGCAACAAGACTACTCGAGCGCGTGGCACCGGAAAGTTTCACATATGATGCCGACAGCCGATGTTTAATCTAGACTCTAGTTTTGTGGATGTTAAAGTGATTTTCTTTTCTTTGTCCAAAGTTTGCGGCGTCCTGATGGTTGGTTGAGCAGGTCGTTATATATTTTATTCGTATGAAACAATATGCTCGGTAATGATTCGAGTATAGCTTAGCAGTTCTCGAACAGAGAGAATAACTCATATATTCCATCTTAAAGACCCTTTGATCCAACCAATTGTTCGTAGAATTGAAATCAGGTGGTTGTGGCTGCACGGTGCCATCTCTATATCGCTGCAGTATCCATCCAAGGGTAAGGGTGAGTTGCACAATATCTTGTCTTAGAACGTGCTATAAACTATCACGAGGCTCCATTGAATGTAGACACACTTACTACATGATGAGGCCTCTCAGCACTGTTTACCTGGGCGTTACTTGACTCCTCATCACTATCAACACCATTTGAGCTCGCGCTTCTACTAAGTCTAGAAGACACACAGGCTTCACGATCGGATATATTGCTGACGAAATGTGGTTAGAGTGAGAATCAATCATTTTATTAGCTGATAACCCACACCTAGCATGTCGTCACTCGGAGCATCTGAGCAATGCTAAATATTAACACGGGGGACAACGCTAGTCGCTGCAAAGATTGTTTTGATATGAAAATATCCCATATCTAACGTGTACCTTCATTCTAATAATAGGACTTCTCTTACATCGCATCTGTCATGGCATTCCTAGCTGCGGCTTTCTGATTTCTGGATTTGTTCAGCACATCCGAGGACAGCACTCAGGTAAGATCGCTTGCCAAAAAAAAAAGGTCAGAAAGAAGTATCCCTGAGAGATCTTCGCCAATGGCCATCTTAATTGGTCATAGCCCGTGTTTCTAAACTACAGTGACTCCACTTTCGGCAAGTTGATATGGGGCGGTGCTGAGGCATCTGTGGAAATAGCATTCCGCTTTCTGTGGCAATTTGCTTTCAAGGTCTACTATCGATAATGTGTACCTTAAAGACACGTCTTCGACGATGTTATCCACTATTCACACGCCAGACGATCGAGAGAGTTTAATCTCCAAATTTTCTGTCTATCCTTCACAAACCATTCATCTTTCATATGAACTTTTCCTCGGAGACGTCTAAGACTATACATGTTCCGGTGTGATGCGTGAACTTGATCATTTGAGAACTCCCTTATTCCACCCGATATCATGATCATCAGGGTCGTATCCGTTCGATTCTGACATCGCAAGGCTAAACCCGCTACAGGTCTCTCTCTGTTTTGGCCCCTACTTAGTGTGACCCAATTTCCACAGGATCATTTACTACTTCCTTCAGTGGTGCACTTTTCCCAGCATATCTTCCGACTGTAACATTCCTAACCTGCCAAGTATCTGATTTTCATAACGCAACATCCAAAGAACCGCTCGCGCTCTCCGACCAAATGGATGAGGCTAGTTCATTTGGATGGGCCCTCCGCAAGAATGGCTCCTGTCTGGAGCAGGAAGTCGACTGTGGTCCCACTGTACCCCCTTTCCGAAACTGCTGCCCCAAGGGCTCGTATTGCCCGCATGCGAACAACGTTGCGTGCTGTCCATCCAAGGAGTTCTGCGATGATGCGCTGAACGCAAAACCCCACTGCGCGAACAGTACTTGGGATCTTTATATAAACGGTGGCTATTTCTGCTGCTTGCAAGGCACCACGGGTTTTGCGAAAGATGGTGGCTCCAATGGCTGCGGTGCCCCCGACTATCACTTGAAATCTACCGAGACCTCTTTGGCTATCATCGCTTCGGCCTCAGGTATGTAGTGCGCTTCCATCTAGGTGGCTTCGCGATACGTTAAGGTGAATCGGCTAACATCCGGCCTGTAGCGACACATTCTACCTCTTCTACACCAACATCGGTAGCGACGACAACGACGCCATCTATAACATCCACAGCTACGGACCCTTCGCAGCCCACAAATGCAGCATCAAGTAGCGCAAACAAAGGAGCCATTGCAGGCGGAGTTGTCGGTGGCGTTGCTGGAGTAGCTATCATCGCCGCCTTATTGTGGTTCTTCCTGATCCGATCGCGACGCCAACGATCGCAACCCCAGCCATTGATTACGGCCGGGGAACCTTTCAAGCAGCCTCCAATACCAGCAGAGCTCGACGGAAACCATGTGGCGGAGCTGGAGAGTCGCGCAGATCAGCCGGTGGCAGAACTACCTGCCCACTATCGATGAGACCCTTTTATAACGTAATGATTTGGCAATCAGCGTGATGAATATATATTTAATCTTAACACGCGTCAAGATGGTATGCTTGGGTCTGAGTTCCAGAGGAGATACCCTTGTCGTTGTTGGAACGGTCAATTAAGCTTAGAATCAGGCATCCACCAGGCAGAACGTGAGGTTTTGTGGGGGGTGATCGTACCATACCGCAACAGGAATAGCGTTCAAGGGATGCCTGACGTCTGCCTGCCCCCACCACCGTTCTATAAAACTGTCTATTATCGACATACATACATACGTACTTAGTTTAATGCTATGAAAGCCTACCTATACCTCTCATATTTATATACAGCATATACTACGCAATGGGCTTGAACCAATCGCAACGGCTCGAGGTGCCAGGGTTCAATCTACCTCTGAACTATAGACCAGACGTAAGTTCCACCTCCCTGCACTGTGTCCATCGAGTATAATTCACCAGCCGTCTTTATATAGCGTGAGGTTCGATATCGCCGTCTGCTATTTCCCAATGCTTTGGACTATGGTGACATTGACTATGGCTCGGTTGAGTAAGCTTCCGCAATTGAGCCAATGCCATGGATAACGTACACTAATACCGGTATTTAGCCATCTACACGTACACAGGGAGATCTTAATGATGCGGGTTATGAACACCATCACTGATAAACCAGGTTGGGAGAAAAAGGTCCGTACATCCCGCCAGAAAGACACCCTATCACTCACAATCCCTAAGGTTTTCGATGAAGCCATTACCTCGAAATGGCGGGAAGAAATCGCCCAAAGTGGTCAAGACGTGACTCCCAAAATGATGGACTACATCATGAAAGAGTTGCAGTGGAAAGTGGATGCTTTCAAGAAGACGGGCATGATACCTGTATATGATACCGGTGTGGTCAAATCGGACACTGCTGTTCCTGAGGAAGTACAGCGGGCATTGAAGGAAGCCGTAGCGCCCTTTGAAGATGTTCCAGACGAGCAGAAGGACTATCATCCCGGGTCGGACATGAAAGTTGTCGACTTAATACACCCCTCTCTCTTTCCTGTCATCTACGGCCGTACACGGATTCTCCCTGATAGGACTATCGGTCTCGATGATTGTCTAGGAAGTGTAGGACAAGGGGATTTGCTTCCTGTTCCTCCTGAAGACGAAGCCAAGATTGAGGGGTACTCGAGCCGCGCCTACGGATGGCGAAGATGGGAAGCCGACACACTGAGACCGTTCAGTCGAAGGTTTCAATGGTTGCCGTGTGATGTGAAATTCAGCGATCAAGATAGTGGATGTCGCATTGATTCGTACATAAACAATGTCCATCCCTCTCAGCATCGGGATCTCTATCACGCGGTGGAGAAGATCATTGCGCGGACAATTCCCCTTTGGAATAAGACCTTGGCTTCGACTAACACGCGGCGTCAGCATCGACGTATATCCTACGGCGATGTTGAATACCTTCCATATTCTGCCCCAGAACCCGAAGAGAATGAAAGTACCGACATGCATGAGTATTATGAAGCCCACACAGCATGGTCAAGATCGCGCCCTGTAAAGCTCCCCGAGCCAGGGGAATTCACGCCCCCCGAGACCAACCCGGACGATGAGTTAGACCTCCGGAAGAAGTTCCACGAAAAAGGGCTTCAGGTCATTGTGAAGCTAGCAAACATTGAACTGACCCCGGAGAAGCCTGAATACGACGGGGGAGCCTGGCACGTTGAGGGGCAACTAGTGAGCCTTCGTTTCATGTTGACAGGTAGAGGCTAACAGCGTTTCAGAATGAGCGCATCTGCGCCACAGCCATCTACTATTATGACAGTGAAAACATCACCGAAAGTACTCTCGCCTTTCGTCAACGCGCAGATCGGGACGAATTGTCAGACGTCTCGTACGAGCAGGACCGGCATGAATTTATATACCATGTCTATGGCTTCGGTCCCGAGGTTGACACTAACAATGACACGCAGGTCACGCAGGACCTTGGAAGCGTAGTATGCCGGGAAGGCCGACTCCTTACATTTCCCAACATTCTCCAGCACCGAGTCTCTCCGTTCGTGTTGGCAGATCGCTCAAAGCCTGGCCATCGTAAAATCCTGGCCTTGTTCCTTGTGGATCCACATTTGCGAGTCATTTCGTCCGCTAACGTTCCGCCCCAACAGGAGAATTGGGGGAAGGAGAAACGAGAGCTCGTCACCGAGATGCTGGCTCGCCGACTCCCGCTAGAGCTTCAGGAGATGGTGAGCGAAGACATCTCCTATCCGTCGATCAGTATGAAAGAGGCGAAAGAATACCGAGAGCAGCTCATGGAAGAGAGGAGTGCGAGAACGAGTGAACAGAACCATAAGTTTGAGATGGGTTCATTCTCGCTTTGTGAGCATTAATCAATGTTTCCTTTTGATGAACATTGCTTTCCTTGGCTGGGGTTTATTTTTTGCGTGTATGTTGTCCCTGCTGGAAGTGGGATATGTGCAAGTTCTGCAAGCTCGAGTATATTTATGAAACTGGCGACACCTGTGAGCGGGCTGTTCTTATCATACTAAAGCGTATACCACATACGTAGCCTTTTGGGATATTCCAGATAAACGCAGAAGCAATGGCATTATCTACTATAACAATAGTATACAATTGTCTAACTTAGCCAGAAGTACCCGTCCTAATAATAATTAATCAATTGACATTGTTTAAGTACCACTTCTACGCCCGTTCTAGTTATTCCTGGCCCACCCACTAACTATCCTTAGTGGATAAACATAACCAAACCACCACAACAAACCCCCCTAGAAACCCCATCCCAATACATGTTAACACTCTTACCAATGCAATTTCTAAAAGAAACACCCCTCGGCCGTCCCAAGCAATCAAAACCCCCTATCCAAAATCCGAAATCCCATAACCACTCCACCAACAACGCAAACAAAAACCTCAATGCAACCCCCCCATCCCCCAAAAAAGGAGCACAGGAGCTCCCGAAGAAGCCAAGACGTAGACCCAGTGGCCCATTACTCCATATTTTAGTGTCCACCCCGTCCAGCCCTACAAATGGCAAGTTTCGTATCGCCGAGATCCGCATCACAACATCCAAAGCCAGTGATTGCGCAATCCGCTCCCCAATCACGGCACGCTCGTATCGGCGCCCGCGTCCTATAGGAATTGTCTGTTCAACGCAGCACGCCATGTGATCCACCTCTTGCATAGTAGTTGTGTTTCTTGCCTAGTTTTGGAATCGGGACTCGTAGATATCTGAGGTTATTGTTGGAGGGGTATAAAGAGGGGTTGGTATATCTTTTTTGGGTTGATTTCTTGTTGGGGCACATACAAATGAGTGTATTTGATTGACTTGGTCTACTTATTATTCTATTATATTGTTTTTGGTTCGATTGAATTGATTGAGAATCAATTGATTGAACAATGGCCGCGATTACGCAAGCTCCTGTTGCTATTCCTCTCGATGTTTTCCCCGACGGGCTGAAGACTACCGGCCAGCATGCGCCGCTGTATGATCATATCCGGGCATATGAGCAGTTCCCCGCGCAGATCGAGGGTCCAACGGTGTGGAAGGCGGAGGATTATCGCGAGCACCCGGAGAAGTGGACACATCGGTTTTCCGAGAGCGAGATTGCGGAGTTGAGTGCGACGGCTGATGCCTTTTTGGTGAATAAGATTCCCTTGACGGGTATTTCGAAGGTATGTATGATCTTGGTTATAGTTTGTGACTATATGTGGTGGCTAGGGCTAATGGCTGCTGTGGTGTGGTGTAGAGCAATTTCCCTCTTCCGAACCTGTCCACACGTCTCGAAGAACTGCGCAAGGACCTCATCGATGGAAAGGGGTTCATTCTCTTCAAGGGGTTCCCCGTCCAGCAATGGGGGAACCATAAGTCCGCGGTGGCGTATATGGGTCTGGGCACGTATTTGGGGTACTTTGTCAGTCAGAACAGTCGCGGCCATGTCCTAGGTCATGTGAAGGATCTGGGTGAGGATCCCACTCAGATTGACTCCGTGCGTATTTACCGCACCAATGCGAGGTATGTCCCGTTGTTCTTCGAGTTCTGGGAAGTAGTAGTGGTGCTGACATGTTGCAGACAATTCTTCCATACTGATGACTCAGATATTGTCGGGTTGTTATGCATTGCTCGTGCGCTTGAAGGAGGCGAGTCTGATATCGTCTCTTCCCACCATGTGTACAATACCCTTGCCAAGGAGCGTCCTGACGTGCTCAAGACCCTCATTGAGCCCATCTGGTACTTCGATCGTAAGGGTGAGACCAGCAAAGGACAGGAGGAGTATATCCGAACCAGTGTGATTTACCTGGAGCAGGGTGAGAATGCTCGTGTTTACACTAAGTAAGCCTTCCCTTATTCAACTTTCTGGTTCAATTGATGTTAACGGACACAGGTGGGATCCGTATTACGTCCGCTCTCTCACTCGCTTCTCTGACGTGGGCATCATCCCTCCTCTTACCGCCGCCCAGACCGAGGCCATGGAAGTCCTCGAGGCCACCTGCAACCGTCTCTCCCTGCACATGATCCTGGAGGTCGGCGACATCCAATTCCTGTCGAACGCTCATGTCCTGCACGCACGCACCGCGTACACTGATCATGCGCCCCCGGCCCCTCGCAGACATCTGATGCGTCTGTGGTTAGCGACGCCCGAGCATGAGGGTGGCTGGAAGTTGCCCTTCTGGGATAGTAATGAGAAGAAGAGGGGTGGGATTCAGGTTGACGATCAGGCCCCGGTAGCGCCGTTGGACGCGGAGTAATTCCGTGCTTGGATTATATGGTTTCATCCTGGTGATGATGCTGCGCCGTTATAACGTAATCTCTGTATGCTTTAGCCTTTCTATGTCTCTTTTTTTTAGTTCAATACCATGTCCGATTAGCAACGACCATTAATCTATACATCATTAGTCATAAATCGTATCCCTCCGGCAGCGGAATTATTGGACGATCTTGTAGTTGCCTCCGCTGACGATCTCCAGTTTTCCCTTGGACACCATTCCCGCTAGGAACTCCCGCAGTTCTTCGTTGTTGAAGGGAAATCCGCCCGGCACGGCTATTTTTAGCATCATCACAATGCGTTGCAACGGCATCGCGCCTTGATTGGTCAACATGCCCATGATAAACTGCCAGTACAGGTTCATCTTCTCCATCGTCGCCGCCTCCGCCGATTCCTTCGCTGCTGCGGCCGCTGCGGCTTCGGCTGCTGCCGCCGAGTCCGCCGATCCACCCCCTGCAGTATCGTCTGCGGCTGATACGCCAGTGCCTCCGATAGCTTCCTCCTCCTCATTCGGTAGAACTTCCAGCACACGAAAAGTGTCTCGCTGCACCTCGGTCAGAATGCGTTTGCTGACCCAGAACAAGCATGCACTGCGCACCAAAGCTACCGACATGTCCAATTCCTCAGCCAATTGGTTGACACTTTTGCTTATCGGCTCGTCGGAGCCTTCGTCGGACCCCTCATCGGATGGGGTGTTGAACGCATAGATGACGGTGGCTTGCCAAGTAGTCACTTCGTCCGTAAACCACCGGTCTTCGAGATCCAGCTCGATTTTCACTTGTCCGAACCCATTGAGCCAGGTGAGCTTACGAGACTGCTTGAGCGACGCGAATCCTGCAGCATAGCGCTGTTGCAATTCCGAAATCTCCTCGGGCACATTGAAAAACTGTTCTTGGAGTTCGGGCCAGAAAAAGTGGGACAAGATCTTGGCGTGCAGCTGTGGAACATCGTCATCTTCTAAGCTAGATGTAGGAGATACTGCCGCCAATTTCCTGGTCAGGCCTTGGTCATTTCTCACAACCGCATCGACCCGCCGTGAATCAAAGATATCCCGGAGCATGACTTCGCAAGCCTGCAAAGCATTGTCGCCAAAACGAAGCTTGAGAAGCTCCAGCACCGACATCTCCTGATCAAAGTTCGCCCACTTTTGGAGCAGCCGGTCTGCCAGCATTCTCTGCATCTCCTTCACGAAGGCCTCCTTTGAATCGAACAAACTGATTAAGCTACCGATGACGTCCGAACTTTTGGATTTCCGATAGTCGGGGGCTGCGTCGACTGGATCGGGCATCCAGTTCATATCATCCCAATCCAGTTCTCCCCGGTCACTTGTCATTGAATTCTGGTGGGCCTTGGTCAATTCGGCCGACAGTTCGACCAACGTGTCTCCAGGGCCATGCACATGAGCATCTGCTGGGTCGGCCAAAAGGCCACCGACAATGACCCTTACGGTATCCTGGCGGTCCCGAAGGTACCTGCGAATGGGCCGAGCGATCCGATCCAGAAGAACACCTTTCGGGTCTAACAGGTTAAACGCACGGATAATGGAAATATACATCTGCAATATCTCCACGGTCGAAGCACCCGGGTGCAAAAGACGTTGTTCCAGGGCCGCGGAGAAAGACTGTGTCACCTGAAACCGTGCTGCTGGATATGCTGTGAAATGCCGCAAATCCTCAATGGCACCACTACTAGCCGGCCACTCAACTATCACATCAAATAGTTCCCCAGTGCGAAGAGCCCCCAGACGAGCAATGCCAATTTCTTGCCATTTCTCCACGTCGCTGAGTTTCACGTCCAGACGATCAGTCTCCTTTGTTCCGGTCTCGGGGACATTGATGATAGCTAGGACCTGTACAACCAGTCGAGCAAAAACATTCTCTATCCAGTGTCGAAGGTGTTGTGAGACCTTCGATGGCCCCTCCCACTGTCCTGTATATGCAGCCCTCATAAATTCCGTCATCATGGTATTCATCACGCCAGCAAAAACATTCTGAGCTCTGACTCCGCCCAGCCCAACAAGCTCTAAATCATTAAAGAACGACAGCAATCGTTCACGAGCAGTAGTAACGCGCGCATCTTCGCCTTCCGTCATCATCTGCATCCGAACCTCAGCAGACGGTTCATCCCGCCAATCTCGATATGAGACGGAATACCGTCGGTCGACCTCCATATCATCCACATCAACTTCCTCTTCCCTCTCCTGTAACGTATCGATCCCCAGTATCGTGATAGCATGCGTCATCAACTCCCGACTAAGCAAAGGCGAAACACGCTGCCAAGGCAGTGTATAAGCAATCATCAAGTGAAAGTTCCGCCGACGCTGAACAAACACCCTCTCCTGCTCCACAGCATCCAACAACGGAAGCAGATACTCCATAAGCGGCGCAAAGTAAGCCTTCCGTATCAGTTGCAAACAATAAACGATCTTCCGAAGTCCATCCCGATGATCCAAAAACTAGATAAAAACCTCTTAGCAAGGCAACCACACAAACATCAAACAACAAGAACAACACATAGACCGACCTTCACCAGCTCAGCCTTATAATTCTTATAAAAATGCCTCCGCATCTCCCCCCCATACCAATCAAATATACTCCACTCCCCCCGATTCGTCACCCCCTTATCCACCAAATACGCCAGCGAATCCGTCACCCCCTTCCCGGGCACCTTGAGCCCCTCATCCTCTAACCCCTCGAACCCCCGATCGGGAATCGAAAGAAACGTCGTCGCTGCCAGCCACGCCCGGTCCGGCTCTTTGGACTTTGCTTTGGGCTTCGGATCGTTAACATGCACGGGTGAGAAAACAGACGCGAATATTCGCCGGTGAGATTCGGGGATCGCCATCGTCGTTTCCTGGAGGTTTCTAAGGCATTGCGGTTTTGAGGTTAATGGGGTATGTTTGGCTGACGGTGTGGTTGCACGAGTGAGGTCGCGCTTTGGCTCACGCGCTGATGAGTCAGCAATGGGTTCTTATCGATAAAGAGTTGGGCCGGTGGGCTAGCCCTATTTGGGTTTGGGTTGTGTCTGTGGAATAGGAGGGGGGCTATATGTTGGGTAGTATGTACATTTATCAGGGGAGCTCATGTTAGCTACCTAAAAGACCTGGTTTGACAAGATGGTCTGGCGTACATGCTGGAGCCGCTTTTTACTGGAGTTGGTGGCGACTAGAACTAGACTCATACCCTTGCTCAATGGACACTTGATGTCGGGATATATGTATGGGCGGAGGCAAATGTTTTTAGGGGTCAACGGAGAGATTAAGTTCTATTAAAAAAAAAGTAAGGTGTTCAATATATTGAGGTGCAAGGTTGGACCCTCAGCCAACGTTAGTTTTTGTGGTCGAGAGGAAAAAGCAAAGAATACCCCAGACGGCGGATATTATGATGTCGCTTGACATGTTTTAGAGCGCGGACAATAAATTCATAGGCTTTCTGGAGGTCATTTTACTAATATTGAGTAACAAAGCCGACCTTAGTATGTATACAGCCGACGCAACAGTTCTGTAAATCATAGTCTCGTTAAATGGATATATATACTAAGGTTATGGTGATATACAGCATTATGAATCGAAATAAGGGCCCGCCTGGGGCCCAACGTGCGTAAAGGCAAGATCGAGCGGAGATTAGATATAAAGGAGACTCAAGAGTAGGGGGATTAATACTGCCCCTGATCAAGCCTCCATTGCATGTCTCTCTGATTCAGCTCGGAGCAGCTCCACCTCAATAGCATGTCGGCGAGCCTGTTCAGCCTCGCTTGAATTATCCTTAAACACATGGTCCATCTGCTCTAGAGTCCGACCCTTGGTTTCAGGAACGAAGAAGAACGTCCAGATGAGCGCCAGTAAACAGAACACTGCGAAGAATGTGTAGGCACCGAATCCCGTATTTTGCACTAGAGGAGGGGTGATAAGGCCCTGGGCAGGTTAGTATATGGGTCATAACCATGTTTAACGCAGGGCTACTCACAATAATAAAGTTGTTTAGCCAATTGGAGCACGTCGAGAGCGCTACACCCTTCGCACGGAGTGATGACGGGAACACCTCTATGCATGGGTTAAAAGACAGCCTTTTGACGCGGAAAGGCGCATAAACTTACCAGAAGGCATGGCCCAGCCGACGGGACCCCAGCTAGCTCCGAAGGCCACCATATAAAAGAGCAAAAGACCCACGCTGGCCCAACCTTGCGGGCGATATGCTGGCCAGTTATCGGAGTATAGACCAACTAAGACTGCGATGATTAGGTGGCTGATGAACATGAACAATGCACCCCAAAGCAATAGGAACCGTCGACCCAGAGTGTCCATGGTCCAAACGGTAGTGACCACTCCTACTAGTTGTGTAACGTTGAGAATACCCGACATCAGGAGTTGCATATCGTAGTCCAGACCCATGGTTTCGAAGAGTGTTGGGGAATAGTAGATAAGCGCATTGATGCCGACGAACTACAGCTCAAATATCAGTCAGTGGGTTGCAGAGTAGTGGGAATCGCCTTTGGCACTGACCTGTTGGAAGAACATGAGACCAACACCGATATGAGTTCTCCTCCAGCAGCCGGACTTGAAACAATCTGCCCAGGACGCCATCTCGAGGAGGAAAGAGTCCTTGATTCCACCACCTTGGAGATTAGGGTGTTTTTCGGCGTTCATTTCTTGGTGGAAGCGAACTTCTGCTTGAATATCCAGGTATTCCTGGCGCACGCGCTTATCGGTCGTCGGTAACCGTCGCAGTTTCGACAAACTCTCAAGAGCTTCCTCGTACCGGTCCTTGGAGGCAAGCCATCTGGGGGAGAAAGGAAGCATCATTACACCTCCAATAAGAACAAAGCCTGGGACCATTTGCAGCAAGAACGGAAGCCTCCAGGACCACTCTCCAATCATGAATCTAGTACCATAAGTGATCCAGTAGGCGATCACAATTCCTAAAACGATACAAAATTCTTCCAACACCAAGAGAGTACCTCGACACTCAGGTGGACCTAAATTAGACACAAATTAGCACAAACATTCCTACCCATTGGATTAACGTAATGCACATACTGATTTCAGAGATGTATAATGGTGCAACCATCGACAGCATACCGATGCCAACACCTCCGATCAACCGAGCTACTGTGAGCATCGCATAATTGGTGGCACCAGTTTGCAGTGCAGAGCCAATGGTGAAAATGATGACGGCGACGATGATAGAGTAACGTCTAGAAATTTTATCGGCGATCCATCCCTGGTTGAGGGCTCCCAGTAGAGCTCCCAATTCAATCATGGCCGTCATCAGACCTTTCCAGAAGCCGGCACCCGACGAATCAGGGGAGACTTCAGGAAAACGTTCGAGGAACTGCTCCATCACCAGGATGACGGATACAACACCTTGATCATAACCGAACAGCAAACCTCCAAGTGTTGAACAAGCAGCACACATAAAGACGAACGGATTGGCAACCAGGCCTGCAAGACCCGGAGGGCCATAAGGCTCTCTATCATTCAAGATGTCCTCGGCATGGTGAGAGAACCCCTGGATGTCGGATTTTCCATCGGGGGTATCTCCAGTCTGCACTAGATCCTTGGAGGCCATGCCTACCAGGTGATACGGAAGGAAGGAATGGGTAAGGATGCGTGTAAGAAAATGTGGGTAAGCAATGACAGGGGAGTTCTTTTCAAACCAGTGGACGGTACAACACACTAGAACTGCGACTCAAGAAAGAAAGGGAGAGCCAGGAGCTACAGCACGACTTATATAGATAGACATGGGTTCAAGGTAGCCGACTGCAGGCCAAGGAGCCAACCAGGGATAAGAAGGAGCCAAAGGCCGACCTGCAGCTGTGATTCGCAGGACGGCCGGATAGCTTCCAGATCCATGAGACAGAAAAGTAGAGAAGAAAATAACCCTACCCTGTCTTAGCTGTCTGAATTGCAGGTGGATGGTCGAATCAGAAGCGGTTGAGAGAGTGGTGGAGAAGCCAAATCGAGGCGTACTAAACTTGAAGTAGAAAGTTCCCGGTTAGTTTTGGGGAGACTTTTTGATAGTGGGCCCTGCAAGGTTGGAAACCACTAGAAACTCAATCCCTGGAGAGAGTATGAGGATAGAAGAGGGTAGAATGTCCTTGTTGGCCATGGAATCATTCGGTGTGGTAGTTCACCCTTGGACATCTGCCCCCATGTAGTCTGCTTTTCAGTTGAAGTGATTTCGACTGAAGATTTCCCTGTCTAACCCTTACTAACTGCCCTTGATACGAATCGTCCCGTGATACCACGGTAGCACGTGCCGGTTTAGGTAAACAACAACACCACGAGAATCGAATGGCACCGCGAAAGGTATCTTCCGCGAGAGGTCCAGAGTACACAACGTGGAGTATGCGCCCTAATGGATTCCCCCCGCCTACTAGTGAAACCCATGATGAACAAGCGCAGCGTATAGGAATCGCTGAGTTAATTCAGGATGTCACCATTCGCGGCAAGGAGAGAGCCATGGGTCAGATCGTCCATTCTCGTGGGGGTCACCAATGTAGACCTCGGGATCCTATCGAATCACGACAGGCGGTTTTACTACGGGGTTGCGGGGAAACGATATTGGCGGGTGATCGTGTTTAGAGTTGCAGTATCGACGGCAACTGAACGAGAACATTTCGAAAGCCGACCGGACGTTATCCGTACGCCGTTCTACTAGGTAAGGCAGGGTAATACGGCGTACCTTGCGGGAACATGACATGGAATTATTTTATTTTAGGAGGAAAGTGATCAACGAGTATAGAGTACACAAGGAACCGAGAATTATCGACCTGTTATTCCAGGTAGCCGAAATCTTTGACACGAATCAACACTTGATGCCCGAACAGAATTGGATCAGTTGGCCTTATCATGAGATTGTAGGATTCTTTCTGGTAGATCACGGGTAAAGCGACGCCTGAAAAGCTGACTGTACGCGGAATAGCGTCTGGTCAGTCTACCTGACGGCCTGACTTGCCTTAGGTACTGTATTATCGGCTCTGCCCCTCTGTTGTTTTATGACGTGACTTTTTCTTCTCAAAAACATCAACATCGCCGACAACAATTCCCTTCCCACCCCCCAAAATACGCAACATACTCAACCATTCTCCTTTCCTCCACCCTCCGATTCATCAACCCCACGGGGAAAGGGCCACTGATCTTTAACTCTAGTCTAGATTCCTGGATAAACACGGGGCTGGCTCCAGTTTTCCGGACTCATCCATTCTCCACATCTCGCTTTTCAAAGGCCGACCGCTCAGCTTTCGGTTACCCGCCGATTTTTCCGGGGACAGGTTCGTTGCACCCTTCACCAACCCAGACTGCCTTGGTCCAGCGTGTCCGACCTGAAATCAGGTTTGTGCAACCATGCCCGTTGTGTCCAGCTTGGCAGATGGCATCCCGATCCAACCGCTTTTGCATCGACTAACAACCATGCAGTAGCGCAGTCAAACCACCACACGGATTCCGTTTTCCGACCTTCAACGTCATTCTATCTTCCACCCCTGTCCAAGACGCGGAACCCGTGTCCCTTTCTCCCTTTCCCCGCGCACAACCGGCCCGAAGCATAATCAGAAATTATGGGATCGTTTATGGAAGATCTTTGGGCGAGCATCTTTACCCCAGGTCCCACTCCCACCCTGCTCGTTGCCACCAACGCCACCTTCGCTGCTCTCCAGCTGGTCCTCTTCCTGCTCCTCCTCGGCACGTATAGCGTCCACTTCGCCATCCTGTCCGCCCTCTCCGCATCACTATGGTATTCGATCAACTGGTTTGCTCGGGAATTGGCAGCGGTGCAAGCCCAGGAGGCTGAGAAGGCGAAGAACCAACCGAAGGAATTGCTCGCGGAGAAGGACGATGATGGCGAGAGGAAGTCGGAAGCTCGTCGGAGAACCCCGGGGGCTCTCGACAGCACGGACAGTGACACAGAAACAGAAGGCCTGATGGAGCGTAAAATCTCTGCTGCGTCCGCCGCACCTCCGCAGTCCACCACCTCCACCATCACGACTGCGGCCACCCTCCAACCGCCCGAGCAGCAAGGAGAAGTGCGGAAGCGCCTCAGCGTGAGTGGAGAGAGCTCCGGCTATGTGAGCACAGATAGCGAGTGGGAAAAAGTGGATAACAAAGCCGCTGCCTAGACATAAGTATTGCGTGGGTAAAAATTGCAGAGCTTGCCTTTCATTGCTCGAATACCTTGGCCCAGGGATGGCATTTTTAAAGATACTTCAGCATCAGATTATATAAATATTTGTTCGACGTGCATTCTGGTTTGCGTGGACCGACAGATACCCCAATAGATGACGCCTCTGCTTTATGCTAGTTTGGTAAATGACTTTCAACGATGACAGCGTCCTCAATGGAACTTACGTATGATGCCTGTCCCGATAGGATAAGAAATGAATAGATGATCAATTTCACTGCGCGAGCCTTCGTTGTAAATGTGCATATCTGGACAATACACACACACAGACACACTCAACTTGCAAAGCTCAAATGACGAATATGAATAAGAAGCCCATAAAGGACAGCGAAGAGAATGAAGAACAATAACAAGAACAAAAAGTGGCAAAAGTTAAGTCAGTCTATATACAAGTGCCCCGTAACCCTGGATTCCGTTTTCCGCAGCGTACGACCAGCGAGAACATACAAAACACCAGGAAAAGCAATTCCAGATCAACAACGAATTCCGAACGAGAATAAAACAACCTCAATTTCTCAATTCCTCAGAATTCCAATCTCACAATCCGCCACAAAAGAAAAATGAAAAGAAATAAAAAGTAAATGAGTGTTAGACTTGCTCACAATTTGAATCCAGTTCCATATACGTTCAGTTCATATATATCACAAAAGAGCCAATCATCTCCGACTCAATACCTGCTCGACCAAGTCTATCAGACCAGCTTGCACGCCGTTGGCGGGCAGTATCCATGATCGCAGGCGAAGCTGCACAGACCCTTGTAGGAGTCGTCTAGCCCGTCCTTTGGAACACCCCTTTGGCCTGTTGTCGGCGGCGTGGGGACTGGAGCGCCGGTCCGGGTGCAGGTACAGGGTCCAGGGGGGCAGTAGCCATAGTGGCAGCAGAAGTCGCAGAGGCCGAGGTGATTCCCGGATCCTGTGCCACCTGTGCAGACGTCTCCAGGGTTAGGGTTGTTAGTTGGGGGAGGGTTTGGGGGAGGAGGGTTGTTCGTTGTGGTAGGAGAAGGGGGAGGAGGGTTACTGGTAGGGGGAGGAGAAGGAGGGTTACTGGTAGGGGGGGGAGGAGGAGGAGGAGGGTTATCGGTGGGTGGAGGAGGAGGACTATTGGTAGGAGGTGGAGGAGGAGGGTTGTTGGTGGGAGGGGGGTTTCCTGGTGGGGTTGTCGGCGCGTTTGTCGGTGGATTTGGGTTGATCGTTGATGGCGGTGGTGGTGCAGGTCCCAGCGAGGGTCTGGCTTCGCAATTGACCTTGAGTCCTTTGGTGAAGCTGGAGAGACTTTCTCCCTGGAGGCTGTCCATTGGTTCTGGGGGGAGCATGCCGACTAGGAGGACCGTGAGTAGACGGAATTGAAGGTGAGTTGTGCTTATGGAAAATACTTACCGAAGGGATTGAAGTTATAGATACCGCAGACACAGCCGTCGATGATTTCCTTCGGGCTCGTCCCGGCTAGGACCATCTTGTTGTCGCGGACTACGGCAAAGCTCTGCTTCCCGACGCCCATGGGGACTTTGAAAGCTGAGGCTCCGGCTTTGGCCTCGAATACTTGTTCTTTATTGCCCGAGATGACTTGGATCTTGGCGGGAGACTTCAACATGGACACAAGGAAGACTACGTCCTCCATGGTCTCCCACCCATTTGGACGGCCGATGAAGTAGTTCCCAGAGTCATTATTTGCAGGACCCATGCAGGTGTCGGTGGCATCGCAGTTTACTGCATGAGGAGTAGGCCGATACCAGTAGATCAATTGTTCCTCTTTGATGTACTCGCCGACTGATGAGGCACCTGCCTTGTAAGCAGCTATGTAGGGTCTCGCCATTTCCATCCAGCCGTTGTGTGGCCTATATGTCGTCAGTAGTGGAACGACTGTTGAAAAATATTAGCTTACATGTCATTGACCCATTTGGAGCAGCCGTCATCTGTATGAGGAGAGCTCAGAGGTGCAATGTAATGAGACTCGCCATAGTCATTCCAAGTGACAATTTCGATGAAGCGTGGCTTCATGGTCAACAACTCAGTCCATCGCTCATACCAAAGATTGTCCGATGGAAAGACCCAATTTTTACTGTAAGGGACCTCGGCACCAAAGTGGGTAAAGAACCAGGGGGAGACGGCTGATAATGAGGTTAGATCTCGACCGAAAATGTGGTAATGTTAAGAGCAACTCACGAGCCATGTATGGCTTCCCTTTCAACACATTCAAATATGCCTTGTCACCGTCCTGTACAGTCACAGTCTGGCCTGGTCTTGGCGCCTTGTTGTTGCCATTATTGGGCCAGGCCATCCAGTTGAAAAGAGCTTCAACTTTCGAGACATCAATGCTACTAACCTTTTGATAGTTCGGTGCCCAATAAATAGGCCGGCCAACAGCAGCACGGAAAGCGTCAGAATCTAGGCCATCACCAGCAAAGGATGAAACGAAAACCTTGCCATCTATTAGGAGCTGCGCTGGCTTGCTCGCAAACTTGGCAAGCTTCTGACCAGCTGCAGTGGCTTCGGAATCCTGCCTCCACCAGTTAAAGTCAAAGGAAATAAAGACTTTCATGTCATTATTTGCGGCTGACTGGTACGCATATTCTAATTGCGTATCAGTAAAGGGGTCAACACGATCTACTCCAATGTTTAGAGCAAAGGCATCAATCCCCAGTGACTTCGCACGCTTCATGTCACTATCGAAATCTGCAGGCGACCTTCTGTTGCTGACAATTCCAATCTGTAGGGTAGTTAGGATTCTGTGTCCGATGTTGCCAACCATCCAGATGGCTTACCATGAAATGAGCAAAGACCATTCGGTCTGAGGCGAGGAGCTCGCTGGTATCATTGCCTGAGCTCGGTAGTGCGTCTACCAGGGAGCTGAGCACCGAGACTATACTTAAAAGGAAAAGCCTGGCCTTCATGCTGGATAGTGGTCAGGTGTTGTCAGAATGTAGGATGCTGAAAGAAACCGATCCGCGAGGACCAAAGAGTTCTATATGGCCACATCGGCTCTTATATGTTTCTCATGGGAACAGGAAAGACACCATGGATGCAACCGTAATGACTGTAACCTTGAGAATTGAGTATATTAAGAAGTTGGAATGAGGAGCAGGGGGTGTGAATGGAGGACTCGATTCAGACATGGTCGGCTTTGAACAAAGATTGGCTTTAACCTCCGAGGGGTTTAATCGATGGGACTCTGTAGGACAACCCTCACATTCTAGATGACCTAGAGTGGATATTACTGTAGTCATCATGCCGTCCAGTCGGTATGGGATGTCAGCGAAGGGAAGTGTATGAGTGAGAGATTCAAACTGGATTGGATGATCCCAATTGATTCTGGTAGCCGCTGTCCCTGTTACAATTTGGCCCGTTAGAAAGGCACTTCATGTCTAGCCTCTCACTGTCGGGCGCTAAGTCGACTAATACAAGGCAGGCGCCCTATGGAGGGTTGCTCAAAATGTTCCAAATTGCGGGGTATAAAGAGACTCGAAGGAGCAATGTTTCACAGGGAAAATTAGGTGTGACTTTCATTGTATGTATAAGGACTTTATGTTTAGGTGTTGGCTTGGGACATGTACTACCCGTTATTAGGGTTGATATGTCACACCAGTCCCTCTGGAGCAAATGTGCCGATAACGGAGGTATGCCAGTGGTATAACCCCTTAGACAACATGTGCTCTAGAGCAGCAAATTTGAACTGAGGTGGAATGAAATAGAAAGAGTATGGTCCCTTTGCCATCAAACCATGCCGTGCGCTACTCTCATACCTATCTTCCATAGTGCAGTCCACCGCAAAATCCCGCATCTAGTAGCTTCTCTAGCGTCAAGATGAGACTCTGCATGCGTTCACCGGAGAACATGATACCCTTGAGGGTTGAAGAGGCTTGTCTTGGGTTCCCGATGACATGTTCATTACTTAAGTGACCCGAGTATATCGGCCAAAATTCACCACCAATAACACGCATCCCGTCAATAGGCATATGCCGTGCAACTCCAGCATATCACCTGCACTATTCAGCCGAAGCCTCCTTGAGGGTAACACACCCATGCCGATTCAGGTAAGAATGGGATTTTAGAGGTCTGGTGAGTTCTACTCATGGCTAAGGCAAGGGATCATTCTCCTGCATTTAGGTTTGGCTTGGATCCAAAGATGATGCAAGCAAGAATTGAGTAGCTACTAGCGATTCGTCCGCTTCAGTGGAGTATGCGCACAGACAATCCAATCAGCCATTGGTTGTGTTTATTATTGACCTAGGTGTGTTCTCGAAGTTTGTCGTGCATATATTGTCAACCTCTGGGGTGGCCATCCAGTCACTCGAAGTGTATGTAACCGAAACCACAAGATCCACTGCAACCACGGGACAAGTAATATGGAGCCAAGAGGGATCATCGTCCTATGATCAGAGAGCGCAGCCATTCGTATCTCACTCCCTCCCCTTCTATTTTGATTCGAGAAAAATGGGCCACGCGACTATGTTTGGCGTAGCATTCTGGAACGGACTCGTCACCAGGCGTGCCTGCTGATTAGTGGAGAATATACAATAGAAGTGTTTGCCAAATGTGGCGCGTAGATCCATGACATGGAACCTGGATTCAAATCTTCTTCAACGTAATTATCTTCTCATCCGTTACATCAATGTCGGGCTGTGATAAGATTCCGTGCCCAAGCACCCGGGTGAAGAAGGTTGGAGAATGACGGGTGTTGTTCTCGAGTATCCAACCGGTTGGAGGATTATGATGTCTAATAAGGGCTTGTGGAGACTTAAATGACATCAGCCATTGACGTAGGCACTCGAATGTGGTAGTATCCCATGAGTCCTGTCCTTCACATATACTGTGTTGCTCGTAGATCAGGGTTCGATGGATCTGAGGCTTACAGGGAGCAACAACCTGTGTGATTAGACTTTACTGGATTGCCAATGGATCCTGTGTGCATTCCGTCTTCGTCGGAAGTTACTGGACTTATATTTTACGCCACAGATGGGAAATAAGTTAGCGGTATACCACAATAACTACGCTTACTTTCATATGATTAGCCTAAGAATATATACACAGACTGAGATTTTAGGCGTTCTCGTTGGCCCTGTTGCCTGTCCGTTGTCCAATACCTCACTGCAGGATTACATATATTAGAGCATCCAGCCAGCCCTGATTGTCTCTTGATATGCCAATCTAGAATAGAAGAAGAAGCAGCACCGGGCAGAATGTAACTGACAATAGGCACATACACACAACCCACAATTCGGGCACATATCAGTGTCTGAGCTCCGCATTGGGAGCTGATATCTCCATGTAAAGTACGTACTGGTTCCATGAGATCAGCTCAGCCGATTTCATTGGAACGAGAGTTAGCAAGAGCCGCGTGTCATGTAAAAATCCTCCCAAATGACTACCTGCATGGAGTATCTTCAAACTTTGCCAATCTTGGGTTGAGCCATCCTGCCTTGGAAACCAGGTCAGTTCCATTAGATAAGGAAATTCTCCCAAGATGTGAAGTGCCAATTTTGAGGTGGTGGCAACTCAAGTGGCGAGGAGGAATGACATGCTCTTTCTGTGAAGTCGAGGTATTTCCTGTCTAGGAAAAACCACTATCTATAGCAGGCGAGGCTATCCAGACTAACAATACAGGAATACGTCTTATTTAAGGGCCGGTTTGCAAGAAACCGACATCTATCTCTCTCCTTAGCAGATGGTACGGTACAGTGCAGTAGTATGTTGATTCGGCTACCAGGGCGCGATCCGGACGTCCTGATACTTGTACAGTAAAATGAATATCAATCAAACCCCACTTCCAACAATATTTCAAGCATGAGGACTACTATGTTGCGGATATCATAGATTGCAGAATTTCTCGAGGTGTGTGATTGCCACGCTGTCACTATCACGACTTCACATTTTCGAGTAAATGCATATACATATAGTATGTACCTTCTCCACCCCACTATCCTGTGTCGATCTTCGTCTAACCCAAGTATAATAGTCCGTTAGATATGGATCATTCGGCTCCATTCATACAAGTTCAAGCCGAGCGAAATTCCGATCAGTCGTATCCAACGGCAAGTCCGCGCGGGCCGGGCAGTTATCGGGATGATCACTGTCTCGCCGATGCAATATTAAATCCAATTGGACATCCGACATGCAACCCCGGAAATTAAGTCCAGGACATTCTCTTTCTCGCATTGTGATGGGTCCTTTACCCTGCAGAAATAGATGAGTGACCACTCTCTAACAACAATCTCCGATTGATCAGCCCGTTCCCTGCAGCAATTCATGCCATGTAACCCTTTGGAGACAGGCTTCTATATACATCATTTATAATCGTGTGTCTGGCTCACATTATAAAGGGATCCTAATTTTTCAGTTCAAACCGAATAATTCACAAGTACCAACGAGAACTATAAGTTGTTAGTCGTTTTTGATATTTTCACCCATCATGCGGAACAACGTTCTTATTTCCCTTAATGCCATTGCAGGCGCTGTCGCGTCTCCCTTCTCTGGATACAAGAGACAGTCGGATATCAACTCCTTCATTGAAAAAGAGACTCCCATTGCAAAACAAGGGGTGCTCAATAATATCGGCGCTGATGGCAAACTTGCTCAGGGAGCCGCCGCGGGGATTGTTGTGGCCTCTCCATCCAAGGATAATCCTGATTGTTCGTGCACCTCTCTTACCCTCTAAAACCTACACCATACATGAACAAGCAAAGCACTAACTATTTCAGACTTCTATACTTGGACACGCGACGCTGGTCTAACCATGGAAGAAGTGATAGAGCTGTTTCTCGGAGGCGATAAGTCTCTCGAGCCTATCATTCACAGCTATGTTGACTCTCAAGCTAATCAGCAGACCGTTTCCAACCCATCAGGCAGTCTTTCGGATGGCTCAGGCCTTGCTGAACCCAAGTTTAATGTCAATATCTCTGCTTTTACCGGTGCTTGGGGCCGCCCCCAGCGTGATGGGCCGGCTTTACGTGCCTCCGCCTTGATTATGTATGGCAACTTCCTGGTCGCGAATGATAAGAAGTCGCTCGCCAAGAGCAACATCTGGCCGCTGGTTCAGAATGACTTGTCCTACGTGGGCCAATACTGGGATCAGAGTACCTTTGACCTCTGGGAGGAGGTCCAGGGATCTTCTTTCTTCACCACTGCTGTACAGCACAAAGCCTTGGTTGAGGGCGACGCATTCGCCAAATCTTTGGGAGAGAAATGCGACGCATGCGCCGTGGCACCACAAATTCTCTGCCAGCTTCAGACCTACTGGAATGGGTCTGCTATTCTTTCAAACAATCCCACCAGCGGTCGTAGCGGGCTTGACGCCAACTCGCTTCTGGGCTCCATCCACATTTTTGATCCAGCTGCCGCCTGTGACGATACCGCATTCCAACCCTGCTCCTCCCGTGCTCTATCCAACCATAAGATTGTGGTGGACTCTTTCCGGTCCATCTATGGTGTCAACAAGGGACGTGGTGCAGGGAAAGCTGCGGCGGTGGGCCGCTACCCGGAGGATAATTACCAGGGAGGAAACCCATGGTAAGGCCCTTTGGTCGCACTGGATTTTGAGCTCTAGATTAATATGTAACAGGTATCTTACTACATTAGCGGCTGCAGAACTGCTCTATGATGCTCTGTACCAGTGGGACAAACAGGGTAAACTGGAAGTCACGGAAACCTCGCTTCCCTTTTTCAAGGATCTCTCTAGTAATGTCACCGCCGGATCATACGCTAAGTCCTCCTCGAGTTATCAGTCCCTGACGAGTACTGTCAAGGCCTACGCAGACGGCTTCATCTCTGTTATCCAGGAATATACTCCCAGCAATGGTGGAATGTCTGAGCAATTCAAGCGGGACGGTGGAGAACCGGTGTCTGCATCTGATCTAACTTGGTCATATGCAGCATTCTTGTCTGCTGTTGGAAGACGAAGTGGCACTGTTCCTGCTAGCTGGGGTTCTTCAACAGCCAACAAGGTTCCCAGTCAGTGCTCAAAAGCTACAATTTCTGGGAGTTACACTACCCCTACTGCTGGTTCGTGGTAAGAAGAAGTGCCATCAATGTTGCATGTGTAGTATCTACATCGTCCTGTTGCACACATAGTGTTTGAAATCGACTCTTGTCTTTTGTGTCTGTCTCTTTAGATGTTTTTTGTTATATATTCATCACCCATTTATCCCAATGGCGAAAGAATCAACTTCTTTCTAGTACCAGTTAGACAGCAAGGTTTTACAATGATAAAGTTTATCCTAGTACAAACATCTAACCTTGTAAGAACCCTGCCCAAAGTACAAAAACAACACCACTAACCCTACCTCACCCTCTCCAATGAAACAAGAAACCCACACCAACAACACTATACCTGAACCGCCGTGTCACTCCATAACAACAGTCTATGATAAAACAGTAGGTCACCCAAACCCCCAAAAAAGTGGGGTCCGAAAGTATAACAAATATCATTCCAGCAACTTCCCACGCAGATCACCTCTCTGTTGCCTGGCACAGCGCTTCGCTCCCTTCAACGTCCCGGGTCAAAAAGCTATATAGGTATATAGATCAATCGAAGGTTCCAACCCTATACATAGCCCAGACCATAATAAGCACAAAATACATAGAAGCATCCAAAGCACCTCTAATCAATCAACCAAGCAAGCACAATTTCCAACTGGCCCGTCTTCATCCACCCCCCTCCGGGAGGCCTCAATAAAGTTATGCTTGTTACTACCCCTACCCTACCAATCACCAATATATACATACAATCTAACAACTTATCCAACCCCAAAAAGCAACTAAACCAAGCCCCCCCTCCTCCAAGACTACGAATTCGCCAATTCCCCATAATGGACCCTAATCACCAGAAAAGGTCTCCCCGAGCATTCCCCCCCACACCACCGAAAATACCGAAACTCTTAACACCCACCACCAACGCCTTCGCCACCTACTCCCCGTGCGACATCTAACCTCGACGACCCGGCTACCCGCCAGGAATTTAAGGATAGGGGCCTAACGGCTCCGGACTAGATTATCGTTAACAAGAAGAGTCTGGAGACGGAGACGTGTCTGTTGACGGAGTATGTGCAGGAGAGGCATCGGGAAGTCGATGAGGAGGGGAATGTGGTTGGGTACCAGATGTTTCGGATTCCGTGAGTGAGGGCCTGGAACATGTTTTGTAATTTGGATATTGCGAATATGGATTTTGAGGAGTGGGTGAATGAGGAGCGGGGGCCTGCAAAGGAGGGCTTTGGGGCGTGGGCTTGGGTTGGGCCTTTCGGGGTGGAGGAGGATGATGATGATGATAGGGTTGTCGTGGGGAGGGAGGAGACTTTCAGGAAGGGGGTTAGAGGGGGAGCACGCTTGATTTTTGGTTTTGGGAGTGTATGGGGGGTTATACCTACAAGGTTTGTATATATATGTGTGTGGTTAGAGTAAGGTATTGGTTGTTGGGACATGTTGTTAACAGCTGTGCCAATATTAATGTCAAGCAAGAGCTTTCTCTCATAGCAACAAACTCACACATATATAGCCCTAAACGGTACGGGGGAAGTCATGCGGCCCCCTGAAGACATCTTGTAGAGCCATCCGCTGGATCACGATTTTCATTTTTCAGGTGGGCACCCCTTTCCTTAGCATTTCAACAATATCCGTGTGGCCGCTGACGGTCGCAAGGGAAAGTGGCATTTTGCGTCTGACAGTGTGACCCAAATTCGCGGCGTTGTCCAACAGTATTTTGAGAGCTTCGGTCTGGCCCCCTTATATAGCAACCCGCAGAGCGGTGCAGTCACACTCACTACTCTCGGCCTCTGTCCTGGCGCCATGGCTCAAAGGAAGCTCGACAATCTTAGCATGGCCCAAGCTGGAGGCTAGGCTACCATAAAAGGTGTTTCCGATAGAGGTGACTCTAAGTCGGGGTCTTCTCTTAAGACCCTTTGCATGGTATCCACTCTACCAAATGCTGCGGCCCATATCAGTGCACTGTTTAAGCATCTAGGCAGTACCATGCTTCGGAGTTTTTCATAGGGCATTTGATATGATGACGGTAGAGGTATCGGTTGAACAGGTTGTGAAAGGTACGCTTTGTATATTATTATCATTATTATTATTAATCAAGTTTAACGCCCATATCGAGCCGTTGGCTATGACAGACACATGTGCCTAGGCCACTGCCTCTAGATAGTCCCTGTGGACTCTATCAGCCCCCTTTTTCATTCGTATGTTCATTCTGATCCTTTTCCTCGCCCGATCCGCTTATCTGCGCTAGAGCCTTTGGGTTATGCCCTCCTCGGTGTTCGGTATGGTTTGTTTGAGTGATAGCGTTGATGTCCGAGCCACGATCTGGACATTCTATGATCATGTATAGGAGCTCGCTTGGTAAGCTGAGAAGAGGTAACTATATGGAGTACCTGGAAGAGGGTTAGTAGTAGCCGAGCCTTGGGGACAAGTTAACGTAGTAGGGTGAACGTAGTAGCACTGAAGGTTACTTTACATCGGGGTTGGTCGCTGGCAGTGTTAGATAATGCATACATTTCTACATAATACACACATGGTTCAGTTATATACCCGATTGTTTAGGCAGCGATTTGATAAGGCGCCGGGAGAGGTTATAGTCAAGAGCGGGATTTCGAAAGGAACTCAGTTAGACCACACCATAGTACTGGAGCGACCTACCTGTTCAGGCGGATCTATGTACAGGTGGTGTCTCGTACCACAGTTTGAGTGTAGTTTCAGTTGTTTAGGTCTAAAACACGGCATGTATTACAGTACATATGGATGGAGTACATAAAAAGGCAGTTGTTAGTCCAGACCGATCGTTAGTTAACTTAAAATATCCAACCCACTTAGTTGTCTCGGAGGTTATATTAAAGCCAGGAGTATTGCTTTGTATAATAAGCTCTATCACGATTTCCGTGCAGGTTTGAAAATATCAGGTGCCAAGGGGCGAGATTTCTTTTCACTTAAGTGGCGGTCAAGCAGGCCTTAGGCGCCTTAGGCATTCGTTAATCTATCTTCCGCGTCCGCTGACACATCAGCTGAAACCTCATAACCTCACTATGTACTGAAGTACTTTTTTTTGCTCATTTCCAAATCCCAACAGGCTATCAATCAACGTCGGAGTCAAATTCCAGGCTGACCCAACAAACCATTTACCTACTCTAGTAATCCCGCCTGCACATGACGTATCCGAGTGGATCATTTGCAATTGCAGGGTACTTTATTGGGAATACCACGTGGGTGACACATGTCTTCAAGATGAAACCTGGATCAACATGGTCATTGGGTATACCCCGGATAGAGAGAGGCATATCCCCCTGATTTACCAAACACCACACCGGTTAAGGAATTGGGCTAAGCTGGTTGCCTAGCGGAATAGACCACAAAGAAAAAAAAAGAAAAAACAATAATAAATAGTAATTATAATAATAATAATAATAATAATCAAACGGGAGATCAGGCGCATCCTTTTTAGTGTCTCAAACCATTGTTTGATGCCTTTCGCCGGTGGGCAGGACTATCCCCCATTTCAGCATAGTCCCTGAAAGCCCATCCACAGATCTTCAACGGTTAGCAGATCAATTACCCAATGAGGTATGGTTTTACGACTCAATCGGAGAGCGAATGTGTTACTTAACTTAACTGAGGTTTGGCTTAGAAATTGTTGAGCTCAGGAGGGGAAATATTTTGGGTATCCCGGCTCCGAGGATGGAACCATAGACTCTCTGCGGAAGAGACTAACCCAACTGGAGGCGCTTAGCGACCAGATTGTCGGGTACCATGATACCAAGTGAGTCAGGAGAGATCTTCCAATCGATGTGCCCCGATTCTGTCCCCGTTGGTTCTGATCGGCCTTTATTTTTTCCCCTCCCTCTCTTTTTTTTTGGGGGGGAGGGGTGTTGTTTGTGGTATGTGCATTGTTCAATGCTTATTAGAGGAATGACAAACTAGGGCTCACAGCGTTGAACCGACGACGTCCATACAAAGTACCAGATTGGTTCACTCGGGCGCTTTCTTTATCGGCCGCGCCACGCTATCCACCTAGGCCGGAGGGATAATTAATTAAAAAAATTTTTCCCTAATCCTGGTCCATGGAAGTCCCCAGTTTACTGGGAGCCCATGTAGATACCCACTGGCCATATGGTATCCCGAACTACGGAGTCGTTGGAGAAGACTAGCAGGATCGATAAAAGTGCCATGACACGTGGAGACCAGTCGATCGCCTGATCCTGAAGAATTGAGGTCTTGGGTTGAGACACTCGGTTCAAACTCTGTTAATTGAGTAATATGAAGAGCAATATCAGAATATATGAAGGAAAAGGTCCAATGGTGAGGTGGTGGAGTTCCCAAGCTGCCTACCCTGCAAATCCCGTCCAGCCATCCCTCCATCAGGGGCCAGAATCGCGTGCGATGTCGGCGACTGCTCGTAGAACTTACCCGCCTGTCCCAAATCAGGGTTCCTGGAATTGCTTTTCCAACCAAAGGTAACCTTCGGTTGGGGCTCGCCGAGAAACGGCCCCAGCATTTAATTGCGAGGGGCCAATCAATGCCCCTGTGGGGAAAGAAGCGAAAGTCATGACGGAGCAAAGTGACTGAGATGCCTCCGTGATGATGTTTTGGAATCAAGTGACACATTACTTCGTAATAGTATCGGCCTAATCAGCCGTTAGTCGGGTCGTTTAATATATTTTCCTTTTTGGCTTATGTCTAAGCGCAAGTCTAAACCCGCCCGCAATGGTCGATCAATGGGAAGAGCCACGCGCAGTGCCAGCCCTTGAAGGGGTAGTGAATGAGGTATTCGATGCGCTTTTCCCATGCGAGCGCGTTCCGGCCGAGCGGTTATCGAACATGAAGGTTCTTGATCCTGGCCGATCCTTACCGTGGATGTCACCAACCGTACCAGGATTGTCGATTGGTGAAAAACGGTCGAAAACAACGTGTCATATCCGCTTGTCTGACCGTCTCCGCCGAGGCGCTTCGATCGAGAATTTCCCGCCAGTGTTTCACTGTTGGCTTTGGTCCGCCGAACCATGTGATAGTATAGAGGAGGGGGGGGGGAGCATCATCGTATTCTCTTCCAGGGGAGTGGTTGGATGCCTTCAACAAAGTTCTTGCTGCTTGCGTCGGGAATCGGGATATGTCCGCCGTTCGTTCCGTTTCGTCATCTACCTAGATAGATACTAAAATGTCTTATGAGCGGGATTGTGGGTTGTGGGTTTTTTTTTTTTTTTTTTTTTTTTTTTTTTTGGTACCAGTCTAATACCTAGTTAGGGTCAATCTCTTTTTCTTGGTTGATAATCGGAAAAGAAGGGGTGGGGACGACTTGACTTGACTCGAGAGGGAAGATGAACCCACAAAATGAGATAATGTGCTTGTGTTCTTTCTTTTATTTTCATTTTCATTTTCATTTTCATTTTTTTTGTTGGCTTTTTCCTTGTTTCAATTTTTTCCACGGTTGTGTCATTTTTTATTTTATTTCGCTTTTTCAGTTTGCTCTTTTTTTTTTGGTTGTTAGGGTTATTCGTCCGGATGATTCAATCCCCTAATAGCAGAAAGTAATATGATAATACGAAATGTCTTGATTGCAAAAATGCGGATCCCCAAAGGTGGCTGGCGACACCTAAGTCGGTGGGGGCCAAACGAGACAGAAGTTCTCATGCACCCGACAATTTCCAGGTCGTCTATCTCACCGTCGTGGTTACGGCGGGAACGAGATAATCTTCGTAGATTGAGGGAGGGTTCCCCATCCCAGGCGCCTTTTTAGAGTAATGGATATGGAGAGCGCCCATGCACCCGTTAATTACCCAAAAAAGGGTCCTCCCCCAACCGTACCACCCAGAGCTGCTTATCGCCATGTGGTCCTGATCTCACAAAGCAAAACACCGTCTCCCCTATCAGGACGATCCTAAGCCCAGAACATGGCTCCACGTATGCCAGTCCGGCGCCGTTTCCTTTTGGTCTGGTACCCGCCCTGGATTAGACGCTTAGTTCCACTGTACGAATCGGGTGTATTCTGGCACCCTGGCCCCCAATTCAATAAGCAATGACTGGCCAAAGAGAGACAGGGAAAAAACGGGCGCACTACACATGGCGTCCGTTAGCTTCTTGGGGCTGAAAAACCATTTGTGTTCCCCCCAATGCCGGGGCAAGGAGCTTACTTTCCCCCGGTCCCTTTCAACGGATCTGGCAGCTTGTTTCTAAACCATGCGACTCAACCCTATGTAACTTTGGGTCCATTCAAATTAAGAAAATCGTAGATATTTCCAGTTATCTATCTAAGTCAGGCACGGTAGGGTGGAGCTGGACGGGAAGTTGTGGTTCCCGGACAGCCTGACTTTCTAGCTCAGAATCGTTTCCATGGATATCGAGGATGTCGGAAATCGTTTGTGCAGAAACTATTCTGGATCGAGTATCCCCGGGATTAGACCTTGTAACGAACATTGATGACATAGGAGTAAAAACGGGGGCGGTTAGAGAGAAGAAGAAGAAGAAGAAGTTGACAGAGCAATTTCACCGACGAGTCTCACTGGATTCGAGCGGAATTGGCTTGTCCTTCCCCTTCTTTTTTTGCTTTTTCTTCCTCTCTCTCTCTCTGTCTCGCTCTCTCTCTCTCTCTTCTTTGTGGCCCTCTCTTTTTTTTAATAACCGCTAATGCGACCAAGGAGAAAACAAAAGTCCAAAGGTGAGAAAAGGAATTACAACCTGGCGCCCGTCAACCAAACGGCAAGATCGTCAATGTTGGTCTGCGTTTAGGAGATAGTCTGACAGGACTGACTTGGGCAAGGGGCAGTGTGAATCGTGCGAACTAAACGATATTAGAAATAATTCTAGGCAAATCAAAAAATAGAAAATAATGGGCAAATTGAATAATAAAAGATCACCTTAAAACTAAAACCGGACTTACCATAAGCTGAACTGGGGACTTAGTAGGACTAAACCAAGACGAACTACTAGTATCTTTGGTCTCCCCCCAGTTGATTGGTCTTCTTCGCTTATTCTTTTCCTGGTTTCTCCATCTGCTTCACCCTAAAACGTTTAAATAGTCGCCTTTGCTCATTTTGTCGGGGATGGCTTCACCTGATTTTGTATAATTTTGCATTATTTTGCCTACAGGGTTCGGCTGTTAGACGTTGATATTCTGGTTGTGATCGTTTGAAAGGATTCAGTTTGCGCTTGTCATCGATACTGTATGTCCAGTGATCTCCCTCCCCCCCTCTCTCACTCTCTTTCTCTCCCTCTCTCCCGCTATATCATTGCCTTACATGTCTGCTGTCTCCGTAAATCTTTCTCTCTCTCTCTCTCTATATATCTCCTCTTTGGTACTTTATTCGTTCCTACCCAATATCCCTCTTCCCTGCTCCCATCCCATATTTGTTCGTATTGTTAAGGCATCGTACTATACCTCTTTAAATGTCCTTCGTGCAACTTGAGCCAGCTCACTTACCAGACCTCTCTTATCATAGCCGCAGACAGTTGGCTGAGTCTTCTCTGCGGAGTCTGAGTTCTTCCTCAGACTCATCATCATCGCCTTCTTCTTTCGAATTTGATCCATCGACTTGGATTGGGCCGTTCCAGCTCCGCGATACGAGTCCGCCAAGTTCCTCGGGCTTATATTGGAGCCTACATTATAGTCGCGCTGACTTGGGGCCTAAACTCTTGAACGCAGTACCCAATTTCAGAGTATCTCAAGAACAGAGCCCAGATCCCAGATCGAGCAGGAACTTGGGTTCTTCATCGTTTGAAGTCGCTCCAGGCGTCTGTGGCACTCCACCTACTTTCCAGTACGACTGTTCAAACCCAAATTCCGAAGAGCAATCGCTCCATTGTCTGCACGCGCAGGTCCAAGGACAGCTCCCTATAGAGAATCCACAGTACGTTGACCATCATCTGCACCGTCGGAGCATTGACTAATATGATCTTATGACGAAGAACACCGTACTGTTATGAATCATCGCCTCAAGCGCAACCAAAGGCAGACTTAATGGCAAGCATGGCAGATAACAACACACACAGTACGCTATACAATGACCTCCTCTGTTCTTCCATGGCCATAATCTTCAGAACTAACTCCAGACAGATTACGGCTGGCAGAGCCGGCCATCCCACCCTCTTCATCCTTCCTCAATGGCTATGGATCAGCAACCGTTCTCCCAGCCACAGACCCTCCCAGCATCTTCTGGATACCCCGTTGGATATCATCCTCCGCACACTACAACTCAAGGATTTTATCAGCCGGGGATCCCAGCTCCACAGTATCTTTGCTCGCCACATCCAGGCCTGCTCCAAAGCCGACATCCCCGAAGGTATGTTATCTCTCGTACACCACTGTTTAAATTTTGGGAATCGCTAACTTATAGTATTGCGTAGCTCATCCATTCCATATTCCTTCCCCAGTAGCCATGTTCCAGGCAGCCCTCCAACAATAGCTGAACAGCCCTTCGGTTCATCGTAAGGTTTACAGGCCGTCCAGAGAAGCCGTATGAGACTGACTAGCTTCTAGGCCTCCCTCATATCTACTTAATCACCAGGAATATTATTATTCTCAGGCACCTTCACTGTCGTAGGTCTTACCCCGTGCACTCCGCTTTCAGCCTGTGCACTGACATCTGAAGCTCTAGATCAAATCAGAGCTCTCTAGCAGTGAGCCCACAGTCACAACATATTATGACACCAGGGACAGTGTACTCGTCACCCGATACAGCACCGACATCCTCAGATCCAGAACAGCAGGTACGCGTCATCAGCTTCCGACCGAAACCTCAATGCTGGGATCACGGATGCAACGGCCGTGAGTTTTCGACATTTAGCAACCTGCTCCGTCATCAAAGAGAGAAGTCTGGCGTAGTCGCCAAAGCCGAATGTCCCAGCTGCGGCGCCGTATTTACACGAACCACTGCCCGAAATATACACGTCTCCCAGGGTAAATGTAAAGGGAGTGGGAGAGAGACATCGAGCGAATGATTATGGGGCGGCCATGTACGGAACGGACTTCCCGTTGAAACCCAGTGGTCTACTTATAAAACAACTCATACTATTCGCTCAGAGCATCGCAATACCTTTTCGCAGGGTCGCCATCCAATTCTCGCAGCGGAACTACGCCGTCTACTGAGATACATGCCGAAAGCGCAGTTCAGCAGCTTGGAAACCTAGAACGACAACCAATTTCTCGAATCCTTTTCCTGATAAGGATTTGATACGTCTGCAACAGACATAGATGACTGCATCCATATCTACAAATATGGCGGGATAGAGGGTACTAAATTGAAGATATAGTTATATTCACATTGTACATACTTTTCACCAGGTTAAGCCGGTGCACCATACAAGGCAGATGCATAATTGAGAATTATAGAATTCCTCAATATCTCAATATCTTCTCGTCCACCCTTTTGTGTCAAATATATACAATGCCTAATTCATGGCGGTCATTACGCCTAATATATTTCCTAGCAAGCAGAGGAAGCGACATCCATGAGCAGAGGGCAGAAAATTCTACCCAACTCCATCACACCAACCATCAGTGGACCACTTGAAGTGGAACGATGGTGCAAGAACAGTAAGAGCCAAAAGACCCAGCTGCCTCAGGCGCTGTACCCCACCACGTGGCCCTTCCCATGCTTACATCACGCATTGAAATCACCTGACCGAATCATGTCATCAAGGGCTTAGGATGTCTGGAATGTACTGAACATGTTCAAATGACTCACTGGACGCTTTCCACCATGTCGTCGGTTTCCCTATAAGTGACGACTAGCCATCACTATATTACTTTCCGGGACTACTATCTGGAAAGACTCGTCGTTTTATCTGGCCAATTGTGCCTACAACTGCATTGCCATCGCCGATCTTTCTGGGCCCCCAAGATGACTTCATTATCAATACCATCCTACAACATATGTAAAATATCCCAAGCTTGCTGGCACTTATACTGCTTATTGCCCCCTCACATAGCACGGCCCAGTTTGATACCCATCTGAGTCAATTTTGTTTGTTATTTTTTTTCCCTGGCCGATTGCTTCTTCTCAAGACTCCTATACGGAACAGCAGGCTGCTTTTAATATAATTCGCCTCGACGTTTTTGAAATATGGCTTCCATCTTTACTTACGATCCGGACCCTCCAAGGGTCTCCTCTCCATGGTCCACATCCGGGTCATCCACTCCCCAAGTAGCTGCGACAGTGGCCCGTACAGTGACTCGGAATCAGTCCTGTACCAACCTAGACCATGCAGACCCCAACGTTCTGTCGGACTATGGGATCACGAAGCTGGAGCCGGAGCCGCAAGAAGGGCCTACTGAGTACAAGTTGCACCTCCTCCTCCGATCAAGGAGGCTTTATACGGCCATGTCCACTGGCCATCTCGTGGGTGGTTCTTACCACACCCGCTTGCCCTTGCCCGCCTCGGCTCCGACGCCATCCAGTTATGAATCAACCTCGAAGCAATTCCAAGTTCGTTCGACACAAAGTCGCCAGCAAAGACTACAGCAATTGACAACTCAATTGTTGTGGCGCTTGCAGCAATCTTCACCTTTTCATTCGTCCACCGCTGCCAATCTTGTGCTCCCCGTTCTCCCAGAGGCAGCTCTGGAACTTGGAATCCCTCAGAAACCAGCTCGCTTGCTTCCTGGACTTGAGGAAAGTCAGGGTGCTCTGTACGAGATCGGCGTCGCCGACGATGGCACTTTTGTTGGGCTCACTCATGACGAGCTAGAAGAAAGCCTGACTAATCTGCAGGTGATGGCTGGTAGTCTTGGTTGTAAGGTCGAGATTCTTCGCCGAGTTATTGTTGGCAACTGCGAATGGGTTGAGGGGCTGTGTGCTCCAGATGCTGGCATTGGCAAAGCCCACGCAGAGGATCTTTGGGTTGCCGAGGCTCTAGTGAGTCCAGACTGGGACTATTACCGAATCGAATCCCCAAGGAATGGCTCTCATAATGGCGGGTCACCATCGCTAGCGGCGAGGCAAGGAATGTTGGATGATGACCAGTCTAAAACGGAACAGATCCGTATCTCCATCACCGGTCCAACTACGGCTGGAAAGTCCTCGCTTTTGGGTACTCTGACCTCGTCTGTACTTGACAATGGGAGAGGAACTAGCAGACTAAGTCTTCTGAAGCACCGACATGAGATTTCATCCGGGATCACAAGCTCAGTTGCGCATGAGCTGATAGGATACGCTGCCAATGAGCAGGCCGAGGACACTCTCGATGTGGTCAATTATTCGTCAGGCAATGTTGCAGCGTGGGACGATGTACACGCAGCCTCGACGCAGGGTCGTCTTGCATTCGTCTCTGACCTCCCAGGCTCAGTACGTTATCTGAAATCTACGCTTCGTGGCCTGGTTAGTTGGGCTCCACATTATGTGCTGCTGTGCATTCCGGCAAATTGCGGTGATGAGGCCACAAAGGAGCCCCAGCTCAATTCCACGGAGCAGACTGCTGACATGGATTTAGCATTGTCACACCTTAATCTCTGCATAAAGTTAGAGATCCCTACAATTGTGGTGATCACTAAAATGGACCTTGCCTCTCGTGCCTGCCTAAAACAAAACCTTACGAAAGTTCTGTCGGCGTTGAAACATTCCGGCAGAAAGCCTGTAATGCTGCCTGTGCAATCTGGCAATCCTGAAGCTGCGCCAGACCTGCACCACGTGGGACCGAAAGACAGTGCGGAAATCAAGAAACTGATCGCTACAACAGACAGTTGGTCTTCAACCGTTCCGATAATCCTGACTAGTGCTGTCGATGGCTCGGGGATAGGGATGTTACATGCTCTGCTAGGGTATCTACCTATCCCTTCAAGACCATCTTTACGAACTATTTCCTTACCAAAAGCGCTGCCGCTGCCGGCTCTTGCTACAAACATCTTCGATGTTGACGAAGTATTTGCCATTCCTCCGTCAAAGGTCTACTCCATATCCATGGAACAGTCTTCCAAGGAAAGCCATGGGGTTGTTCTCTGTGGCTTAGTACGCTACGGAGCCATTTCGATAGGGGATGAGCTGGTCATCGGACCGCTTCCAGACAGCACTCCACCGGAACATGGAAGTAGGGTTCGATCGGAACGGCGCTCGGAGACCCAATCCCAGTTTGAATCCTTCCGGAGTAGGCCGTCATCAGGAGATTTTTCTACCTCGTTTGCCCAAGGATCTTTTCCGGGAAAGGTACTTTATCCAACTCAAGCGCACTGGCAGCGTGTCCGCGTAGTCAGTGTTCGGAATCTCCGGTTGCCGGTCCGGAAGTTAGTTGAGGACCAAGTAGGCACAATAGGTGTTGAGCCCCTTTCTACTTGTCAAGGCGAGCCGCCTCCTCGGCTTGGTCGAATACGAAAAGGAACCATCCTGGCCAGCTTTCCAGCACCATCTGCAGGCACCATTCCCAAGTCACTATTATTCCACACAGGCTTCGTCGCTAGCTTCGATTCTAGTGAATTCGCTTCCTCGTTATCCCCACCGCTACTATTGGGTGGGAACGCGATCGTATATATTGCCAACATTCGGTCAACAGTAAAAGTGACTTGTATGGCGCTTGCAGATGATGAGGTCGTCTCCTCACCTCCGTCGCCGACAGAGCTAGAGTTCTTCAGCTTCGATGGCGATGCCAACGACCATGATAGAGGAGACGAACTGGAACTGAACAATATGATCAGACCATCGGCCAATTCATCTCTTGGGGATATCAAGATTACATTTTGTTTCGTGACCTCGGTTGAATGGGTGGAAGTTGGGGCTCGGGTACTTCTCATGCCTGGGGCATCAGCCGCGCTAGCGTCTACGCAGAGCTCAGGTTCACCTTCAGGTGTGGCGGGCTTCGTTGGTAGGATTTGTGACGTAGTTTATTCCGCAGATTTGAGTAAATGATGTGAGCCATTTGTTGAGATATATGTTTGTCAGATAGCAGTTATATATGTTTAGGGTTTGTTTGTTCGTTCGTTCAGTTTTACCTCATAAATGCATAACTTAAATAGTGCGAAGCAGCTGGCACGTGCGGTGTGGGGAAGAGAACTAAGGCGGCGAACGTGCCGCTGTTAGTGTGGCCTTAAATGGCCTCAGGAAATAAGGATACCTCAACTTCACCAACAAAGGAATCGGATTCCTTCCACAACCAACTATTCTTGTTCTGCTGCCAAACGAGATTCTGCAATTTTCTAATCCTGCTCCTCCTTAGTAAGAGCCATACTTCATATCATCCGTATGTATGAATCTCGAGCGGTTTTGATCGGTAGCATCTTTCTCTGGTACGATTTATTTGGTGGTTCCCGCCTCCGCCGCATCTTCAGGTATTTGCCTGCTGTACCCCGGATCTGATCCGTCACTTTCCGCGACATCCTCAACAATCAAATCACGATTCTCATAACATAAGGAGCAGGATCTTCTCGCTGAATCTTCTCTAATCGGGCCCCACATATCTGGGTTTGTTTTGTGATGTCCTGTGGCTATCCTGATTTCCTGCGCGCAGCTATTTATCAATAGTATGGCAGGGGCTAGCAGCGCGTATGCGAGTTTCAGAGTCAGCTCCGATTTACCTCAGTACTCAGACGATGATGAATTTCTATCAAGTGCGAGCACAACATCCGACGGGATTGAGGAACATTTTACGGGAAATAAGCAATCGGCGCAAGAAACCATGATGTTGCCAAGGAGGAATAGTCAAGAGAGAGCCCTAGACAACTTCTCAACAGAGTCATCTTCGAACAGGTTTAAGGGTGAGGATGATGAGGGGTCCGCAGTGAAAGCGGCGGAAAACCGCTCGATATGCGGTAGCGAAGCTATAGGTGTGAAAAAACGGCCTCTGCATTTGCTTGATCTACCCATGGATGTGCTGCAGGTGATCATTAAAGAAGTAAGCAAGGATGGCCCTCTTATCTATCATATCCCCGAGCCTTCTCTGTTGCTAATCGCTATCATTCTCTGGATGATATAGGTGACGCATACCAACGACTTGACGTCACTAGCTCTGACATGTTCCAGTCTGCACTCTCTGGCCATTCCCCAGATGTACTCTCGGTTTGATATTGTATGGCCAGACAATGCATCGGTATCCTCTCATCCTGCGGGTGTCGATGCTCTTTCCTACGGTTTGGCGACATTAGTAATGAGCGAAGATATTTTCCACGAACTCCCTCCCCCCTACCCTCCTGCGGCACCCTGTCCTCATTGCGGCTGTAGCGCCCAGCATGTTCGACAATCGTCCATACATGAGACAGCCTCCGTGCGAAGAATACGTCGAGGGAATCACTATGCGCAATATACACGCAAGTTTTCCGTGGGTAATGGACCGCCGGAGTGCGTCCAGGAGTACTCTGTGACGAAAGAAACAGGCAAAATGCTGGGAACTTTGGTGGCTTTGGCTGTCGCTCGCATGATCAATCTAGAAACGTTCGCTTGGGATATGCCGACTGGGGTCCTGCGCGACGTTTGGATTGCGCTGTCATCTCTAGCAGGCCGACCCGGACATGAATGCCGTTTAGAGCGCATTTGGGTTCGATGGCACGATAACTCCCAAAACGCAATAATGCGCTCAGCCCCGACAGCATCATCCTTGGCATTACCGGACACACAGTCTCCCTTTACCTCTCTACCCGCTGGATTACCACGCCTGCAAAAATACGCGCATGTAGAATACCCCACCCTCTCGATCTTACCCCCGCTAAAGAGCTTGAATGTTCTTGATATAGATGAGCCATCGTATCTCGAGGAAATGGCTATACTCATTGAGCGCTCGCGGGCGCGATTAAAAGAGCTACGCATAGGTATCTCCTCGAGGGTCTACCAAGCTGACTGGCTAAAAGCGCTAGGAGGCTGGTCCCCTGTGCAACATGGTGCATCCAACCCTCTGGTATCCGGTTGGCCTAAAGTTGGCGGCGTTCTTGGAGCCCTCCTCGGCAAATCGAACAACCATTTCCCCTCTGAATTAGCAGCAGATCAGCCTTGCTTGAACGAGGCAAAATCCGGTCAGCAGGATGGTCATCAGGGGCCTAACAGTGTGATTTCACCGGCTGGGGATGTTGCTAGCAATGGTGCGTCTAGTGGAAATTTGGTTGCACAACTGGTGGTTACAGTGTCTCCTGAGCATTCTCCCAAAGCGACTGGCTCTCCTGAGGTGGATAGTGTAGCATCTCCCCAAGCGACCGAGCAGCCACGTCCTACGCAGCCATCGAGGATTGACGATCTGCCAGAGCTCTCAAACAAGTCCTTGGGAGTTAACAGTTCTATGACATCCGCCACAGGCACTAATTCTAAGTCTGACAGATTGAAATTAGAGGTCTTGGAATTAGAGCGCGTTTCGTTGTCTATCCCGGTCATGATACACACAATTGACTGGTCGCGGCTTACGACGCTCACAATCCTTCGCTGTGATGGTCATGAGAAGCTTTGGAAGGCCCTTCGACGCCAATTTTCGCCGTCGGCGACACTACGCTCTAGCCCCAGATCAGGGAAGGGAGACGTAGCGTCGGAGTATTTTCTAAGACTCAAGCATATTCACACAGATACTGTATCCGCATATCTGTTGCTCTTTATCAAGGAGGCCATTGCGCCTAATACACTAGAGACCCTATTCCTGCATGAGGCCCCGATGTACGACTCTATGGTCCAAGTTGAGGCGATCTATCGAACTGTGATCCGTAATCACCGAACCAGCTTGAAGCATATCCTAGTTGATAGTGCAGATCGGTCCCTTGGTGGCCATAATATGGGAATTAATCGCTGGCGTAAATGGATGTTCACTCGGGAAATGATTTCCTTCATCACTAGCGGCCGTATGCCGCGGCTGCGAGAATTGTCTATGACAATCCATTCCAAGGACTGGGTAATATTTATCTCTGCCAATACTCTATGGCAAATCTCAAGCTGACTCCCTTATAGCATTACTTTCTCCAACGGCTTCCCAATATCCCCCAACTGCGCGCCCTTCACGTCCCTTATATCACCCATCCTATTCATCGGGACCCAAAAGAACTCGCCCTGCAGATTCTTGATATTGTTACCATCCGCCCGGAGGTTGGGATCAGTTACATTGGGATGCAAAACAAGTGCTACGAGATCCTTGAAGGCAAGCGCGGAGAGAAAGATGACTTCGACGATGCAGACGACAGCCACAGCGAAGGCTTTGTGCCGGGAAGCGAGGACTGGCCTCCCTCCGATACAAATGATGATGATTCTGATGATGACGGCGCTGTTAGCATTATGGAATCAAGCTCGGAGCTATCGTCAGATGACCGCAGTTCATCATATGGAGATGATTCTGATCTTGAGAGCAGCAGTAAATCGCGCATGGCATTCCGGCTACGGGAAATTCTTTTTTATGACGATAAGATCTCTATTTTTAAGGCACGGCATGGAGTTCTATGATCTACACGTCTGTTTGTTGTCACTGGCGAGGTGTTGGGTGATTTGATTGGACTTTTTGTTCTTCCTTTCCGCCACTACTATTATTGTATGAGATACCACTTAACTGGGCTGTGGCAGAATCGAGTCCATGTTTCTGTCTATCTTCTGGATACTGGCGTTATGTTGCATGTTTCGGGGTTATATCATTGCATGAGAATGAACGCTGCTATACTGCATATTTCTATGTATAAACTTGGTATGCACGTCGATAGAGGCTGCACCACTCTGGATTCCCTTGCCGACTGGATGCCGCCGCGGCTACATTATGTATGGGAGTAGTAGAGAAAGCTCGTTGAAAGAGCAACTTCGGGTTGCTTAAACGCCTATGTATTAGGGGTTAAGAACATATATTCGAGCTCGTTCTGTAAGAACTGCCAAAAACAAGTCCTGGACAGAAAGGATTTCTTTGTATGTTTCCTCTTAGTGATGAATGTGCGAATACGATAGGTAGAAAATAAAGATATATCTGGGTTCTGTTGGATAACTATGTAGATTGTGTTAGTTATACAAAAAAACGCTGACTAACCTATGCAACTTTTATGTCCGAGTAACGTGAGAGGGGGTGACTAAGCCGGAACCACCTGCAATCACGGCCGCGAGACAGCAATCGCAAGGCTTGAAGGAACATCTGGTCCCCTCCCAAAAAGCCAGTGTTCAAAGATTAATCCTGTATTATATACTTGAATTAATACATTCATTCTTTGCTTGCTCTTGTTCTTCTGCGGATCGCGCGTACCCTTCATTATGAAGCTCGTCCGGTATGTGCTCGTGCTCCCAAGCTGTTGAAGAGTTGTTTCCACCAGCAATTTCGCGATGATACTGATCCTGCTTGCTTTTCAGGTTTTTGATGAAGTGCGCCAATGAGACGGTGACTATTGAGCTGAAGAATGGTTAGTCCATGTTTCCCTCATCTCTCGCGACCTCACCGTTTCGCTCCTCGCACATGTCTAGTCAAGCTTCTTCTCTTCTTTAGTCCCTCCTAATGTTATACCTCTAGGCACAATTCTCCATGGCACGATCACATCGGTCTCCCCGCAGATGAACACTGCTCTGCGCACTGTGAAGATGACCCCCAAGGACCGTGACCCTATCTCCCTCGACACCATCAATATCCGAGGCTCCACGATCCGCTATTACATTCTCCCGGACAGCCTGCCACTGGATACCCTCCTCGTCGATGATCAACCCAAGCCCAAGAACAAGGCACGCAAGGAAGCCGATCGCGGCGGTCGTGGTGGCCGTGGTGGCCCCCGTGGCGGCAGAGGTCGCGGTCGTGGACGTGGACGTGGACGTGGATTCTAAAAAGGCACATAGACTGTGGCTAGGAGTTCTTTCTTCTTTCAGATTTGATTCGTTTTGGGTGATATCTGCGATGGTTTCATTTTGCACCTCGAGGGCTCAGCTTCTATTCCTTTGTGCGATGGGCGGGGGGGAAAAGAAAGAGGAGAGTTCTAATTTACCTTTTTTTTTTCTTTCTTTTTTCACATAACTTGTCAGATTCTGGTCGTATGCATCGGCTGCAGCGGGGAATCGTCGAAACCAGTGAGACTACAGTTCCTCACAAGCTGTTGTTTTGGCGCAATCGACAGACACAGCCATACCTCGAGTTTCGTACAAGCTCAAGGCATGATGGGCTCTTATCGAGGGAAGTGGGCTCCATCACGCATGAACGACGAAGCGAGATGATCGGACATTGCGGGTTGATACATGTATGTGGGAGGACTGATGGATAGCTATCCAAAGAAGGGTGTTATAGTCTGATATACGAGACATGTAACCGATATCGCGCAGAAGTACAATAAACCTTGGCAAAGACAATATCGTCCTTTTCGTAGAGCATCCTCCAAAGTCGTCAGTCATACCGGTCATTAGTCTATTATTCTACCGTCCACATCTATACCTGTAGCATCAGATCACGCCGCCTCCCTCCATATGCGAACGATAACCAACTTCTCCCACCCAGCCTGCACACCGCTATTCCCAACCGTCTCCGCCTGCCATCCATCGCCCCAAGCCCTGATCCTCTCCTTCACCTCCTGCGGCCGATTCTGCGCACAGAACAACACATACGCCACCCCCCGACGAGGATCCAACAACCCAGGAATCTCCTCCAACAACCGATCCGTCGTCTCCATCCCATCTCTGCCCCCGGCATACGTCAACGACAAAAAGTACGAGTCGCGCTCAAACTTCGCCAACTTCGACATTCCCGTCTCGTCGACATCCTGCTCCGTAACAGAAGGTAACCGCGGTAATTCCTCGCTAGGCACATACGGCGGATTAAACAAGAGCACGTCCACACTGCCCGGCCGAATTGAACTCCCTAGATCCGCCATGACGGAGGAAAGATATGCTGTTTTCTGACCCGTGGATCCTTCATTATTGCTTTGTCGTTCCTTGATGGCTTTGTTCGCTGTTTCGCGGGTCGCGACACAGGCGTTCCGGTTTACGTCTATTCCTAGCGGGAGGATATCGCGCCGTCCGAAGATGATTTGGGAATTGGCCGCTACAAAGCCGAGCACGACTCCTGAGCCGGTTCCGATTTCAATGACTAGCGGGGAGGCAGTGGATTGATCGGGGGATGAAGATTTCTCGAAGCGCCGAGTGAGCCATGCTGATTCGGACGGTGAAGAAAGGGTATCGAGGAAAAGATAGGAGTCTTCGGAGGGTTCGTAGATCGTGTCGAAGTCGACGTGGGATGTACAGGGCGTAGGGAGCATTTTCCTTCCTTGTTAATTTTTATTCCACTCAATTCGAAATTGTCATTCAAAGTCGTCGATTAACGATAAAAACAATCACGCAAACCACACTCTTGCAAAATCATCCAGCAATAGAAAACATATGTACATATATATGTACTATGTATCACAATGAATTTCTATCAATCGATAGATATGATTAACCCGATAAAATCAATCCCTCCCGCCGCATGCAAATCCCACTCCCCTGATTCGCCAATCCCTCTCCGCCCTCCGCTTGAACCGCGGCAATACCATCACCATCATCCAATTTAAAAGTACATACATACCATACAAACTACGTCTCTCCAATTCAACCCTCCCCTCTCAGAAAAAAAAAGAATTCCCCAAAATGCGCGCCCCCTCCCGCCTCCTAATGGCCACGCCCACCAACCTAGGCTCAAAATCCAGCCTCAGCGAAGCCCTCGCCCTCCTCCCCCCCCTCCAACTCTATCGCCGCATCCTCCGCGTCCACCGCAAGAAGCTCGACCCCGAGATGCGCATCCTCGGCGACTCATACCTAAAAGCCGAGTTCCGGGCTCACAAGAACGTCGAGAATCCGTTGCATATTGTATGTTTTTCTTCCCCTGATCTATATATATCTATCTGCTGTTGTTATGCGTAGATATATATGGACCTTGGTGCGTATGGGGAGAAGTTCCAGGCTAATTGTATTGGTTGTGGGTGTAGATTGGGTTTTTGACGGAGTGGCAGTTATACGCGCAGAAACTTGAGGGGGATACCTGGGTAGGGGAGAAATTGGATAAGGGAAAGTTGGATAAGATGAGTGGTATGTCTTTTTTTGTCCCTTTTCTGCGAGGATTATCGTTGGCGAGGGCAGCGAAGCTAGACCATAAACACAACACGAGGTTCTAATGGATATGATATGGGTAGATCAGCAGATTGGGCAGCTTTATGAGCTTATGAATGCGATTAAGAATAAGGATGGGGAAGGAGAAGGGGAAGGGAAGGAGTGAATGAGATGTTCTTCGTGCGTGACGTCTTTCGTTGGGATTGGAGGTTCTTGGGCACGGTGATATCCGGGCCTGTGGCTGAAACCGGACCGTTTGCTTCGGCATATTTATATTTGTTATAGCGGAGCGTGTCATGGCCGAGTCATTTGAAGTCGCGTGTCTATGGATAACCCGTACACGGCACCGTGTTGGGTATATCAAGTATGCATGCGACGATCATGCATGATAACGAAGGGTTCGATGTATTATAGAATGTATTAATAGGGCAGCGTTTATAGATGTACATACCCATTTGTCTAGGTATGGTCTATGTAAGGGTGATATACATATACATATGCAACTGTAGGAGAGCCCGTTGCATCGATCGATAATCTAAGATGCTTAATCTAGGATAAAAGAAAGTTATCTGCAAACCCGGCAGCTGCACATACCCTAAACGGAGCCAATCACTTCACTTCCCACGCCCTAACAAAGACAAGCCTACTGACTAAGCACCCACGGTGCTAGTTATAAACTTAAACTTTTATACCCCAGAATACTTTATCAGAACTTCCCTTTAAATACATTCAATTCATTCCCAAGTAAAACCAAGATCACAGAAAAGAACAAGAAACATTAAAGCAAAAGAGAAGAAGAAGAAGAAGAAGGAGAAGAAGGAGAAGAAGAAAATGCCCTCCATCCTCGAAGACCCCAACAACAAGATTCCCCCTCCACATGCCTCCCTCCAATCTTCCAAAACCCTAACCCACCGCAAAGCTCAATTGAAAGATGGCTCCCCCGTAACCCTCTACCCCGTCGCAAACGGACCCCAAAGCATCCCCGCTGACCTGGTGGCCCTCCTGCACCAGGAATTCAGCGAGGAGATCAAGGCCGGCTGCACGTATCCCATGGAGGAGCCGATGGCGTTGGATCGGTTCGCAGAGTACTGGTTTGGGACGTTTGCGGTAGTGGCGGTTCTCGGGGAGGAGGAGGGTTTGAGAGAGGGGCGGGATTGGGAGAAGGAGTGCCTGGGAACGTTTTATATCAAGCCTAATTATCCTGGTCTGCTCCACTTTCCTCGTCTTTTCCTTTCATTTATTTATGTTTTTCTTTTCTTTTTATTGCTATATTTTTGTTGTAGGAGGGGTGAGTAAGTGCTGATCAAGGTGTACTAGGTCGGTGTTCGCATGTCTGCAATGCCGGATTTTTGACAACAGTTGCTGCAAGGAATCGCGGTGTTGGTATTGTGATGGGGGAGACGTATTTGGATTTTGCGCCCAAGCTGGTGAGTTTGATGGTGCTCTGTTCCCCTTCGGGTGGTATGTGTTCAGCGGGTGTTGACCTGAATTAGGGCTACAAATACTCGGTTTTCAATCTGGTCTTTGAAAACAATGTCGCATCGGTCAAGATCTGGGAGAGGCTGGGTTTCAAAGTCATTGGGCGCGTGCCTGGTGCAGCACGGCTGGCCAATAGCTCGGAGTTGGTGGATGCGTTGATCATTGGTCGGGACTTGGCTTAGATTGGATATGCAAAGAAGACGATGACTCGAGACGTAATGTAAAATATATAGATAGAATAGATCCATTGATACACCATGCACCTGGCCTAAACGCTAATCACAATCACAATGCGAGTGGGGAATCAAGTAAACCGGTCTGTCCCTCAAACGATATGGTATATGGCGACACCACAAAGTACCCGAACCGCAATGCACATAATACAGGGTCAATAAATATGATAGTATCAAGTCAAATAGTACATGAAAACAGAATGAAAAAAAAAAAAAAACTGCTGATGATGCAAATGATTTCTTCAAGGGTCGAACTGCAGGGAGATCCGAGGCAGGTTACCGCCACGGTGGACGTTCACTGAGCTTGCTGCGAGTGCCCGCACTGCTATCCCGGCCTGTCTTATTTTTCGGCAAAGGAAGCAAGCTGATACGACGACTGCTCGAGTGCCCCAGAGCGGTGCCCGGGCGGTCGGCCTTGGTGGGACTGAGTAGGCCGCGGCTATAGTCATGGGAGATACTGCGACTAAACGACATCCCGGCAAAGCTTTGCCGATTTCGAGGGGTATTATTGATGGCTTCCATCCCTGGTGGCCGGCGAAGCTTGCTGTACGGCGGGGGATCGAGGAGGGAACGATTAGGTGTGGGAGAACCTGTGCGGTTGGGGCTGCGGGAGGCAAGCCGGCTGGAGACTCGACTGGAGGACCGTGCTGTCGATGGAGCAGGAGAAAGATCCCGACGAGACATGGTTGACAACGGACGAGGAGTGCGGCTTTGAGCTGAGGTCTTACGGGATGGTGTGGCCGATCTGTAGATATGGCCAACATCAAGATCGTTGGTGTTCACATTAGAGCTCCAACGCGGGCGGTTGTCTGTGGGAGGTGGAGGCGGAGGACGTGGCACCTTCTTTGCAGCTGGGGTCGGTGTATATAAGCCACTTGGCTTGGAGGGCGTTTGGGCAGTGTGTGTAGGTTTCGGAAGCGACGATTTCTTGCTAGTCAGCGTAGCCGTGGCTTGAGGTATCCCGGAGTACCGTCGAACCTTGGACAACGTGGTGCGGGCAACTGAGCCGACCGAACTGCCCCGTCTGCTAGAACTTCCTAGAGAGGCAGCCGAGCCTTTGCCGTTGGCCGGGGTCATGACAACAGACGAAGGTGGGGAGCTGCCGGGGGTGCCAATAACGCTGCCTGTAGCTGGACTGTCCATCGTGACAATGGTCGATATGGAGTCGCGCAAGTGCTGGCCCGGGGCCACGTTGTATTCCGTTAACGATGAATCCATCACCTCCACGCTCCTCTTCAACGCATCCATCCTCGATGCCATGTCCGACAGGAGATTCACGGTCTCGCCGTTCACAGTTAGTTGATCTTTCACACCCTTTTCGATGAGGGAGATCACTCGCTCAATCGCAGGGATGTAATGTTGCTTTTTCGCCTCGTAACTCTCGACTCGCTTCGCTAGCCCCGCTGGGTTATGCAGATGAGCGCCTATTTCAAGGCCTTCTTGCAACTTCGAAATACTCCGTTCAACGGAGAGGAACATTTTCCGCGCCTGCATACCAGCATTGCGGAAAACGAGAACCCACCGGTCTTCACTGAGCTCCTTCCGTAGAGCTTCCGCGTCTGCCTCAATGGCCTTGTAGCTCTTCTCTAGCCTTTTTCGGCGCTCCTCTATCACTGCACAGGCGCTCGGGAAGACCCTTTCAGCTCGGCACTGGAACATGGACAACCGCATGGGCAAGAACGCTAGCGATGCTCGCAAGGGTTGTATTCGGGCAAATACAGCGATGAGATCCGCATGCTCCGAGTCATCTTGGGGAGTCTGAATGAGTGGGGTGTCCAGGGTCGGCGGCGCGTCGAAAAGAATACTGTGTCGGTTGCTGCCGCCGTTGCTTGGAGTTTCCTCGACGATCGTCTCCAACTCGCTAATATCGAGACCAGAGTTACTCGGCTCCTGGTCGACGGACCATGCATTCGCCGCCAGGTTGCTATGTCGCTTCTCTTCGATTTCGAAGAGTAGTCGGCTCAGGTTCTCTACCTCGGCGCCAACATCTCCCAAAACGGTATTCCAAAGCTCCTCCCATTCCATGGCCAACTCCACTTGTTCCTTGACATTTCTTAGCCGGTTTTTGATGTCTGCCCAGCTCTGCAGTATGCTATCCATCTGAATCACGATCGTCTTCAGGCTGTCCGCAGTCACGTCGCCGATGTCGTCTCGAAGTTGGACGCGTTCAATGGCTTTCACATAAACGTTCATCAGACCCTCGAACCGTGTGATTGCCTTATCGATCCCGTCTAACCCCTCTCGCCCTCCTGCCGCCGCCCACTCTACTTCGTCCTCCGCATCCAGACCACTTAACACATCGGACGCCTTCTTGATCCATATCTGGATTTGCTCTGCAGATCCTGTGAGGGCTTTGACGGCGGACGAGGCGGTTGGGATCGCGGCAATGCTGGCTTCTAGGGTTGACGGTTGGGGCAGCGGGATGGAGGTGAGCTGGGTTAGCTGGTGGCTGAAGGAAGCACGAGAGAAAGAGTATATGGAGTCGGCGCGCTGTAGGCCATGGGGATTGAAGAAGGATTGTACGTTTGATGAGTTGGCCGACGGTGGACGCGGCGAGTCCTTAGGTGGAGGGGGAGGGGGGCGCTCTGCTTCATTATCACTGGTACTTTGCAGGTACTTCTCGAAATCCGTCTGCTCATGTTGATCTTGCGTATATGATTCGACTGGCGCTGGACGGGACGCAACGGCAGCCATGACCACTGGGCCTTCTTCCACTGGAGCTTGTTCTAGGCCCTGCACGTCTTCCGCTGGGCTCGTGTCTGACGTTTGATCCACAGGGCTTTCTCTGACAGAATCTTCGATGTGATCTTGGACCGGGGATTGGTCAGAGTATTCGATGCGGTCGTCAATGGGGTCTTCGATAGGAAGTTGGGCAGGGTGTTCGATGTCGCCTTCGATGGGGTATTGGACAGGGTATTCGTCGAGGTGTTCTGCAGGCTCTTCGACAGGGTTTCGATGGGTGACCGACGTGGAACTATCTCGGGCAGGTTCCACCGGTTCTGATCCCACTGGCGAAGCCACTTCTCCGTCCGAGTCGTGAACTTCTAAGTGGTTCGACACCCTCTGTTGTGGTCGTTTGCCTCTACCGCCAAAATGAACCGCATTCCACGACCGGCCTCTCTTTTCGATCTTGATCGACAGGTCTTTGTGAAGGTTGTCTAACTCCTTGATGTGCTCCTGGGGTATCCGACCTACAGCACCTGGGCTGCGGGTAGCAGTCGTAGACTTATTGCTCCCATCTAACAATTTGACGCGAGCTGCTAATCCAGGAGACAAGCGACGCAGAATAGATGGGCGAATAAGGGATTTGTCTGAACCGGGATGTTCTTGATAGTCGTCAAGGTCGTCGTCGTGAAGGCTACTCCCGAGACTCCGTAGACTTCGCAGGGATGATTTCGACTTGATTTGTCGAGGTGGTGAATGCTCTGGGGGCGAGACGGAGACTGCGGGAGGTGGAGGGGGTGGAGGGGACGAGAACAGGTGCGATAAGGACGAGGTCGTGGGCGTGTGAGGACCGGTATCCGGGTGGGTGGGCGTAGTTGTGACAGTCGACGTGGTGAACATGGCACGGATTGACGGGGGGGCGACCGCCCTGGTCTGTTTGTTGCGTTGCAGTAGTGGAAAAGACTAGGGAAAGATAGCGTAGAATGTGGTTGGAGCAAATCAACGCTCGTTGGGCGTTTCTCGGGCCTTGGGGGAGGGATTGTTGGTATGCACGGCGGCCCCCTTTCTAATTTGACCACCCTGTTCGCTTTGTTGTCTGGTCTGTAGAAGTAGTAGTATAAATTGAAATGAACAAGAGACAAGTAAGCCAGTCACTAGTTAGTTCTGTTCTTTTTTTTTTTTTTTTTTTTTTTTTTTTTTTTTTTTTTTTTTCTGTTTGTTTCTCTCTTTTTTTCTGCAAGTTCGAAGAGAGAGAGGGAATCGACCAAGTGCTTTTCAATCAAGGAGATGATCAGCTACATGATAAGTTAGTTGTTGACTTGGTATTGTTTTTGGCTTTGGTTTTTTTGGGCAGCGGGTAATCTGGCGGCGGAGGGAACCTTAAAAAAGAGAGAAGAGAAATTTGAAATTACTAAATTACTACACTTTCTCTCTCCTCCCTTGTTTTCCGGACGCCGTTTTGGATCGTCCTTTCAGGAGAACACCACTAGCCCCAACTGAATAAGTGAATACTACCTATTTCTTCCCTTTTCCCGGCAAGCTCCCCTTTTCGAGTCGGTGGAAAAAGGGACGGGTTTGCCGATACATGATGCTATTTTTCTTTCTCTTTCTAGTTTGGTTGCTAACTTGAGTGGTAATGAGTTCCTTGGGTTTCTTCACATGTATTCCCCAAACAGCCAGTCGGGAAAAAAAAACCCCCCATGGTATGTAAATTCCAAAGTGTGGTACCGTTCCACTCCTTATGTACAGTATAGTACAGTACAGCCCAATCCCATTCCACTCCAATCCGTTTGAAACCCAAATAAATCCCCCAAAAAGATGATGTCAGTCATTTAGGCATATCAAATATTAATACCAAGTCACCCCCATCAAGAAAGTAAAAGTTTATTCCAAACAAAATAGCCAAAAAAAGAAAGAAAAGAAGAAAAAATAAATCACCAGAGAAGAGAATTAAAAAGTAAAGTGAAAAAACTCCCACATAGCAAGCAAGTCTCAAGCAAGTAAGGGGTATCAAAGTGCACATCAAGCAAAACGTACTACGTGGTCCCAGCCATCAGGTACCAAAACTCTCCTTCATACTTCTCCTCACGCAGGGTCAAACTGCCAACTCGTCATGCAGGGGGATGGCATCGGCATTCCCTCGATCAGGCTCCCTCCAATCTCGCATCAGCTCCTCGCGCACTGCCTTGCACCAAGTAAGGAGGGCAGTGTCAAACTTTCTCCAAGCCTCATCACTATTCCCGTAGACCACCCCCATCACATCCATTTCTAACTTCGTCTCCCATCGTATCTCAGCCGCCTTGATCCAGTACCGAAGGTTATCCGCCCGCCGGTAAGGTTTGGCGACGTCCTCGTGGAAAGATTTGATTTCGCAGAATGGTCTCTTGGATTTCTTAACGGCCTGGTTATGTATTCGGACGAGACCACGGCCGTCTCGGAACCACTCAAGCATTGGAGTCGGGAGAGCCTGGCCCTCTAGGGAGGTCCATGTTGGCAGTGAACCCGTCTCCAGCAAACTACGCAGGAAGGCCTCCTCGCGCGCCCTCTCTTTCCCAGTCCAGTCGCCACGTGCCCAAGCCCATCCCTGTCGCTCTTGGGCTTCCGACTCCTCCATACGCACCTCTTGGGCCAGCATGCTGCGCACATTGGACATCCAACCCATGATCGACGATCGCTCGTCGTCCCGGAGTCCACCGGTAAAATTACGTGAGGCCCATCGTTTCAAAACCTCCAGCATGTCGAATAGTTCCTGTCGGATTTCCCGCTCACTCTTGATCGACGCCAGTCGCTCCGGGCGCTCGTGGGCGGTATAGTAAATCCTGGCAGCCCGAATGGCAAGGGTAACGACATCCAATATTTGCATGCCCTGGGCCTCATGCCAGCCCAAGGGAGTCGCCCCGGTCAGCGTCTTGCTCGTCACGTCCCCTATGTCGGGAAGTTCGTCTACATTGATACGTGGGGACTTCATGTTTCGAGGTGGTTCCTTCTGGGATCCGATCGTCTCCATGCTCTTTCCCGCTTTGTTCAACGCGTCTAGCAGGTCCTTTCGTAGGGCGCCGATATCTGGCGGCGGCGGAATGTGAAACGTTTTCACGCTATAGGTGCTCACGGTGGGAGGCAGCATTACCTCGTGCTCATCGAATTCCTCCTCGGCGGGATCCGAGGTCTCTTCCGTGGGGCTCTCGGTCAGATCCTCGATGAAGCGAGCGTTTGGCGTGAGGAGCAGTCGTGGAATGTCTTCCGGCTTCTGCTTCTTTTTCCACTCCCGAGCGTGGCCGCCTTTGCCTTCCAGCAAGCCTGTCCGGGCAAAGTAATACTGCAGGTGAGCTATACTGCCCAAGCTCATCACACTCTCGCGGTGTCTGGCCGATTCAGCGAACTCGGCCCCCTGGGGTCGGATGTATCCTCGTCTCCGTGAGGAGACGGTCGACACGGAAGACCTGGCATCGGCGGAAGTGGCAGACGAAACGGAGCGGGATGAAAGGGTCGAAACAGTGGAAACGGTACGGTCCGGGGAAGGACACGAGGAGGAGAGAGCAGGCGTCGGGATGATGAATGGCGAGGGTGAAGAGGCACGGACAGGAGGGGCGACGGACTCGGACTCGATAGACTCATCCATGATCGCGTGGATCTAATGCGCTGGCTCTTTTCGGGGGGGTATGTGCTACACTGACGAAGAATATATAGATCTGGGAGTAATGCAAGGAAAGACACCGATCTGATAGTAAGAGAAAATGATATCTCTCAAACCCAAGCAGGAAAGGACAGGTGGTCGTCGGGTCGACAACGGTCAAACGGTTTAATAAAAATAGGGATCACTCCTCGGTTGGATTTGTGAAGGTGATCGATCGGCGGAGAGAACAATTCTCTGGAAGTTCGAAAGGGGGGCACTTTTTCCCACTAAAAGGGGAAGCGGGTCGATAGCGCCTTTAACACGTCTTCTTACATAGTAGATTAATTACCTCCTCGGCAGTGATGGTATTAATAGATCAATCTCGCGTCACGCCTTTTTTTCGGATAACCCAGGGAGCCCCTGGCGCTTGGGATATTCCTGTCGAGTTGTTTTGATTCCCAATTTTCCCTAATTCATCCAGCCGAACCAAGGATCTCAACGAGTATCATCTTTGGCATCTTTCGGTTTACCTCCTTGGCACTAAGCCTATTGGGGTTTAGGGCGGGTCCGTACCTGAACGCCCCGGATTTCAACCATATTTTCCATCAACACAGATCAACACTATAACGTACCATTTTATTCCCATTGTTTCTCTGTGCACTGCTGTTCGGCGTTTCATTTATATGAATGAACTCAAAATTGAAATGACTCTGAATTGCAGAAATGTTCCAAGAAGCGGAGATCTATACTAATAATATATACAACAACTATGGATATTCCCATCCCAATATGTGCTTGCCAAAGAAATACGCCGTTCATGTATAATGCCCATAGTAAAACATTGTTTCCCGCACAACCAGTCCTGCTAGTGCCTGAGAAATAAAAGAAAAGATTCTTTTTTTTGTCAACATCTTATGCATTCGACAATCGGACGACGACAATCAGATCACCTCTTCTCTCTCCCATCCCGTTGCTTTCAGATTCGCAATGCCCTTACCAGGATGCGCCTTACTCGGGTCCTTGTACTTGACCGAGTATGGATTTGGGTCTGCACCCTGGTCCAAGTTTCCTAGCGTGTGGTTCACTTCGCGGTGCTTCGCCTCATCGGCGCGGACATACATCAGCAGGTCCTTCATAGTTCGCTGGCCCTCGGGCATCTTCCAGTATTGAACGGCAATCTCAGGGGCTTCCAGGCTCGTCCACTTGGGGAGCTTTCCGTTGTCGATATCTTTAATCGCTCGAGTGTAGGTGATCACCGCCTCCTCTTCAAGGTAACCTACGAACCGGTGGCAGATACGCGGCGACATCAGGTAGGAGATGAAAAAGCCGTTGAAGAAGACTCCCTGAGCGCCAAGGACCATGAGGCGCATGAACCATCCGGGCTCGGCGAGTTTCAAGAACGTAAGCAAATGCATGCGCTCATTATATGCCTCTTCGAGTAGAGTTTCGATCCATCCATTGTCCCTCTTCATCCGTCTCAAGCTCCTGAGATGTCGCAACATGCCTCCAACCATCCCTGGCACTCCGGCAACACTCTCCAAGAAAATGAATCGGGTGAGCCATTTCTGTTCGGTCATCTGGAACTTGGCCTCATGTTCCTTGCCCGGGGTAGGATGTCGGTATCCAGTGACAAGGTCCATACCCCATCGGAGCAACCGAACGGTCCCAAGTGCCACCCAGTCAGCCCAGTTTTTCGTTTCTCGGTGAGCTATTGTGACATGGTGCATCTGTTCTTCGGTGTAACTAGTATTGTTAGCACCCACCGATATACAGACCAATGTATTTGCGGCGAGGAATGCTTACACAGGATGGACCCAAGCCGTCTCCACCTCCTTGATGTGAGGAGCATTGGGAGGAGGAAAGAATTCCTTCGTTTGTGTCTGAGGTGTCGATGAGATGAATCTCTTGGTGGTTTGGTGATGATATTTGTTGGCAAGTATTGGACTGCTACAACGTAGTCCAGCTGTTGCCACGATACCCGTGTATCCTCGAGCTGTGAGATACAGATGTGATTTTGGAAGTGAAGCTGCCCTAAGGGGCACGGTTGCTGTTAACGAGTTCATCGGAGTAGATGTGAATCGGGATTTGATTAATGATCTCGAATTTCTGTGGTAGTGTAAAAAAGCTTTGGTCTTGATCACAAAAGATTTGCTGTTTATTGAATACTGGGATGCTATGCCTCTACTGTCTCTATTTATATAGTCTACTTCAAAAAGGAGCATATGGCAAAAGTCGGAATCGCGCCGGAACCAGACAAAGCCAAAAGACAGTCATAGGTCGCAAATCTTCCAGTCAGAGCTTGCTGACAATTACGAAGACTCTGAGCCACACCGGGAACACGCTCTGAGATCCGTTTACGGAATTGGAACATGCCTTTCAGAGGAAACCCAAGATATGGAACAGGTTTCTTGGCGGGGTCCCTGAGCAACCAAAATTTTTCGAGGTTCTAGAAGTTACACTAAAATTACAAGCAAGTATTCACTATCGACGCGTTCTCGAGACCTTAACCCTTCGGACAAAAAACTCTATAGCAGGATTACCATGTATTTTCTCTACAGCTGAAGTGAAAGCGAGTCCAAAAGTCTCCCCATTATCCCTATGGTAGAGAAAGAGTATGAGCATTGAGCGGCAAAACTCTGTATCTTACACCTGGATACAGATTATGTTTTTTAAAATATAACGTAGGGGCGGCAGGTGACCTCGGCTGAAACCGGGACGGCGTCTGACTCAAAGGCCATGCCGAAGCTTGACCTCCGAGTTGGACTCGGGACCGATCTTCTGGGTTATCGGGCTCTAAACCTCTTAACGTCACTTTCCTTACCCAAGTCTTACTCGGCGTCTTGCCCTAGTTGTGAACTCCTTACGTACTGCAGACCCCGAGCTACTTATATAGATTGTGGAGGTACATCATGAGCCTCATACTTCCCGGCCGAAAAGATAATAAATAGGCCCTTGCGAACTTCCATACGTCTCGTACGAGTTCAGCATGTTTTTAGAGCAACCTCAAAGTAAGCTTAAGTAGACATTCACCAGGCCTCTTGAGAAGATTTGAGCAGGTTATAGCTCGGAGGCAAAGTAATAACTTCGGTGAGCAAACTAAGCGTCTGTCGATGCCACTCTCAACACCCCGGAGCATTCATTGCAGCGAAAGGATGACCACTTGTATCCTATGATTATTTGCTATATTTAATCATATTTTAAAGTATATGGGAGGACCTTAGTGTGTACCTCACAATCTAAACCTGTAGGCGGTATTGATTCATACATCCATACGCTCAACAAACAATTTCCCACCTAACCACAAACAAACAAAGACTTTTACTTCGTAGCATCAAAAGCCGACTCAGAGGTCCGCTTAACACCGAAATGGGTCTCACCATCCTGCACGGCAAGATCTCTCTTCTCCACTTTAACAACATGCGCCAGTCGTGGCCCGTTGTTGATTTCCTTGAGCAACTTTTGGATCGACTCTGGAGTTCCTTGGGCTTCCCCTTCAACCTGGTGATGTTGTTAGTCCCGATAGGAGTTACGTAAATTAGGCACCTCATATTTAGTAGAGGGTTCTGTCTAGTAGAAAAGGAAAGACAAGGAGCTGTACGAACCCGTCCACAATGGGTATTCTTTACCCAGCCTTTCAGTTCGAACTCGGCTGCACGTTTCTGTGTAAAGTCGCTGCGATATAACAACGTTCAGTATATTGTACTGTTTAGCAGATTAATAGAACCATACCGGAAACCGACGCCTAGATGTATTGTTTTAGTAAACTATCCTGGGTTTCACTTTTCAAAACAGCGTTGTATACTTTAGATCAACAACCGAAGACAACTATATTACCGAGACTTACCTTGAACGGTACCATGGACCTTGAACGCTATCTGCGTGACACATCAGTCTCTACTTTTGCACTAAAAGAAATGACGTAGGAGGGTGAAAGCCGGGATCATAGTCTTTTCATGGTAAAAGGCGGGAGGGGGCTATACCCGTTGAACAGACATGTTGTAATGTTTATCCTTTCTCTCCGACGCAAATTTCTATAGAAATTGATCTACGTTGGTGTATGACGGTATCGAGGTTCGATGTTCTCTTGTAGATGTCAAGCAGTTGATGTCGTCGGTTAGTCATCTGAGCTGTCACCCAAAGTGGAAATTTATACCTAAACGGGTTGCACTTGACCAGATCGGGTTCAGATACAAGAGTCCACTGTTGGAGTGTAAGCTTGAGCCAAGCAAGAGCTATGATATGACTCTCTTCAATACTCTTGGTTGCTCTAGATTATCGGATGGTTGACGTCATTATATAAACTCAGAGAGGTTGGTAGTCTCCTGAGATATTTCTTCTTACTCTAAGAGATAGTATGACAGGCTGACGCTCTCTCTTTCCCTCTGTCTCTCCATAGTCTTGAACAATCCGAGATTCATTGTTTCTAATAGTAGAGAAGTACAGCTTGTCTCAGTGACGGGTCACCTGATCCCCTCCGATCACTGAAAACCCGTGATGTTTCTTATCGCCAATCAGCTTCCCGCCCCTGAACCAATAATAGATCCTCGGATTGTTCCCAAATATTGTTCTCCGCAATCAGTTCCTCTCAACGCTTTTCTGAGGGGCTTTGGCCACGCAATGCTGGTTTAAAATGACTTCAATTCTCTCTTGGTTCCGGGGGCTGTATTCTCTGGATACGTTGGATACTCGGTTTATTGTCTCTTCAAATACTCCGCTCAAGGCTGTCGCCGCTGACACGCGATCTGCTCCCGCCAAAGATGCCCGCGCAAACGCAGTTGCCAGCAATGCGTCCCCTTCTAAATGGCGCACGCCCGAGTTCTGGACTTACTATGTCGTCTTTGTAATCGCGGTACCACTAATGTTCAAAACGGTTATTGAAGTCTCTCAGAGTATGGTATTTCGCGCCGAAAGAGGAGGCCAACGCTGATTGTGATACTAGAGAGCCATCCAACTTACCCAGCGTACTCTCATCTACTGTCTCCTGGTTGGATAGCTGGGCGCCAAGTTGTGGGTGCATTCATTTGCATAATACTGTGCTCTGTTGCTAATTCTTGCACCTCGTGGGCAGGACAATTCAGATTCGCAGTATTCCAGTTTCCGCGATAACATCCCCTACCTGCTCGTGCTTTTGGTCACCCATCCATTGCTCCGTCGCGTATACGAGCGTTTTGTGCAGCCGGTAGATACAGCCCCCACCAATTCAAAAACCAATGCGGTTACGACTCAGGGAGACGCTCGGCTTCGCCGCCGGGTATGGTTCGACTTCTACTTTGCCGTGGTTTTTATCGTTGCTCTCCATGGCGTGTCTGCTATAAAGGTGCTCGGTATATTATATGTGAACTATAGGATTGCGAAATCTCTCCCGCGACGATATGTACCTGCGGCTACCTGGACATTCAACATAGCGACACTGTTTGCCAACGAACTCTGTGCAGGCTACCATTTTGAACGTCTGGCTACCATGCTGGTGTCCTCGGCAGATAGTGCCCCTTTGGTCCTATGGGCCCGATATCTCGATAGCTTGGGAGGTATCATGCCTAGATGGGAAGTGCTGTTCAAGGTCACGATCCTCCGACAGATCAGCTTCAACCTGGATTACTACTGGAGCCTCGATTACCCAGCCTCTGGCCCCATTGAAGTAGGCCTTTCCCTCCATAAACTATACTCATGTCTAACGGTTATAAGAAGAAACAAACTGATCCCGCGGCACTGTCTGAGCGTGACCGTGTGACCATCCCGGCAGAGCCGTCTGCCTTCAATGGCCGCAACTATGTCGCATATGTTCTTTATTCACCACTGTATCTGGCTGGCCCCATCCTGACATTCAACGACTATATCTCACAACAGAGATTTCCACCACTATCTCTCACCAGATCCCGTGTCACCCTGTATGCTGTCAGATTCTTTTTGACCGTGCTGGCCATGGAATTCATCCTCCATTTCATCTATGCTGTCGCGATCTCTCAAGCACACCCGGACTGGTCGTTGTATAGCCCCGGCCAACTCAGCATGCTGGGCTTCTTCAACCTGCACATCATCTGGCTAAAGCTTCTGATCCCATGGAGATTTTTCCGGCTTTGGGCCCTAGTCGATGGCGTTGACCCTCCAGAGAATATGGTCCGTTGTGTCTCAAACAACTACTCCGCATTCGCCTTCTGGCGCGCGTGGCACCGCTCATTCAACCGCTGGATTGTGCGCTATGTCTACGTGCCCCTCGGCGGGGGAAGAGGCCGAGCACGCGGCGACGATAACAAATCATCCTCTGTGCTCTTCGCCAAAGCTCGCCAGATCTTCAACTTCCTCATCGTCTTCACTTTTGTTGCGCTCTGGCACGACATAAACCTCCGCCTCCTCATGTGGGGGTGGCTCATTACACTCTTCGTCCTCCCTGAAGTCATCGCCACTCTTCTCTTCCCCACGCACAAATGGCGCTCCCGTCCCAATACGTACCGCGTCCTGTGCGGCATTGGCGCGGTAGGGAACATTCTCATGATGATGATCGCTAATCTGATTGGGTTTGCACTGGGCTTGGATGGAATCCAAGGCCTGCTTTCTGAGATGCTGGGGTCTTATTCTGGCCTGGTTTATCTTGCTACTGCCTGTGCTGCGCTGTTTGTGGGAGTACAGGTTATGTTTGAGATTCGTCAGGAGGAGTTACGAGCTGGTATCAACTTGAAGTGTTGATTTACATAGATATACGTATAGCATCATAAAATCGAAAGTCAAATATTTCCATTAGGGTATAATATTAGCTCTGTAATTTCCTCATTGTTTGTTGAACATTGTCCGGATTTGAATAAGATGTGCGGCCCAGCACGCGGGACCTAGGGCTTTGGTTCATATTTCTGAGCTCCCCTTCTCTGTTTGTCCTGGTTTGACGGCTCTGAGTGATACAGGTGACCAGTAAATACAGCCAGCTGTGATGGCCAGTTGTATGAGACAAACTCAGAAATCCTAGGAACACGCTATGGTGGCCATAATCTGACGAACATGGACGCTTTACTTCCTCTTGTGCAACCGAGCAAGTCACATCGATCTACCATCCTAGTCCATAGGATCTAGCAAGAACTCGATTAGTCGCGTGAACTCTTCCAAAAGAAGGGGTGGAGTCCCAGAGAGGAGGGGGGGAGCAAATTGAGTATGGCTCTAATGGTGGCCAGACGGTGGCAACTCTCAGGGCCTTCTATGAGGTCCTTATCACAATGGAACGAGGGATGCTTTGCTACCCAACTCCGCGTGGTTGTGCGATAGCAGACTGGATTCCAAGCCTGTGTAGTCAGTCCAAATGAAGTAAACTCGGCGTTTCCGGTATAGCGATTCAGGCAAGAATAGTAACCTTGCAGCAAGTACTTCCAGATTATCCAAGCCACTTGAACGGCCTAATAGAACGCCCCACACCTCGAATCCTCATGAAGTTTATAACAATCCAATCCACAAGTCCGCGAATGACAGTTCTTGCACCGAATTTTCCCCCAATACCCGCACACGCAGCAGAAATATCGCTGTGATTTTGCAGCTACGGGCGGGCGGGCGCGAGAAGCATTATACGTCAACGGCGGCTCAGCAAGAAGGGCCTGCATAATACGCTCGGACGGCGCAGAAGGGATATAGGATTTCAAGAGAGGGTCATCGTCATACTCGGATTTAATGAGTGCTTGCTTATTCTCTGGCTCCTTCTCCGCATCTTCTGTAGTTCCGCTGGGTGGCTCTGCATGCGTCTCCGCAGGTGTTGTCGACGCCCTCTGGGACGCAGGGACGGTGGCGGGCTGTTTCTTTTGACGCGATGGTTCAGGCCTCGGGGTTGCAGCGGGTGTGGAACTTCTTCGTAATGATGATGGTTTCGTTATTTTGTTGGCTGGGGGGCGCTGCGCCGTTGATTGGGCTTGCGCTAGCGCGGCTTCTTCGTCATCGAGATAGTTTCGGAAGGTCTTCTGGGACTGGAGGATACGGCGCACGTTTGAGGTGACTTTGCCTCTTGTTCCTGGTGTAAGGCATGTTAGACTCCTAGCGACATCAACGCATCCCGGGTAAGATTGAGATACATACCTCTTCCGGCTGCATCCTTTTGTTTCACTGGGATTGGAATGTGGACGTCCTTGTGGTTCTCGCGGTCTAGCTCCGCTAAATGGCGGATTATCGCATTGGTTTGTCTTGATGATACGTCTCCACGGCCACCAGGGTCGCGAATGCCTCGTTTCCGGCCGACCGTGGGCGTGATGGCTGCTTTGGATGGACCGAAGCCCCTGTCAGGCACATAGGTCCACCCGGGGGTAAGGTGAGTTGTCCCACCCTGAAGGAGTTCGACGTGGTACATTGTTTGTGCAAAGAAACAAAAAAAAGTTGGTTTGAAATTAAGCTACTGTATCGTGAAAGGCATTTCTTTGGCGTTCCCCGAAAATGTTCCATGGGACCGCTGATGTTTGCATTGTTTGCACCAATAGAAATGACGCAGTTGACTTGGCCGCTCAAAAGTATTGAATCTACTCCTACTATCTTAGACAATCTGTATTGGAGTAAATCAAATGTCCGATTAATATCATACAAAGGGAATACCCATTATGCTGTAGTTGATGCAACGCATGGACAATGAACCTATCTTCTCCTACTGAAGCTCACACAATGCCGGACAGAAGCTGCTCACGAGAAAAGAAATATGTTTGGAAACCCATATTAAAGACAAACGCCTGGGAAAGGTCGATAGAAGCTAGTTTTAGTGGTGTCATATGAGGACTATTTCTTTCTAAGTTGGTCCACTTTCGTCTCCAGTTCGCCAATGTATGTCTGGAGCTTTTGCGTTGCTGCTTGGAGCGCCTGTACAGGCTGGTTAACATAATAAACTCGAACAAGCAATCCAACCTCTTAAATGTCAGAGGTAAAGTGGGAGGAGGAATGACATAGAAGTGTGTGCATGTTGTATCCAGGTTCTAGCGGTACTCGTGCAGGGAGAGGTAAAGCTGCGGGAGTAGCAATGATAATAAATGGAAGGATTGGGAAACCAACAAAAAATAAGTTAAGAGAGGAGATCGGAGATAGAAGGAAATAAGGCAATCGCAAACTTCGTGGGAGAAGGGGAAGACAAAGAAAGTATCATAACATACGTATATATCCTCGGCCAACATCTCGTTGGTCACTCTGTACTCCCCAAGAATGTAGTAATACACGGAAGCACCGGCAACAATAGTTCCTGTAAGGAAGCCAAATATTCTATACGAGCATGTCAGTTACATCGAAAGGGTATCTTGTCTTGCAATTATTTTAATCAGCAAAGCCTACCCTCCACGGAAAGCTCCAACAGGTTTCTTAGTGGGCAACGTGGAGCCTGCTGCCTCCCTCACAGATGGCGAGGTTGAGAAGCTTCTTCGGGCTGGGATCACTGGGCGCCTTGTTGTGACGGAGCGCAACCCGGGGGAAAGCATTCTGTAAGCACGCATGGTCATAAAGTCTCAAAGAGTCTAATCTGAAGATTAGCAAAGATCTTTCCGCAAAAGAAAATTTCCCAGAGAGGATTGCAGCTCCTACTGGATATTCAAGTGATTTAAATGGAGGTTGGGAGTGACGTTGGAGCTGGCCATTTAAGCTCGGGTGGAGACGGCGAATTATCACGGGTCCAAGATAAGCATGCCTAAGGTATACAAAACCCAACACCCAACATAAATGAAAGTGATCAACAACATCTATTTCTATATTCATTTCTCTATCGTAAAATTCCTTGGAATATGACCCAAAGCGCCTGCCTAAAAAAATTGGCCCCGGATACATTGTACATACGCCAACTCTGAAGTTCTGAACACGTAGAAACTGAACCTATGCATTTGGATATCATACATGTAACGCCTCAACCTCACAGCTGAGGATGAGAAAAAGGATGAATTCAATTTGCCATGGTACTCTCGTTGAAGAGGTCCGCTAGGAGATCATCATGACATGTTGACAAGCCTGGACCGTTCATACTGTATGTGCTTTCAAAAGCATGAATGCTGAGTTGTTCAAACCACGGCCGAAGAACTCGATCAATCAGTTCATCTTTGGCCGTCTCGCGAATCCAGTCCGCTATTAGACCCGGCTGTTTTACACTATAACCAAGCTCGCTTGGTTCCCTGGGGCCGTCTGCTGACGTGGAGCGCCTCCCAAAGCTTTGAGAAATTTCGTCTGCAAGGGCCAAAGGTTCCCATCTTTCTGGTGGATAGACGGCATCTATTGTATCCGTAACGTACAGCCACTCAAGAAGCTGAAAGTCATCCGGGGCAAGGACGAGTAGAGTGTCCAGAAGTTTACATGCCTGTAACAATGCGTATGGATTGTATACCTCTTGTTGAAGCCCAAGCGGTATGGCAGCAATAGCCTCTTGAAGCTCGGTGTTGATCAACGGCCAGAATGAGGCCAAGGCGGTGGTCGAGCTTTTCAGCACAAGAGCCCGAAGGACCATGAATATCTCAGCCCTTGTCGTGGAGGACGGCGATGATGAACTAGTAGCCCCTAAGAGATCTTCTAACTTCTGCAGGAGTCCCGGTAGTTCCCCAATGAAGTAGTCATTGTTGGCTGATAAAAGAAGTAGGGTTATCCTGCGGAGGTTCAACTGTGCCTTTCTATCCGCATCTAGGCGAGCAGCAGACGCTCCAACACCAAACATAATACCCGCTGTGCTTGGTGGTGGAAGGCGAAACATCAGCTCAGATAGTCGATCCTTATCAACAAGTACCCATTGCCGTAACAGGTTCATCCAGCCGTCTTTCACAAGCTCGAGCTGCGAGCTGAAGAACTTAGGATCGTTGAAGGCCTCGGCGATGTCTTTCTTCCATATCTTCGCAGCGGCCGGAACCTTTGCGATATGCTGTAGGAGCGCCATAAAACTACGGTTGATGTTGTTAGGGAAAAGTCGCGATCGCAAAAGGGGCCCTATCGCATTGGTGGAAATCCCCGTTACAGCCGTGGTAATACGGTCTGAGTCACCTAGTGTGGTTGTAAAGGCGGGCATGGAGATAGAGAGAATGCTGAGCATGTCGTCAGGACCAATAAGAGGTGCCGACGAACTATCATGCTCCAAAGAGCCTCGACCCAGGAGGCCCGAATCTTGTGATAGCCCAAGAGGCTTGCTGGTAAAGATCGCTGTAAGCAGACGTAGCAGTACATCCTAAGGAAATTAGCACAGGAGACATCTTCATTATCTGAAAGATAACATACCCCAAGTTCCTTCCTCATCCGGCGATCCTCTCCAAAACTAGTGTTCTCTAATTTCTCACCAAGGATGGCAGCAAACTCAACTAAGCGCGGAAGGATCTGGCGATGCGGGAATGGATTACTTAAAACATCACGCAAAAAGGTGGTGCAGTCTGCCCAAATCTCGTCTAGGACATCGTCATCAAGGGACCTGGCATAAGTGACTAAGAATCCCGCTAATTCGATTTCCGTAAGAGTCGATGATAGGGTAGATTTACGACTGGGATCTAGAGCAGAAGGATTTGTGCGGGTGTAGATGGCGTTAAACACAGCCGGGATTGTGATCTTTGGTCGACACCCATCCAGAGTGTGAAGAAGGCTGAAGATCAGAGAAGATGTGTTACTGTCTGTCTTTGTCCACATTTCCACCAAGGTCTCAAGGCATTCGAGGGCCTCTGCCGTAAACAGGTGCTCGAGAATCCGGCGGGAACGATTCCTCATACGCAGAGACGTATATTGGAAGGACGCCAGAGATTCTGTATCTTGGGGAAGAGTACTCCTTTCCACGGCTCCCCAAGACCAGATAGAAAAGCACAACCTTACAGCATCTTGGAAGCATAGCAAGACAGTCAGTCTATTGTTTGCAGCCGCTGAACGGCCATGACTAGCATCTGATGCAAAAACGCCAGATACCATATTCCCGAAGAACCCCTGAGGCTGATCCGGGCTCTTAGCGGCAGGGATATTAGCTTCGTCCACGAGAAGACGCTCATGAGCGGTTGCAATGCAGGTTTCAAGACCGGTGAGTAAGGCTATTGTGGCATGTTCAGACCTATCCTCAGGCCAACCTTTGGTATGTTTAAATGAGAGTTGAAGGTTCGCGTACGCAATTTGGATCTCCTTACAAAAGCAATCCACTAACATCAGGACAATCTGAAATATAGATCCTGAATATAGAGGTAGAACTTCACAAAGCAGCATAGTCCATCTTTCCACAATGGCCCTAGAGTTCAGAGAGCTAATACCCTTGAGAAGGCATTCTAGAAGGTGTTGTGGAGGTTGCGGCAAAGAAGGTATAGGGAGCAATTTTTCAGCCTTGTCACTCGTGAAAGATAGGATCGATGGACTTGTTAAACGCTCACGAGAGCTGGCTCTCTGATGTTTTGGTTTGGAGTGGGGTTGCGGCAAGTATGCCTGAGCGAAACGAACTTTCAATGCTGCGAGGAGGGTATCGATCAGCGCTCCTTGGACAGCAACGCTACCACCATTGTCTAGAGAGGCAGAGAGCCGTTCAACAAGAAGGGAGTCAATCCCGGACTCAGCCATCTCTTCAGCTCCTGGGCCTAGGAGGAGTTGACGCATTACAAGTAGGGAGGTTTGTTGTAACTTGATCTCGTCAAAGTTCGAGTGTGCTGCAGTGGTTTGTCCACTGACAACTCTTAGCGTGGCGTGGAATATGATAGAGTGCAAATTCTGGCCTCTATTACTATCTGGGAGAATTGTTAGTCATGTCGACTTGAACTTTGTCAAGAAGCTCACCTTCGGAAGTAGAGACAAGCTGGTGTCGGTCGCCTTGAGATGTTTGAGTCAGCAGAGCAACCCATCCATTGTGGGAAATGACTGATATGATATTATAGATCGTCTCCAATAAATAACTACATTCTTTATAATCATCAGGAGATAGAGAAGGGCTCGCTTGGTTTACTCCAAAATCATCAGCCTGCGAAAAAAGGCTATCTAGCCGTGAAACAATTATACGGAAAACCCTTTTCTATATTTAGTAGACTGCATCGAGAATGAGGATAAAGCTTGACAAACGACTAACTTACTTGTGAATGGAGGATAAATCTTGGAGCCATCGCTGAACCACTTCAGAGGCCTCGTTGGGTCCTTGGGAAAGAGTGTCTAAGACAATAAAAAGCGGACGTTCAAGAAGCGAAGATTGATAAGAAACCTGGGCTAGTGCTGAATCCTGTATATGCTTCGGGGGAACTTCGTATGTCCCATGGTGGCTGTGATTCCACAATATAAAGTATCTTCCAACTTGTTCTTCCGACAAAAGTCGGTGTAACGTGTGCGATGAGTCGACCATCAGTGATGTTATGGAGGCCTCGACGAGGTGCTCATGCCAGGAGACTGAATGTAGCTTCCACAAACAGCGGACCGCCTCCACATGAAATTTTGGGCTCAATGGTGAAAGATACCGCCAGAGCTGCTTGACAAGCAATGGAATCAAGTCAGATACGTCTTCGTAGCTGATATAAAATCCAGGATTATGGATAGAAAATAAACTCGTGACACCGGTAGCAATGGAAGAGATAGCCGAGAAAGTGGCAGTAGACTGCTCAACGTGGCCTGTACCAACCCGGTTACAAATGGCAAGGTAGAGCCGTCTGTCGCGCGGTACGCGTGACTTGGGAAGCTTCTTAAGCAGTAAGATAAGAAGACTCATATTCTCCTGTATCGATGTGACGCCAATACCGCCCGCAAGAGCCGAGATAGCGAGTTCGTAGGCTTTGCTGATTATAAGTTCCCCAAGATGTCTAGGAACAAAAGGCAATTGCGGAGGATCAAGGCTGCTGGTACTTTGCTCATAAAAATCATGAATCCTTGCCAAGATGTCGGACTGATGGAGCTCACCGTCACCAGCTGAAAGGTTTTTGGCGGTCTTTTCGGAGTCCAGCTTCTTGGAGAAAGCCCTCTCTGTTAGGAGACCCGTGAGGAAGCTCATCACTTTGAGGAGTTCGTGCAACACAAGCTGCAGTTTGTCGTCGGCCACCGTAGGATGATCTTTCGATGAGAGCTCATTCATCTTGATAAGGACTGAGAGGGTCAGCAGTGGAACATGGTTTAATACCATGTCCTCCTCTCGCACATTGAAGTTTTCCAGAACAAACTGGGTAAGCTTCAAGTTATTCACTACCTGATCATTGTCGCGACTAAGGTTATCAGCTTCCCAGTCTATCAACTTGAGTAATTCCGAGAAAATGACTCCGCTTTCGACACCATCAAAGAAGGCGCTGGCGCTGCGGAAGACCTCATCAAATTGATTTTTGGGTGCTGCCTTTTCGAAAGATTGAACATTCCGTATAATGGGAAGAAAGACTGCAGTAACGATGTGCCCCCCAACTTCCCATCGATCCATTAAGGAGAGCGATATCCGAAAGGGCCTTGACTTCTCGGATGGCACTAGAGTTTTCTGTTCAATCATCTGAAGAAGGCCACTCACCAATGGCTCTAGTCCAAACTGGCGAAAGTGTTCAGATTGTGAAATCTCCTCGCCACTGGCGGTAGATGCGTCTGCACTTTCCGATATCGAGTTCCGAGCTTCGAAAGAAGCCCGGTCATTTGCAGAATCAGGACCTAGGAGCCAAGCCCATAATCTCCTATTCAAACTCATATCTCTCCTAGCTACAACGCCTACAGCCGCAATGAGCAACTGCTGAAGGTCTTCATTGGTGATTCGAGATTGCAAAATAGGTGAACTAAGTGGTAGATGTGTCACAAGCAGATCCAGGAAATTTCGCTGGACAAGGACTTGCTCATCCGATAATCCGGATGCAAAACAACGAATAAGTAGGCCAGGCTCTGGAAGGATAACTGAGTTCGCAGCCATCTGCATGTCATGTGGCATATTGTTGGAGTCACCGTCGCCGCCTTTGCTCGGTCTTCGATCGGTGACCCCCAGTTTTGGTAGATAGCGATTCAGGTAAGCTAGCACACCCGAACGTCTACTTGGACTAGTTATTGACGCAAGGAATAGGCATTGCCAGAAGTACTGGCCGCTGGATTTAGCATCTCCACCTTGTCTCTGTGTGTCCATCTGGCTAGCGATATCGCGAAATTTATTGATGAGTCGGAGAGTTGGGTCAAAGTCATCGCTAGTTTCTTCTTCGAGTCCGGGTAAAAGGGCTAGAATGATTGCCTTCAAGGCGGGTCTGATGGCCCATGGCTCTAGGCCACAAATATATGTCTCTATCAACGATAAGAATAAAGGGCGGACGGTAAGCGAGGCAAATGTTAAGGTAGGTGCGATGCCTGGTAGATACAATGGTAGATCGTGAGACAGTCCTTCCGACTAAAAGTGTATTCAAGGTTAATAGAAGCGCGCCGAGATAAATCACATAACGGCACCAACCTTGACCAAACTGAAAATATACGTGTATACTTCAAGTGCCTTCTGATGCACACCAGATGGCAACGAGGGGTTCAGGCATTGTGCGAGCCGTTTCGAGACGAGAACTTTGTGAGGGACGATGGGTAGATCCGGAGGATGGGATTGAAGGGCCTGGGTAAGAGATCATCAGCGACCTAAATGTATATCTCTTGCAAGGGATTTAACCTACCTTCAGAAGCCGGCTGAGGAATGAGATATAGTCCGCCCATTCCTGCAGCGCCGTGTCATATAAAGACAGGGCTCGCTCAACGCTCGACGCATAGCGACGGTAATTCTTATCTTTCTTTAGATGCTCTATAGAAACCATTAGAGTTAGATTGCAGGTCCTTCTCAAAGAGCGAATTTCCAGCCGTGGTATGCGGCAGACCTTCTTTGCCTCGTAAGCGGGATCGCGCAAGAGAGCTATCGGAGCTTGCGGGGGAATTCGATCTCGGAAACGAGCTCGGATCAAGGCTCATAGTGCATACGTCGACTAATCAATCATAAAGTAGTAGTCAGAAATCGCAAATCTTCATATTTCGGACATTGAACTAGGTTGCGACCGGAGTTTGAGTGATTGTGCTTCCAGTTACTTTTGCATGAAGACACGGAAGCCACAACAAGCGCCAGGCGGACATGTTTTTGGTGCCTTAACTGTCCGCCTTTTGGAGCTCCGATCGGGGAGATCAATCAGCCTTCTCCACTTAGCCCACTATTTAATCAATCCGCCGAACCCACATCACCTCGCCGAACTTCATATGCTGGCCACATTGCTGCTACACTAGACAAATTGACTCAGGTTACTGATGGCGATTTCTATGATAGCACCATTGACATGATAACTATGACTTATACGACTTCGTTAAGTCGCGTATAATATACACGAGAGTGCTGCTACTGGTTGGAGAAGTACATACCAACCAATGCGCTCAACTTAAATATCATGGACTTAGAGGATGCAAAACCACCACAGGGTTCCCTCGATAACAATGATGATACTAGAAGTGAGACTGTTGGTTCCTCGAAGGTCTCTCCGACGATTTCTGCGGCTAGTGGTAGAGAACGCAGCACCAGTCCCGAAGGACCACCGCCACCTTTACCCCCGCGTCCGAACACATTGAGTTTGTTGGACGAAGGAGTGTCATCTTGGAGTGTTGGGCCATCGGCTCAACCAGTCTTGCAGTCTAGAGCTACTACAGCGGTGTCTTTGACTGACATTGCTTCCCGTGACGGTGGGAAAGAGAGTTACCCTGCCCGCAGTTTACCTGGGACTCTGCGGGCCAAGGCAAGTCTTAGTCACTTAGCCAGTTCAAGAGGCAGCGATACTCCTGACTCTGCAAGCGTCAGAAGCTCTGTACCACGTACAGATATTGGTGAGGTAGATAATGTCTTCAGTGACTTTATCGCGACAGATTCTGGACCTAATCAAGATAGCACGGGTCTGCTCCAATTTCCAGATTTTCAAGAAGACGATGTGGATGATGATTTTACAAAAGAGTTTGAACCTGTTGGTGAAGTTGGAGACGAAGATGAAAACGAGGGTGCGTAGCTTCCGTAAAACCCCGAATTTATGGAGTTGCTAATCAATAGTTCGACAATAGAGTTAGTCCTCGAGAACTGGAAATCTAAGCGAAAACACTATCTTATTCTCTCTGCCGCTGGGAAACCAATATGGACACGCCATGGTGATGGTGGTCTGATATCAACTTATGTCGGCATCATCCAGACCATCATATCGTTCTACGAAGATTCAAAAGATCATTTGAACAGTTTCACCGCCGGCGATACTAAGTTCGTTATTGTAACTAAAGGGCCGCTCCACTTAGTGGCGATAAGTCGGATTCTCGAAAGTGAAACCCAACTCAAGCTTCAACTTGAAGCTTTGTATATGCAGATCCTATCGACCTTGACCCTTCCTTCTCTGACCCATCTTTTCTCTGTTCGACCCTCTACCGATCTGAAGAGACCATTGCAGGGCTCAGAGAGTCTTCTATCTACATTAGCGGACAGCTTCATTAAAGGCTCACCGTCTACCCTTCTTTCAGCACTAGAGTGTTTAAAGATTCGCAAGGCGCACCGACAGGCAATCAACAATGCTCTTTTGAAGACTAGAACCAATAGTCTTCTCTATGGCTTAGTAGTTGCGGGAGGCCGGCTTGTCAGTGTTGTACGACCAAAGAAACATTCACTACATCCTGGTGATCTACAACTGATTTTCAACATGGTTTTCGAAGCAGAGGCTGTTAAAGCTGGAGGTGGTGAAAGTTGGATCCCTGTGTGCTTACCTGGCTTCAACAGCAGTGGGTATCTCTACATGTATGTCAGTTTCGTTTATCTACGGGGAGATGCTGGCAACGTCGCGGATGATACGGCGACAAAGGAAGAGTCTGTCGCAGTCATTTTAATTAGTACGGATAAGGAACGCTTTTTCGAGTTACAAGAAATGCGGAACTCCTTTATTAAGGTAAGGGGAGATAATTTGTTTTCTAGAAAGGGAACTAACCATTACTACTACCATAGCAACTGGAAATGAACAATAGCCTCAAAATCATGAAAGAAGCTATTGACAAGGGCCGCCCAAAGACGACAGATATTATGCCAGGAACTGTCTTGCATCATTTTTTGTACAAATCACGTGCGAACGTGCAGTTCACTATGTCCTCAAATGATCCTGAATTTTCATCTCTCTCCCGACGTCGGAGGTCTGTTTGACTTCATTAACTCCCTTGCAGAGGCTGTTACTTGGATATGAAGTTGGTTAACTGACATTGTAAATCTGCAGATTAATGTCGGCATACAATAACCTACATGCTAGTATTCATACCAAACACACCCACGTTAGAGTCCACCATTGTATGTCACAATCTTTGAGCTCGCTCGCTTGGGTAACTCCAGTATTTGAACTCTACTGCATCGCTGGTCCCAACGCCAACCGGAACGCCCTGGCGCACAGTGCGAGCAGAATTGTTCAGTGGGTTCAACAAGAGGAGGAGAGACTCTTTATCATCGGTGGTGCCGTATGTTATGTCTCGTAAGGAATGATCCTTGTCTGAATATTGCTAACTCCTGCAATATAGGTCTTCTAAGAATTATCTCTCTCGATAATCTACGATACAAAATGTTTAGGTTTCAATGAAAGGTGCAGCAAAGGATTCCAATGCTCTTGTAAATACTGGAACTCGGGGTTGGTTTATGACAGACTCATAGGCGCGCCATGGCGATAGCTCGAATCCTATATATCACATGATAACGAATACGAACTAGTGACTAGTCAATTGTGTCTTCCCTCAGGGCAAAAAGCTGTTGCATAAGCTCATCCGACCTGGCTCGGAGAGCATTATGGTACATGGTGTTCGTGATGAATTGTTTGATGCCCTTGATCTTCGCAGCCGTATTTGAGGCGTGGCTGAAGTGTACATACATGTCATCCACGTATGTAGCAGCATAGACAGGGACTTCGTTCTTCGTCAGTTGGACCTCGTCATAAAGCGCAGGCCAGTCTTCTGTAGTTGCAAGGATGTCCGCAGCTTCCTTGATTTCGTTTAGCTCCGCGTACGAGTCGAACATGTCTTTGTAAACCTAGATTGTGCGTATTAATCATTGTGCTATTATCGACGGCTTCTGAGGAGCGAAGATTACCATCTCGCCTGTAAACCAGATTTCTGGTCTATCGGCGTCAATATTGTAGCTCGGGTTAGCTGAGCGAAGTCTATCGGCTGACCAGTTTGAAGCTTGCCTGTTTGGTATGAGTTAGATAAGGCCAATTGGGCAAGCTTAGGGAAACTTCTCACCCTTGACAATAAATAGATTCATGAAGTATGGCATAGATGACATTGCTGTCAAAGCCGCCTGCACCATCGATTAAAGCACGGGTGGGGTGAGTCAGGAAGCCAAAGATCTCCAAATCGTTCCAGGCACGCAGGACAAGCTCTAGTAATTATTAGTCCTAAATAAAAGGGATATTCTAAAGCTTGATAAGATATTACCGTGGATACTATCAAGGCCACCTATGGACGTCAGAATCGCAACCATGGAAATTCATATTAGCTCTTACCGTGCATGCCAAATATAAGACCCAACTGCTGGAACCGTTCTGGGGTCAATTTGCCGGATGGGCAAGAAACATCATTCGCTTTCAGATATTGCATTATTTTTTTAACCCGTTCGACGTCTTGAGGGAACTTGGAGTAGTAGGCTTTGTTACGCTCCTCCAGCTTTTCTTCATTGCGTTAACTCTGAGAGTTGAAAATTCCAGATGGCAAAGTGCATACCGTATGTCCGTGCATAGACTGGGTCGGGCTCATTGACAAGAGGAGGCAATCCACCACAAATGAAAGCCTCTGCTAGCCCTTCAGGGCTTTGGTGCGTAGCGATTCGTCAGCACTGGGCATGCATCTTCTGGCACTTCAGTCTAGGAATTCAACTTACAACATGGAGAGATATGTCACAGCGCAGAAACCACCGAAGCTTTGACCGATGATGCTCCATTTGCGTTTGTCCTCTGGGTAATCCACTGTAAGGCATCGACGAATGGCTTCACAATCCCTGACAATGTTATCCGCCCGAAAGTTCTTCAGATACTCTGCCTGTTTGACCGCATTGCCCTTCAAGGCAAGGGTGCTTGCAGTGATGGTGGAGCTGAGGCCAGTGCCACGTTGATCTAAGAATAGAACCTATGCGACTGTAAACAATGGGCGTCCGCGCCTGCAACGACGCAACAAAAGGGGAAGAAGAAAGAAAAGAAAAAGATGATGTCGTGTCGGCCAAGAGGGTTAAATCCACCGTTACTCACCTGGTATCCCTTATCAAGGGCGGTACCAACCCAGCCATTCTCCTGAGGTGGCCGGCATCCAAACCCCGGGCCACCCTGTAGGTATACGAGCCAGGGCAGTTGCTTGTCGTCCTTAGAGGCTTCAAATGGAGGTGCCAGGCGACGAACACTCCGGGCGAAAAGCCTCAAAGTACCTTCATTTGGTCGGTTGTAATTGACCGGAACGTCAAAAAGCAGCTCTGCTACACGGAGCTTTCCTAATTCCCCGCAGCATCAGCGTCTACAATACATTTAACAGCCCCCGAGACATACCTGGAACATTGTGGAGTGACTTATCAACTAGTTTAGCGGCCATTGTTATTTTCACTGCAGTTATAACCTTTCAAGCTATTCTTTAGAGTAACAGAGGACCTGTAATTGACGTTTCTAAAAGGATCGAACCAATTGTTGATAGTGGGTTATTGTGGAGACGTTCGGATGTAACTCAAGCAGGTTGCCAGTTGACTAGTCCCCTAAAGACTAGTCGGAATCCATTCCGAGCCTAAGTCTGAGTAGTCACTGAACCACTTATATTAATTGGGGGCCGTACGGCACGGGATTTGCCTAGATTTACAGCAACTCACGGGATCTGGCTGAAGAGAGGCTTATTTCGAGAAGAGGCTATATAGTTAATAAATAACCCTCGATGTTTTACTTTCCAAGCCAGACTTGCGCAGCAGTCATTCAACCTTTTCCTTCATTCATCATCCTTTCTTTAAACAATAAACGATCTTTTCAGTAATTGTGACGAATTAGCAAGAATGTCCATGGAGCTGAAAGACGTCGCGGCCACAGCAGAGACACAGGCTAGTCTTCAACAGCAACTTTGGGAGATCACTCAGACCCCATGGAAATCTGACATCCTTCCCAGTGCCAAACATCTGGCTCAAGCAAGAGCAAGTCTACCACCGAGTCTTACGAATGAGGGCATAGGATTTGAAACTACAAAAGAACATATAATAAGCGACATTGTCCCCGCTTTCAATGGAAGCAGTATAAGTCCCAACTATTACGGCTTTGTCACTGGTGGGGTGACGCCTGCTGCCTTATTTGCAGACAATATTGTATCTGCATACGATCAGAATGTCCAAGTCCATCTTTCTGGGCACTCCATTGCCACGGATGTAGAGTCTAATGCTCTGGGTCTCCTTGTCGATCTTTTGCACTTGGAACGAGCCGACTGGCATAATGGCACTTTCACTACCGGGGGTTCGGCGAGTAACGTTCTCGGGCTAGCTTGTGGACGCGAGTATGTGTTACGTGCTGCGGCCGACAAGGCAGGAGTTACTAACAAAAGCGTTGGGGAGCATGGATTGTTTGAAGTCATGCAGGCGTCGGGATTGTCGGGTATTCAGATTTTGTCAACATTACCGCATTCATCTCTTGTCAAAGCAGGTGGAATCTTGGGGATCGGCCGAGCAAATATCAAAAACATTTGTCAAGACAGTAATCCACTTCTATTTGACATGGAAAAGCTTGAGCTCGAACTAGCAAGATCTGAAAAGGCAAGTATCGTCGCGGTATCTTGTGGTGAAGTCAACACTGGACAATTCGCGACGGCCGGCATTGATGAGATGCGAGAACTACGCAAATTGTGTGACACGTACGGCGCCTGGCTACATGCTGACGGAGCCTTTGGGATATTCAGCCGTGTTCTCGACGATAGTCCGGAGTTTTCTACCATTAAGAAGGGGGTCGAAGGCATTGAGCTAGTCGATTCTATTGCAGGTGACGGACACAAATTGCTTAACGTGCCGTATGACTGCGGCTTCTTCCTCTGTCGCCATCCTAATGAAGCTTATAATGTGTTCCAAAATGCAAATGCGGCCTATTTGACAGGGCACAACAATGGCCCTCCCTCGATTCCCTCACCTTTGAACATTGGAGTTGAGAACTCTAGGCGTTTCAGGGCGCTCCCTGTCTATGCTTCTCTTGTTGCCTACGGCAGAACTGGGTATCAGGCTATGCTCAAGAAACAGATTCGGTTGGCTAGGTTGATTTCAGGATGGCTATTTGATCATTCGGAATACAATGTCTTGCCAGAGGCCACTAGTAAGGAGGAGTTAATGGACCAAACTTTCATGACTGTCCTGTTTAGTGCGAAACAAGACGACTTGAATAAAGTTCTTGCATCAAAGATAAACGAGACATCTAAGATATTTGTTTCTGGAACCTCATGGCAAGGGCGACCGGCTTGTCGGATTGCCATCTCCAATTGGAGAGTCGATGAAAACAGAGATATTGAAGTCGTGACAAATGTGCTGAAGAGCGTTGTTGAAAGGTTCTAAACTGATAGCGAGAATCTACTATTCAAATGTTACTGGCACTTGATCGAATGTAGACACTAGTCATTCTTAAGGTACCATGTGTTTAACTACGAATAGTTTTTGAATATACACGCTCCTAAATTTTTCATGGCAAATTTTTTTTTTCTTTTACCATCACCGACGTCGCCCAGCACCGCCAGCATTATCTCGCTCAGCAAGGCTAACAACCTCGCCGATTCCAGCCTCCTCTTGTTCGTCTTCGAGAGCCATAACTTCTTCTCTGCTGTCCCACCACTTCTCCTCGGCAATGTTAAACGCATCCTTGCGCAGTTCTTTGATATTTTTCTCAGGCTCCAAACCCTTCAATTTGTATGTCTCAAGTAAGATCATTTGCCATTCCTCAGAAGTACGGCTGAAGAAATCACGCAAGCTCTCAAAAGGTCGAGGAAGAGGCCTACTGTCCTGTACAGATGGCTCTCCCTCCGGCTCTTCCATGTCGAGCTGCTCCATTTCTTGGGTCACGGACGGCACCGTTATCTCTGTTGGAGCGGGAGAGGCAGTAATATCCAGTGACATTGCATCATCTTCGTATTCTCCTTCCTCCTCATAATCTTCGTCATCATCCATTTCATCGTCGCTTTCCTCCTCCTCGTTGAGGAGATGCCAGTTCTCTGGTTCGTTGTAAAAGATCTCCTTGACGCCATCAAGTTTGACTAGATCGATAGAGTACATGTCATTGAACGTGAACTCTCGATCACCTTTCTCATAGGTTCCACCAAATATGAATAGAGTGTCATCTTGCACCGTTAGTTGCGCGTTGAACCGCATGTGAGGCATTTCGAAGCGGACAATGGAAGGTTTCTCTGGCTCAGCAGGTTCATCTTCGACTTTGGGAGTGCGAAGTTCCATCTCATCGTCATCGTCCTGGCTGCGGATGCCCCTCTTTGCTTCCAGAGCCCTGAGGTTCTGTAGCAGCTCCTCCTCATCGGCTTTGCCCCGGTCTCGATATTTAACAGCCATATTTGCCTGCTTTTTGCCTGCTGCTCTTGGGCGTCGGAGGCTGAGTGGGAAAAAACGGTTCCTATCAGTATTCCAAGCGTACAAGGTATCGAAAAATTCACTGTCAATTCCCTCTTCACTAAGCTCCACATCATGGACACCACCAAACATGATGCCTCGACCCTTGTGGTACGCCATGGTAGCACCTGCACGAGGCGGATTTGGGGCATTCGCAGGCTTCTTTCGGCGTTCCCAGCGAATCATGGGAGCCGCAGTTGCGGGAGCATCGGCAGCAGGTGGTGTGATACGAAGAAGCCAAGTGTCCTGGTGGACCATAGGTTTCATGGTCATACGCTGAGGTCCACCTTTCAATGGTTTCCCTCCTACACCAGTTGTGGCTTTTACACGGGAATACCCACCTAAGATGACTGCACCTGCTTCGTGAGGAAGGAAAGAGAAAGAAGAGCGGGGATCAGGCTTCTGTGATGCAGGAGGTAATATGGGATTATACCAGGTATACTTTGAGCAGTCGTATATCCACAAATCTTGAAGGTATTTAGTTTGCTGCGAGGTGTCTTGGAACCCGCCAAATAGAATAATATAGTTCTTGGCTCAAATCAGCTTACATAGTCTTGTCATCAAGGTCAATGCATAGCTTTTGGTGTGCAAACCTTGTAGTAAGTCATTCTATGGCCACTTCTGGCCGGAGGGCCCTTGCCCTTGGTCTCAAGACGAGCCCATTCTCTCGTCGATGGATCGAGGTACCAGAAATCATTGTAATGATAGAAAGTACCCTGTTTCGGCGATGAGAACTCGCCTAAAAGGTTTCCAAAGTCAGCAAAATGTACACTAGTCGAACGAAAATTCAGGCGACTTACCTCCAAATAGGTACACGCCGCCAGTATTCCCACCACGGCACCAAGCATGACCACTCCGAGGCAATGGACTATTGGGACTAGTGACCTCTTTCCATTCATTTCGGTCAATATTATAAACAAATAGATTGTTGAAGAAAGTCGCTAGGTTTCCGTCAAAGAACTCTCCACCGAAGACCAATAATTCATTTCGATTAGAAGGGGATGCTAGCACAGTTGCAGAAGACCGAGGAGAAGGCGGTCCCGAAACAACTTCAGTGACCTTGAGGAATCTAGCCTGTTCTTCGGCGTATTGCGCTAGAATAGAATCCAGATCCGCATCTTCCACATCACTATCAGCGTCCTTTCCCTTCTTGGTCTTGGACTTCTTTTCCTTTTGGGCCGCTTTCTTGCTTGTCTTCGCTGCAACACGTTCCTTGTGTTCGGCGGACTTCTTGTTTTTCTTGCCCATACTGTTAGACTGCTATGTAGCCCTTTCGGTATATACCTCTGTTTCTCTCTCAACCGGGCAGGATATGAATGGCTAATTCAATGGCCTCTTCAATGTGTGGGGTTGATAATATTCTATAGCGCGGGGTTCAGAAAAAAAATTAATTCCACTCGTTTGGTTACGTGTAAAACGGATACCATATCAACCCACTCACAGCAATAGAGATTGAGCACTGAGGACACAGTACATGTAACAGTGTGCGATATAGACTAGTTCATATAGCTAGTAGACAGTTGCTTAAATATAAATTGAACTATGTATTGTAGACTGTGGGTGACATGTAGTGCACTGTATTCGTGACTAAATTGCTCTAGATACTAAGATATATTTATATATACAGCGATAAGATTTGATACACAGTTCCTACAGATAAAACTATTCCATATAACTTCGACCACAATTTCTTAAAAAATATTACACGAACATTAATTCCCATTGACTGGACAGGATCTCCCACAGTACCTTTTTTTAAAGGCATTAATAGCCACCTAGATACTCATACTAGGTTACAGTCGCATTTTATGTTCACTACTTCAGCTATGTATTTATGTACGGTAAGATAAGGCAGACTCACCGCCTATTAACGCGCCAGACGCGTCTTTGTACTCTTCGGCTATGGAGTAACATTCACGAAGAATAATATAGCAAATACATTGTTGGAGATCAATTCCAGAATCATGAAAGGGAAAACACGACTCTATGACTAGGCACAATTTGGAAGTTCATCTCAAATGGCTGTTGGCTCAAGGCCCATCTCTCTACCCCTCTTTATCACCATCCGCTCGCCAGAATCGCAGTTCCATCAAAGAAAGTCTCTCTCAAAACCCACCAATTCCAACACTGCGTGCGCCAGGTAGCCAAGTTTTGGAAATCGCGGGAGACTCTCAACATACTCATGAGAATTCCGTCGGCAATGTGGGCGATAATACTGAAGTAAAATCGGACGCAGACATGGCACGGTTGCTATTTGCTCCGCAATCTGCGAACAAACCTCGATTATTCAGTTGTTCTACAGACGCTGTTCCTAGGTCACCGAGAGAGTCGGAAGATTGCACACATGATCAATCGCCTACGCGGCAACGGAGGGTGCTGAAGAGCCCGACAATAAAGAGTATGGCGATTATTCCGCATGATTATTTCGGACGACTAACGATTAATGGCAAGGTATCCAAAACAATACCTATTCGTCAATCCACGGGGTTACAAAGGCGGCAGCGACGCCTTTCCGATCAAGCATTTCATTCGACCTCAACACTGCGGCACTCGATATTGATACCATTGATCTGACGGGTGATTTAAACCAAACTACAGGGTCGTCAGCCACGGTGGACGAATATGGGGAACCGCACCGGCTGTGGACCGAACAAGCTGCCTATCGAAAAGAGCCGACAGAGAAACGGGGCAAGAAGCGTAAAAGCGAGGAGTATGCCTCTGACCTAGTTTCGCCAAGGAAGAATGCCCCCAAGGTTCGCTCACCCTTGGCGAAAGGGAACCCTACAGATGCTACTCAACCTGAATTGTCAGAAGCATCGAATGGTCCACCACCGCGCCTGAGAAAAACCCATATTACAACCTCACCAACAAAACGACCTATTTGCGAGGTCTCTCGCTCCCACTCTCGTGTGTTGGATCAAGTCATAGCTGACTCCGACGAAGACGGCGACGAAACCGTTTTTGACGATATTATAGGTGACAACGATGCGCCTATATTAGATACTGATGAGTCGTTGTATCCTGTTCTTCCACAAGATACCACTTCAGAAGATCAAAAAAGGAAAAGGGCTATAAAGCAAGCAACGCGTAATCGGCCATCCTCACCTGATGATATGGAACTTACTCCATCCATTCCTGAACATTCGGCCAGCGTGGAACTTACGAGATCTGAAGATTCTGGCTTGGCTTGTGCTTTTGGACCACCAGGGTCTCAGCCAAAGAACGACGATGTTGCGAAGTTTTTGGCTCTTCCCGCCAGTTTTCTCGATCAACGGATATCGGAATTCAACGACACTTTGAGGAAGAATTCAGAGATTGTTTTTGAACAAGCCATGAAAGGGGAACCTGCTCCTGGATTGATCGCCGAGAACAAGAATATCACAGCTCAAATAGAAGCAATAAAGTCTCTAAAGAAGAAGAAAGGTGCCTACCGCGCCTGTGTATCTACGAGAGAGGAACTAAAGAAAGCGCTCATGCGAGTTATCTCTCAAGGCGGTAGCCCGAACACAATGCCAAAGGAGCTCGAACAAAGCCGAAAAGCCACATCGCAATTAGAACAGATTGAGTCCGATATACAACGTCTGCTTATGAAGACTGATGTTTTAGCAGCCTCCATCTCTTCCAACAAGGGGGCATCTCGGCAGAGCTCAGAGCGGCTGCACCCATCCCCTCAGTCATCTAAAAAGCGGAACAGTAATGAACCTGTCCTTCCCGAAAATGAGATTATTGGCGGTGCACCTCCCAGACTCCCTTCATGGTCGACCTGCCGCACCCCCCAAACTGATGTCCCAACACGTGCGAACAACCCACTCTCTACAAGTGCTGTCTCTTGGCCCCAAAACTTTGACTATGATGAGCCAATGATCAGTGATGATGATAACCATTTTACTCGTACCATGGGATCTGCACCTCCCGCAAAACATATCGACGAATTTGACTTAGACGCTGATGAAGAAAAAATGCTTGAAGCCGCAGGGTATCTCGACGATGGCTGCTCTGTTCCAGCGAGTAATAATGGTCTCCAATCCCGTCAAGTGTTTGCCGAAACCTCTGGAAACGTGTCTCGCACTCCTGTTGCCCAGAAGTCGCAAAGCCATAATGCCCTATGGCACCAACACCCATGGTCCAAGGATGTAAAGAGTGTTTTAAAGGATAGATTCCATCTCAGAGGATTTCGCCTTAACCAACTCGAAGCCATCGACGCAACGCTGAGCGGGAAGGATACATTTGTTCTGATGCCGACAGGTGGCGGGAAGTCATTGTGTTATCAACTTCCATCTATTGTAACGAGTGGAACAACCAGAGGCGTTACAATAGTGATATCACCATTATTGAGCTTAATGCAGGATCAAGTATCCCATTTACGTCAGCTTGACATAAAAGCATATTTGCTGAATGGTGAGACCCAGAAGACCGAACGACAATGGATAATGAGTACATTATCCAGTTACTCTGCGGAAGATGATATCGAGTTGTTGTACATCACGCCCGAGATGGTCAATAAAAATCAAGCTCTCATCCGTAATCTGGAAAGACTCAACAATAGGCATCGACTGGCACGTATCGTGATAGATGAGGCTCATTGTGTGAGTCAATGGGGTCACGATTTTCGGCCTGATTATAAGGAACTGGGGGAGCTCAGGGCTCAGATACCCGGTGTCCCAATGATGGCGTTAACAGCAACTGCTACGGAGAATGTGAAAGTGGATGTCATCCATAACCTTAAAATGGCGGGTTGCGAGATATTCACCCAGAGCTTTAACAGACCAAACTTGACATATGAGGTGCGGCCAAAGAAAAAGGGCAACGAGCTCCTGGCTAGTATTGCTGATACGATCAAATCATCTTATCACAACAAATCTGGTATTGTTTATTGCCTATCTCGCGATACATGCCAAAAGGTCGCCAAAAGTCTTCGGGAAGACTACCGCATAAAGGCTGAGCACTATCATGCTGGTATGAAACCGAACGAGCGAGCCGAAGTCCAACAGCGCTGGCAGGCTGGGAGGAGCCATGTTATAGTAGCGACCATCGCTTTCGGCATGGGTATTGATAAACCGGATGTACGCTTCGTGATCCACCACAGCCTCCCAAAGAGTTTAGAAGGCTATTACCAGGAAACTGGACGAGCTGGTCGAGACGGAAAGCGCTCGGGCTGTTATTTGTACTACTGCTACAGGGATACGATGACTATCAATCGCATGATTGATAGCAACGATGGTAGTAAGCAACAGAAAAACCGCCAGCGTCAAATGCTTCGCAATGTTGTACAATTCTGTGAAAACAAAAGTGACTGTCGACGAGTTCAAATCCTCGCATATTTCAACGAGTACTTCAATCGAGAGGACTGCAACGCTTCCTGTGACAACTGCAAGTCAGACTCTGTCTTTGAGCTCCGCGACTTTTCTGAACATGCTGCCTCTGTAATCAAGGTCGTTCGGCACTTTGGAGAATTGGGCGAAAAGGTGACATTATCATACTGCGTGAACATATTCCGTGGAAGCGTCAAAAAATTTAGGTCTCCTCAGCATAGGCAGGCCCCGGGGTATGGAGCAGGCTCATCTTTAGAGATGGGGGAAGCGGAAAGGCTCTTCTATCATCTTCTTAGCGAAGGAGCATTATTCGAAGAAAATGTGGTCAACGGCAGCAAATTTGCCGTCCAGTACATTAAGCTTGGACGTCGTGCTTCCGATTATGAAAGTGGTCAGCGCAAGTTGCAGCTTCAGGTTAGAGTTTCACCAAACGGAAAAAGTCGATCTTCTCGAGGTGAATCTCGGAAAGAGTATCAGCCGCAATCTACAAACGTCTCGTCGCCTGTTCAAGTGGCAAACCAGCGCAGATTAGCTCGCTACCGTTACGACGCAAGCTCCGATAGTGATAAAGACAGTGATGGCTTCGAGCGGATCCGGATAGCGGGCAAGCCACAGAATGAGAAACCGTTTACTCCCGGCCCACCAATTACCCAGGACTACAGATTTGACCGACTTGATCCTCTCCATAAAGCTGTAGCGGAGGACTTTATGGTCTATGCAAAGAACTACTGTCAGGATGTTAGACCTCCTCTTGACTACGTGGAGCTAGAAACATATTGCTGACTTAGGATAATAGATTGTACTCAAGAAAGGCCTTCGTAACCAGCCATTTACAGATGGCGTTCTTCGGGAGATGGTCATATTCTTCCCCAAAGGTGAGAACATACCCAGCCATTGACAATAAGGCGCTGCTCTAATGTTAAAGCAGACCTGTCGGAGCTTTCCAAAATTCCAGGCATAGATCAAGACAAGGTAAACCGGTACGGCACTCAGATACTAAAGCTTGTACGAGATACGCAACGCCGTTATGCGGAATTGAAGAAGGACCGTGATGATGCCGATGGCGTTGTTCCAGACCCCAATCATCACAATGTTATCAACCTCACTAGTGACAGTGAAGAGTATGATGATGGCGATATCTTGGATGATGCGTCAAACCTAGGTCTAGATAACAATGTTATTGCTAGTCGGTTCTTTACAACTGAACCAATCCCAGAAGATGACTCGTCCGACGGCCCTGTCAGGCCTAGCAGCTCCAAACCTCGAAAGCGTCAAGCTAGCAAACGTACTCGTCGAGCGAGCGCTGGCGGTGTCAAAGCCCGGAACAAGACCGCAAGACCCAAAAAGAAGAATAGCAACCGTGCTGACAGCTGTCCTCCCCGGAAAACTCCAAAAGTGAAAGAATCCACCGCCCGCATAGGGATGATGCCTATCTAGCACTCTTTATATATCAGCTTGCATGTTCTTATGATGTCAATGGCATAAACGGGAGTGAGGGCATATTCTCCTTAATGGTCTGCTCTATCAGGTGCATTTAATGGCGTTGAATTGGAATTCTAACTTTTTTGTTTGTATTATGAGGAAATGACGAAGTGATTGAGTGCTGCACTGCTTGTATCGGACCCACACGATCGGATTTGTTCTTTCTTGTTTTTCTTTCCCTTGACTTTTTGCAACATACCCGTATATAGCTACAATGCGTTTGTTTCCTACAAAGACATCGATCCGCTATTCTGAGCTTTATAGAGTTGGATATTATCATACATTAGACGTCAGGCTTCAAATTGTAAAAGTATTCAATCGTTCAACGAACGCCCGAAATCAATCAACCTCAAGCGTCTGGCGTCTCGCGGGTGAAATTGAGCTACCTTGGCTCTTACAAGGAACCTGGAGGCTGCAGACTCTCGGGGAAGATCAATATAGGAGGAGTTTGCATCAAGTAAAGAGTCAAGCAACTCATGCATTTCTTTGGCCGCTGTCTCTCGTCGAGTTGATCGACTTTGTTCTTGATTGTCTCCTTGTGATGTGTGACCTCTGACGAGTTCATCTATTCGACGCTGACTTGTATCATGGCTCGCTGTAACCGAAGCTTTCGGTTTTCTGGGTTTACCATGACTTGTATAGCCCCTCTCTAATGTCTCGTCAGAAACGCTCATTGCGTCTCCCACAGTCGGGCCACCAAGTTCTTCTGCGGCGAGCATGGGTGCCAGAGTCTCATCAATGAAAATATGTAGAGAAGCCTTTAAGTCTTCGGCCGCTTTGTCAAGCTCTTCTTTCTTGTCTTGCTGTTGCTCGACAAGCTCATGCGCTACCTGGGAAGGTGACTTCTGTTTTTTCTTGGCTTGTTCTTCACGGATACGACTTATCCGTTTTTGCAGTCCATGCTTGATGGCTTGGGCATCACGCAGATTTGCCTCTTCAACTTTCAGGCGCTGGCGATTGGCCGAAAGCTTATCTGCTGTCATTGTGACGGATACTTTACTCTCATTGACCAGCCGAGAGATCTCCTCCACTGCAAGTAAAGATGGCAAAGGGGACCCAGGACCTGGGAGCTCCGTCTCCGATTTCAGGAGGGAGTCATACGCTTTCTTGGCTCTTCTAACTTGCGAAACACGAGACCAAGGGTCCACGCCGATCTTAGAAAGGTCAACTGCATTGACCGATCGAAGCTGTTGCGGGCATCAGAACCGCGTCTCTTTTATCTTTATACTTTCTCCAGCTTACATACCTTGCGCAAATCATCTTCTTGGCGTCTAACTCGATCTTGAAGATTTTTCAGGGTCTCATCCAGTTTTTTATTATAGGCCTGGAGAGTGGCCGGACTGATTTGTTGATCATAACTCTCTTCGGCTTTCTCCTGTTTCACTGCGAAACGCTGGATCTTGTCAATGGTCTTCTGAGGCACGTCCATAGGGGTAGGTTGTCGGGCTTGCACGATATAGATAAGACACGAGTCGAGGGACGAAGATTGAAGGATATCAATGCAAGCAAGGCCACCGGATCAAGCTCAATTCTTGCCTTCATGAGCCGTAGCAAGGTGGGAAAGGAAATAATATCGAATTCATTCCTTGTCAGGGTTGTTTTCGATGCCTTGCACACGTGATCAGGAGGAGACCATGCCCAAGGCAGGCTAGCGTGGTCCCGTGCCATCGTTTCACCTCATCCGACCTCTAACCTCATCATCTCTTCACCGCGACATCGCGACTTCGTCCCCTCCATCCATCTTCGTCACCTCCTCCATTTCGCTTGGCATCTTCATCTTTGTCGCAACGGTGGAGTCGACTGCCTGTCTTCTTTACTTGGCTTCTATCCGCTGTTTTAGCGTTTGTTCAAGCCCCTTTTAGCCCGGCGCGTGGCAGATTCTCTGTGTTCTACACCCTGCGACGACGTTCAGTACCGTTGTGTTTTCTTGGAGGAAAAGGGATAGTACAGATATAGCAACTTGACTTTGCTCTCATATTCATCCTTTCCCCACGCTGTCTGCCCGTCAGCTCCCATTCACGTCCGGACCCTGAAATCTTCACCACTACCATCCTCATCTTTCCGTTTTTATCGTGCCCGATCCGATCATCTCTTTTCTTCTTTTCTCTCTCCTAGCATAGCTCTGCACACGCGAAGCTTTCTGCTCCAATCCAAGGCCCGTGATTCCCAGCATCTTCACTCTTCCACCGGCCATCTTTCCTCAACATCACTTTCTTCATCACCTGTGCACGATCACCAGCATTCCTAGTCATTTCCAGCACCAGATTCCCTCTCCCGACCGCCAGCACCAGCAAGTCTTATTGGGAATTCCTGGTGTACATAGTCGATCAAATAAAGCAGAAAAAAGAACAAGAAAGGCTATTTTGATACTTCGACTTCCTGCGTAAGTGAAGCAAAACTGCACAGCTGAGAGCAATATGTCTGCCTCCCCTTCCGCTTTGCAATCTACCAAGCGTCCCTTGGAGGACCCCTCTTCGCCATCAGGCCCCAATGACCAGCCGGAGGCCAAGCGTCCTGCTTTGGACAAAGTAGTAAAAGGCGACGAGTCCGAGGCGTATGCGGAGGTGAAGACTGAGCCCTCGGGAATGCCTAGTGCGAATGCCGACGGCCAAGGTGACACGGTTGTTCCTGATGCTCCTAATGCGAAGGCCACTCTCCCCGAGACACAGCCTATTCAGTCCACCGCGTCCCACGCCGAAACTGGCTCTCAGCCAGACCAGAATCGTCCCCAGGACGAGTCAAGTTGGATCCATATTCGGGCTGTAATTTCTAGCCAGGAGGCTGCTACCGTCATTGGAAAAGGTGGGGAGAATGTATCACAGATCCGTCGTCTCTCCGGCGCCAAGTGCACAGTCAGCGATTACTCTCGTGGTGCCGTCGAACGTATCTTGACTGTCAGCGGTCCACAGGACGCTGTTGCTAAGGTTAGTTGTCATCCTTCTTCGATGCTTAGCTGAAGTCTAAATTGGAATTGCTGACCGTGGACTTCAGGCATTTGGTTTGATCATTCGTACGCTAAACAATGAACCCCTTGATGCCCCCTCTACTGCCCAATCCAAGACATATCCCTTACGTTTGTTGATCCCCCATATTCTCATTGGCTCCATCATTGGCAAGGGCGGTGGCCGTATTCGTGAGATTCAAGAGGCCTCTGGCGCTCGTCTCAACGCTTCAGATGCTTGCCTTCCCCTGTCCACTGAGCGGTCCCTTGTAATCCTGGGCGTTGCGGATGCTGTCCATATTGCTACCTACTATGTCGCTGTGACGCTGGTCGAGCAGCTCACGGAGCGCTTTGGCGGGCCGGCAGCTTCTGCCTATGCTACCCGCAGTGGTGGACCTGCTGGAGCTGTGCCCGGTGGCATGCAGGTCGTCCCTTACGTTCCTCAGCCAGCTGGTGGCCAATATGGCCACCCTGATACCTTCAAGCGTCACCACCCTCACCCCAACCGGGCTGCTGCTGGTGCTTATGGCGTTCCCTACCTTCATGGACAGCCCGCTCCTGCCCCTGTAGCTCAGCCAGCCATGCACTACGGTGCCACGCCTCACACCCCGTATGCCGGTGCTGGCCCCCACCAGCCTACCCCGTATGGTGCCCCTCAGGCTGCGCCCGCACGCGGGGGCCCGACTCCTGTCGCGCCTGTTGGTGGAGCTATGCCCGGTCAACCACTAACTCAGCAGATCTATATTCCCAACGACATGGTCGGCGCTATAATTGGCAAGGGTGGCGCAAAAATTAACGAGATCCGTCACCTTAGTGGCAGCGTGATCAAGATCAACGAGCCACAGGAGAACAGCAACGAGCGTCTGGTGACCATTACAGGTACCCAAGAGTGCAACCAGATGGCTTTGTATATGCTTTACTCCAGACTTGGTTAGTTTCGTTCCTTCATACTACTCTCTGAGATAATGTTACTAACAAGCCCTATAGAAAGTGAAAAGCACCGCATCTAAGCGAAGGGATGAGTCTACGAGCTTGCTAAATCTGTTTTATTTCTTCCTGGAGCATGTGGGACTTGGTTCAGTATTTTTCCGTCTTTCTCCCTTTTGTGTTTTGAGGTCCTCAAAAAGTCGTCTTCCCATGGTGGCTTTAATGATTCGTTTCGGGTATATGCCTTCCAAGTTGTAATTTATGGAAAAGCGCTGTCCATCAACATTCGTTGTATACATTATCACCAATTTTAAATCACTCAACTCACACCACCACACCACCTGTACCCAACAAACCCCACTCTCAAATCTTCCTAAAAGAAACATGCTTCATCCTAAGAGGCGGCACCGAAGGAATCGCCTTCTCCCTAATCGGCGTAATCGTCCTCTTAAACTCTCCCGTCTCCCTCGCAGCCTCATGCGCCTCGACCGACTCCCACCCCACAGCCAAAAAAAGTAAAAACACCAGCCCAGACGGACTCTTGTCATGCTCCAGCGTCCCAGGCCTTTCCACCTGCGCCATAGCCCACGATTTCGGCCGCTGATCCTCCGGCAACATCTCCGTCAGCGCAGTCCTGAACTTAATCAGATCAGCACCGAGCTTCGTTTGCTCCTCAGGCGTCAGCGAACTGGGGAACGAGAGTGCCACCAGCTCCGTGACGGGGTTGGCGGTTAGGGAGTCGGATTCGGTGATTGATGGTGTAAGGGTCGTGAAGATTACGCTCACGTGCGTGTCAGGCTCGATGTATGGGGCGAGGATTTGGGGTTGGATTCCTACGTGGGCGTCCGCCCAGTCTAGATCGAGTACTTTTGTTAGCTTATGCTTCCCCCCCCCTTCTCTTTTTTAAGGGATGCAGGGATAGGAAGGAAACGAATGATATGGTAGGTAGCACTTACTAACGACCCAGACTATGACATTCTGGTCTTCTACTGTTCTGCCCCATGCGGAGCTTTTGTAGCCGCTTTGGTGCTTGGTTGTTTGGAAGAGCTGGAGGAGGGCTTGGCCTTCTTCGTTGGAGGAGTCTTCGGGTTTTACTGAGGATTTGAGTTGGAAATGGATGAATTCGCTGACTGGGAGGGCCATTTTGGGTGCGATGTGATACGCTTGGCTTGGTGGGTGGGGTTGGTTGGGTCCTGTATGTATGTATGTATGTATGATGTTGGTGGGGTAGGTCTATCAATGTTGGTTTTGAGCTTCCTAAAATGAGAATATTCTCTATATATTTCTTGGATAAGTAAGTATCGGAGAAAATAAATTAGATGCGCGACAGACAAAAGAAAGATGGAATTCTGAAGGAAGACAATTGATTTTAGGTCTGCGGGCGGTTTATGATGTCAGGGAGAGGCTCAGTGCCTCAGTCAGCAAGGCCCCCCCCCACCCGTGGATACAAGAATCAATCTAATAGCAGTTAATTTGAGCTTATGTATAAAAGTATCACATCATTAACGGATCAGTATCCAGGTATGCCAATCAAACAGCAGCTATGCTATGTACAGAGAAAATAGCAATTGTCCTCACACACACGCCATGTCCCGCTATTTTTGGATGGTTCATATCATGATTCGGAGACAGAAATCAAACAAGTACTTCTACAGATCATCGACACTCCTAACCTTCGACTTCTTTTCGCCGATCGCCTTCTTCAAATTCTCAACAATATGCTGTCTGCGCTGCATCTTGGCCCGCCATTGCGTACTTTCTTCTTTGCTGACAAGATCACCAACGCGTTCCACGCTTCGAAGCCGGCTTGCTCTAGCTGACCCGTTGATGCTAGACCGGAAGCGAGCTGCAGAATCTGGCGTATGGTACGCACTGACGGCGCCATCAACAGAGCCTCGTGACCCTGGTGTCGTAGGGAATCTTCCTACAGACTTCCTTGGAGTTGTAAATGGTGACCCCTCCCGGCTCGCGGGGGACGTGGTCGTGTCAATACCCAACTTCTTCAGCTGCACCTCCAGGAAATCAATATCGCTGCTCTTGCTTTCAGCCATGTTCATCATGGTGGATATGGTTGATGTGACGGCCTCGACTGTTGGCCGTTTGACGGTCTGTCGCGAAGCGCTGTCAGAGCGAGGGGCTTCCGCAATCTTTGCCCGTAGGAGCGAGACAGCAGACTCCAAGTCTGCTAATCTTGCCTGGATATTGGCAGATGCTGTCCTTAGCTCTTGTTGAAGATTTGCTTGTTCCGATGACAGCGGTGCAGAAACAATCGCCGCGGAATCAATGTGAGCATCTAGGGTCTTACGAATACTAGCACATTGGCCCCGAAGCGTCAGTATATCCTTGCTTAATAACTCTTGACAGTCCTCAAGCTTCTTCTCCACCCCTTGCACCCGTTGCTTCTCGAGCTCGCCAGCAAGCATGACAAGGGCATCATCAAGTTGCTCGATTTCAGATAGACGTAGCTTCTCATCTAGAATATCCACAGGATGATCACCCTGCAACATATTGACCCAGTCCGAATTACTGGATGATTGTTGGTACAAAAGGAAGGCGGATAAGGACCGTGCATTAATGCCCAATGTATCTACCATAGAATTGATGTCACGGTATAGCCTTTCAATCTGACCCGGGATACCTGGCTTGCTCGTCTGGCCAGTGTAGTCCTGATGAGGGAGAAACGGATCAAGGGTAGGAACAGGTTCTACGGGCCGAGCCAGGTCAGCACGAAGCCTTTCGTCATCATCGTCGGAAAGTGATAAAGCCTCCTCCTGTTGTCGCTGCGCTTGAATCTTCCGTTCAGCTCGTTCTTCCTGATTTGCCTGTGCCGATGACGGCCTGAGCAGGTTTTCGCGTTTTGCGAAATCACTGAGAGAGGCTTTACGCGCAGCAAGCGTGCTGCCTGGAGCATGTGGCTTGAAAAGACTCTTCGGAGGGCCATTTCGTACTGGACTAGGCGACCTAGTATATTCGCGATTTGCTGAAGGCGCCGGTGGTAATAAGGGCTTCGTGATTTCCCCGAACAATTGTCGTGGCTGTTGCTTCTGAGCTTGACTAGGTTGGGATACTCCCGCGAACAACCCGCCGGCTGAACTCTTGCCTGAAAATCTAGCCCCAAACGAACTTTCTGGCGATACCTCCAGGCTTTCCGCCTCAGATGCTTCCTCCTGTTGCTCGGCTTCATCTGCAATGTCCTCTCCACTATCAGCAAAGTCAGACTCATCTCCCTCGTCGCTCCCTTCCTTATCGGATTCGTCTGCATCTGAGCCATCGGGCACGGGGCATGGCACATCTGCGGGAGTGGGCGTTGGCTTTGATGCAGTGAAATCTGAAGGAAGCGGTGCTTCTTCTGGTTTAGACTCCTGAGGCTCCTGAGGCTCCTCTTTCTTGGGTTTTGACGCAAAGTCGGGTGGCAGCGGCGGCTCCCCTCTATCTTCCTTTGGGATAGATTTCGGTTGAGTGGTGAAGTCAGGAGGAAGAGGTGCATCGTCAGTGGAACTCTTAGAAACATTGGAGGACGCAGAAGTGTCACCAGGCCCGTAGGAAGCTTTACTTGTTGGGTCAGGAGGCAGTGGTGGCTCTACAGACGCAACAGGAGTTTCTTGGCTATCAGTAAGTTCTTCCTCCTTCGGGGTTGGGCTAGCAACAGGCGTCTTTTCTGACGGTGGGGACAGAGGGCTTGATGCTTGCTTGTCGGCAGTTGCGAGGAACGAAAACGGAGATTTGTTCGTCTGAGGTGCACCAAAGGGCTGTTGAGGTTGTGTAGGAACACCGAAGAGAGACGAAGGCGTAGGTGTGTTAAGTGTGTTAAGTTTGGACGGCGCACCAAACAATGAGGGGGCTGGTTGACTAGGCTCCGGTTTCTCCTGCTGCGCGGTAGCAAGCTCATCCTGCATATCGTCCATAGACTCCGTGGGGGGACTAGCTTTAGTAGGCGTAGAGACCATCTCGTCGAACGATCCACCAAACGAGAATGCTCCACCAGAAGGTTTTTCCGGCTTTGGACCATCGTTGACAGCAGTACCGTCGCCTTTGAATGTCGACTCTAGCTTGAACCCACCCGAACCAAGACCGAATGGGTTCTTTGGCTGATCTGACTTCTGGGAAGTGAAAGCTGTGCTTGTATCAGCCTGGCTGCCAAAGACCGATGGTCCGGAAGGCTTCGAGAACGGGCTTTCTCCGGTAGGCTTTCCAAAGGGCGATTCTCCAGCCGGCTTTGATGCTGCAAAACTAGCAAACCCTCCCGAGCCACTGTTGTTAGCAAATGAGCCGAAGCCACTTCCCGAGGTAGCGCCTGAAGTTCCGAGCGAGAATGCACCAAATCCCTTCCCAGGTGTTGATGGTTGTCCGAAGGCCGATGAGGTGCCCATCGACCCGAAACTACTTTTGCCAAACTGGGGTGATCCACTGCTAATTGCACTTGGAGTGCCGAAAGAAGGCCCTGTTTGAGATCCTATCTGAGAGGGGGCCCCAAATGAAGGCGCTCCAAATGCAGGTTGCGCGCGGCTTCCTAATGTCGAGGGACTGCCAAATGATGGTCCGACAGAGGGTTTGCCAAACGGAGACGGTACTCCCATTGAAGATGGACTGCCAAAAGCCGACTGCCCAAACCCAGTCTTTGTTGGCGGTTGCAGCTGCGCCTGCTGCTGGACTACTGAGGCCAAACCGTGATAAGGCAATTTTTGACGGATGGATTCGGAGTATATAAACCACCACGAGCAGAGGATACCTTCGTTGTTTAGAAGCAAGATGTTCGGCAAGGGGGTGGAACTCTCAGAGATATCTTCACCCACAATGGGGGATACAACGATTTCTGTGCTGCTCAGGTCGATTCCCAGACCAATGACTGAAGTATCGTTGCTAGAATCTGTGAGTGGGAGAGATGCCCTCTTCGTGTCATCATTGACTTCAGTCATGGTGAATAAACCTGTGGTGGCTTTGGCTGCATCATCACTTGCCAATGGCTGCTCCGACCTCGTCACAAGGCCAACATCGCTCGATCCCGTAGAAGATATAATTAGTACATCTTTTAGGTGTGGCTTGTAGTCTCTAAGACGTGCCATGAATTGATATGCCGGGGAGCGTTTCATTCCGAAAGGTAAACACAGCTCCGGCAGCTTCTGGATCAAAAACGGCGCTTGTTTCCTTCTTGTAATAATGTAGTAAGATGACGACGGCGTTTGACCTGTTTCATCTTCAGCGCCGTTTGGCGTGTACACCATTAGAAAGATGTCATTCTCTAACCAAGCAATAGATGACACTATATCAAGTCAGCCACGTAATTATCCGTACTATAAGTGCACGTACCATGGCAGTTTCCCTCAAGGTCGGATGGGCGTGGAATCAAATCCTTCTGGGTGCCATCTGGGGTCATTTGGTACCCCGCTCCATCTGCAAGTCCGGCGACGAGTTGTTTTCCTCTGTTACTCCAGCAGACAGAGCTCACTCCACTCTTCAAAACATTGCCATTCGGTCCCGGAACCAGGGCCCCAGCCTTGAGATTGGCAACTAGAAGCTCTCCATTGGTTGTGACAAGAGCGACAAGAGACGAATGCGCCTCGTCCGATGGCGGTGCTGGGTTTGGGGCAAGGGATCGAAAAGTGGCGCCATTCGTTGGGATGGACAGGGCCGGTTGCGCATTTCCCGTTGACAAACTCGCAGTCTCGTAAACCAAAAGCTGAGGACCATTCTCTGTGGCTAGTATTAGAGCATCATCACCTGAAGTGAAGGCTACATGCGTGGGTCGTGCAGGAAGGGGTATCGTAGCTTGCGGTTCAAAGGGTTTTGTTTTGGCCTTGTCGTCGGTAGGAGCGGATATAGCTTTTCTGACTGCATCGGAGGAGGCGATTACCAAGGAGTCGGGACCAGCGCCGACCACTACGCCTTTTGTCGGTGCGACAGCTAGAAGTGAAGAGGACGGAGCTGGCAGGGCATTTTCAGGCCAAGGGGTAGGAAGTAATCGGACGTTGCAGTCGCTCGAGACGCCTTTGAAGCCAACTTCCTACTCCCATCGTTAGTCAGTCTTTAAAATTAGGACAATAATAATCATAGCAGCGCGACGTACCTCAGCATAGACATCTGGGAGCTCAGGACCCAGTTCCGCTGGAACATTGCCGCCAGCGGGGTTGGACGCCCCAAAGCTGAAAGCCATTCTTAGTCTGTCAAAATCTGCTGAGATTAAACGGGGACGGTCGCCTAATGATAACCTGCTCTTTGGAGCATGAGGAGAGGGAGGGCTTTGCGGTAAAGATGAAAATGAGCGATGCTGGAGTGCTTGGGGTCTCCGGTTAAAAAGCTGCCAAGTGCGCGCAAAAATATTGAATACCTCCCCTTAGGGGAAGGAAGAATCACAAAGAGATGGATACCCGATAGGTTACTGAATAGGATTTGCAGGCAAATACCGAGTGTTGTCAAACCAAGAAAAAAAGGCCAGGAGGCTCCTTCAATGGTAGTTGTTAGCAAGCAAGCAATTGAAAGACAATCTGGACGGGCAAAAACAGTAGGAGCTTCAAACAGGCCGGGCGGTCAGCATGCCTGAGGCACCCAGATCAGGCTGCGGGAGCTTCGTCACTCCAGCTCGACCTCGCCGCCATCACCCACCAACCGACCAGCTACAGCTGTTTCTCTCTCATCATCGTCTTCCTATTTACTTTTAATTAGCTCTGTAGAGTGAATTCGTTAGTATCTTGACTTTGCTCACTCCTGTCCCTCCGTTCAATCTTTAATCACTCCACGCCGACATCATGACCGGCTTTGACTTCTCCAACTACAACCGCAACGCGGCTCTCCACGCCAAGGGAGTGCCTCTACCCAAGGCTACAAGCACAGGTACCACCATCGTGGGATGCATTTTCGACAATGGTGTTGTGGTATGTTATACCGAAATCCGATGACGATCCCCTGTGGTCGCTTGTCCTTCGAAGCTGACCCTCTTCACAGATCGCAGCAGATACCAGAGCTACTAGTGGACCCATCGTAGCAGACAAGGTACGAACCGGCAATAAGTTTTCCATATCCATCATTCCTTGCCTCGCGGCGGTTACATAATGAGCTTGGTTGATATTAATGGTGGAATGTATAGAACTGCGAGAAACTACACTACATCGCACCCAAGATCTGGTGTGCTGGTGCTGGTACAGCTGCAGACACTGAGTTCACCACTGCCCTCATTAGCTCGAACATCGAACTGCACTCCCTTTCAACAGGCCGGGATCCACGAGTAGTCACTTGCATGACCATGTTGAAGCAACACCTCTTCCGATACCAGGGACATATTGGCGCGTATCTAGTCGTTGCTGGTGTTGACCCGACAGGCACCGGCCTGTATACTGTTCATGCCCACGGGTCGACAGATAAGCTTCCTTATGTGACTATGGGCTCTGGATCGTTGGCGGCTATGTCCGTCTTTGAGTCGACGTGGAAGGCAAACCTGGACCGTGAGGGCGCGATCGAGCTGTGTGCAGAGGCAATCAAGGCTGGTATTTTTAACGATCTGGGATCGGGTAGCAATGTCGATGTGTGTGTCATTGAGAAGGACAAACCCACGCAGCTCCTGCGCAACTACATCAAGCCCAACGAGCGTGGTCAGAAGGAACGTAACTACCGCTTCCCCAGGGGTACGACGGCCTACTTGAACCAGAAGGTCATTAGCAAGGAAGATATGAGGAAATATGTTACTGTGGAGGAGGTCTCTGGGGATCCAAATCTGATGGAGGTGGACTCGTGAGTTCAGAAGTAGCCCGATTTTAACAAAGCCATGTCTATTACATGGATCACGTATAAGGAATTACATGATGAGATTGCTCGCAATAATCCTGTTCTATATTATCGAATAGAGAGAAATAAAACGCCATGTACCTGTCTCGCGGTCAGTAGTTGTTAAAACTAGAGAGCATGTATTCCAGATAATCTCCAGCTGATCGAGTCTTATTTTCGGCCAGCTGCGCAAGTCTATTTATAAAAGTAATGCGGTATACACAACATCAAAAGCCAACTGGGTTATATAACTCATAGCCGCTTTATCGCAATATCCATATCATCTTTAAGATTTTGTACGGCGAGGCGAGGTTCATTGAAGTTCAAGTTGACTGGTAGCTGAGCCAGACTGACCAATCCTCGATACCAACGTATCCAAGACTTCAGGCCCTTCAATCTCCCTCACAAGATCCAGGATATATTTGTACTGTGCGCGCGGTATGTTTTTATCCTCCTTTCGGTACCGTACAACCCCAGCATGGTATATAGCACGTACAAGAGTCGGCTTCACGGGTGCACCATATTTCACTAGGAAACAATATAACCAGCGAATTAGACCGTACGCAGTACGGGCGCTCAATTTCTTCGAGCTCGCAATGGAAAGGGCAATGAGATGTATCATGTCAACGGCAGCGCGGGGGTCGGGATATTCGCTTGTGCTTTGCTCCGGGTAGTCGTCCTTCTTCGAAGGTTCCAGGATGGGATCCCATGATTTAGACAAGGCAAGCTTCAGAGGTGTATGAGAACGAAGTATTCGAATCAATGTCATGACACTTTGAATGTCGCCGGTACTTGCGATATGAATACTACTCTCCACAAATAGAGGGCTCGTGACGTTAATTTGTCGTACCAACTTTTCAAAGTCAGAAAAAAGATGCCGGACCATCTTATTGTAATCATCCGCATTTGCGAAAAGATCAAGAAGGGGTATGCTTGAAGACTCTAGCCTAGTCAGCGTACTGCGGGTAGCTTTTGTCATTCGCTTTCCCTTCTTTGCATCAACGGCCAGTATTAAAATGCCGCTGGGCGGCATGCCGAGGTTATGGACTCCTTCCCTGAGGCTGCTCAAAAGGCTCCCCATATTGACCTCGTCCACATTATTTTGGTAGAGGGTGAGAAGACGGATTATGGGATCATCTGACGCCTTCGCAATTTTTCGCCATACTGGCCCTCCAGGAAGGCAGATGTTAAAGATTCGCAAGACCCAAAGTCGCAAGATTATCTGTTGTTGCTGTGTAAGGAAAGAGGTGCTTGGGGAAGAGGCAACTGGTATGTTGTGCCAAAGGGGTGAGGAAGCAATATCGCAGATCTTCGTATAGTGAAGTCGGCGTAAATGATCCTTCCAAGGCTCCAGTAAGTGTTGTTTCCCAGCAGAAACTAGCGATTCGGTGACTGTGATTATGCAGGATGAGGCGGCATCAGGTTTCAAGTGACTCAGAAGCGTGGTTATGTGGTCTGCATCCGATTCATGACGCAAGGATTCCGAAGATTCCAGAAGTTGTGCAACAAACAACGGAGCCCGGGAACGAATTGCGGAATCCTGGCCTTGGGTTGCGATGAGTATATCTCTGGCTAGGAGAAAAGAGTCGTGTGTGCCCATCTTCTCTAACCTTCCAAGCCATGTCTCAATTATTTTTTTGTCTAGGTCTTCATACTCGGAGATGGAGCACCATCCAATCGCATCCCACATTTTCCTATAGAAAGCAACTAGACGTCTCGCGACCCGTTGTTTCACCTTACCACTTCCGACAACTCTATCAAACAGGGCCTCTATAATTTGACAAATTTCATCTTCAGGAACTCTCCCCAGCTGCAGGGCTGTAGTAACACTGCCCAGGGGAGCGCTCCACCTGGCCAGATCTCCCTGGTGAAAGACAAAGCGGTTCACTGTACATAGATAATTTCCTGCCCCCCAAGTATTCAAATGCGGGTCGTCCAGAAACTTGACGAGCTCGTCAAATGCCCATCTATGGTTAGCCATTTGTGACAGTAAATGCTCGAATATTAATCGGCTATAAGCAGGTTGCCGCTGAAGATCGAGTTGCAATTTACGGACAACATCCTGAATAGCTATTACCGTTTGGCAGTTTTTCAGGTTCTCTTCCAAACATTGCTCGAAAGACGCCTGGCCGACTTTATCCGAAGGCACCGGCCACCCAGGCGATTTGGAAAATTCGCTCGAGTCGACGTTCTTGTTATGTAAGGGTGAAGGGAAGGCGGGAGATCTAGTTGGATAGATACTCGAGCCTATTATGTATTAGGGAGAACCAAATTAAACATTGAGATACCTTGTCTGATGAACACCTACCTTGAACCTCCTGCGGTGCATTTCGCGCTTGCCCACCAACCCATTTCATGTGTTCCCGGCCATTGCGCCCAAACAAGCAACCAATGTCATCCGGCGGCCCCGAGCCAGCTAGACTAGCCAGAACCGTGTTCTTTCGTTTCGCTAACCGTCTCCTTGCCTCTAATGGCCCTGGTACTCGGCTCTCATAGCGACGTTGACCGTTTGCGAACCGTCGGTACGTTGACGCGAGGAACTCCTCGCTTATCCACACGTGGTCAACTAAGCAATGCGATAAAGGCGGAACGGTATGCCTATATGCATGTCTGCGGAAAGACATGGGAAACAGACGACAGCAATTGAGTGGCCCGAGGCTGTCGGCACCTTTGACAAGAGAATGATTGATAGGGAAAGTTAATCATGGAGCTGTTCTCCAAGCGGATGACTAAGCTACAGCCCGCACCAACCAGAGTTGCCTGATTTACATAGGTTACCTCAGGCTGCTCCTGACTACCCTAAGTAGATATTAGACTTCTTTACTAGGTACATAAGCAGAAAGCGGGGTGAACGTTGCTTTAAAGATTTTCGGTTTTCCAGTAGAGTGCCATGTCGTATTCCAAAATTATGGTAAATATCTTATATATGGTTCTGTGACCGTTAAATAGACACATTCGTTGAGTAACCTTCGCAATTCTGAGCCAGTTACTGTTCGCTTATAGCCTCCAGTTTTGGGTGCTCTCGTAACTGTAAGGTATATTTAGAAGTCCGAAGGAAAAAAAGAAACAACAAATTAAGGGGAGAAAGAGAAGAACAAAAAAGAAGAGAGGAAGAGAGCTTTGCACGCCTTCCCATGCATAACTTTTTTTTCGCCAATGGTATCTTATGCTAATGCACGCCAATCAAGCCAACCAATCAAAGGGGAAAAAGAGATATATATGTATATGAAAAGGGAATTCAGGGACCACGATGGAATAGTCCACTACGGAGTTTGCTCTCCAGGCTTTGGTTTTCTTCCTGTCACAACATAAAAGTCCAAGTAACTGTGGACGTCACGGTTCTGGACACTTTTCCTGACATCGACAAGGAACACCTCAATTTCAGGTTTCGACCAACCTAAGGCAGTAAGAGGCTTATACGACCATCCCGATAAGGCCTCCAGCCAGTTTGTCTCGTTCCACTTGCCGATTTCCCTCAAGTGCGGATCGGTAGGCCAGGGATTGTTTGGGACTTTCTTGATGCGTTCTTGAACATCTACGAATCCCACCTCCCTCATCCAACGTGCAATTCTGTGAGCTACGCGAAATTGCCGAGGTGGATCTGAGATCTGGCCGGAGCGAACATTTAGATCACACCAATCTTGCAAAGCAAAATCGCTGAATTTATCGGGATCGTCCGGTGGCATCGTGCCATCATCGCACTTCGGTTTTGCGTCAAATTCATGGCACTCTATATAACCACCAGGTTTCAAATGTTTCAAAGATTTGCGTAGCATTTCTTTAAATGAGGGAAAGGAACCTGACATGTGTCCTGTATGAATGAAGTCAAAGTGGTTGGGGCCCCATAACCACTCATCTTCGGTGGCATCATCCACTATAAAGTGGACATTTTCAGGGACTTCGTTCGGTTGAACAGGTGAAAGATCGGTGCCTATGATCTCGGCTTCTGGGAAGATGGGCGCTGTGTAGAGCGGAAACGGTAAGGGGTTGCTCGATCACGGCATGGAGAGATGGAAGAAAAACTCACCCATCTCTATAGGCCATATTCCAGATCCGGTACCGATATCAAGGATTCGTTTGGGCTGTTCTAATGGAGAGAAGAATAGGCGACCATCATTGACCAACTTGATCATATGGTGTTGCATGTCTAGTCGGTCTAGTTCCTGCTCATCGTTTGGGTAAACATAAGCTGATGATGTTAGTCACAGTGCGCGAGGACCAGCAGTGTTCGAACAGCCAACAACATACATCCTTCATGATACTTATGATACCGTCTGCCATTCTCAATAGGATAGTCTGTTACACTTGCAGTCAATGACTGCGTGTCACTTCTCACCTGTTAGTTCAACAGCATTTTTGAAAACCCAGATTTGTTCGATTCATGGTGAATTGATTAGGCAAGGTGAGGCGAATAACAAGAACTTACTAGTCACGACTTGATTCCTGAGACATTGTTAGTCACTTGGGTCGCTGTGCAGGTAAAAAGCAAGTCGACAAAAGCTGGGTTCTATAGGGAAGGAATTGTTCGAGTAACGGCTGACTGTGAAACAAATGGACCACGATAGAACTAAGAAAAGAAAATGCTTACAGCCGGCCTCGCACCCATATTGATAGACTTTGGGCCCTGGAACTCGGAAGTTAGCCTGAGTGGGGTGGCTAATAGTGTCTGTCAAAAATCAAACACCCGGCAGGATCAGTTAACGATTTTCAGAAGGAGACAAGAGCCAAGTCGATGGCTTATTGGCGATCAATATTTACAGGAAAATAGATAAATAAATATACCCGGTGATAAGAACGATGAAGAGGAATAATTTAGTAGTATCACCAATACGAAGTACAGAACACGCATTTGAAACAATGTGTAATTCGATACCTTCTGTGCCGCGGAACTAGAAAAAGAATTATACTGAAGTAACTGGTACTCGGTAGGCTCATGCCATTCCTCCCCAGCTAGACTAGACAGGGGGGAACCGATCGTGAGGGTTAGGGAGTCCGTGGATTAGGTAGGGTAACCAGAGTTGCACCGTACGAAGTCGTACAGTAGTCGGCTGCCTGTTTCTGCTTTTTTAATTTTCTTCCTTGTACCCGGTAGCCTGGATTAAGTTTGACTTTAGCAGAACGGAGTTAATTATAACCTAAAAGGAAAGAATATGAACGATTGAAAGGTAAAAGAAAAAACAAACATTGTAATAGTAATAGTAATGGGGCTCTCGCGATATTTATGATTATAAACCAAGGACCATGACAATTAGACTCCCTTCCAGATTATCAAATTTTCAACGGAGAGAATGACAAGGGGCAGCAGAGGAGGGAAAAAAGAATAAAAAAAGGGACATACTAAGTTATTTGTTCGATGTATCCGCAATTGTAAATACAATACAGGATGTGTCAAATTATCTTAATCGAATGGTACGGCCGGCCGCGGAAGGGGGATAAAGAAAAAAGAAAGAAATCAGTCAGTGACTTAGCCCACTACGTTGGGACGCGGAAGGGTTCTCTTAGAACTAACAGAAAACACTACAGCTATTCTTCGGGAATTTTTCTTTCATGCAGTCTATGGTCGACGAGCACGGGAACTACTGTACAGAGTAGGTAGATAGTTCATTCCCTCTACTGCAGGATGTCGACAATCATCACCTGAAAGCAAAATCCTATTTGTTGGTCTGAACTAAGTACGACATAAAAATTTAGAATATCACAAGATATGCTATAAACCCCTCAGGCGGGCAATGAGCATGTGTAGTGAGAGTACATGCCCATTAGTTAGGTATACAGTGACGGTGGAACACACCCAAGTTCTGTTCACTGGTTGACTTCTTATCCAACCAGTATACCCCTGCCAGCTGGCCCCGGCTCCTACAACCTAAGGAGAAAAAGCACGGGCGTCCCAAGCTGCCGGGAAGAACAAGAACAATACGAAGAGGGCGAATCAACCATGGCTTGTAACTTTGGTACGTCAGGCAGAAACAACGTAGTAAGCAAGAGGGTCCAGAAGTCATTTCGTGCCGGCCAAGCTTGTCATTGCTACCTAATGACAAAAAGTACTGTGCTAGCAGACTCTACTGTCAGATAGTGGTAAGAGGGGACAGTACCACTAGTACCGTAAAGAGGTAAGAATGAAATGATCTTCAACAGAAGCCGGGATCCAATGACTGTTGGTGCCACACTGCTGGGAAATTCTCATCCATGGGTCGTTCCCTTTTTAGTAGACGACTGGAGTCATTGGACGACGCTATGCATGCATTTCGCATTGGTGTATCATGATGGACGCGGATGTTTTGTAGCTGTCGTCACATTTTGAATTTATAGATAATGAGAAAAAATTAAATAGGGTCCAAGTCAACCAACAAGCAATTTCCCCTCCCCAACTGCTCCTGGCCTTTGTGATTTAAGGCAGCCAGTTTTTTTTTTATTTTTTAATCTCCGTGACACAAAGATGAAGGGGAGTTACCGCTACCCAGGCTGTCGGATCCCTGACCCACTCACACCGACGGAATTACCCTCCCACTTTTGTCCCACTTGAACTCCAAGTTCCCAAGTGCTCCTCCATCGTTCCCCCTTATTATCACTATTTCAAATACTGTTTCAGTAGAGGGCATCATTGAACTTTGGTCAATTAATAAGATGTTTTAAAAAAGGTCTCATTCTTACTTGCAAAAAATTTTCGCGCCCCACGACTCCTGAATGTTGGGGCAGCATACCTGTTGAAGCATGCTATTGAAGACCTACGGACTTGACCGAATATATTTCCATGACCTCTATGAGGTAAAATGCAACGATGAATACAGAAAATAACTTCGCTATTTCTCGCAGCCTATAAGCCATACCAAGTGAGGCAACAAGCAGGGGCGGTGCATAACGGTAGGTTGTACTCAGCCAAATAGTGTCCAGAATCCAGATAGGTGGAATGCGGCCCCGCCGAGTAAACCCGTGGCATCGACTCGGGACAAAGCATGGAATTGTATCCAAGCGAAACTAATCTTGCATCTTTAGTTTAAAACCACGGAGGTACCTTTCATGGGGAATGTTGCTCCGACACATGTCGCCTAGACGGGCTCACCTACTCCTGCATCAACAATTATATTACATCTCAAAAGACGGGAGGTGCAGATAGATGGAAGTAGAGAGCAGGCGGAGAGCGAGCTTCAGCTGACTCCGACCAAAATTTTCCAAGATGATATTACAATCAATACATGTTCCTGCGGCTGACGGAGCGCTCGCTGGAGGAACGGAACCCCATTACGGTTGTGCTGAAGTTTCTGGTACCCTAAAATTTTAAGTACTCGGTAGGCCTCCACTGTTCACGAATGCGGTAGGAGGGGCGTCGGCTGTCTGTTTCCAGTGGTTCTACTCAGACAATTCTCGTCGTTAATTGGCAGGCGCTAGTTGAAGGTACGACAACTTCGAGAGGATCTATTATCCGTCTTTCGGATTAAGGCGTTTATGGATCTATTGGAGAGGTTCAGTATAAACAAAAAAATTTTTCCGGTAATAAACATTTTAGCCCAAAGAAAAGATATACGGATCCAGACTATTATATACCATACACATAATTACACTTCTACACTACAGAGTTTTTTTTGGCAGTATAGGTTTTATGCAGAGCTTACCAATTCCGATGCATTGAATGACTAAAATGCAAAAGTCCAGCCGATTACAGTAGCTGGACTCCCTATCGAATACAGTCCCATAATACCGTAACTCTATCTACACAGAGAGCACATTGTTACACTGCGTATACGCTCGTAAAATAGTTGGCGCGGCAAGTAGGATGAAGTAGTACATCGTGTCCTCCATTTTCTTCCCAATGCAATTGCGTGAGTGCGTCGGCATTTACAGACTGTCACATGTATGATGTATGGAATAAGAAGTAAATGGAGCTAATAATACACTCTTTTGCATCGAAGCTGTAAGTTCGAACGTGATAGTGGCCTCGGGAATTCCTCGGACGTTCTGATCTTAGGTAGAGCGATAGAATAGATATTTCGTTACCCACCTAAATCCTCGATGATCGCTACCTACTGTGTAATACCTCATTAGCGACGGAGAGAAGAAAGGTCGAACTCTAGACCCTCGAAGCTTCTTACTTATTGAAGGGCTGATGAAGCGTGGATCTAGCTTGCAACATCCTTGGGGCACTAGGTTTTTGAGGTGCAGAAGGCTGTCGTGGACCGACCAAAGGCCTTAGACTCTTACAGGACTAAGCAACTTACCCGGGCAATGAGGTGGAGACCAGCGTTGTCATCGGTCGATTGGGTCAAGTGTTGGTTGCCCTCGGGGGTTGAAATTTTCCAGCTCCTCGCGCCTTTTTTCCTTTCCCTTACTAGTCCATAGTGTGCTGCTACTAGTTCCTAGTAAATCATAGTGACGCTGGCTACTGTGCGGCGGGAATAGCCATCGGCTGGTGAATGAGACTAGTCATCTCAACTGCACTTCAATCGCCTTTCGTTTTATTCCACCGTGAACAGGACCATTCACGTGCATTGATGATGTTCATAAAATCGTTCCGTCGTCTGAACCCACAAGAACAGCCAACAGTCTGCTTCAATTCTAAATATTGCATTATCTGAACGTCTGACATGGTAAGAAGGGAGGTCTACAAGTTGGAAAGCTCTAGGGAGAAAACACAAAATATGAAAAATTTTCATCAATCGGACGAACAGCGCCCCCTACCTTAAAATTAGGCTGAACCGTAACAAGCCCATCTCAACCCCTCAATACTATCCCTAGGTGCGCAAGTATGCATGAGCTGAACCGAGCTATACTAGTATTTCATGCGCGTCAAGCGCCTTTGCTTGGCTTTCAGCATGCAGTCATGGCCTGCCACAAGATTAGGCACATTATCATTGTAGAAGCGATATCATGTACTATATTGTGTAGACAAGTAACACTATAACCTCCTCTGAAAGAATATCCACAAGATTCACCGTGAAGAGCACACATAGGTACATATATGCGCATGGTGTACATTATACGCACAAGAATTAGCCCTGCGGGCCAGGTTAGTATAATAATTTTATAGCAAGGCCATTCTCGGTTCATCGGTTAGCAGTAGACGCCTATTTGCGTACCACGTTTACGATGGAAGCCGTACCCTCAACGTCTACTACCATGCCTATTGAAATTGTTCCTGGCCACAAGCCAAACCAGTGATAGTTTTTTTTTATTTTGTCAGGAAGGGCTGACGAAGGAGTCGCCAAGATCTACAAGCCTGGATCTTCATGTAAATCCAAGACGCCTAGATGTCCATTGGACCGCTGTTATGGGATAGTGGAACTTTCTGGGCACTCGTGACCCAGAGTGGTCTTAGGGTTACTCATTATTACTATTGTCCGGTGGGTTACTGGAATAAGTGCCCAGCTGCCATCATTTCACAGGCCGGATAGACCGGTCCCAGACTCCATATGCAGGAATAGTACGTTGAGGACCCGCGGCTCTGTCAAAAAAAAGCAAGAAAAGTATACTAGAAGCTAGCATCGTTTTCTTTGGGTGCACTTTTTGACAGATCGTCTTTCACCCGACAGTATGTCGTACGACTTAATTTTTTCTCTAACCAAAACCCCGGGTCTGGAGGATTCCAAGTTACCAGGAAGTGGCCTCGCCCAAGCGAAGCTAAAGAAGCCGCCGCAGGGATTGTTAGTGGTTCCCAAAGCTGAGAGGATTCACGCTCGCAAACCCCCAATGAGCATAGTTCGTATGCATGTCCAACAGTTTCAGTGGGAGGGGAAGCCTATCCACCAGACGTTTTTCGTGGACTCTCTTACTGACGCCGTACATGGGAGATGCATAAGTACAATGGATCCGAGAATTTTCTCAAATTTGTCCTTACGGAGACACATGCAATTGTTGATAGGGCGTGGCTGCATGGGTTTCTACCTAAAATTCTGTCAAAAAGCAAAAATAAAAGGTTACATTGCATATCTGCCCCCCCTTTCAGTTCACCCCAGAAATAACAAATTTCGGGATTTGAAGCCACTTGGACGTATCTTTCTCTGCTGTAGCACAACCTGACATGTCGTGGTAATACCATTGCTCGTCTAATTCTAGGATTACTCCGAGTCTCCGACACGCCGATCATACACCTATTTTGTCCCTTGACAGTTGGTAATATTAGTGGGAGGAAGCCAAACTTGCGCCAGAGAGGAGTTGCTCATCGTTTATGCTACTCCAGACGGGGTATGGATGATGACAGCACATGATCTTGCTCGTACGGAGTACTCCGTACTTAATTACACGTAATAGTTAAGAAACAGCAATTTGTCATGAAAAATTCAGATAAGATTATAGCGCATAAATACTATGTAATATCAGAACATCTAGAACGTAACACGACAAGGGTGGAAGCAAGGACTGGCCCATGAACAGTTCCTATTTCCGTTAATTTCCCCTCCCATACCAAGGATTCTGAGCCGTAGGTTGGGACTTCATTGGGGAACACTATGCAATGGCCTGCATCCGTCACTCAATGCTGATCTAGTACCGTAACTTCATTGCGATCAGCTACTAGTGAAAAATCAGTTTACCTAAAAGTACGTTTCTGTCTCATATTATTATCCAAATTCTCTCATACGTACTGCTGAGACAGTAATGGTCTCCGGCTATGCTATACCTGCGGTTGGTATTGGCATTTCTGTACTCCGTCCTCCGTACTGTACACCACTACCCTCAACTCACAAGTTACTGGCTTCTACCCCTCAAATCAATCTCTCCGTTGACAAACCGTGACGGCCAAAATGTATAAGCTGATCCTAGGTTACAATAACTTGGATGTTTTGTGTGTCAGGCAACGCGACAATATAAAGTTAAAAACGATCGCTTGCGGACCATCCGGTCGGGTCGTGAGTGTATCTGGGCATATAACATAAAGGTACCGAGTACCTGGTATAGACGTGGCGTTATGGGTAAGGTTCTTTTGATGCGGCTGAAAATTCTTCGAATATTGTCCTGAACACTGACGACTGTCCTTAAAAAATAGTACTTGCCTTAAAGACCGGAGACTTGACATTTCCAAAGCAGAACGGAGGCCATGATCAGAGAGCGAACGTACATGAACCAGAGAATGACGAACGTATCAAGAGTATCATATCACATTCCATCGAACTTCATACCCTTTGTTATACATTTCTTTTCCCCTATAGCTTTTCGTTTCATGGCCTATTATTAACACCCAAGAGAGCACATATGATAATTCAACCTTTGACACTGGACAAGCACGGCTACCATTTCCTGTCCTTCAGGTCGCTAACATTCTCTCCACGGACAGCATGCTGCCCTCCATCGGTTGTTCCTTATCTGTCCTATAATCGTGCACAAGATCAGAACTTCGACCACCCAGGATTCGCATCATTGCACCTGCTCACCTGGTTGTCATGCGGATATCTGTCTGAATTCTTGGTATGCCCTCCTGGTGGATCAAAGTGTGGGCATATCCAATGACCCGGGAGACTTGATCCCATGGCCCTTCTAAGTCCCTCAATCAGTGACTCGAACTCATCAATCCCTACCTGCAAGACAAGATCTTCCAGGTCCAACTTGAGTGAACAACCCTGCAAGAGAACATGCGGGCTCCAGTCAAAAGATAATTTAACGAGGCCAACTTACCAACAGCCGTTCCAGTAGCAGTCATCTGGTATTTCAGGCCAGATTTCTGCAGCAGATCTTGGATTTCCGCGATCTGTTTGGAAAATGACGCGTTCTGAGAGCCGATCTAACATACAGGTATTAGGTGGGATTACCAAATAGGAAAACATAATTCCCAATTTCATGGTCCTTGACAACGATCGCAGAAGAGGGGCATTAGATACATACCGGGACCAAGGAGAAGTCAGCGATACAGGTTGGAGGGGTAGTCAAATTTGAAATATTAACTGTCTCCATATCTGCTATTGTTCCTGTTTTTCTGGATCAAGAGTGGTGTGCGGTTGACCTTGCTGATCTTTGAGAACTTTGAAAATCTACCTCTCTGTGGGTATCGTACGGCTTATTATAGCTTCCAAACTGCCATATTATCAGTATGACGTCCATGTTGATCATCGGTGTTCCTCACCATCAACAAATAGGATTGCTAGTTGTGATCTTGTGTAAGTTATGCCAACCAGTGTCTACGATTCGGTTTAACGCAAGACTGGTGGCGCCCAAAAGTGTATCGATGCAGAACTGTATGTTCTGGCCTCACTTGTTCCTCGGTTCATCCCTGTGGCTTATAGCTAGCTTTTGCTATTTTAGATATCAGTCGTGTGACTGACAATTTGTTCTCTTGATGTTGCCTATACGCATATGGTTCAAGTAGCATTGAGGTCGAAGGGTTATCGTTTCTGACTGAACATCTATAATTGATTCATTATGTCAAACGCTAATTTCTCGGCCTAACCTAGATAAAAGGTTTCATCAATGGTCCTTCCTCGCCGTTGCCGTGGTTCGCTACCACGAACATATATATCCTCAAACAAGATATCGGGTTTGGTATCTGGCTCCGGCATCTTTTCGGCCTCAGCTACTTCATCATTGACCTTGCTTCGCACTTCCTTATCAATCGATTTCGCATCCTCTTCCGAGAATACGCCCCACTCAATCAACCTCTGTTTCAGGCTAGAGATCGGATCATTCGCACGCTGCTCCTTCAGCTCCTCTCGGCTTCGATATGCAATCCCTGGGTCTGACATTGAGTGGCCCGCATAGCGGTATGTGAGGTATTCGTAGACCAAGGGTCCATTTCCTGCTTGGGCGAACTTCTTTCCATATCTGACTGCGGAAAGAACAGCAAGGACATCCATCCCATTAATTCGCAAACCTGGTATAAATTGGCCACGCTTGTAGTATTCGGTCATTGCAGATGCTCTTTCGACAGATGTTCCCATACCGTATTTATTGTCTAGAAAGAACGTTAGCGCACTGGATGAGCGCATCAGATGGAAGGGAACTCACTCTCGCAACCAAATATCACAGGTAGATTCCACAGCTTTGCCATATTGAAAGATTCAAAAACTTGGCCCTGATTAGCTGCCCCATCACCATAGAGGTTGATTGTGACGTTATTCGCATCATTATATTGTTGAGCGAAGGCAATTCCAGTACCTAGTGGTACACTGGCTCCAACAATCCCATTTCCTCCAAAGAAGCTCTCGCAAAACATGTGCATCGAACCACCCTTGCCATAGGAGATACCGTCTCTTCGCCCAAGCAGCTCGCCAATGATAGACTTGACGGTTCCTCCGCGCATTAAGGTAAACCCATGGGAGCGGTAGGCGGTTATGAGCTTGTCGTGTTTAGTAAGCGCATGCTCGATACCGACAGCCACTGCTTCTTGTCCAGTCGATAGATGGCAGAAACCGCGGATTTTCCTGTCTTTATATAGACCGTCTGCAGCTAACTCCATACGTCTGAAAAGTGTTAGCTGCATACTTTAGTGCCGGGAATCGCGAAGGAAAGCCGACCTTATCAATGACATGTCACGGTATAACTGTTTAAGTTCCCTCTTGGTGGTTTCCACTAAGTACGGAGGCGGGTCTAAGTGATATGTATCGAAGCTATCTTCTGCAATCGGAACGCTGAATGGTTTGTCGTCTTCCTTGAAAACTTTGAGTGTCAGCATTGGTCTTCTAGCAATAGGTTTCTGGATATCTCTTGCCGTAGGTATGTCTTCCAAATTCGCGACGTGCGCTAGAGAGCGCCGACAGATACAGGGAAGCATCGTGCCCGCCAAAGGGACTGCCGCTGTTAATTTCAATGATCTTGAAAGCATACTAGCTGTAGGTAATAGTAATAATGCACTTGCTGGTTGTGCGTATCACTCTATGCGACCGTGAAAGCCGAAGGAATTGCAAGATAGCAGCCTTTGCTGTGTAACAATTTTCAATCAATTTCTATTTTGGAGAGTTCTCAGGAATTATTTTCCAGGAGTTGATTGAAGAATGAATGGATCGGGGGTATATGACGCAATGGTTAACTCATCCGGTAACATCGTCAACTGCAGTTCTTTGGCCTCAGGCTACTAGCGTTAAGATTGGATTTCTGGGGAATATTGTACAGTCCATCAGACGGCAGAAAATATTTCCAGACTGCAGATCCCTTAGTAAAGAGGATCTATAGCCAAATAGTATGTTACATCTTCTGGTGCTAGTCCCATCATACTACCATGTATAAGTATACTGGATATAGAGCTTTCCATCGCCCCTCTCATTAATGTAATGAAACAAATAGAGTATATGCACAGGTTATCTCTACTTTACTGCTATGTACTAGCGTTCAAATGTTAATGAGTAGGTGCAAACATAGAACATTCAATGAGTCCCGTCAAAGACCAATATTACTCAATCCAGAAGTGACGCCAAACCCGGAACGGATTAATGCCACTCCCGCGATGACGCATTGTTGCCCTGAGCAAATTGGCAATTCTGGAACTGGTTTTAATGTTCCATGAGATATCAAATCTTATGCCTGTATATAATTAGACATTATCTGATCCTGATTTTCGTGCCTATTTGATTACTGAGCGGAAGATCTCTCGTTGTTTGGGCTTTACCCTGTGATGAAGTTGCCATCGCGGCTACCAATTTGCCACATCCGCGCGTTGAAACGCGTACAGCACTCTGTCTAATCAACCAAAACTTCAACTCCATGCTTCCCAACAGGTTTTCCTGGAACTATGCCCCGTATAACTCGTGCACGTTCCAAGAAGACTGGTCGCCAGCCAAGAGAGCGCGAAGGACAAGATAATGAAATACCAGAAGTGTACCGTGAGATGCTGGCTGAGGCCGAAGCTCGAGCTCCTCATGATCTAGAAAATGATCGACCAATCAAAAAGCGAAAAGTACAAGGGGAATCACAAGTACCTTACACTCCTTCGCAGATCGCAAAAACAGAAGTTCAATCTCCATCAATGAAAGAAGAGAATGTCCACTCGCATGTACAAACTGTGTATGACTCTCCTAGCTCCGATGAATCGGAAATGGAGTGGGAAGAAGTTGATATTCAGCAAACACCTGCTGCTCTCACCCCGCAAGTGCCTTTTTCCGAAGGGGAGAATGAGATCATACAGCTTACCCTTGACCAGCATCAGGACCAGAAGCGGAAGGTAATTAGGAGGCGTAAACCAGTTACGGCAGCTGAGAAAGCGCTGAGGCTGCAAGCACATAAAGTTCATTTACTCTGTCTTTTGTCTCATGTCCAGTTACGGAATCTGTGGTGCAACGATGAAGAGATTCAGGTGCGCCCTGGCTTCTGCAGGAAACAACCCCTCACCCTAAACTAATGTGAGCTTAGGGGTTTCTCAAGAAAATGTTATCAAGGCGTGTGATCTCGCTCCTGAATCCATCACCGGACCAGCCGCAGTATACAAGGTCGACAACGTTCATTGACGGACTCAATCAGGCCAGTGATGCTTTTTTAAAGAGGTTTAGAGTTGTTAAGCCAGGTTTGAAACGACCTCATTGGGCAGAAGATCCTACTTCGTTGAAACAAAGAGTGGTATTGTAGTCAGTCTCTGTTGTAATGGGTGTCCCACTTCTAATTTATCACCAGGATGATATTATGTCAGATGCAGAGGTCTTCTTATCAAAGGAAGACTTTCGAAAACAAGCTAAGACAATGCAAGGTTCTCGCGATTTTGGTGCCCAGCTGTTCTGTGCCTTACTGCGTTCCGCAGCTGTGGAAGCGAGGCTTGTCTGTTCATTGCAACCACTGCCGTTTTCTGGGACAACCAAACAAATGGCACCTATTAAGCCGGAACGGCAAATCATCGTTATCTCGTCGGATGATCATTATACATCTACAGACGATTTGGCTAAATCAGGGGCATCCCCAACACCCCCGAGGACGAGAAGACTTGGTCGGCCGCAATTCAAACCATCAAAACCCCCGAAGAGCTTCACTGCTAGTAAGTACTGCCTTGAAGAAAGTACCCGGCTTCCTGAATTAACATCTGAAGGTACACGCCCTAGTACCCGAGAATCATCTTACCCTGTATTCTGGGTCGAGGCCTTCAACGAGGCGGTGCAGAAGTGGATTCCAGTTGACCCGTTGGTGACAAAGTCTCTTGCAAAGTCGTTCAAATTTGAGCCGCCATCAAGTGACCCGTATAATAGTATGAGTTACGTTATTGCGTTTGAGGATGACGCCTCGGCACGAGATGTCACTCGCCGGTACTCAAAGGCATTCAATGCCAAAACACGCAAACTACGCGTAGAGTCTACTAAGAATGGTGAGGGATGGTGGGCGAGGGTAATGCAATTCTACGAAAAGCCCGTCCTAGAGGACCGTGACGAAGTGGAAATTAGCGAGCTTACAGCCAAGATTGCTGCTGAGCCTATGCCCCGGAATATGCAGGACTTTAAGGACCATCCTATCTACGCGCTTGAGCGACACCTTCGCCGCCATGAAATCATCTTGCCAAAACGTGTAGTTGGTCATGTTAGCGTTGGAAGATCAGGGTCAAAAAAAGAAATTTTGGAACCTGTCTATCGCCGCTCTGATGTTCACGCTTTACGAAGTGCGAATAAGTGGTTTCGGTTGGGCCGTGATATAAAGTTCGGTGAGCAGCCGTTGAAGCGTATTCCATCCTATAAACATAGAGCCGTGAATATTGAGGAGGATGGGGACACTGAACAGCACGCGGAAACTGCGCTATACGCTTATTTTCAAACAGCCCTCTATAAGCCGCCACCCGTTGTTCAAGGGAGAGTTCCAAAAAATGAATTCAAAAACCTAGATATCTACGTGCCGAGCATGGTTCCGGCTGGAGGAGTCCATATCAAGCACCCTGATGCTAGCCGCGCCGCTAAACTTCTAGGTATTGACTATGCGGATGCCGTAACGGGCTTTGATTTCAAAGGACGTCATGGAACAGCCGTACTTCAAGGGGTTGTCATTGCTAATGAATACAGTGAGGCATTAAATGAGGTTTTGGACTGTCTGGAGGACCAAAATCTACAGGCTGAGCTAGAGCAGAAATCGGCCGAAGCACTTCGGCTCTGGAAGCACTTTTTGCTTAGACTGCGCATCGCAGAAAGAGTCAAAAGCTACGCGGTTGAAGGAGATGATGCCGATGATGAAGAAAGCGCTGCGCCAAGTGACAATGACTTTGGTGACGCAGAAGAGACTGGCGGTGGGTTTATCCCTGAATCAAATCAGGGAGCTGTTACTTCACAGACAGAGGTGGATCGTGAGGAGCTCTCAGCGCAAAAGGTCGCCCAAGAATGCCTCTTTGAACGTCACACTGCGACCGTCACTAAGGACTATGATACTCTTGGTGGAGGTTTTATCCCTGATGAGGGCGAAACTCATCTAAAGACCACAAAAACTCCGATTTACGGAGCGGTAGATGCTCCCCGATACACAGATAGAGAAGAGCAGTCTCTCTATTCACTTATTGTCGTCTCTGATGATGCGAATACTGCGAATATCACGGCTCCCTACAAAGGTGGCATAATATCCCACAAAGCCTCATCCCCCGACCCAATAGTTAAGGAACGCTCCCAGGATGAAGACCGAGGAGTTCCCGGAGGTGGTTCATCAAACCCGCCTCTCTTAGTGGAGTCGTCAGCTGCTGCAGACACGCCTCCTGCTAGTGTTGAGGTCATTTCTCGACCTACTTCACCAATGCAGTCACGTATTGTATCTCCTTTATCTTCGGATAAAGGGTCAAGAAGTAATGATGAAGGATCCTTGCTATCGCATGACCCAGAAGATGAAGATGCAATTCCCGAGTGGCTTATGTCTGATTAACGATTTTGAGTTTCTAGCGATGTATACGGATTATCCTTAGGGCGCACTATTCTTAGGCAACCCCAAGTATTAGTAGTAGTACAATATGCCTAGTACATTGTTAACAATAATGTAAATGCCTAGGGTTAAAGCGAGCATTTTATTGCCTTAGAGTTTAGGCCATCAATCCTCCCATCCTAGTTTAATCGGGTTGCGCACAGACCACCCCATAGGGACGCGTTTATCGCGTTTTAGGCAGTCAATATAATCTACTAGGGTACCTAGTATGGATAACCAACGCCACCAGAAGTCCTAGACCTTCAACCACGTTTATAATACATCCTATGGCTCTCTATAATTTTCTACATAATCCCCACAATTTGACTTGCGATGAGACCAGGTGATAAGAGTCTACCAAACGCCAAAACCAGCGACGACCAGTTTCGAACACCCAATAAACCAGCAGGCCCTACCACGACATCTGATAGCCTGAGGGGAACATCGGCGGCAGAGAAGAGGATAGAGACGCCTGCATCTTCGGATTCTACATTTAGGTCATGGAAGAGGACGTCCTTTGCCAGTGCACGGGATCAACCGACTCTCACGCAGATCGACTTCGTGACACTGTCGCAGCCTCAATCAGATGACGATGACGATCTCGATTATATCGGTGATGCACCGAAAAAGGGCACCAGGAAGTCCCGTGAGGTTATCGAAATAGCTGATGACTCGGGGAATGATGCTGATTATCGACCGTCCGAACGTGAGCAGGCTCCGCGAACCCGCGGTGTCAAATTCGACCATGACACAAGTAATCCTGCGTCTAAGAATAAGATGACTAGGCAAAATGATGGTCCGTCGAAACGGGGTCGGAAGAAAAGTGGCGATGGTGCCAAAGGTGTCAAGAAGGGCAAGGAAAAGCAACAGAAAGATAAGACGCTGACGCAGATGGATTATGTACGACGGTATCTGAAGATCGAGCCTTATGAGGATGTGAAATTGGAGTATACGTATACTACTCCACAGAAGCATGAGCGAAAATCTCATTCTGTGCAACCTCCGAACACTGGAGACGCGCCGCGCACTGCCTATGATACACATGCCAGTTCTAGCGAGTCAAAAAGACGGAAACTGAACGAGTCGCGATCAAACGAAAAGCCGGAAGTAACGGAAGACCACAAGGAGCATCAATCAATTGGAGGTCCAGTTACGCCGCGAAAGTTTAGAAAATCTGAAATACCATCCTCCCAGTCACCGGAGAGTCCGGGACTTGCAATTATCTCGTCGTCGCAGTTCCGTGGTGCGACTCGTTCTCCCTTGAAACGGGCTTCCCTGACCCCAATTTTTAAACGCACCAAGGAAGAATCGCCTAGCTGCGATATAATAAAGAGACCCCCGCAAAGTCCGGTGCGGACATTAATTCCCCACGATACTCCACCACCTATGATGCCCCATTCTCCGCTATCAAGCAAGCATATCTCTAAGGAAATTTTAGAGATCAATGCATATTCTACACAATCCCCATCTACGAAAGGGTCAATAACTCCCAAAGACACGGATAAGGCAGGAGGTGAGGAGTTGCATGAACGCCCCACGACTACACAGAGGACCGTTATTTATGAAACAGATGCCGACACGGACAGTGGAGACTTACAGGACGATGAATTCAATATACCCGGTTCACCTTCCGAGAAGGTGCCTGCGGATCAGTACCATACTCATGAGGAGAAAGATGATGATGACGACGATGTGCTGCTAAATGAAGATTCTCAAGACCTTCCTCCAATCCCTCAGTCCGGACTAGATATTGAATCCGGTCCACTACAATCAGAAACCAATCTGCCATCCGATGCATCAATTTATTACCGAAGACCACAGCAGGCTACGCAGTTCCCACTGGAACCAGTACCTACAATCAATACCCAAAAATGGGCGGAGCTATTTCCGGACGATCAGCTGGAGTCAACAGCTGTCTCACGATTACAATCATCCGCAGCAGGCCGCATACCACACCGTCCTTCCCTACATACCCAAACGCAGACTCAGACTCAAACCCAAAGCCAAGAACCGGATAAAGCTTCGACAGAAATCGTCCCTGAATCTTCACCTATTGTATGTTGTGAAAGTGGCGATCTTCCCCGGGCTCCTGCTACTCGAGAATCTGTGGTACAAGTTGAGTCGTCGCAGCCCGCAGACAGATTCCACAGGAAGGCCGACACAGATAGAAACCCTCAGCCACGAGGCATCCTATCAACTAGCCAGCTTCTGACGTCGAGTGTCATGGAGAGTATAACATTACCCATGTTTTTGTTGGGCAGTCAAGACAGTATTGGAGAGCCTTACTCCGATACCTAACAATTACCTAATAGGGAGAACCCGGTCGACGATAGTTATAGTAACGCACATATACGACAAGAAACAAATAACAACCAATTAATGAAAGAATAAAGTCCTTATTCTGCACGTACACAGGTCCACATGCATCAACACGTAATAAGACCGTAGATCAATCAAGCGGACAGCGGGGCGTCAGTCGGCCCGTCTCTCACCCCGGGAACGGAAGCGGCTGCGGGCCACCCAAAAGTTGGCGCTCCCCTCCGCAGCTCCGTGATCAAGCAATGCAACTCAGCCGGACTCGAGCTTCGCGCATTACCGCTTATTAGAGAGCCATGGATATAGCATACGACCACATCCAAGAGGAGATCTTCTCCCCCCACGACACCTCCAAAAAGGAGGGATCCGCGCAAGACGAGACAAAACCACAGCAGTCGAACGTCGATCTCAATGCCGAGCTACAGGAAACCTTCCGCGCCTTTTCGGCGAGCCCGTGGGGCGTCCGCATTGGTGGAATATGGGACAATGTTCGCAGGCAAGGAGAGACCTACTACGAGGGCGCGAAACAGGAGTATGCCGCGGCCAGCGAGGAAGCCGTCAAGGGCTTCTCGGATCTGAGACAGAGTATCGTCGGGCGCACGCGGGGTCTATCTCTGAGCACGCCGTTTAATGCTGGGTCCGCGGATAAGGAGGGCGGGGAGACGCCGGCTACGACTGAGGCGTCGCGGTCGGTGGACGCTCAGGGGGAGTCAAGTGCGGGGGAGGGCTTCCTGTCTCGGTTCAGGGCGGAAGCGGCTAGACGACTTAGGGAGATTGAGAAGGCAGAGGAAGCTGCCGATGAGGCTATCTTGCGGTTTGGGAAGAATATTGGCCAGAAGTTGCGCGATGCTGTTAGCATTGTTCCTCCGGGTTCGGACTCGTCTAGCAAGCTCCTCTTTGAGAGTAAGGATGCAGAGGGCAAGAGAGTCATTCATGCTACTCGGTTCGAGGCTCAGTTACATGTTATTCACTCCAATATGGAGAGTTTCACCAAGGATCCCGTTAGCGATGAGTGGCCTTTGTTCAAGGAGAAGTTCAATGTGGACAATAAGACCGCTGAGATCGCCGCCGATCTTGAGAAGTACCCTGAGTTGCGGTCTGCTATGGAGAAGGTCGTACCTGAGCAGGTTGACTATGCTAGCTTCTGGTGCCGGTATTATTTCCTACGTCTGGTTATCGAGACTGAAGAGCAGAAGCGCAAGCAGCTTCTTAAGGGTGAGTCTTAAGTTCCACCGCTGTTCTCGTTATATCGAACATAACTGACTGTAGCTCACAGGCGCCAATGTGAATGATGAGGAAGAAGTTGGCTGGGATGATGATTCTGATGATGATACCGATTCTCCCTCTACCCCTCAAGCCAAAGTTGACCCGAAGGCCAATGTTGCCCAGAGCTCTGCCCCTGCTGCCCCCGACAACAAATTGCTGAAGCCTAGCGAGCCCCGCAAGTCCAATGACCAGCAGTCCCAACCTGACAGTGAATCCAGCTATGATCTGGTCAGCGGCGCTACCAGTCGGACTCCTGCTAGCCCCAAGGAGAAGGCAAAGGATGACGACAGTGATGATGACTGGGAGTAAGAAGCGAAATCAGTTGGACAATAGAACACGGTACTATTAATAGTTGTAACTTGGCCAATCACTTGACCACTGGCTGGTCTGAATATCTTCTGATAACGGAGGTGCAAGGAGTTAGGATCGTGGTTTCTTTCTATCTACTCTAATTGGCGTTGTGGGATTGTTTCCGAGGTCCTGCGTTCTTCAGCGATTTATCTGATATCAATATATAGTGTACTGTAACGTATACGTTGAATATTTCTGAATACATACGCTATACAGGTTGCTCTAAGGCTTTACAAATAATGAAGCTAATGCTGCGGCCCATTCGAAGTTTTAATTTTTATTGCTACTCTATCGCTAAGTCGTGATTAATATATGTACATTAATTTTTAACTAGTAGCGTGTTCCACGCCGTAATATTCACAGTTCCTTTACATATAAATTAGTTCAAGCATCAGGATCAGAACGTTCCGAATCATCGCCGGATGCAGATGTATTAGGAAGCTGAGAGCCTTTTCTCGAGCCTTTATCCGTATATGCTGACGTGCTGCGTAGGGCACTATGCTGTCCCATGCCTGATTGTCTAGGAGTATTACGAGACCGTGGAGAAGTTTCCGGTGTATTTTCCCGAGAGCGAAGCTGAAAGCCGCGGAACCTATCGCTAGGCGAATATGGATAGTGCTCGCTGCCTTCGCGCGGATATGCTGAAGGGGTGCCTTCAGGAGCCCAGCCATACTGGTAGTCCTCGCCTCGACGCTTCATAGGACTTTCGTCGTAGGGATCCCATCCGACCCTACGGCGGGCATCAGCGCGAAGACGCTGGCGATGTTGTTCATCCCCACCCGCGCCAGTGGCTGAAGACTCTTCCAAGAAGAAATTCAGCAGCTCGTCACTAATAGATAGATGAGATTGCTGTTGGAATTGTTGTAATGACATCAGACGGAGAAGAGTTTCCAGGAGAGAGAGAGAGGTACGAATGTTATTGAAATGGGGGTTTGAGACTGTGGTTGTGGCTACATGTTGGGCTGAAGCTGAGGGCTGCGGGACTCCTTGCCCAGATGGCGTTGGATTTGTCGATTCACGATCTGGATTGAGCGAAAGTTTCGCCATCAGCTCTGGATCGATGGACTCCCCCGTAGCTGGGGATCGGATGTTGTCGTCATCTGATTCTGAGTCTGATTCGTCGTCTTCATTGTAAACCTCAAATGCGATCCATTCAGGGTCCAGGTCTTTAGGTAGGCGCCATTCCTCGGGTATTGAGCTTTCATGGAAGTTGGGATAAGTGGATGGAACGCTCGCCCCATTTAATTGGGCATCCAGCTGTGCCTGAACTTCATCAACTTCCTCAGCATCTTGATCGGTGTCCTCATCCGCATAGTTGAATGTTTCCTCCTTTTCAATCATACGCCGTGGAGGTATGGCGTTGACATCTCGCTTCAGAAGTAAAACCGGATTGTTAACCTCACCATCAGTGCTGATATTCAAAATTTTGCCGGTGTCGGCATAGAAGATCTTGGAAATTTGATGTATTGGTAGTATCTCGCGTATGCCAGCAGAACTGACACCTTCGAAGCTCTGAGGTTGAGCTTCACCTTCGTCAAATGTGTGGACCCTGCCATCATCTAGGTCCTCTGTAATAAGGAGCTGATAAGCGTATTCGCCTACTCTTGCTTCGGTGGCGATTTGCGTGCGCGGTAGCTGAGTTTCCAGATTAACCGCTAGGTCCATGGGCACCCGTCGAAGTTTCAAACGCGCTTTATGCATGACCTCCTTCCAAGTCGCTTCACGGATACCTTCTTCATCGAGGGGGCGGAGGTGACTTGCGAAAAGCATGTACATGGATAATGTAAAAGTAGGACCTATTTGGACTGCTTGTGACGGAAACATTGAGTACTGTGTGTCTCCAGCAGTGAGAAATGTGCTAGCCTGGAGTAATCGGGATGGTGATATCGTCGCCGGAAGATTGGTTGATAACTTGGCGCCGGAGGTAGTAATGGCAAGGTTCATAAGCGGCACCGCATCTTCAATCCGCACCAGAAGCCTCCTGACGTCGTTTATGATAGACTTGATCACTGCATCATTCTGAGAACAACTCCTCGATGATTGGCCACCTTTTCGAATTATTTCTTCGGATGCAGCAGCATTCGCTAATCGCTGACCCAGAGCTTGAATATCCCACCGGAGCGATTTTGTGAGAGAAACTGCGGACTCGAGAGACGTGTTGCCTCGTGCAGCACTAGACAACGTCAGAATTTATTCTGTGATGGCACATAATTCCATGGTACTTACATCAGCTCGATCATATCAATAGCGGGTGAGATGACCTGTCCTTCACATTAGCACAGTCGCTACTATGGGCAGCGGCTATACACCTTTGGTGATTCTAACCTGGATCTTGCTTTCCAACCGATGTTGTAGTGTAAGCAGCTCCTCGCGTTCTTCGGCATTTTCAACATTCTATCAGCGTAATATCAGTTAGTTTGATGATCCCGGTGCCTGGTTAGCGACTCCCTAATATAGTCACCTACTTTAAGCAGCCGTGACGACTGGCGAATAGCGTATTTGGCCGTAATAGCGATTCCAGAGCTAAAGGACACACTCGTTAATCTATGTGGCAAGCAAAGTCGTCTCAAGGCGATCCACTTTACCGAATGGCATAGTTCATAGCCTGATGGGTGAGCTACCAATGATCCATCAGTTTCGGGCATCGCACACCAAATCAGGTATCTAAACTAATAAGAGCATACCCTAGTCAGGAACACGTCCATTTTGTACCCACACGGATATATGAAAGCGTAGCTCAAATATATAATTCCCTTTATGTCTTAACGAGCTTGTTGCGCAGCCCAATCTCCGATTGGTTCCAAATATCAAAATGTTGACATTGTATGCGACGGACCGTCGAGGGGTTTGCGGTGCTTATCGATAACAAAGAGCCACCGACTGTGGCTGACAGTCTCGTACTGGCGTAGGAATTGCAACTGCACACCCCTAAATCTTCACCATTGACGGTACTTAACAAATAGATAATGGCCAAGGGATTCAAGATCAAAAGAGTAGTAATAGTACTAGCTATATTGTCCATGCGCCGTCGCCCAACTATGTACGCCCACCAAATCAAACAGTGCAAAGTTTCCTGATTTGGCGAAGGCGGGGGAAGCCCGTGCTGAGTCAGCGGCTGCAAAATCGACGCTTTCCAAAGGCCCCTCATTGTCTCCTTCTCTTCGCTCGCCAACTTTTAGCTCCATCTCTCTCCAGACCACCCCTGTTCTCTTCTATAGAGACGTGTCTTGGTTGTTCGCCTTGTCTCTCGTTTCACAATTTCAATCATGGCCGATCACACTCCGGAGTCTTGGGAGGATGAACTCTCCCGGCAAGCTGAGGGCGTCAACCTGAACGCACAGTCTCGGCCACAGGCTCAAGCTCCTTCGTTCCGTCCTGGAATTGCCTCTTTCCAGCCTGGAGCCGCTTCTTTCGTACCTGGCCAGTCTTTCCAAGGGTATGGTGGTGGATTCCCTCAATACGGCCAATATGGTCAGCAGGGTTATGGCGGATACCAATATGGCCAGCAACAGCCCTACGGTCAGTATGGAGCGTATGCTCAGCAGCCTGGTGGCTACAATCAAGGATACAATCAGCAATACGGCGGCGGTTATCAACCGCAACAACAGCAGCAATTTGCTCAGCAAACATCCCAGGCCGCACAGCAACCCCAGGCTGCTGAAACCCAGCCTGCCCAATCGGCGCCCAAACCTGCCGCCGCCGCTCCCAAGGCTAAAGTTTTGTCTATCGGTGGCGCTAGCGACTCTCCTGCCGCTCCCAAGACCAAAGTCCTTTCGATCGGTACCCCATCTCCTACTCCTTCATCGAAGATGTCTTCCGGAACTGCCACCCCTGGAGACTCCAAGGGACCCGATGCTGCTCAGGCTGCCGCCAAGGTGACTGCTTCTAAGGCCATTGAAAAGACGGAGAAGAAGGCAGAGCAGAAAGCAGCTGCCAGCGGCAAGACATCCCCTGCTCCTGCCTCGGGTCGCTCCAGTCCCGGAAGAGCAAGCCCTTCCCGAGGTGAGGCTGCTAAGGCTGCCCGTGCCGCAGATGCCGTTGCTAAGGAGCAACAAGCCGACGTTGACGAAGCTACATTGAAGGAAATATACGGTGAGAAGAAAGAGCATGTAAACATTGTTTTCATCGGACACGTCGATGCTGGAAAGTCTACACTGGGTGGATCCATCCTGTACGTCACTGGTATGGTGGACGAGCGAACTTTGGATAAGTATAAGAGGGATGCTAAGGAAGCTGGCCGTGAGACCTGGTATCTTTCTTGGGCCTTGGATCTGACAAACGAAGAGCGTTCGAAGGGAAAGACAGTCGAGGTTGGCCGTGCTCACTTCAAGCTTACAGTGCCCACGCCTGAGGGACCTGTCGAGAGAAACTTCTCCATTCTGGATGCCCCTGGTCACAAGCAATATGTTCATCACATGATTGGCGGCGCTTCGCAAGCTGATGTTGGTGTTTTGGTGATCTCCGCACGAAAGGGTGAATACGAAACCGGATTCGAAAAGGGCGGTCAGACTCGTGAACACGCATTGTTGGCTAGGAATACTGGTGTCCAGAAGCTGGTTGTTGCTGTCAACAAGATGGACGACCCCACTGTGGAGTGGAGTCACGCTCGTTTCAAGGAGTGCACTGTCAAGGTTTCCAAGTTCCTGGAGGCCCTCGGTTATAAGAAGACTGATCTTCTTTTCATGCCTATCTCCGCTCAGAGGACTTTGGGCATCAAGGACCGTGTTCCTAAGGACCTTGCACCTTGGTACGATGGCCCCTCTCTTTTGGAATACCTGACCGACATGAAGTTGCCTGAGCGCAAGATCAATGCGCCATTCATGATGCCAATTACTGCGAAGTATCGTGATATGGGTACCATGGTAGAAGGTCGCGTTGAGTCTGGTGTGATCAAGAAGAACGCCAATTGCATCGTTATGCCCAATCGCAGCAAGGTTGAAATCACGGCACTCTACGGAGAGACTGAGGACGAGATTGCGACAGCCACCTGTGGTGACCAAGTCCGCATGCGTCTCCGTGGTGTGGAAGAAGAAGATCTTCTTCCTGGATTCGTGCTTTGCTCTCCGAAGCGTTTGGTGAACTGTGTATCCAGCTTCGAAGCTAAGATTAGAATTCTCGATCTGAAGAGCATTCTTTCCGCCGGTTACAACTGTGTCATGCATGTGCACTCGGCTGTTGAAGAGGTTACCTTTTCAGCCCTGTTGCATAAGTGCGAGCCTGGTACAGGACGTAAAAGCAAGCGCCCACCTGCCTTCGCCAGCAAGGGTCAGACGATCATTGCTCGTCTCGAAGTTACTAGCACTGCTGGTGCCGTCTGTGTCGAGCGTTTCGAGGACTACAACCAAATGGGACGGTTCACTCTACGTGATCAGGTAAGTCGCTTTGTTACGGATACATGTCAGGTAAAAAGCTAACGGAATGAAACACCAATAGGGACAAACTATTGCTATTGGTATGATTACCAAGCTCATCATGAATGAGGCAGACAACAACTAAGCGTGCATAATTAAAATATCGCGACGTCTTCGATCCCGATACTCTTCACCCTCGTGGGCTTCAGGTCGCATTTGAATCGACGGTCAGGAAGGTATGGGCGGGCAGAGGGTGGACGAGAAGATCCATCGACTTCTCCCTTGGTTGACGATGATGACTTTTCCTTTTCTTATAGATAACTTTTCTAGCTGTTTCTTGTTGGATTGTTAAAAATTTGCTTGGGCGTTTCACGCCGGTTTACATTATATGTAGATATCCACGTATATCCATCAAAGCACCAATCATGAACTAATACCCATACATGCAGAGTATCTATATTTAAACAATTCGTCGCAATCAACATGAAAAAGCAATTGATCTAAAAAAAACCGAAAGGAAAAAGAAAATTACCGCCTCTTCCCAACAACCTTCGTAAACCCATCATCATCAATCTCCGGCTCAACCTTCTCCTTCGGAACCCTCACCAAAGCAGGCGCATCCCCCATATCAACATCCTCCTCGAGATCTTCGTTATCCTCAGAATCCTGCTCCTCGTCCTCAACCCTCTTAAACGCAGCCGCTGCATTCCCAGCCCTTTGCTGACTCTTCGCCTGCCAATTCTCCCACATCTGCTGAATAGGCCCAAACTCCCCCTTCGCAACTAAACCCCTCATCTCTATAATCTCCGCCGCAACAGGAGCCGCACTCTCATCGTCTACCACCACGTCAAACTCATCATTCATAACCTGGATCAACACGTCCTCGAGATCCTCCGCGTCTGTCTCCGGCCGATCATTCAGCATATCGGAGATTGCGCCGCAGAGCCAATCGCGCTTGTCGGAGGATGTAGGTCCGCCCCAGTTGGATTCTACGGCAAGACTGAGCGCGGGCCAACTGTTGATCGCGAGTGTGATACCTAGGTCCAGGTAAGAGGCGGCGGAGTTGGGTTGGGCGGTTTGGGGGGGTTGTTGGGACATTTTGCGCTGTGTATGTAGGCTTTTTTGTTCCCTTCTTCTTCTTCTTTTGCTTTTTGTTCTGCGTTATGTGGAGGAGGTGTTTGGTTTAATTCGGGGGATTGGATTGTTGGCGGGGTTGTCGGCTTTTTTTGGTTGTGGTTTGTATGGCGGGGTGTGGTTGCTGGTTTACTTCGCGGTGGTTTGGAGCGTTGGTTCTGGGGTTTGATTGCCTTTTGGGATTTCTTATGTCTAATTGGCGACTTGGGGGTGTATGAAGTTATGGATAGGTCTGGATAACAAGCAATAGAGGGTCTATTTTGTGTCGATATAGTTTTTCAAATTTTTCGATATCGCCGGGAGATTAGATACGATAAGGGGTCCCCGGGTCATGTGACCGTGTCTATGGTGTTGACGCCTTTACCACGTCGATAAATAGTATGCGAATGGAGATGAGTGGTTGAAAAATGATTGAAGGAGGTGAAAGTAATCAATTGTGTAGATTAAAGTATCTTTCTTCGATGCAAATCTCGCGAGCTGGTTGCTGTCGACTATGATGCACGCTGTAAATATTATATTATATCCCTGTAGATGCGCCTAGTTCATCAACTGGCTATGCTTTCGATATGCAACAAACAATAGTATGACAACAAGGAGCCATTCAGTGCAGAAAAGTCTAGAGAATACATAGTGGAGAAAGAAAACAAGGTACGCCTGGTATATCCAATCTTGCGAGCGCCAAACAAGAGCTCCCTATATACAGAAGGGGGTAAAAGAGACCCAATGAAATAAATGCCTTCAACGCCACCCATCGCCATTGAAGATGGTATTAATGCAGTCACAAATCACAAAACATGGCTTAAAATTTCCTGTGCTCTCACAGCTGTGGCAATATGCCAAGGTAACGTGTTTCGTTGTACAATGCGCGTGCCTCTGGCTCGAGCAAGGGTGCCTAGGTCACGGTACATCCCCATAGTTTCTCGAAGAATTGCTTCACAGGAAGAAGATCGTTGGGTATATATGAGATTGACGGTCATAGCAAATATGCCATCCCCGTCGGTGTCACCCTTTCGACGAAGTAAATAACCGCTTGCCAGCGCGGGGCGATACTCGGTAAGGTGAGGCGAGTTGTTCAGGCGATGGGAGAGTATTACGCCCCAGGACTCATCACATATATCGGTAAGTACAGACTCGGATTCCGCTTCCAGAGTAGCTTCTGTGGGTGTCGGGGCGTTTGCAGGCGCATTCCCACCACTGGGAGGCGTAGGCGCATTGCCTGATTGATCTGGCGAAAGAATGTTGCTACTAGCATTCGGTGTAGCAACAGGCGTAGACGAGGTCTGTGGATTGAAGACACTCATGGGTATCGGTAAAAAGGGAGGTTCAAGATGTAGATCAGGTGCCGCATTAGCGCTTAAAATCGTCAATTCTAATGGTATGGAGCTTGTTTTGTTATACTGATCGATGAAACCAGTCCACGCTATAAATCGAGTTAGCAGAGAAACATATGAAACTTAGTGCAAGCATTCATACCGTCAACCTCGTCCTGATCGACAGGTTCAGTGCTGACGATGAAGACTTTCCATCGCGCTTGTATCCTGTTTACGATGTCCTTAGTCGCCCCCCAGATCTCGCTGCGCACTTCGGAAATGCTCCTGGTTGCGCTCGCATTGCGGAAGCGCAGATTGTAAGAGATTGCACGCTGGAGTGCTCCAGAATTGTCAGACCAGGCAACACCTATCCAGCGCTGATCTTGACTTTTCGAACACGCAATATGTAGACACTTGCCTTCCTGCAAGGGCGAGGATTTCTCAGAGGCGAGTCTAAAGCTGATCGTCTTAGGGAGAGGTTCGGCGAGAAGTACTGGAGGCGCGCAATTAACAAGATTTGACTGTAACGTTTTGGGTGGGCACCGGCTATAGATTTCCAGCGCCAGATTCAGATACTGAGTTTGCGGGGGAACGACCAAAGACTCCGTTGACATTATAAAACTAATTGGAATGATCTGTAGTACCACTTCATTGAGCTGTCGAGCCTGTTGCTTACCGACATCGGCGACATATTTCTGAAACAGGCACCAGAAGGCAGAGCAGATATCAACGAGTGCTGATGCATAGGTAAACGGATTGATTACGTAGACAACCAAGCTGTCATTACTTGGAGCACTCTTCAGAAGAGTAGACCCTACGGATGTTAGTACATAGCCAATACGTTGCGGATCGCCGACTTACCCAGCTCCTCGCAGATCACTTTTAAGGACTGCATCGCGGAAAGAAAGTTCGAGGTCTCTAAAGAGCCAACATCCCATGAACAAAGACCACGTTCAAAGGCATTAGACCTAGATCCCCGAACATGTTTCCCAAGGTTGCAACTTGCGTAGAGTAGACCCAGCCGTTCCAGAAAAACATCGGCTGCATCCCCAGCAATATGTGGATGAATACAATACGCTGAAATATCCTTAGGTCCATCGGCTGGTTCTAGCCCGAAGGTTTCCCAAAGGGAAATTGCGGGGGGCAGAGCTTCCAAGTATTCCTTACCACGACGCACGCGTAAGTGGGGGGGAGATAGTTTTGTTATTGAACCTTTCCCAATATCCTTACGTTGAGACGGTTGCCGGGGTAAGGCGCCGTTAAGTGTAGGAGACGCATGCTCGTTGTCCTGTAAAGATACCCAGCTATTTAGATCAAGCCTTTCGATTCCGCCTAATATACCTTCGTCGTCAAGAAAGCTTTGAATGGAATAAGCTTTGGTTTCAAGATCGGAGAGGCCGAAGTCTCCATCTAACTTGTGATCCAATGATGACTGCGTGATTTGATCAATAAATAACTGAGCAATCTGAACTTGCATATCTTTGCGGGTGAGTGCTGGAAATAGCCGATTTTCCAGGAGTGAGAAATACCCGGTCATTGACCAGTCAGAGAATGTAGACAACAGGTTTCCTAAAAACATTGAATACTCAACCCTTTGGACAGGGCCTTCCTGGTCTGCCTCCCCAAGAGACTTTTCCTGAGGCAAGACCGGGGGGCTGACGGAATCAGAATAGGTACGTTTCCGCTTGAGACTTGGTAATGGAGGGGCATCACTTTCTGAAGCAGCACCGTCGCTATCATCGCTCGTATCACTGCTGGAATCTGAAACCGCATTGACGTGTTGGCCTTCGCTTGATGGGCTGGCGTGACCATCAAAGGCCATCAAACCGCCACCAGGGACCGGAACCTTCTTGTGGCGACGAGGCAGGCCGACAGTAGGAATATCGGAATTTTTATAATCTTTGGAAGCCAATGTACCTACAGCTGTAAACCGAAACTTGCCATCGGCACCGTACTTTTGATCCCAAGCAGACATATTCGGTTTGAAAGCAATCGGATTGTAATAGCTTTGTTTGCACAATTTTTTGTTAGCAACATGACTGTCTCCGTTTGGTTCCAAAAAAAGTATTCTCTTGATTTCAACCGGGCTTAAAGGAGGGCTTATTGTTTGGTTTTGTTCAAGCTGAGGTGAGGCGGTTCCCTCAGCAGCCAGGTTCTCAGGATGAGGGTTGGGCGTTATCTCATTAGGACTTGCTGGAGTCACTTCGAAATTTTCTGCAGGAGTTTCCTGAACTGGGAAGGCTTCGAGCAACGCATCCTCGGAGATGGTTGGGTGTACATCTGCAGTACTCGAGTTGACAGTGTCAGGCATGTCTTGAACATCATCATCGGGCATATCTGTATCCATAGCAGTGAAGCTAGGATCATCAAAGAAACTAAAATCTGCATCGGTAATCCCTTTGGTGCCAAAGTCCCTTTCATTCATGTCCCCGAAAAGGTCGTCGTCATCATTAGTGTCGTATAGCCCCGATCCCACCGTAAGTCCAGCCGATGGGCCAAACCCCATCGATGGATCTGTGTCTGACCGATCTTTGGCCGTAAAGGGCCCATAGGACTTTGCTTTGTTTTGGTTTTGTAAAAGGGACGGCACAAGCTCTGAGTCTTCGGCAAAGGCTTCCGATGAACCTGCTAGATTTAATCCCATTGCAGCAGCTCCATCTGGTGGAGTCGGATATACAAGACTAGCCGTTTGGAGATCAGGGTACTCCGAAGCTCGGGACAGGCTCTCTATTCCCTCGAGTATGTCAGTCGTAGCAGAGGACGTTTCTGGGTTCTTTGTATGTTGCTCTGGATGACTAGACGGGGGCTTAGGACTTGTCTCATCATGTCTGGGTTTTTCCACTACACGCCAATTCTCTGCAAACTCCAAAGGATCTCCGATCACAGGACGGGCATTTTCCATCCATTGAAAGGTCCCGGGAGGCGCTGACTTTGTCCTCCGAAAACAATACACAGCAGGCCAGAGAACACGCTTGAGGGGAAGCGTAGATGAGTTATCCTCGTTTAGCCGTAAAGTCTCCCCAGCTAACCTAGAGTAAAACGGCTCATAAACTTCAACTTCTACCCAGGCTGCTTCATCAACTGAATCAGTGGACAGCCCAAAGTTTCTAAGCCATTCTAGCACATTAGCCTTCCATTGGTTGCGCCCTGTCGCACCAGATTTATCATTACCGATGTTCCCGGCAAGAGGAATTGGGGAGGAAACGTTCGGTGGGCCCGGACTGGTTGTTACTAGCCTGGCAACCGAGCCGCTAGGTGATAGCCAGATGTCAGATCCAGGGGCTGCATCACAGACATTAGGAAGACTGTTCCCAAACTTGCATAATTGGGCAATGCCTGGCTGTGATGTTGTCTGCAAGGACACTGTCAGTTTCCCAGCGGATGTCAGTTGAACTTGAAGCGTAGTTAGAGCAGAAATTGACGAAGGATCGTCGTTCACTATTCTAGTCCTCTCGTAGTAGTCTCGCTCAACAACTGTGAAGAGGGTCCGCGATCCGAGCGGGATTGCGTTACTAAGTCGGATCAGCTGAAGGTTTAGTGCACCGGTTATAGCTGAAATAAAAGCCGCGTAGATTGCAGCTGAGCTACTATACGTATCGATCCGCCTTGTGGAGGTAGGGGTATTTTGTGATCTTTGCGATCCGGTTGAACTCCCTGCGTTCTGAGGGTCTGTCGAAAGATTCTTGACTAGCTCACGAGGTGTAATGCTTCCAGATGCAGAGACTATCATCCATAGTCAATGCACAATGCACGGAAGTATTATGCATAGAATGTGGGGTGGTACAAACCTTTCAATGTCGATGAGCCGACGAAAAGCCTGTTGTTCTGTTCGTCTTTGCTTTCACCTGATGGTAAAGAGCTTACAGTCTCAAATCCTGGAGTCGCAGAAAAGACCCATAAGCCGAGTCGCCTAGGATAGCTTGAGACTATGCAGTCCAGAGTCCTCAATCGAAGCTCCAAATCCTTAAGGCGACTCAGATGCTTGAGAATAGTGAAACCGTTGGCTGGAGTTTCCGCTGGAAGATTGGTGATATTGGGCTCTTCCGTATATATTCTCCAGTAGATATTGGAGAATCCATCCTAGGTTGCCGGATTAGAAACTTACATCGGAGTTTGAGATGAGATTAACCTACAAGGGCGCGTATGTTTGTAACGGACGCTCCGGGAAAGTCCATGATTTAACTGTTGCCCCGAGGGGGATCCTGGCAATACTCATAGATAGCCAAAAAATCCTTGAAAAGCAAGATAGGGCTCATTTCCAGGAGTGTCTGGAAAGTAAACTATATCCCAAGAAGTAACCCATAGTCCATGGAGTTAACTTATCGCAGAAGTCAGCAAATATATCAGCTCCCTGACGCCATCGCTCCGCAGGGAAGGGTCGCTAATGCTATACCAAGAATGAGAAGGATGTATATATCAAACTAAAGAAGTCAATATCGAGGCACAACCACGGGGGACTCTGATATAGATAACATTCAAGATATAGAGTGTCGCAAGTTCGCTGTTTGAATCCAGGCCTCCGACGCCATGAAACCCGACGGAGGTTCGGCCGGACCGCGTGAGCCAATCATCAGTGATCGACATCCATTGGGTCACGTGGGCCCTTCTATCGATTATCTCCAAGAGTTTTTTACTTTTTTTTTTTTTTTTTATGAGCCGGAGCTTTACCAGTCGCAGCAACGCCAGGCTCTTTCTCATTCAAAGAGCAACACTGCGCAAATATGAAGCTTTCAAACCAGTCAGAGGTGCCAGTATATACAATCTCTGGATCGAACACTGCCCGGCCACTTCCTGAATGGCTTGCTAGACAGAGAAAGCGCAGTCTTAAAAATGATCCGGAGTATGCGAATCGCGTTGAATTGTTACAAGATTTCGAGTTCGAAGAAGCCAGTCAATGTGTAAGAGTCAGTGAAGATGGGGAGTGGGTTATGAGTACAGGTTAGTCTCTTAAGTAGTGCAACAATATTTTCATATGCGACTGACGGTAAGAACACAGGAACCTACAAGCCCCAGATTCATACACACTATCTTCCACAGTTATCCCTCTCATGGGCTCGTCATACGGACGCATTAAACACCACATTCCTTCTTCTTTCCTCCGACTACTCTAAATCCCTCCATTTACAGTCCGATCGCTCACTTCAGTTCCACACGCCTGGAGGGTGTCATTACACAACGAGACTTCCCAGATATGGCCGTGATCTAGTTTACGATAGACAATCTACCGAAGCATTAGTCCCATCGGTCGGTGTGAACCAGGATGGTATGGGTGAGGTTTTTCGACTTAATTTGGAGATGGGCCGATACATGCGGAGTTTCGAGATTGATGTTGGTGGCGATGATTTCACATCTTCCGGTGGAGGTTCGTTGCAAGGTGGTATAAATACAGGGGCTGTCAACACGGGAGCTATTGCGGAGGAAAGTCACAATCTACTCGCCTTCGGAACTACGTTAGGTACGGTGGAACTCTGGGACCCGAGAGCTAAAGGCAGGGCAGGAATCTTGTTACCGCCTACACAATCCGGCCCAGATGAAGCCCGCAATGAGATTACAGCCTTGGAATTCCACCGCTCAGGCCTGACACTCGGTACTGGCTCTTCGAATGGCCTCATCCACCTGTACGATCTTCGTTCGCCGGTTCCTCTGCTCAAGAAAGACCAAGGATACGGATTCCCTATTCATACTCTTAAGTTCTTGCAGCCTTCGTCATTGACGCGCGAACAGACCATAGAGCCTAAAATTCTCTCTTCGGACAAGAAGATCATCAAAATTTGGGATCCTCGGGATGGCAGTCCTTGGACGTCTGTGGAACCTGCTGTTGACATTAACTCGGTAGCTTGGTGCAAAGACAGCGGAATGATCCTTACTGCCAACGAAGGACGCCAGCAGCATGCATTCTTCATTCCTCAGCTTGGACCGGCCCCAAGATGGTGTTCATTCTTGGACAACCTTGTTGAGGAGATGGCAGAAGACCCCAACGATCCTAACGCATTTAGCACCGGCCAGGCAGCCTCTGTGTACGATAACTATAAGTTCTTGACGGTTCCTCAACTGCGCACATTGAACTTGGAGCATTTGATTGGCAGGACCAATCTCCTGCGCCCTTACATGCACGGTTACTTTGTGGCTCAACGCTTGTATGAGGAAGCTAGATTGATCACTAATCCATATGTTTGGGAAGAGGAACGTGCGAAGAGAGTCAAGGAGAAGATTGACAAAGAGCGTGAGAGCAGAATCAGAGGTAAGAAGAAGGCCGCTGTCAAGGTCAACAAGAAGTTGGCCGATAGAATTATGGCCATCGAGGAGAAGAATGAACGTCGGAGGGCACAGCGTGTATTGCAGAAGGGCGGTGACGAGAACATGGTCGATGCGCCAACCGAGAAACCCGGCCAAGGTCTTATGGACGACAGCCGTTTTGCTAAGTTGTTCGAGGATGAAGACTTCGCCGTCGACGAAACGTCCCATGAGTTCAAAATGCTCAATCCTAGCACTCTCCCCAGTGACCCCAAGAGGAAGGAGCGAGGTCTCACGGCTGTCGAACAGGAAGAAATCGATGAAGTTCCCGGCTCAAGCACCGACGAGTCTGCGAGTGAAGAAGAACAATTCGCCAAGGAGAAGTCTTCTGGCAAAATTTCAACATCCTCGTACAAACGTACCAATCGCGCCCAGCAGCCCCGGATGCAGGTTTCTTCTTCCAGTGCTGTCAACTCTACTCGCGACCGTTCGTTTGGGTCTAGGGCCCAGAACATGCGGACTAAGGAGAAGCCATCGCGTCGTAGGGGCGTGGTTGGTGAGAGGGAAATGACGTTCAACCCCCAAGTCAAGTCAAAACAACCTAGGGCTCCAGCACCATCTCAAGACACAGGCTTCAAATCGAAAGAGAGACGCAGTGCCTCTGGTAACACTTTCCGAAGGATGTGATTTTGAGGGATTCAGTGAAATCTTGTTAGGGAGTTCCCGCACTTCTAGCTAAGAGGAACATCCTAAAAGTTCTATTGTCGCATGGGCTTTAGTTGTGCAGAGGCTATGTCTTCGCGCCAGGGTCTATTGGAACGGGCCGTGAGGAGAGGGATTTTCTTTCACGACGTCTTTTGCATGAACTTGTTCTGATATTCAGAAAAATTACCGGTGCACCAGCGTCCCAGCATCTATCAGCGGGACGCGTCAGGTCTTAATTATTGGCTCGAGGGCAATACCATGGGGGCTCATAGGATTAAGAGCTTCATACAGATACCCTGTGTCTATTATAATTTGACCTCACGGGTCTATTATACTAAGGCGTCTTCGCTGTCTCAATGTTCCCAAAATCTATCCTAACGGAAATTCTACCTACTTTCTGAAATGATCAGTCAGTGAGATTGGCAAATCGTTTAATATGTATATAATCAATTTAGAGCAGTAGATGAACCGGCATTGGAGATCCATGCTGAACTTTGAAAGTATGAATACTGATGAACAAAAATGAGAAAGCATCAACTCCAAACCATTCTCAGACCCATTATGAATGAAAACAGACAATGGACACCAGCATCAAGTAATTACAAGAAAGCCAAAAGAAAAGAAGAAAAATGTTTCCAGGACCTTATTGATGCTCCAGCATAACAATAAAAGATCAAGCAAGAATTCTAAAAGGGACACTGTCACGCCAAATGCCCAAAGAACAAGAAATTTTGACAACATATGGAAGCTCCGTGCCATTCTATCCCCTTTCCGTGACTCATGGTGCTCAAAAAGCAGTCTATAAGAGTAGCCTTCCTGGCAAAAACGGCACGAAAGTAAATCAAACACTTGGGATATGGTAGAACAATCGCTGGACGTGAACATCAAGCCCAAAAGAACAAAAGATGGACATATGAAACCGTCCAGAATATACCGATATAATGGAGTGAAGAAAAAGGAAGAAACGAAAAAAAGAGTAAAGAAAAATAAAGGGAGAAAATAAGGTACGCAGGCATAGGTGGAGTATGAAGTGTTAGGTGAAAGATGAGAGGTTCGTGTTACGGGAGGGAGGGTATAAGTTATAAGACATAGCTTCAGGACCAGACGTGGAAGCCACCGCCACGTCTACCACCTCCTCGTCTTGATCCGGTGACGTTCCCACTCGGATCGTGAGCGTGGTTGCCATGCCTGCCTTCTTCGAAGCTTCGTCGCGAGGCCCCAAAGTCGCTCATGGCAAATAGAAGAGGTTCATCCTCTTCTAACTGTGCCGCCTGCAGAGGACCACCACGGCCAGCACTAGGTCGTCGTCCAACACCTCGACGGTCCTCCATTGCCGAGGTCGCACTATTACTACCGCTTCCGTTACCATCGCGCTCGTTCTCGCGCTCGGCAAGGCAAGGGGGGATGGCAGCACCACGTGCAAGGCTACTGGAGCCGGAGCTGATGGAATGATGACCGCCCGAAGAACCCCGACCGCGAGAGTGACTGAAGCGTGGCTGGTAAACGTGGTGATGGGATGAAGAAGAAGAGGCTACTGTAGGCATCACTCCCTTGTGAGAGCCCTGTTCACCAGTGATAGAATTAGGTGGTATGGCTGTATCCTCATGTAACGACAAGGGGCGTGTCTCTCGCCGGGCTTGATGCGTGGTTGTTCCAGAGCTCTCATATTCATGCTGTCGGTGGAGTGCACCCAGGCTCAGGTTAGATCTCTCCTCAGCACCAAGGCTCACACTGCGATTGAAGGGGAAAATCTCGTCATCATCAACTGCGATTGTTCGCGGGCGGTGTGCAGCAGAACTAGAGCGGCGGTAGGCAGGGGGGAAGAGGCGTGGTGATGTCGGGATATCTATAGCATTCACGATGGACGGCCCATGCTCCATGGTTGTCTCATCGCTGGTGTTCTCATCGAGAGGAGAGCCATGTCCCTGAGAGAGTCCTGCACCATTGCCCTCAGGGTGATTATAATCGACGATACTGTTAGAGCTAAGGCGAGACGGTATAGCAGGAGTGTGTGGTGTGTGGGGAGATATCGGTTTTCCCGGTGAAGATGCCGTTGACATAGATGTTCCAGCAACCATTGGTGGAACTCCGGAGAGCTGTTTGCTCGAGGAATTCGATGAGCGCTGCAAGAGCAACGACGACGACATCGAGTCGGAAAGAGCCGCATTAGAATCTCGCATCCGTTGGAAGCGTGTTAAAGCGGCCGAAGTGACCGTAGTCCTGCGCGCTGTGGTGTCTAGAGCAGCCGAATTTGGCGCATTGAGAAGATCCTTCCGTAGGTCCAGCATTTTCAGAAATTCAGAAATATTTTCATCGTCTGCGTGAATAGAATCGGCACTGGTTCCAGTAGCCTCAGCGAGTAGGCCGGAGCCTGGGTGAGCGGATGAAGTTGCGCTAGCTTTACCACTGGAATTATCGTCCTCCAATTTGGTGATCCCTCCAGAAGAATGCCTACCACGACGATGAGTAAAAGCACTGCTGTACCTCGAGATAGAGCCCGGCCGTGGGGACGCAGAGCTAGGAGACGCAATGGCATTGTCGTGCACTGCCGGTATTGACTTGCGGGCAGAAGCCGCCATAGACGGAGGGGGCCGAACCCCAGATACTGAGCGAGGAGACGGGACCGGAGGGTCGACGAGGGATGGAGAGGCAGATAAGGGCGGTGCTTTGAATGGCTGAAAAGATATAGACGGGCGTCTAACAACACCTGGGCTACCTTCGTTCGCGAGGACAGCAGCGCGTCCCACAGGGCTAGCTTTAGCAACTGTCGAAGCCTTCCGAGAGGATGAGCCAGGTGAAGGAGATGAAGTCCCTGACTCTCCTTTAGCCCGGAGAGCTGATATCGGACTTGCACTGGTCGTGGGTCCAACCTGGTGAAAAGTCGAGAGGCTTCCGTATGCCCGACCTGGATCAGGGTCTTCGACAGTTCTCCTCTCTTGCGGTAGCGACCCTATCTCGGGGTGAGGCGCTTTATTCTCGACTACTCGCGTAGGCAGCGACGGGCGGAATATTTCATCGTCGGCGCCCATAAATCGCGAGCTTAGCAGAGCTTCAGAGTCATCCACGCGGAAATCGCAGCTGGTCCGATACGTGACTTGAGCGGAGAATGGACCCGCAGGCGATTCTGTGACACCAAAGCTATACGTCTCGACCACCTTGCTACTGCTCTCGTACAAAGGCATAGTCAGATGATCCGGTCTCGACCATTGCTGATTAACGCCGCCGGTTATGATCCTGTACTTGATCCGTAGAGCCGGGTTTGCTCGAAGCCTTCCATTGCGCTTTGCGAACTTCCAGGCTGGTAGGAACTTTGAGTAGGTGAATAATGATCGGAAGAGAACAATGCTTTTCTTGTATACAGTCGGTAGGATAGATCCAAGGTCAGCTGGTAATTTGTTCGGTGTTTCCTCCAATTCAACCCTCCACCGCTCCAAGATGACATCATCAGAGCTGGATGACGGCGGCCTGACAGGATGGGCTTGCTGAGATGCAGCAAGGGCTTCTAACACATCCCATCGCTTCCCATTTTCGTCCAAGGCCACGAGGGTTTGATTATTTGTAAGCCCTTTTGTATCGAGATATGTTTCGATAATTAAGGGTGGCGGACGATTTTCAGTGGCATCACAAGTTCTCCAGGTGCGCAGCTGTTCTCGCAAAACATCTGTATCTTCGATCTCAACGTTAAACTAAGTGGGAAAAGTGTACAAGTCAGCCTAAGTGTGGGATAATGTACAGATGAAAGGCAAAGATTGGTATCAACTGGAACATGTTATATTTCAAGCGACATGAATGAGAAGACATACCCAGCGATTCACTCGAGGAGTGTCCGAGCCCTTGTTGAATGACGGTGGAAGCTCAACGCGCGAATGTAGTATGATTAAAGCAGCTTTCGTGTGGTAGTTCTGTAATATGGTAAAAACAATTAGCGGAAGTCCATCGGCGACTACAAGGGCACGAGCCGGATATTTGGGCCTATACCGATATAATCTGGTTCAGCTTTGCAATCGCCTCCTTCGAAGGTTGCACGGTCTGCCCTGACGGGCCAGGTTCGGTTTCAATCCCCAGACCTCTGCTGTTCTGTACCCTGACATCGGCTGCAGGGGAATTGGGACGGTAATCTAGCTCTCTTGAACGGGATGTAGTCGGCCTGGCGGTGGAGGTGGGCGCGGTGGGCGCCGGTGATCGAGGGTGCTGATGCATGATCCTTCTGCGATACAACGCAAGTGAGATTAGGGTACTCGAAGCGGCCCCTTTGTAAGCTGGCACCGAGTTCAGTGCTATGCTATGACAGAGCGATTGTCTCAATCAAGAAGGAAATGGGGAGGCGGCGGATGCGATGCGGACGTCCATACTAACGAACTACGCAGGTCGAGGTTAAGGGATAGGAAAAGGGAAACTAAGAGGAAGATAATCACGACAGATTAGGCACATTCAAAATTAATTTCACGGAGGCTGATTTCATCGTTTTTGGTGCTCAGGCAACAGGATGTTGGAGAGTATGCGGTCTAGACAACCTTGTGAGCTTCTCCGCACTGACGACAAGGCAGATCCGGGGGTTGCACGGCGTCCTCACGTCGTGGGAGAACAAGGGAATTTAAGGATTCATAATCACCAATAGACTAAGTCCAGGAGAATTAGGAAAAGAGAATCCACTGAATGGGAGGGGGTTAAAAAATAAATAGGGTAGGAAGTATTTGGGGGGAGGAAAGAAGGAAAGATGAAACAGAGAGATCAGGTCAAAGGCGTGGTAGGGACCAGAAGCTAAGACACTTAGAGGTATGTGAGGCACAGCAACAACGGCGGCGGCGGCACGGGAGCAGAAAGGTCTGTGACGCACACCCGGTGACTCGGATGGTTCATGAGCAATCCACGTCCTGGTCAAGTGCGAATAACATACACGATCAGGCTGTCAAGTGCCACGGCATGCTTTGCAAAAGCTGAGTAAAGAGTTCTTAAATGAGATACCAGTAAGGGATATTTTTATTTCCCAGTTTCCCTCGAAGCGGTTTTGAGAACAACTTACTAGGTCCTTACGGTGTACTAGTAGTACAGTACTGAAGTACAGTTGGAAGGACGGGAGTTGGTCAGGAATCAATCGCAGCCAATCAGAATACAAGTTGCTGGCGAGATTAAAAACAGGGCGTTAGAAGGCGGTCAAAGGATGGATAGATAGCCGGCGGTTGCAGCGATAGTGCTGTTACTAGTAGTAGGCGGTATGTACCTATGATTGACCCCAAACGAAAACAGTCACGTCAGGTGGTAATCCCATGAAATCATGGATCCTTCTCCCCACTTCAGACAACTGGCAGCAGGATGTTGATGTAATGTAAGTAGAAAGAATATTTATGTCCCACATCAACAGCTGTACGTGTCTTGTTAGTTATTTATCCTTCTCTCTAATTTTTTCCCTAAGGTTCGTGACCATCGGTAGGGATGTGAGTAATACCAGGTAACCAACTTAATTACCATACAGGACTTAAAATGGAGGCAGCAAAGAGTATTGCTGAATGGATGATGATAGCTCCAGAAATTGCCGCTTGCACAGGTTGATCAATCAACTTAATCAACCCCGTGATTATGGATCCTCATTGATAGCAGGGTTTCTTCTTTTTTTTTGCTCCCTTTCTTTGTTTTTTCCCTCACTCCATTATATCTTCTAATTTATTAGTTTATTTCTTTTTCCGCTCTCTTGCCTTTTGTTTTCGGTCACTTTACTTTTTGTTTCTCTCTCTCTCTCTCTTTTCCCTTATATATATATATATATATATAGAATACTGATCTAGGAAGATTAATTTATGTTTGACCAACTTGGACACCATATGGAACCAACAAGGGAAACCTAACCTAGAGCATAGACCACCTTCCCCAAGATGCTGAGGTTTCTGGGAATGGTCGCCTCACCTGCAACAGCTTTCTACAGTGGGGAATGAAATTTACAGAGCAGTTTCCCAGCCTACAAACGACTGGAGCATAGACCGAATGTAGTGGCACACCTAGTCGCTCATCCTAGATGCTTAGTGGCAGGAACCAGTATGGCTTACAGGTGTGCAACAAGCTCTATGCACCGGAACTGCAAGCTCTACAGCGGAGCACACTATCCTAAGCATCCTTGCAGGGGACTTCTTTGTCGATGACGCATCTAACACTTTAGTCTAGGCTCTTCTGTTTCCCTGCTCCACAGAACATGATTCCCGGTGTTGCTGTAGAAAAGCTGGCCGGTTAATTTCCCCCGGCAATGCAGAAGAGACTTGGTCATTGTTGTTTGGCGCCAGCTGGTGATGTGAATGCAGAGGTATGCCTATAGATATGAGTATTATACAGCATGGTGTGTAGAAAGTGATACTTCATCGGGTATCGTACCTTTGTTGTTGGGTGCGTGCTCCGTAGGATTTAATTCTCGCCTGGTTAACCTCTTTTTTCTTTTCTTTTGTTGTCCCTTGTCTTCATCTCATCCTTCTCGTACTCCGTACCACATATCACGCCCATTTTCTTTTCTTTTTTTTTTTTTGGGGGAGCCCGGTGGGGAGGATTCTCCTCCAAACATCTAGATATTGATAGAACTTATCGAAGGATTCAAGTCAGATTCTCGGGCATTATTTTAGCCATTAATATAGATGGATACTCCACCTTATCAAGAAAAGAAGTAGATCATGGTACCCAAATCATACACAGTGGGTACTAAATTATTTCTTCAGCTAATTATAAATATTAATCCGAGTAAGTTACTGTCAAGTCATTGTGATCCATAGAGCATCTTCCATCAGTGTGGCCCTTGTACAATCTATGAAAGCATCGTCTTCAATTTGTGTGTACTTTACTTCACTTTTTAGTTGACCTTATTTAACCCGCATAAAGTTGGTTTATAGTCTCTACCTACACTACTTAGGATAATAAAGTAAGGGCGCTACTTAGTGAGGCACTTAGTCTTTTTAGGGGTCTGAGGTCCGTTGGCAGTGTTGATCAGACAATCTCATCTGCAGAGTTATCGTACCCACTTATCAAGGCACTTGGACTATGCGTCTGATGTAGTCATGGTCTTTTACCCCCAAGGTTATACTTCGTATCAATACTAGTAGTGTAACTATGGCTCATGTCGAGACAGGTGGCACATTCCTTTGTAGCAAAGACATATTCAGATGTTTGATTCTTGACAACTGAATGATCAAGAGTAGAAGCCCGAGAAACCACCAGGAACTGAGCTGAGCAAAACCTGGGACAAGGCACAAGAGATATAAAATAAAATGGAACCCTTTCGTTTGTTCATTAGTTAGTAGATTTGGACGGATCTCTCCTTTCCCATGAAGTCTATCTCGTCAGAAACTCGAGCGGGAACTAAACACCACTGAATGTATGTACATACGTACCTCGTTTGAGAGGATGGCTTTAGGGCAAACGAGATAGAAATTCCAAGCAGAGTTCAGGGTTACATTCTAAACCCAAAGCTTAAAATTCATCAAGACTTGGTGAACTTGTAAGGGGATAAGTTTTTGGTAGTAGAAGTGTAGTAATTCGTCCCCAACCTCTCGTCCCGGCGCATGGAGGGGTGCGCACCGCCTGATTGGACGCTGTCTGCGCTATCTCTCCAATCCATGGGTCTGTCATACACTCAAAATCCCGTGACGGCTCCCTCAGTTTCGAGAGAAAAAGAAAACCGCTGATAATATCCCCACGTTGTTCTCCTCCATTGTCACTCGAACTCGGACGTCTGCACCGATCTTGTTGTCGCGTATCGTTGGCGAATCGAACCGACCGCGTCGAAACTACCTTTTCCTCTTACGTCCGAGGCTCGAAGATTATACATACAGTACATAGCTCTCATCGCCACCGCATATCGTTCATTTCACAACACGTCGCTATTCCCCTTCGCTCCATCTCCTTTGTCTTCCTCACGGCCATCGCGTTGGTATATATTTTCTTTCGAGAACAGTCTGAAAGACCGAATACGCGTTGACGACTGTCAACTCCTTTCCTTGTCAGAATACTCTTGTCGCCCGCGGAGATCTTCCGGTGCGCCGTGACCCATCTGCGGTGAACACGACGCTCTACTCGTCGGCTGATAAGGATTCTGACATACTACAACTTGGGGCACATGAGTAGCAAGCTTTGGGAATTCTTTCTGCGCGATGACGTTGATAGCTTCCGGCGGGTCCTGGCAACTGCCAGCTATACCTCCGGCGGCCAACGGGCTCCAGGGCCTGGTGGACCCTCCAATATCAAGATCGGAAGCCCTGGTGGTACCATAGTCTCTCCCGCTGGTTTCTCTTCGAAAAGCAAGAAGTTAAGCGGGACGTCTCCTGGTAGCCCGGTCCCAGATCGAAGCAACACACCTCGGGGCGGAAGGACATTGTCTCGGGAGGAATTAAATGCTCGCGATCAATTTGGAAGAACGTTACTCCACCTTGTAGCCTCGTCAACAAGGCCTACTGCGAATGATTTCGCTGTCGCTCTACTCGAGGTGCCTTTTATTGACATATATGTGCAAGATTGGGAGAGTGGGTGGACGGCTCTGCATCGAGCTTTGTATGCGGGCAATGCGGCCATTGCCCAAGCGTTACTGGCTCGTGATATACGTGATGCAACGGATTTTAGTAAATCGGGAAACACAACCAACGCAAGCGGAACTCTGATCAAAATCAAAGATCGAGAGGGATATAGTCCCTTTGATGTCTATGGGGCTACCATTGCATCCCGTGACATTAAGAGTATTGTTTCTCCGATAGCGAATGGTTCGATTCTTACCGATGTTGACAACACAGACGCTGTTTCTATAGCATCCTCACAACCTGATGACTTCAACGAAGATGGCCACTTTGCAAAGCGAGCGTTGAAACCAAGAACAAATGTACTGGGTGACGAGGTATTCACGTTCGGGAGCAACAAGAACTTAAACCTTGGTGTTGGGGACCAGGACGATCGTCAATTTCCCGAAAGAATCACTTTCCGGCGTCCAGAACATCTCTTGCAGCGATTTTACGCCGAGTACCAAGAGCAGCGGTCGGATGGAGGGAGTTTAGATCCTCATCAAGTGCGTCAAGATGTGGATTTGCCTGCATTGATCAAGAACAAGTCTATCAAAATCCAGAACATTGCTATGTCTAAGCTCCACACAGCTATTCTCACTAATGATCCGGAATCGAACCTGTTTTTGTGCGGTTTTGGCCCGGGTGGACGCTTAGGTACTGGTGACGAGTCAACGAGATTCAGCTTTGTCTGTATTGAAACAGGGGGGTTGGCTAACAAGAAGGTTATTTCTGTTGCCCTTGGCCAAGATCACACTCTTGCAATTACGGAGAACGGCGAGATATTCAGCTGGGGGAGCAACAAGTTTGGTCAATTAGGTTACGGTCTCCCAAGAACCAATAACCGGGACGATGTGCCGACGCAGAAGACCCCACGACAAATATTCAATCCATTTAAGAAGGAAACTATCCTTGGAGCAGCGGCATCTGCCGTACACTCTGTCGTTTTCAGCAATTCTGGGCTGTATACCTTTGGTAAGAATGAAGGTCAGCTTGGACTTGTTGACTCGGATGCTCGATCCCTTGAAACCCAGACGACTCCTCGGCGCGTAGGAGCATCTCTTTTCAGTGCGCCAATCCAGAGCGTATCCGCTATTGATCAAGCCACGGCTATTCTTCTCCAGAACCATGAAGTTTGGGTATTCTCGCAATATGGTTACTCGAGGCTGTCTTTCCCCTTGGACATAAGCTCGAGTTTCATAAGGAACAGTTTCATGTCTACCCGGTACGATACATCGGTTAATCGGATAATCAAGATAACAGCTGGTGGAAATAATATATGTGCCTTGTCTAGTGCTGGTGAGGTCTTCACAGTGCAGGTGAATAAGGCAGAGTATACACCGAGCTCGACGTCGACCACAAACCCAGCCAAGATACGGAATTCCTTATCTACCCCGACTCGTGTGTGGTCTGTGAAAAAGGCACACATGGCTGTTAGAGATGTCGATGTCGGACAAGATGGCTCGATCATCATCTGTACGGCATCTGGTTCGGCATGGAGGAAAGAAAAACGTGGGAAATTAAAGGATGATCCATCAAAGGATCACAAATTTGCCCGCGTACCTGGACTTTCCCGTGTCGTGGGGGTATGCAGCAACGCCTTCGGAGCCTTTGCAGCTGTGCAGCGGAATTGTGATGTTACCAGGGAGCAAATCAACGTGGACCAAAGTTCATTGTGGAAGGATTTGTTACCACTGTCGCCTTTCACCTCTGTAGTAGGCTCTGTGGCTGTGGACAAAGACAGTGTATTAGACTCGGAGCCGGTCTCCAATATTAAGAAAGCCATTATGTCAGACTCAGATATCGAGACATATTTCCGACCACTACAGACCGGGCGCTTCCCTGGAACAGTTTGGATCATGACTACAACCTCTGACATACGGTTGCCTGTACACGAATTCATACTGACAGGGCGCAGTCCGGTTCTAAGAAAGGCATTTCATGATTTACCGCATGCGCACCCCTTTTACATTCCTGACGTGCTAACAATCAACTACGATGTTGAAGGATGCCCACAGCTCCAATTTCAAGCTGTTGATTTTTTGACTGTTCTGAACCTCGCCTTCTTCTCCTATACAGACAATGTCTTTGATGTATGGCAACTGGCTAAGTACACGCCAGAATGTGCCTCTAGGTATCGTCAGGTCCGTTCCGAAGTGATGCGTATTGCAACCTGCCTAGGCTTCTCTAGCTTAGAGAGATCTGCCAGGCTTATGATCGAGCCTACTCAGGCTCTGAAGTTAGACATGGAACATGCGATCAAGGATTTATCCTTTTTTGACAGCGGCGATGTGGTTGTTGAGTTGAAAAATGACACGATGAGGGTTCACAGCCAAGTTATCTGCCAAAGATGTCCATTTTTCGATGCCTTGTTCCGAGGTCGTTCGGGTGGTAGATGGCTTTCCTCCCGCCGTTCAGATCCGACTGACGATATTTACGTTGATCTGAAACATATTGATCGACATATCTTTGAGTTCGTGCTTCGGTATATATATGCTGACACGGATGAGCAACTTTTCGATCACGTTCGAACGAAGGACCTGGAAGAATTCATTGACCTGGTGCTTGATGTTGCGTTTGTGGCGAACGAGTTGATGATTGACCGGCTGGGTCAAATATGCCAGAAGATGCTTGGCAGGTTCGGTACGTTGAAGCAAACTTTCATATTATTGTAATTACGGCAAGTTACTAAGAGAAGCTAGTAACCACGCGTAATGTGTGCTATCTCTTAAATGCGATTGCACCTTGCTGCGTGCCAGAATTTAAAGATGCTGCGTTGGAGTATATTTGCCTGAATCTGGAAGATCTACTCTCCAACAGGTAGGAACTTGGAAGATCATCGAAAGAAGCACTGGTTGCTAATATCCTCTGTAGGTTCTTGGGTGATCTCGATGGGTTCTTGCTGAGCGCTCTTGATTCTGTTTGCCATGAGAATCAGCTTTCGAGCTACCCAGTTTCACGAGGGCGCAATTCTGAAGAATACCTTCTCGAGAAGTATCCTAAACTTGTGGCCTTGATAGAAAGAGATAGGCAGCGACGGATTGATTCAATGAGGCTTTCATCGCATCTCAGCCAAATCGAATCCAATGATGGACGGCTTCGAGCGATGATCGCGCCCTCGGCACAGAAAACACAGCAGACTCATACTAAAGATGCTTCAACTGCTTCGTCACGCAGCCCATCATTGAGACCCAAGCACTCAAGCGGTGACCTGATGTTCCAAATGGACGAGGAGAGTCCACTCACACCTTGGGAATCTCTTAAAGGGAAGGCGGCGCTTCGTGGAGTCAAACCAAATGATAGCAGTGACAGCCGGTCATATCCTGATTCATCAGCTCTGGGCTCTAGTCTGATGGATGGAGGATCTTCGGAAGGTCGAAGCTACCTGGATGGCCAAATGGCCTCTCCCCAAGGTGCAGCACTTGCAGGGTCTCCGACAGGACTACGGGCTACTGCGCTTCACGGCAAAAGGAATGGCTCTCTCACTCCTCCAGATGCCTCTAAAAAACCGTGGAGCTCATCGGAGATCACAGGATCCAAGAGAAATCTGAAAGATATCATGAGTGAAGCGTCACAAAACCGGGTATCCAACCTCAGTCTAGGCATGTCATCTACTCGCCGGGAGAACAACAGCACCTTCACCCAAAAGCTATCCCAAAAGGAGCGAAAGAAAATACAGCAGCAACAAATGCAAGACATGCTCGCCGCGCAGCAGAAAGCCAAAGAACCTCCCCAGAACCCCTGGAAATCGGCGACCCCAAGCAAAACACCGGCTCAACCGATCCCCCTAGGATCTGCCAACGGACAGGACGACCGATCCACCAACACACTCAAATCCACGCCAAAGCCACCCTCCATGACCCTCCGCCAAACAGTCGCAGGGACACCACCACCACCGCGGTCCAAACCAGAAACACCACCCGTACAAAGCCAATCTCGCAACATCCCTACCACAAACACACAAACTCCCCCAAGACCCTCGATCCCAGGCCGCTCACCAGCGCCATCCCCCAACCCTCCCGCAACCCCACAGCCCCAACCTCAACGCTCTATCCAGTCAATCCGCCACATCCCCCGCCCAGAACCCTACCAAACCAGCTTCGTTACCCCCTCCCCAAACTCCCTATCCCTCGCCGCAATCCTCATGCAACAACAAACCGAAAAAGACGAAATCCGCGAAGCAGCAACAGCTAAACACAACCTCCAAGAAATCCAACAGGAACAAGAATTCCAAGAATGGTGGGAAAAAGAAAGCAGACGCATCCAAGGCCTCCCAGAACCAGGCCCCTCCGATCCCCAAAAAGAAAACGAAGGAAACGCCCAGTCGACCCGTGGCGGCCGTGGCAAGGGCCAGGGACAGTCACGCAAGAGACGCGGCGGTGGCGGCAAAGATGGAGGAAATGCCCCGGATGTCTCTAACACTGCCTCTAACCCTACTTTTACACCAACTAAACAAGTACCGCGGAGTAAGGGCTCCGGTCAGCCGGTGCAGGAGACGACTCCCCGGCGAGAAAATCAGCATCGGGCGGCGCAGGCTGGTGGGAATAATGCTCGGCGGGGTAGGAGGGGTGGTGGGCATGGTCGAGTTAAAGATCGGGAAAGGAGTACGTGATGTTATTTATACGCTTTTTCTTGGTGGGGCTTTCTTTTCTTTGCTTATATTTAATCCCCCCTTTTCTTTTGTTGTCGCATTGTACAAATGGTCTTGTTATTTAATTGCCTCTTTGGTTTAGAATCTGGTTACCATAGACGGAGGGCTGATCATTATGGATCCGTTATAATATACACCTTGTGGGATCATATATCCTAATACATACAGATAATCCTATACTAGATGGGCGACTACTGGGTTGAAAGGCCTTAAGTGTTCAAGAATTAGCCTGCCTAGGTAAACCATGCGCGGCCACTCTCAGAAGTAGATACATTACATTATTAACCGAAGATATCTATGCTCGGGGAATAATAAGTGACAGAAAGAAATAAAGAAAGAAAGGAAACCCAATCTGAAAGCAAGACATGCATTAGAAGTAATGCGCATGCACAAAATTCAACCCCAAAAATGAGCTGGTACGCTATACATGCACCGTAAACACCATGAATGACCGAGCCGAGCCGATGAAAAACAGCTGTAAACAGAAGCAAACATTATTGCAAGCCGTGAGTCAAGTAGTGAAGACATGAAAACATAAGTAGAGTGGTGCTTGAGGTGATTGTACATCAGCCAGCAGTGGCTACTTCACGACTCTCCCAAATTCGACGAATCATCATATCGGCTTCATTAGCAAGCATTGATGGCTCCTCTGGTAACTCTTCCCCTACAGGAAGGGGATGAGCAGCTTCATCAGATGTGGAGAGGATGCGGTGGGAAGGGTGTTGAGGTCTGGGTCGTTGTGAAGAATCCGTAGATTCGTTCGCCAGATCATCGGGTTCTGGGAGATATGTTTGGGAGACGGAAGTCTTCAAGCCCGAGCGCTTTCGGCTGATTAGCTGTCTCGGCTCCGGGCTTGGACTGGGTTGAGCGGTAGGTTGCTGCTTGCCATTTTGGAGAAGGTTTAAAGCCGGTGCCGATTTAATTGGTTTGCCGAGCGATGAATGTCGCTGGTGGCTAGGACCCAGTTTCATACCAGTGAGACGGGAGGTCAACCGACGGAAACTATCCCCGGTCGGCGACTGGAACCTTCGGACGACTGTTAGTTCCAATGCAGTTTTTTCGTATGCCTTGCGGATATGCTTTGCTTCGTTATCGTGCACCGGGCCGGTCCGTAATGTTCCATTTACCAGTCCTCTTCCCGCATCGAATCCGGCTCCTGGTCGGGCGTGAGCTGCAGCCATGAAGGCCGGGTCCATGGCTGATGGGGATGCGGCCGCTGACACGCCATGACCATCAGGAGGAGAAGTGTTCAGAGCAGCAGTTCGCTGCAGCCATAGCTTCTGCTGGGTGCGGGAGTGCGGTTCTGCGCCGGCTGGCCGGGAGGGAGGAGATGCTCGTGTTCTTTTTGAACCTGTCCGACCAGGGGATGGCGGTGTTTGTGGGTGGTAATGGGGTAAGAACGAGGACGGAGTGTTGGGATCCGAGTCGGTGCGAGAAGCTGCCTGAAAACCAGCCTTGATGAACCTCGACACGCCTCCTTCAATCGACGATGATGTGGCCTGGGTCAGATTTCCCGGGGTGCTAGCTAATGCGTTCTGGGACGAGGATACTGGACGGCGTAGGTTATCATGCCCGGCAGCTATATTGGTCAAAGACGCGTTGCGTGACAACGGATCCACCATGGCTGGCTTCGCTGTGGCTGATATGGAGGACATGGCGGGCGGTGCTTTCGCAGAGTGAGATGGACTTAGCAGGCGAGAAGCAATGTCGCCGTGATCCGCGGTGCGGCTACCTCCTTCACGCTCTTCTGTCTCTAGCGGTCGCGTTTGTTTATCACCGTCGCTGTTGTGTTCGTCGTCACTGTCCCCGTCGGGCAACTGGTTGTTGTGACCAAAATTATTCAGGCTCGACTCTGGAAGGCTGGTCGAACGAGGGAACTGTGGATAAGAGCGTTTAACGAATGTCAGCGGATCCACCAATACTGCAGTGTTCTCCACACTGTCTCTGGACTGAGCGACGGAGCTGCGCCGAGTGCTCTCCGGTGACTGAGTGGTATCCTCCCAGTCACCGTCGTCGTTGTCGTCGGAGTCGCCTAATTCAAACCCCACAGTTTTCTTTTTGCCCGAGCTAGTATGAGGCCGATCAGTTACCAAGGCCTTTTTGCCTATCTTTCCTATAACACTGTTGCTATTCCGCCGCAGGGCCGGACTCGAGTTGTTCTTCTTCATAGAAGCAGCAGTTTGGTGACTCTCACCCAAGGCTCCATCCCAGCGGACGTGGTGTTGCCCACGCGGACTCGTGGCGGGCGTTACGGCAGCGGGAGTCGCGGGAGCAGACTTCTTGCGCTGATGATGGCGGCCGGGTTTCTCGGTCTCGATCTGCTGTTGAGACAGGTGTCTCTGCAGTTTATTTAAATTTTTGCCAAAAGAAGGATTACGGTGGTGGTTGCGACCGCCGCCGACGATATGAGCACGATGGGCACGATGAGAGGTCTTTTGGTTTTGGTTTTGAGAGTTGGCCAGTTCGCTTTGGGTGGATGTCGATCGCGTGACGACGGCGTGTGAGGAGACTGCGCGACGACCCAGACCGGGGCGCTTGACCGGGGACGATGTGTTAGAGGTTGGCATGGCGGTAAGGGCGAATGGGGTGACTCGGTGGCACGACAGGTAGAACCTTGCGCGGAGAAACTCGCCGGTGGACAAGTAAGAAAAAAGCAAAGCCTTGGAAGAGCGCTGCGGTGTCGTGAGCCTTTCCCCCGACAGCGCGGGGGGGCGCGAGGCGATTGGTTGGAGGTGAGAAGTTCGTTACACCCGAGGGTTTTGATTAAATTGTGCAGTTGTGAAAAGTAATAGAAGGGATGAGAGGAGGAAGGATGGAGGGGAGATATTAATGAGGGGGACGGGGATCGAAAAAGAAAATTGGAAATCTCCTAACTCAGAAGTTTAGATAAGGTGACTAGAGAGACTAGACAGGATTGAGAATGAGGGAGAACGAGAGAGAGAGATCTTGTTGGAAAGGAAAGGGTAAGAATAGAATGAATGTCTGTATTACCGTTACCTTACTGAGAGTCTAGACCGCATTGGGGGTGGATCTGGATTCTCCTCGATCGACGGCCATGATTGGACACTTCACGATACCCAGTCCGTCATCTTGGCCAATCTTTCTCTCTCTTCTCTGCATATTCCACAGTATCCTTCTACGTCATCATACCTACGCGTGCGGCGAAAGATATCGAAATCCGTGGAGAACAAGACAGCGTGAATTCTCGTAGTGGGCTACCGTATATGGAGTAATGATCCTGTACAATGATTCATTGACTACTCACAGGCACTAAGAGGCACTAAGAGGCCATGCTACCATGGTACGGTACCTATTGGTCCCTCAAGTGAAATATACTAGATGCCTACCCAATTAGTTTTAATATAAAGATAAATCATAACAATTCACTCCTAAGTTCCTTTGAAAGCAGAAAAATGTCTTGTCTCGCTATATGTAGACATAGAATAACTATGGCTACCGTACAATACACAGCCCACGTTTTACCTCGCCATCCACCCGCCATCCACGGTTAAAACCTCACCACAGACATACGCACCCGCCCGACTCGCCAAAAATATTGTCGCCCCCTTGAGATCCTCCGGTGTCGCCCATCGTCCCGCAGGGATCCTCTCCAGGATACTCACCGATCGCTCTTGGTCTCCCTTCAACGCTGCCGTCATGTCCGTAGCCACGTAACCGGGGGCAATGGCATTGACGTTGATCCCTTTGCTGGCCCATTCATTTGATAATGCCTTGGTTAATTGTGCCACTCCTCCCTTCGCGGCGGCATAAGCCAGCACGTTCAATCCACCCTGGAATGACATTAGAGATGCGATGTTGATGATATTTCCACGGCGGCCGAAAGCATCCGGGGTACGCGTGAGCATGTAGGCGCCAATATCCCGGCAAAGGGCGAAGACGGTGGAGAGATTGACTTGGAGAACCTAATGCTGCTCAAAACTAGGATGGATGTTTCCCTTTCGATCACCCCGAGAATACCGTACCTCATCCCAGTCACCATCGGGAAAAAGATGGACAGGGTGGCGCCGTTGAATCCCCGCGCAGTTCAGAAGAATATCCATATCGTGTCCATCACTCAAAACCGTTGATACCAGTGGCGAGATGGACACTCGAGAAGATAAGTCGGCTGTGTATATGATTGCCTTGCGACCTAGGGTTTCAATCTTTCCTTTTGTGGCTAGATTGTTAGTGTCTCGCTGAGAAACGCTAGGGGTTAGATCTCTTGGGCTTCTGTAACCGCAACAAATTTATATCCACCTGAACAAGAATGATATCTGCGCCAGCTTCAGCCAGCCATGGCAATGGCCATCTGCTGTCCAACGCCTCGAGTCCCACCCGTAACAAGTGCGGTACGGCCCGTGAGAGAAAAGAGATCCATAGTGCGCGATTCGGGATCGTAGTTGCTAACAACGAGAATCTCGAAGAGGTTGAGCCTACTACTTATAGTTGATTGTTTCCCCCCACGCCCCCGCATTAACCGCAGTGGTGAATAAACAACCATACACATATCCCGCGGGACAACAACAACAACAACAACAACAACAACAACAACGTCAAGATAGCCAAACTAGGTACAACTACACTACCACTCTCGAATACCACCATCAGGCCCATAGAACTCCTTCGGAAGCCACGGCTCCCTCTTGGCGCTGATTCTCCTCACCAACGCCTCATCAATCTCAATGCCTAACCCAGCACCAGACGGTGCCTTCACATACCCCTCATTGATATCGAAAACTGACTTTAGTCCACCAGATCGCTACTCAAATCAATATCCCCTGCTTCCACATTATAATGCATCCCCAAGGACATCTCCTGAATAACAAAGTTAGGCGTGGACAAAAGCAACCTGAATAGACGCCGCAAGTGCAATAGGGCCCAACGGACAATGCGGCGCAACCGCCACATCGTACGTCTCAGCCATAGAAGCAATCCGCACCGTTTCTGAGATACCCCGCGCATGCGCAATATCCAGCTGCAATACATCCACTGACGCATCTTCCAGGAACCGCTTCGCACAGTCGTTCCCCGAACGCTATGGGAATGGCCGTTAGATCGGAGAGCTGCTTCAGCGCTTCGGGATGTTTACAAAGTAGCGGTTCCTCAATGAAAATTGGGCGGTAGGGCTCTAATGCCTTCGCTAGCTGCTTGGCCATGGGTTTGTGTAGTCGACCGTGAAAATCTAGTCCTGCGTCGACACCTAATGCCTTGACCTGTTTAAGGCGCTCAACGCAAGAGTCGATGGCGGACGGTGACTCCAGTCAGTTGATGTCTTCTGTTGTGTTCATCTTTTTAAACGCACTTGAGGCCTTGAGCGATGCGTGCTTTTCTGTTCCGGTCTTAGTGTATAACACTCTTTTTTTAGGTGAGTGTAAAATACTTACGCCTCGACTTCCACATCACTGGGCCAGTCACCTCCAATCCAGGCGTAGACAAGGACCTTCTGACGTACCTTTCCCCCGAGCAGTTGATAGACAGGCACCCCAAGGACTCGGCCTTTCAAATCCTACAGAGCAATATCTATTCCCGAAAGTGCAGACATAAATACCGGCCCGCCACGGTAGAACCCAAGCCGCCAGACAAGTTGCCAAATATGCTCAATATCACTACCAATTGATCAGTCTCTTCCACTAGGAACAAAGCCGCAATAGAGAAGGTAATATGGAAACGCACCCAGCTTCGTAGCCTGCAACCCTCGCAATGATCTCATCCAAAGCCCCCTCCATAGCCTGCCTATGGCCTTCTAACGTGCCCTCGCCCCTTCCGAACCGGTCCTGATCGGCAGTAATTTTGACGAAAAGCCATCGGGGCTTGACGTGGAAATACTCGATCGATTTGATTTTGGCTATTTCTTTTCCTCTAGTAGAAATGGTTAATTAGTGATGACATTATCTAGTTTTTTAATGTCTATAAAGCTTTATATACAGCCAGACATACTATGTGTTGATTATTCTATACTTCCCCGCGTGGGGGTCCTCAATATTCTGGGGAGTAACATCCCCCACGTTCCAGCTCTCTATGAAGTGCTCTATTCGTGGAGAAATACAAGGGAGTCCTGTGCTCTCATTAACAAAGTCTATTGGCTAAAACAAATGCTTGAATCACCAAAAGCCTTGTAACAGCGATACTCGGAATACTTACGCCTAGCAAGAGTACGGAAATGATTCCAGCCCTTTACTCAGCAATTTAGAGACATAACCCTAATAACAGCTACGGATAAACTCTCCAACATTAAACAACATACATATATCGCTGAACGCCAACTTCCCCGCTCCGACTCAGTGTTCTTTGTATTTGGTTACAGATATTTCTTTAACTAATGTCGAACACGATGGCCTTCCTTGATTTACTATGCGACATTCTTCTTCCTATTGCAGAGAAGTGTGACGACTTACGAGATATCGTTTCGTTTGCATGTTCCACACGTAGCACTTACAACATCCTACGAGGGCTTCGTCATCAATCCGATGCTCAGAAGCAAAGCAGCTCTGCTTCACATTATGCTGCGAAGCACAAAAAAAAACATGATGCTTGCAGAGGCGCTGCTTGAATGTGGAGCTAATATCAATTCCACAGTAAAAACAAGCATTACTCTCATTATCGCCGCAGTATTTAGGTCTGGCATTATAATTGATATATTTCTGACTCGGATGGATATTGACGTGAGTGCCCAAAATAGAGATGGGGAATCCGCGATGTAGCGTGCAGCATATGCCCGGGAGTTGATAGTTATGAGACTGCTGCAACACAAAGATCTCCAAATCAATGTTCCAGGTACCTTTAATGGAATTAGACTATCTACTCTAGAAGTAATGGACCAACACGTAGATATTGCGAAAATCTTACTCGCTACCAACAACAACCGGACTAACGTAAACGGCCGAGACAGATACGGTAGAGCCCAGCTTTATCATGCGGTAATCTCGAAACAAAAGGCGCCAATTTTACTGCTTCTCTCCAGGAGGAAAGTTGAGTTAACCTCCATATACGAGATCAGTCGGGATGCACTCCCCTCTAGATAAATTCAAGTATGAGGATTCAAGTCGCTCAGATAAAGAATGCCTCCGATTCCATGGTGTTGATACTGAGCTATATCCACTGCCTTGCTCATGTTCTGAACATTATTGTCCATGACATCCTCTCAGCAATGAAATCAGGAGATCATAAGTCTGCCATAGAAACATGTGGCCTCTTACAAGAAACAAGAAAATTGGGCGACATTCTGCTCTGGCTCGACTCTAAAACATGACTACCCAACCCTTTCCGCACCCTTTGTATCGCCAACTTAGAAGAGCTCATATATAATTTAGAAATCCCTCTACAAAGAAGCCCTCACCCGACCATCCACAGCCCGTGCCAACGCATGAATCGTATCCAAAACCGGCGTCTCCAACCCATACTCCTTAGCCTTTCTAACCGGAAACCCCAGAATAACATCTATCTCCATAGGCCTGCCATTCTTATAATCCGTCTGCATGCTACTCCCAATACCCGGCAGTGAGTTGATCTTGTCCATCAACTCATCAACAAGTCCATACTCCAATGGCACACCACACCTGCGCCCCACATCAATAACCTCGCGCATCAAACGGCGTGTTAAGGGCATCGCATCAGCACTGGAATGAAGCCAGGACTGGGTATCAAGTAATGTCAATGCAGTGAGGGGATTCCAGGCCGCGTTCCAGACAACTTTCTCCCAGCGCCTTCGCTGTATATCCTCGAGAATTTGGAACTTGGTCCGTCCTTCCTCCAATAGAGAAGCGAATGCGTCCAGCCGTGTACGCTCGATTGATGCATCTACCAATGCATTGGGGAACAGGCCGATCTGCATATCTTCTGATTTGGTGTGTTTGATCGTTCCCGGTGCCGTTTGCGTAGCCCCTGTCCATGTCTTTGTTTGTAAGTACTAGATACGTACTGAACATCATCACACTTGGGGGAGGGCATACCACGCATGTAATGATGGATGACTTGGGATATGCTTTTCGGAACGGCTCCTCATTGCCAACACCGTTTTGGATGATCACAATGGTTGTCTTTTCGCTCACGGCGGGTTGGAGTCGGGACGTCACTGCTTCTTGGTCGATGGCTTTATGCGCACAGAGAATGTAGTCAAATGGGCTGGAGACTTTATCGGGTGATTTTAGGACTACGGATGTTAGCTCTCTTGCTTGTGGACGTATGGTAGGGCTCATTTACCGTGATGAGGGTGAAATCTGTGCTGCCCATGGTTTTCGCTGTCGATGAAGATACCCTACGGGTGTGGAGGTATTAGTGATTTGTTCTCCTCGACAAATTGTAGAACTTAAGAGATGAGATGTACGTACGTTTTTCTTGACGGCGTCATAGTTTGATCGCGCCGCCACGGTCAAATGAACGCGGTCACAGCGACTTAGGATAAAAGTATAAAAGGAGCCAATGCTATATGAAACTGTCAGTGGGGCGGCGCAAGAAGAGAAAATGAGGGTAACTTGCGCTCCTAAGCCATAAATGAGAACATTTATCTGGCTGTCCATTCTCAATTGTGTCCAATCTTAGTGCTCCCGTTTGCTGGTATGCAGTTGTGAAAATGTTGAAATGGTGACAGTAGCACATAAACTAATAGTCCCATGCGGGGTTCGGAGTAATGGCCGATGATGGACGTGGCGGTCATTTACTTACCTAAAGAATCCAGATTACTAGCATTTTAATGGTTGTAAGGAGTTTTATCAATATAAAATTAACACTGTTAGTTTAATATACCTTGAAAACCCCGGATGATGCGCTGCTATAGTTGATTGCAACTTCACAGACCCCAACTTCACAGACCCAGCCACATCTCTCTCCAATCGAGCCGTGTTTAGAAGATGTGGGCTTAACTCCTTTAGACTCGTAGCCCCGAAAAATATTTTCGTTTAATACAAGATAGTTAAGCTACCTGAATATCCGATACCAACCCCGGAAAAACGAGGTGGGGTGTGACGTGGGGTCATTTCACGAGAAGTATAGAATCAACTATTGGGATTCATCCATAAATCAGGAGGGAGAACAAAAGCTTTCCCCGCATTCCCATTGACTAAACTGACTATGCTCCTTTCGACTAGTGTACATGTGGACAAACGTTAATCTGCACGCTATCGCTTCTCTTGAAGAAGGTCCTAGTCTTAGTATGCAATACCAAATCTTGATCAAATAGAGTCGGCAGAATTCATCAAGGACGAGGATACAATTTCGACGTCTGCTAACAACCCAAAACAATTGGTATCATGATTCTCACAAAGGGATATTCATTTATAACAAATTAAATATAAAACAACCAGACCATTTCTCATCATGCAAAAACCGGCAACCCACCATGCCTTACAATTCAATCAAGCTCTCTTCAACTGCCTGCCGGGATGGTGGAGGTTGTTGATATTGTGTTGGCGGAGCAGTGCCGCCTTCTGGAGAGGCATCGCTGACAGGGTACGCACCATGTTGCAATGGTGGTCCTTGAGGGTACGTGGGATGAGAGTGCCCTGGAGGAGGTTGTTGCTGGTAGTAATAGGACTGAACCGAAGGGTCGGTGGGCTGGCGATGTAGTATAGGCTGGCTGCCAGGTTGCATGGGGTGAGGTTCTGACAGATGTAGGTACGCAGGAGACGGCACTTGCTCCGTGGATAGTGGCTGCTCTGGCACGCTTGGCGCTGGAACGCTGGCATGTCCTGTCGGCTGGTGCTGAGAATCGCGTCGTGTCACAGGAGATGGCATATAAGGTGTGTCAACCTCACTTTGTCGGGGAGACTGATATGTATTGGCATCTTGCTCTGGCTGCGCAGGCGCTGTGTAATACTGTATTGATGCGGCTGGGGCGTGATAAGCCGAGGGGCTTTGAGGGAAAGGTGTATTGGCAGCTGAGATCTGGGGAGACGCAACCTGTGCGTTTCCATTCCAGGGTAGGTTTTGTGGCATGGCCTGAGTAGGCTGCGAGTACGTGCCAGGACTCATGGCTCCGCTGCGCATTCCGGGTCTCTCAAAACCCTCCCTCTCTGGTGGTTGTTGGGGGTACTGGGTCGCAGAAATTGGCGGCTTTTCCGCGGCTGAACTTCCATAGTAGAAATTCTCAGCTCCACCCTTTCCTTCATGTGCTTGTGAAGGCATCGGCGGGTACACGTTGGGATACCGTGAACCGCCAGGAACGGATCCGTAACCTAGTGAATGTTGTGAATATGCACTGGAGAGACGCTCCTCCAACATGCGGTCGTAATACCGGACAACCGTAGATAATTTAGAATGCAGATCAAGTAGGGTGTCTATACATCTGTCATCAGTACTAGCACGCTCAAGATCTTATGGATATGGACATACCATGTTTGCTCATAGTTTCACCATAACTCCGAGCCAATTTGGGTCGAAGGGTGCCGATACTTTCATATAACTCCTGAATCTGAGGTTCGCGTAGAATGGTACCCGGTGGCTGGTGTTGCAATCGGTCAACAAGCGTGGCAAAAAGGTGAATATTTTCAACCTCGACAGGGCTGAGCTCATAGGGATTCTTGGGTAATGGAGTCGCGCCAGGCGTATCTCGGGATGCGGAAGATTCGGTGGTAGTGTTATTTTTCAGGGCAGCTGCGTGCTTTTGCTTATGTTGTTCCATATCGCGCAGGGATGCCTCGATGGCGGCCTTGAGATCTGCATCCTCCTCCTCCTCCTCGGTTCTTGATTGAGCAGATGCCTTAGGCGGCTCCGGAGCAGCCTTCGGCTGTGAGACGTAACCAGTAGATCCTCTACCTTGTGCCTCCTCGAGACTCATCTGCAACGCCCGACGTAAATCATCATCAAAACCACCTTCCGCTCGCGCCGTACGGGGTTCCATCACACTAGACTTTGTGATGGAGTTGTTTTTGAAGGCAGATCGGTCCGACAATCCAGACGATGTGAGGGGTTTTGAGGTTAACTTCGCATAACACCCATCATCGACTCGTACAGGCTGCAATATTCCCAGATGGGGCAAGGGGATGCTTTTGCTTGAGCATTGAGCATCGAAGACATTCCCGCAGTTTCGGCAGTGATGCTTGCGATTCATGAAACTGAATGGAGTACGGCAGCGCATACAGACATCCGAGTCGATCCATTCCGGGGGCTAAAATGCAGCAATGAATGTTAACGAAGTCGAGGCCGTTTTAGCTAAAAATCCACACTTACCGCGCTACTCTCCAGCATGCTTCCACTGATGTGAGTCTTCGGCGGAAATCGGAAACCCTCATCTTGCAACTTGCGATATGTTTCCCCGACATAACTCAAGTCCATACGGCCCTGGGCTGCCATCGCCCAGTCCTGGATCAATTCCAACATCTTTTCTTTCACCTCTGTATTGAGCGGGGCACCCTCCGCTTTCATAAGGGAGACGAGGTTATCCATGAACTCGCGGGACGCAATTTCGGCGAGAAAATGTGTTCCACCATTTTTGACGCATGTATCTGTCAACTATAGTACAGAATGCATCAGTATACAGGGAAAGCGAATGAGCACTTCCGAAAGAATGCTGAGGAGCTAACCTTCAATGTCGCTAGTTGCACATTCGGGTTTTTATTTTCCAATCGTCGCTTCAGAGATCTCATCGCTTCCTTGGGCTGAACACTCTTCGATCGGATAAGGTCTGAAACTTCTAGGTTGAGGGCTATATCTTCCCTAGTGTACTGGTCAGAATCGGGATTCGGCCGGCATCGCCAGGCGACAACGAATCCAAGGGGTGACGGAAACGTCGCGCAACATACAAAGAAGATGACGTAGCCTTTTCCACCTGATCATCAATGGGAGAAGATGAAGAGAACCAGCCCGCCATGGTGACGGTAATAGTATCACAGAAGCGCAATCGCTAGTCCAAGGATGGCAGAGCGAAGGGTAGCTATGACGTTGGGTAGCGGCGGTAAATGAGGGGAGGATGAAAATCGTCACCGCAGACCTGGTTCTGGGAAAGCGATATAAAGAAGAAGTTTGTCTTTCGGTAGATTTTATGAACAGATATCAGGACCGAGAGGGGAAGAGATGAAAGAGTTGTTACAAGCTCCAGGCAGATCCATCGATACCTAGGTATTGACTGAGGTACCGACTTGCCTAACGGAGTAACTGACGGCTTAACTTCCTTAGGTAAGGCCCACGATGACTCAGCATCAACACAACGCATGTGGCGTCATAGTCGCGGGCGGTGAGTGAGTATCGATACCGTTATTGTGCCGCCTTATCCTTCTGATCATGAATGGTGTCAGGTGCGTAACTTACAGGTTTTACCCCGGAAACCTCCCGCAATCTGTCTGCCTTCTTTGAAGCTTCTCCTCTTTCGTGCCCTTCTAATTCCTTGCAAATCCTTAATTCCCTTCTGTCATTTACTCTTTCGCGCCGATTACCTGTCCCTTGTTCTGAGCGCGGCTTTTTGTCCGTGATTACTGCCTGTATATACGTGTCTCAAGCAGTCAGTTACCGCCTCCAAAGACTGACCGATTTCCTCTACGCCCCCTCCGCCGAGCTTTTCGAAAGCCCAATGAAATGCTTTTCCTAAACAGTGTATAATGTCCTCAGATGCAGCGGCTTTGCCCTCTCCACCGGGCTTTGCGCCGTGGGAAAATAACCATCGTCCCGGGGGGCAAACCAACAGACCAGGATCAGTTTTGGGCAACAACCATGCCACTCCAGCGGGCTATCCATCTCCACAGTTTCCCAATATCAAGGACCTCCAAGACCAGGCTGCAGCTCTCGATATCAATGAGACCTCATCGGTATGTCCTCCAGGATTCTGCAAAACTCCTAGACAAGGTCGGTTGCTCACTTGCTACAGCTTAACATTCTCCTCAGTAGAGCCCAAGACGCAATAGAGCAGGCCAGGAACTTCGCTGACAACGATCAACCGGACAAAGCCTATGTGCAGTATCTTCGTGCTTCCGAAATAACGATAAATATTATACCCCACCATCCGGAGTATCGGACCACTGCTAGCCAGCGCTCAGGATGGTACAAACAGTTCGCAGATCTGATGATGGTATGATTTCCAGTCGAGTTTTATTCAATTGATTGCAGTAATTTTGATACACATTGTTCCACGCAAGTATGATTGACCGCAAGATCTTAGGCCGTACGAACGAAGCAAGGGACGATGGACGATATCAAGCAGCAGATTCTAGAGGACAATCTTATAAGCAATGTACAGCCCACAACTACATCCGAATCCGATAATTCAAGACCTACTTCCAAGATATTGCCTGCTGGCGCACTTCGAAGTCCGAGTCCAAGAGGTCGTCAAATTGAACAAGGAAACAAGTCAGTACGGATGCCAAGCCCGTCAGAATTTCAACGGTCATTGGGTCTACAACAGAACTCGAATAGATACTCGGCTCCTGCGGAGGATGCGCTAGCCCAGCGCTTTGCCAGGCTAAGAGCGTCACCGCCGACTACGACAAACGGTCAAAGCAGTCCTGTTTCCGCGCAAGGGTATAATGGCGAATATCAGGCACGGCCGGTGTCGTACGTACCTCAAGGGTCTTCACATAGCCCAAATCTTACTTCACCATCGCGGCGTCCTTTAGGGCCCCGTAGCATGGGGTCCTCACATAATGGTCCGGTTCTGCCTCCCAAAGTTCCGCTCAATACATCGCTCCCTCGCGCACCGGATCCAACTTATAGCCCAATATGGACTGTCCCATCACAGCCACCTTCGAATCCACCTAGAACCTCAACCGAGAGCTCCCGTCCAGTTAACCCGCGATACTCTCATCTCGCTAATTCACCCTGTGGCAGCCCAAGTCGTAATGGCTTTGATGACAACCCTTATAGATCATACACTCCGAATGGGATGCACCAGACGAAGGAAGACAGAAGTAACACTGCCGATTTGCCTCACAGCACTACGATCAGTGCCCATGATCTACTCGAATCTCTTCGAAAATACAACGTGTTGCTGATCGACGTGCGCCCGCGGGATCTGTACGACAGTGGGCACGTATATGCGAAATCTATCATTTGTATCGAACCTGTGGCACTGAAAGAAAATGTATCTGCGGAGGAGCTCGAGGAACGTTTGGTGATATCACCTGAGCATGAACAATCCTTGTTCGAGAGACGTAATGAATTCGACGTGGTGGTTTACTATGACCAATCCACCGATTCGGTCAGCTACCTGGCGGGGTCCCCTGTTGGAACGACGGCGCCGCATCTCAGAGCGCTCTATGATACTCTTTATGAATTTAACGCCTACAAGCCTTTGAAGGATGGCCGTCCTCCCGCTCTTTTGCTGGGCGGTCTCGACGCTTGGACTGATCTGCTTGGACAGCAGTCCCTTGCTACTTCCTCCACGGCTGCTGTGATGGGCTCGCTCCAAGCAAAACGTCTAGCTGCGAGACCTGGCCGACCTCTTGGAAGGGTCCCTACTATGGCGAGTGCTAATTCCAGCTTAGAAGTGCGGAAAAGAAGGCTACGCGAATATAAGCCCTTAAATCCAGATGAACTCACAGCATGGATGGAAAAGTCAAAGAATGAGGAAATCGACACTGCTACGTATATCGAAGAGGAAGCGATGGCCGAGGAACCGGAGGGAGACGAGAACGACGAACCCTCTTCACCATTCGTGCATACATATGAAGACTTTCTGCGGCGCTTCCCAGAACCCCAGGCTATCCAACAATCAATGGTGACGCTGCATGCTCGGCCACCAGTACCGGCCACACCTAACTATGCTGCACCTGTTCCCGTTGCTCCCTCGCGGCCTCCGCCTGCAGTTCCACGCCCAAGTTATAGTGGTGTTGCAGATGGCCGGCAGATTCAGCCTACCCTGGCGCGACAGAATTCAGCTACGAAGACTGCTCTTTACACTCCAAGTTCAATCTACCGCGCAAAGCTTCCCAGGACTGGCCTGGCCAATTTTGGCGTAACCTGCTACATGAATTCAACAATACAGTGTCTGAACGCAACGATGATGTTTAGTAGATTTTTTGTTGATAACCGGTTTCGATACTATGTGCAAAAGAACTGGAAAGGTTCTCAAGGAGTCATGCCGGGGCTTTTTGCAAACCTGATTAGGTCACTGTGGAAGGGTGACGTGGAAGTGATCGTGCCGACGTCATTCCGGAATTTCTGTGGGAGGTTAAACCAAGAATGGGCCATTGATCGACAGCAGGATGCCAAGGAGTTCTTTGACTTTGTCGTAGATTGCCTCCATGAAGACTTGAATATCAATTGGCAGCGAAACCCATTGCGACCGCTAACGTTTGAGGAAGAGATGCAACGAGAGAGGATGGCCGTTGCCAAAGTTTCGAAGATTGAATGGGATCGGTACTGCCATCGAGAAGAATCATTCATTTCATCGCTCTTTGCTGGGCAACATGCGAGCCGGCTCCGTTGCACGACCTGTAAGCGGACCTCAACAACGTATGAGGCTTTTTACAGCATTAGCATTGAGATCCCGCCGTCCGGGGCTGGCGATATCTATCAATGTCTTCGCAGTTATTGTCAAGAGGAGATGCTGAGTGGCGACGAGGTCTGGAAGTGCCCCTACTGCAAGTGTGAGAGGGTTGCAACGAAGCAGATCATCATCACTCGCGCTCCACAAATCTTGGTCGTCCATTTCAAGAGATTCTCTGCGTCCAAGACCCAGAGCGCTCGAAAAATCCACACTCCTATTGAATTCCCTTTGCATGGTCTCCGGATGGACGACTTTGTTTATTCACAGGCGAGCCTCGAGCCGAATGGTGATTCCAAGAGCACCGTCGCCCGAGATACTACCCTGGCAACTGTCCCGCCGTTTACCTATGATGCATATGGTGTATTACGCCATATTGGATCGTCCATGGGTAGCGGACATTACATCTCCTTAGTACGAGACGGAGCACGGCAATGTTGGCGGAGGTTCGACGATGAGCGAGTCATCGATTTCAACCCGCGCGATTTGCGTTACAAGGATCGACTGCAGAATGAACAAGCGTACATTGTATTCTACGAGCGCGTTCCCGCGAAATGAGCGATAAGACATGGTCCTTCTCAATAGTTTTGTGGCTGAGAGCATCAGACTTATATCCCCGTTGGCATTTCTATGGTGGACACGTGATATGAGCATATAACGAGCATTTCCTCTTTACGTTTTCACGGCAAGCATGTTGAGCGTGTTGGGCCATTCAGCGAGTTAGTTTTGATATTGGTTAAATTCGGGTGCGCCTGTATATAAGTACTTTTTCTTCTCTTTAAGTGTTGGATGGACATGGGAATGGGAAGGGCGATGGTTGAAGCATGCGGTTGTGACATTAGCTTTGATAGATGCGTTAGACCGATTCTATTCTTGAAAACAAGTGACCCATGCTGGGAATACATGGAGTTTAAATTCTATCTGAATGTTTCAGCATAACGAAGATGGCTGTGACCGCTCTTTCTCTGCGTGTACAGCTATAGTTGAAACTGGGCATATGCATAGAGCACATAAGTATATGGACGCAAGGGTCAATCTCAGAAGGGATATTCTGATATATATATACACGTATCCCATTCAGATAATTTTAAGAACTGTAGCAGAGCTTAGGTAGTACATACTGTCTAGACCCTCTTAGTCTAGATGTATAGATCACCTCATCGAAAACTGACCACCTGTCCCCTCAGCACCTCCGCAGCGGAGAGCGGGGAAGACAATCCATCTCGGGCAAACGAACCCGAGAGCGGTACCCGACAAGCGTGGAGACAGGTGTCCAGCCCCGAGGTTATTGCGGTTATACCTCGAAGACGGAGCTAATACCGGCCTGATAAGGTCATCACGGGCGCGGAATTAACGTTAGGGGCTTTCCACCATGACTTCCTAGGGGTTATGTGCCAGTCTCGCATGGTATACTTGCCTAGGACATTCAGTCTAAATGGTTACCATGTGATGGGATAAACCCTGAAAAGTATAATCGCACAGCAAGTGAAACCCAGATATAACCATTTATGGATGTTAGATCCTAAGATTGGACATGTGGAAGTATTAGGCTACCTGTTGATTCAGCGATAGAAGATTCTCTACCAAGTCTTGTAGATGTACGTATATCTAGTAGAACTGTAGTTTACATGGAATTTCCTGATTGAAGGCACCGCCCAATTAGGCAATTTAATCCACGAGAGATGCTGGACATTCATTCGGTCTCCGCGGGACGGACACTAATCGATCGATTAAGTAAGCTTCCTTACAGCGATCCTTTTTTTTATCCCTCCACTTTTGACTCCGTCAGGTTAGGGTAGTCGGGAAAGCTAAAAGGTTCCTCTGACTAAGACGCCTAATAAGCCATCGCTCATTGGTGCACAGAGCGATAGTCCCTATCAGGCCACCTGTCGGCCAGGAGATCTACTTACTGAGTACTTAGAAGTAGGAAGGTACCGGAATCCGATGGACACGGCGTACAGATAGATGTAAGGGAAAAGGACAACATCAAGATATAATTCTCCATTAATAATACTTGTAAACCGGAGCAGATCAATGAGGTTCCCCGAGGGTAAAAGTAGACGGAAGAGATTCACGGCAAGTTAAAAAACAAACCAAACCAAACCAACGGCTCTGGGTTCCTGAGGGCCTCAGGCGGAGTCGCGGTCGAATCACGTTAGCCGTAGCCTCCCCAACTTTCTCTCATCATCTTCTTCTTCCCTCCCCAGCGTCAGCTCCGACTTTTCTTCTCCCTCCCTTTCTCTTCCCGATCTTCCCTTGTTATCAGTTCCCGTTTTTGCGGTATATCCCAGCGCCCCGGTGTCCTTTCCTTGTGATTTAGTTTAGATTCTTGGTGAGTGTCTTCTGTCCCTTTTCGCACTTCGAAACCTCCGGACTTGACCCATGTAATACATACACGGGACACATCCATAAAGAGTGCCTCCTCTTCCGATTTCCTGCTGTTACCGATTACCTGTGCAGTCTTTCACCAGAGGTTGATTCCGCGGCGGCAGCCCCGTGAATGCTACAACCCCTGAATGATATCCAATGATCTTCCTGCGGACCCTATGACCCATCCGCCAGTCCTCATCATTCTCACAGACCCCAAAATTACAATCGCTAACATCGCCTCATCCCTACAGTCTTCATAACCCCATATCAAAATGTCTGAGACCAAGGAATTCACCTTCAAGGAGGTGTCCGGCCACAACACCAAGAAGGATCTGTACATGGTTGTCCACGATAAGGTCTACGACTGCTCCTCTTTCGTTGACGAGCACCCGTACGTTTCCCCCAGTCTCTCCTCATCCCATGAAAACCCCAACCCAAATGCGACTCTCACCGATCAACAACTGACAATGAATTGCAGAGGTGGAGAAGAAGTCCTGCTCGATGTCGGCGGTCAGGACGCCACAGAGGCTTTCGAGGACGTCGGACACAGTGACGAGGCCCGTGAGATCTTGGACGGTCTCCTAGTCGGAAACCTCAAGCGCGTGGTGCGTTGGGATCCTTCCACCCCCATTCCCATGACCCGAGGAAAGATATAAGAAAAATGCTTGATAACTAACTGCGCTCGCAAATCCTTACAGCCTGGTGACCCTGCCCCCCGTTCTCAGGCCCAGTCTACCACCAACGCCTCTTCCAACTCTGGCTCTACCGGCCTCGGTGTCGGTGTCTACGCCTTTCTTGTCCTCGGCGGTATCGTCGCCTACGGTGCTTACCAGTACCTGAACGCTGCTAGTGCCGAGTCTCATTAAATGAAGGGCTTAGATACTTGGACCAAAAAAGAAATGAAAAGGAGCAAAAAAAAAAAAATAAGTTAATCGAGAACAAACCTTTTTTCGACACGATTTCGCGTTTTTTGAAACGTATGACCGTCTCGGTGTGCTTTCCGTCCAGCATCGGGAGGTTTACATGGTGATATCCACTGCAGACACTGTTTTAGTTGTTTGTTATCTTGTGAATTGCGCAATTTAAGGAAGACCGAAGATTCTTCTTGGCATTATGACGATTATTACCTTTTTTTTGCCTCTGAGAAGCAGTAGAAGGGGCCGCTTTGCTTCTGTATCTTACGGCTCAAGTTAAACATAGATCGCGAATTATCTTGAATTGATTTCCTACGCAAAGCGGGCCAGAAAATGTAATGTTCCCATCACAAGTCTCAAAAAGTGTAAGAACAAACACCAGATACGTACGTATTACTGCGAAAAAGAACCAAAAAACATATTACCACTTATACACAAAAGATAGATATATACTGCCGGGAGAATGAAATGGTTTAAATACAGAAATATCCAAGTTGGGCGAGTGCCTCCGATGCAAATAATAAAATAGTATATAACACAATCTTTTTATCAGACATAAGACACGATAAGAATAGAATTTTGGACCCCAAATATGTTCGCAATCATCACCAGTACGTGAAATTGTTCAGACTCCACTACCAGCTTTGGGCTGGGAATTACCTGGTGCTACCCTCGAGTCCGGCCCGGACAGCTTCCAGAATCATATCCTTGGCTTGCTCCAGGCCTTCCTTGCTTCCCTTGACCTCGATCGCCTCACCCTTGGCCTGATCCTTGGGGACATTGATTCGGCAGCCAGTCTGCTTACGAATGGCATTGATCTGGCTACCTCCCTGTCCAACAACAAAGCGGTAGGTCTTCGGGTCGGGCAGGATCAAGTAGCCAGTCGCGGATTGTTGTGAGGCATTAGCAATAGCCTTCTCCAGGGCTGCCTTGGCCCTCGTGATATTGTCACGGCTGCCTGCTAACACCCATGGAATGGTAGCGGGTTGGGTCGAGTCGCTGGCTGCGGGAACATTTTCAACCACCTTCCACGAGTGAGCATCGGTGGCTTGGCTGGGCTCATCGGTGATTAATGGTAGAGATGAACCTCCGTTGATCGCACCACGAGAGTCCTCTGAGGTAGGCTTGGATGGAACTTGCTGACCAGCATGATCCACGGTCACCTGATAGTCATTACGGAGGCGACGGAAGAAAGAGCCATTGTCGGAAATGGCATGATGCAAGTGAGTAGGGACATCGATAGTCTCCCCTTGCCGGTCCTTGAGCAGAGAGAGGATGTGTTCCTTGGCCTCTGTGACAGCGTTGGTAGGGCCCTTCAGTTTGATTTCAGAACGTCCAGAGCCTTGCTTTGGAATATCGAGCGTGATGTTGAACTTTGACTCAATGCCGCGCCTGGTCTCACCACCGCGTCCAATGAGCAGCCGGTGCTGAGTAGTAGGAACTTCGACGTTCTCTGTCACCTGATCTTCGCGCTCTTTCACAAACTCCTCAATGGCAGCAATAATCTTGTCAACAACTTGGCTGTTCCCTTCAAGTTTAATAGTAGTGTCACTGCTTTCGGGGCGGGGGAACCTAACAAGGCGCGATGCACCCCCGTCAGTAGGGCCACCAGCATCAGCCACAATTTTACGAATGTTCGCACCTAGCTTAATGTTAGCAAGTTGAAGGAAACATAGGTGAGGAATAAGGAAACTCACCACCCCCACCAATCAGCGATTTGTGGTGCTTCTTGTCAACTTCGATAGTCTTAGTAACAGTAGCATCAAATTCCCTGGACCGTTGTTCCAGGATCTTCTTGGCCTCTTCGACCTGCTTCTTCGTTCCCTTAATCATAATCTGCACCCGGCCCGAAGCATCTGGCACATCATCGGCCCCGGGAACATCAATTCGGGCACCAGTATCGGCGCGGAGCTTGTCCATTTCACGACCGCGCTGGCCAATCAAAGACGGAATTTGGCTTTGAGCAACAGACACCGACCCAGAGTGAGAGTGATCAATGACCCATTGCAGCAAGCTGAGGAGCTCATCGCGTGTGGCGTCAGCTCCCTTGCTAGGACCCTTGACAATAACTTCGTCAGCTGCCTGTTGAGGCCGGTTGGGACGAGAGCCGCCCGCCTCGCTAGATGCTTCAACAGACTGGTCGTCTGCACCGATGGGTGCAGCGCGAGGGAACTGAACTCGGACGCTATAACGATCCTGGAGCCTGTTGACTTGGCTTCCCTGCTGACCGATAAGCTCACGGTGATATTGGGCAGGGATCTTCAGGACATGAGTCGTCTCATCCTCCAGCTTCTTGCCCATATTGATGATCCTAGCCTTAGCAGCATCAGCCTTAGCCTTGGGTCCCTTGACCTCAACCTTGCCGTTCTCCACCTTAATATCAACATCAAACTCCTCACGGAGCTTGTTGATGTTCTCACCCTTCTTGCCGATAAGGATGTTCGCGAACTTTTGAGGGAAATCGAACGAGGTTGTGTACCCTCTCTCCAGATCATCTTTCTCTTGTTCTTTGACGAATGCTTGCAGTTGCGAAATCAACTCTTCCACGAGATGGGATGGACCGCGCAGTGCGATCTCGCTTTCGGCGCCACGGCTGCTCGACTCTGTGACGAGTGCGCGAACAGGTATGGAGTCTTCACCCTTTGCCTGTTGTTCCCGAGCAATGAACTTTCTAACCTTCTCCTGATATTTGGCTGGCACGTTCACAGACTTTGCTACAATATCGTTTTGGTCACCCAACGTGCTAGAGAGATACTCCTGGGCTTCTTGGAGAGCCTTCTCGAAGGCGGCGAGCTCAGCAGCAGATGGTCGCTGACGCGAGACTTCGAACTGAGAAGCGGTAGCCGACGGTCCCTCGTAAATTAGTACCACATTCGGGCTGTCAAGCTCTTCGGGAGTCAGGACATGTACACCATACTCGGCCTGTAGCTTTGCAATAGCCCGATCACGAATGTAAGGGTGGAAATAAGGGTCAATTGAAAGGTGACGAATCCTTGCTGGAGGATGGGCATGAACAAGGTTCATAATATCGGATCGAGCACGGATAGTGTTCTTGCCATCTCTAGAGTAAACCTCCCAAGTGACCGGGCCATCGGAGCTTGGTGGAAGTGCAATACGAGCATCGTACATGCTCTCCAATTCCTTGATGATCTGTCGTTGTCTAAGGTAGCGTGTAAGGGCACGCGCGTGGGCGTGTGGTCCACTGGGAGCATTTGGGTGCTGGCGTGAGAGGTCAATGCTTGCCATCTGCATGCTTGTGGCAAGGTCCATTGCCCGATTAATACCACTTTCAATACGATCCAATGGACCAGTAATGGTAAGGAATTCACTGTCATCCGAAGGAGGTGGCAGAACGATTGCGCAGCCAGTGTCAGCAAGGAATTCGTGCAGTGCATCAGCGTTGTCACCCAAGATGAATTGATGCTGACCACGGTTGATTGCTAGTTGACGAAGAGTCAGTTTGCGCTGGAGGTCGGCAGCAAGTCTCTCAATTTCAGCACGGGCCTCCTGTGCTGCAGCGCGCTCTCCACTAATGTGAATGTGCTTCTCAGGGACTGCCACAAACTGAACATGGCCAGGATCAGCCTCCTCAGGCGGAGGCTGACTTTGCCACGTATCGTACCGAGGAACATGCAGCTGGGCTTGAGTGCGCTGCTCAATATCTTTGAGATACGCATTATGCGGTCCCGCGATGAAAGGAAAGAACTCAGGCGGGATGGATTTGAGTCGTATGCTCATGTTCGAAGTTCTCTCCTTCACGATGGCCTCAATTTCCCGACGAGCCATTTCAGCTGCAACAGCATCACCTTCAATGAGGACATCAATAGTATCGCTGTCATCATCGTCCTGTCCTGCGGCAGATTCATCGATGCGGGGAACTTGCACGCGTGCGCCGGTCCGCTGCTGCATCTCCTGTACAATAGCGCCTTGTCGACCGATGATGTGAGGACGGGCAGAGGTAGGAATTGGCACACGTACGGATTGCTAAATCCTAAGGTTAAAAACGGACCAACCAGGACCCAGAGCGATCAAAAAACATACCTTGGAACCGACTTGCTGTGCGACCTCCTTCAGAGCTTGTCTAACAGCGTCTACAGAGCCCTTACCCTCGAAGATTATTGAGCCACCGGGGCCATTTCGCATATCAACATTGGCCTTCGACCGTCTCGAGATATCGCGCAGAATATCGCGCAGCGGTTTCTTTAATTGCCCCCGAGGAAGCATTTGGGAGGGCGCTAGCCGGAGCTGCTCGACGTGTTTGCCAGGAAGGCTCATGATACGAGGGCCTTGCGCTATTTCACCACCGGTCAGCCTTCTCATGCTTTGTGCGAATGAGAATAGGAAAGCCTACCTGCCGCTGACCCACCAGGAACGCCGTTGGCAACGGCGGCAGCCGCTGAAGGCCCTCTAGCGCCCCATGCAGATGCAGCAGGCACTTTGGGCTTCGGGCCACTCCCCAGGGCAGGAAACAACTCCTCTGACTGTACATCAAAAGCGGGGGCCTTCTTGGGAGCCGCCTTGGGGGCGGGGACTTCCGTGGGTGCCGGGCTCTGCAATGAAGCATCGGCCTTTTGGTCCTGCACTGGAGACGATGGGGGAGGGTGCTTGCGATCTTCTTCATCAACAACATCCTCCACGGTTGGCTTATGTTGCACATCACGTGCATGTTGCTCCTCTAGCAGGGCAGCTCGAGACTTGGGGATTCCGCCGTTAACATCGGCATTGGACAGATCCGAAGCCATTCTGACGGGAAACTGTAAACAACCTCGCTTAATTGCGTTACGATAGACGTATAATATATATGCGATGGGGAGGGTGGAAGGCGGATCGAACTAAGTCACTTTTGATTCAATTGGTTAGGTTGGAGATATATTTCAGGCTTCAATTGAATCATACCAGGAAGCCGCAAGTAGAGAAAAAGAGGCTGTTCAACTTAAAACAGCACTATAGAATAAGTGGTGGGCGGTGAATTGTCACTGTGGGCAATCCAAAATTTCCAGAGGTGAACAAATAAATCAATGTCTGCGGAGATTACGAACAAAAAAGGATAACAATCAGTGCATAACCGGGATTAAAAAGAGGCGTGAAGGAAAACTGAAGAGCAACTCTTCGCGGAAGCGGAGAGAAGGGAGGTAGAATAAGGAGGGGGAGAGAGGATGAGGGGTGAGCGAAGGCGTCGGAAAACGACCGTTGACAAAGGACTGATAATTGATGGGTGACGATGGGGGAAAGGGAAGAAGGGCGAAGAGGACAGCAACGCCCCGGGGGTGAGAGTGCTTATTCCCTTTTGGGCGATTCGACAGCGGAGCCGAACCACCCACTTCCGTGGGAGCCTCAACCTACAAACCACGTCAACCACCGATGGCAGACAAAATCTATGTAATTTAGGATTGAAATAATATTATCTAGTCGATGAGGCATGCAATACCCAAGTTGTGACATGGAACACTTTCGGATGGGGCAATCGCTCGCAGCTATTAATACCAGTAGCGGCACGAAATTTTCAACCAGAATTGTCCTTTCTAACCCTCAACTTACTTTAAGATTGCCTTAATTGGTTATTTCGGTACTCTCTTGGAGATTAGGTTAAGTAAACTTTATCTGAGATATATCGGAATTATGGGCAAAAACACCGCTATGACCAGAAACGATAGTCAATACCAATACTTACAGATCGACATATAATGCACAAGTCAGGACGTAGTATAAAAAACGACCGACAATCACTTCAACTTGCCTCAGACCTTTGCTGAATTATATGGCAGTTATATATTGGGCGCAAGTCCTATGCGTATCGTCTTAAATTATTTCTTCACCTCACCTCCCCAATAATGCGTCGAGGAATATATACGATCTACACTATAGCGCCCCAACAGAGCTATGCTTAATCATAGAATGGTCTTTATCACCGTTATCACTAATTATCACTACAACAGCTTGAGGATTCGCCATCTCTGGAGATGACAATCCTTTTGTTATCATAGTACTGTTGTATCTAGTGAGACAGCCTTGGCTCATCAATGGATTCACGGAGCTAGAAACGTAAGGGCAGATGGATAAAAATGGACAGGCACTTTAATCAACACCAGTGAGCCTGTATTAAGGGATACATTTTTCTACAAACTATCATACCGCGCCAATCTAGACACTGGTAAATTGCTATCATACATCAACCTGTATAAGGAGCTATCACTTAAGGGGCACTACAATATACAAAAGCCTTTCAAACAATTTGCTGTATCGAAGGCCAACTAATCCTACAAAATTTTATGATACGACACCTCCGAGTGCTACCTAGTTCACTATCTCAGACCAAAAATACACGATATCGCCAACAATGAAAGCTAATCAAATACCACTGTTTATCCAACGACCCAATCTCGAGTAGCACCTAGGATTTATATTGTCAGGGAGCAACAAGCCGAATCTCGTGATGCCTTTAAAAAAAAAAAAATAAAGTGACTGTCATTGGTTACTTTGTTCCTAATGTTGTATGATGTATCAAATTATATATGATGATAAAAGACCACAAGTACATTGTGTAATTATAGCATACATAGTCCATCGAGTATCAGAAAAGAAATGGGGCAAGATCTGATTCTTTTAGTACGTAGGTTTGAAGATATAGTCTTAACCTCCTGTGAGGTAACTCATGTTTATCTGTCTTAGTAGTAACGAATTTTCCAAAGTAAGTAGTTATGGGCAAGTAACCGCTCAGAACGTACGAGAAAGACTCATTCAGTTGTGTTCATGACACTGAGAAAACTGTAAGGGATGCCTTGGGAAACAGAGAAAGATGGGGGCTTACATCACTTCAGCGGTGCAGACACCAAAAATGAGAAACGGAAGCATGTATCGTATATGCAAATATAGTGCATATATTCTGCCACGAAAGATGAACAGACCAAGCATTCTGAGAGGGAGGGTCCATGGTTCCTCTATCTACCTTTTTATCCAAAAGGCAATCAAGAGACATAAAGGCGGACATTGCGAAGAGAATGATACGAGCTATCTCAAAGGCCACAGATAGGGAGAAACTAGAACGATATTAACCGTGACAAAATGTTCCGAGATATCATTCAAGTCGATAGCGAATGAAATTCCGCATCTTGTATTGATCATGGCTGGTTACTCTTGGACTTACAGAAAGGTCACCGAACAATCCGACCCACCAGCCATGGCTAAGCTTGAGCCGAAGTGGATCCAAAGCTTGATCGAGATACGCATTTTCACACAACTGTTCATGGCTTGAATTGGCATTGATGTGGAATAAATGCAAAAATAGTGCTTACTGACGCTTAGCATTTCGATTACAGACCTGACAAGATGCTTATGTGCCCTTACAATCTCCAAGGTGTACATTGTACCCTACACTTTGACCCCTCTAGTGTCTTTGAGCTAAACTAAAGAAGAACATATGACCCCGATAAGAAAACATCAGTTCCACAAATGCCGCTCAATGGGTGGCGCTACCGGAAAAATTGAAGATAAAAGGATTTTACCACAGCGAATGAGGGCTGTACCCCGGTCATGGCTCGAGCTCAGCACCGCGAGATTTTGATCTCATAAATACACGGCGAGGCCAGTTGAGTAAAGAACTTTGGTCTGAGCCCCTACATACTATGCCCATTAGCGCATAAATACCAGTACACCATGGAGGCTTACAACGTTGAAGCTGGAAAAGAAGCTCAGGCCGAGCTTACTCCCTCTTCCTTCGAGGAGGAGACGCCAATGAAGCCGCGAGGTCTTTTCGCCAAAATCAAATACTACGAAGAATATTTGGATAAGAAGTTGGGTATCGAATCTCACAGTCTCGACAGAGTGCTTCCCGAGGCGCGCGACCCTCCCAACTCGCTAGCGATGGCGTTCATGTGGGCGTCTGCGACAATGAATATCAGTTGTTTTAGTACCGGATTCCTGGGGAAGCAATTCGGTCTATCTTTAGGGCAGACCATCCCTACCATAATATGTTCAACATTAATAGGTGCCGCTGTGACGGTACGGTTTCCCTTACTTGATTTATGTGTTGGGTATATGAAAGCTCATATTGTCGTCTATAGGGCTGGTGTGCTACGATGGGGCCTGAAACGGGTCTTCGCCAGGTCGCCATTTCTAGATACTCGCTAGGATTTTATCCATCATCCATCATTGCTCTTTTGAATGTTATTGAACAACTAGGATGGGCATCGGTCAATTGCATCACCGGTGGTCTCGCACTAAGCGCTGTTTCAGATGGACGTGTCTCGATCGCTGTAGGAGTGGTCATTGTCGCATGCGTCAGCTTTCTTTTCAGCTTCGTCGGGTTGAAAGGTGTCTTGTTGTACGAGCAATATGCATGGATGGTGTTCTTCGTCATTTTCATGATTATCTACGGCGAGTCAGCGCATCGGGCAGATCTCGCAGCACCCGCAACGGTATCGGGTATCACAAAGTCCGGAAATGTCCTGAGTCTGTTTAGTGTCGTGTACGGCTCTAGTGCCTCGTGGAGCTCGATCGTTTCGGACTTTTACGTGCACTACCCCGTGAACATATCCAAGGTCAAGGTATTCCTCTACACTACTCTCGGGATCGCGATCCCAACCTGTATTGGAATGTTGCTCGGAGCGTGCATCAGCTCAGCCTTGGACACAAACCCAGAATGGGCCGCCGCGTATGATAAGGGAATCGGCGAGATCCTACAAGAAATCATCTACCCTAGAGGATTCGCTAAGTTCCTGTTAGTTCTTCTAGTGCTTTCCGGGAGTATGCGAAACCCCCACTCCAACCCAACCCACTTCAATAATCCATAGCGTATACTGACCCTTCTCTCGCTTAGTCGGTGTCAACTGCATCGCCATCTACTCAGGCGCACTTTCAGCCCAGCTCTTCGCCAAGCCCTGCGCAAAGGTCCCCAGAGCTATTTGGTCTACTCTTGTCTTCGGCTGCATCCTTGCCCTCGGCATCGCCGGCCGAGACCACCTACTAGATGTGCTAGAGAACTTCCTCTCCCTGCTAGGCTACTGGAACACTTCATTCTTCATCATCCTGTTCAGCGAACACTACTTTTTCCGCGGCGGGAACGTCACGAACTACGATCTTGACGCTTGGAACACGCCGTCCAAGATGCCCATCGGGTTCGCGGGTCTCACTGCTTTTCTATGCGGCGCGGCGGGGTGGATCCTCGGCATGGTCGAAACATATTATGTTGGTGCTATAGCGAGGTTGATCGGTAGAGATGGGGGCGATATTGCTAATGAGCTAGCATTGGTTTTCTCGGGCGTTTCATATATACCTCTGCGAGTGTTGGAGTTGAAGTATATTGGACGGTAGTAGGTAGCTTTTTCATGCAGGTAGAGCGCGGCCCGAACCTTGAATACCGATTGTGCAGATTCTCCGCTGGCAAGGGTTTATTTTTTATAAATATGATTAGACTTTAGGAATGTGTATTGTGGGCTAAAGAGGTATGAATTGCAGATGAGCATGTGGAAACCGTCTATTTATCTTGCTGTAATTTTTTGCCGTCGAATGGGAAGATAAATATAAGACCCGCAGGTTGAGTAGACATATAATGGAATGTGTAGGGTGGGCTGCTTACCAACAATCGGATACTGTGATGCATGGTGCTCAATATGAGCTTGAATTGAGTTGAATAGTCTCCAAGTACAGTATGATCCAACATACTCTGACAGAGTGAGTAGTACATCCACAAGTCCGTCATTTGGGAATGTTGTACAGGCTTCAAAATTCACTTTCACAGGAATGGCAGGTAGTAGGGCCAGAAGATGGCGTGGAATACAGGAATAGATCTGCCAAGTATGGTGACATTAGTGGTGGATACGAAGTAGTACAGCCTGGAAAAATTGAATAAAAGCTATCTCAGTCTACATATATGGGTGAGATTTTATGGGCCCCAGGATGCTGATTCTACTCATAGGTAGAAACAGAGAGAGTACTGGGCATTGGATATAACGGAGCCTAGGAACTTATGTTATTTTCAGCGACTTTGATGTAGCATTACCCTTTCCGGAGGTGAATATAGGTTCACTGCAGGAAAATTGGCCCAGCCCCTTTTCTTGTGGAGCGACAGTCACGTGCATTAGCGCTGAGTCAGCATGGTCTCTCTACCGAAAAAGGTTTTTTTTTTTGTATTCCTTCTCCGAGACGGGGTTGCTTTTGGGCATAGTCCGACGACTGTAGACGGCAAATTAATTCAAGCCTGCAGAGTATATATGTGGAGTTCTGCTTCTGATACGTTGTACAACAAGCAAAAGAAAAAGGAGGGGAAAGAGAAGCATATGATTTATGTAAAGTGGAGTAATGCGAGTCAGCAAGATCGGTGGGCATGTTCTGGAGTAGATAGCATCATACAACTTCATAAGGATCGTCTTCCGCTAACTACTAAGGCTGATGAAGGGAGATGGTGTGGACTGAATCTTCCCGTGTCTCTAGAAGACTCTAGTCGGTTACCAGCCACATATGACAGCCTACAGGAGGCGGCCAAATAACTGTTGGTAGGGGTTGACATACACTTGTGTGACTTGGCTGAACTAGCTTTTGATTGCAGGGAACAAATAGGATCTTGATCATCTGGTCGACCGAGGATGGTTTTGTACCTGCAGAATAATACGTAAAATAGAAACTTGAGGCAGGAGGTCAAATGGTCGCAACGGTCAGAGCGGCCATTATGACGTCTCTCTCTCTGTTTCTTTCTTTAATTTTTTTTTTGTTTGTTTGTTCTCCCACCTTTTGTTAATTCAAAAATTGTTTTTTTACTTTTTAAATTCCAAGTAACTCACTCTACTTAGCTTTCACGGTGGATGGAACAAGAGAGACCCAAACTCTTTGGGCTGTGAATGTAGATCCACTGGACGTTCTCGATTTTGCTAGAGTCCGAGTTAGGGCTACACAGCACCAAAAATGGCGAAAATAAGAATAATAAGCAAGATGGTAAGACGCTGATTGTCTCCGGCATTCGCAATGGTGGAAATTAAGGCGCTAACTCTCTTTATGGCAACCGAACCAATCCCGGAGATATGAGGAACCTGGAAATATGTCACTAGAATATGGTTCAGGGAAGTCTGGTTGACGGGTTGGAACTCAGAGTCCAACCGTAAGCCAACTGTGTCATGGAACAGTCGCCCCGCCCTTCCAAAGTGGAGCTTCCACCGGACACCTCAGAATTGTGGAATGTTTCGAAGGATGTTAGCTTCATTCCTCCAAACATATGGGCGTCGAAATTTAGGTTGTCGATGGAGATAAATGAAGTACATTCCCCGTATCTCGAAACTGGAAAAGGGGGATAGACAATTACTACTCCCTAGTCAGCGGGCAGATCTGGAGGAAATCTTATCCGAGTACAGAACCCGTGTGGACTCAGAATGTAATTTCCCAAATGTTGAGGGTGGGTGTACGACCCCATTTGAATGGAGTCGGAAAAGGTGTCTAGAATTTTTTCTTTCGCTTAGAGGATGGGACTATCTGAGACAGATGATGTATATCCTAGTACAGAAGGATATACTAGTTAAGTGATCAAAGGATCTGTATCTCGAGTATCAACTCCGGATGTATCAGAACAAAAGTACCAATCCGTGAGTGAATTATCGTATAGAAGGATCCGCGTGAAAGAACACTTATTTTATATTTCTGAAGAATGGAGAAAAACATAAATAGTATTTGAGTCGATACGCTATTTATTGACTGCCCTTACCATTCTTTATTGTCCCTCCAAAATAATTAAATGTTAAGCTAAGTCAAGGCTGGCCCCTTCCCAAGGAAATTATCGTTTCCCCATACGTACTGCATGTACCGTTTGTTAATAATATTATTATGACGCTGAACGGGCCGTTTGGCACTCGCTTGTCCCCGTCGCTGGTCCAGCCTCCAATCTAACTAAATCACTGGTTCCCCAACTGAGGTTGATTAATTATTCTCCGTTCTCCTTTGTCGGCTCGTCCAGTTGTTACCGTCATAGCCGTGATATTTTTTTTTTTTTTTTTTTTTCTCGCTCCCCTTGAGATGCAGACCTGTGTGCTGAGCTGTGGGTAAATCGCAGATATCTACTATTCTTTTTCAAAATTAATTTTTATTTGATTAATGATTTTATTTCCCCTCCGAAAGAGAATTATTGTTATTGCTTTTTGATTTTTGGGAGTTCGTTCTCCGCTCATAATTTGACAATTATTTTATTCTTTTCCCCTTTCATCCCCATTCTCTTTTCCCCTCTCGGAGTTGAAAGCCCGCCACCGCCTTTAAAGTCTACTTTATCAAATTAATTGCTGGCTTGTTTTCTGATCCATCCAGCGAGCGGCTCTCCACGTGCTAACCACTGGTTGACGGTAGCCCGCGGCAGCTTCTTTTCGCGCCCTCCCTTGCATCGCTATCTGGATCTTCTTGCATCCCCGATCCCCTCTTCGCTCCAACGACAGCTCTCCTTTCGGTGGACGCATCCTCACCATCCAGTATCAACCCCCCCCCTCCTCCTCCACTCCAGTTGTCCTCCTAAGTTCCACAATTTACCTATCCGTTGGAAATTGACAGCCCAGCCAGAAAAGCACCGCCTCACCCCCAGGTGGCTTTCTCTCCCTCCCTCCAATCAACGAGCCTTAGCGGCACTGACCCTTTTACCACCAAACCGCCCGACCTGTTGAAACCACCACCGCCAACCCCCCTAAAATCCGCACATCATGAATCACGATAGTTTTTCTTCCCTCAAATTTCGACGGCCGTCAAGCAAACTCCACAAGGACCCTCCTAGTGTCGGTTCACGCATCCTGAAAAGTCAGCAGAGCAACACGTCACTCAAACGACACCCCTCAGCGCCCGTGTATCCACGATCGTCTGCCAGCAGAAGCCGAGAACATTCGCGCACGAGATCCAACGCATACGGCTCTTCTTCATCGTCTCTGGATCAGAATAGTGGGGGACCGTCTCCGGTTCTCGCAAATAACGAATCTGGCTACTTTTCTGGTAACCACAACACCACCAAACCTCGCCCACCCCACTCTGGACGCTATTCCCTCAACGATCAAAGTTCAGATGAATTGATCGGTGCCCCGTTCGACTCACGGGGTATGTTAAGTGCGTTGCAAGAAAATTCTGCCGAGTCCGACAGACAATCGACCGGAAGACCTCCGGCGTTGCGGTCCCAGACAACTCCCGACACACGAGGGCTCAGGCAATCCGCTAGTTTCACCGGTCTACATACCCGTATGGACGCCTTCGTGAATAGAACGGACAGCGATCGCTCGACGAATACGAAACGGTATTCTGATGAGGGAAATGGAGGTAAACCGGTGGGGAGAAGCAAGAAGGCCAGCTTCTCTAGCTTTGTCAACAGCATGCTAGGCTCCCCTCGTGGGATTAAGATATCCGCACCAGAAAACCCCGTTCATGTCACCCATGTCGGCTATGACAACCAGACGGGTCAGTTCACAGGCCTGCCTAAAGAATGGCAACGGCTATTACAGGAAAGCGGCATCTCGAAGAAGGAGCAGGAAGAACATCCACAGACTATGGTTGATATCATGAGATTCTACGAAAAGAATGCGCAAGGGGACGATGAGGTTTGGCACAAGTTCGATCATGCGTATCCCCAGCATCAGCCGGTCACCACTTCGTCGTCGCAACCCAGCTCTGGTGGTTCGACCCCCTATAACGCCGTGGGACAGCGAGCGTCGTCTCCCACGAGTCCGCGTTTCCCGCAAAACCACGAGGGAAGTTTTGAAAACCCACGGGCACCACCCCCAATCCCCCGTGGTGCCCCGGGAGCAGCCCAGGCCGTGCCACCACCGGTCGGCGGCCTTGTGCCCAACCGGGCCCCTCCAAAGCCCCCATCTGCTGCTAACATGACACCTGCCCGGCCTGCTCCTCAGCCCCCAAGTGCTGCCTCATACACCGCTTCACGACCGACCCAAGATCCCTGGCCCCAGTTTGGAACGATCCCCGAGAATTCTCAACCATTTAGTACACCCCCCATACCGGAATCCGAGCCTTTGCCACCAGGACCGCAGCTAAGCAGATCAAACTCCAAGGCCAACGGTGCAACGGCTGCGTGGGGGGCACCGGCGGCTGCATCTACGTCGACACAATATCAACAGCAACAGGAGCAAGCAATGGCCGCAGCCCAGCAAGCAATTGCGAACAAGCAGCTCGAGCGCAACCGAAGTCTACGCCAACAGCAGGCACAGCGGCCGGAACAGAAGCAGACAGCGCAGCCGACTCTGCAGCATGCATCGCCTGCGGAGGATCCATCTGCTGCCCTTCAACAAAGCGCGCGTGCCGTTCCTGCTGCTCGCCCCCGGCAACGCGCTCGCCAGAGTACTGCCATGGATATACGGTCACGTTTGGTTGCCATTTGCACTCCTGGGGATCCAACCAAGATGTACTACAACCTGAACAAGATCGGCCAGGGCGCATCTGGTGGAGTATTCACCGCATACCACGGTTCGACGAACCATTGCGTTGCCATCAAACAAATGAACCTTGATCTGCAACCAAAGAAGGACCTTATCATCAATGAGATTCTCGTCATGAAAGACAGTAAACACAAGAATATAGTCAATTTCCTGGACAGTTATCTCCATGGCCTGGATCTCTGGGTTGTGATGGAATATATGGAAGGTGGCAGTCTTACCGATGTGGTCACCTTCAATATTATGAGTGAAGGGCAAATTGCCGCTGTCTGCCGAGAGGTAAGCTTATCTAGAAGACCTATGTTTATATGGACCTCGGATACTGACGTTTTCTCATTTAAGACTCTGGGTGGGCTGCAGCATCTCCACTCGAAAGGTGTAATCCATCGTGATATCAAGTCCGATAACATCCTTTTGTCATTGGACGGCAATATAAAACTGAGTAAGATGGCCTGTCTTCACATGTTAGTTGTATTGCTATTAACCTCTTTTAGCCGATTTTGGCTTCTGCGCCCAAATCAATGACTCCCATAATAAGCGAAATACGATGGTCGGTACACCGTACTGGATGGCCCCGGAAGTGGTTACGAGAAAGGAATATGGTCGGAAAGTTGACATCTGGAGCTTGGGAATTATGGCTATCGAGATGATCGAGGGTGAACCTCCGTATCTCACCGAGTCGCCGCTGCGGGCATTATACTTGATCGCAACGAATGGAACACCTACGATCAAGGATGAACATAACTTATCGCCTGTTTTCCGAGACTTCTTGCATCTTGCGCTGAAAGTTGACCCCGAGAAGAGAGCTTCTGCACATGACTTGCTGAAGGTAAGTTCCTGATTGCTGATTGTTGAAGTCGCCACTAACCTGTTGTAACCAGCATCCCTTTATGTCCTTCTGTGCGCCTCTTTCTCATTTAGCACCACTTGTGAAGGCTGCACGGCTCAGCAGGGCCCAGGAGAAAGCCCAAAAAGGAGGCCCTTAAGCCCCTTTGCACTTCTTTGTCTCTATATACGTCGATGTCTTCTGTCTTCTCCTCCAGATACCCATTACTCTTGATGTTTTCCTATATCTTGCTGGGCCATGACATGCTACTGCAGCATTATGGCAAAATCTCATGACGACCTCCCATGCCCGTGTTTCTCTTCTTCTGGATCTAAACCTCATAGATGGCGATGACTGATGCCTTTGCGCTACTCACTGTTTTTATTTATTTTTTATTTTCTACCTGGACGGGGCTTACGAAAAATTTTCCATCTTATTTGACGTTCGAATATATCCTCTTACTGTGATGATGTTTGACTCGCATCCCTCGCTCATTTACTCTGTATCATCGCCGATGTTTGGGATGATGGAAGACACTGTAAATCCTATGTGGGGTTCCCTTCCTTTATTGTTTTTGACAGGAAATCCTGCTTTTGTGGGACGGTGAGATTGAAAGCTAAGACTAGCGGGACCTGGCTTTTCATAATGAATGACCATTCAAGACTTAAAAAATGGCCCAGACTTCGGTAGCATATACAATGGCACGGCTGGGCCACTCCTTGATTTAATATATGACGCACTTTTCATTTTATCCTCATGATTTTACGCGACATCTGTTCTTATATCGTTAATAAGATAAAAAAAAGCAGGGTCTTGTACTTTTTATCGATTGATATCTTCCCTGTTAGCGCGATGTTGTCTTGATCTCAACAGAGCCGTGGATGAAAGGATATGTGGCATGGATTTACATCCCTTTCAGGTACCTTCTGGTATTCGTGCTCTGGTTTGAACAAAGTTAGAATGCATTTTTCTTTTTCTACGACTGCTTTCTTTTCTTCCCTGCGACCAGATATAAAAACAGCACCATTCTCAATATTTTTCTCACTCGGCACGCCAGTACAAACATAGCCCTCGGGGAATCTTGGCATATCGATGCCTGTTGTGAAAGAACCGCCAGGTAATACCTATCTACGTACAAGTGAATTGAACCAGTATGGAATCTAAAAGCGGCCCAGGAACGAAGCTAGGCCCGAAATGGGTGCCTACCCTCGGCTCCACGTCTGGCCTTGATGTTCCTTGGCGATCTTTCTCTGGCCTCCATAGGTTTATTCCATGCGACTTGACTGGGTGTTGAGTCGGGGCCCCCTTGGCGACAGCGTCTCTGCAAGATCCCTTCCCATGAAGATGTTCGTGCCTTCTTCGCAGCATGGTCTTCCTTATATCCTGGGCTCTAATCCGAAAGGTTAGCAGGTGACTTAACAAGCTGTTCGCTACATCTCAACAACGGTTCAGATGAGCGTTGGGTCAATTAACGTACATCGCCCGAGGTCGTGTCTAACGTCCCCGTGACTCCTGCTTGCGCGCCCTTCTGTCCGCGTTTATTTGGCATGGAGAACGGCGTAGCTGAGGTGCGTGGCGCTGCCCCATCAATGAGGGTGGCCATGCTCTCAATATCGGGCCTGACAATGGACGACGTCGGTCGCAACACCGGAAATCCGTTTGAGCTGTGCCTCAGCAGCTTCAGCAATCATAGTGTCTTGGGCTTGATCTGTTACGCTCGTGCAAAAAACATCCATCTTTATCAACTGTAGAAAAGGGAGCACTCTTGCCCAGCGACATTGCTATCGTCTGGATCTAGGGCTGCAGCTCCGGACGTAGCGCGGCCGAAACCTGGACTTTGGCTTTCCGAAAATTCACGTCGCGTACGTACGTACTGATCGTCGCGTGCTGATATAATATGTAGACCTTCTGTGGCTTGCGCTGGCCTATCCTGTTGAGACGGCTGGCCGACTGTATCTCTGTGTTCATATTCCTAGCTTCTTCCATCTGCACCTCTACTGAACAGCTCTCATGAAGATTCAAGCCGGCAGTACCGCACCCGTACGTGCACAGTAGGATGCGAGCATCACTTTTCGGGTCATTGAATTCGTCGGCGGCCAGGGACCACTGGCTCGGAGTCATAGTAGGCCTAATAGCGACGTACAGAAGTCCCAGCATATCAATAAACATTTCCTTCATCCATAATACCAGGAGCCACATCGCGAAAATAAGGATGCCGGGCGGCTGCTTATTAGAAGATGGGGAATCAAAGAAGTGCTCTTGGTCCTTGATTTGCACTAGATAACATAATTTCACACTTACGTGCCAGGTACCACGCGGCCTGTTGACGATTAGCAGGTGGTAGAATATCGCTTCTACCGTAGGTCTTGAATAAGAAGTACGACGAACCCGCAGTCGTCTTGTTCGGCCCAGTCCGAAATATGCTTTGACTGGGTATCTGCGTCATGTGCCTTATCAACAAACTTGTCCAGTAGAGGAGAGAACGACAAGCAAAACAGACGTCGCAAAGCCTTCCAATCTAGACCACCCATCCCCTCGTCCTGGATATCATCTGGCTTGTTATTTCGGTTGTTGAATCTCTTTTTGGCGGCAAACATCTTTCCTACAAAGCGTGTGTTGTGATTCTTCATTACCGATGGCTCGTATTCCAGCTCGATAGTCATCATCCTCATCTGAGGGATAATATCGCCTATATGTATCTTCGAGTTTTCGTCCTCAAACGGTAGACCGGCATACATGTAATCCAGTTTATTTCTCGAGAGGCAGATCAACCTTATGGCGACAGGAAGAGCGTGGTAACCCTTAACAGCACCTACATTATCCTTCGAGCCAACACTGGCTAGGGCTTTCGGTGCGAGTAAGTATAGAGGCATATTCTCCGGGATTATTACCTTTCCCGCCCATTCCTTATATTCAGGCAAGAAGTCGTAGTTATGCCTGGCCTTACGTGTCTCCGTCCTCCTCGTCGTCCTTGTCAGTGTTATTGTTAGCTTTGCTACCATCGTTACTCTCGGCCGCACGATAGTCTAGATTGTGGTGGAGTATGGCCAGATATCCGCATAGTTCTATGGCCTTGTTGAACATCGATGCGGCGGACAAGAACAAGTTCAGGTCAGCTTTGACCAACGCTGCCGCCTGATGGTTTTTGTCCGTAGCGTTTTTATGTGCTGTGCTTCATCCGCGGGATGAGCCGAGCGAATCTTCCTGCCATCTTCGATATAAACTCGGGGGCCAGGTGCTGTTTCTTCTTCTTACGCTGCATACTGTCTAGTTCTGCCACGGCAGCTTTGTTCAACTCGTGCTGATCCTCATCCGAGTCACTACGTTCGCTCTTAACCTCTATAGTGTCCGGTTGAGGCTCTGGCGGGGCTCCGCGTGTTCTGCGCGTTCCTGGTGATGTCGAAGCTGCTGTCCTCAATGTACGCGACGTCCGCGTAGAGTTATCAGCTTATCACAGCCATCCTGCCGGTCAACAGCGAGTTGTCCATCTCGGTCAGCTTTTCTTCCAATTCAACCAGCGTCTCCGCGGTACGATTCCTTTGTATCGGATCGGTGACCTGTGAGCAGAACCCGTGAAAACCCCAACAGGGCATTGCGGCCCTGAAATATGTATAAATCTGGGATACCCATGTGCTCACTACCCCCACAGGAGCGAGACGGACAAACAGCATATCCAATAAACAAGGCTGAGCGCGGTGAGGGTCTTGCCTAACCCACGGTCATCAGCCAGGATTTCCCCGCGGATTCTTCCCTCCTCCCGTTGGCCGGCCCCAAACCCCGGTAATGTTCGCATGGACGAGAAAGTAAATCAAATGGCCTTTATTTCCAGCCATTTATCAGGGTAGTTTCACCTAGCATAAGAGATATTACAGAGGCTAACAGTGAATGCTTCTTTAATATAAGAGAACTTCGATGCCGGTCCACTAGATGACATTGTATCCTAACAGATTGCCAAACAACAATCTCCCCGGCTTTCAAGCCTTCACAGAATCATTCTACGGCAGTGCCAGAACCTCTGCTTGGATGTTATATCTGCGTGTGAGATCGGATGCCGAGCATGAAGGGACGTTCCTCAAACGTTTCGTGCCCGCTGCCAGCGAGCTGAGATACAACACCCTCCCATCAGCCTGTCTCGGCTTCACGAAGGCAACACCCATCGTGGGTGGCCCCACACTGACTTTGGAATCATTACGTTGCTTTTCCAAGATACCCAAGGGGGCCTTGAATATGAAGACCGCGAGCACCCCGGGACATTCATTCCCTTAGTGTGGGAGAGGCCCGATGAGGTAGCAATCAACGTGAGCGACACCTTCCAGAGATTAACCAATGACTTTATCCAGGCTGGTGTGCATCAGGTTTTCCTTCCCCAAAACCTTGCCTCTAGGCTACAAACCTCGGGTGAATATGTCCTCCACAAGCGACATTCAACCGTGTTTTTCTTTAAAGCCCATCGTGAGTCATGGTGGGGGCTATACCGAAATTTTTAACGAGAAGATACAGGAAAAGTATGATAACATCACATACCCTTGAGTCCCATAGTCGCAAGACACAGATTTTAGTTGGCAACGCCCTACAGCTCTTGTCGCATAATTTGGAATTCATTGTAGTTTTTTGGGGGGAAAAAACAGAAACAACGAGATATGATGTATGCTTAAAGCATTACCGTGGTATTCTCTCCTGTATTGAAAGTTTGTTTAAAAAGATGATGAACGGCAATATACTATCCATGCTATGCACAAACTACAAGGCGTAGTATGTATAGAAAACAAACAGTCAATAGAAGAATCCATCCATCCATGGAGAGTTATTCCATAATTAGAAGGCGGTATATTAGGACAGTACCTGCCTTACGATAACACGGTAAATATCGTCATAGGGCCGAACTCGCTTATTCAGGCGTAGCGCGCGGCCACTTAGCGTCAGAGGCGCAGCTCTCCGCCTGCGCGATCACCTGCTAATCATAGTAAGGCATTGGTTGCAGCCTTCCACTGAATGCCCGAGACTTCACATTCTCTTCGTTATTCTCGCTATTTCCTTAAGTTCAAGCGGGAATCTGGTTATCATAATTTAACCCCCTCTCTCCTTCTCTCTCCTCCTCTCTCCTACTGAAGCAAATAGCGAATCTACGCCTCGATACGGTTGACCGGTTCCCCGCATCGGGAGTTCATCAGCGTTCTAGCAATCATTAGGATATTCAGTGACCCGCATCTCCTTAAGTCGATACTTGCAGGCGATCGAATACCCAACACGATCATAAGTCTCTGTTACTACACACACGAATAAGCCAGATATTATTATACCTGTCGCCGCCAATTCAGTCACGACGCCGTTAGTTGAGATCGCTTAAGGCAAAACATTCACGATGTTCCGCGCACAGCAGAACGCTTTCGATGACGCAGTCGGTATGGTGTTCTGATTGCTTTCGATGTATACCGTCACATATTACCTGGTGCTGACATGTCTTCTTTTGCTCTATTTAGCCAAGGCGACTGACGAGAACCTGACATCAGAGAATTGGGAATACATTCTTGTATGGGACCTCGCTGAACACTTTGTTATGCTAAAATCAAATCCATATGGGCTAACTTAATCCCGCTATCGACTAACAGGATGTCTGTGATAAAGTTGCGGCTGAGGAGTCTGGGTGCGTACTCCTCTAGTGTATCCAGCGTCTTGTTTACTAGTTCCCCTCACAAAGTTTACTGATATATTATCCTGGCCATAGTGCGAAAGATGCTGTTGCCGCCCTGATCAAGAGACTGGCGCATAGAAACGCCAATGTCCAGCTATATACTTTGGAGGTTTGCACCCTTCTCGGCGGCCATGCGATGTGTCTAGGATAAACTCTGACGTTTTTTTTTCATAGCTGGGCAATGCGTTGGCACAAAACTGTGGCCCGAAGATACATCGTGAACTGGCATCCAGGAGTTTCACTGATGCTCTGCTCCGCCTTGCGAACGACCGAGTACGTATATTCACTGTATTGTATTGGATTGAGTACTAACCGCGTTCCCCATAGAACACCCACCAGCAAGTCAAGTCGAAAATTTTAGAGCGCATGCAAGAGTGGACGGAGATGTTCTCTAGTAATCCAGATTTCGGTATCATGGAGCAAGCATACATGAAGTTAAAGACACAAAGTAAGTCACTGAAAGGCTCTCGCACGGATGGGGCACTTTGCTTATATTCTATTCGTGCAGATCCGAACATACAGCCCCCTTCGAAACCCGTTAAAACAGAAATAACGGATTCGGATCGCCGGAAGGAAGAAGAGGAATTGCAGATGGCACTGGCACTCTCAATTAGAGAAAAGAACCCTGCAGCTCCTGAGCCACAGCTAGAATCGAGTACTTCTGGTGCTGCCCCTGCCAGTCAGACACAGCCCCCAGCTCATCAGCCGGTCCCTCCTGGTACTTCTGCTGCCACAGTGTCTCGTGTTAGAGCGCTCTATGATTTCCAGCCTTCAGAACCCGGGGAACTTCAGTTTCGTAGAGGCGATGTCATTGCAGTTCTTGAGTCCGTGTATAAGGATTGGTGGAAGGGTTCGCTAAGGGGACAAACAGGAATATTTCCTCTCAACTATGTCGAGAAACTTCCTGATCCCACAGTCGAAGAGCTACAGCGAGAAGCTCAGATGGAAGGGGAGGTGTTCGGACAGATCAAGAATGTTGAGAAATTATTAACACTCCTCAGCACGCGGAGTACTGAACCAAGCGCCCAGGATAATGAAGAAATCACAGCCCTCTATCATTCAACGTTGGCAATTCGGCCTAAGTTGATCGAGCTCATCGGCAAATACTCTCAGAAAAAAGGTATGCCTGCTTGCTAATTTGTGTTTCTAGTTCATTGGCTGATGCGTACCCAGATGAGTTCACTCAGCTCAACGAGAAGTTCATCAAAGCCAGGCGAGACTATGAATCCCTTCTAGAGGCATCCATGTCGCATCCCGCCCAGCCTCCATATGGCAGACCTGGGCCTTCCCAGTATGGATATCCTGGGCCTGCGGCACCCATGGGTTATCCCCAAGGCCCTGCGCAATCTGACCCTCAACGATACTTCAGCCCTCGCCCTCAAGGTTTGTGATCGCCAGTGGAATCAATCAGCAAACATAATTCTAATTCCATGAGAAAAAGAGACCCCATCACAGCAGCCTAACGCATCCGGATATTATGGTGCCGAGCAGGCGCCCATGTACCCTCCGGCGTCCCAATCTCCCGATCCGCACCGCCGTACTCCCCCTACTGGAGCAGCCTATCAACCTGTGCATCATCGTCCAGAATCCACATATGAGCACCCGCAAGAACTAGGAACATCTGTTTATGACTCCCCTGTCGAGCATCCTTCTTCAAGCCAGCGACTTCCATATCCCCCTGGTGGCCAAGTCCCACCAGCTGTTCAGCAACACTTCCAGCAGCAACCGCAACAACCACAACAGGAATATTCACCTTATCCCCCTGAAGACGCAGCGAAGCCACAGCAGCCTCCATACCCTACCACTCCGGCCTCTCATCAAGCACCACCGATGCATCAGCCGCCACCTGTCCCAGGAACAGCATCAACGCCGTCACCTTATCCTTCTTTGACACCTGGAGCAGGAGGCTACCAAGCATACAACCCATCGCAAGGAGGAGCACCCAACTCCAACCCAGCTTCATTTTATCGGTGATAGCCAGTTTCTGAGCTCACAAGACCCCTTTATGATTTCTTCACTTAATGAACCGGCATATTGATAACAGTTTTCCATTGAGCTTTGTGTAACGTGATGAGATTTCTTGTTCTCGATTAAGCCAGAGTCGGGAGGTTGCTTTTAATGGTTCTGTTACATTAGCCTGTTTCGTCAACCTTGACTGCCATCTGTCGATTCTCCTTGCCCGCTCTTGTTTTATGTTTATCCGAAGACGAATATGAATTCTATAAGGTGTTCTTTGTACGGGTTTGTAAATATGACCTCAACCCAACTGTCTCGGCACGACCCAAAAACCTAGACACTTACCTCATCAAACTCCATACTAAACGAGAGCAGGTATCAATGGGCGCAAGCTTCCAAACTAGTCGTAGCCAAGAGAAACGGCATGTACGGATTCTATCGTTTAGGCACGTAGAATCCTCCTTAGCCTCTGGCCAAGTGGACGTAACTGCACCCTTTGAGAGAAGACCATCCTTGCCTTCATGACTCCTGACAAGAGTGATAGAGCTCCAAGTGGTCTACAAAGACCTGTATATGTACTAGGTAGTAATAGAAGGTCCTGGAGTCTTCCTGCTATTGGCTGCTGTACATACATACCGCCAAGGCAGGGCAGGGCAAGTCACTGGCAGAATTAATTGAACACCCCACCCCGTCAGAGGAGCTATCACATACTGTATCTTTTCCAGGGTCATCTTCTCACGCCTATTATACCATCAATAGCGATTATTTTTCTCATTTTCAAAAATTACTAGGAATGCTTATTATATGTTCAATTAATCTGAATGGATTTTAGATCTCGAAGAGCTTTTCTTGTGGAATATCAACGGTGTTATGTGCAAGTGGAAAAGCCCTTTTTCAGGCCGCAGATTCGTCTTGCACCGGAACCCATGAGAACCGCTTCGTGTATAGGATCAACCTTCTCAGCTTGGGTGAAGTGGTCGACTGGCGGTCCTTTTCAGCAGTTGTTACCTGATACTCTGTACAGAATAGGCGCTAAGTACTACTAGAAGTCGATTTCCTCACTGAACTCTCCTTGTATATGAAGCTTGTCCGTTGTATCTCAACGTCTTTGCAAGTGTTATAATACATTAGCATTATACCAAGAAGCAGGGGTAAATGACATATAAAGCATGCATCTTGTGTTAGTTTTGCAGCTATCCATCCCAAGTTGATACTTGGAAAGGAAGCGTTCTATGAAGTTTGGAAGGTGCTATGGGGTTAACAAGAACATGACAAGGGGCTGCAACACATTTGCTAAGGGACACGAAGAAACTAGAGGTCGAGAGAAAGGCCTGGGAAGCAGAAAATACTTTTAAGGATTTTACTATTATTTACTATTAAGGAGTAGTTAAAGTACGGGTTAAGGTTATACTAGTTCGAAAGGCTTGTTCATGTTGAATTGAAGCCTTATGCGCCTAATCGCTGCCTAAGGCGAAAGCGAGCGTCCCCGCTCCAACTTTCACGTGATGACGTGTCGGTACCTCAGCATCTCTCTATTGCCGCCTTCCCTGTTACAGATAGCACACTCGGGGGGCTCTCCTGGTTTATCATTGATGCTAAACGGGGAATATCACCAGTGAATGCGATTATTTGGCCCACCTCCCACTCCTTCGACATTGTGTGCTACCGTCCTGGAAAACGACCTTTGTTATCTCTCCCGCAATCGCGTCTTCGCCGAACAATGCCCGGTTTCGCACTCTTTTCGAATGGACAGGGCCATTTCAGTGTTTAGGGAATATACACGCCGCCGCAAATATCTGCTATAAAGATATTAGGAGCTCGGGCGAGTACCCGGGTGCCATGTTAGCGCCATGGAAGCCGACTGGGATGAATTGTCGCGCATTCCGGTGCCACCTCCAACTCCACATGGCTTACCCACGAATGCGACGACAATAGCCTTTGACGATGTGATGGAACTGCTGTGGGTGGGAAACGAATATGTAAGATTCTCTACTTTCAAAACTGAACCTCGATCTGACAGCGTCTATTTGTCTGTAGGGCCGAATTACTTCGTTTTGCGGTCCAGAGTTACAAAGATATACCTCTGTTCGCGCACATGTCTCCGAAGGCCCGGTGCGGCAAATCCTGTTTCATGATAGGGGCGTGATATCATTGTCGCCGAAGAGTGTGCATATGATAACACGGCGTGGTCTGACACAATGGCATATCACCCATGAAGAAATGACGGAACTACGTTGCATGAGTTTCACAGCGCAGTTGAACAAGATTATAGTCGCGGGATGCCAAAATACGATGTTTACTATCGATATTGATAAGGGACAAATAGTCGACAAGCTACCAACTGAATATAAGTATACCATGATGAAAAAGAGTCGGTACCTTTGTGCCGCGACAGATACGGGATCAGTTAACGCCTTGAGCCTCTCGGATTTTCGTGTCGTCAAATCCTGGAAGGCTCATGGAACGGCAATCAATGATATGGATGCTCGGAATGACCTTCTGGTCACCTGCGGGTTTTCGGTTAGACACCTTGGGCAACCGATCGTCGACCCCTTGGCCAACGTTTATGATCTCAAAACTCTATCACCACTCCCTCCTATACCTTTTCATGCTGGGGCTGCGTATGTGCGCATGCATCCTAAACTGCATACTACTAGCTTCGTTGCATCTCAGAACGGTCAGCTACAAGTTGTTGATCTAATGAACCCTAACGCAATCAACCTACGCCAAGCCAATGTTTCGTTCATGCTTGGTATTGATTTATCGCCTTCTGGAGAGGCGTTGGCCATAAATGATGCGGACTGTGCGATTCACCTGTGGGGTTCCCCTGCGAAGATACATTTTAACGAGATGAGCAAGGAAGTCGAATTTGCTGATGTACCCGCACGACCCCCTCCTCTCGATTGGTCACCAGATACGCCCTTAAATATGATCGGTATGCCGTACTATCATGAGCGGCTGTTTTCTGCCTGGCCAAGCCACCTTGTTTTTGAAGTCGGCAACCCACCAGCCCCTGTTGACCAGGCACTAATTCCATATCTTCGTCCTGCGGAGATTGGGCATTATGCACCAAACCCAAAAAAGACTCGACGTAATCAAGTTGAAAACACCCGTGCATTGGCCACCGCGGAGCCTGCTCTTATCGCACCGAAGTTTCTGAGTGAAAAGGCAAGAGAACAAAGTAAGGCCAAATCGGACGGCCTCATCACCGATACAGTCGAGGCACTTGCAGGCACGAAGCTTAATGGCGAAGCGGATGATGACCCTCTTCTCAAGTACAGTAACGTCGAGATCAAGTACAGCCGATTTGGTGTCGACGATTTTGACTTTAGGTAAGACATGCATTGAGCTCTTAGACCCCGGTCGATTCGCTGACTCTTGATACAGATTCTACAACCAGACCAAGTTTTCTGGCCTAGAGACACACATTGCGAACTCCTTCACGAATGCTCTTCTTCAACTCTTCAAGTTCATTCCCTTGATACGAAATGTTGCTCTCCACCACGCTGCGAGTACATGCATATTTGAAAACTGCCTTCTCTGTGAGATGGGCTATCTCTTTGATATGCTGGAGAAAGCAAACGGTCAGAACTGTCAAGCAACAAACCTCCTGAAAACTTTCAGTAGCTTTCGCGAAGCTTCCAGCTTGGGCCTCCTTGAAGAGAATCTGACGAATAAATCGCTGTCCAACGCAATTCAGGCTGTCAACAGATTCTTCCTTGGCCAGATCTCGCACGATTTCCGTATGATCTCTCCAAACTCAGATGATCTTGACCAAAAATTAGCGACCGTTGCTTCTGAATCCATTCGATGCATGTTCTGCCAAAAAGAAATTATTCGACCCGGAAATTCACTGGTCAACGAGTTGATCTATCCGGCAATTGATCTAAAACAGATTCGTAGGAACCCTGCGTACCGTTTCTCAAATATTTTACGGGCAAGCATCGAGCGTGAGACTCAAAACAGGGGATGGTGTAATTACTGCCGACGTTATCAGCAAGTGGCAATCCGAAAGACGGTGCATCGTATGCCGCTCGTTATGATGCTCAACACCGCACTCAATAACCCTATCTGCAGGCGGCTTTGGGCGATCCCTGGATGGTTGCCAGAAGCAGTTGGCCTTGTGGTTGATGCGGGCCAGATTCTGTGCTTTGAAGGAGAAGACCTTCGAATGCGGATACAGAGCAACATGCCGGGCCTTGTGGTGTATGAATTGGTGGGCGTGGTTTCAGAAATCGATATACCCGAGCATCAGAAAGCTCATCTTGTCTCCTTTATTAATGTTTCCATCTCTTCCCGTGAACCAGAGGCCGGAAGTAAATGGCACTTATTCAATGATTTCCTAGTTACAGAGGTAGACAAGGATGAAGCCCTCCGATTCAATCAACCATGGAAAGTGCCATGTGTGGTGGCGTATCAAGTGAAGGACGCCCGTCATGCTATGGACGATACATGGAAGAAACTTCTCGACACGACTCTTCTTTTCCGCGACTGGTCACTTAAGTGAGTGGAATCACTGCTGCATCTTTGGTAATCGTACTATGCTAACAAATATGTCCTAGTGGTGGTCGTTCCGTGGATTCACTTGTAACGCTTTCTGAGGAGGAGAAACCGACCCCAGGTACTCCCGTTGCTCTCGATACAGAGTTCGTTGATCTCGAGAAAGCGGAGATCGATGTGAAAGCCGATGGTTCCCAGGAAATTGTACGACCCAGCAAAAGCGGTCTTGCTCGTGTCTCCGTACTCAGAGGCTCAGGAGTCCGAGAAGGTGCGCCGTTCATCGATGACTATATCACAATCAAAGAGACGATTGTTGATTATGTCACTCAATACTCTGGTATCAAGCCTGGAGACTTGGACCCGAGAACAAGCCAGCACAATCTTGTCCCACTTAAAGTTGCCTATAAGAAGTTGTGGCTGCTCCTCAACCTGGGCTGCATTTTTGTTGGGCACGGATTGGCCTCTGATTTCCGCAAGATCAACATCCAAGTTCCCAAGAGTCAAACAGTCGATACGCAATATTTGTTCTTCCACCCTGGTAAGAATCGGCGTCTCAGTCTTCGGTACTTAGCCTGGGCCGTGTTCAAGGAATACATCCAAGAAGAACCCTCCGATAATAACCAAGGTCATGATTCCATTGAAGATGCTCGCATGGCTCTACGTCTTTGGAAGAAGTTCCAGGAGTATGAAGACGCAGGGGTGGTGGCACAAATCCTCGAGGAACTATTCCGCGAGGGAACTAAACTCGGGTTCCGACCACCCGCTCGGAATGGCGCTGCGACCGTCCTATCTAGGCCTGGAACTGCAGTGACGATGCAAAATAACAGCGGTAGGAACACCCCCAGCACTCCTGAAGTGACTGGCCCAGCTGCCAGCGCGCCTACTACGCCCAGACAGGGATTTCGACGTTCGGTTGCCCTGACTCCCAGCAACGGCAGCTTTGCTGGTCCGGGCACAGGAGACTTTTTTGGTGGAAGTCCATTGAAATGACCACTCATGTTGTGGGGATTTCGAACTGACGATTGCTTATGATGGTATGATTTGTCATAGGACTAGATAGAGATACTACTTTAGTGTTACTGTACCCCGTACGTAGCACTTCGTTTCGGCCAATAGTTGCCTATAGCGATTCTTAGAATACAATACAATTCACCTTCAATCTTTATATTTGTATAGAACTTGCTATGTTTACCTCTCTCATTCGATTTCTTTAGGGTCTATACAAACGAATGTCCAATGAGAGCGTTCCATTTTCGTTATAGTAACTTAGGGTGAAAGCGGTCTGTTGAGCGGGGACTCAGTCAGGGAATGACGTTCGTTTGTCTCTTCAACAACCACCTCATCCTTTACCCTCCGTCTGCATCACATCAGCTTGTGCGAATTTGGATATTTTTAAGCCATTGCGAAACGTGTTAACGTACTGGTTAATACTTGCCCTCATCCCATATAATCTGACTCCCACCAGCCTCGTGCGACTGGGACCCTCCGAGTCCACCTGCCCCTCCCTCAACAATCACAACCACCATGTCACGCCATCGCGTAAAGGCTGTAGCCTACGATGATGACGATGACTTTGACGATGGATATGACTCTCCAGATCCCGAAGAACAAGAAGTTCTCGAACAGTGTACTGCAGAGGTGTTGAGCCAACTCCGTGCGGGGGTACCTTCTGTTACGGCAACGCGGGATGAAGTCCAGGAAGCACTATGGCATTATTATAACGATGTGGAGAAGTCTGTGAACTACTTGAGAAGTGAGTTTGACATGGCCGAGCAGATGGATGGACGGACGTTCCTGTTCAATACGACGAACCGATTTGGTGGCATGGGCGCTAATTGCGACGGCTTGGCTAGATAAGAAAGCCAAGGACATAAAGAAGGAGAGTGCGTCTGCTACGGCGGCGAAGACGAAAGGAAGTACAGGTAAGCAAAATCATATTTTGCTTTTTACAGCTTCCCTCATGGGCGGGCTCGTGTCTCCATCGGTATTCCCTTCATCGGGCATACGACGAGCCAAATGTTGGCACGATTTAGAAGCGCCTTCGCGATAGTGGTGAGTGTTACCGTCCCTCGTTTTTGACTAGTAAACTGACTCCATTGGAAGCTCAAGCATGTTCTAACAGGTTTTCAGTGCCTGCATACCCTATACCGTTTGATATGACTACTCAAGAACCGCCACACTTCTCCGCCGCAGACTTCTTCCGTGACTCGCCGTGGCTCAATGTCCCGGCGCATCGCAAGGCCGATATTCTCATAGAGCCGCTTTATCCTCGGCTTGGGCTGCTCGGTGGGGCTCCTGAATCTGGAGGGAAAGTTTCAAAGCTGGCTGCTTTGGCTGCTGCTCGTAAGAAAAAGGAGGGCGACAAGGCTTCACCTGCGCCTGCGCAAAGTACAGAGCCTGATAAGGCGCAGACGCCTCCAACTGAGCAAAAAAGTGCCTCTCTGTCTCTCCGTGAAAGGCTCGCTGGCAATGGAAAACTACAAAAGACCGATGGTGCTCAGTCACCTCGTCCTTTGGGAAAGTTGTCCCGCCTCGGGAGTCATTCGCCGCAGAAAAGGCCATCTCCAGAGCCAACCAAGCAGAATGGGGCGCTGCAGGTCAACCAAGTGACTGTACAAAAAGAGAGCCCTGCAGAGCCCCCGATGAGTAAGGAGGAGAACGAGCAGCCTGCTGCCAATATCCGCGCCTCTCCTTCTACATTTGCTAGCGCTATCGTTGGGGGTGCCACGCGACCAAAGATGACCGAGCCCAGCCCCTTGTACTCGAATTCTTTGGACCTTTTGACAATATACGGACAAAACCTTACTGAATCATTTGATTTCACAGGCCCAAGCCCAGATGATGTCGTCTTGAATGCACAGAGCTCTGCAAAAGGTTTGGCTATTCGGCGCAAAATCTAAGACCTTTCTCCCTAATAAACATGCAGGCTTCAAGTCGAAACAACCTGCTTCTAAGGCGGCTGATGATAAGAAAAACAAAACCGATCTGGCAGGTAGCATGAATGACCTAAGCGTCGCAGAGAAAGTGACTGTCAAGAGCAAGAACCTAGACGTTTTATCTGAGTATCAAAAATCGAAGCGGAAGAATGCCATGAACTTTGCAGTTATCGGTTTGTTTTCATCCATATTATCGTCACAAACATGAGACGTTAATAGTAGCTTAGGTCATGTCGACGCGGGAAAAAGCACGCTTATGGGTCGCTTACTGGCTGATCTAAAGGCAATAGATCAGCGTACCCTTGACAAGTATCGGCGAGAAGCTGAGAAGATAGGCAAAGGCTCCTTTGCCCTTGCCTGGGTGCTGGATCAGGGCTCCGAGGAGAGAGCACGCGGTGTCACCATCGATATCGCAACTAACAAGTTTGAGACAGGGAAGACGGTCTTCACAATTGTAGATGCTCCTGGTCACCGAGATTTCGTGCCGAACATGATAGCTGGCGCTAGCCAGGCCGATTTCGCCGTTCTCGTTATTGACTCTAGCACCGGAAACTTCGAGTCCGGCTTGAGGGGTCAAACTAAGGAGCATGCTTTACTGGTGCGGAGTATGGGTGTTCAAAGGATCATCGTGGCTGTGAATAAAATGGACTCCGTACAATGGAACAAAGACCGATACGAAGAGATCGAGCAGCAGGTTTCATCTTTCTTGACCACTGCGGGGTTCCAAGCCAAGAATATTGCCTTTGTGCCATGCTCAGGTATAAGTGGAGATAATGTCACCAAGCGAAGCGAGGACCCAAATGTGTCGTGGTATACGGGTCACACCCTGATCGAGGAACTTGAGGCTACAGAGCCCTACTGTCATGCCCTCGACAAGCCGTTGCGAATGACCATTGGTGATGTCTTCCGTGGGAGCGTGCAAAACCCCCTTTCGATCTCTGGCCGCATTGATTCTGGTAGCTTGCAAGTGGGTGACCAAATTCTCACAATGCCTAGCGGCGAGACGGCAGCTATTCGAAGTTTGGAAGTGGATGGGGAACCAAGCGACTGGGCTGTAGGAGGCCAGAATGTTGTCCTCAACCTTGCAAACATCGATCCTATCCACCTGCGTTCTGGCGATGTGATCTGTCGTGCTTCTGCGCCAATCCCCAATATAACCTCATTCACAGCCAAGGTGCTAGCATTTGAGCATCTGACGCCCAGTATGGTAGATATTCATCGGGGACGCCTTCACGTACCTGGACGGATCAGTCGACTGGTTGCTACGCTGGATAAAGGCTCTGGTACCGCCATCAAGAAGAAGCCCAAGATTATTGCGCCGGGAGCAGTGGCACGCATTATTGTGGAAATGGATCAAGCTGTGCCTCTAGAAGCACCCACAAGAATTGTTCTTCGGTCTGGAGGTGACACAGTAGCAGCCGGGTTGTTGGAATAAGTGATCTTTGTGCAGGTTTGACCTGCGCTCAAGTCGATATATTGTGATTAAAGACCTATATATACGTACTTTTGGAAATCAAGACCACAATTACTGTGTATCATCGTTGCGAGATTGGTCGTTGCCACTGCCAAGCAGATAGGAAGCCCAAAAAAGAAACATAGGGCTACAATGCAATGTTCTAGCAAGAGCCTATTGTTCATATCTCTATGCCAATAGATGCCCCCCAAAACACTATGAATTGTACAGAAACCACGGGAGCATCTTCAGCTTTTACGGAGAAATAGCTCGGAGAATTGTAATACCACACAATATCAAAAGGTGGAGTAAATGACATAAAACCATTGAGGGGAAGACACAATGGTTTCTCAAAGTTCGCAACTAATGTTGTATTTTATGTACGTATAGTAATTTTTCAATCTTGTCCGGGCAGTTGCCTTAGGACTCAGCTAGGGATTAGTAATGCCACCGTGATAATTCCTGTGCCATCTCGCCATATGTTATTCCACACCCACTTCGCCCCTAGAACTGTGAGGCAAGTAGTCGTCTTGGATAACAGCTACTCCTATTCTTTGGTACGTGCCTGGAGACGTGCAGGCGAAAACAAAGGTGTAGTAAACCCTTCGCTTTGCTAGTACTTCACGCCCTCCAAACTTCTTATACCATATGTGCTTGTTGTTTCATAGTATTGCTCCAGCCTCGCTTCCAAGCCAACGATCGGCAAGGGTTTGTCCCCCAGGAACGTGAGATCTAGCTTCGTGTATCGCTCAAAGACTCCTTCGTATATGATGCTCGGGAGTATTTTATGAAGCCTCGTGGCCCCATTTGGGAAATGAGAGTCGCTTAGCATGCTTAAACTTCGGAATATTGTTTCCAGACTTTCGCAGCGAATCAGAGATCCTCACTCCCAAAACACTTATGTCGCAGTAAAGTGGATTATCCGAGGGGACAAGGCTCGCTCCTGAAACACCCACCCCGTTGATTTAGAGCCCTCGTTCTTATCAGCTTCAAAATCATTGGGAGCCGAGCTAACAATAAGGTCGGCCTGGGTGTCTGAGAGCCTGGCAGCCTCTTTGTTCGTCCGCAAGGAAAACAAGCTCAAGTGCCAGTCTTTCGCAGATGTCGACGCAATTGTGAGGAAGGAAGACGCATAATACTGCTCCATCCGCCGAGATTTGGAAAACCAGTCCTCTTCGCTATCTTAGATTTACACAGCGAGTTGATCCAAGCGTACTTGATTCCTAACCTTTGGGCTATATGAGTAGCATCTTAGAACTTTTCGGTAGAGTGTTAAACAAGATTCTTTCCGTCAGTTTGCAATGCTGCCTCGTGTGGCGAGGAATCGGTCATCCCTTTCTCCCCAGCGGTGTGAGAGGGCGATATATCTTCCTCGTTCACCCTTTTCCAGTTCAGACAGGTGCAATTCGGGAGGATATGTTGAATTGAGGATTTCAAACAACCGGGTCGGAAGTTCTGTTGCACTACTCAAAGAGGATCCATGCTGACGGTGATCACTATCGCAATCCTGAAGCCAGCTGGACATCAAATGGAATTACAGATCACTTTTTGGCTCAGGAAGGGTTGCGAAACCCACATAAATCCCCAAGTGTGCTACTTCTGATCCAAGATCTGCGCATAATCTCAACGAGATCTGTAGCCCCTTGGACCTTCAGCCCCCTTGGTGTAATGGAAAGAGACAATCTCTGGAGGAGGCTGCTTTTAGACTATGGGAAAGACTTACGGATCGTTTTGCATGATCTACATGACGTGGAAGATTGCACAAGCTCGTAAGGGTCTTTATGGGAAGCTTTTGCCTCATGGTCTTTCAACAGGCTGGTAACAGGGAGGGTTCGGTATGCCGCATATAGTTTGGACGAACTCGGGGCGCTCTCAGCCCTAGCTTTGCAACTTTTTCGACGAAAGGAGATGAGAAGCGGATGATAATTATGGAAGAGATCTCTCAGACAAGGAAAAGTCGACCCATCTTTCTGAGACTAAGTTCTTCTCAATACCGGTGGAAATAGGGTTGTCACCCAGAATCTGTAGGACAATGATTTCTACGAAAATCTAATAGAAAAGGTCAAGAACTTCCTGAAAGATGGCAAAGAGAGTAATGAAGACCCAAGCTAGACGCCGAAATTCAAATTCCCAGAGGACCCCCGAAAGAAAGTGAACAAGAGGGACAATACGGCAGCACTGCGTAGTTGAGGATTTCCGAGCAATGGTCCAGATAAACATAAATAGGATATATCTATAATTCAACCTACTACTAAACTGTCACAGCCAAAAATCAAGGATCGTAAATAAAAACACACTTCCAATCGATGCCCGGTGTCATGGTTGCAACTCAATGGTCGGATTCTTTGTTAAGAATGGAGTGGATCACATTGAATAGGCGAAGAAAGCCACAACTGAAGATTTGGAACGTCTGCGTAAGGCTCTTATAATCAAAATGAAGCATTGCAAGAGTCCGAGGAAGAAAGGTCAGCTGAACCCTTATACTCGTCCGAGGCTGAGGATCGTCAACAACCTCCTTGCTAGCCAATCAGCGGTAGGGGACGTATGCAGCGATGCCCTAAGTTCTTTACTGAATACAACTACCAATAGTCAGGAAGAACAAACAAAGAAACAGTACAGTCAACACTTTATACTACTGCTGTTGGCTCGGATATGTTGTCATTAAAAATGCAGGAGGGATCAATACCTCAAGTCTTCTTTTCTTTTGGCAAAATAGCATATTCCCATGTCACGGAAGATTCTGACATATTCAATGAACATGTCTTGATATTGCTTTTTCTGCACCTACAATCCCAAGAAATACAATGGGCTGGATATCAGCTACGAGCTGAGGTTGTTGTACTTTAGGTATATACTATTGATTCGCTAATTCACATTCTGCCACGTATCCTCCCCTATCTGTCTTAAGAAGCCAGAACCATAGCTTATTACAGGCCTCAAATCCGAAGCGACCTTGACGTAAATATACGGCAGATCCCCCGCCTCCTCATCCTATTTGCGTATCTATGGACCTGCGCTTTTCTGTATTTAAGCCATAATAGTCATATACAGAAGTACGTGTCACCTTTGGTATTTTCAAGTAATTGGCTGCAGGTACTGTACTTCGAAAATTATATAGGAAGTTTTTAAATATCTATACACATACCTCATGATATATATAACGAAATTGCAAAATCGAGTATTGCAGTAAATTTCAACTACATTCGTAACATTACAACGTTTTGACTATCTACCATGATCCTCCGGGATGCGTTGAAGCCCATGGCAATATCAACCAATTGGAGAATTACGCTGGGAGGAGCCCCGTAGCTCCCGACCTATGATGGGGGGTAGCAGTACGTGTGATTGTAGACCTGCATGGGAGATTTATATGAACCTGGTTCTCGCGATCTATTTATACCATGGCTTCCAACCCGACCCCCTAGATTCATCTCATTTTCTCTAATTTTCTGCTAATAAGCCAACATTCTACATCATTATGGGCTCAATTCAGCCAACCTCTGACCCTATACCCCCCACTCAGACGGTAGCCCTGGTCTCTGAGCTAGGTGGGGAAGTCGAGTTCCGTGATGGATATCCCGTTCCTACTCCAGGACAGAACGAAGTCCTAGCAAAGGTTCTGTACACTGGGGTCTGCCAGAGTGGCATGTATCCCCTCTGAGATTTATAGGAAGCTAGTTAATGCGAAAGTGTACACAGATGCTAATGTGCCATAGACTTACATACGAAGAACGGCACCGCAGCTGGTCCGTCTGGTGACCCCATAACTAAGATCAAAATGCCCCATGTTGGCGGACACGAAGGTGTCGGCCGGATCGTGGCCTTTGGGCCTGGATGTGGTTCCCATTTGAAGGTCGGGGGCCTCGTGGGAATCCGGTTTTCGAGCCGGATCTGCCGCAGATGTGAATTCTGTCTCGCAGGAACGGAGCAATACTGTGTCAAGAGCACTAATCATTTGCACCATGAGGATGGAAGTTTCCAAGAGTATATTGCGCTCGACGCGGATTATTTGACGATTTTGCCGGATGATGTTGATCCGGCGGTTATTGGGCCGGTGCTATGTGCAGGTGTTACGGCCTATAAGGTTGTGGCTGTACTCATTGTTGCTTTCCCTTGGAGATGCTAATTCCACATGTAGGCGGTACTGAATGCAAATGTTAAAGCGGGACACTGGCTGGTAGTCGTTGGGGCTGGAGGTGGACTTGGACATTTGGCTGGTGAGCTATCGCGACTGACTCATAGGCATTAGACTGCTGGTACTAAGCGGAGCAGTCCAATATGCAAAAGCCCAAGGAGCGCTGGTCATTGGCGTTGATGTTGCGGACAAACGAGACTTTATCCTTAACCTTGGAGCTACTGAATTTATTGATTTTACCTCCACGGACCCTGTCCAGCGTGTTCACGAAATCACCGGACTTGGGGCACATGCAGTTGTCGTTACCGCAGGAAGCGCAAAAGCCTTTGCTCACGCGTGCGAGATGCTGCGTGTTGGCGGTGCGCTGAGCTGCGTTGGGATCCCTCCAGGTCGGCCGGCGTTGGAAACACCTATCTGCACCATTGTGATCAAAGGACTTAGGATTACAGGGAATCTTGTAGGTTCATTGAAGGAATGCATGGAGGCTGTCGATCTGGTTCGCCGAGGCGTGGTAAAGCCAGAGATCAAAGTCCGCAAGTTCAGAGAGTTGCCTCAGGTGTATGAGGAGATGGAGAAGGGTGATATTGCAGGAAGAATTGTGCTACAGATATCAGAGTAGCTGTGCCTATCATCCCCGATGAGAGAAATTTGTGTGTCCAGCTATATCACTAGCTTTCCAACCAGAGTCATTCGTGTACTGAAATAATCCGTATCGTATACTGAAAGGTCCAGGTATTCATTCATAGCGCCCTCGTCGTCCGCTGTTCCTCCATCATGGAATTTCAACAACCGAGCAGGTGCTGTCACCAGAGCTTCAGCTGTCTTCGCATGTAACATAGACTTGAGCATAGAGTCTTGTTCTAGGAACGGCAGCAGCTTTTGATACAAAGCATGCAGAAAGTCCTGGGGCCCCAATCGAAAGGCATAAGACGAAATCGACGGCGTACATAACACAATATCAGCAAGTGAGTTTGTAACTTCAAAGCACTTCAACAACTGTCTCCTCGTTACTAGAGCTGTCCGAACTCAATGAAGCCAACGTACCTGATCACGACCCAGAGGCAACAAATCAGACTCGGAGAACCCCTGCAACGAATATAAGAGATCTCGACTGACAAGTACCGGAAACCTGAATGTAAGCAGCTCAGCGTTTGACTTGGAGGACAGCATTTGCCGAGACAATGCTTCCTGCCAGATAATAGTCCTCATCCATTCCTTCGTAATGCAGTAATCCGCCATACGGGCTGAAGCCCTGCCACCCTCACCTAGCGAGAGCATGGACAGTGCTGCCTCCGTCTCGGTCAGACAATCCGCAGAGATAGCACCCGGGCCATAATTGCCAATACCCCTCTTGAGCGAGACGCCGTCGAAAGCCGCAAAAAGCCTAGCCAGCTCCAACAAGCCTTGAACATGATCATTGTCCGCCATGTGTCCCCCGTCCGGCAACCGAATCATATCCGTATACGACGGCACAAGACCAAGGTGCATTGCATAGCCCCTACGTAAAATATATCAGTACACCATCACCCAGCCCAAAAAGCAAACTCACCTCTCCGAAATCCAAAGCAAAGTAAACAAAATCTCCCCATTAACAATAACCTCATCCCACTGCCGTTCCTCATCCCCATCCCACTCATCCAACCCCAGCAACCTCGCCCCCGACATAGCCTCCTGGATAAACCTCATCGCCAACCCCCGCCTATTAATCTTCGCATAATAAACGTGCAAGAAAAATGAAACAAGAACACCCTTTACATCTAGATCCCCCCTAGAACAACATCCCTCCCGCAACCGCAAAGACTGCCCTACCATATCACCACCCTCAAACCCACCCACCAGCCCAAGCTCCAACTGCACCATCGTCGCCGCACAAACCGCCGCAGCAAGACAATACGTCCCCACTTCCGTCTCCGTCTGACCACACCCAAGCCGTCCCACAAGAACCCCGACATCAACAACCGGCCAAACCCTAAACGACGAATCCTGATAAAGCCGCAACACCGTCTCCAGAACCGATATTGGGACTGTTATTGTTGACTTCGCCTCGCCATCGGCTTTACCTTCAGCAACCCCGTCCATAGAAGCGGGCACATCCGTCCCTGGAAGGGTGCTATGTGTCTGGCGTTGGACCCTGTAGCGTCGGACTTTGGGCCCGCGCCTACGGACCGGTTTGAGGTACGTGCACTTCACCTGTTTGGGGGCGCTGCGGCAGGTGTCGCAGGGTTGGGCGCCGCTGCATTTTACTTTTCGGGTGATGCATTCGTCGCAGGCTCGTTTTGTGGGTTTCGAGCGCATGCTTAGAGGGTGGATTTGATGGGGAGAGATTGGCTGGATTGGGTTGGATTTGTTGTTGGATGGATGCGGAGCGTGAGGGGAAAGTTGAGGTGAGGCACGTCACTGGATTGGATGGATCATCTGATTTAATGGACCGTGGCTTGGAGTTGGTATTTCACTTGAAAGGTCATATCTAGGGATAGTGTTCTATGCTCTTTTCTTTGCTCATAGAGGTGATTATATTGGTGGATTAATCGTTCTGTCAAAGGTATAAGTTGGGGCTTAGTAGTAGACTAGCTCATCGTTATATATTTGATACATAAATACGTAGATAACATAATGTTTCTTTGCGTAAATACCACTATTTCTTAAAATCCTGGAATACAATACCATATTATAACTTTTTGTCTCCAGCTCAGATCCTGTCGGCCTCTAATTCTATCTACTACTGTGGCGGCCGATGGGCCCGACAAATACCGACAACATTCCGGCAGCCCGTTTTCTTATTAATAATTGTCATAGTATAACTAATTGATATGAAATATTCTAGGGAATTACTCTCTTATATGCCATCTTCTTTTACTGACTACGAACCAGTAAGTGCCAGGTCTGCACTGCATAAATACTCGCTAGCAGCCCCCATATCCAACGAGTCAGAAAGGGCACTCATTCTGTTCAGCAAACACGATCATCACTCGCAATATTATCCAGCATGTCTCTCGCTCAGAAAGCGCTTATTGTGTCAGATATCGGCAAGCCTGTCACTCTAGTAAGTGACTGGCCTATCCCCGAGCCAAGCACAAACCAGGTGCAGGTGAGAGTGACCGTTGCCGGCCTCAATCCTCACGACGCAAAGAGCCGAGATTGGGGCCTCTTCATTCTTCGAGATCTTTCCCCCGTCACAAAGCTGGACCAGGACCCAGGGGCAACTGATCTTCCGTCCGTCCTTAGCAACGACGTCGTCGGGAGGGTCACAAAACTGGGCCCAGGCGTCACCGACCTTGCGGTCGGCGACCGCATCGTGTATCAACCATCATTCGCGCCGGGCTCGACGCAGAATGGCTTGCAAGAATACGCCATCGCGGATCTAAGCGCTCTGGCTAAGATTCCGGATTCCATTACGGACGACGAGGCAGCTACGTTGCCGACCAACATCTTTCCGCCGTTAGTGGCTCTGTTCGAAACATTGCAGATCCCTGCGCCGTGGTCGTCGGCCGCGAAGGATTTTGACTACACCAATGCGACAATTCTGATCGTCGGGGGAGGCTCCAACTGCGGGCAATTTGGGGTCCAGCTGGCCAAGCTCGCGGGCATTGGCCGCATCGTGGTGGTGGGTGGCGACCCGACCAAGTTGAAGTCATTTGGGGCCATGCATGTCATCGACCGGCACGCTGGATACGAGACTGTACTTGCCAACGTTCGTGATATAATCGGCGACGATCTGGTGTACGCCTATGACGCTATCAGTCCTCCAGAGGGCCAGTTGCTCGCGCTAAATGCGCTATCAAGCTGCAAGAGAGGCGCGCTGGCCCGCCTATTACCTCTTGGTACGGTTGATGAGTCCAAGGTCCTGGGAAAGCGAGCAGGATTCGATGTACGTGATGTATTTGGCAGCTCGCATGCGTATCCTGAGCTTGCGGCCGCTTTTTGGTCACGGGTCCCTCGCTATCTCGAAGCTGGTCAAATCAAGCCACTGGCTTATGTGGTGAAGGAGGGATTGCTGGCTGGCAATGTTAACGACGTGCTAGATGCCTATAAACATGGGAAGAGGGTTACTAAGACCCACATTCATTTTTAAGTGATGTACTTGTATATTCAAGCGACCACTAGGTATTTGATGGCCATGGTGTAAGAACCAGGTAGCCGAATCCCAACTCGATAATTTCTTTCTTTCTCTCTTTCTTTCTTTCTTTCTCTCTTTCTTTCTTTCTTTCTCTCTTTCTTTCTTTCTTTCTTTTTCTTTTTCTTTTTTTTTTTTTTTTTTTAATCCTACCATCTATCACTCAGGCCCTAGAACTTGAATCTAAATCTGTTGGAAGCTAGCAGCTCACCATCTAGTAGGGGTTACCAGCTAGGTATCATTCTAGGTCTCAGTCATGAGAAGCAACCCATTGGTGCCGAAGTTTGTCCAGATAGAGCTGGAGTTCGTTTACAGCGCTCTCTGACCAAGGACGGTCTCCATCATATGGTCGAAGACGCATATGCTCCATCGAAGCACGCACTACATAGATGTGAATCGGAGATGTATCATTGGTCCCATCTGAAGGTAGACTACTGTAATGCCATTTCGCCATATCGATAACCATCGTCGTAGCTGTATCGAGTGCCGCTAGCGAACTCTTCTTCCATTCCTCCAGGGATCTCAGATTGGCAGAAATGACCTGTTGTGGTATGTTAAAGACGTGCCCATGTAGCGTGAACAATGCTCTGTATTGAATCAGGACGTGGCACTCGCGTAAGAGAGGGGAGAGAAAGAGAAAGCACTGAAATATTGGGTGAGTTTACCTGACTGCCACTGCTAGCGCTGTGCAATAAGACCACGCTTTATCTGGGCTATGGGTTAAAATAAGGGCTAGAAATGACTGGGTAGTCCTGTCCAGACTTTCAAGCAGAGGCAGCCTGCTGTTAAGATCTGGTATGACCAAGCCTCTTAATACTTGGTCCAAGAGGCAAGATGCTTGAGCTGCGCGGCCGAAGCCACCAACGCTTGTTGAGGTTAAACATGAGACGGGAATATCGGGTATAGAATCTGGACTAAGAAGATCCTCCCGATCAAGTATATCGCGGTCGATTGGTAGCCGAGTGTCCCCGGAAGGTAAAATAGTAGCCATTGGTGGCCCAAAGTCACCTGCATCACAAATAAAGGCTCTGGAACGCGCAATATTGTGTCAGTCAATCGATGCCCTTGCTGGATTACATAGAAATACTTACCGTTCGGAGATGACAATGCCCCACCACGTGTTTCCAGCTTCTTCGACTTCTAGCCTGGAGCCACCATCCATGTTATGGCGTCTGCTGTTGTGGATACGAGCAGCATAGGCCATTCGCGCACAGCCCGCAATCGTGACCAATGCGACTTCTGGCCTCCCGTTTGCATATTCATATGTAGCTAGCAAGAGGCTAGCCTGTATCAGACGGATCGAAGGCTGCTGCAAATATCCCTGGACCTGTGCGAGGAGTGCCTTTGTGGCGAGATACAGAGACTGTCGGTCGATATTAGGTTTGTCTCCTTCTCGTGGAGGCCGGTCAGAGCTTGGGAGGTATGCAATTAAGCAGATAGTTAGAAGCAAAACCGAAGAGTCAGCACTAGGGGATGCTCCCGTCGCGATGAGGTTGCTCTGGAAGCGCGTACGGGAAATGATGGGGAGATGGCCGTGGAAGTCCCGGAAATAGCGAGCCGTAAGGTCATCCACAAATTTGCCAGTCGAACGAATGATTTTTTGGACCTCGATGTGAACGCCGTCCCTGATACTTTTGTCAGCATGGCGTGCGGCGGCAAACGCTTCCGGAACTCATGGCAGATTATCCCGGGGTTGGGCTAGATACTGACAGGCACTCAAACACTGGACGGTATAAAGTGGTCCTTTTATTCACAGGCCCCGGAAGAATCGTGCTGGGTGGCGCCAGATCGCCAACTGTCTCACGGTGTATTGCCGATGGATGCCATGAGCCGTCGGTGTTCCGGGTGGCATAAACACGTCGGCGAGGAACTGGAACGTAGCAGCAACTAAGACCTTTCCTGTGCGCCCGGTCCTAAGTATTATTCGAGTTCGTACAGCATACCCAGGGGACTTACAGTATACAATAGCTACATGAAGGAAAACCCTTGTCGCATTTCTTCTTACGAGTCTTGCAGCTGAGGCACGCTTGCGTGGGGCGGGTCCGATGGGCGTCGGCCGCCATTGTAGGGCCTTAATGAGATGGTAGCACTTGTAAAACTGCTTGGGATAGACTCTACTATGTGGAGTTGAAATTATAGGAAGATCATGACGAGGCATATGATAAACGAGGAAGAGAAGTTGTAGCTGTCGGCCCATCGGACCCGCGGCGGAGTTTGTCGGGAACGGATTTATCAATTCAGATCCACCCTCGATAGAACTATTAAAAAGAATATTTTTGATTGTTAGTAAGAGTAAGCAAAAGAATCCTGCCATGTTTTGTAGAACTTCCGACATGTAGCGGGGAGATTATGATCGCGTACGTATTGCTAAGACGGTATACAAAGTCTACCTAAGCCAGATACGGCAGGGAAGAAGAGAACGAAGATCTTGCAGTGTTGGTTAATACTTGGATAGTCGCTAGAAAATTCTCACGTTTTCTGAAATTCCTATAGAGTATCAAGAAGCGACGCCCTATCCCATTAAAGTGGCCTCGTCAGTTGCATGGCCAAAGACAATAATAATATTGCCCCCGTATCTTGATGGCCACTATCCCATATGTCCCTATTTCATTGGCCCATTGCTCGTGTCACTTGACGAAGTGGAACCCCACTGATCATATAGTACTTCGAACTTCATCCTAGATGCGATGCTTCTTCACTGCTCCAAGCGAAAGGACCCGTCCCTCGAAAATGCCTTCTTTCGCTTCCCTTCTGGTGAACCATCATCTCCATGGTAACTGTGACCAGCTCAGATAGCCTTCTGATCTCTTACAGTATATCATTGATTGACTCGCTGATATACCTTGCGTGATAGAGTCTGAGGCTATCCCGTATTGCGATTCATATCGGATGTAATAACTCGGACGGATTTTAGGCTGTATCCATTCCTCTATTGGTGATCAAGCTCTATGATAGACCATCCGATAGCTTTGTCGGCAGGCAGCATTCTGTCGTGGACGAATATACATAAATCAGGTGTCAGTCATGACAGATGATACATCGCTGTTGAATCTGTGAGAGACCGCAAAAAGCTGAGCAGTGAACCCAATTATGAAACATAGGCTTGCCAAAAAGAAAACAGAAAAAGGAAAAAAGGAAAAGGAAAAAAGAAGAGAAGAGAAAAGAAGAGAAGAGAAGAGAAGAGAAGAGAAAAGAATTAGAAAAAGAAAGTGGCCTCGTTATCGGGAACAAACTCGAACCGATAGCAAAGTGTCAATATGAGGGATTATGCTCTAGATAATCTGCGAACTTTTCTCACTGCCCTTGTCATCATTCATCATATGACCATATTCTATGGTGATTCTGGACATGGACCGTCGCGCTCCTTGTGTTTCCCCGCATCGTCGTCCCTGGCTTTGATAGCATTCAATGCACTCAACCAGATTTAAGGGTCTTTTCTTCTATCTATCGGGGCGATCTTCCCAAGTCAGCCTCGATCGAGCCTCAGTAGGGCCCGAAACCAGAAGGCAGAACAAATTCGTTTCATAAAAGGTCGGTTTTTAAGGAACTTAACTCTCCGTATCTATTGCCCGCAACCCCGGGCCCCTGTCCGATGCACAGGACGTCAGTCTAGGCAGTGTAGCGCGCAGCAATGGGAACCAAAAAAGACAGAGTCCCAGACCACCGACAAGTCCTAGAAGCAATTGTTCACGCGGACGGTCTATTCATCGCAACTCCAGTATACAGTCTCTAACCAGCCGGGTTTCTAAAAGCCGTCGTGGACCGCATCCTGGGTCCGTTCATGGGTGCGGCATTCGTGCAACGGGTGCTAGGGGGTCAACGCCGCGGAGATCCCGAGTTCGCAGGGATCCAGGTGGATAAGCGGATTTTCAAGCCGCGGGTAGTGGGATTCATGGCGGTTTTCCGGCTCGAGACTTAGAGATCAGATTACGATAGCGCCGCCGATGCTGCATCAGTTTGTGTGCTAGTTGCATGCGAAGGTGGTGGACCAGGTAGTTCTCGACGGGTGTGTGAATCCGGGGGCGGTAGTGTTGAATGGTGATCGGGTGAATGAAAGAGCATGGCAGGTAGGAGATCATGTTGCAAGCCAGACTGGTAAGTCCTTCGATGAGGCGAGGTATCTGAGTCCAAGAAGGGAGGGAGATTGTTCCTATTGCCATCTGACTAAGGTGGAGATTGATCATACTCCTGGGAATGAGGTTGGCTGTATGATATGCGGCGCACCGGGGACAATGGCTGTCGGAGATAATGGGAGCTTTCGGCGATATGGGAATCGGATTCGAACATCAGTTGAATCACGATGAAGGGCAGATTGAAACACGTGGATGATATTGTCGCTGCTGGTAGGCTGGAGGCCTCCGCCGTGCAGGCAATAGGAGGGTCGTCAACTTTGGAAGTCGGTGAAAATTCCTATGGCGCCACTACCGAGTACTAGCGACTGTTCAGCAAGGAAGGGAAGCTTGAAGAGCGTGAGAGGCTTGCACATATAGACGGATCCTGGGATTAAGCAGATCTAACAGGCATAGAAATGTCAAAATAGAAGATTATATTGGTTGTACAATCATGTATCGATTATGTACTATATTAAGTGCCAATCTTCTTGCTAAAGCGCAAAGCTCTGAACTGAGAAGGGTCATAAGGTTTAGATGCCATTTTTCGGTGGAGGTCAGCTAAAGAGAATCCATCCCTCGTAGGATCACAGGAGCGTCTGTCAGTACGTCTAAACATCTCGGTTTGTCAAAATCTAAAGGTTCAATGATATTTTGCATAGTAAGTTCAGGATTGCCGAAAGAAGATAGAAACAGATGAACCTGAACAGGTTAGCTTGGTGTTTTAGAACCACAGGAGCAGACAGAGTCTTCGGTAGTGAATACCAAAAGCGTTCTCTATTCAGTGTAAATCATGTAGCATGTAGAATCTCCAGAGATGACAGGCTTGCTCGAATTGACAAATTCAGGTTTAACAGAAAAGCCTCTATCATAGGGCCGGTCTCTGACCATGTTTGGCATCGACTCACGACTTGTTGAATACACCCTACGGGATAGGTCATCTATCCTCGACGATCTACAGTTGAGCAAAACGCAACGAAAGCGAAAACCAAAGGTTTTGCAATGGAGGGAGTCTGCGAAGGCTGTGCACTAGGAGAGGAATACGCTATCTTCACGGAGTCCTCTAAGAAAGACACGTTGGCTATAGGGTACATCAGGCTAATCGTGCCACATTTGTAGAAGGCTACGCATGGTTCAGTAACGAATCTGTTGGGTAACTGGACGGTAGCTGCCCCTGGCTCGAGAACTGTCCCCTGCTTTGAGATGATAGTTGGGCGATTACAATAGCTCACCCAGGGGAGGCCGAACAAAGGTAGCGTCCTGAGAATATCAGAAGTTCCATGGTGAGATTAAATTCACTCCTACCAGGTGGGAGAGAGGAAGGGCATTCCGTAATGTCGGCAAAAAGACACTCTTGTTTTCTTGAATACCCAAGCTCCCAGAAGATGGATTAGCCCCCAGAGCCTTTAGTTATTTCGGTTTGAGATAGGCAGTGGTCTCCATAGCTATTGATAGAGTTGCGTCCTTCCGCCCATGACTTTAGCCACTGCTATAACACAACATCGGGAATGCTTGAATCAAATTCACTCATTTGGGATTGAGAGCCACTATCGAATACTGCAATATAGCCATCAGGGATTTTAACACGTGAGTTCTCGGAGGCAAATACAGAACTAAATGACATTAGTTCCGCTACAGGGGCACAATGCCTATGGGATCGTATGGGGGCGTATTCTACTCGGATGGATCATCTGCTTTGCGCTTTTGCCGACCATCAATTCCGGTGTAAGTACAAGAGAGTCCTTGATGTACACACTAGTCGCCTTTGGTGGCATCGTTATTCTCAACACATTTTATCTATAGCGTGATCAGCCTCAGCTATCCCTGAGCGTGATGTCTGTTACATGCGATGGTGGGACTTGCTCACCTTACATGCATAACAGGAGTCGCAGGCCTTTCGTGGACGCCCTTTCGGGTCACCCCGAAATGTAGAAGTCATATGCCGTGCGAAAAAGCAGTCGAAGTATACAGCGTGGAGAAGGGTTCCGAGATGTTATGCTTCCTGTTTCCGCCGGAAGATGGATCCACGGAACGGTCAGAGCGTTTGGCTTGATGAATTAGTCCCCACAAAGAAATCTTAGGTTCGATGAGTTTCGTTTATGAATTGCTAATTCTCCACCCGTCGATGTAGGCGCGCCCTAGCATGCATGCCGAGTTTCAACAAGTTCTCTATGGGCCCTGAATGGCGTCTGGAGTGCCTGGCAGGCTATTCCTCATCGGCCTGAGACAGCCAAGAGTGGGAACATGGGATTTATTAAACTGGGATGCCTGAGACAGGGAGATTTGCAGAGCTATCTGAATTGAGTATTCCGGAGCATTGTTGCGTCTTTTTTTTTTTTTTTTTTTTGTGATGGAGCTGCTGTAGCTCACGTGTGTAGGATTGATTGTCTTATGGTCTAAATCTACTTTACAGAGATTCCTTAGTGTTATAGTAAGGTCACGTTGTTGCTGCCTTAGGCTCCCATATGCTCCGACATTTTATATTGCAGAAACAATATTACTTAGTTTAAGAAGACTTCTACAGATACGAGCAATAAAGAAGCTTGAATAGATTACTAATTTTCCACCATCCAGGCTAGCCCCAAAACAGACCTAGCCTCACCGCCAACCCCAATGAAGGCTAGTATGGAAGCTCCCCAACCAGTGGGAAGGTCCATCCTATCTCTCCCCTGGAACCGACGTCATGAGAAATAATCCCCAACTCCACTCGAAATTACAATATAAGGACTCACTCCTAAGCACAGAACAAAAATTCCTATCTAAGTATACCAGATCAATCCTTTCTATATCCCAAAACAAACCACCAAAATGGAAGACAAAGCCCTCGCTCCCCCAAGCAAAGACGTAAGACACCCTCCCATACAAACCAAATTTAAATACCCAACCTAACAAAACGCCAGCTCCGCGAACTCGCCGCGCAAGAATCCTCCGCCTCCGTAATCTTCCCCTCCTTCACATCAACAACCGCGTGGTCCCTAGGTCTGGCACTACGGTCCCGAATCCTGTCCCTCCCGCCGGACCAGCGCAAACCGGCCTTGATCTCCATCTCGCTGAGCGGCGGCTCGGAGCCCCACGTTGTATTCCAGTGCGCCACGGAACCCGGGACCTTCGCAGATAATGAGGTGTGGGTGCGGCGGAAGCGGAATACCGTGCTGCGGTGGGGGGTGTCGAGTTGGTTGATGCGGACTAAGATGCTTGCGAGTACCGGGTTGGGGCCGAGTGAGGTGGAGGCGGCGTTTGTGACGAAGCATGCCCTGACGAGCACGGGTGGTGGAGGCGCGGCAGATGACTTTGCCATCCATGGTGGGGCGTTTCCCGTGCGGGTGAAGGGGGTGGATGGGGTTATTGGCGTGGTGGTGGTGAGTGGGTTGAAGCAGGAGGATGATCACCAAGTCGTTCTGGAGACGATCCGGGAGTTTATTCAACAGGGCGGGCAGTGAGTAAATTGCAACACTGGGATACGACCTTATATTCTTCGATTGCATCTCGAGCCCTAATGCCAAGACTGGGTAAGCCAATATAAAAGGGTATTTTCCGACAGTTTGCAGAGACAAATCAGCCACCGATGAGGAACATTAGGCCATACATCGGTTGTCTTTCCAATGAGGAACCCGCACTCTTTACGTGTGGGACCTCGAGCTATCATTAGCGAAATATTACTAGTATCAGGGAGGCAAGAATCAATTGCTGTTCTAGTTTCTACATGTCAGACCTAATATAAGACGTCTCTAATATATACAAGATGAAACCTTAAAAAACAAGAAAAAAAAAACCCTTGTATCTATTTTCCTGTTTCAATATCGATCTCCGTTGTTTTCAGGTTGTTACAGTATATGCTTGCTAAATCCGGTGTATATTACTTCTGAAGGTCGTTGAATATAGAAGTAACGCATCGGATTTAGGAACTGTCTACCATGATGACCTAAAAACAAGCGGAGATAGCTATATATGTGATATCTTCTATTAATGTAACTTAAAATCCATGGCGTATAAAAACTATACTGTAGAGCAACAAAGTCCGGTGGCAACTCTTTAAAAGATGGCCAGATATCAGGATTTATCTGATTCAAAAACAACTCTCTATTCAGGACGGTAGGATATCGTACAAGTCACATCAAGATGGGCCGACCTGAATGAGGAAATTCTGGTAATCCGAGTGATTGCAAATTGTGCTTCTTAATTTACTGATGTGGATGTTCTAATATAACACTTGTTCATACTCCTGAGAAGGTTGTTGAAATGCAATGAGTTATCTTAGATATCTAGTACCATATCCAAAGGTTGCCGACACCGACGGAAAGGCAAAGTAGATGATAGGGCATGAAATACAAGACAGGATAAGATCATACGGCCAGGTTTGCAATCTAGTGTAATAACCGTGTGATGTGATTCGTTGACTACAAGATTGTGTGCACGTCAGAATGAATTTACGCCGAGGCAAAGGTAGAAAACAGAGTAATAGAAGCTAGTCAGATAATATTCAAGGTATCATGGTATTCCTGTCACCTCATGTATCGAGGTCTAATAAAAATGATTCAAACCAGCCAATAAAACAGAATAGAACTCCATAAATCCCTCTAAGTAATTTTACAGTTCGTCATGCCCGGCGGGCTCATCATCCTCATCAGCCGGGGCAGAGCCATACAGCTTGCTGGTGATGGGGTAGGCCACGTTGGACAGCTGCTCCTTCTGCTCCTCAAAGTCCTCGGTGGTGGCATCGGCAGCGTTCTCCTCGAGCCAGTCGGTGACCTCCTTGACGGCGTCGAGGATGGTCTGCTTGTCATCCTCATCGATCTGGCCACCCAAGCCGTTCTCATCGTTGGCCTGGTTCTTCAAGCTGAAGGCATAGTTCTCCAGGGTGTTACGGGCCTCAATCTTGGACTTGATGGCCTTATCCTCCTCGGCGAACTGCTCTGCCTCAGCGACCATGCGGTCGATTTCCTCCTGGGACAGACGACCCTTGTCATTGGTGATGGTGATGGACTCGGCCTTACCAGTGCCCTTGTCACTGGCGCTGACCTTCAAGATACCGTTGGCGTCCAAGTCGAAGGAGACCTCAATTTGGGGAACACCACGAGGGGCGGGAGGAATGCTGGTAAGCTCGAACTTGCCGAGTAGGTTGTTATCCTTAGTCAACGAACGCTCGCCCTCGACTATAATTAGTTAGTATGTATGCGATGTGATTTCCGGATGAGAGGCAAACTTACAAACTTGGATAAGGACGGTAGGCTGGTTATCAGCGGCGGTGGAGAAGATCTGAGACTTGCGGGTGGGGATGACGGTGTTACGGGGGATGAGCTTGGTCATGACACCACCGGTGGTCTCAATACCGAGAGTAAGAGGGTTGACATCCATCAGAACAACCTCAGAGGTACCTTCCTCACCGGAAAGAACACCACCTTGAACGGCAGCACCAAAAGCAACAGCCTCATCGGGGTTGATACCCTTGCTAGCCTTCTTGCCACCGAAGAATTCCTCAAGGAGGGACTGGACCTTCGGGATACGGGTAGAGCCACCAACAAGGACAATGTCGTCAACCTCGGACTTCTTAACCTTGGCGTCCTTGAGCACCTGCTCAACGGGCTTCAGGGTCTTCTTGAACAGATCCATGTTCAGCTCTTCGAACTTGGCACGGGTGAGGGTCTCAGAGAAGTCCTCGCCGTTGTGGAAAGACTCGATCTCAATGCGAGTGGACATCTGGGAAGACAGAGTACGCTTGGCTTTCTCGACCTCACGCTTGAGCTTACCCATAGCCTTGAGATCCTTCTTGACATCAACGTTGTTCTTCTTGTTGTACTGCTTGACAAAGTAGTCCATGACACGGTGGTCAAAGTCCTCACCACCAAGGTGGGTGTCACCAGCGGTAGCCAAGACCTCAAAGACACCGTTATCAATGGAGAGGAGGGAAACATCGAAGGTACCACCACCAAGATCGTAAACAATGACCTGGCGCTCATCACCAGTCTTATCCAATCCGTAGGCAATAGCGGCGGCAGTAGGTTCGTTGACAACACGGAGGACGTTAAGGCCGGCGATGGTACCAGCGTCCTTGGTAGCCTGTCTCTGGGCGTCGTTGAAGTAGGCGGGAACGGTAACAACGGCGTGGCTTACACTCTTCCCGAGGTAGCCCTCAGCAATCTCCTTCATCTTTCCAAGGACCATGGCGGAAACCTCCTCAGGAGTGAAAGTCTTGGGAGACTTGTTGACATCGACCTTGACGACGGGCTTGCCATCCTTGTTGACAACCTTGAAGGGGAAGTTCTTGGAGTCCTTGGTGACATCCTTGTCATCAAACTTGCGACCGATCATTCGCCTGAGAGACTGGTATTAGTACACCGATCCACGGCGACACATTCGACAACACTCACTTAATGTCAAAGATTGTCCTGGTAGGGTTGGCGGCGTATTGGTTCTTGGCGGCGTCACCGACCAAACGTTCCTCATCCGTGAAAGCGACATAAGAAGGAGTGATACGGTTTCCTTGGTCGTTGACGAGAATCTCGACCTTTCCGTTCTGCATCACACCAACACAACTGTTCCGCAGTTAGCCATTGGATCGCTCTTTATCAATGTAAGGTTGCAGACACCACATACGAGTAGGTAGTACCCAAGTCAATACCGATTACAGTTCCATAGTTATCTTGTACGGAATCCTCCTGAGCGTGTGCGGTTCCGAAAAATGCCAGGGGCGCGATGAAAACAAGGAGCAGGTAGAAGACGGTGGTCCAAGCAGTGAACGGCTTGGCCGCAACGTTGCGACTCGATAGCCGCGCCATTTTATCTAAGTGTATATCGAGAGGTGGCCTGTCCAAGCGGCACGCGTTTTAGGTCTCGAGACGTTTTTAACTTGATTGGGGAATCGCTTGTGCTTAAATACAGTCACCTGTATTCAAGAAAGACAAGCAAAAGGGAGTAAAAGAGAACCCAACCACAGGCGACGGAATGGAAGGGGGGAGAAGGGTAAGTTGAGGCAAAAGAGAGTTGTTGCTGAACGAGGGTCGTAGGAGGAAGAGATCAGCTTTTTTAAAATGCTTGAGGCCAGAGAAAAGGACAGCATGGCTGGTACGGGCAATGCTCTGCAGGTTACTTCTCGCGATATGATTGGCCCATCGGCGTTCAGAGATCAAGCTGAGTCATTGGCAGTGGCGACCGCCTCCTTTCTGCCGGCTAAACTCCCGGAGAGTTGTTCATCAACATTCTGCAGGCGGTCCACCGAAAGTACTAGAACCGTGATTCATTGGTTGGACACCCGCCTTAGGTAATCACCCCAGGTTGTGCCCTATTTTTCAGCATCCTGACTCTCATCTCGTTCAGGATACGTGGACAAAGGATGGGATGTAGCCCTGCATTGTACCATGAGTACACCGTGTACTTTTCATATCCTAGGTTACCCAAGGCTAGCCATTGTGAATTCATGGCTTTTACCGTTCACCGTTCAATGAAATGCACTTTATATCTTCCACGTGGTCGCAAACAAGGTAAAATATCACTACTTGTTGTGTATATACCAGGTTGTACTTCGTAAAGGCAGTAGCAATATCAGCTTGGCTGACAGTACAGCGATTCCAATTATATTTTCTCAATAGACTTAAAAGCCATGCACTATCATCAGACATTCCATGCCACAAAATCACTCAGTGCATTTATCAATGGAGAAGTCCGTAGTGATAAATGACCTGTCAGGGCCGGGATACTGCCACGGGTCTCAAGAGGCAATTCTCGGCTTTCTCAAAAATGATTGATTTACTATTACTGTACCCATTTTTCAGAAAACATATCTAAATTATTGTAACACCGATAATTTGCCGTTCCGTCGTTTCTATGGTTTTCTATTGATCATCTACTCGGTTAAGTATTCGTGGCGAAATATATATATGATGGAGGCTACAGACACCGGTTGACTCACATGCGCGTCTGAACACGTATATAAAGTAGAGAGGTTTTGACTGTTTGACTATATTCAAGGGAGTCATTGATATAAATGATCAACCTGAAAGAAACGTGAGATTCTTCTTATTGGAAAATGCATATAAATAGATATTTCAACTTCCACAAAACAAAGAAAGGATCAGGGCACAATCGATCCGAAGACATCAACACATCGCTACATGCATAATTCTCCTATCCTAAGAACATGAAACAGGATATCTCGGTCCCCTGGGTCGAAGAACTCGAAGAAACCTTATAACAAAGGTTCTAGACTTCACTACCCATTTCTTTGAGGTAATGCTTTCATTCTGTGAGCACCTCACGGTCTTTGTGTAGCACTATGATATGAGGCTATGCCAAGGCCGATCAATTTCTTTTTTTAAAGTATATAAAGAGCCTATCTTGCACATCATGCGCCCTAGACAGTCTCCTGCATAGAATGATGCTATTTCGAACAGGGGGATACTGTCAAAGAAAGGCAGCGGTTGATGTAAATCGCATACGGACCAAGACAACGGTCGCTTGACCAAAGTATATTTGTAAAAATAGAATGATGGATATCATCGAGCCAACCATTATCATAATCAAGCCTTTGCAACGATTATATATGCACAATCAAAGGGCTATGCCTACATTTTCCCTTGTATGAACTCGCGGAACCGCCGATTCTGGCTTTCTTAGTTCGCTGCCCAACCCTCCACTTCCGAGTGCCTCGATGTCCTCCCCCCCATGCCTGCCACAGCAAGGGTCATATTCCGTCTCGGGAAGAAGGACGTCGCCATCTCTGGCCCGTTTTTGTAGCCAGTAGCTTCGCATTCGATCAAGGGCTGTTTTGAAGTCGTCGAGGATAACGGTGTCACAAAGACACTTGAAAATAAATGATAGCTGCTCAGACGTAGTTTAGTAGCCATCTACAGCAGGGCTTGTACTAAATGGGCTACGCACCTTCCAGAATGGCTCCACTCCCGTTGGGAGCGTATGCGCCGGAAATGCGTTTAGAACGACACAAGTATCGATGACGATGAACGCTATGGAAAGACACATTGATGCTAGCATGACCCCGAATCGTGGGCTCACAGTTACCAATTCGATAATGCCAAAGTTGTACAGGCGCTTGATTGTGTAGAAGAGTGAGCAGGTGGTGAAGACCCACCAGGGGTCACTGTCATTTTCTCAGCCCGACGTGGACAGAATCAAGGAGAATCTGGGGCATACCGGAAGAGAGGTTCCATTGGCCTCGTTGTCAGGAAGATCTTGTTGATGTTATTGAAATAGGTGAAATTGGCGTAGATCTCCACCACCCAGTATGGCTGGACCAGCAGGATGGTGATGATATAAGCTTGTGACACTCTGCGACTCAGGAATGGCTTATTTTTCATCCAGGCAATGACATTGTGTAGGGTCCAGGATACGTTCAAACCGATCGCGCTGCAGGAGAGGTACCATCCGTAGACGGGCTCTTTGGGAAAGATGAAGGTGCCGTGGGCCATGGCGAGAATGAGCTGTATTGCGTTGCGAGTCGTAAGAACTCCGCGCACCGTACTAGACACCCGGGGGGGGGGGGCATGAAGGCTTACCTCCGCAAAAATAAGTTTGTGCAGTAGTATATGCCTCTTCATATTTGCAAACGTCACTGCGGCCATCACCACCAGGGAGCCAACCATCAAGCCCTGGCCCCAGGCTTCGAGGACAAGGTCATCTGGCGCAGTGGGCCGGCTGATGCGATCCTCGGAGTGAGACATGGAGAAGGTAGACGACCATGACCGGGTTAGTAGTTGCTGATATGCGTCTGTTGGGACGTGCGGGAGTAGGGTGTTTTATAGTACAATATCATATAAAACAATGGCATATGCATCGGCATGCGTGGGTTGGGCACCGGCAACGTGGGTAGAAATTGTAGGTTTCTGGGGTAAAGATACTAGTGTCAGTAGGGTGAGCCGCTGAAGGGACTCCTGTGCCACGGAGAAAGACACATTTGTACTAATTGCGGGGGCTTTGTACGTCCATTCGTTTCCACCGGATTAATCTCGTACAACAACAAAACCCTATTTCGTCCAAAACGAGGCTTTTCCCAACCGGTGAGGCTAGACCGTTTAGACCGTCCCGACCGGATCTCTCATCCAATGTGGACGCTTCAATGTCTCCGTTCCTGGTTTCTAACCAAGGTTCTCACTATTACCTTAGGAGGTATGTGTAGTACGTTTAGTTCCGAACTCAAAAACTGAACTAATTGGTTGAACTCTACGACCCTTGGCCTGTGTTGGCTTCGAGTCCCCCTCTCAAAGGTCACGTTCCGGCCGACGTGGAGGAAGAACCGGTTGCCTTATTATTACTAGTAAAATAATAGCCCACCCCATGGGGCCCGGGTTCTTCTCCACCCAACAATGCAACGTCGACGTGCATATTTCCACTTCGCCAACGCTTTTCTTTTTTGGAACCAGACATTTAATTTCAACGTCTACGTATAAATTAAGCTCACCCTTCGAAGCATTCTATCAGACTTCTTTTTTTCATAACTAGACCGCTCAAGAACTGTTGCTAGAATTCGGGAGAACAGTCTTGCGGGCATGGGTCCCACTCTGTCGCACCGTGGCGTCAATTCCACCCTTTTCTCCAGCCAGATTGGCCTCCTTTGGAGGGTCGCCTCCCCCAAAGACCGCTTGCATCTCTTCCAATGAGTGATTCGATGTCTTAATACCCGGCAGAACCATCAGCTGATTCCCTTTTTGGTTTCGAAACGGTGGAGTGATGTCCCTGAGGAAAAGGAGAAACAATGGAAGAAAGAAGGAACAAAGAAGAAAGTATACTTTACCTCTTTCAGGAAGAACCACGAATACACTACGATCGCGTAGTTGAAAATCGCAAACATCAGGAACATTCTCCACTTGATGTTAGTGATGGCGTGTGGCGTTATCTGCGACATCATGAAATTGAACAACCACTGCGACGCGGCACCGACGGCTACTCCCACTTCTCGCGTTCGACTGGAGAAAATCTCACCGACATACAGCCACGGCAAGGGCCCCCAAGACATGTTGAAGCTGAATGCCTCCGCATATGTCATGATAATCATGGCGATCCCCGCCTTTGTAGGGGTGGAATCGGACCCGCCCGATTGTGTGGGATGGGTCGCCAGGACGCATGCGATGATGAGCATGAATGAACCCATTGCAAATGCCCCGGCCATGAATGGAACTCGTCTCCCTACACGGTCAAGGACAAACAATTGGAAAACACACACGCCAACTACCTTAACCACGCCAAAAAAGCCTGTCACCAGTTTTGCTTCGCCCTCCGCTCCAACGGCTTCGAAGATCTGATTAGCATAGTAAGCGAGCGACGTGTTGCCGGTCAACTGGGCACACAGTTGGATTGTAAACGCAATGAAGATGCGGTAGCGATTCGCTGGTAGAAGAAGCTCACGAATAGTGAAGTTGTCCTTAACACGGGACTCTTCCTCGATTCCGGCAAGGATCTCATCGAATTCCTTCTGGAGCTCCTCGGTTTCTTCACCTCCACGGACCCATTTCAATGACTCCCATGCTTTATCTTTCTTCCCCTTTGCAGCGAGCCACCGGGCACTCTCCTTGCCTGTACACATGCCGAATAGAAGCAAGGTCGAGGGTAGTAGCTGCAGTCCTAGCGCAATTTGCCATTGCTTTGTGGTGTCTGCCTGGTCCTTTGACACCGCGTAAGTGACCCAGTAGGCAACCATCACCCCCGTGGCGAAGAATAGCTGGAAACAAGCCCCAAGCCTTCCACGGATATCCTTAGGAGCCATTTCCGCTGCATACATAGGTATTAAGGTAGTGGCTGCGCCGATACCAACCCCGGCAATCACTCTGCCCGCGTAGAAGGTCCCCAAGGTATGTGCGTTAATAACCTGTAAGATGGTCCCTACCGTGAAGACAAGCGCGCTCAGAATGAGTCCAGAACGGCGACCCAACTTCGAGGCGACAGGCATTGTGAAGAAACACCCGATGAAGGCTCCGGCCTGAAGGATTGACACCGCATTGGAGTTGATCGTGGTTCGCTGTGCATTACCATACCGAAAGTCTCGCTGAAATGAAGGCAACGTGAGAACACCGCCTACGTTGTTCAGTTAGACACAACTTGATCAATGTTGGTCAGCTATATACGGAAGCTTTTACATACTAATAACGCCGGTATCAATTGCAAACGCAAAAGAGCCCATGCAACTGGCGGACGCCAGATATATGGCACGGAAGAGGCCGAGCTTGCGACCCATCGTGGGTTCTGTCGTGGCAGACTGTCCTCTTCTTGATATAGCGAAACAGAAACGTAAAGTTCACAGTGGGTTTGATCAAGAAAGCTATAAGGAAGGCCAAGGGGGCCATAATACTATTTAAACCAAGTGAGAATGCCGCTAGAAGCTTGTTGACATCCCTTGCGCAGCAACTGCGCTGCCGCGTGTCGGATGCATAAGGCTGTGGGGAGATCAGTGGTTCGCCTATCCACTAGGATGCCAACATAGCATATGATATGATTTCCATGGTAGTTGGCTAATAAGGATTATTCCGCAAAGAGCAAGTTATCGGTAGATCGTGCTTTTCCCCGCTCGGGTTTGTGATAGTAAAGATAGGCTCTATGATCGAAGAGTGTTGGGACTTGCACTGAATAAAGTGATTGGTTGCGCATTGGCCGAATCTTGGATGGGATGGCGTGCTTGTAGGCGTCAAACCGGAGAGCCGGCCGAGGTCAGCTCGAAGACGTCGACAGGTAAAAGATAAATTAGAGTATTCATTAGCCGTTTTCAGAAGCCGGAACGACTTTAGAATAGACCGGCTTAGTACGAGCTTCTGAAACGCGGCGCGGTCATGGTATCTCTCATTCCAAGAATGTTGAGTCAAAGTATTACCCCACACGAAGAGGTGATCGATGTGATGATCGACAAGGAGTCCCACTGATTTGGTTAGATAGGCTCTCTCCCCCGGATACTGTATATCTATCTATGTTGGCAAAGATCCACGTGCTTCTAATCTCCTTCTAAAGGTTTGACTAGACAATAAGTACTGGTTCAACAGTCAGTAAATAATTCGGATATGGGGCTATCCTCATAAATTTTATGGTCGATGTTTCTGAATATCGTTCATGTGTTATGTACAAGCCTCATACTACTAGGAAACGGCAATGCATCAATATATGATCAAGACTTGGAATATAACATCATCACTGACTGCACGTTGGCAATTCTACATAGAAGGGAGGGCACGAACCCTCCCTACCACCTAGATATGGCGTTGAGACTCTTTTTTGCTCTGATATATCCTAGTGAAGGGAGGTGAAACCGTCCGTCTACACTTACATTCCTGTATCTTTCCTCGCGGCATGCATGTTAACCAATATAGAAAGGGGTTCCCCATTATAGTGGGGTTCTATAATATAAACAAGTACCACAGGACGAGTACGTTTCCTTTCCCCCTTCTCTGTTGCTACGAAAATTATTACAGCGTCTAACGTATCTCTCCCGGGAAGAATTTGCTTAGACGGAAGCTAGCTAACCTAGGCTTCAATCTTATATGAGGGCAGATTGCTGTGTTGCATTAATAGTCCTACCTATCGTCAGGGATACCGAATTTGGACTGGTCAAGCGTCAAGGATACTAAACATCATTCCACCCACACAAGGAGCGCGATCCATTCAAATGTGATGCGGAGCCTGGATTCAGACCAAGGTATTTTAATCCAGAAACAAGCCCCACTAATACGGCTACGAGTTCTCTTCCAGTCCTGAAGAACGATGCTATGGTTCTGCCATTTTCTTGCGGAGACAGCCTTTATCCCGAGGGCTAGTATCAGGACGAGAAGGATCACAAGAACTTAGCATCCGGCTTGCTAGGTTGGTAAGTATCTACTTAAGCAGTCATCAGTAACCTACCAGTGGGTCTAACAAGTCGAGATTACACCAGTTTTGGTGGCTCAGACAGGACTTTTATGTGACTGCTTGCGTGTCAACAAAGGCCTCAATTTGCACCTGTCTATGGCGCATCACCATCAACCAGGTCCATGGAATGTTCCTGTGCCTCGTGATGGCATTTCCTGGCCGGGCTGGTCCTATTCTTCTTCACTACCTTCCAATGCCATCCGGTTTCCCATTACTGGAATACGACACTTGCGGATGAAAGGTGCCTTAAAGCCGCCACCATTATCAAGGTCACGTACGCCTATAGCGCTGTCGCCGCGGCCACTGATTTTGCCATTGGACTCCTACCAGTATTTATAGTGTGGAACTTGCAAATGGCTAAAGCCTGCAGATATGGCTTGGTAGGCTTTCTGGGGATTGCTTGTGTGTGCGTTGCCAAGCGTTGTGAACTTATCTTAATATGCTGATATATTTGGGGGGGGACCAAGTGCAAGTTTTGCTGTATCATTCGTATCCCGTATCTCCAAGCGCCTAGCCGCTCTGAACCTCCATGTCAGTGACCCATAGATTACCCTCTATATGCCTGTGCTGATTCCCAGCTTATCCAGACGCGGCCAGCAATATAACCATCTAGTCTAATGTCGAAGTTTCCGCGGGAAGCATCGCGGGTAGCATCGCCACATTGCGGCCTTTACAACGAGGTTTCCCTGGAAGACAGCCATATCGAAGTCGCAGCCGGGAATTTCAAAGCTTGGCTTCTCGATCAAACCACTGAGTCTAGTAATTCAGCACTACTTCTGCAGTGCACGGGGCGGACTTATGTGCGACCGACCATGAGTCTTTGGAGCTATAACAGTACGAGACGTTTTCTAGCCCTATGTGTAAAGCCCGTACCTTCGATATCTGACTTCTTTCCCCGTCTTTTCCCTATCGCCTTTCCTGCCAGATTAGCCCTGAGTTAATTTTTACAGCTTCCCTGTTCTCAATGTCGTCCCCAAAACAGTTCCTACGCCCTCCAAGCTCGGTTTCAGTTTCTTAAGCCACCGTCAACCGGTTTACCACCCTGGAGAAGTTGACTCGATCGACCACCTAGCGCATACGACAGATCGCCAGAACGTGATCCCATTGCCAGAGTGCGCGTTGACGGAGATGGTCCCATTGCTTGCAATGAAGCAGGAAGCGTTGCTCAATTTCCTTGCCTTCGCCAATTGACAGTGGAGATGCGCTACTGACCCCAGGTAAGCTTATTCTTATATCATATCGAAGGGATATATATAACGTCATATACTGACTTAAAATCCATGTAGCTCGTGGCAAGCATCTCTAAACTTTTGGAGGATCCTTTGGGCTTAGCCGGTTAGGTATATCGGTGGGCCACATATTCCCAGATCATCAGACGTAGTTCTGTTGGAAGATATGCGAGTGAAGCATGACAAGTTTGGGGACGCAATGTGCAACATCCTTACTCTCTCCTTACCGCTTTTGATGTGTTCCGGTATCTTTCTTGACGGATTGCTGGTCTGTCCTCAGGCGTTTTTAGCGCCCTGAAAGGAATGAAGGAATGCGAATTGGGCCATATTCATATCCATAGCATATGATATATATAATTCCTATTCACCGTGAATAACCCCACTGTTCATATTCGCACTCCTATCTCATAGACCCAAAAATTATGAGGATTATTTGTTTTGCCATTACTGTGGTAATCGTGGTAAATGTAGATCACGGTGGAAGACCATTTGACGCTCTAGTGGCTGGCCCATTGGTCTTTTTCAACATGCCATTTTAACTGACATAGGTCCTGTAAAAAGCCCTTGGACACTTTTCCACTTGGGCTATGAGATTAAGAATTACAAATGATTAGAAAGCTTTAGTTTTCAGTGACTTGATATCATATCAATATTCTTTGGCAAAACAGAGTCCCCTTGGTCTGGTGGGGCACTACCGACCATCCTCTCTTCCAGTTTCCTGAAAGGAAAGCTTATTGAGAGGTTGGAGTTCAATCTTAAATTGTGTGCGGAGCGGAACAAAAATAAAATCTGTGCAATTGATGTCGAACCAGAAAGGGGGGAGAAGGGAAAGGAAAGGAGAAAGAAAAGAAAGTCAAATATGTGCAAAAGAGGATGGAAGCCAAGTGTGTCGACCTATAAAAGCCCTCAAATATCTACCATAATATAAGAATGAAACCTACTTTCCATATCGGTGCCCTTCATTAGATCCTAGGCGGACGAAATTATTAGCTAGGACGCTTTCCCGCATCACGTTTCGTGTATCAATGCTGTATGATACATTTCCAATAGTCAGTACTGGGTCTATCAATACCATAAGGGGGGATATTTACTGCGAAGCTAGGCTATGACTTTACTAAAAGGGTACTCAAATATATGGACTTGAAGCTATCCGCCACCATCGCGCAAATTATCAAGGAGATGAGGTGAAATTCCGAAGAAGCGGCGTTATGTGTCACGACCCGAATAGTGTATCTGTTCCATGATCTAGATTGGAATTATCAAAATAAGCAAGATGTGACGCTGCTGCTGACAATTTGAAGGTCAAAGCAATAGTTCTGGTTCATTCATGCAACCAGACGAAGACAATTGAAGCTTTCAGTCAGAACTCCCGAAATATTGCTAGCTACGCTACGGGTAGTAGGTTATTATGAGGAACAGTAGAATGACTCTTTATCGAAGGTATGGGCTAATCATAGGGATCTTTTAAGAAAAAAGAAGGAAAAGGGAACCCCTGCGCCTCGCCCCAGGCGCCTCAAAGGCCAGCCATCAAATTCACGGCGGCGTCAATGGCCTCAGAAGCGTCACGAATGACCTGTGCCGCAGAATCCAGCTGTCCATGTCCCATCTGCAGGTCTAACAATTATCAATATCTATCATTCTCCAAATAATCCACTTATCCCAGCAAGATCTGGAGTAACACAATCAACTCTTTATACACTACTCCAGTACTTTTTCCCGCGCAATATTATCCTAGCAGGGGATTTCAATATCTACTATTCTCTCTGGTAGCCTAAAATAAAGTCACAATCTATTACAGCTAGCACAACAAGATTAATAAAGTGGCTCCAAATCTGTAAGCTAGCTCTTTACCTTAAACCAGGCACTTCTACCTGGGGAGATAATATCCTAGATCTTGTCTTATTAAACCTGGTGAGAGTGTCGACCAGCAATCGACGCAAACCCGAATCGGTATTTTCTTTGTACTGCGTCGTTGATAAGAGATCACCTCGTGTGTTGATCTTCTTCCTCTTCTACTTTTCGTCTCCAGATTATCTCTTCGTATTTAGCTACCAAATTGGATTCGTCTTCTTTTTGGCTCGAGCTCTCACAATCACTGCCTGCCGCTGATCCAGAACAAGGAAGCTGCGAAGTGATGCTGGATTCCAACCTGGAGACCTCGAGTATAGTCTAGACAACAGTCTGAGGGCACAGCGTAAGAGCTAAACAGCTTATGTCGTCACATGAGATACGTCACCCCCTGCTTAATGTAACACACATATCACCACTTCTCCATTGTCCTCCCCAGTCCCATCTCCTGATACCGCAAAGTCCTCTCTTTGCAACTATTACTCAAAACTCTACTTCTGCCCTGTTAGATCCCCGTTTAGCTCGCTGTAACGTGGGCAGCTGATACCCATAAGTGAAGATTCTCGTGTCACCAACCACACCCGCAGCCTTCAAGTCTAAGTACTCAAGCCCTATTTAAAGTAATTTGGACCGTTTCATGTCCCTGATTCTGACTATTCACGCATAGGAAGGCATGAGTAGTAGGCCTCTGCCAGACCTGGAGGCGCGTCTTAAGAAAGTCGTTGAGTCTAGAGGCGCACCCCACTATGCAACTCGCGCAGTGATTTTTTACTTTGAGAATGATGATACAGGCGCTAAGCATGACGCAACAACACTAAGTAACTGCCTGGAAGACGTCTTCGACATCACCACAATAGTATTTCCTATACAACGATCTGAGGCGTGGCCTGCAGCAAGACTTCGACAACGTATCCAGGATGCCTGCAGCTCTATTAATTCCCCATATCCTCAGTTGCGATCACTCATCATCATCGCCTATATAGGGCACGGTGTACTCGAGCATGGGTCTTCACTCAAGTTTATGAGTGCAGATGGGAAGCAAAATATTCAATGGCGATTTCTCAGCAGTGCCTTCTTTGCGGAGGATGATGCTGCCGCAGGCTTTGATACGCTGGGTATTTTAGATTGTTGTTATGCAGGAGCAACACGTAGTATGAGCAACCGGGTTGCTGACGTCCTCTCGGCCTGTGACGCCACAGGAACTGCTAGATCGCGTAATGCTAAATACATTACCTTCACCCAACGATTGGCCGCGGCCGCGCGGAGCCTGCGAGACTTGCAACCCTATGTCACTGTTGATGACCTCCTGCAGAGAATTCAGGAGACGAAAACACCTGAGGCGCCAAATGCCAAGTTAACACACCTGGGCCTAAGCCCCCAGCCAATCGCTCTGCCATTCAAGATAAAGTCATCAGCCTTCCAACCACCCATTCAGAGAAACATAGCCTCTGGAGTCCCATCTTTCAAGAATGTTCTGGTGAAGCTTTCAGTGGCTGCACCTCCACAGGAGACATTGGAGAAGTTTACCATGTTTATTCAGACATTACCCTCAGAGTTCAATATTACAGTTGAACAAGCTTATGAATCAACATCAACACTGCTACTCCTCTCAATGACATGGTCAACATTCTCCAGACTATCCACCATGATCGACCTCATTTTAATCGGGCCTATTCTGGGTCCAGCCCTCATTCCCCCGCGTAAGTTAACATCAGTTATGCATTGGAGTACATGCTAAACCTGTACAGACCGGAACTACCAACCCCCTGCACTGCTCGAGAACATCCGCCTTGGCTCTACTTCTACCGAGACAAAACCTCTCAGATAAGGGAAGACGTTGAGATGATTTCATATCAAATGAGTTTTTGTATTGTACCTCATCCGCATCTCACAAAGCCATGTCCCAATCTGAGAAACCTTGCGGCGCGGCCATCCTCGCAAGGCCAAGCCTTCTAGCATGAACCAACCCGAGCACAGTTCGACCAGATCAGTAAGGGCTAAAGCTTTCTTCTGAAACCTTCTCTGCTAGAAACACCTATGTTCTCCTAATACCTATTCCATCCATCATTTCTGTACTGGGCAGAACCTCACAGCCTAGTAAATATCCACTGCAATATCATGGGGTTTCCGTTCTCAATTGCTTCATTTGTGATTTCAAAGGTCTATATTTGCTTAACTTATATTCTTAATTGCCTTCATTGTCTATTTTATTCATGTACTGGTTTCTTCAACGGCCGTATAAGTCTTTGCGCCTTTATATTTAGTTGACATTGAGGACGTTGTCGGACCAATACTGATATCTTCTCAATCTCGCGCACACCCCATCCTCTTCTCTTCCCTTCCTCACGCTTAGTTTTCTTGTGCTTAGCTACCAATATTATATCTTCCTACTGCATGAGCTCCGTCACAGATGGTGGGAAATTGCTACAGCGGGTGCAGGATAGTGACAAATCACGTGTGTGTAAAGCATCAACAGGCCGCTGGAGCGCCATGTTGAAATGAGGCCATAAACGGCTTCACTAGCGGCCATTTTCGGTATCAATTTCACAGTCTACGGCGCTAGGTAGTACTGTGCTAGCCGATAGAATAATAAGACCATAGTAAAGTAAATGAACAGCATAGGTCCGATTTTGTGCTGTGAATCTGTGTACGGATGAATGGAAGTGTGGTCTTGGTATATCTCCATAGTGTTGGTGACAAGGTTGCGAAGTCATATATATTTATTGTTATGCAGCTAGAATGGGAATACTGCCCACAAGAAAGACTATTGTAGAAGACAGGTTCTTTCTCCGAAGCTGAGGTGAAAGCTTAGAACGGCAGCCGTCGCTACCAACCATTCCTGCGGTCAAAAATGGGCGTTCATTGGTGCATGAGATCCATCACCTGAGGAAGTGGGATCGCCGATGCGGGCTGTCCGCAGCACACCTGTTGTCACAGAGGGTGCCTTCTCAAAAGGTTCTAACAATGAATCTTAATGATCTTAATGATCTTAATGATCTTAATGATCTTAATGATCTTAATGATACGGAATGGAAGAAGAGTGGGATTTCCGAGCGTGAAGAGGAAAGACTTGCACCTGAAAGGCGACTCATCCAAGGATAGGCAGCTTCTGCCGTTGGCCTCTCAAGTACTGGATGAGGCAGAGTCCAATCCAGAGTCGTACTAGACGTCCACTTTCTATGACACTGAAGAGAACGTGAACGATTCTAAGCTGATGAGCGCCAACACTCTGCACAAGTATGTCGTGTGCATCGAGAGCGCCGTGTTTAGGGCGAAAGGCGCAACGAGAGAACACGAAGACGAAGAACAATCTGGCGACGATGAAGACTTCTCGGGAAAACTCGTCGGCAGTTGCTATAGTAGAGCACGATGCGGACTTGTCAGAAGCTAAAACCAATCTTGATTTTTCAGCGATCCATGAAAAGCGATAGGCAGAGACCAAAGCAGCCGGAGGCTATCGACGTGATAAAAACACGACTGATCGCGTGCACAGTAGCTGCGAGGACTTGCTGTTGCTGGTCGGGCTTGAGGGTTCCCAGGAGATTGCTCCCTGCGCCGGAGGTTAAACTCTGAATCTGCGTCGTGTCCAGGGCGGGAAACTGATGGCTAATCCCGTTGTCGGCCAAATTCAGAAAGATGGCGTTTGCCATGGACTGTGCAATAGCAAGCTATGCTCCTCGAGCACGCAGGATGAATCCAGGGGTGGGCACGCTCGCATCAGCAAGAAGACTACCCACATTAGGATCTAACTGATCCAGCTGATAGCTTGCGAAATACCTTTTGAAGAGACAACGGTGAGAGTCATACCAGCTCTGTACACATATACTTCCTCTGACATAGCAACCTCCGTAAGTTGCGCCTCTTTTTCATTCATCTATGTATCGAGTACCATCTGTAAGGAATTGGTGGACACCAGTCCTCTGCTTTTCAGGCTCAAGATGATATACACAAAGCCACAGAGAAAAAAAGGAGGGAAAAAGAAGAAAACGATCATACAGCCGCCAAATCCGGCTAGGGGCTACTCCAGACTCAGGGACTTACTGACTGACTTGAAGTGTGAATTGAACGCGGTTGGAAGTCATGTAGGTGCGATTGGCTATTACTTATTATCTCGAATTTTACTGGGCTTGCACCCATGACGAATCATATAGTATTGGAATGCCTAAACAGCAACTCAAAGAGAAAAATGAAGAAAGTACCCAATTTTCGAATGCAAGTCAAGGTCTTCCGGGTCGATGTATGTGCCAGGTGGTAAACTGCATTCCCCTTTCTCTGAGGAGAAAAAAAGAAAAAGAAAGAATATATATAGAGAGAACAAAGGGAACAGAACAGAAGACTAAGATGAGACGAGCAATAAAATTTGAATAGTGTAGAAGAGGCCAAAGGTAGATATTATACAAGACAACGGCATGGTACTTGCGTTCCACCATGCCCAGTGTCGGTGAAACAAATGAAAAAGGTAGATATAGGGGAAAATGACAAATAATAAAGATGGAGGTACTCCGTAAAGCATGAAAAGATAAGGAACCCAAAGAAAAATGAAAAATAAAAAAGTAGAAATGATGCAAGCCGAGAAAAGAGGGTCAAGTTGCGGTCTGACCGAACATGCGAATAAAAACCTCCAATATAAGGAAAATGGCAGGGGTAAAGATAAAATGGCTGAATCAGGCTTGCAGTAACCTTGCCAATTGCCATAATGGCCTCAATCAATAGTCATGCACCGCAGGTTTACGTGCCATTTCGTTAGCTTAGCCCGACTAGCACTGACCCCCTTATTCTTTCCTCCATGCGCAATTTTGGCAAAGGGTGCCAGGCCGCAGAAACCTGAGTCCGGTGGAAAATTTTAATGAGCATATTTTGGCAGGCTCCAATGAAGTTTCGGCGTAGCAATTCTATTCAAATAGATTAGATACCTGGAGATATAAAGTCGCCACGAACTGTACAATACTGAAAGAGTTACTTCATCTACACAATTTACTATTCAAGCACAGAACATCGCAGATCGCTGCCGGTATGGCTCGCAGCAAGCAGGAAGATGCAGAATGAGAAAATCGCTGCGAAGAGCTTAAGACCTTGTGGCTTGATCAATGACAGAGTGTTGATCAGATTCGAAGACATATGTGCCAGAAACACAATTTTTGCAAAAGGTTAAGTGATGGAACCCGAAATGCTCTGTCCAACCTAATTGACAGTTGTTGTATACAGCAAATGCCAGTACAGCCGGCAGTTCAAGAAGTAGGATTTCAAAAAAAAAAAAAAAAAAGTCAAACAAAATGAATGGCATTATGTTGTACACACTCGCCAGAAACGTAAACGGGAGGCTTCAGCTCATCATTACGCCTAATATTAGGGCTTAAGGTGTATATAAATGTAACTTAACTTCTGCATATACTTGCTAGGGGCTACATGCGGCCGTCGATCGCGAAAAGCCTAAGGAATACTACTACTACTACGACTTTTGTTGTGACTGACTACCTCGCGATCCTATATAGACATGCTGGCTGGATGCAGGAGTAAAATGAGATTTAAGAAACACATTTGGTAAACGGTATGACCCCTAAGGATGTTAACCAATGTGGGTCCAAGGTGTGTGAAATGGACGCTATTTTCAAATATTAGCACGCTGTGTACGTAATTTCTCTTTCCGTGCTAGGATACTTACGCTCTGCATGCTGGAAATTCGAGACTAAGTTGATTCTAAGAGCCAATCTCTCTATTGCCTAGTTTTATCATGCAGACTATAACAGTGCCAAATCAATCGACTTCTCGTAAATCCTGACCTCCCGTCGCGGGTGAGGTTCTCCTGCATGCCATTATAAGAGGATGGTTTCTAAGAGATAGTTCTGCAGCTGGTCGTGTCCGCATATAAGATGGTTTGTTATGCTCTTCATGGAGCGCCGGAGCGACCACAGCAGCTATTGTATGCCCCGCTGAAACTTCGTGCTGATATTGCGAAAGTTCTATCTGACTGGGCGCTGCTTGGGTAATCTTATTTGGCAATGAGTTGTTCATATCCTTCCAGTTACCCAGAGCGCTAGTGGAGGACTTTGAATCCGGGTGATCAGGTCCCAATACTTTGATGCGCAGCTCAGAGCATTTTGCCATTAGAGCAGAGGCATCCTGAAGCTTCCCTTGGGATTTCCGGGTATAGGCAAGGCTCGCCATGATGGTAAGAGTGTCAGGGTGCTCAGCCCCCAATACTGTCTTCCTTGTCTCCATTACTTGCATAAAAATCTTATCAGCTTCGCTCCATCGTTCCTGGCTCCGGTAGGTTTCAGCCAGGTTCGCCATGCTTCTTAGAGTGTCAGGATGTTCTTCCCCCAACACTGTCTTATATATCTCTAATACTTGCGTAAGAAGCTTCTCGGCTTCATTCCACCGTCCTTGGTTCCGGTAGGTTGCTGCTAAGTTGTTCATGGTGATTAGAGTATCGGGATGTTCAGCCCCCAGTGCTGCCTTCCTTGTTTTCATCACTTGTATCTGCAGCTTTTCAGCCTCGCTCCACCGTCCCTGTTTCCAGTAGGTTGCAGCTAGGTTCGCCATGATTCTCAGAGTGGATGGATGATCAGCCCCCAGCACTGTCTCGGACGTATCCATTACTTGCATAAGAAGCTTCTCAGCTTCATTCCATTGTCCCTGATTCCAATAGGTTGATGCCAGGTTTACCACACTGCTCAGAGTGTCAGGATGTTCGGCTCCAAGAACTGTCTTGGATATCTCCATTACTTGCACCTCAAGCTTTTCAGCTTCATTCCATCGTCCCTGGTTCCGGTAGGTTCCAGCCAGGTTCATTATGCTTCTCAGAGTGGACGGATGTTCGGCCCCCAGCACTGTCTCGGATGTCTCCATTACTTGCATCTCGAGCTTCTCAGCTTCGCTCCATCGCCCCTGATCTCAATAGGTTCCAGCCAGGTCCCCCATGCTTCTCAGTGTAGATGGATGTTCGGTCCCTAGCACTGTCTTAGATTTCTCCACTACTTGTACAAAAAGCTTCTCAGCTTCATTCCATCGTCCCTGGTCCGGGTAGGTTGCTGCCAGGTTTGCCATGCTGGTCAGAGTATCGGGATGCTCAGCACCGAGTACTGCTTTCCTTGTCTCTAATACTTCCAACTCAAGCTTCTCAGCTTCATTCCATCGTCCCTGGTTCAAAAAGGTTGATGCCAGGTTTGCCATGCTGGTCAGAGTGTTGGGATGTTCAGGCCCATCTTTCACCTGTTTAATCTTTAGCAGGTCGCTATATAGTACCTCTGCTTCATGATATCTCCCGTCACTAGACAGGCAACCCGCAATCTTCGCTACCAAGTCAACATATTGTTCCCGTTGTATTATGAATTCATCTTCATACGCAAGGGCTAACGCATGAGGGAGGTATTCTCGCCAAAGCGCTCGATTAATATAGTGATCGTCTGGGAAAACCTTTTGCATCTGATCAGCCACCCTTTTAATCCAGTGACTGAACAGTGCATTATTTCTTAGCCAATTCTGAGTCGCAATATGCACAAGTCTATGCAGGCTAATGTCTTTATCTTGCCCGTTGATAAATACATATACATTCAGAAGTCCCAACGCATCAATTTTATGTTCCTGGAAGTTGGCGGAGGAAGAAGTGACTGCGGAATATTTCGTGGATTGGTACAAGCCATGAATGAAAGATAGTCGGCTGCTAATTGATCTTGACGATGGATCTGTTTAAAGGATATTAATCAGGTGGTAATCACTGGGTTCTGAATATCCTTATAGCGTCCTGGATCTTTGAAGTCTTCGCTTAACAGATCCACTACTTCCGATTCCTGCTCTTGTAGAAGTGCAAGGTAAGTAGGCAGACTTAGACAATTTTTATTGATGTATGCTGACGCCTTTGTGATTGCCAATGGGAGGAACGTCAATTGCTCAAGGAGACTAACTGTCGTGATATAATCTTCAAGCAACCCGTTCTGTACCAATGACTTCTCGAAAATCTTCAATGCAATTTCTTGTCCCCATGGGGAATAGGGACAATATTGGATGATGTTAAATCCACTGCAAGTTTCCGGTTCCGAGTGGTGAACAGAATGCGACCCTGTTCACTTTCAGGGAGCAATTCCTCGAGAATTGGAGCTGCATCACCAGCCGGCAGCCACATGTCAACATCATCTGCATAATCAAAAACCATAAGCCACTTCCCAGCACGCTCGGAACTAAGGTATATTTTGATCTGTTCTTTAATATCTGTGGTTTTCACATCTTGAAGACCAAGCGTCTGTGCCATGTTTAGATATGCCTGCTCAATTGTCCCATGGCTAATACATGGGAGCCAAAAAATCGAGCATGCCTTATCTCGATCCCGTATGCGGTATGCTAGCTCTAGGGCCACTTGAGTCTTCCCGACACCACCTAGACCGGTAATCGCGACCTTCCTAGGCCCATCTTGCATTGCGATCAATTCTTCCAGTTTGCTAATCTCATCCTGGCGTCCAACAAATCGCGGATTTCTTGCCAGTGGGACCATCCAGTGACGCGCCTTCTTGGCTTTCTTCCTCAATCTCGAATCCGAGCGGGACACAGGTATGACTGACAACGGAAATTTTGTATAGGCAGCTGCTGTCAAAGCTGCATAGCCTTGCCACTCTTTCTGCTTATGAGAGTCGCAATAGTCGCATATCCCCCGGATCACAAGGGTTGGAAGCCCTTCCACAAGGCCGGCAGCTTCCATCTCAAAGCATAGTATCCCATACTGTTGAGCTAGACGGTCTCGTGTTTCCGAATCCTTCATCACCTGGTCGCCCGATGCAATTAACCCATAGTGGATATAAGGTGTGCTGGCATCACGTGATTATCGGCTGATTAACTGCGCTTTATCACATTTTTCACAATTACTTTCCTTGTCAGCATGGTGATAGGAGGAATGGAAAAGATAATCTGTGGGCCATTTGGGAGGTAAAAGTCTGCCATTGACATCAGGATTTTGTTCCAGTACTTCCAACACTATCTTGGCAACAGCATCATCCCTTTTTGTCATTTGCGTTGCCTCGAGATAAGCCATATGCGTTAAAAGAGTCTGTGGTGGTTTGTTTAAGGTACCCGTCGGCTCGAATTGTCCTCCTTGAACTGCTTTGCCATAGTCATACTGAATCACCCCACTATACTTTCCGACAGGCTTGCTGACCACCACATCGCCGAGTCGAATGTCATTGCTCGTGCTTGGGACCCCCCTCCAATTCCCACCATCAAACCAAACTGGATCCGAGGAAAGGTTGAAATCATGTGAGACATGCCGGTCGCAGCGGATATCGTTCCATATACGCAGGTTGGTAGGCAGGCCATGACAATACAATGACCACTCAGCTCCCCAAGCACATAGGCGTTAGGATCTGTGACTGGTTGGGGCAAGGGGTTGTGGGTTTTATCCAGCATAACACTCGCCGCCGCCATCTCCAACGGTAAGGCGCTTATCCACGCGATTGTGTAGTCATCATGTGTCAAGCTAGCCATTGTATCAAAGCAAGAAATAGAACATAACCAGTCAGGTCTAGTTCTTCCAGATACACTAATACAGAGGGGCTTTAATCTCATGCGGGAGAAGGTAAAGGAAAGCTCATCATGTTGGGAAAGAGAGGGGTAATCATGAAGCCGTTCCTGCAAGGCTGCCTCACACAAGCAGACAATTGTTCCGACAACATCTTATCCAGGTGGTTAGGCGTATCGAAGTCGGAAGCGATATTTTAGGTTTGCTAGCTTAGTGGTTTAGCCTAACCCCGCTATGTCTATAGCCTAATATTGCACCTCTTAGGGTTGAGACATAAGTTCGTATTGGAAATGCGGGATTCCGTATTACCTAGTAATCTACCGCTGAACCCTAAGAGGTGCAATGATGAAAGTAAGAGGTCCGATTCCCGACCTAGTGATAGGATGAGCGATATTTATAGCCTTAAGACGATCACTAAATGACGCGATATCATAATGATACAGGGTGATCGTGGTCTAGAATAGTAACCAAGGCGCTAATCTAGACTGGGCAGGGTGGTGGCAGACAGCGGAGCTTTGGTGGTAATTTTGTTGACAGTTCGATTCTCGGATGGTATGGGATCCTTTTGGTCGGTAGTCACATGCATGAAGGGCGACGAGAAGGTCTGTGCCTCTGTGGGAAGCGATGGATGCTTGTTCTATCGAGTGGCCAGAACGGCCAAACTAAGTGGTTGCAGGTGACTTGAGGTCAACGTTTTCCTCGTGTGGGACAAATCCGATTAGTTAACGTCGTCGGTACCCAAGCGAGCCGTGCACCATTCATGTTTTCAACATGCCTGAATTTCTTAGGTGACTCAAACATCAGCCATACGACTAAAAATGCTGAAATCAGCAAAATCACGCGTCGAGCAGGAAGGCAGGCCCTCCTGGTCATATCAGCCGTGAAAAATCAAAAAATTAGCAGCCTTAGAAGGGCAGCTGAAGTTTATATACCTCTTACTACACTACGTGAAATCGCCTCAAAGAAGCTTCTTTCAGAAGTGTTACTCGAGCAATAGTCATACATTGACTACTAGTGAAGAGGAATCGCTCAAGCCGTGGATTATATCCCTAGATACGCGGGGAGCACCTCCTCGGCCTGTAGATGTGCGAGTAATAGCTAGATCCTGCTTTCTAATCGAGACACTACTTCTCCTATTACTGTAAGAAAAAAAAATGGGTATACAACTTTACCAGCTGGACGCCTGAGCTATAAACATGTTTTGCATGTCGCTTTAACTATAAGCGTGCTGAAGCTGAGGATCCGACGACTTTAAATGCTTGGTTTGGGCAGGTGGCTGAGATTATCCGACACTATGGTATGGCCTCAGGTAATATCTATAATTTCGATGAAACGGGGATTTACAACAGGTCTAATAGCTACTGTTAAAGTAGTGACTAGATCCGATACAAAAGGCAAGCAATTTATATTACAGCCAGGAAACCGGGAGTGGGCTATATCTATAGAATGTATCAGTTCTCATGGTGGGTTTTACCTGCCTATATTATCTTCAAAAGGCAAGGTGTATACGGAGACCTGGTTTGAGAATCGAGAAATCCTATCCCATTGGGCTTTATGACTAATGGAGGATAGTGACATAGTTACTTAAAAGAAGCAGCTCTATTCAAGATACTATCTCTTGACCTGCTTCAAATATCTACAGAGAGGCTCTGGCAAGAATTCTTGTCAGTTTGGCATGCCCCATGAATTAGTCCCCATCCCTAAGGTAGACCAGATTCAGCCTTATTTATCTCTCCCGCAATCACCCCTAGGGCAATCCCTGGAATCCAGCACAGGCTAGCTGTCTCCAATCCAATCATAATATCTCTTGGATACCTACTGTTTCAAAATTACTGTCTCTCATATACTATATCACTAACTATGCTACTGAAGATAGTGTTTCCCCATGGCAAGTGATTGCTAAAGCAGCCTTACTCAAACAGTCTATTGAGAGGGCCAACGCAGCTGATCTCCCAATAGCAACCGATATTTATCTACAGGAGAAGGATATGAATAACTTTACGCTCTGTTATTTCAATATACTGGCCTATAACCGCGAAATCAGCATCATTCAAGTTTCTAGTATCCTCCTTTAACTGCTATCCTACTATACCAGGAACTATAACTTCGGGAGGGTTAGCCTTTGGTGGCTAAGACTAATATGTTCATGATATGCTTTAATCTGAAGACTTGGCCGCGACTTCTGCGGTTCCCATAGCAGATGAGCCATGTACATACAAGGCTGGAGATTCGCACTGGTAAGTATATTTAATAATTAGATAAGTAGTGTAACCTGTACTTAGTAGCTCTGCCATTCTTTGAATACTGTATGCTTGTGCGGACCAAGAATATCTAGGACACAATCTTAGGTAATATAGACTTTGACCTGTGCTATCCCAGATACAGCTTCTATATGTAGTGTCTGACTTAGTCAGCGTCAAGGGTATCTACTATTCAGGGTAGAGGACCTGTCAACTAGGTAAGGGTACATAGGCTAAAGGAAAGAGAGAGGTCAAAGGCAGGCAGTAGATACTATTCAGACAGGAGACTGATTCTTGATCTCCTACTACTACTAACGATCCGCTAATTTATAGCTGAAGGCTCCATGCCTAAAGGATTCAGAATCCCCCTTGAACCCAATCTGTGGTGTGGCCTGATGTTCCTCATCAGTGGCCGATTGTCTACGCACCCTGGGTCAGGGTGTCCTGTACGGTCACCAGGCCGAATCGCTATTGTCCACGCACCTGAGTCAGGGTATCCTGTGCAGTCATCAGGCCGAATCGCTATTCGATCTGTGACATTAACGTTAGCATCTAACCCAGTCAACCACCTACGCAGTAAGCATATTCACGTACGATATCATGCAATCCAAGACTTCATTAAGCATAGTGATATCAAGCCATTCTACATCCCTACATCTGAAATAGTTGCAGATGGACTGACCAAAGCAATTAAGGCTGATGGCTCAAAGCAATTGGTCAGAATACTATAGATAGAGTCAAAATAAGGTTCTATAATATAATATCAAGATCCTTAAACTGATAAGATATATAGCTTCATTTCATTTGTTTCGGGGTATTGAACGAAGGGGAGTGATATGAATCTATACAAGACCACGTGAACCTAGTGGCTTGGCCAGATCACCAACTCCAACCCCTGAAGGCTTTACCTATTAGATAGAAGATAAGAAGGCGATCAAGATAATCGATAGAGTCATCCATAGATAATTGAGTATCTATCATATGGCATCCGGTCCTCAGTAGGCTACGTATGTGTAGCTGATACAGCCTCATTCTGCCCATCTTTCCCCTGAGATCACAACAGGTATAGATAGGAAGAAGGCGAACGAAGGCGATGTCAAGGGGCTGTCAATTTAATTGCCTGACAGTACTAAGGGTGGAATTGGGGAAACTGGACAGGAATTGAATACATCGCCGCTATGCAACTCATCTTAATTGAAGAGAACAGGAGAATTTCGTGCGGCAAATCTGGAGGTCAATTTCTAAGTTACTGAGTATACTTTACTACAATATAATGTAGCTGGCTTTGTATCCTTATTTGTCAAAGGAAACAGTTGAGTTATATCCCTCTGTTAGTATGTAGGCAAAGTATTTTGTTTATTCATCTTATATACCATCCGATACACCAGGCCGGTAATTTCGTCTTCATAGCGATGTGATGTCTTCTATAATTAGGTCTTTTGTTCTCCTTTCATATAATATGTTCATATCCACAGCTAAACACTGCGGATATATTTGTCAGAATTAGGATTCGAAATGTCAATATTATTACTTCGAGTGTCTCTTACAAGCTACATCCTTACATCCCACCAGCGATACCCTCTGTGTAGACCTTTCTCCACTGTGCGTTGGTCAGCCCGAAAACAAAAAAACCATTGTAAGGCTAGAGTAAAAACCTTTAAAAAGACACTTAGGATGCATGCCAGAGCCGCAACAACATAGACATCAGTGAAAACATCTTGCAGAGCGCTGACGATGGCAGCTAATGCCTGACTCTTTTTTGTGTCGCTCTGCGTCTCTAGAAATCCACCACTAGTCCCCGATACAACTGATGCCAAGGTGGACTTGTCCACAGTAGGAAACACGGCCTGTAGGTTGCTCTTGGCTAGATTAATAAACAGTGCACCAGTCACAGAGAGGCCTATAGTAAGACCGCAAAGCTGGCCAAGCATAATCAGTGTAACGCCATAAACAGTATCTTTTGGGTTCACAGCTGTCTGGATAACGGCAAAACTTGCATGTGCGAATGAGCCAGCACCAAGGCCAATGAGAACCTGGTAACCATAGATCTCTGAATTCGAAGACTCCAGTTTAAGACGACCTGGTATTCTGCATTAGCGGGATTATTACGAGTAAGATGGGAATTGGTACTGATAGGAATATTCCTTACTCATTAGAACAGCACCAACCAGAGAAATCGCCGCTCCACAAACATACCAAGGCTTGTACCATCCGAACTTGGACATTAAATATCCATTCGAGAGCATGCCGAAGATAAGTAGGAAAATAAGAGGCAGAATCCGTTCAGCGGTCTTGATAGCCGAGTCTCCGCGGGTAAACTGATAGTAGAGAGGGATATAGTACACTGTAATATATGCAATAGAGCCACCGCAGCTGGCAAGGAGGCATAACAGCATGGCTTCTCTGTTGCGTAGCAGGTGAACAGGAAACATGCGGTGCTCAACAGTAGTGAGAATAGTGAAGGTCTGCTGGAGCATCAGAAGTATCCAGAGCACACCGCTCACCACGTATAGAGCGATAATCGTGCCGCTATTCCAGGCATACAGATCGCCACCAAAGTTAGTGGCCACGATTAAAGTCACGAACCCTCCAGTGCTGAGGATTGCACCCAGCCAGTCGAATGTAATAATCTTTTCTCGCAAGGTAAGGCTTGGAGCAGGGTTGTTGGACGGAATAAGGAAGAGATAGGCTGGGACAATAATCGCTCCGAACAAGAGGTTAATGTAAAAGGCCCAGCGCCATGTATACAGCTCAAAAGCGCCTCCAACGACAGGGCCTAGGACGGTCCCGACACCCCAAATCATACCACTGCGTGCAAACCGCAATTAGTACTGAGCAGGAAGACAATGTACAAATTTGGGTGACATACGTGAGACTTAGGTAGGTGGGACGTTCTCGCTCAAGCGTATTCGTAGAGACCAGATTTAGCAGCCCATAATACATGCCATTGCCACCAGCACCGGCCCAGACTCGCCCAATAATCTCGGCCGGCATATTCGGTGCACCACCGCATAGGGCAGAAGCCGCCATGAAATTGATCGCGAAGAAAATGAAAAGAATTTTGGCGTCGTACAATGCATACAGCTTTCCCAGGGGCATCACCATGGAAAGACCTCCTATCATGAACCTACGGGGCCCTAGAGTGTCAGAAATAGGCGGATGATGTATCGAGGGAGGGGTTATTCAATCACTTACCCTACTGATAGCCATGGGAGCTTGTCGACTGCATCAAACTGACCTACGATAGACTTGGTCCTTGTAAGTAAGTGTTAGGAAAAAAGGAAGTAGGCTTACAGGTTGAATATTGGCCACAACCGTGTTGTCGAGAGCGTAGAGAAATATGGCCGTCAGAGTACTAATGTTAAAGAAAAACCACTGAAATCACCATGAGTCAATGCAGTCTACATTTGCAGATCGGATCCTGTGCTCCTTCCGGGCTGCCATGTTCAGTACATACCTTAACACCTGTTAGCTTGCGCTTAGGTTCCAAGTCAACTTGTGCCCACGGCGACTTAGCCCCGTCCGCCTTTTCGAGGTCATGAGCCATAGGGACTTCTGAGCTAGATGATGACATTAAGGACGCTTGGTTTCATGAAGATGAGCGCCTCTGAGAGGCAGACCCTCTACTGTGCGACGACTCAGCTCGTAGGCGAGGATCACATGTGCTGAGAGGACTCCTCTTAACCACTAGACGTATGGCGAAATTCACGAGTATTTCCGGTCGACGTATACTGTATAAATTGTCCGCTGCAACCTAGGCCTATTAAGGGCGGCAATAGGGTTTAACTCCTAAGTCCGGGGTGGTTCAGACCCAGTTTTTGCGATCCGCTACCCGGTTTCCACTTACGGGCCGTGAACCCCTGCAACCCCGCACTTGCGGGGTGATATCATATAAGGGTTTCGGCCGGTATTTTTCGGTCATAATCGCCGGGTTTAGGGCGGCCAAATACTTTAAGAAGCGGAAAGATACCATACCGAGAGTCGATCGTTTCACAAGGCTGAGGCGAACTATCCGACTTATCACCCTAGCAAAAGACAGACAGCTATGGCCGAGTCTTACGATGTACAAACATACCTACTCGATAGGGCCAATATCCGGGATACGGTTGTTCGGGCAGTAAGGGTTCAATCTGCTTCATAACGTTCCTGATTTCCTACGCGGACTGAAACCTCTTACAGATGCACCTTTTTGACACTGGTGCGACTGCGGAGACGATTCAATCTGTCTATACATCGGAAATCCACCTTGATTATGATCAGCGATTAGGCTTTACCCCAGAGGTAATCTCAAGTGAGTCTTGGGCTCAGCGGCTGGACCAGATTCATAAACCGTATGACGAAACACAGCATATTATTCAGTAAGATATCCAATCTTCTATCTCTAGGGATGGGTAAATGGGCGATCGATAAGTAACTAGTCACCATTACAAATAGGAATCTCCTGGTTACTCTGCCGCAACCTACGGGCAAGCATCCTGTTACTCGCCCGGACCGCTGTGAAGCTATTGCGTATGCTCACGGCTGGTTCTATAATTTAGATACAGATAATCGTCCACGCCTAATGGCGAGACGCCAAGGGGTAGGTCTATCAATCTGGTTCTTGATTACGTCTTCCTAACCTTACGTCATGATATAGGGAAAGCATTGGCTCGAGCTCTTGAGACTCAAAGATTTAGAAGAAAATGGAGAAAATCCCTGGAGAATTCATAAGCAGGAGGTGAGGCTGTCATGGCAGGATATGGGCACACATTAGCTCTACCTATTATACGTCAGAACGGTAATCTAGCAATGTACGTTCAAATTCTCGACAAAGCATGCCATCTCTGCTAAGCGCGAGGAATAATGGGGTTGTAATAGGAGAGTCGGTTCTCAGGGTCATATTGAGCCTTGAGAGCGCGCAATTTCCCCAGGCGCCAGGGCTCATAGCCATACATGGACTCCACGGATTCGTCCCCAAAAGCATAGTTTACGTAGGTTGTCGGACGACGCCACGGTTGCCCTGCATTCCACAAGTCACGAGTTTCTTTGGCCCATTCCCGGGCAAAAGCTTCCAGTTCCGAATTCGCTTTGAGGGCCACATCAAAGTACCTGTAAAATGTCAGCCAGGGTAATAATGACAGGCGAAGACTGCACAGGACATACATCAGGAGATTATCCTGCCGCAGCGGATATGCGGATTGGTCGGCCTCTATACGGCGAACTCCTTCGACGGCGTAGCCCTCGTGGACCACCCGTGCTGTCCTAAGTTCCGCATGTCCGACGACCTTTTCATTGAACAGGTCATAAATCTGACGCTGCGCAGTAATATTGTAAACCTGAAGACCGGCCGTGGCGATGATATGGGTTTTGTTCGCCGCGCAGAGGTCAGACGTCAGACCACTCCCCAACACATCTGGGACTTCCGGATACATAACATCTCCATCTTTATGTGAGATGGCACCCAATAAATCAAACGGCGCTAGGGATGGCTCTGCGTCTGCTTGACTGCAGTCATAGACAAATGTCCATATAATAACAGCCCACATACTTTCAGTATCAGGAATCCTAACAAGAACAGCAATGACTTACCTCAGTCTCGCTAATGCTAGAATCTATTGCGTACACACCAAAACTTCCGGCCACCGTTTGGGCCATGGTGCCGTTGTTGTGGAACTTGTTTAGCTCTTTGAATAGTGTCTCTAGGTGGTCCCCGGTGAAGACATATTCCCTGTAATACCAAGCACGCTTCTCAGCAGGGTAAATCTTCAGGTCAAAGCTAGTGACGATTCCAAAGTTATGTCCTGCGCCTAGCATAGCCCACCACAGGTCGGAATTGTGCGTTGCATTGACCGTGGTGGCTGTCCCATTCCCCAACACAACATTGAGGCTGACAATATTGTCACTTATCAAGCCGTATCGTCCTTGGAACAGCCCATGACCACCCCCAAGGGCAGGGCCGACCATTCCAACGCAGCTGCAGGTTCCAGAAGCTAGAGAAATCCCCAACTATGTCAACCTCTGTCTGATCATACCTCTAGAGAGAGACAGCGAGGAAGCCATACTTGCAACGTATCCGTGCTCCCAAAGCGTTTTAATCAGCTCATGGTTATAAGTTCCTGCCTGGAGACGCGCAGCCTTTCCATCTGGCTGAATAACGATATCCTTCAAGCTTCTCACGTCGATTTGAATGCCTGTAAATTCTCCGATGGTGGAGGTCAACGCATGACCTCGATTGACCACAAGGAAGTCAACGCTATTGTTATTGGCATATTGGACCTAGTAATATTTTAGTTGTACACTGGAAGAATGTCAAATATTCCAGCTTCGCTCCAAACTTACTATAGTCGAGATATCAGATTCCCGTCCTGGCTGCACCACAAGCTGAATCTGCGGAGGCGCATAACATTGATACCTTTCCGTTACATTAAACCACCGAGAATCCACAGGCCCGAAAATGGACGTCGTGGAGGAGAGCAGTGGTCCCAATTCTCTCTGGGCTTGTACGGCCGTCAACCCCTTTGCGAAGGTGTACTGACTCTGTATCAACGCAGCCACCAAGGGCTGGAAGAGACCGAATCCACTGGATACAAAACGGGAAAGGATTACCATGCTTACTATCGGTAGTAGCTGATGATAGGGAGGACTACAACCGCATCTGAGCCTGATGGAAAGGGTCATTCAAATATTTATGCCACCAGGTCTACATGTTGCGTACGCCGGGTAATCCATTGTATGCCTGAACCGAGACTTTTCGGGCGTAGGCCCGTACCTACTGACGTAGTTGTAAAAGCTTCTCTACTGAATGGTCTACCTATGTGCTCGTATATTCGGCACAGGCATTTCAGGACACGAGGCGGCTGACAAGGCGGCGAAGGAGGCAATACGCCCGGGGATAGGAGATAGGACCACTGGAACTAACTTTGGCAAGTTCCCTTAAGCGAGAGGTAAGGGAACTGGTTTTAACCAAGTGAAAGAAGCGCTGGATAGCGGACGCAGGGCCAGGTACTGAGGGCCAACTAACCCGATGCTTGGCCTGTTTACCGAGCAATGCTAACCTCAGGGTGTAGAATGATATGTATAAAAGCAGACCCTCAGTGCTTATGCAGGTTAGTTCGGTCAGGATTGGGCTAAAGCACTTTCCGCATCGGATCGGTGCTGCAAGCACACCCATATACGAGTCTAGACCCCTAAGCACATCCTTTTGGAGTATCCTGAACACAGGCGCCTGCGTAATTATATGGTCCAATGCCTAGAAACCCTGGGAAACGACGTCGCAAAGCGAGTCTTGGAATCTAAAGTATCTCGGCTCGCTAGAGACTTTCCAATACGTATAGGACTGCTAGAGCAGTTCAGAGTACGTAGAAACAAAGATATGTGACTCGCGAGCCATGATAGTAAGACTGACTCCGCTGGCTAAGAGGAGTACAGAGATGAAAGACAGAGTAGTGTGTAGTACTCGAACGACCGGAGGAATTAAAGGGTACGGTGTTGATTCACAAGCCGAAGGCCTTAGTGCCGCTAGAGTATTTCTAGTAGACTATAGAAATGATGTTCATGCGCTCCATTTTCTATCTCCAATATGGTTGGTCTGCTTTACTAGCGTTTAATGTATTTACGTTTACTAGATAGGACGTCGGCTGCTGGAGTACAACTTCCTTGGCATAGCGGCCATCGAGAGGCACGCTGTATGGATATGAATACTACTACTACTACTTCTATGTAAGTTAACTAGTTAGCGGCCATTAGGTTTTGTCAGCATCGTTTTATCGGCTCGTATCTGCAAGCTCTATATCTTAAAGTGCCCTTCTCCTCAGTCGGATAAAGACTCTTTGCGGCTGACGAGAGATACCATCGAACCCTGCGTAGCCACCAAGCGAGTTCGGAATGTCAAGTAGATCGAAGTTCCACACGATTAGGGCAATGATTGTCCGGATTTCCAAATGGGCCATTCGTCTGCCCCAGCATTGCCTGATTCCCATGCCAAAGCCCAATTGTGGTCCGGCCCCTCCGTCAAAGTCAACACTCCCATCGCCCTTGACCACGAGCCATCGTTCTGGGTCAAAAAGCTTCAGGTCCTTCGATTCGTCCCAGTTACCTCGGACTCGGGCTATCTGCGAGGTCGGACTGCGCTTGGCTTCGTCGACTGGCAACGACGGTGACAGGTATCCCGGTCCGCCGTTTACCATGAACACTTGACAGCCTTTGGGAATTTTATGCCCCAAGATTTCTGTGTCAGTCGTCACCTCCCGCGTCATGCTAAACGGCGTCAGACGCAGCATCTCCTCTATGACTGCCTCGAGATAGGGCACTTTGGCCCGTCGCAACTCATCAAAGGTGGGCGATCGCTTGTCCCCGACAGCCTCTGGAATGGCTGCATACAATGCGGCTCGCAGCGACGCTTGGGTTTCAGGGTACCCTGTTAAGAACTTTGTCACCCAACCCATCGAGCCTCCCGTGGTATGATGGCCTGCGATCAAGTCGGCAAAAGCCTTCAAGAGGTTACCATTAGGTTGCATGTTTTTGCCAGGGTTGCGGTCTAAGAACACCTACCTCGTCAACTAGAGTCTGGCTCTCGAACTGGGGCTGCCGGCTCTGCTTTTCTGCCATGGCGGCCTCGCGCATCAGCATATGCTCTAAAGCAGATTTGATAGTCCCTTTGCGGTAATTGGTAATAGCTTTCGAGAGCTGCTGCGGGACAACGCGGCTCTTCTGTTCAAAGATCTTCTTGTACCATGGCTGCTGCTTCCACCACCAATGGCTCAGGCGTGGGGCCCATGACACTGTGGTTTTCTCGAGAACCTCGGGTGCGTCATGCACTGCTTGGAGAAACGGGCTGATCGGAGCGTGGCGAAACACCACGGGCTCATCGGGGGCCCCATCGGGGATCTGAGAGCGGTCCAGCTGGGCGATATGGTCCAGCTGTGGACGGATCGCCGAATCATCCAGATTGTCGCCGAATGCGTAGCTCAGCATCACATCGAGAGCGGCGTAGTCATAGTCTGCTTTGATGCTGAACGGCCTCCCGTTAGCCAGCTCAGCCTTCATCTCCAAAAGCCTGACTAATTCCAGTCCCTTGGCATGCATTGCAGGGCCCATGGAGCCGTTGAGAAAGGTGGGAGTCATCAGGTCCTGTTTCATGCGACGACGCTCCCGGAAGGCATCGTTGGTTTTGTATCGCGCATGAAAGTCGCCCAAGCACAACATGCCATCGCTGAGGAACGCCGGCTTGTCGAATTCGGCCCTTCTCATCAAAATATCCTGGGCTTCGCGAAAGTCTGCGATGAGAATCCAGGGCTTCGAGAACGGACGTACAAAGACCTGGCACACTGGAGAATTCATTCTCTCCACCTGCTTGGCCAACCACATGCTAAATTCACCTGTGAGGCCAATTTCACGACTCATGTTCGGCGCATCGCCAAACAATGACTTTGTGGCTTCCGGGTTATACGCAATACCGGGGAGAGGCTTGGGCAGAAGCCATTGATAGAGGATAGGAAGGCCGACTGCTACTACAGCTATCCCTAGATACGCTAACATGGAATGTCCTAGATTGGAGTCGAAAAACTCGTTCATATTCCATAGCATACTAGCGAAGTAGAAACGTAGGGATTAGTTAAGCTGTCTTGGTATGTTCTGTACATTTAGATATAGCGGCAGAGAAAAACTTGCTTCGCGCTGCAGCGGGTCTATTCGAGGACCCTACCAATGCAGTAATTCCTTATATGCCTTACACCCCGATCGACATGGCATCCGCTTATTGATCGGTCATCACTGTCGCAGGTTGAGGTGTCAAGTTTTGCTGCGCCGAACCGAGACATTTCGGCCGTAAAACATCGGCCGACGAACGAGAGGCGAAACAAAGAGACAATAAGAGCCGGAAATAACGGACATTAACATTGGGGATCTTTCCTTTTTTAATTTTAGATTTTTTTTTTAAAAAAAAAACAGGCTCGAATTAAAGGCCAGGTGACAGGTTACACCTTGTTTAGATAAGCTGGGATCGGTGGCTTGATTTCTACATTTATGCAGCAGGAATCGACACTAGCTTTGCAGGAAGATCAGAGAGAAAGAAAGTTAAGAAGATCGGAACCATGGTCAGAGCGCTCCCAGGAATACCCCGCAAACGAGAATATAGAAGGTGAGAAATACTATCTATTGTAGATGTCGTGGTTTCTTTCGTCTATAACTTGAAGTTGCTATGAGTGTATGCGGAGCATTGGGACGTATCGTAGACCAAAATCGCAATAGTATTTTGACGGTTCAATGATTGATATCAAGTTCTGGGCCAGTATTCAGGGGCCCCCAACTTGAGTAAGTAGGACCAGTGTCAGTGAGCGAGAGCAAGTCTGGAAGACCACTAAGAGTCGAAAGTTCAGGAAAATGCATACTGCTCCAAATTGCGTCATCAGATTCCGGTTGCATAGCAGGCGATGCCGTTGCTCTTTCAATGAGCTGAGTCAGAGCCCGCGCTCCCACCTCGGCCATGCTACTAATCTCAGCAAGCATCCGCAGTCGAGTGAGGGCGTCTTGTGCTGCTGACATGCATTTCTCGCGCGAGACGCTAGCCATGCCAGCACCAAGAGGATCCACTTTGAACGAGTTGGGGCGGACTTCTTCGTTCCCCGAAAAGTCATGATCAATACACAGGGACACAAGTAATACTGCGGCCTCGAACGTGGGAAAGATTATGCCCTCATATCGCGTGTGAGAAGCACCCATCATGGCGTGCAATGTGGAGGCCGCTTCCAGCAAATGGAGGGCTGATGCTGCCAGAGCCTTTCTTTGCGAGGACAGCAAAACCTGTTTATATTTGGGCATACCTTGTACGTGACAAGGCTCCTGCAGCAGGGAAGGCCTAAAGTTGGAACACAGAAACTCAAAGAAGTTAATGTGAAGAACTTGCCTCTGTAGAGGAAGGGTCGGAAGACGCTTGTCCCAGGTCTGGTTTGGGTATAGGCCAAATGGGGACGGCAGTGTGGGGAGGAACTCGTTGCAGAATCGTTCATAAGTTTCCTCAGCCAGGATGACATCGTAGCGCGTACCATTTTCGGGCGTGGAGCTCCTCCAAAAATGGACCAGTCGGGCCTGCAGAGACCGTTGTGTAAATTCCTCCGGGGCATCTGGATCGTCGACGTCGGCCATGAGGCGCATGCGAGGCGCACACTCCGTAATCAAGCGGCGTGGCAGGAAAGGGATGTAATCCAGTTTTCTGGATAGCAGGCTGTGGTACATACGTCATAAAATAAATAAATAGAAATAGACGTGGGTCCTCTCTGCGTCAAATAAGTTACATACCTGTCCCATATATAAAGGTTACAGAATGACCTCCGTCGCATCTCTTTCTCTATTTCGTCCATGACATGGGCCGCTGCCGGGGGTTCTTGATGAATGCCAACCCGCTGTGCTACGCGAATGGCACAGCTGAGTGCTTCCCAGAAGGCACTGAATTGGCCCTCACACGCAGACTTCAGGCCACCAAATGCTATATGTTGGACCCGGATCAGGGAGCCCCTCGAATCAAGACGGGCACAAATTGCCGCTAGGCGATCGGCGATCGCATCACACGCGCTACGAATTTCGGCCAAGGGCATACCCCGTACCCGGTCAATAGTATAGGCGGGAGAAGGGAGAAACTCTGATGCATAGGAAGATATTCTGAGCAGAAGAACCGCGAACTCGACGTCACCCACATATGAGTGGCTGTCGACGGTCCACCATTTCTCGTAACGATCTAGGAACCATGGGGTGTAAACCATCTGGTCTATCCTATACAACGGAGAAACGTCAGTCTATGCGTTCTTACACATCTGAAGTATTTCCCTCAGGCGGATATAAGACACGAACCAATTGACATCAGTGACAAAATACCGCACCAGAAAGTCCAGAATAGAACGTTCGGGCATTTGTCGCAAGCTCTGTTGTACTTCAGCGGCTGTATTGTCCGACAACAACGGGCTGCTTCCAGATTGGTTGTCATGTAGACCAAACTATCGGGTTAGACGTTAGAATATTGAACTGCCGTATAAACGATGGCCACTTACCCTTCTTATAAGGGCTATAGTATTTGATCTACTTTCCTCAAAATAGCCGAAATGTTCCACGAGAGATGAGGGTCCCTCCTCGTTCTTGTTTTCCTTCAGGTCAGATAATGTGCTCAAGGATTTATGGTCGTCTCCATCCTTGTGTAGGCTCTCCCCAGTCCGTTTGCCATCCACGTGGGTACTGTCCACCTGCACCGCAGATTTGACAGTAGAGTGTATATCCCGGGGTGAATAGTAGGCACACTGTTCAGGCCGTCGACGTCGAGCACAATGATTACAAGGGTATTGGCGGTTACACTGTTTAAATTAGCAGTGTCTTAAACGATCCTGAAGGTTCATGGAATTCCAAACCAGCTACCTTTTGTTTTCTCGTGTAGCAGGCAATGCAGGATGAAACACTGCGCTTCCGTGACGCTGTCTGCATTTTATCGCACGTTGACACAGTGCTGTTCCGACATGTGATGTCTGAAGAGAACCGCAACACTCCGACAGTCTTAGCGAAGAGACGAGGCTCTAAGCTACTACCTACCGGGGGTTCGCACAGTATTTTTAACCGGGCTGTCCCTAGCTGCGAAGGAGGTGCGGATGATAGAAACAGGATACGCAGAAATTATACCTGTATGCGGTGTTATCTGTGTAGGAAAGCCTGCCCCGCAATCCAATGATAGACCATGAATAGTCCAAGGATCGGACGAGTAATATATCAGAGTCTAGGATTATGCGAATTCTAATATTATCTTACCAGGTGTCAACATCCGCTACTTGGTCACTGCTTCAATTTATATTTAGATAATACATATGCCATGCTGCCTCAATAATGGCGTAATAGCGGAAAGTATAAGATTTAGTAGTAGACTATATACTAGCTGTAGAATATCTCTAGGATTCTACAGATGTATCCCTGACATACATTTCTACTAGCTCAGAGTCCAATCTTTTTCTAGAGAGGGATGCAGCTCCACAGGCATCTTGTCATGGGTACCCACATAACTTCAATGCTCTGTGGAGTGTCCGTTAATTTGCTCGTATACGATACTACGTTGCCGGAGCTTGTAGAGTCGAAGACATGGTGGATCCACAGTGCCTGCGCAGCACAGTGTCTGAAGATATGTCAAAATTTCTGGTCGTTGGTACATCTACTATATAAAATTGTATAATGTTTAGACCCTCGTATCAATACCATGTTTCCACAGTATATGGTTCAACCTACTATACTTTTAGCATGGTTCAATTATCAAATTCCTCGGTACGGTGCATGTCTTAAAAGGAACGGGAATAGTATAGCAGTGGTAGAACCAAAGAATTCAAATAAAGATTAGACTAAGCGAGTTGGCACTGCCATGCACTATTAGGCTTCTGTACAATCTAATTGCGTATGCATTCTGTATCATTTTCTTGACCCTCGGCTAGGTATTTGATTCCATAACCCTTCTATAGAATTTCTTAGTCGTCCATATTTTGACGGCCGTTCGTGAACCCCTAATATGAGGATCTGAATGAGACGAAATTCCACTACCCGGTTTTATTGAAAACGTTTTCTTTTTATTCAACTATCGATATATAAGGCGGAGAAGCCTTGCCTCCTTAGCGTAGTTAGAGGGTAGTGCTTATCAGCCAGTTTCCCGAGCGGACTAATCAACAAGCGTCGAATATATAACAACCCCTCCTCCTTACGCCCCCCGGAGCTAATTGATCCTATCATCGCTTAAGGTAAACCTCCAGTAGGCCCAAAGCCCCCGTCTCATGCACCCGACGAATCTCATATCTGGGATCTGCTTCCTTCAGGAGGGTCCCGAATTCCTTCTGCGTGCGTTGCTTGGCTCCGAAACTGACGAGCATTACCATGTCTGCCTGTCTCATTTCGCGTTCTTTCTGACGTGAGATTGTCCCTGACTCGGGCAGGATAACGTCATTGATCAGCAGTGGCGTCTCCGGTGCAGAGCCCTCTAGCCCTGTCACCACGGCTTTGAAAATCGTCACCACATCCGCGTCTGCCCAGTTGTGGGTGCATTGCCTGAGGAGAAAGGCGGCAGCGCCCCTGACCGGTTGGGGCTCGAAGAAGTTGTGCTGGCGGAAGGTGATGCGTTCCCGGATTTCCTCGGCCAGCAATTTCTGGCCTTCCGCTAGCATGTGCGTTGATCCATCCTGGACAACAAAGTCTAACTGGGGGAAAAGCTTCCGGCGACCAAAAGTCCATGTTAGAAATGGAGTTGACTTTGTCAACCAGCGTTCGAACATACTCGTGCCAAAATCATAGCCACATGACCGCTTCCGCCTCCGATATCCACCACGGTGCCTTGGAGTTGTCCCCAGGGGAAATTATCTCTCAGTTCGTTGATACTGTTTTCCACTGCGTAAATCACACAGTCAGTGTACCACAGGCAAACAATATATAGTGCGGGCTTGATTGCCTACTTCGGCGATACCCAGCCATGGCTCTCGCGAATCGACCGGCCTTGTCGGGATTTTGGGCGTAGTATTGAAAAATGGGAACTTTGTGCCGTGTGTTGAACGGGCAATGGTCACTGTCCGATTCATACGGAGTGGCTTTGAGACTGACTGTCGAGTCTGCGGCCGCCTTCAGCATCTCATCAAACCTGGGCGTTCGTGCAATTAGGTTGATTTCATCCAAGGGGAGTTTGGTGTCTGGACCCACGAGTAGTGAACAAGGGAACGCAGCTCCTCGTCTTGCAAAGCAACAGAGAACAGGTTATGAGAAATATATCCCGGTCTGCGCTCTTGGAAAAAGCGTTGTGTAATCAGCAAGCGCACAACGCGACTCGTCCGGTCCTGATCCAAAACAGCCTTGGCTGCTAACTCCTCCAGTGCGATTTCCCCTTCAGTCGGCACCAAGGTAAAGAAGTCGAAATCCAGGGCAATTTGAAACGCTGCCAATTCATAGACACCCATGAAGAAGGACCTGTAGAACTTGGTTGGGCCTTCAATAAGGCGCTGCAAGTCCTCCAAGGACTCCCTCACCTTGCTTTGAAGCGCGAGGTACTCGGGAGTATTTGGGGGCACACTTGCCGTAGAAGAGAACGTTGGTGCTGCAATGCTATTGGCTTGAAGATACTTGGTGATAGCCTTCGTCTGTTCGAGAACAGCTTCAGCCAGGGCGAGAATCGAGACATCTTCGTGGTTGGCAGCCATGGTGAAGGATATGGTAAGTTTTCTTTTGCACGGAACACTCTTTGATAGTAGTACAGCGTAGGAATAATTCAATGTTGACCTTAAAGTGTATATATTCATACGCAGCAGTGCCTGTCAGTCCATACTGGGTGCAAACCTCTAGTTTTCCGACAAGCCCGAACAAATTCGGCCGACGTCATGCCCTCGGCCGCACTCCGACGATGACTACTAACCCTCAGATTTGTACGGCCGAAATTGGTGACTGCGCGAAGGATCCTAGCCGATATGGGTACAGCCCTGGCTGTCACGGCCGAGGTACAAATGTTGTTTGATGCTTTCAATGTAGGCGCGGCTTTACACCCCACATTACTATATAGGAAGAGAGTCTAACAAGAAAGAACAGAGCCTCAGCAGGAAACAGCATTTTGGAAGCTATGTCAATGTCGCAGTCAATTCTCGACGGGTCGAATGCCCCAGTAGCTATCGTCGGCATGGGTGAGACTTCCATTATTCCTTATGCCTGCGAGCATGCAGAAACTGACTCAAATTCAAACCAGGTTGCCGATGGGCAGGCGGTGTCCGGGACGCGCCTGGGCTTTGGCAGCTTCTTAAAAACAAGCGTGACGGCTGGCGTGAGTTTGAGGAGCCTCGATTCTCGACGAAGGGTTTCCATCACCCTAACCAGGATCGCCCGGGCACAATGAGAACGCAAAGAGGGTTCCTCATAGACGATGATGCTCGGCTTTTTGATCACGCATTCTTTGGCATCACTGGACGTGAGACAGAAACGCTGGATCCGTCTCAGCGCAAGTTGCTTGAAGTGGTCTACGAAGCGTTGGAGAATGGCGGCGAGACATGGGATAGCATTTCTGGATCCCGCACAGGCGTTTATGTTGGAAACTTCGCGCTGGACCACTTGCTGATTCAATCTCGCGACTGGGAGAACCCAAAGTCCTACGCTGCAACAGGCGCAGACACCAGTATTCTGGCAAACCGCATCAGTTACATATTCAACCTACAAGGCCCAAGGTGCGACCCAGATGGAACCCCCCGACTGTGCTTGATAATCCAAGACGTACTGACTGGCCTGTAGTCTTGCCACAAACACGGCCTGCTCATCGTCCATGTATGCCCTTCATATGGCCGTCAGTGCAATTCGCAGCGGCGATTGTGACTCGGCTATCGTGGCGGCAGCCAACTGGATCTCGGACCCTAGCCTCCAAATCGTGTTAGATAAACTTGGCGCGCTGTCTCCCACATCCCGCTGCCACACATTTGACGTCAGAGCGGATGGGTACGCTCGAGGTGAAGGTTATGCCGCCCTGTACTTGAAAAAGTCTTCGATAGCGGTCGTCGATGGATCACCTATTCGAGCAATGATCCGGGGAACAGCTGTCAACGCCAATGGGCGCACTGGGGGTATAACCCGTCCTAGCGCCGTTGGACAGGAAACTGTCATCCGCAAAGCTTACGAGAACTCGGGCAATCTCCCATTCTCTGATACAACGTATTTTGAGTGCCACGGAACTGGCACTCCGGCCGGAGATCCCATAGAAGTGTCGGCTGTGGGGAACGTCTTCGCGTCGTCCAGGTCGGACGCGCCTAACGACCGTTTGCTTATAGGATCTATCAAAACTAATCTAGGGCACACTGAGGGTGCAAGTGCGATTGCGTCAGTCATGAAGGTCGTTCTGTCCCTGGAGGCAGGAGAGATTCCTCCGAGTTACGGCATCACGATATTGAATCCGAACATCGACTTCGACAGAGCCAAGGTCGACGTTGTTAAAGATGGTACTATTCCCTGGCCAGAAGGCAAGTTACGACGCGCAAGTATCAATTCTTTCGGTTTTGGTGGTGCTAATGGGCACTGTGTAATCGACCATGTGAACGTCGTGCTTCCGGATTATGTGAAGCCTGGTGTTACGCAGAACTCTTCCAATTACCTGAATATCGCAAAAGGCTGGGCGATAAATAGTCATACCAGGAGCCATACTAATGTTGCGAATGGACACAGTAATGGCTCACTTAATGGTCACACCAACGGCCACAACGGTGGTGTTAATGGTCATGCCAGTGCCTCAGTTAATGGCCATGCCAGCCCTGCGAATGGTTACAGTAGTTGCTCACTTAATGGTCATACCGACGGCCAGCGCAATGGACACCATGCTGAACCCTCCCGAAATGCAACATCGCACAGTCCCATTATCAGACCACCACCGAAATCAGCTGAACCAGACGTAACCACGCGCCAACGGATATTGCTTCCCTTTTCGGCTCACATTGTATCCTCACTCAAAGCAAACATTGATATTTTGTCTCAAGTAATTGATCAGCATTCACTGGCTGATGTTGCGTACACACTCGCGTCTAGGCGCTCCAAACTTCAGCAGCGATCCTTCCGCATCGTGGACAAAGATGACGTGGCGCACGGGCTGACTGTCGATAGGCCCATATTCTCGAGTCCTGTGCAGACAATCAATGTCGGGTTTATCTTCACAGGCCAGGGTGCACAGTGGCATGCGATGGGTGCGAAGCTCTTTGAATATCGGGTGTTCCGAACAACAATTGCCTATTTAGACGAAGTCATTAGTGTCCAGCCCACACGCCCTCCGTGGTCCATTGTAGACGTCCTCTCGGGCGAATGTGAAGAGAACTGCATTCAAACTCCGGAGGCGTCGCAGACTGCATGCACTGCTGTGCAGATAGGTATGGTTGACCTTCTGGCCTCATGGTCTGTCCGGCCTTCCGCGGTTGCTGGGCATTCTTCCGGCGAGATGGCCGCGGCCTATGCATCTGGTCACATAACCGCGGCCGAAGCCATCACGGCCGCCTTTCTCCGCGGCAAGGCAGTTTCGAAAAACAAGCAGCAGGGTGCCATGCTTGCTGTGGGCCTGGGTCTGGAGCAGATGTCTGAGTATCTGGATGGGAAACAAGAGGAAATCCAGGTGGCGGCGATCAATTCGCCGGACAGCGTCACACTTTCTGGCGAGGCAGACGCTATCGAGGTGCTTTCCGCTACCCTGAACCAGGAGGGCATCTTCAACAGAACCCTCCGCACAGGCAGCAACGCATATCATTCACATCACATGCGCCCACTTGGCCGCGACTATAGTGTCATACTTTCCGCCGGACTTGCTAATATCAATCAACATGGCATGAGCAACGCAGGCCAGCGCTATAGTCGCGTCCCATGGATCTCATCGGTGACTCCGGACAAGGCCATCCCAGACGAAATCACAGAAGCCTACTGGAGAGCCAATCTCGAATCCCCAGTCAGGTTCTCTCAGGCGGTCTCCAATATGGTTCGCTTAGAAGACGCAACTGTGGACGCTCTTGTGGAAATTGGGCCACATCCTGCGCTGAAGAGTCCTCTGGATCAAATCTTGAAAAGTCTCGGAATATCTATTCCTTATATCGCTTCATTGAAACGGGGCGAGGATAGCCGAGACTCAATGCTGCAGCTCGCCGGCTCCTTATTTGGTCTGAATGCTCCGATCGATATGGTTGCTGTAAACGCAATGGATGATGAAGATCATAACGACAACATGGGTCTTGTCCACGGGTGTACCGCCATCGATCTCCCTCCGTATCAGTATACCTATGGACCTATCAATTACTATGAAAGCCGCGTGAGTAAGGAGTACAGGCTTCGGAAGGTCATCCGACATGACCTTCTTGGTTCTAGAGTCCCCGGGACCACCCAGCTCCACCCCCAGTGGCGCAATGTACTTCGCGTCAAAGATCTCTCCTGGCTAGGTGACCACCGTCTGCTACCAGGTAAGTCTCATGTTGACAGTTAGAAGCCCCCGTTAACTGACTATTGCATCTTCAGACGCTGTCTTCCCTGCTGCGGGATTCATATGCATGGCAGTAGAAGCCGCCTCGCGGATCTACTACGATGCTTTTGAAGAACCATTACAAATTACGGGTTATACATTTCGAAATGTGAACATTAAATCGGCACTGAGGATCCCTGAAGACGACGATGGAATAGAGATCATTTTCAACATGGGGCCTGTGGATGTGACGACACCTAACTCGCCTTCCTGGGTGAGCTATACCATTAGCAGCGTGGCACGGGATTCAAACGAATGGACCGAGCACTGCAGTGGACTTGTCAAAGTGGAAGTGTCTACGTCGTTAATATTGAAGGGCCGGCTGAATACCGACTTGGACACCCGATTCCCGGATGTTCGCTCGTGGTATAAACGGTTTGCTGCTATCGGCATTGGTTACGGACCAACGTTTCAGGCCCTGTCGGACATCCAGGCCGACCCTAATCAGAATGTGGCCCTAGCCACTGTAGCGTTGAACACGACTGCGAACACCGTGCCGGGCGGAGAGTCAAGCTATCCCCTGCACCCCGCTTCTCTCGACGCGACCTTCCAGCTGGGGCTTATCGCTTGCTACGGAGGCCAGGTGGAGAAGGCGAGCACTGCGTTTGTCCCTGTTCACCTGTCCCAGCTGTATCTCAAGAACAGGGTTAACCCTGATTCAATTTCATGCACAGCTATTGCCTGTGGAAAGCGCCAAGGTTTGCGGGGCGCCTACATTAACCTCCAGATGTTGAGTAATAGTGGGGATGTGGTTCTCGATGTCGACACTCTTCGTTGCATCAGTTATAGCGAGCCCAAGTTGAATATCCAGCTGCAATCCAAAGCTTTTAGCAGTCCATTCACGAGGCTAACGTGGAAGCCTGACATTCGTACATTAACCAATCCCCAGCTACGTCAGATCTTCCCCTCGCCTCCGGAAAACAACGACGGAATTGCGCCTCTCGAACGTGCGGATATGATTGCCGGCTTGGTGCTGGTCGACATATACGACACCTTTGTCCGCGTTGAGGATCGAGTAGAACCGCGTGGAGAATTGCGCCACTGGGTTGACTGGTGCAAGCACTGCGTTGAGCAGGACCAGAGAGAGAATATGACCAGATCCAGACACATTTCTTTTGATGAGCGTCATAGATTACTACAAGCACTATACAGTGAAGCAGGGGACAGTCCTGAGGCCAAAGCCGCGAAACGCCTGCATGAAAACATGGGACTTATCCTCAGCGGACAAAAGACCGGTCTCGATATCCTCGTCCCCGACGGTCTACTGACGGCACTTTATGAAACGGGACCCTTCATCATCGGTGCGTACCCTCAGTTATTCAATACCCTAGATTGCCTCGGTCATGCCAACCCCAACATGCGCATTTTGGAGGTCGGGGCCGGCACAGGCGGCGCAACGCGCGTGGCCATGAAGGCGCTTGTGGGTGCGAATGGCATCAAGCGCTATGCCGACTACACATTCACCGACATCTCCGCTGGGTTCCTCAACACTGCGCAGGAGTCCATGTCGGAATTTAGCGATGTCAAGTTTTCCGTCTTGGACATTGAGCAAGATCCGGTGGAGCAGGGATATGAGCCCGCTTACGACGTCGTTCTGGCATCCCAGGCGATCCATGCGACCACTAGCATGGACAGAACCCTGGCAAACTGCAAAAAGCTTCTGAAACCTGGTGGAAAGCTCTTGCTGGTTGAGAGCACACGCATGCGAGTTCTTCCTGGTCTCCTGTATGGTACATTGACCGGGTACTGGTTGGGTGTCTCGGATGGCCGTTCAGAAGGACCTTTCATGGATCTTCCAGCATGGGACTTGCGCCTGCGAAAGGCCGGTTTCTCTGGGACTGAATTGTTTTTGGATGACTATCCACATCCGCACAATACGACGTCTGTCATAGTGTCGACTCTGGTCAGTCCAAGCCCTAATAGCACTGTCGTCCATCTCCTCCATGGTGATCAAGGTGTACCGCCTCTCCTGAGCCGTCTTTCCCAAGAGTATGCGCTCAGGGGTATTTCAACTACAATTTATCCGCTTGACAAGGCGTTAGAGGTAGTATCGCCGAACTCGCGCGTCGTGGCCTTTTTGGAAGGCAAGAACCTCTTGCTTGATGCCAATGAAGGCCGTCTGCAGCTTTTCCAGCATCTGGCCCAAAGCACAAAGTGCATGACATGGCTGACGTCTTGCGGAATTGTCAAGGGCCGCGATCCTGACGGGGCTTTTGTTACTGGACTCTTGCGGGCGATTGGCACGGAGAATCCTGCCAGCCGATTTTTATCCGTAGACATCGACGCCCAGAACTTCGATATTCAAGATGAGGACCTGGTCCGCAACATAGTCGATCATGAGGATGCCCTTCAGCGTCCCACGGCTGACGGCGAGAGTGAAGATCGTGAGTTTGTCTGGCAGGACGGCTGCATGTGGGTGAGCCGTGCCGTTCCAGATACCGGATTGGAGCCATACGCCAACACACTTGAAACTCCTACGAACCGCGGCGCCAGTCTTCTTCCCTTGGACAGTCAAGGTCCCGTGCGAGCTGCTTTCGAGACTCCCGGTATCCTTAGCTCTCTGTACTTCCGGCCTTATACAGAACTCTGGCAGCCTCTACCACCGAATTACATCGAGGTCAAGGTCAGCGCGGTAGGCCTCAACTGGAAGGACTTGGGCCTTACATCCGGCCGATTCGATGCCAATGGTAATAACCTGTCGTCTGAATATGCAGGTATAGTCACCAAAACGGGTACAGACGTGGTAGGCTTCTCCGTTGGCGACCGCGTGTACGGCATGGGGAGAGGGCACTTTGGTACCCACACGCGTGTTCCAGCGGCGTTTGCGCAAAAGCTGCTAGATAGCGACAGTCTAATCGAGGCAGCCACAATACCTGTGGTGTTCATGACTGCTGTCTATGCGTTCGATCATGTCGCTCGTCTCCGGAAGGGGCAGAAGGTTCTGATCCAGTCAGCTTCTGGTGGTCTAGGGCTCGCAGCTATCCAACTTGCCCAGTCCAAGGGGGCAGATGTTTTTGCCACAGCTGGTACCGAAGAGAAGATCCAATTCCTGACCGACTCCATGGGTATTCCATCCTCTCATGTGTTCAGTTCGCGGGATCCATCCGCCTTATCGCGAGCAGCTAGTGTGACGGGCAAGGGCGGGTTCGATGTTATTCTCAGCACTGTCGTTGGGGGAGAGCTGCTGTATGAGTCTCTCAAGTTCCTTGCACCCATGGGCCATCTGATTGATGTGGGTCGGTTAGATGTGCTGGACTCGAAGACAATTGGTCTTGAGCTATTTCAGAAGAACGCCAGCTTTTCCTCGTTTGATCTTAACCTTATCCTGGACCACGACCCCGAACTCGGTGGACTCCTGATGAAGACGGTGAATAATCTTTACCTTGCCGGACAGATTTCTCCCATCCGGCCATTTTCAGTAGCCGACGTTTCCAAGCTTGATCAAGTCCTACTTGCATTCTCTAAGGGGGCCCATATCGGCAAGATGGTGGTAACCTTCGAGAACCCATCCTCTGTAGTCAAGATCATGCACGGACCTCCAGCGACAAAGTTCGATCCCGAAGCACGCTATATTATTACCGGTGGGCTTGGAGGCCTCGGGCGTTCCATTATACGGTGGATGGTCGAGCATGGTGCTCGAGACTTTGTCATCCTGTCTCGACGGGGTATCAGCACCCCCCAGGCGCAAATGATGGTTGACAAACTGACAACTGACGGGATACGCATCGCGGCAATAGCCTGCGACATAAGTCAACGAGACCAAGTCTTCAGCGCGATTCAGCACGCCGCATCTAACCGACCTGTCCGCGGCTTGATACATGCAGCCCTTTCATTATCTGATCTTTCCTTTGACAAGCTCACTATTGACCAGTGGCGAGCCGGCACTGCGGCCAAGACGCAGGGGACACAGAACCTGCACGAAGCGACCATCTCCCTGCCACTCGACTTTTTCATCATGACCACATCCACGGAGTCTATCTGGGCTCCTCCCACACAGAGTGCCTACGTCGCCGCCAGTAATTTCCAGGATTTCTTCGCCCGCTATCGCCGCCAGCTGGGGCTGCCCGCTTCGACAATGGCATTCGGCCTCGTCAACGACGTGGGATCCGACTGGCGTCACGGTGCCTCCGGCACGGTCGAAATGTATTCCCGCAACAAAGCCCTAACGATGACAGAGCACCAAGTCCTCGCCCGGCTGGAGCCCGCATTCGTTAATTTTGCTGGGAATGGTTCATCGTTGCACATAGGCCAGGACCATGACCCGCTATCTGTCGCCAACTGTTTCACCTGCCTCGATCCCGCCGCCATGGCTGATCAACAGCGAGATGAAGCTGAGCGCGGTATACCCTCGACGACAGTGCCCCGATGGTACGCTGACGGACGCGTTTCACTGATCATCCGTGCCATGAAGGACACCCAGCGACATGTAGGCGGTTCCGACGCAGCGCAGGACGCAGGTAGCGGAGGCTTTAAATCGGCAATCTCCCTTCTACGTACTGCATTTGACGAGGCGGTCAAAGCCGGACCTGGCGAGCGCGACAAGACGGTGGAGTTGGTGACCACCGCCATCGTGACGGCTGTCGCGGATATGTTATTTATTGACGCGTCGAGTGTAAATATTTCCAAGAGTGTAGCTGACCACGGCGTCGATAGCTTGATTGCGGCTGAACTGCGCAACTGGTTCCATCAGGCATTGGGGACGGACCTGCGGATGCTGGATTTGTTGGATGCCCATACAAGCATCCGAGCACTGGCAACTGGCATCGTCGACAGAGAATTGCAGTCTATCCAGTCAGTGAGTGGGGCGGCTTGAGGCTTTTGTAAAGTGCTCCCCGTACTGCTGCATCATAGCTTTTGGTATATGTATAGATTGGTATGCCATAGTGCAATAAGGACCGTTACATCGAGACCAGTTTTGAGTTGCTCTTCCCTATGCTGCTCCACTGATTTGGTTAGATGGACTTAGATGGACTCTTCCTCGTTAGTCGCACGTTTAACAATCAGGAAGTGAAATACTTGCCCCTGCGCGCACCATGCGGCACTCTATCTGTATCTAGATAGATTTAATATTTTTAGAATGTTTTTGCTCCCGTCTAAATAGGGAATTTGTTTCTGCAATCCTTCCACCATTCCATTATTTGGTAGTTGTGAGGAATCTATAACTATATAATGTCAGCCCGTGACTCCACTGTATATAAACTATGAGCCAAAAATCCTTCCACAGACTCATATTGTATACCTATCTACTATTTCCCATCTACCAAACATTGATACCACAATTGCTACTCGGGTTCTGCCTTTTGCCTAGTTTTGAGTATTAACTGTTCAACCTTGTGACGAACCTCCTACAGGTTTGAAAGCTACATGGTAGTACTGACCTACTTGGCGCTCTACCAAGCACAGTTCCGCGAGAACCTTTCTAGACCCAAGCCCATTAAGACCGACGGTACGGTTGCGAGACAGATCATGAGGTTTGACAAACAGTGACTATTTAGCACTGCGTAACATCTGCCTTTTGATTCTTGGTATATATATCTTGTTCAAATCTGATGTATGTTGCAAGATATAACTAACCTCTTTAGATATGTGATAAATCTTACGATATCTGTTATTATCGAGATTGACCATACAGTAGGTCCGGTATTAGTTAGGCCGCGATCCGTACGAGGCAGATTAAGTTCAACCTGAGAGCCCTTATAAATCTGGGATGAATGTCAAATACCTAAGGCTGTCTAATTACAATCTAATTCATTATGTCTCCTTCTACTGACACTTTTGAAACACTTGTGCCCAGGTTACTGGCGCCACCCCCAGGAGTGTAGTTCAGCAATGCTTCTCCCTGTAATCTATCTTGATATTGAAGAACAAACCCTCCGCGGGACGGATTGAAATATCATATAGCTATACGAACTCAAGTTTAGATCTTAAATGATCAACGAACGCGCCAACATACATCTCTCACTGGAGGTAAATCTGTATCTGTAGCCCCTGCATAATCCCATAGTGTCCAAGTTCCGACACGCACAAACTCGTTGGTAGATAAGTCCCAGCTCTGGAGTTTCATAATGCGTATTGGATACTTGGCTCGCTATATGCACTAGGTCTAACGGATTCCTGCAGGAATACTCCTGAATAATTTCTGGAAAGGTTATCATATGTCAAGATCACAGCATAGATGTTAAATACGGGCCGTACTCCCCAAGGAAACTGTTGAGACTCACCTCATTTGGCAAGTAGTCTCCTTCTCGGGAGTGAATGGTGACCCTCGCTTTGAGGTGCGAGAGTCTTGTATGCTTTGTTTGAGTGTTATCAAAATCTGGCCTGAACGACGCGAAGATTGCTGCTTGCGTGATTTTTACAGGACCAACCCCTAAGACCCTCTAACTCCGTGGCTTGAATGCCTCAAAGCCATTCTTCTGAAAGTACTGATGCGTACTCATTTGGCCCGCTTTCGGAATGATGGGAATGGTAACATCGAGCCTGCTGGTTTGATTGCCAGCGCACCTTCGCTGTCTTTTGAAAAGACCTCGGCGGGGCATTGCTCAAAGCCAGATCCTTCCGACAAGAAAAGTAACTCACCAAACTCACCCTGGACCTCCCTGACAAATTCGGGCGGAAAGGTGCCAAGTACAAGATTGCTTTCGTCAGGTGCATAGCCATTCTCTCTTAAATGCTTCTCGAGCCATGCCGCAGCTCCAGCAATAGATATTATGGCTTTGGCCGGGCTGTGTATACAGTATCGTTGGCTTACAAGAGCCAAAGACTTTATCGGGGCGGCATCTTCAAGAATTTGTGTCAGTTCGGTGTTATTCAGGACGCGATGTAAGTGCTCACATCTCCTCCCGATAAATTTCAAATCCAAGGACGAGGGCGATTAACTTATCTAGAGTGTTAATCACAAGGGTACTCGGGGCCGTCCTCCAAGTGGCTTCTGCCTCAGTGACATCAATAGCACCCTGACCGGCGTCGTCCGCTTTTCTACCGTAATGTAACTTCAGACGATGAACCGACTGCATTGCACGATACAGAGGAATCTCATCCTCTGCAGGGGTAGATCCCGAGCAAATCTAGGTATGGAAAATCCCATACCACCGTTTCGTGGAGGTTTAGCCGAGTAAGAGGCTGTATGAGCCAAATCCACGCTAACGTTTTCATTCATTGTATAAATAGCTGGGTTTGTGACGGTTAGTAGGACTCGATGTGCGGGTCTACATCGTATCAGACGGAGATGCAAGAAGCTGACTCTAGGCCCTGGTGTGTCTCTTTTTCCAGTAAGTCTAGATATCGGCCGTACTAACGTTGGTACATTGCAATGCATGATTATCTCTCTTCGGTTGTGAGGAAGTCTTTTCAACCTCAACGATCCCTGTACTCTATGATACCTGCAGAACTGTAGACTTTGGTATTTCCTTGGGATATGGGACATCACCTATCATACTATACAAGCGCTCTACACAACCTCCTCCCTACGCGATCCAGCTTAAACAAGGGTACCTTCACACATACATCGAGCATTTCAAATTCTGCAAAATATGGAAGGGTTTGCAAGAAAGGATTATAGAAAGGTTGACTATGGATGGAGCGGTCCAACTTTTAGAAGTATATCGTATGGTGGAAGGAAGCAACACGGCCCAGTGATTTGGATAAGCTTGGCTTGCAATACGCCCCTGGAACTGCAGTCAGCCTTGGATTAGCAGAATAGGTGCAAGTGCAGAGGTCTGACCTCGGGGAGCCAAGTAAACCAGGGCCCTCTATAGCCACTACAAACTCCACGAAGGGAACTGCCCTCAATGCGGACCTGAAATGGGTTGTCCACTTACACTCACCGGCCCATCTGGGAACGCTGCCCCAAAAAAATGCCGCATACTAGAAAATATACATGGTTAGGTTTAGGGTAATTTGAATTTCCCGAATACTTTTGGGACAGTGAACTTTCCGAGACGGTTTTAGCAACTTTAGAGCGTCTTCAACACGGCTACTTCGCCAGATAATCGAAGCTGATATGAAAAGATGCTTTTTCTTCCTCGATTTGCAAGCGCTTTCAGTTAGTTTTGGTTTTATGTATGGCTTCGCTTTTGTGTCACTCCGAACGGTCATATGTAAGAATCCAATCGCTGTGTCATCTGCAAAATCTGATATCGCCCTACTCTAAGTTATCAAGGTAATGCAGAACACCTGGTAATTTATCTTTTAACGGGAACTCAAGAAGAGAAAGTACAAAACTACTCGCAGGCAGTCGACGGGCGATTCGAGCTGAGTGGAAAGTACGAGGTTTCGCTGAGCCTCGTTTACAGCGTAGTGAGTATTCCTTTCCATTTCTATGTTTTGGCGAACGGCAACGATGTCATGCCTTGATATTGCATGCAAATACTATACGTATACGAGAGAAAATCTCGTACCAGAGTATGGCGTACATTTTCAGACCTCTCCATAATTCTTAAATCAGCTGTCTGGTGTCTGGCATTTTTTTTATCAATTAGGCTGAACCGCTATGCCAGACATACTTCAGACCCTTGAATGTCGCGGACGATAGCTGAGCAAGACCGACCTTTGACCGATAGAAAGTATTGATATCTAGTAATGTAATTTCCAAATGATTTCTGAGGCCAACATCGAAAAGAGGTTATATATGTGACTGCTTGAGTCTTCTAAGAACTCCTTCACCTGGTTATCTAATAATCTAGTAACCTATTCATATCGCAAAGTTCCTACTTCATGCCCAATCAAAAGGGATACCTTTCAGGTCTCCATATTATAGCCACCTTTGTTAAAAGCACTCCAATGCTTTTGCTGCTTCTACCCTCTGTTCTAACTGTGGGCGGGCCTGACATATTGTCCAGGTCAGATAAAAATCGATAGTTGCACTGTGAATCATCCATAATTTAGGTACTCCGGTTTTAAGAAGATAAAAATGCGCGACACACGATAAGCATTCAGGAGGTGCCTTAAGGTCTCTGTAATGCATATAAAATCCTGTAAGAATAGATGTGAGCCCGCTGTTGGTTCTAAGCAGGTACTGATTCTGAAAAATGAAATTGAGGGAAGTATCCAGCCTCAGTCGGGAGATGTCAAACGGATGAACTAGGATAGAATATTGCCGGAGACGAGGAACTTTATCTGGAATGACAAAAGCGTCCCCGTATCTGAGGGAAAGCTTAAGCCAGTTGCGCTCGGTGAAAACTTTTAGGTAAGGAATATTTCGCTCTTGACTGGTCTGTGTGCTGATACTCAGCTAGGGCTTTTTGGACATTTCCTTGCTATGAGCGCCAGGCACTTATGGACTATCATGCTCTGAATCGATAATATTTGCCTTTCACACCTATGTCTACCCTGTTTGGGATATCATTTTGGAAGGGGTCTGGAGACAAGCTTACACTAGTCATCGATGGATTGGATGAAGGAGAGCATCCGAGATATTCGCCTATGCTGATAGCGGTTGGTGAACAGAGGCTCTGAAGCTGTGTTTTAGATGATTAGACGAGATGGGAAGGAAGAACAGCTTTCTAAGACTTTTACTAACCTAAGAACGTGATTGGTATATGCGAACTATGATCGAGTTTCTCTGATTCTCGATGCATCGTCGAAAGTACTAAACAAACTTGCTGCAGTTAAAACTAACACCCTAACTAAAGCCACTGATCGGAGCATATATGACGCCTAAACGAAGGACTACTGTAGACGGTTGAAAATATGTTGATGGCCAGGAAAGCTATCTTTCAACACATCGTTGTTGAGCAAGGAATCTCGATTCATTACCATACTATATGGAGCTGTTTATATGGTAGTATCGAAGGCTTTCTGATCGACACACAAGGAGCCAAACGACTCCCATTATAGGAGTCGATCTCCGACGGCCCTCCGTATGTGAGTATTATCATGATAAGCAATCGCAGTCCACGATAATTTTTCTGAAACTTGACTACTGATGATAAGCACGTGTGACTACCACTGGTTCATACATTAATATCAGTTGCTTTCTAGTGGCATGCGGAGGTTACTCGGGATTCATTTCACAGCTGATCTACATGCGGCGGCATAGAGTAGGGGTTTTAAAATCAGACTACCCAAGGAAACCGACATGATCACAGGATGAAACTACCTATAAGTTAGGGGACCTTCCCGGGGTAAGAAGGGAATCGAGCATGTAATGGTCACTGTGGCCGATATGACTTCAGCGGATTCTACCATCTGTTGGCGATGCAAGGCACGTGGAAGAATTAAAGGATTAATTGAGCGGAAATTAGAACTAGTTAGACGAAGCTTATCAGGTGGAGTGCATCCTTGTTCAACAGCTTGTCCCCTGGATCCTTGTTCTTTCAATGCATTCCATAGGCCGAGATAATATTTTCCCCACCTGGAAATGACAAAGGATAAACTCATGACGAGTGATTCGCCTACCCATTGGTTGAGATATAGGGCCCTGTACTGTGTTTATTGTATTGTTAGGTCCTAGCGTTAGCCGTATATAGCAACGTACTGATATCCGTTGATCCCCTATGAGAGAGGGTACTATTCTGTACAGAGTGCAATAATTCAATTGGTGGGCTGCCATCTACACTATTCGAGCCGATCAGGTGTTCTCTGCAACAGAGTGGGACGCACTATAAGCAAGTGTACACAATTGTAGTAAACGTAATGAAACTCCGGGACAGTGATCATCCATTCAGTGGCGGATTTGATGGCCTTATTGGTGGAGATTTCCGCCTGAGGCAAGCAAGAGAATAAATAATATAAATAATCCATTTAAATTTTTGTTCACACCCTTGCTGTGCCATGTGGTCGGGCGGCCCGCACTTCTGGAGTTCCACCTTCTCTTCTCTGGATATATGATATGATACAGCCAGGGGTTTAAGAAAAAAGAAAAGAAAAGAAACAACAGGAGATAGAGAGAGACGGAAATTCTAGCATCCGGAGTACACGGCAGTTAATAATGTTGATCCATGGATGGCACAGAGAGTGTCCTGCACGAGCCCCCCCCCCCGTGAGTGGCTTCGGCATCCCCTTCTGCACCCATGGTTTCAGTCTCGAATTCGCAGCTCATAGGCTTTTGGGTCAGGGGAACGGCCTGGTGGGGCAATGAGAGAATAGGTTAGAGCGGCATCCTTCCCCATCTTATTGCGCGTCTCTGCGATGAGTATGACTTGGCAATTCCCGGCGGACGACCGCGATCAACACTTCCCGTAGTTCCCGCTTTTGCCCCTACTTTTCCCTCATTCTGGTACTATCTTTTTTTGCCGATGCTGTAAAATAGTCCGCTCCTTGCTTCTTTTCCTCTCTCTTTTGTCCCTCCTCATTTTCCTTGGGTCTCTGTCGGCCACGCTTTAGTACTCTCGTTACAATTGCTGTCACTTCAATTGACATGAAGGTGACGCTAGTCGCTCCTTGAACGCTCCCAATTAATTTGTATAAACCCTCCCTTACTATATACATGCTTGTTTTGCTTAGCGTTGTACTATAATCGTGAACTTGGTCTCCGCAATCACGCAATATGGTCCGTGGATTTCTCGCCGCCTCTAGCATTCTATTGCTGTCTGTAGGGGCGCTTGCCGAAGATAACTGGCCGTTTATCACCCTACAGACGGCCCCATTCACGCCTCCTAAACTTGAGGTGACCAAAACCGGACCTACTGACCCGGGCTATATCTTCGTCGGACCTCGTGGCAATCAGCCGAATGGCACTGCGGCCCTCATTTACGACGACGACGGCAACCTTGTGTACCAAGGCCCGACCGAGGTGTCAGCCAACTTCAAAGTACAGAATGTGTTCAACCAAGATGTTATCACTTTCTGGGCCGGCAACATGATGGAGCTCGGCTTTGGCTATGGCACTGTCCATATTCTTGACAACACGTACGCAGAGATCTACACTGTCACCCTTCCGGGCAACTTCATCTGCCCCGATGGTGTGACCAGGGACTCGTACATTGATCTTCATGAGAGCCATGTAACGAAGCGTAACACTCTGCTGGTAACCGCTTACAACGTTACTCAGTTTGATCTGACGTCAATTGGCGGCAAAATCGATGATTACTTGCTGGATGGCATGTTCTTCGAGATTGACATTGCGACCAATGAAATCGTGTACTCCTGGAGTGCGCTGGAACATATTCAAGATATTCCCCTGGAACAGTCCAAGCAGGGCCTGGCCGATGACTATGGCACCCAGGAAAAACCGTGGGACGCCTATCACATCAATTCGGTTGAGCTTGTTGATGACGGCTACATCATCTCCCTGCGTCACTACTGGTCCGGCTACTACGTCCACACTAATGGCACGATCATGTGGCGGCTGAGTGTAGGTCCTCGCTCCATCAATAGGGATTTCATCAAATACTAACGGCCCTGTTAGGGTGAGAAGGGAGTCGGTGACTTTGAAATCGATGACGGTGCCGTCTTCTCATGGCAGCATGACATCCGCGTCTACAACCAGACAAATGAGGGTATGGTCCTAGACCTGTTCAACAACGCCAACACACCAACGGAAACGGTTGCTCCCACCACTGGTCTAAGCCTCGCGATGGACCTGGTCAACCGCAAGGTTACTACTTTGCGCACCATGAACGATGGCAACGATGTCATTCACAGTGTTAGTCAGGGAAGCTACCAGCTGATGAGTGAGCAAACGAACCATGTCTTTATGGGTTACGGTTCCATCTCGAAGGTGAAGGAATTTGATGCCAACAATAATGCAGTCCTCACCGCCCAATTTGGGGATGACAATGCCGTTGCATCCTACCGTGGCTACAAGTGCCAGTGGAAGGCTACGCCATTCTGGAAACCCGCTGTCGTTGTAGAGCGGATCTCAAATTCTGCTACTGTCCATATGAGCTGGAATGGAGCCACCGAGTACGACAATTGGGCCATTTATACAGCTAGTTCTCCTGAATCTACCGACCATACTTTCATCACCTCTGTGAAACGGACAGGCTTCGAGACCGCTGCAAACGTGAACAACTTGAGGAGCCCTTACTTCCAAGTAGTTGCCCGGAAGGGTAACATCCCGCTTAGTAGCATCGTCGTCCCTGTTGCTTAAACCCCCTTGATTCGATCTCTCACGACATGTGATGAGAGGCCTGGTCTCGGAGCAAACTGGGGCTTATCTCGCAGGCATTTTTAGTAAATGCTGTGAGGCTTTGTGTTGTATTGATCTCCTGCATTCTTGTATATACTTCTCCGTAATCATACATGTAAATAATATCCGCTGTACGGGATACTCAATCAAAGACATGGATTGTGGCTCTAGATGAAAGGGCCCTCGTGGAAGATAATGTGACCTGGGACAGTTACAGCATTAGATCTTCCTCCTGTATGTGATTCTATCTTCGTGCTATCTTTCCTCTTCAAAATCTTTTTGCCTTTTTTCCCTCATTGCATCAAGCTCGAGAAGCGCTCCTGGTCTATAGATACATACATCCAAAGGGTGTTGTCAACAGGCTTTCAAGTGAACGCACTTTGCACACTCTACTTCCAAATATAATCAAATTGTACAGCTGTGTAAGACTGCCTCCGAAAGAGCTCAGTCTGTCTCGATAATACTCAGTGAATCTGTCCCTGTGAAACCGAGTGAGGACTACATTATCATCCTGCAGAAAGCTTTGCACCAAGGGATACGAAGCCTTGTTACACCCGCTTCAAGATACCAGGTCCCGTCCCTACGGGAAAGATGCACATGTTATGTAGCGACGTGGGACGATCACATTGCCCGTTGTCAACACTAGTAACACTACCATATATATAGTACGCCGCAGTTATACCCTAGCCCTGATTCCACACCCCTTGTTCACCACAGGTGGACATGTATAGATGTACGAACACTGTATCACTTGTCGAATGCGTGACGGAAGCAACTTCATATTGGTATGTGTGTGTGCCCCAACCGAAGAGCTCTTATAACCCATGACCCCCTTTACAGCCATGCCTCTACCCGAAGGTAAACTTCGGGAGATTTTGCCATGGTAAGACATAGAGTACTCTCGGGTCTTACGATAAAACCAACAACAATTAAACCAACGGCTTGCAGAGAAGTCCAAAAGGCGCCATAGTATATAATTCCAGATATAAAAACTCCCAATCATCTCTCCCCCCCAATCACACCCCAAAAACCACCTCAAACGAGCCTAATCTCACCCCTTTCAAATAACTACCCAAACCAAAAAGGCAAAAACCAAAATGCACCTCCAAAAACCCCTCCTCTCAACCCTCCTCCTCCTCCCAACCCTAACCCTCTCCACGCCCCTCCATCAAACAAACACCACCCAAGCTCTGGTCCCAGGCCACGCCATCGTCCACAACAACTGCTCCTTCCCCGTGTATCTCTGGTCCGTCGGCTCAACCACCAGCCCCGAACACACGCTTGCCCAAAACGCCCGCTACACCGAGACCTTCCGCCACGACCCTCAAACCGGCGGCGTGGGCATCAAGCTCACGACCGAGAAGAACGGGCTCGCGACCTCAGCCGCCCAGACTGTCTTTGCGTATAATCTTGTCGCGGACCAAGTGTGGTATGATCTGAGTGATGTCTTTGGGGACCCGTTTAAGGGTCACCGAGTGGTTTTGGATGGGGATGTCGTGGATATTATTTGGCCAAGGGGCGTGCCGCCGGTGGGAGAGGGGAGGGTGGGGGTTCAGGGTGCGGGGAGGGATTTGGTGTTGAGTGTTTGTTAGATTTCCTTTTTCGAGATGTGTGTGATATGTTTTTGCGGTTTCTTAGGGAGGGTGGTTGGTTAGCGAGTTGCTTGCTTGGGAGGGGTGGTGGGGGTTGATGTGAGGACTTGGGTTTTGGGTTTGGTTATTTATTTGTGTTTTACTCAGATGAAAATTGTTTATTTTAGGTACTTTTATGTATCCTAATTTTATTGCAGAATTAGGTATCTCATTCGTCACGGTCGTTCTCCGGTTCTATTCAACGAAATGAAGCTTATAAACATAAAAGCCCAAAGCGGAAATAAAAAAAAAAAAAAAAAAAAAAGGCAGATGAAAGGCAAGCTATCCTAATTACTATTTCGCATTCCAAGGTATCGGCCGAGGAATATCATTAAACCACACATGGTTCAACGCGCTCGCCGCGCTAATGCGCATCTCCGGACGCAACTGCAACATGCGCCTCAGCAGATCAACCCCCAACGGATCAATGCGCGAAACAACCTGCCGCAGATCCTGCGTCGCATACACCGGGAAGTCAGGCTTGTACTCGGGGAACTTTGAGATTCCGGGCCACGTGATCTCCGATGGCGTGCCCATCACGCGAAAGATCTTCAGTAGCTGGTCGTCATTCGTGGTTCCCGGGAACAGAGGCCGCCCGGTGTACATCTCGGCTAGAATGCAGCCGATTGACCAGATGTCGATGCTGGTGTTGTAGCTGCGGCTGCCGAGGAGAACGTCCGGGGCGCGATACCAGAGGGTGACAACCTCGTTGGAGAAGGTGTTGACCGGGATGCCGAAGGCCCTGGCTAGGCCGAAATCAGCGAGTTTTAACTGGCCCTTGGTGTTAATTAGTAGGTTTTGGGGTTTGAGATCGCGATGCAGAATGCGGTTCTCGTGGCAGTGCGCGACGCCGCGGAGGAGCTGGTACACGAAGGATTTAATCAGGGTCGGGTCGAGTTGGCCGCGGTTGCCGTAGGTATCCATGTATCGCTTGAGATCCTTGTCCATGTATTCGAAGACTAGCATAAGTTTATTCTCGGTGTGAACGACGTCGTAGAGGGAGAGGATGTTCTCGTGCTGGAGCTCTTTCATTAGGGAGATCTCGCGGATGGCCGTGGAGGGCGTCCCTTCTTCTGTGTCGAGGTGAATCTCTTTTAACGCGACCATTTCTCCTGTCTGGTTGTTGCGGCCTTTGAAGACCTGGGTGGCTTCAGTCAGTGTGCTGGCATGTATGGGTGGTGCGCGACTGCGAGACAAACTGTCGCATAAGTTCCTTCCCCCAACTGTAGCCTGTTAGCGATTAATTTTAGCATCAAGGTAAGCGCCACGACCGACCTTCTCTAACTGCTGGAATGAGGCGTGAGGCGCCGAAGCCATTTTGTCTAATGGTGGAGCAGTGCTATGGGCTCGTGATCTCGACGGCGTTTAATGAGGGGTAAGAAAAGGAGGGAGGAGGTAAAAGTAATGAGGTAATTTCCTGGGAGTTCATCTTAATTAATCATTTAATTATGAAGTCGGGAGACTAAGGAAAAGACCCCGCTAAACCCGAACAATACCATCTTGGGCCTGAGCTCATCTTATCCTCATGAGCAACTCAGGCCACGTACTCCTTGTCGGTGAGATTCATGCTAAGTAGGGCTGCGCGGGGTTTTGGAGGAGGGGGGGGGGGGGCTCATCAGGCGATCATTCACTATGCTTATCTTAGGAGAGCACGCCATCCATCTCATTTGCCCATAGCTTTCAATGAAAGAAGCGTACCAATGTGGCCCTAACTGGTCTCATCTTTTGAGGCCAAGAATGTTTCCATCCTGACCTGGGTATCGGATACAGATCGGGAACAAGGGTACTCCGTGCGACCTTACAAGACGGCTGGCTTAGCAGCCTTTGGGAGGACCTACCCTTCATCAATTAGCAAATAGGGTAGAGTGCAACCCCAAGATGCGAGCGCTCGCTCCCTACACATTAGAAGTACTACTCCACCTCAGATCTGTTTGATCTGGGGTACCTGGAATTCTCCAAATTGGGGAAGCGGTGCTTGTGTTGAAGATCCCGATGGTCCTCGGCACTTCTTCATTAGGCCTGTTTCCTTTATAGTGCTTGTTCTGCTAAAGCAACCGGTATTTTCGAATGATCTTGATTTAACTGTCCAGCGATCTCCGCCTACATGGCAGTCCATTATATACTGAGGATATTCATCTGGGGTGGATATCTCTATATCTCTATATCTCCAACTGTTCAGATGGAGTAGGGTACCTCGGCCTTCTACCCGAATTACCCGTTTGGGGATCCCCGCATCTGGTCCAACATGCGTGGACTCGAACTTAACATCCCACTACTTCTATTCCTTCTTTTCCCGCTTCATTTCTTGACCTCTGTCTATGCTCTCTGAGTATATCTTTTTTTTCGCCCTCCCAGTTCAATCCCTATATATAGACATTGTCCTTTTGTTCGCAATACTCAGTCGTATTGACCCCCATATAATAATCCCTTCCCCGCATTATGGTCGCCCCTTCGATCCGCGTGGCCCCTTCGGCCGCCAACAGAGCTCTCAATCTCTTGCGTACCGTCCAATATACTCACCCGCCATCCTGCCCGTGCCATTCGAATCCGAATCATCATCATCATCACCACCACCGCTCTCCGACTCTAGCGGACCACGTCCGTCGTCATATGGCTACCCCCGTGGACCCGTCACGCGAGAAAGAATACGCCTTCGAAATGGCCGCCTCTAGCATTCGATTCGGTCCAGGCGCTACAAAAGAAGTCGGAATGGACTTTGCTAATATGCAAGCGAAAAGAGTTTGTATTGTCACGGATGAGAATGTTTCCAAGCTGGACGCCATGAAACAAGCGGTGGAAGGGTTGAGCCGGGAAGGGATCGAATTCACAGTATTCGATAAGGTTCGGGTGGAACCCAAGGATTACTCGTGAGTCGCTCTAAGTAAACTGATGAATTATGCACTGATTGAAGTAGCGTCAAAGAGGCAATTGCTTTTGCAAAGCCATATAACCCCGATGCATTCCTTGCAGTGGGTAAGTATCTCCCAGCCTCCCTTTGAACAGGGTGATAACATTCGCAGGTGGCGGGTCGGTTATTGATACCGCAAAGCTCATGAACCTCTACACGGTCTATCCCGATGCTGATTTCCTGGACTTTGTCAATGCACCCCTTGGCAAGGGTCTCCCAGTGGACAGGAAATTGAAGCCCCTAGTAGCTGTACCGACCACAGCGGGTACTGGGTCAGAGACAACCGGAACCGCCATCTTCGACCTCGTTTCGAAGAAAGCCAAAACCGGTATTGCCCACCGAAATCTGAAGCCTACCCTGGGAATCTGTGATCCCCTTAACACACGAACAATGCCGTCCGCCGTACACGCTGCTTCTGGTCTAGATGTCCTCTGCCACTCCCTAGAGTCATGGACGGCTATTCCCTACAACGAGCGTACTCCCCGCCCAACTAACCCTCTCAACCGTCCCGCATACCAGGGTGCGAATCCGATTTCCGACATCTTTTCCCTGCAAGCTCTTCGCGACACTATCAAATATCTACCCCGAGCCGTCAAGGACCCCGATGATTTCGAGGCCCAGTCCAAAATGCTCCTGGCCGCGACACTGGCCGGTGTCGGCTTTGGTAATGCCGGTGTTCATCTCTGCCACGGCATGAGCTATCCTATCTCTAGTCAGAACCCGGGCTACAAGCATGCCGGATATGAAGTCGACTATCCGATCATCCCCCATGGTGTATCAGTCGCCGTCACCGCGCCCGCCGTCTTCCGGTTCACCGCCGCATCCAACCCAGACCGCCATCTCGCAGCAGCCGAGGCTTTCGGTGTGGACGTCTCGAATGTCAAGCGCGAAAGCGCGGGTGAAGTGCTTGGTGAAGCGATCGCTAAGTTTCTAGTTGAGCTGGGCGATCAGCCCCGTGGATTGAAGGATCTCGGTTTCAAGTCGTCGGATATCGAATCCCTGGTGGAGGGAACTCTCCCGCAAAAGCGGGTTTTGATGCTCGCACCCAATCTCAATGAGGAATTAGAGGCGGAGAAGAATGAATTGAGAGGATTGCTGGAACGATCATTGGATTATTAGGGGCATTCGAGATTTGCTGTGTTTCTCTTAGTCATGTTCGTGTCAATACCATCTTTTGTTTTATGTTCCATATAGGCTTCAATCAAATTGGATTAACAAAACAAGATTGAAATCATATTGCATCTAAAGTGATTCGATCCCATATCTTGAATTCCTGTATGAATGTACCAAAGGGATACTTCACAATGAGGTCCCGAAGGGTCATTCCCTTTGAATAGAAAGACAAGGACTGTGCTGCCAATATATACAGCCACAGGGTAATACAAGCAAACCTGGAATAGCCATAAGAGCCCATATTGAACTTTATAGGTTTCTATAGAGGCACTTATATTCTAGGTTCTATCAATGCATATTCTATTAAAACTTTTGGGAGTAAAAACTAGCCCTAGCGACAATATAGGGATTGATTAGCACGAGAAGGTATAATAGCCATTAGTTAAGGGCGCACATTCGCTGAACGCGAAGAATCATATGATGAACGATGAAGTACTAATACTATGCCCCCATACTATGCGGTCGCAATTAATAGACAAATTAGGGCAAGATAGTGAGTCTAGGAAAAGGGAAGAATAAATTTAAGAATGACAATAACGGGGATAAATGAGGTAACTAGCGCGGTCGGCGATAGGTCTATCCTATCAATGAGGGTCATGAGAAGATGTTATATGGACTTATTCCACAATCACCACTATATTAAATATTTTCTACTAGCTAGACTTGAATAGAAAGGCCAAACTAGTGTAATTGTGTAATGCTTCCTTCTCGTTCTTCAGCTCAACGCCCAAATCACAGTAACGACTAACGTAGTGTGGTATATAACGTTAGGTTAGTACTTACCATTTACCTACCTCTCCGGTATAGCATCAAATAAATTAGACCATGATAATACGACCCCGAACTGCTGACCAAAAAAAGAACCGAGCTAAACCCCGTTCGTTCCTCCTCTCTCGTGAAATTCCCCACTAATGCGCTGAAACACGAGCTCATCTCGTCTTAAAGGTCCGCTAACCCTAAACCCGGCTGATCGTCAAGGTAGCAGATTTAAAATAGAATCATCGTACATTTAAACACCAACCATATTGCTGATCGGACCTTTAGACCTGTTCCATATATGCCGTTACGTGCTTCGTTCCTATCTGACAGCTCGTGAAGATATACGGTTTCTTGTCAAGTACGATATATTGTGATCTATTGGACCCTTACCCGGGATAAATCGCCAATGATTGACCTATAACGGGACCATGGGGGCCATTTTTTTTTTCAGCCTCAGGTGCTATCGCGATTATTGGCGAACCGGGTTGTATACTACAAGTAGAAATCAGGATGAACAGTGGGGCCGATCTAATACGATGGGAGTCAAGAAAAGGGCCATCAAGTGGTTCTGTACGCTGGACAGGATTGGAAATGGTTGCCATTGTCGGAGCAAAGCTAGAGAAAGAGGAAGATTGGTAATTCGAGCTATCGTCGTAACTGGTATAGATCGCAGAAGGTTATACGACGGGCCCTTTCCTTGACGGCGACATAAATTGGCGGATGTCGTCAATCTCCAGCCCTACCTATGGATCAAATACTCATTATCCAATTCTACCGGGACACTTGCCCTTGGAATATTTGACCCTAGGTGACGGACTGACTGAGAATGGTCGGCGTTCCTCATAGTACTGGATGTGCACTATGCCGGGAGCGGCGTATTAAGGTATGTCAACCTCCATACGTAGTACTAGATACTGTCGTCTAACAAGTAAAGTGTGATCAAGCAAAGCCGCAATGCTCACAATGCCTGAAATTTCGTCGCCCTTGTCCGGGATACAGGCGGACCTACCGTTTCCAAGATGAAAGGCCAGCCCTAGAGCGTCGGCATCAGTTATCAACAAGCCCAAGGTCTTCCGTTGATGGTGCAAACGAGCTTCGTCAAGCTGTCCCTTCTGATGACGAGCAGCATCAGCCTGCCCAGCATCAACCCGTCTCATTCATGAGATTTATCACCAATGCGTTTCCTATATTCCACGAAATCAATAGCTTCCGTGCAACGGATTATCCAAATCTCTCTGCACACATTAACTTCAGCGCTGATAGAAGCTTCTACCTTGCTGCTGCCGCTCACTGTGTAAGCCTCGTATTTCAGGAAATCTCAGGCATGGAACAATCCCTTCTAAATAACGGCCGACACACATACAATCATGCCATTCACGCAGTCCGCCAGGCTTCCAGCTTGGAGCAGAGTTCAAACAAGGCCGAAGTACTTGGTGCCATCATCCTGCTCTCCATCTACGAGATGCGCGTGCAAACTATCCCAGATGGATGGTTGAACCATGCTCAAGGCGTTGAAGCAATAATGGAGGAACTAGGTGCACAGGCGCATACCTATGGGTTTGCACGCGCTTGCTATATCTTTTTCCGCGGATTCCTGATCGCGTACGCCTTGCAACGCGGACAGCCATGCTTTCTGGAGAAAGAAGAATGGCAACAACTAGCAGAGAGGATTAGAAGCGAGGACTCACAAAAGCTCGGTAACGATGCGGCATTTGTGGACGTGACAGAGCGTATCTTTACGGAGTTCGTTAAGTTTCCACGATATACATATGAAGCACAGCTACAGAGCAGAGTACCGAATGATCGTGAGGCGTTTCATTTGCTTTCGCGAATCCTTGACTCACGAAAAGAGCTGCAGTTGCTTTTAAGTGAATTGAAAGATCTCATCACTGCCGATTTGGCAAGGGAAAATAGCATGGCCTCTCAGGAGGACACCCTGAACGCCCCGACACTCTTGCTTCATGGAGTCGAGAGTGCCCTTGTCCTTTCGCATGACTTAGAAGACAGAGTCGCAATGACTCCTGTCCCGCTATTTCGCGTTTCTCCAGGACTCACTCGCATAATCGAGACTGGCGCTATAGTGCGTGATGCCTCTTGGCTGGACCAAATGGCTTGTTCTATGGGTCTGTTGGGGGCTAGAGTTGTTGATGGGAATACGCCATGATCAAGGCCTCACATGATGCAGATTTGGCTGCGATCATTTCAATTCTGACGAGAAACTATGACGATCTCCACTATCATGAAGAACCAGAAGAATACCCTACCATAAAGTAAAGTTCCAATTTACTGCGACTATTGCCTTGGGCTAGATGTGTTGATTAGCTGAGAGATATGCTCACTGGTTGTTAGTAATATCGCCAGCCAGGAGTAAAATGTGGCTCTGATGATACCATCGGATCACAGCCTTTTTTCTTCTTCTCTGAAATAGATGCCTTATAGAGTTCATCCTCTTCCAAGTGAGGACTCTGGTAAATCACTCAGTCTAATTAAAGCCCTTGGTGTATGGTGAATGGTGAATGGTCTAGAAGGATAGAGGAAGTAGTAACTATGTGGGCCTCGATGTTAGTAATTGATAGACACCAGACCCGCCAAAGTTGCCTCGTGATCAGCGCCGTTGCCTGAGGAAGTCAAACGATCGGAGAACTTTCCTCCGGCAGTGACTCAATCAAATCACCTTCTGTACCTCTGTTCCTGAATAGATTTTTATAAATAACCTGGTTCTCTTATATCTCTCACAAGTCGTTGCCTTTACACAATTTGTTCTCTGGAACTATATTCTCATACCTGCATACTACGATACCCTAATAGAAGTATATACGAGACCCACCAACGTCAAGAGTCATCCGCTAAGAAAACACGAAGCGTCCAATTTCGGCTGCACGGTGTGCCTCCTCCGCCTGGGATTGGATTCATTGGACCTGAGTCTGACAGTGGACTGAATGATTTCTCCGCTTTTTAGTAGGGTGGATATAAATTGACATTTCCGTCCTTCCTTCTCGTTCAATAAATTAAATTTATAGAGAGGTACTTCTACGCCCGACGCCTTATCGCTGCCCCGCTACCCCACGTTTAAATTCTCGGTCTCCTAACTGACCGGTCGATCTCAGCATCAATAGACTATAGACGCGGAAATCAAAATGCCTCCTGTTATCCATTGCGTGCGCCATGCCCAGGTACATTCGCTACAACATACTACGAAACTAGAGTTCATCTAATGTATCAATCAGGGCGTCCACAATCTTTGCACAGAAAACCATGTCATCCACGACCCTCTCCTCACCGACCTAGGCAACGAACAATGTCGCAAACTCTCCGAAAAATTCCCCTTCCATGATAAGGTCGAGCTCGTGACCGCCTCCCCTCTCCGCCGTACCATCTACACCGCATTGCAGAGCTTCGGACCCGTCTTCGAAGCGCGCAAGGACACAAAGTTGATTTTGCTCCCGGACGTGCAAGAAACCAGCGACGTTCCTTGCGACACGGGCAGCGATCCGGAAGTTTTGCGGAAGGAGATGGAGGAGAAGGGATTGCCCGTTGACTCGGCATTGGTGCATGAGGGGTGGAACAATAAGGTGCGTTGGCTTCTTATCTCTTCGGAGGTCATAGTGTGGCATTGAATATTGGGACGGGCGGTTAACCGGAAACCAGACTGGTCGGTATGCTCCGAATCATGCCGCAATCAGGAAGCGCGCTCGCGAGGCTAGACGGTGGTTGAAGGCGAGACCTGAGAAGGAGATCGTTGTTGTGACCCATGGTGGATTCTTGCATTATTTCACCGAGGACTGGGAGGACAGCAGTCAATATCAGGGTGAGTTATATATCTTGCGATCGCAAAGGAGAAAGTGGCTAATCAGTGACAAGGAACGGGTTGGGTCAACACCGAATACCGTACCTACGAATTCTCCTCTGAGCGCCACACGACTGACGTGGAAGACCATGAATTAGAGGGCGACGATGCAACAATTGTTGAGACTATCTCATCTCGCGAACGTCGTGGTAAAGAAGGGCCTGCACCTGACCGGGAGACCCAGAAGGCCCTGTACAAGAAAGGAACGCAGGGTTGGGATGACCAGGGTTTGCAATTGAGCACGGCTGAACGTGAAGCAGCCAAGGTTCCAGAGGGCAAAGAAGTGGACGGTGTCCGCGTATGAGCTGTTGGCAATATCCTCCGCATATTTGATCTTTTGTAGATAGTGTTGAATACTTCGTCCATGGCTTCATATAAAGAGTTAGAACGGCTGCATATTTGTCTTTCTGATTTAATACATGGCGGTTGTACAAGAACGACAGTCTTCAGAACTTATACCTGATCCCACGTGCACGAACGATTCTACGTAAAACCAAATTACGATCGACGAAATCTACTAAATATATGCAAGAAGACAAAGGCTCAAGGATCACCCATGTCCGCCTCGGCCAATTAATATCATTCTCTCCCCAAATCACCGGTAACACGGTACCTTTCACCTGTAGTACCTTCCTGCATCTCCAGAGGGTCCGCCAGCTCAAACCAGGACATGATAATGTCTGTAATAGTCTGTTCATCGGCGTCCACGCACGTCTTCCAGATGATATTGCGCTTCCTATCTAGGTATATCAGGCGTAAGCGATCCGTCTCGAAAGCCTCCCGATCCGCGAGAAGAACGTGTTTTGTTGCTACCCTCCGGAGGAGGCCAGCCGCGTTGAGCTCAACAAAACGATGCGGATCCTTCTTCCACACATCAGGTTCCATCGCCTTTACCTTTGGGAGCCACTCCTTGAACTGTGCTCGTACCGATGCGAAAATTCCGGGGTAGGCGTTCGTCGGTATCGAGCGGCGGTTGGCCAAATTCAGGCAGGATTTCATACATGCGCTGCCAATCAGAACCGAAGTGTTAAAGATTCGCATCGTTTAAGCATACCCAATAGGCTACGTCTTCAAATCCCTCAGACGCGCTCACCCATTGATCCATCTTCTTGTCATCCTTTGGGTCATAGTGTCCGGAGGAGGATCGGTTCTTCCCAGACTTCCCAACTGCGATATCCTCTCCAACGCAGACCATCAGGCCGCCAGGAACGAAGAATTGCACTGATTTCCTCTTCCGTGGGTATACGTGACAGCGGCACGTAACCTTCGAGGGTGCCCCATTCTCTAGGGACCTCATCCAGATCGAGGAACTGACGGACGAGCCGGAGGCGCTGTTGGTCGGGGGATTCCTCCCGTCTCCGAAGTGTCCCAATGTCTCCAGTAGAGAAATCAGCGATTCCGTAAAGGAATAATATCACTTACGGAGAACTAAGTACGATTGAATATTGATCGACGGGCAATTCACCCCATCGGGGGAGATTTTCTTCTAGTTATCATCTCGAAGCTGTAGAATACTTTCTACAAAGCAAATCTGGCCAAAGAGAGCTCACTAACTAGCAGTTTGACTAACTTGGCATATGACTGACAACACGCTGATACATGTAAGTCTCTAGTAAAAGCCACTGCCTTGAAACTGCAGTATCCCTTCTATTGGCCGGATGGAATCCAAGATGCTGCGCATGTGTTCAACCTATCAGATACGAGGTACGTACTAACGGACGCAATGAGAGCCAGGATTGTCCAATCATCAAATATCCCTGGGAAATAGATAGAGAACGAGTGACCAATAACCATTTATCCCCCTTTTAACTTCTAAAGAAAATCAAGCCGGAATCTAAAAGTCATGACTAGTGTTGACCTTCATTTAGCTAGTGCGATATATTACTGGCTCAGTTGACCCCCATAAGCGTTTGATCGCGACAGACCATAGAGTCAACCTGATTTGACAGAGGGATAATAGGACACTATGAAGCTGCTCAGTGCACCAAGATAGGTACTTCTGCACATATCTAGTCATGCCCAAGGAAGCAAGCTGCATCATACAAGGGGGCAGATCGTTAGGTTTCATGCGCAAAGCTGCTATATAGCCTTCCATTCTTCCATACCAAAGTGAAATGGATACAATCCAGTGTTCTGATAAGCGCGAGGTCATATACTGGTTCCGTTAACAAGTTTGGGCTCCGTGACTATGTTTGGAAGCGAAGGATAATGTTGTCTCCGCTAGATATTTACGGTGAAGGTTTGAATCCAAGACCCCCGAGTTGAATATCTTGATTCAATTCACTTCAATGCAGATTCACACCGAACAATCATATTTGCGGCGCAGTCAAGGCGACAGAATTGATAGAGTGTTTGAGTGAGATGCTGATCTACCAATGATTCGTCATCACCGGCCATCCTTCACACGCCGTAGAATAGGGACATAGAGAGACATTTTCAATAATATGGATGCCTTGAGTATGCAGTCGTATGCTAAGCCCGCTGGATGGATACTGCCATAACAAGACTTGCGTATGTACGAGAATCATTGTTTATATAGCTGCCTATCTCCCACTACTGTAGTCCCGCATATGGCGTCTATTTTTAGCAATCGCGTGGCGCAGCGACCCCTGACGGCCTCAGGCAGAAACGCGTGTCATTCCGCGCGTCTCCAATTCAACCACCTTCTTATACCAAGCTTCATGGCATCGGCCCCAGATCCTTAAACGGGCCTGGACGGCATTGGATATTTGAAAAACAACCAGAACCACGGAAATTATTAGTGACATGAACAATGCTCGACGAGAACCTCCCCGGTATGTAGTAGCTACGTTCAACCTTCAGGTCAAGTCATACTAACATGACTGGCCAGCCTTCTTCATCAAGAAAACGCAACAAAAGTTCCTTTGGACTATCTATCACTCTTATCATGGTAGCGAGCCTACACCTGCATATACTCTCCGGCATCCTGACCCCGCGACTCCTTCATCCAAGAATCGCTACGCCGCCGCTTTAGTTGATCCCTACGTGCCGGACATCGTCTATGGCGAAGTCCTGCTCATCCCCGAATGGACACAACCCAGTCTCTCCGCAGATGCCATCCGCCAAAACGGCGGCGTCACCCCGTCGCCAGAGCCAATCCTCCCAACGCGCTTCACCGTCCATCTCTATAACCCTGACCAGCAGGTTACCGTGGAATACAAACCGAAGACATGGAACAGTCCCGCGACCTGGTCATTTGAAATGCCACAGCAATCCTTCCGACAGCCCTCTAGCTCGACTCTTGACCGGACACAAACAGACCCTGCGGCGGCAGATACCACGCCCAAGCTTCGCTTCAGCTGGCGGAAGGATAGTAAGCTATCGAAGGACCTGACATGCCTGTGTTCTGGGAAAACCACTTCGTTATCCGAGTCAAAAGCCAAGAACAAGGAGCCAGATATCACCGTTTCTATTTTCCAGGCATTGCGTGAATTGACACTCTACGAACCAAATCTGTATCGGGTGGAAATGGAGGATTTCAAGGGTTTGGAGGTTGTGCTCTTGTTGGGGGCAGTGACTATTCGCGATGTGTATTTTACTCCGATGAAAGATGCGTTCAGGCTGGAGAGATCTGCGACGACGCCGATCTCTGCAGGCCCCAGTCCTCCTGTGGTTGCTGCGAACATTCCCAATGGAAACAACCCTACCCCCGCAGCTAAGAAAGATAAACAACCCGTCTCAACGGCATCTGGGGCACTCAACGCAAGCTCAAAGCCGTCAATCCTAGAAGAGCCCGCTATTGAAAATCCCCCACGACGCAAGCAGCAGGAACAGGAGAAAGAAGCGGAGCGACGGACCAAAAAGCTTCTTGAAAGAGAAGAGCAGGCCCGCCGTAAACGTCAGGCCGAGCGCCAGGCCGAGATCGATAAGGAAACCCGTCGTCTCCAGAGGCTTTACGGGCAGGAGGAACAGAGAGTACGCTTCTCTACCCCGTCTCTTCCCCCGCGGCCTGCGCAATCACCTCCGCAGGCAGAGCCGCCAAATGTTGCCGGGCGTGGGGGCCCGGCTCAGCGGTACTATCATACTCACCACCACGCCCCGTCCGTGCCACATATCGGACACGGGCCGTATATGCAAGTCTCTGGCGGGAATACCCGGAGACAGTCGTCGTTGGCATTCGTGCCAATGCAACCGCCGTCAACGGCAGCACCGAAGCCACAAAAGCTGGCCCCGAAAAAGAGCTTCTTCGGGTTCCGGAGAACCAATTCCGACGAAAACAAACTCAGCAAAAAGCGCAGCTCGATGTTCTGAATATTGATTGATTCCGTTAAGAAACGAAGTTATGATACCCACGGCGTCGGCGTTCAAAAGAAAAAGAAAATACGGAAACGAAAAAGGTCCTATGTATATACATAGACTCAAGAGCAGTCATAACCTGAAAATACAAAGCAAGACCTTCAGCAGAATTTATACCGAGTCGGATTTCCAAACCCTAAGCCAACGGCCGTCCGTCAACACCCTCAGTAGTAATCCTAACCGGCAAAATATTCCCCTGCTCATCAAACTCCATCCGATCAATACAAGTCACCCGATGATCCCGCTCGGTGTCATTGACCGGCCGCCGATGATAGACAATATAATACTCCTTCCCATCGGGCGTAAACACACTATTATGCCCAGTACTCTGACCCACCTTGTCATCTCCCCGCAGAATCTTGGTCGGCGTACTCGAAAACGGACCCGTCGGCGAAGCCCCCGTAACATAACTCACGCCGTAAGAATTATCCCCCCATCTGCAAAAACACCATCAGCGTCAGCGGCAGCCCTAACTTTCCCAGTACCAACCACCCCCCCAAAAAAAAAAGAAAGGAAAAGAAAGAGAGAGACAGCTCACCCCCCGACGCTAAACATAAAATAATAAGTCCCCTGTCTCTTAAGAACCCATGGCCCCTCCACATACTCCTTCGGCGTAATCTCCAAAAACTCTCCCTTAAGACTAACCATATCACTCCCCAACTCGACGACAACCGCATGACTCCATCCCCCATAATACAACCACACTCTCTCATCCTCATCCACAAAAGCCTGCGCATCGATTGGCTCCGCCCCGAACACCGTCTTCCCCACCAACGGCTTGCCAAGAGCATCCTCGAACGGACCCTGCGGCTCCCCAGAGACGGACTTAGCGACGCCGATGCCCGCCCCGTCGCCGGCACCGAAGTACATGAAGTAGTCACCGGTGGAGGGGGAGCGGGCGACGGACGGGGCCCAGGCGGCGCGGTTGGTGGACCAGGGGATGGCGGTTAGGTTGAGGACGGTAGGGTGTTTTGTCCAGGTTAGGAGGTCTGGGGAGGAGAAGGCGTCGAGGAAGGTTTGGAGCTCGTAGGCGGCGCTGTAGGTTGGGTAGAGCCAGTATTGGGAATTGAAGATGCGGGCTTCCGGATCGGCGTACCAGCCGGGAATTACTGGGTTGCCGGATTTCGAGGGTGTGAGGGGGGATTGGGTGGTTAGGGTTGGGAGTGGGAGGAGCAGGAGGGTGGAGAGGAGGGAGCGGGGGGTTGGGAGATGCATTTTGGTTTTGAGGTGATTATTGTGGTGCGATTAGGTGGTTGGCATTGGACAAGGGTTTTGAGGATGGGGGAGGGTTTGGAGAGGAAGGAAGCACTGAGGGATTAAATGTAAGGAGGAAGAGTTTGATAGACTGTTAAATTGACTTTCTTTTTGCAGATAAATGCGGGGAATTGGGATGGTTTTTAAATTAATTGCACCAAGATATTGGACACATGATACCCTCAGTGCATCGCTTGCTGTTCGTTTCAGTCAGCTGGTAAGGGCCTGATAACTCCGAGCCGGTACATATAGCCAAATTTAATACAACTTGAGAGTATGATAATATGGTGCTGGATAAAAGGGCTGGAGCGTATTTATAGTCCCGTAGAGCCATAATATTCTACTATAGACCGCTCAAAACAAGCCCGAATAACCTTAGCGCCGATGATATAGGGCTAGGATGCACTTGTTAGATTAGATTGGGGTTGTTTTGCTGGGGTGCCTACACAAGGCTCTAAGCGCCTAGTATAGTTTGAAATGGTCGTTTTAGCGTGTATTATATTTCCGAGGCTATTTAAACGGTGCTCAACGATCTATCAGGGTTTTGGATATACACGGGGGACGATGGCGGATTCGGGAGTGCATTAGGGTTAGTATCTGTGGGATTGTTTATACTATTCATACAGGGCAAGGCTAAACCACCTGCCATTTGATACTACCATTTGGTGGCTCCGAGACTCACTTGGGTTCGTAAGATCGGACCTTGATTTAGGCGGCAGCCGCCATAACATTCTTAGCTACTTCACCCTCTATTCTGGAGGGATATAAACTGCCGAAGTTAGGAGATAGCATAATGTTAGTTTGCAGGATATAGGACAGGGGTCATCAAGTGTCTTTGCCCCGTGGCTTCAATCAACTATTCCGTACAATCAGGCAAGTTTGTGTGTATGCATTCAATTAACACTTAGGGCACATCCCTCCTTTTCTCGTGGACTATCCCATATGTTGGCCCTTATACCCTCTGCAATTTGGCTCCCCACAGGGCGGCTGAGGATCGTCCTTTACAATTGTATGTCTGGGCTTCACAGTACAGTTGGCATAGTCGTATAGACGAATCGAACACACATGCTGGTCTCGGGAACGTTGAACGCAGTATTACCCTCTGTTTCGAAAAGAAATGTTAGTCTTGACGTAATGGCCCAGTATAATAATGGGTTTAATGACTTACCCAAATTGTTAAGCAAAGTAGTATCACTGGGTTATAGTAATGAAGAATTATGAATCTTTTGATTTACTCGGGCTGTGCTGTGTATAAACTCTGCGAGACTCCTACGAGGTATTTATATGTCTGGAACAACGCCTTCGATCTCTGAGCAAGTTGACTGCTCCTCCAAGAACATCAATTGGCTGGTGGTATATTCTCTTTGGGATTTTGTAGACAAAGATATCAAAAGGCAGACAGGACAATGCAAGTCTGAAGGAAACAAGGAATAAGATTTCTTTGTAGAACCTCCGGGCTCATAACTTCCAGCATGAAAGTTATACTCATTGGACCAGGCACATAACTCGAGGACGATCTAATTCTAAGGCAATATATATGCTGTGCCATACAAAGGAAATCATTTTCCTCGATGATTACTCATATAAAGGAAAATAGTGAAGTCAGATACATGAACAGATAGAAATAATGAGGAGCCGCTTTGTAATCTATCAAATGAGTTCATAAAGCGGTGTGATGTATGTCTTGCCGTAAAGGGCGTGTAGACAGTATGATTATGTACACGAAAGGTTATGAGTAGGGTACCTAAGTAAAAGTATATGAAATAAGAGTGGACGAGTGGATAGGAGAGATTCTTAAATATCGCTACATTTAAAAGATAAAAGAACACTAAATTTAGAGCTTAAGGCAAATTATAATAGATAGAGAATCTCCCCTTTCTTTCTTTTCCCCTTTACTTTTTTCTATTGCTTCCTCCAGCAGTGAGTGTTCGATAAGCGATGGAACTAGCCCTAAGCCTACTATGCTGAGGTAGGCGATAGGATAGTATATAATTACTAGAATGTGTCTGTCATAGCGTACCCTATCAAAAGTATGTCTTAGCACTCTGCAACGAACGGATGAAAATTTCTCTGCCATGGCTAACAAACGTGGTGCTGTGGAGGGATTCCGACGGCTCGATCGTGCCCCATCCTAAGGTGGCTCAATGACCGCGTCCAGCTCTGTTGACTTTACATTACATAAATATGCCTTTAGATGGCCCATGTATGACGAAGTGGGCCTCCAGTACTCACAGATACGGTTCTCTTATTACTGTGAATTACGGGTGACTCTCTGGGGCTGAACGTGTCTAGGCTCAAACATTATTGAACTTGATAACAATCGGACATCGGGACGGAAATTCTCCTTTGTTTGATTAGAATATCATAAGCGATGACAGGAAAGGAAGAGGCATGTCTAGTTTAGTGTAAAATACGCAACATAAGTCTTGTTCCTCTTCTTCCTGTGTGTCCCCTCCTGGAGGCAAATCGAACATATTCTGGCACCGCACAAGCACGCCTAGCAATTTCGAACAAGGGCTACACGAGTAGGCTAGCGCATACCTTCACTTCATTGGATTCTTCATGCATAGACTCCGTCTAACTTCCTTCGTTTGATAATTTCTGATGATTTTGCCCTACTTCTTTATAATACCGCGAGAATGACTACACGATATGTCGACTTTGAGGGCCCTGATGATCCCTCCATACCTTTTAACTGGTCAATTGGGAAACGGTAGGTTAAATGAGTAGACCTTGACCGAGCTTGGACAACTGTTGACTTCAACGCAGGGTGTACCTCTCAGTCTTGTTAGGACTTCTTACAATGGTCGTGGCTATGGCAAGCAGCATCTTTACTTCCGCAATACCTACCGTGATCATGATGTACAAGATTGACAGGGAAGTTGCAACGCTCGGTGTTTCTCTCTACGTCCTTGGGTTTGCTACGGGTCCCTTATGCTGGGCTCCCTTCTCCGAGCTCAAAGGCCGAAAGCTTCCCCTGGTTACATCAACCTTTGGCTTTACCGTCTTCTGTTTCGCGACCGCCGTTTCAAAAGACCTCCAATCGCTCATGATCCTGAGATACTTTACCGGATTCTTTGGGGCAGGCCCTTTGACTCTTTCTGGGGCTGTCTATGCGGATATCTTCCCACCGCATCAACGCGGGATTGCAATGGTCGGGTTCTGTCTAATGGTGTTCACGGGCCCTCTTACAGCTCCGTTCATCGGTGGGTTTACTGTGATGAACGACAATCTAGGTTGGCGCTGGACAGCATATATACCAGGCATTTTAGGCGGCATTATTTTTGTCCTTCTATTTCTTACGCTAAATGAAACATACGAGCCAGTCCTACTGTCTTGGAAGGCCTATAGATTACGACGAGAGCATGATGATTGGTCCGTGCGTGCAAAGCATGAGGAAGTCCAACTTGACATGCGATCAATCATTACCAACTATATCAGTCTTCCGTTGAAGATGTTGGCTTTTGACCCGATAGTGCTGTGTATGAGCGTTTTCGCTTCATTTGTATACGGTCTCCTATATCTCTTCTTGACCGCATACCCCTTCATTTTTCAACAGGTCCATCACATGAATCCTGGGGTGGGTGGGTTGCCCTATATCGGAATCATCGTGGGACAGTTACTCGGCGCACTAGGGGTATTTGCAATGCAACCATGGGTCCTACGGAAAATGGAGCGAAATGGAGGCCTGATGTTGCCGGAGTGGCGTCTTCCCGTTGCAATCCCTGGAGCAGTCGCTTTCTCGGCAGGTCTATTCTGGTTAGGTTGGTCGGGCTACCGGCGAAGCGTATCATGGGTAGTTCCTACAATATCAGGCCTTCTTACCGGGTTCGGCCTACTGACTATGTTCTTGTCCTCCATTGCCTATCTAGTAGAGGCACGACCGAAGAGGTAAGTCTAACCCCCCCCCCGGACTGAAGGTTCCACTATTTTAATAATGGCAAATTAGAGCTGCTTCAGCTGTCGCTGCGCACACGTTCCTTCGGTCATTGGCTGGTGCTATATTTCCACTGTTTGCTTTTTACATGGTGAGTGGCATGTCCTTTTCGGATTGAACTGCAATATGATTTTCGAAGGTGATTTTTAACAGGTGTGTCATAGTTCGACTCTCTGGGGATTCAATGGGCCTGTACAGTGCTCGGATGCGTCGCTGCGGTCCTCATCCCAATGCCCTTGCTGCTCTATCTCTACGGCATCCGAATCAGGAGTCGTTCTGGACTGGAGGAGGATGGTTAGGGCGACGAATTTCGAGATTGGCCCTTGATTAAGATCTATTCACATTTATGATTCTAGATTGTATAGAAGAGGTTTAAACCGACTTTCAGGTACCATAATCACGGTTTTAGAGACATAGAATTACACCGATTTGTGCAACAGGCGCTATGCGTGCCGAAGAATAAAATATAATACTACTTATAGCTTGCCATTCAGGGGCTGCTGAGTCTTGGATCATACCTTCCTCTCATATAATGCACAGTCTGATTACTTTTCAATTGATCCAGATTACGTTGGGGTTTATTAATCATATCGGAATACACCCCCATCGCCCCACCCCGGCGGGCAGTTTGGATCTCCGAGCCACTTGTATACGATAATCAGCCCCTTCTACCTCACTCGTACATAGATGGTTTACTTAATAGCTATGCTTTTCGGTGGGGTATATCTCTGGTACCGTAAATTTCATCATTTCATACTTGTAACAAAAGCAGACCCATCAAATCCCCCAACTCACTCCTCTATGTTCGAAGAAGCCATCAATGTCCACCTACTCACATCCCACGCCTCCTCAACCAACCTACACTAAACAAAATGCATTAAGAAACAGCACAACCCAAATCTTATACTCTCACTCAAACCCTCAACCCACTACTAGTAACACAGGACAGTCCCGCATGAAGGCTACACAGCAGCCATCTTCCACACTCCAGCAGCAATAAGCGCACAAGATGCAGCCCTACCCCAACCCTCCCCATCTCCCTCCAATTGCTCACTACCAGAACTTAAAATTAGATAGAACAAGATCTACTATGGTCAGGTTGGGAGTAGGGCTGTGAGAAGCGCAAGGGCAGATTTGGATGTTGTGATCTTGGATCAGAAGGGAGATTGCTTTGGTTGGAGGTTTGAAGTGTACTGGATAGCTTGAAGATGATGGTGAAGTTGCGAGATAGGCTTTTTTTGGATTGTGTGCCCTTATTTTTTGGTATCTAGTTTATGGGACGCACTATGTAAGAGCTAACGAGCTCTGTATTTGAGAAGAACATAGAAACTCGGTATATGTGTTTTTGTTGGGAGGACCCTATTACGCATAGCGATGTCCGCGACTGATGTACTCTCAAATGGTATACGCTGAGGTCTCAATTGTTGAAATGAGGAATCGGCACACTCTCCAAAGACAAATCAAGGTGTTAATCACGCATAAATTGGGAATCGTCCCAAGAACTGATTCTCAATTAGTATACCTTCGAGGACAGAAATATAGCCGGGAAACCTACCTCCATCGGATCATTGAATCTCTGCCCAGTGTTCAGTCCGCTAATTTCCTTGATATCAGTCTCCTCCAGCTCAAATTCGCTTGATTCTAAATTCATCTGCATCCGTCCCTCATTTGTACTCTTAGGGATAACTACAATTCCTCGCTGCGTCGCCCAACGGAGAAGCACCTGCGACGGTGTCCGGCCAACCCTCTCAGCAATCGCAACAACGGTCGGATGCACTAGAAGAGAAGGACTAGCCGTAGCAGACGAGTTGCCCAGTTCAAGGTACGACTGCGCCCCGAAAGACGAGAACGCCATGACTGCAATCCCTTCTCCCTGCGCAAACCTGACCAACCGATCCTGCGTCAGATAGGGATGATGCTCGATCTGTAAGACAGCAGGCCGAATACGTGCGTAGCACAGAAGATCCGTCAACAATGATCCCGAGAAGTTGCAAACCCCAATCTCTTTCACAAGGCCCCGGTCCACTAACTTCTCCATCGCCTGCCAGGTCTCTTGGATGCTAGCCGTCGAGGACTGCACACTTGATCCCTCATAACACCAACCGGGAGGATAGCGGACTTCCGGTGACACATACTTTAGCGCGATGGGGAAGTGAATTAAATAGAGATCGAAGTAGTCAATTTGCCAGTCAGTCAGTTGCTTAGCGGCGATCTCTTGGACCCGATCAGTTTCATGGAAGGTATTCCAGAGCTTGGAGACAATGAATAGATCCTCTCGTTTCACAAGTCCTTCTTTGATAGCCCGTGCCACGCCTTCTCCGCACTCGGCTTCGTTTCCGTAGTCTGCAGTTCTATATATTAACCAGTGTCGTTCGATGCTAGTGGGGAGGTCATACCGCAAGCACCGTCAAATAGGCGATAACCGGCTTTAATCGCATTATACACGACGTCGGCACAGCTTTCTTTCGGGACTTTCCACAAACCAAACCCCACGAGGGGCATTTCAGCGCCCTTTCCAATTCTTGTTGATTTCATTGTGACTGGTAGAATATGCAGTGTGTTAGGAGACCGCGTGACAATTGGCAGGGTGTTGGATTGCGGAAAGACTGGAAGAAGAACAGATAAATGTAACTTGGGAGTCACCCTACCCTACCACGGTAACCTGGTCGGTGCAACCCGGTTATTCCCCGCTTTTGGTCCAGTTAGAAGACCAAACATGAACCCTGAAGGTTTCCTTTACAAATCGGAGCCGAAAATCGGCTTGCGGAGGCCGCCGCCGCCATTCCAGATCGGGATCCCGACTTCTTCCACCTACTATAGTCCGGCAATGATTATCTACCTTAACAAGGCGTATAGTCCACTCGAGTAAGCAGAACTATACGTAAATTGTCCGTGATTGGCTGAGCTAGACATTCGTGTGAAGTGAACGAAATCAAATGAAATGCACAGTAGTGCCATTTGAAGCTACCTAACTAGTGTCCTCTATTCTGCCACACCTCTGGGCCCTTGGACCTGTATACAACTTGATAACAAAGTAGCCTGGAAGAGTAGCAACCTCAGCTTACCACTCTAAGCGAATCGAATTTACCAGTCCTCTTCTTGGAGAGTGAGCTGTCAAACAGCTTTGCCTGGTATTGCCCCGTCGCCAGGAGGTTTGGTATTTCGCACTCCCTTCAACAAAGCTCTGGCCATCCGGCTTTATGATGTAAAGGGTAGGCTTCTCAATTGGGACTTAAGGGGCACTTCTCTACACCCTGTTCTGAAATAGAAGCTAACAGGCCCAGCTGACGCAGGCCCTAATATTCTCAAACTTACGAGCATCGAAATGGGTTTTGATTCATCTGACGGTTGATCTTAGACCGATTCATAGATTCAACCGCCACCCTCATTCCGGATAAGGGCTCATAATTTGCCATGAATCTGGTTTCAGTCCTTTCATGTAATGTGCAGAAGTGCCTCACAACAGGCTCGATCGAAACACTAACCCCGCTGACGCTGAACCAACACCTGGCATCGATAGGGTAAAATGCTCCGGTAGCAGGGCTCCATCGGCTGACGGACATCTGCAACCATTCGTCAAGCATCTCCCTGTCAAGAGACTTTCAAGCAGCAGAAAGTTGTTGGCCATGAGGACGGGACTGATCCGGGCAGCGTTGCAGCAGTGTTCTGTAATGCTCTACACGGATGTTGATGAGAGCGTCCGTGGCGCCCTCCGTGCGACTATTTACCCAGGCTTCGAACTTCTCCAGATTCTCCGGGTCCTTCATGAGCTTTTCCGCGGCGCTTGGATCGCCCCCTCGCACAAGACAGGTGGGCCTGCATGGCCGAAGGTAGATTGATATCTCGGTTGTACTGGTCACGCTGTCCTGCACCGACACAATCCCTTTATACCCCGCCTCTACACTCGCGCTCATGATCTCCTTGGACTCGTTTGGGGCGTTCTCCTGTTCGACCTTCAACTGATACCGTATGCCCCGGCAGCACTCCCTAATAGAGTGAGTATCCCAGTCCCGGAAAAGGGCTGATACTGGTCCTGCACAGAAGAGGCATCAGGCCTTCATGCGGGAAGCTCTCTAGCCGCTCAGAGGAAGAATTCGTTAATATTGCTTGTTTGGTCGCCAGCCAGGTAGACCGAGTAGTTCTTCTGGTCCATTCTCCAAAGACCATACATCGAGTCCGATTTGAATGAACTCGTGTAGTTATAGCTGGAATTACCCATGACCGTAACCCAAGCGTAGTTATAGCTGAGTTCGGCCTTTGCTTCGAAATCCTTAGGCAGCAACGAACCATATTCAACGAGGAGGTCCTGCATCAGAGATTTTCGACCCAAGCCAGGACATGGCGGCATTATCTGGGATGGGGTAGGTGTTTCGGTTCCCTGGAATCTTTTCGGCGCATTGGGACTGACCTACATTTCCTTGAATACAACAATATATTTGACGTTAGCTGCTCCCGCCCTCAACCCTCAACCCTAACCTATTCTTCAACTAAAAGACATTTAGAAGACATTTAGGAATAGTCCACACGAAAACTGTTCGTAAATCCCTATGACTGATATGAGCGATTGGAGTCCTGTAGTACTCGATGCCAAACATACAAACAACAATAACCGCAAGATAAAAATACAGCTACGCCTAGAAACCATCACTTAACGTACAATCCAGAAGAAAAAAAAAAAAAATCTATATCCCTTGTACTTCCATGCCGAAATTAGACACACTGGGATATTTCACCTCTATTATCAGCCATTCTATAACCGGGTTAACAGAGCCAAGGAAACGATCCAATCTATCTAACCACACCAGTACCAGATCAGCGGTCCAACACGCACATTTCGGCTTAGACGACCGTCACATTCCCAGCCCGCGTGCCCTTAACCCGAAATCTTCACGTTATCACACCAATAAGATGCCATCGCCACGGCGCAAAGCCTCACCGAATACGAGAAAGAAAAATTTATTCAGACGCTTGGCACACCGTCCAGCGAAAGCTGAACTCTTCCAACAATCCTCCCGAGCCGAGTTCCTACTTAAAAGAGGGCTATCGCACGGATGCGATGCGTTCCTGGATTTCCCCCGGAAAATGTGAACAGCGGAGGGGCGTCAGTCAGGCCGGCAGGATGTTTCCCCCAAAGGCTCTCCTCATTCGGGCCCTGATTCTCCTAACGCTCGCCAGCAAGGTCGTAGGGCGGAGAGGTGGCGGCGGCGGCGATCATGATAGCGACAGTAACTCGAACAGCGACAGTGGAGGTACTAGTACCAGCGGAGGCTCCAGCGCAACCAACTGCGGCGCAGAACAGCACCGCTACCTCTACGGCGACGATTTGATCCCGACCAACGTCCGAAACTGGACCTCTGAAGGCGGTAGTGTTGACGGCGCCAACCCGACCACCTACGACGGATCATTCTTCCAGGGCGAAGCTTCGTTGGCGTACAACATCACAGGCACGTCTCACTGCCGGGATGCAGCTGGTACACTCCGTCTTCTGGGATACGCGTGGGTCGGTCCAGTGACGCCTTATCCAACTGGGCCGACAAATCCATTTATCATCGGGTTTAAGGCGTGGGAGTCGGATAAATCGGTGGAGGATATTACTGACTCGTATGCGTGGTTGAATTGGGGGAAGAGTTGTACTAGTGAGCCTGATTTGGTCCGGGTTATTACTTCGTTGGCTTGGCCTGCGTCGGAAGGTCGGGGGGTGAGAGAAGCGGCGGATGTTATGAGGATTCAGACGGAAAGCCATACGGCGGGCGATAGAGTGGAGTTTAATGCGACATCCGTTGACGGTTTGGATATTCCGAAATACAGGGATAAAGGGTTGGTCCGTTTACCTGGTCGAGTGTGTCAGTCTGATGAGCTTTCCTTGGACTGGCCGCAGGGGACGAGGATGAATGGGTCCATTACGAATACCACGTTGGATTTGAGGTTAGTGGGAACGGGTAATACGAGTACGGACTATAAGTATTCATCGAGCAGAGATGAGATTTATATTGCTTTTGAGCTTACGTTCTCGGGGACGTTCGATGGAGTGAACTCGACCATGGCTTTGGATATTCAGCCCCAGAACGAGACAGTGGTTAAATGGGTGAAGAATGGCGCTGAGAGGATGAAGATGTCCTGGGCTTGGGTAGTTGGAATTTTCCTGGTTTTCTTCTGCGCTTTATGGCCCTAATGTAATGTTTATGATTATCATCCTTCGATTAATGTACATACACACACCACTGTGCCTTGTAGGACATGGAGAATCATTCAGATACTTGATCATTGATCAGTATATAGGAACGCCGTCCCAAACCTGCTTTCCGGTGGGATACTTGCCGAAGCAGGCCTCTTGGTACTTCGCATTCTCCTTGAGTTTTGGCACACCTTTCAAAAACCCACTGACGGCACAAAATCCGTTCTTACTCTTTTCGCATCCAATGAGTCCGCCCAATGGCAAAGGTGCATCGTTCAGCAAGAAGCGAATATACCTCTCCGTCTTCTCCTCTGTAATATCTGGATTGATGTAGAGCACCGGCTCTAACGTGTCGAACTTAGCATTCGTAGGACAGGTCCATATTTCTGATATGAACCTGGCTCCGAAGGGTGTCATATCACTTAGCGAGAAAGTGCGATTGGCAGGGGCATGGTCGATATCGACAGGTAATCCATGGGGACCATATCTGAAATGATCGAGACCAAGAGCAGTAACAACGCTGAGAATGATATCATCGTGCGACATGTCCATGTAGAATGGCTGGCCAAGCGGGAACTGCTCCAGGTTATTGTCGAAGGTATAGTTGATACTAGTATCACTGGTGGTGATCAATTCACCCTGCAATCTCGCCGCAAGTTCAAGAACATATCCGATCCCCTGGGCACGACCGCTCGCGGAGCCGAACGCATAGTCGCCGTAATATTGGATGTCAACGTTGTAAGCAAAGTCTTTCCATTCTTGCTCTGTGAATAGGGAGCAGAATGATGAGCCGCCTAGGCTAGTGTGTTCGTAGACACACAGGTTCTGCATAGCCAAAATGTCGGAGGCGGTTAGATTGAAGTCGGATGGGACAAAGGCTGAGAGGCGGGATCTAGCCTGCTTAGTATATCTTGCGATGAACCTCTCGGCCGTCTTGTCTCTGTGCCTTGGTTAGTAGAGCTGGGGACTTTGGGGAGATGCGAACTAACCCGGCCGTCATGTCGCCTAGGCAAGATACATAGGATGCCAGGGTGTTATTGAAATAATCCACTTCTTCTGGGATGATGACCAGATCATATAGATCTGCCGAGCTATTGGCAGCTCGATCGCCGAAGAAACCACCTGCAACTATCAGCGAACACTCAGATAGCACATATTGTTGATGCAGACATACTCAACCACCACCTGGCACTTTCCAAAATCCTCGCCTGATCCGTAGTCCGAAATACAGGCTTAGGCCTCTGAGTCCCATTCTGGTAAACATTGAGCGACTCATTCCACCCCGAAACATTGTCGCTATCAGCGCCATACAGCAGGCGTCCATATTTAATCCAGAAGTTAGCACCGGAGGTAGCCTCTGTGGCGGCACCACTCTCCATCAACGTATCTTGACCGATGACATATCCCCAGCTATTGAGGAACTTCAACGGACCACTTCCCACTTTAGTCTGCGGGTGATCTCTCGTGTAATTAGCAAGTTTCGAGGCGAACCCCTGCATCCCCACGCCGTCGAGAGGACTACTAGTCGGGAATCGCTCAGCATGACGATGAAGGACGTGCACTTGCGAGAGATCACAGCCTTCAGGAACACCCTTTGGAACACCGAAGGTCTTCGCGCTGTGGTATGGACTGAGGTTGGCCCAGCTGGTGGTCATGTCAAAGCCCGAGGCGTAGCTGGTTCCCGTGGGGCCAGATCCCGGGGCCGAAGCCGAAGCTGAAGAGGCATGATTGTAGGGCACCGCAGAGGCTAATCCGGTCAATGCAGCCAGAGATATACCTGAAACGGACTTCATTGTAACGAGATGTGATCCAAAGCACCTATCATTACCCTTTCAGTTTTGGCCTGCAGTGTGGAGGACCGAGGTTTTGAATGTTTTTGCCTAGCGCTCCTTGTCGGAAAGGCGTCGGCGCAGCACGGCGATCATCCGCCCGTTTCTCCCTTTTTGGCCTCTTACTTGTATAGCCGTGACTAAAGGCTTTTAGTCAATTGTTATCATGCTTCTTGACTTGCCGAACGATATTCTGTTCTTGTACTAATCTCATTATGTTTCATGTTCATTTATGAGTGCTTTCTGATGAGAATGGCTGGCTCTTCGTCCTCATCCCAGAGCCACCGAATGGTTGTTACTTCCCCGGATTCATCCTCGCAGAACTCCAATATGGTCATCCGGTAATCACACCAAAGTGGGTACATCGTCAGCAAGTGATCCTCGTGGGACTGAGGGAAAAAGCTATATGTATCTTTTCTATAGAATTCCAAGTCACAAATTGAAGCTGTACGTCGGTTGAACACTACCGCCAAAGACAGGTCAGGTTCTGGTTCCTTCTCGTTAGACCTTGCAATGGGTCTCGGAACAATGCTCAAGACAAAGGTGTCATCAAATCCATAGTAGTCGCCTAGGTATAGCTCTCGATTCCGTTCTTTATCGGCAAGCCTCCTATCTTGTCTCCACGGAGCCGCAAATTTCGACTCATACCACTGACGAGGGATTTCAGCTTCCATCCGGACTAATGGAAGTAAGTCCACGTTAGGCTGAAGGTCAAATAGAGCCTGGATCAGAATTTGTGCCACGAAATCACTTGCGTCGCCACTATGGAGTCCGTTTGAAAGAACCACCACAGCACTCTGGGTCTCAGGGAACGTATAAAGAGCTGCTGTTGAGCCATTCACGACGCCGTTATGGCAGATGGTAACCATCGGACCCGACTGGGTCCCTAAAATGTACTTCAGATGTTCCTTCCTTTTGCGTGTATCGGTGTTACAGCTAAGCATGCCTATCGAAGAGGATGGCATCTCAACCCTCAGCCAACCCATGCAGTATGCTGTTTCGTTTTGGAACGAGTCATCTACTGGTCTAGTCCAGTACGCTTGGCGGATCTTCCTCATTTGTTTCAACGGATATCCTTTTGAGATTGCTTTGTCATGCTCCTGGCCCGTTTCTTCCTGCTTTTCAGCTTCCAGAACTGCTTTTGACCAGACCAGCATGTCGTTGACACTGCTGCGCATCCCCATGGCTGCTAATAAGGGCGTATGATCATCACATGGCCAAGATTCGGAGGGAATCTTGTAGTATTCTCCAACGCTCGGACATACGTAAGGGTATGCGATGTTATCATTCTTTCTCGTGCCATTACTCGAAATAGCCGTATGATGCATTCCGAGAGGCGTCAAGATATGCTCCTGGATATAATCCGCATAGCTCTGTCCACTCACAATTTCAACCACCTTTGCAATCAACCCATATGTATAGTTGTTGTACATCCACCAACGGTTGAATCGTTGACCCTCCTGGTTGGATGTTGGCAGGGAATTCAACAAGCGAATGAAGTCCTTCTCGTCACTAAGAATTGTCGCCCTTGGCCCTAAGGAAAGTAACGTTGGGGCAGCAAGGCCTGTAGAGTGCCGTAGAGCATCAATAATGTCTGCTTTAGGCCCAATATTTGGATCATCTTTGGGATTGAACTCGGGAATGTATTTCTGTATCGGATCGAGCCATGACAGTGCCCCCCCGTCGACAAGCTTCCCCACTGCCGCTGACAAGAATGACTTTGATAGTGACCCAATCATGTACATCGTGTCTGGGTTCGCCGGAAGTTGCCCCTCTACGTCACGATAGCCAATGCTCTGCCGCTTTATTACTTGGCCGTGGTGCAATATGCCCCATGAAAGGGAAGGAACGCCACATATCTCCTGCACTTCTTTGACGACCAGCTGTGCCCGGGTTAGTCTTGAAAGGAGTGGTTCATCGTTGTCCATGTTGGAAAGACGCTTCGTGTGACCTCTTCTCTTTCTGTCCTTCTTCAGCATGAATCGCTCCTACTTGTCCTAGAAGAACAAAGCGACAAGAGCAATGAATGGATAAGCTTATTATAAAAGAAGGGGCTCCAAGTTACGTCGGGCAGTGAATCTTTCTCTCTTTATTCACTCACTTTATAAGTATCCGGTCTTGATCTCCTGCTATCCATTAGAAGTGTTCCAGCTACTAATATCTATCAAAACACTGCCACTCAAAGTGAACCGACCTGTTCTTCCAAAAATGGCTATAGGTAATCTTCCCCAAGACAGACTAGGCCATCACTGTGCTTCTAACAGTATTTAAGTTGATATTTCCGGTATTCCCAAGGCCGAACTGCTTGAAGAGCTACTGAAAGCAACTAAAGTCGCCTCCTTTTTCGCGTCTAGCGGGATACCTCCTCCAGAACTGGATATGAAAGCGGCTATGGATGAATACGAGAGATGTGCAGAACGGGGCCTGGGGCTCGATTACGTTTTGGGACGCGTGATGAAATGCGATCTGAGTGGGGACACTGCTGATACCTGGGGATATGATCGTGACAATGGCGAGGGCAGGTTCGCGGAGGTTGTGAAGGAGCTGCGCAAGACGTATCCACCTGTCTAGGAAGATGAACGCCTGGCGGCTCAAGGAGTTGCCGGTTCGGTCGGCAAGAGAAGAGAGGATAAATGTTTGAACGAGTCTGTGAGGGGAGGGAAGGAAGCCATCGACTTCAACTGTGCTCCGTCGGCCTCGACCTAATTTATTCTTAGCTGCATGGACTAAATCTTAGCTGCATGCGCAGTGACCCTAAACCAACTAAGGCGGACTGCATGTGTTATGACCTTCGTTTGATAGAGCAATTTACTACTGCAGTTTAGTGCTTGGATTGGGAATTTTCATGGACATTAAACATAGCATTCTTACCATGTGCGTAGTTCATAGCAGGATCGTTTGTGAACGCATTGTTGGCATGTAAATCAATGCTAACTGACAGGCCGCGGAGCAAAACCGCCTCAATCAATCCCTTCGTCTATTCCGTCTAGTTCAAAACAGTAAAGTTATATAATTGTACTTTAATCTATCGGATGATTTGTATTTCTTTTATTTTTCCCTTGGCATTGTCCCCTCACTTATCCTCACCGCAGCGCAACCCCCATATGCTTGAATTGAGGGATCCTTCGCTTTCCCACTCGACCGAAAACCAACGTCAGCTAATAATAGAGTCATCCCAGCATCTTCCTCTTTGATGTTGTCGTGATCTCCTGAATCGAAGGTCTCACCATGGATGTGGGACGCTGGCAAGTCGCAACCGGACACACACCGAGCAAGCGTGACTAGGGTTGACTTGTTCAGGTAGGGCTTAAGGATGGGCTAGAACTTGGACTTGCTCACTTTGTCATCTATACTGGTATTTCCTGTGCGTTTCGCGTTTAGATATGATACAATAAAATGGAAGTATAGATACCGGCGAGCGGGGCGATTGTCCGTTCTGAGCTGAAGCTCTTTGCGTCTATATCCTACAACAACAGGCAAAGCTCATTCGGTCGCCATAATCTTCAAGTTAGCTCCTCTGTAGTCGGACAATAACGCGATTCGGTTTTATAGGGCCTATCCAAACCATACTCCTACGTTTAGTTTCGTTAGTCAGCACATATAGCTATTGTGTTGGCGCTGTAAGCGCCCCGGGCACTGGCATAGCGACAATGGTATCCTTATCCAACTGACCCTTACTTAGTTAATTGTTGCAGCTAGCGTAATCCCTACAAGGAACGACCCGAATTAGCCAGACTCCTCCACTCTACAAGAAAACATATAGAAGCACTCTTACCGTTTCGCGGATCGGAGGGTACTACCTCTCTGACTCCAAAGAGGTGCGATATCTCCTCGCTCGGCAGGCTCTGGGTACAAGATGGGGGGCGGCTTTGACTTTACGCGAGAACAGCCACTTTCCCAGAATATGACACCAGGTGTAGTCCGCGCAGTCCGGGTCATAAGTACCATAATACTCCGCGACATCTTTTCGAAACCGGGACTGGTCAAATTTGTGGAAGCGTTGTCTCCCAGTCATCCCCCCTCCTGTTTGCCCGGTCTTGAATTAATCCCGTTTTCCCTTTGCCACCTCTCATATATCAACCGTCCGTGTGTCCGATTGATGGATATAATCAGAACAAGCTGGACCACAGCACCGGTTTAACTCGATCCATAATTTCGCCTCTGATTGAAGATATTGCAACGACTCATTTATTCTAACCTCAATCACGAAAGTGGGTAGATCGCCAAGATCGTCTTGATTCCAGAAGGATAGCAGTCGAGTTCCTTTATAGCATCCGGCTACCGGTTCCCGCTGTGTTCGACCAAACCCATAAAGTTGTCTTCGCCTGATTCTAACCTCCACTACCTTCTCGGCAAATAATAGTGTGAAAAGTACAGAACAGGCTTCGTGGTAATACCCAACAAGCGTGACTATCAGGGTTTCTTCGACATAATCATATGAGCAGAACCGTCCATTCAGAGGACTGGCTGTAATGGACTCGACATCGGGTTGACTGATATTATAGAGAAACGGCTCCAACTGCTCTGCGAGCCCATTACTGGTGATCAACTCGGCAGATTTTATCTCGTCCCAATCTGTCGCTAAAATACCGAACCTAATCTAAGTCAGCCTCTATAGCAGCTACCCTTGTCTCTGGATATTTGGAGGCGGTTGAAAGCTGGGAGAACCGGTGTGTAGCGATAGCTAGCTGTTTATTCTAACGCTTGAGCTCGGCTTGCCCGTTTGTCGGAATCGGTGAGGATACCCCTTACGGGTATGGCCGGGCAATAGAACACTCTTTTTTTTATTCAAAAGCATGGAATTCTTAAAAAGAAGGCCAAGGAAACGAGGAGAGAACTTAGAGGAGGGGCGTTGGTAAGAGCACAAGGACATGAGGGTCACACTCTGTAGAAGATATCGTAATAGAACGGTACCTGACAATCAGGAAATGACAGGCTTGAGGATTCTAAAGAACTATCAAGAAGGCGTATCTAAGTGGGAATCATGAGCGCTTTCATATGTGGCCTGGTTACCAAAGAGTTCAACATTCCACTAGAACCTATAAATCCCCTATTCACCAGGTATATGTCCGCTGCCTGCGATACTAGCTATTTTTCATAGGCATATTCAATACTTTCAGAAATCCGAACAGTGATTTGCTTTTAGTCCTTCGCGCACTGCGAATTTCCAGAGAGGTAGAGACGTAAGCTAGAAAGCGAAGTCCGTCCCTATAAGGGCACGAACTAGGTACGTATTCCCAGAGTGTGCTAATCAAATCATGGCTCGATTGGAGCCTGTGCACGTTCGGCGAGATAGCGTGGTAGACAACCTATATGGTGGCCTGAGTACTCAGTTCCGTCTGCTTCTTTATGCTTGTGCAGGAACCTCAATTCGCATCTGTCAATAATTATCAAGAAAAGATGTAAGGTAGACAAAAGCCCAGGAAATGAGGAGAATGAACATCCCAAGTTGTTAGGCCGTGAGGGGGATATGCAGAGATCGGCCCATTAGGGTTTGCCTCGGTGAGGGGTTCCAACCTAGGGCATCGAATAGAGTCCGAGCGATTTACACCGTTCACTTGCTAAAGCATAACCCCCTCATTATATGGGAGCTACAGCAAGATAATGCACAATCTGAATATTGGATTTACGCCGATAATATAGGAGAGCGATCCATGCGCGGAGTGATCGGCGCATTCAACCAGTGGGTTACCAGGTGACCCCTCACCCTAAATGTGATGTTGCAATCGGAGCGATGTTGTAGACCATCGGAGGATTATTAATGTCACCGCTAGGGTGGTTGCTTCGGAAGATAAATACCAGTCAGTCTCCCTAGGTCGTAGATCCAATACAAGAATTGATCAGGAAACAGTTACTACGTACTCGAAGAGTAAGTATACTGATCAAGACCTCCTACATCGTCGTTCTACTAAATCAAGGATCTATAGACAGCCTAGTCTTATACACAACCCGTAATTACTAGGCGCATACCACGAGTGAATAAAGTAAGACAATGCCGTCAAATGCGCCCTCCTTGCCAGTTCAATTTTTAACGAGTTATCCAGGATGACAGCTGCTGGTCTTGGTAGTGCTACTGCTGGTGATGCTGGTCCCAAGGGAGGTGGTGGTCAGCCTAAGGGCAAGTAAATAGTCAATCAAGCCTGTTGTTCTGTCTGCTATATAGAATTGACATTGGACTAAGACATCATATGGCCCATCCTTATCTCATACGGTACACTGAATGTGCGAATATCTATTTTCATCTAGACCTAACCCACCAACAAACATATCGCACCGCTGACATGAGAGTGGCCTGAGAGCCAACAGAGGTTAGATTATCATATGTCGCCAACATTGGCGATTTATTCACTTATGAATACTATATACTGTAAAAACATATAGAGTAGGGGTATTGTGTACTTGGTATGTAGAACGATATACGATGCTAATCCCAAAATGAGTCCCATATCACGCAACGCCAAATCCCCGAGCGTTCTCCAAAGCCTTGTTGAGCTTGTCTTCCAAGACACTTTTTGATGAATACTCCGGCAAAAGAAGCCGGCCAAAACAGGTTAAACTGGTAGGAAGGCGCTAGAAACAATCAGCATGGCACTCGTACAATATGTCCGGCAAGGGAGGTACACTTACAGCATCACCCACTCCGTTCTTTTGAATAACAAACATGATGCTCGCAATCCCATTGACCGGAACCCGATCGCTGGCAGTTACAAACTCCAAGAGCTGCGCCTTCTTCTCCGCAGGAAACCGCCGTGCGATGCTCCAGAAATCCCGGATCACGCGATGGCCTGGACCAAAACCTCCTTCGTAACGCGCATGGCGTTCTAGCTCATCCATATCAATCTCTTGGATTCCTTCTACCACCGTCTTCAACGCCTCTGGCGTAAATATGGACAAGGCCGATCGATCCAAACAAGTATAAAACCCCTGTGCAAACGCGTCGAACTGGGGTCGCGTCGACTTATCCGTCAGCCAAAAGATGTAATCTCGTACAAATTGAGATCTATTCTGGTTCGTGACAAGCGTCGACTCTTCAGCCGGTGGCGTAGGCGACTGCATCACAACTGAACCATCCAGTGACTTCGCCATATCCCCGAACGATTCCGTGGCCTCTGCACCCATAGACGATGGAGGACTTAGATTGACACGATCAGTGTAACGGCGGACTTCTGACCAAGGCGGGGAACCGAGGGACCGATTCCCCCCTCCCGAGCGTGCCAACACGGAAGGAAGTGGCCAGGGGGCATCTTTGTCGACCTTCTGCATGTCTACCGTCTCAATGGTCCCAAAGGCCTCGAAGCTGAATTCATATGTGCGCATGAACACATCTTCCACGTCGCCATCGTCCCACGCCAAAAGTTGATCGAGACCCTTGGCAAGTTCAGGCCAACCGTCCCGGATATCATCGAGGTGCTTCACTTTGAGCCCTAGAAGTTTGCGGTAGAGTGCAGTTGGAAAATTGACAGGCAGAGTAAGGCCGTTGTAAACCGCAAGGGACATCAACAGCCCGAGAAGCTCATACTTGTAAAGGGGCTCCAACGAGCACGGCTGGAACCAGGAGATTCGTGTGCGGCTATCCATTGTGAACATACCGTATGACTGATCTAGTGCCTCTGCCATAAGGACTCGGAAGAACTCCTGCTGGACACCGCCGTGATCAAGCCCCTCTTCACCTTCATCCATTCCCATTTGTACTTTCAACGGCCGCATGAGCTCTCGTCTTTCGCGCCGCCACAACTGATTCAGGGCATCGGTGAGGATGTTATCCCGTCGGACCACAAGAACTAGATATGTAGTCATAGAAGTCTTGAGCCGAGCTAGCATGCCTACATCATCCTGGATCTGTATTGCTCCAAACGCCGTTTGTGTCACATGTCTCGTGGTGGTCATTGCCGCTTCGTAGAATCTTGACATGGCGGCATAATTGAGAGCGCGGAAGTAGATGACCAAGGCAGAGGGCGGGAAGAGAAAGGGGTATGATAGCAAGTGCAAGGTCTTGTTATTGGGCGATCTACCCATCCATTCAACAGGCATCTCTAGGGGCTCCAACCTTTCCGAGAGGAAAGGTGTGTGGAAGTCTTCTGGAACGAGCCCTAAGCGATCCCGCTCTTTGTACATCAGGGACAATATCTGTACGGCGCCTCCTGTTGCGCTGCCTTTAGACATCTCGGGGCTTCCATCCCATTCTTTGAGCAACAAAGTACGAAGCCATTCAGCGATGATGGCAGCAGTGCACGGTGGTCGCGGTTGATCCTGCCAATCGACATTGGCAGTTACAAAGCTGTGATTGTCACTGAGGTTGTTCATGAGGAAATCTAGAACGCTGTTCTTGGATTTACGCGAAGCATGGCTATAGGGATGTCGCGTCTTCGAAATTTCATGAAATGCCATTCGCGCTGTGAGAGCCCGTACCAAGCGGTCGATTAGTCGCAAAGCGAGGTCATGTTCTAGTGCGTCAGTGACATCCACAATCACTCGTGTATTACGCAGCGGGAGTTTTTGCATTTCCGCATTTGAAGCTACAACTCCGGTCGCGCGCATTTGAAGAATTCCACGCCAGGTAGTTGCATCTATCTCTGGAAGAGAGCTAGCCAAGGCAAAAAGGGCGACGGTCGCAATGTCTGCTGCGAACGAATCAGGAACATGTTCATTGCCTACTGCATCAGATGCTCGACGAATAATTATAGGTGCAGATACAGACGCTCCACTGGCTGAGTTGTATGATGAACGGCGGGATTGTCTGGGGTTCAATAGTTCCTTTGGCGGAACGAACAGCGACTCCATTGCGCTCCACAAACTATGGAAGATCAGTTCCCTAGGACAAATCGTGAACAGCTTGCGTAATGATGGTTGTAGGTGCTGAAGGTTGAGCTTTGAACTAAAACTACTCTGCTTCACCTCACTCGGGCCGGCCGTGCTCTCCCGAAAGGATCGTAGAATCTGCCTTGTGCTGCTCAGTGTATAGAAAACGCTCTGAGCAATAAATGCAAAGACTTCACGTTGTCGAGAAGTTGCAAACCTCCACTCTGAATCGTCGAATGTGCCCGTAGTCTCTATGTAGGCCAATTCATCCTTCCATCGTTCAGCTTCATCATCAGATAGGACCAACATTCTTCCTAGCTCGTCAATAATCTCACTGGTAAGATGGGTAAGAGATTGTATCGTCGACATGTCCTCTCTTTGATGTGTATCATTGTGATTCAGGCTAGGGTCACTGGGGCATTGAGGCTCCGAGCGAGGCTGATCATTGTTATCGTTGACTGGGAGGTTTTCGTCGTCAGGAACATGGACCCCATTCAAGAGCTTTGTGCCGTCCCAGGAAACACGTCTCTCTTTTTTCACCTGCTCATGCATGTCTCCATTCCTTCCCCGATGCTTCTGTGGACGATGTCTTAAAGAGGGAGGAGAAGGTATGTTGACGAGCCCATCTGTACTTGCATGTGTATTGATTGAGAGCTTCCTGGCAGGCTTTAGTTCTGGGTAGGCCTTCTCGTCGATGCTCGAGCGTGGACTTTGCCGTCGCTGATCTACCTCAGCGAGCGATAGCCGTTTAATTTGCTGGTTCGGTAATCTCAACTCAACTGCAGCTGCTGGATTGCCCAGGTGCCGTGACGAAGGTGTATGTGGATTACTCCCAATGAAAGCGTCATGCTGAGATGTATGTTCCCTCCCTTGGCAGTGCTCGTCTGCGTCGGAAGGCGATCTGGCATGTCCACTACTCGGTTTTGAAGATCGAGAACTGGATCGAGAGTATGAATAATCGGAATCTGCTCCAAACACACTTGGCGAACGTCGCAAAGGTAGCCATTCAATCATTCTCAGGGATAAAGTATCAAACAGGTTTTGCGTGAAGGACTTTGGATCCTTCAATGGTTGGGTCGGCTGGTCTTCGTTGGCCGGTATACATTCGGATTGACTAGAGATCGGATCCCGTTTCGCAGCATCCCAAGGATCATCATGTCCATCTGACGCAGTTTGTGCCGCTGAAGGTACATCAATAGCGCCTTGATCCACTACCGATAATCCACCACGGTCCTTCCTTGAGTCGTTTTTAGAAGCACGGTTCCGACGTTTGGATCGCTGATGATAATCCTGTAAAGAGAAATCGGGTGGAACTCGGGCGGCATTACGACAAAGACCACTCTCCGCGTTATCCACGCTAGCCAGGTAGCAAGCCAGTGTCCGGGCACTCAACTCGGTATACCGACGAAAGGGGCCATCCGACGCTCTCCTTCGATAGCTCGCGCAGGTTGGGGTTGGGCAGTTTGGATCCTGACATCCGTGCAAAAGTTGGTTTTTGTACCTTGGGAGCCAACTACGTCAGCCGCCCATCCAAGTCAGACATTCTCCCCATAGATACTAACCTGCGAACCAGAAGGTTGAATTGTCGCCGTCGCTCATCCCTATACCATAGCAATACCTGCCCGGGATCCGATACATCGACCGTATTCTGCGTGATAAGTTCGGGCGCGTTTGGCGGGAGCTTCGACCGATGAAATTGGTGTCTATCCGTGCCACAATGCGAAACTTCATAAGAGTTCACGGAAGCTCCGCGGAGCCTAGTCATCTTTGCAGGTCGAGGAGCATGCCTGAACCCCCAACCAGGAAGGTTTGACTAAAAATGTGTGTCTTTAGTTGTATCGATCGGTCAGCGAATCCAGAGGGGCCTGGATGATGATAGCCTACCCTTTCCACGTTGATATCATCCGGATTGAGATACAAGCCTCAGGCGCCAAGCCTGTCAGGCGGCTGACCAAAAGAGATATGGAAGAAGTGATGATCCGCCCGAATGGTCCCTATTCCAAAACCGGCTTAGAGGATGAGCACGTGCGACTTAACGTCATGGTCTCTAAAAGCGGCAACAGGCAATGATTTTCAATGTGTGGCACCTTTATCGGCAACATTGATTAGCCCGATCTTTTCTGTCGAGGGGCAATATTGCGCCGACACTCTCTCTCTCTTTCTTACTACTTCCGTCACATTTCTAATCCAGTCCCAAACAATAGGTTTGGTAACAACTTCATTTGTTTTTGATATTCTATTCTCTTTAAACGATCAAATACCCTTGCGCGATATATCTATATCGCACAACTGATCGGCTTTTTTGACGATTTGTGTTTTTTGTGATACCCGACTTATTTTTGTCCGTACAACAACCCACAAGCAACCATGGCGTCTGTCGATCCAAATGTACCAACGACTACCTTGCCGTATACGTGCAACACTTGCCTCGTTGCTTTCCGTGGCAGCGATGCTCAGCGGGATCATATGCGCAAGGACTGGCAGTGAGTTTGTCAGCAAATATGCGACTCCGAATGAATTACTAATGTTCGTCCGCCTTCAGTCTCTACAACATGAAACGTCGTATCGCTTCTCTGCCCCCAGTGTCCCAGGAGGTTTTCAACGACAAAGTCCTTGCTGCCAAGGCCTCGACCAGTGCTGCCGCCGCCAAAGCGTCCTTTGAGAAGACCTGTGTCGCCTGTCAGAAGACATTTTTCAGCGAGAATTCATACCAAAACCATGTGAAGAGCTCGAAGCATAGGGCCCGCGAGGCGCAGATGCTCAGAGAGAGTGCGGATGATGCGTCATCCGTCATGAGTTCCACCTTCTCTCTGGGTGAGCCAGTGAACAAACCTCGCGAGCGGACAGAGGTGTCCAAGGTTACCGAAGGTCTGAAGAACGCTACCATTAACGAAGCCGATGAAGACGAGGAAATGGAAGAGCAGGGATTTTCCCCCTCTCGTTGCCTTTTCTGCAATGAGAAATTTTCCGACCTTCAACAGAACGCTGAGCACATGCTCAAGAGTCACGGCATGTTCATACCAGAGAGGGATTATCTTGTCGACCTCGAAGGTCTCCTCCACTACCTGTATCGGAAGATCAACGAGAACAGTGAATGCTTATACTGCCACGCCGTCCGGAACAATCCTGAGGGCACTCGTACTCACATGCGCGACAAGGGCCACTGTATGATTGCATTCGAAACTGAAGATGAGCAAGTCGAAATTGGACAGTACTATGACTTCCGCAGCACTTACTCAGATGGTGAGGATGAGGATGAGGATGACTCAATTGTGGAGGATGGTGGTGTTAAGGTTGACGGTGATGATGAGGGATGGGAAACCGAAACTGACGCATCGTCTATGGATGAGGATGAGGATATGGTGCTCAACGACCGAAAGGGAGAAGTTTACGCGACAGAGTTTGAATTGCACCTGCCCTCCGGTCGCACCGCAGGTCACCGATCACTCGCCAAATACTTCCGCCAGAACTTGCGTAACTACCCTACGGCAGAAGAACGGGCGGCACGTCAATTGGCTATTGAGAATGGTGAGATCGAGGAGGAGAAGCTGCCTAGGGGCCGCAACCTCAACCGGGCTGTTGTCAGCCGCGGCAATGGTGGTATGGGCATGATTGGTGCCACAGACAGCCAGAAACGGTTCGCTGCTGAGGTCGAACGTAAAGACCGGACTCGTGCCCAGAGACAAGAGAAGCGGTACACAGCCCTGGTTAACCGGGCTGCCAACAACCAGAAACACTTCCGGGTAGGTACCAACCCTTTGTTTACCCCGAGCCAAGCTAACATATTCTCTAGGATCCTCTCCTGCAGTAGACTCCAGTCCCTGGTTTGTTAGTGTGCATGTGGATATTATCTGGCAGGTTCACGGCGTTAATGGCTGAATGACATGTAGATACTCATGGCAAGATAAAAGCTGGACATCAATATCAAGAACAAGACGCACTTACCCAAGGTACACCAGTACCCTCTACGCAACTGGCTTAAGAAACACTATACCTATTCCATCACATGGTCTAAATATACTTTTGACCGGTTCATTTCAATTCACCTCAACCCAAACCATACATCATGAAACCCATACCCATATCCATACCCATATCCAACAATCCCCACCATAAAACCAAATCCCTCCAAAAATAATGTCGCCCCATCCATCTTATCCCCTCCACGAACCCCACGCCACCCTCAGCCTCCCCCATTACTGCTCCCACTGTGACCGTGAAGTCTCCTCGAAAGAAGCCTTAACCATCCACACCTCCCTCAATTTAAATCGCGCCCACTGGTGCACACGCTGCTCCCGCGCATTCCCCTCCCAAACGGCAAAAGCAGCACACACGAACCGCTCCCCAGCCCACCACCACACATGCACACACTGCCCAGACGCGGACTTCCAGACAGAAAAGGATCTAAATTCGCACCTCGGTAACACCGACCACGCATGTCAAATCTGCAAGAAGGTTGTACCAACCACAGAGGCTCTTAATATCCATCCATGTTCTCGACGCGCATCTCTCGTGCGAGGTGTGCGGGCAATTATTCCTGGACATGAATAGTTTGGAAATGGTATGTTTTACTACCCTTCTACCTAGGTACATACGTACATGCCTTACCGGTCTCTTTTCCTGTCTTGACTGGTTTATTCTGTATAGTCGGTTCTATTTATCTAGGGTAGTTTAGTTTCCAAAGAACCCAGGCTGAAACCAATTCTAGCATAGATACAGCCACCAAGAGCGCAGCTTAGAGTGCTTTGGTTGCTCGATAAGCTTCGGGAATTACTCTAGTATGATTGCGCATCTGGAGTCGGGGTCTTGTGATTGCTGTATCACGGTTGAGATGATCAAGGTCATTGTACTGGAGTTTTCGCTCAGAAGCGGGCACACAATGCTCCATCAGACAATGGACAGGTATTTCTATCCGACCTGTTCCAAGAGGTGTGGTTCTCTTTCGGCTTTGTGTCAACATGCTGAGCGGGCCCCTAAGTGCAAGCATTTGATCGGTGATACAGGTGCCTTGGTCGAGCTGATGGGGTTTTTGAATCGTTCCATGTGGCTTCATGTGGGCCATGGCTTGTCTAGAGTAGTTTTGTTGGTTACCATTTATTTGTACATTTGAACCCTGCGGGTGTGGAATGATCCTTATTGTCATATCGAATGTTACAGTCATTGCAATCGTTGCAAGTCAGAAGCACATGAGGTAAAGATAGATTAATTGCGACCTGTGGTGACACAGATGTTTCTGTACGAGGGAGGGGATGAATAATAGCGGATATGAAAAGAATGAACCGGGACGGAAATCAATAGTTTCCTCCGGCATACATAAGAGTAACAGGCAGCTCAATGTGTCTCAATGTGCACTAGTCAACGCTTCTTTTCAAATATAACAAGACATCTCAAAGCAGCTCTGCCCAGCAGAAGATGCCCAAAAGTCAATGTCATTGTGGCAGTAGAGGCGATTCCTCATCTACATGGTTGTCTGACGGCTTCGACGCGTTCCCACGCCTGCGTCGACGACGGCGTTTCTTAGTCCCATCAGCGGGAGCGCCTTCGGACGTGTGACCATTTAGGTCGACTACCTGCCCGTCTTTTCGGACTGGGAATTTGGTTTTCGGTGAGTCGCATCCCTCATTCTCAGAGGAACTAGTGCTGGTTGTGTGGAGAACCACTTTTCGAATTCCATTCACATCAACCACTTGTTCGGTGATACTGCCACTACGAGCAGGGCCTTGGTGCTGGTAGCTGGTTGGCCTGAACTTCTGTGAGTGGGAGCTTTCTGAGTTCACACTGATAGCGGCGCTTCCAGGAGGACGGCGAGGTTCGTCTTGTTCCTCGACCGATTCTGGGATCGAGACGTCCTTCCCAGCTGTCTGAGTCCCGGCGTCGGCGGGTTTAGCACCGGAGATGGTGCCGTACCCTACGCGAACTGCATATACGCCATCTCTCGCATCCAGGCCTGGCTGAACTAGCCCCTCGCTAATACCACCAGGTAAAGCGCCTGACTTGGTACGCAAGGCTTGAGAACCGGACGTACTCTGGCCGGACTCTATATCGGTTTGCCCAGACCGAGTGGGTGAGGCGCTGGCCCGCTTGATCTTCACGTTCTGATACCGAGTCTGACGGGGTCGGCTGGCCAAGTTGGAAGGGCCTAAATGTTTCAAATGCTCGCGAATTTCGTCTGTGGTTCCCCTTTTGGTCACTAAACCATCGGTCGAATCTGAATTCCGGTCGGACTGCGGCATCCGGAGTTGGAAACGCGGCAGTGGCCGTTCCACCGAGCTTCGACGACGAAGATTCGCAGGATCCTTGGGAGCTTGGACGTCGCCATCTACATCGATCAAATTGCCAGTCTTTTGCGGTGGAAGCGTAGGAGGTTCTTCCACAATCTTGCCCTTAGGGACCCGGGGTCTAAGGGGGGCGGGTGTCATGCGCCTTATAGCCTTATGAACATCAATGAAGACATCCGATTCATCGATGATTTCCCTGCGATCACAGTCAACTCAAGTCCATCTTTCCCGGGTGATACCAATGAGATCAGATACATACTCGCCAATCAGCTCCTCGATCACATCTTCCAAGGTAACAACACCCAAGGCACCACGATCTTCACCGGGGTACTCAGACACCAAAACCATGTGGGACTTGCCTTCCTGGAAGAAATTTACAATATCTAAGCAACTTGTCTCAGGACGGGTCTCGGGTAAAGTTGCTAGCGCGAACTCCCGTACTCGTCTACCGTCTTCGGGGTCATATGTTATCAGCATCTTAACCAGAAGCATGCCGATAAAATTCGTAGGATTATCTGGTGCGTGAATCGGAATCCGGGAGTATCCCTGGGAGAGAATTAAATCCATCGTTTCTTCGTCCAGAACAGTATCCGCGGACATGGTGAAAACATCCTCCATTGGAGTCATAATACTACCGACCGGCTTGTCCTTAAGGTCTAGGACGGCACTAATGATAGTGACCTCGTCGGAGTTAAGCTGCTCGCCGGCTTCGCCCAAGGTTTTATGTAGCGTCACCAAGGTTTTCAATCCAGCCTTTTTGTAGATTGTTCCATGATCCTCTCCCAGCAGCTTATCGAGAAGCTTCGCTATGGGCCATGCGACAGGAGCCATAATGTACATGAGAGCCAGGACACAAGGCGCCATCCAAGCACCGATAGGAAGACCGTAACGGACACATATCGACTGGGGGACAACTTCGCCGAAAATGACTGAATATCATGAATGGTCAGCGGGATAAGCCATAGACAAGCGGGGATTATTTGTACCAATCAAGACTGTACTGCCAAGAACAGCCGGCCAGCCGCCCCCCAGTGACCGGTCTAGGACGATGGGGAGGGTTTCATTCGTGATCACATTGCTGAGTAGCAGAGTCACCAGGACCCAATGCTTCCCTCGCTTCAACAGTTTGAGCACACTTGCAGCGTTCTTTCGTTCTGATTCTTCGCCGGAGGTTTGGATGACCTGTAGATAGACCTCATCCTACACATTCAAAGCAATGGGTTAGTGATTTTACTTTCAAGGCTTTCATAGCAGTACTGGAAACGCGAGGCCTACCTGGCCCATCAACGCAATAGTTAAACCAGCAAATGCACCACCGCTCAAAACGAGGAAGGCGGCAACTCCGAGATACAACCATAGGTTCGGATCGCTGGAAGACTTTGGGGTCTCTTCGGAGTAAGCAATATAGGTAGCGGGAGCGGCAGCGACGAGAGGGAGCTCGCCCAATGCCAGCATAAACAATTTTGTAAACCCGAATATTACCGGCCGGATGGCCAGAAAACGAACGGCAGAAGGTGTAGCCATCACCTGTGGGTGAAGATTGGAGACAAAAGAAGAGAGAGAAAAAAAGGAAAAAGGAAACAAGGTGGGCTACTAGAGGGACATATTTAGATGGCGCAAGTTCGGGAAATTGGACTAGAGTTAGTTGATCCGAGTCGCGATCGGGACGTTTCCGACCGATTGGAGACTGACGTCGAGTGGGGAACCCTGAGTGGATAACAACCAGGTAGCTATCAACTGAACGGACTAAGTCTAAAGGATCACTAAAGCAATTGAATGGAGAGATAAGGGTACAGAGGGACGAGACGGATGATCATGTCCCACTTAAGTCTTGACGAAAATCTGTGAGAGCTGTTCTGAGCCACGGACAACACTGTTTGGTGGATTTGAGGAAACTGCAAATGGGGATGCACATTTTTCCGAGGGGCGAGAAGCTAATCCTTTTCTGGAACGAGGTGACCTACAGCGGGCGAACAGGGCCATTGATTGGTCTGTGTGATACTAGCCTGAGTCAGCGTTGCTCTATTAAGCATTGAAGATGGATATTTAAACTACAAATGTCTCCCTGTGGGGTTCCCTCAGACCGCTAGTAAAGGAAGATTTCGTATATCATTTAACCCAATCAATATCCTCACTCTTCTTATGCCTCGCCTGCAGTCGACACGTGACCCCATGCCTTAGTAAAACCACCTGACTCATAGTTAGAGCATTTCCATACCGCTACCTAGACAATCTCAGTATTGCGTAGAGCAATAATCTCCACGGCGGAGAACATCTAGTATACTTCAAACTGCTCGTGTACCTGGTCGAAAATGCAGCACTACAAGTCCCAGACCCCGCAATCCGAAGAGAGTCCAGTTGACGCGATAACCAGCGACGTATTCTCGATAGACGAAGGTGAATATGCCGCCAAAACTTCTAGCCAAACATCAGCGGAAGATTGTTGAAGTTATCAGTGAGACTAATAGGTCCTCCAGTGGGTTACGATCCGTTTATGATGGACTCGCCGTTTCTTTCTAGACTCACCTACCATGACCAACAAATCAACGGACATCTTGCTTCTCCTAATCCAAGAACTCATACTTTAGAGCAACTCACAAACAGTCCTGAGTTCAATACTACCAACTCGCAAGACATTCCTCAATCTGTCTACACAATTTTAGAAGAGCAAGGAACCTCAGGCACTGTAGGGAATATTTATGATCAGCTATTGCTTCAAAGTGATGAATTGAGTACCGGCTACGCTTCAACCAACCCACTATCTCCGAGTCATTTATCAAATGAGTCTTTCCTTGACTCACAAGCTTCTTTACTTATGCCAAACGAAGCAAACAAAAGGTATCCTGGCAGCAGACACAGTTGGCTTCGGCAATCAAGGCCGGAATCGACTGACCTACCTAGCTCAAATGAGAGCCGTAGACTTCCACGAAGGAAAAGCCGGTATTCTCTTCAAAGAACAGGATCAATCGTCGCACCTAGCTCCATACCAAACCCATTCTATGCTCTTGATCCTATGCAACGATGGCAAGAATCACCCCCTGATGATGAGCCAGCATCCATGTCCGCAATCATGAATAGCTTAAAAAGTCTTCAGCCAGAAAGTACACAATGCGGAGGTTTCAACTTTGGATATCCGGTTCCTGTTCAGGGCAATGGGCCATTTAGCGGCTTTCGCCGACCAGCCTCAACCGCGAGCTCACATAGCAGTGTCCCAAGCGTTTCTTCACATCCCTCTACCACTTCAGCTAGATCTGAGGCCTCAAAACGATCGCACGACTCACTGGCATCCTTGAACAAGCGATCTGCCAGCCGAGTGTGCAAAGTCAAAGGCTCCAAACCCTCTCGGAGATTTTGTTGCACGTTTTGTTGCGACCAGTTCCGAACTAAATATGACTGGGCCCGACACGAAAAGTCCATTCACCTGAACCTCGAGAGTTGGACATGTGCACCTCATGGGGCATCTGTGGTCTCTCCAATTACGGGACGGAAACACTGCGCATACTGTAACATGCTAGATCCACGCATAGGACACCTTGACGAACACAATTATCAAGCATGCTTGAGTGGTTCCCGCAACTTTCGCCGCAAGGACCACCTAGTACAGCATCTACGACTCACACACCGCCTGGACACTATGCCTCTTATTGATGATTGGAAAACACCGGCTCCGGAAGTGACATCACGGTGTGGGTTCTGTGACAGAAGGCTGTCATCCTGGGAGGAGCGTGTCGAACACATAGCTAGTCATTTTCGCAAAGGATCGACCATGGATGACTGGCGAGGTGAGCATGACTTTCCACCCGAAATCACTAAGCAGGTCACCAAGGCTTTGCCACCATATTATATCGGCCATAATTCTCGCTGCCTTATTCCTTTCTCGGCAACCAACGCTCATGCAAAAGACCAGCTGGAGCAGATCGCATCGCGAATGGTACGAAATACCATAACTGAAAACATTTCGCCAAATGCAGTAACACAGGGTTCGGCTTCAGTTCAGACTTTTGATAATAATTCATTAGGCTCAATATTCGAAGTTCTGGCGGCACATCTAGGTCGCTACACACGGCAGAAGTTGCAGGAAGGGGTCATCCCTACAGATGAGATGCTTCAGCAGGAATCAAGGCGCTTGGTCTACGATTCTGAAGACCCATGGGATCAGACCATTTTCGATCATCCGGAGTGGCTTGCAGCATTTCGCCGTCAACATATTGAGCAGCGAAAAAACAATTCGGAGGACGCGAAACCAGCTTTGTCCAAGTTCGATAGCCTTTCATTAGGTCAAGCATTACGCATGGATAACGTTGGAACATGAAAGCGCAGGTTTGATAAAGTCGTGTCGAGGAGATACAGGGATATATATACCCGTACAACCCTTCCGGTCTATTTGGCCGTTAGCCCAAAGTACGGGCATCAGTTATATGCTGCCAAATCTGTTGTCAGTGATGATAAAGCCATATCGAAAGTTTCTTGTCTTGGGCCGTCTGGACTCCGCGAGGACACGAGCTGAAGCGGTGTTTGGTGCTTAATACTTGTCAGCCCATACACTCGAGGTTTGATAAAGAAGTTCGAATTCAAGCACCTGCATTCGGGAGATGAAGCATGAGTCGAACGCCGGAACAAACATCCAGTTTTATGGGAGCGTAACTGGAGCAACTAGAAAGGCTGTAGTAATGGTAACTGTCATTGCCTGAAGAAAACTTATAGCGTCCAGCGACAGGTTATACCATATATATATATATATACTCATATTTAACACAACACGGTCAGAAAGCTAATTACGTACTATAAGAATATACAGCTAGCCTCACCCCCTACAAAACGCGCAGCATTATCATCTACAGTCATTGTATACCGTCGTATCTCAATCCATACAGCTCTCTAAACAATCACCACGACCCACTCAACCCCCACTTGCTAACGCAGGGCGTCGGCGTAGGGCGCGGTCCCTTGTCTGTAAGCCCCATCTAATTTGCCAACTCATTCTTCAACACGGACTACAGACCCACTCGCAGGCATGAGCGATTGAGTATACTAACTACTAACTAGTAGTAACTGTATGACTCTTCCACAATCCATAGTATATAAATGGCCTCCCTAATACACAACAATACCTCCCCAGAAGATCTACCGACCTAAAACCAAGCATCACCATAAAATTCAACACAACAATAATGTCGCCAACTCCAACACCCCTCCAAATCCCAGCCCTAGACGGCCTAAACCCCTTCACCCGTCCCCTAACCCCATCCGACATCCAATCCTGCGTAACCGTCGAAAACGCGGCCTTCATCGAACAAGAGCGATGCTCCGAAGAAAAGGTACCTAGACTCTAACCTCACCCCCCTCCCACAAGCCCTAAACTAAGAAACCAGTTCGAATATCGCCTCCACCAAACCCCGGGACTTTGTCTCGGCCTGTTCATTAAACCCAATGAGCACGACACAGAACAACTCATCGCGCATGTCATCGCCAATCGATCATCTTCTAGAACCATCGCTGAGGGGTCGATGCAGATGCCCCCTGACTGGCAGTCTCGCTCGTCTAGTGAAGCAGTCGTGGTAGACGGGGAGGTCATCGGGGATGATCCGCATGGAATGAACGTTGCGGTGCATTCGGTAGGTGTTATGCCCCGGTTTCAGGGGACGGGGGTGGGTAAGAGTCTTCTCAGGGTGTATGTGGAGTATATTAGGAATTCGGGGGTTCGGGGTGAGCGGATAATACTGATCTGTCATGATTATTTGATTCGGTTTTATGAGAGTGCCGGGTTTGAGGTAAGGGGGCCGAGTGAGTGTTTGTTTGCTGGTGGGGGCTGGTTTGATATGGTGAGTTAATTTTTCTTTCTTCCTTAAGGTGGTGTGTGCTATTTGCTAATTGGCGTGTAGGAACTGGTGGTTTGAGGCGCTTTCTGTGTATGTGTTGTGATTGGATATATGTAGGAGACTTCTTGAGGATTTTGGATTGCTTTATTTACTAGGTGTTTTCAATAAACCAGATGGTTAGGGATAGACAAATAGATATATCCACCGTGTTAAGAATGCTGAGTAGTAGTATGAGTGTAGTAGGAATAAGAGCCATCTGGATATATACAATACGACAGTTACTAACTCTACATTGTAGTTCTTTTGTATTGCTGCTCGATGTTATGAACTAAGTAACAGCCATCTCGGAAATAATGTTTCTGCCACCCTTTCTTTCCTTCTTTCTTTCTCTTTGTTCATCGGGGATATATTCACTGGTAACAGAGAGAAAGCCTAGGCAGAAGGCCAAGGCGCGATAGTACGAACTACAACCCATCCTTTGTAGTCAGTCTTAGATAGAAGGATTCCTAAATGTATATGGTAGTTTGAATTCTAGTTAAGAAGTCTAAGAACACAATATATGAAACATTCATCGTTGGTACCTGACAAAGGCCATTTTTCCCGTAGATTCCTTTCGATTAGGACCTATAGCCACGTAGTTGCTGGTTATCCTGAGTTTCAAATTCAGTGCGCTTGAGCGCTAGCAGCAGGATGTAGGATTTGAAGGCCCCCAGAATCGTCCATAGCAACTTCAACCCTATCAATATTCACTGCCTCTGGATATGCCGCCGGTTGAAGCCCCCCTCTTTGCCTCAGTCCCAGCAGGGTTTGCATGCCTTGATATCCCGTTCTGTGATCATCTTCGGGACCATAATCATCTCCGCATATATCGCCAGTAACTGGAAAGTCTTCAGTCCCTGGATCGAGAGTTGGCTCAGCCGTCTGGTCTCCGCCGTGGTGAACTGGAGCATACCGCTGAATTGCCCCTTGTCAACAGTGTGTCGATGTCGATTGTCTCTGCCATTTGTCTGCGGGATGGCGGCCTGTCATGGGCTGTTGCTCCCTGCAGCCTGGTACATCTCCGGTCCGATGAGGGACGCCCACAGGAGCCACAACCAGGCGGTCGCTACCGAGAGGACGAATGAGATCCTCCAGCACCGCCTGTCCCGTTGGGAAGCTTCGCGTAGCGCGCAGGATATCCCCAAATGTCCTTCGAGGAACGTGGGGTCCATCTCCACCGCGCTTGGGCAGTGCCAGGTGACGGTCTCCCAGCAGCAGACCGAAATCGACAACCTCCGCCACCAGCTCGGCCAAGCCAAGCAAGGGCTCGTGTGGCCCTCCGAGCAGGTGGCCCAGGAGGGCGTTCAGAAGCTACAGGAGGCTCTGAGTAATGAGAAAAGGGCGTGGACGGAGGATAGCCTCTGCTGGGGCAAAAAAGGTGCGTGAGTTGGAGGATGAGTGCCAAAAGCTCCGTATCTCGCTGTCCAACACCGCGGCGTTGACGCCTATGCGCTGTCCGGGTAACAGGCGTCCGCCGACCATCCCCTGATCTCCTACAGGGACTTGTGCTCCCCCCTTCGGGGGTTACTCGGACAGAGTTTCTGGGTCAGGGGTCATTACTCATCCTGTCCCTCTAGTGTTCGGTGATCGCTCGCAGTGGGTGAAAATCCCAGACCATTATAACTTTCCTTGCGACCCATGGGGACGAGGACGCGGCGGGGTTCCCGAATTTTGGGGAACACACGGTTGTGCGCTTGGATATAACGATCCCATCCTCCTCGACGTGACATAATCTCAGTGCGTTGTGGTGGTGGGTCTGGGGCCCCCTTCCGAGGGACAAACACACGCTACATCGATAAACATCATCATATTTTCACCTCGAGGGTTTGTGGAAGGTGGCCAGTGCGGTGTCGGGTTGTGGGCTTTATGGGGCTTCTGCGGGACGGCCACCCTTTTAAGGCACTTCCGCAGTCCCTCGTCCAGTCAAGTGGTTTGAAAGACCGGAGATAATTAAAAGCAGAAAAGAAAAAGACGAAAATCAACGAAACATCAAAACAATCAAAACAATCAAAAGATGAAAAACCAAGAAAAAAAGAAGGAAAATCGTACAAAAAGATGTTTCCTATTTGCTTTTCTTGTTTTATTTTTTATTTTTTATTTTTTATTTTTTATTTTTCATTATTTGTTGTTTCCGTGCTTTTGCTTATCGAAATTGGCGCTCCACTGGGCTGAGATTAAAAGCAAATGGTTCCTGAACCTTCAAGCGCCCACGCCAAACTCGTGATTGATTGGATTCCAATCAGTCTTGCATTCTCCCCTTGTGTTTCACCCGCAACTCCTGCATTCTCTTGTGCACATCCATTCTTCAATCAAACCTCTCCCTGTCGCGCGCTCTCTCTCTCTTCGGCGACGGATGGTTTGGTCTACTCTCTTTAACCGCTGTCAATACGGTCGTTCCTTCATTGCGACCCAGTCAGTGCATGGACTGTACGAGTCCCCGCAATTCTCAATCTCGGTTGCAACGCGACCAAAGCCCCCTATCTTGGCGCGGCCCCATAATCCCCTCAGACAAGGTCAAGAGTCGCACACTCCACGGTCTTTCGATTTAGGGTTCTCCTGTCGCTTGAAAACAAGCTCAATGGCCCTCGCGTGACGGGCGGGAGTTGATAAACACCTGTTTCTGCGACTTCCAGCCCTGCGACCGCCCAACGGCTATGCGCCACTGAATCTCGCAATCGCCGATCGAACACGATCCACTTGTTTGTCACTCGTTATTGGGATCGGCTCCCTACAAAAGAAAGACAACAGCCTTCATTCCCTCTCCCGCTGTTGTCGCCCCTGCTGCAACTTCTCGCTTCGCCCGGCTGGCCCGACGAAGTCCATCTTGCCTGTCTGTGACTGGCTGCCCCTCCTTGGGCTCCCTCAAATAGTCAATCGTTTGGCCTCCCGGCAGGACCGAGGACCCTTGAAATGCCTTGCTGCGGCGATCGTGAAAAAGGCTCGGTAGCCCTGGAGGAGCAATGGGACTACATCGTAGGTTTCCGTCTACGCATCCCGATCTTGGTTGACTGCTTGGCTAACATGAATGCGCTCGCTAGAATCTGAACGACTTCAAGTCAGAATCATGTCTATCACCGTTCTCTTACTTCTTTCTTTGGTTGTTTCTCCTAGTGTCGATAGCGGTGTACGCGGTTGACACCTTCACGGCCGTGAATTTACTCGCTTTCTCCAAATGGGCCGGTCAGATCCAGCCGGCCATTCCCTTTACCGTCTCTCGTTGGATTTTCGCTGTCTGTATTATTATCTCATTCGTTCTCTTGGTTCTGCGATGGATTCATGCCATTCGCGCCATTCGCTCCGGGAGTATCTCGCAGAGCTACCTGGACTCCCTCGCGGTGCGCATCCAAAGTATTCGCCTGTGGGCAAGTGGTCATGGATGGAAACGATTCCTCGTCTTTGCCGAGCTCACCAAAAGTAAAAAAGGTGCCGAATACGTGGCGCTGTTTGCATATTTCTCATTCGAAAGTAGGTCGGGCCCCAGCCGGTACTCCATTGGATGCAAGACTAATCAGTAACTTTAGCCTGGATGAATGTCATTTTTGCCGATGGACCGCGACAAGTAGTAAATGCGATCACGCTGTATTCAGTCATGCGTATGGATCTCCTCCCCGGCGGAGAGAATGCGCCCAAAACAGGCGACTCTTCTCCATTCATACAATTCTTTGACAACGTGAAGATCTTGGCGGAACATAACAATCTGCGCGCGCTGGTCCTGTTCGGTATGCTGTTCACCCTCGTAATTTGGGTCTTGTCGATCCTGAAGCTGGCGCTTGCTATCATCCTCTACCTCATCTTTTTGTTCCACCACATTCCTTCCGAAGATGGCTCATTGAAGGCATATTGTCGGCGCAAGATCAACACTCGACTCACCCGCATCGTGCGGCGGAAAGTAAACAAAGCGTTGGCCAAAGGCATGGTCTTACAAGATCGAAGGCCGACCCAGCCCAACATGGGTCTAGATACACACCCTACCTTGCCGACCATTGGGGATGATGACAAGGTGCCCGCGGTTACGACGATTTCGCGCAGCACAACGCAAACCACGTTGCCTTTGTACTCATCCCGCCCAGGGACGGCAGCACCGGATCGGAACCCGGCCCTTCCAAGCGTAGCAGCGTTCGAAGAAAAACCACCGCTCAGCCGAACCATGACTCAATCATCCGCATATTCCGAGTCCGCTTCACTGTCGGGAACCACAGTCGTCTCAGGCTACAGCCCGCTTGATCGTCAAACCTCTCCCGCGCCGCCAGTACCGCCTCTTCCAACCCAGGTCCCTCCGCCTACTTCACGGATTCAAACACCGATGTCTCGGTCCAATAACACGCCGGCGCCTCCGCCTTCAGTCAGCCGCATGGCTTCAGAACATGGTTTCCGAGACGCCAGCGAGGCCCATAGTCCCTATGAAACCTATCCATCGCACGGTTTCGCATCAACTGCGCCGTACTATTCATATAGTCCAACAGAGACCACAATACGGTCTCTGACGCCAGGACGAATTGTGTCTCCCGGGGAGACTGGACCTCTTCGAACCTTTTCACCCCCCGATCATAGCGGCACTCCTAGCCTACCTCCCCAGTCTGGGTATCCCATGCGGTCGTTTGGTGCAGCTGGTCAAAGTCCGGCTCCAGCCCAACACAATCTGAGCCCCGTGGATAGTCCAGCAATGAGGAACTTTTCGCACGGTGCACCTCGCGGGACGCCACGACCCTCAGGGCCAGGCGGATATGCTCCGTTCAATCCACCTTCCAGAAACTCCCCTGCACCCTTTGCGGGAGAAGGTACATCACGCTCTCCCGTGTATCAAACCACCGGCCCGACTGCATTCACATCGTCGACCGAGTACAACAACAGGCCAGCACCCGCACAGGGCTACTCAAGTCGATCGTATTCCCCTCAGCCACAGAATTATCGGCCGGACTATCTCTAGCCTCGGATGACTCTGTACATCCATGTACCAGAAAAAAGTGAGATCCCAATGTTGTGGCGAGGTCCGGAGAATTTGCTTGATTGGTTCCGGAATGATGTCTGAATTCCTGTTGCTTTTCTCTTTTCCTGTTTCACATACCCTTCATGTTGCGCAATTTATTAGCCCCCCGGATGTTTTCAAATACCCCGTTTTTCTGATAACATACTCCTGCTTTCTTTTCGTGTGCACTGCCCATTTCACTCAGCCGGACGAAGTCCTGGAGACATAACGGAGAGATCAATAGATAGATACACTTTCATATTTACCCAATTCATGTTTCCCAAATCAATAAAGCAAGCGAAGAATACATTCCTTGACCAGTAAATCCTCAAATAAAAGAGAGGAGTAACGTGTGTGTTTCGCTATAATTAACCTAGAACTGTCAGGAGAAGCGGAATCCACACCCGGCTGACCGCCTTTTGGCTCGACCCTCACCGGCCCAACAGACAGCGATCAACAACCGAGTACTTTGGGTAATAACACCTCGATTGCGTCTCCCCGTTTTCGTGTCTGGCCTTGACGGCAAATCCAGCAAGTAGACATCGTTATGGCTCTAAACCCCGCTTGAAATTACGAAACAATCGATCTCCCCGTTGGTCCGCTGACAACCATTCCTTTGATTCCTCCCTTCAATGGTGTCACCCCGTCTTCCACCTCGCGCCTCTAGCCACGACGAGTCCTATCGCACTTCGGTCGTGTCGGATAATGATCGCATTTCCCACAACTTTCCGATCTCTCGACTAGAGGGCTCAGCGATCACCCGAATGATGAATGAGTTACACGGCAGGTCCGGCAAGCGGCAGGAGGACACGGATATGGTTGCGGGGTCCTCATGTTCAGCGGACGTATCACCGAGTCCCGGACACATACCTACGGAACCAGTCGCGGAATTAAGGGATCAAGAGAGAATGTCCCGGAGATCCCGACACCTTCAACCATCGCCTTTGGGTCGGCGAGATGAACCAAGGGCCAACACTGTTGAAGCTCCGCTGCTCTCTGGGACGCCCGAAGCTACGACAAAGAAATCTTCGGATACAGAACTACAGCAAAATGGGTTGGAGAGCGATGGTTATCGGTCTTCCGGTAAACGATCTTCCTTGATCGGCGACCAGAAAAGTGGACAGTGTTCCTTGGCCCCCGAGCAGGCTTTTGGCATGGTCTTTGAGCACTCTGACGGCCCCAACGGTGTCAACGGTAGTACGACACATAGGACTTCCCTGGTGGATGTCATTGAAGGACCCGAGGTTGCTGCTGTATTAGATCAGTGGCCTGGAGAGGTTTCTCCTACCAGGAATCAGGATAAGGATCGAGAGCGCGTTCCGAAGCTATCTCCCGCGCAAATACAAGAGCTCACGTCGTCACCACAGTCAATTCCGTACCGTACTGCGGATAGCGACCAAAGCCGTAGGGTAGTATCGGACCAAACGCATGGTTCAGCCTCGCAAACGGGATCGATGGACGAAGCCTCGCCCTTACTGAACGGCATAAAGCTACCACCTGACCATGCCACAAAACTCCGAACGAACAAAGAATTCACTCTTGACGAAGGCTTGGCGAGGCCGTCCACGTCGTCCGCTCGCCATCGATCGCAAAGCTCAAGAGCTGTTTCCACGCCTACTTCTGGTCGACGACAAACCCTACCAAGCAACGAACGCCTCGCACAAACGTGGGCATCCCGGTCGAAACAGGATCGTCCGAGCATTGGCCGGGAGCCGGACCCTAAGCATCTCAGCCCTTCACCGCAGATCACTGACTCAGCGCTGCCTTCCCCCATGCCACCCTCTATTCCCCTCCCCCCTTTGTCTGTCCCTACCTACCTACAGTTGGAGCTTGCATCGGGCCGGCCCTCCCCGTTGTACATCCATCGCTCAGCTACAAGCGACTTCCCGTATGAGTCCTCTCGCGTAAAGCTGGAGCGGCTTATGAACTTTTTGATGCTCCCCCCTGTGCTGGAACAAGTTCTTTGGTTTGGTATACTGGCATGCCTGGATTCATGGCTATATTCGTTCACCATCCTCCCCCTTCGCTTTGTTAAAGCTTTGTACATTTTGCTAGAATCCTGGATGGTCAACTTGGGTGTGGAGTTCCGATTCCTTTCAGGCTTTATCATCAAGGGCGTTGGAAGGGTTTGGCGGAGACGAAACAAGGCGTCTGGAGACGGGACGCACGAGCAACACCGGGCTTCGGAATCCGAAACTCGGCCACGGAAGGAATCTGCTGGAGGTGAACGAGATGCGAAAACGAAAGCAACGGAGCGCAGACGGTGCCGCTCCGATACACATTACAAGTATCAGCACCGTCGGCAAAAGTCCATTCCGTCCGCATTGCTCCCTGATGATAAGGCGGACATTCTCAAGGGCCTACTAATGATTGCCACATGCGCCGTTCTGATGTACTTTGATGCGAGCCGAATGTATCACTGGATCCGGGGACAGGCAGCCATCAAACTGTACGTGATCTACAATGTGTTGGAGGTCAGCGATCGGCTGTTTGCTGCCATCGGACAGGATGTGCTGGAATGTCTTTTCTCACGAGAGGCTTTGGAACGTCGACCTGATGGACGGAGCAAAGTCTTCCGGCCATTCGGACTCTTCCTGTTGGCTTTAGCCTACACCGTGATACACGCCACGGCGCTTTTCTATCAGGTCATGACGCTGAATGTGGCTGTTAATTCCTATTCGAATGCCTTGATCACATTGTTGCTCTCAAATCAGTTTGTCGAGATCAAGTCTACTGTTTTCAAGAAGTTCGAAAAGGAGAATCTGTTTCAGTTGACCTGCGCGGATGTGGTAGAACGGTTTCAGCTCTGGCTTATGCTCACCATCATTGCTTCGCGCAATATTGTCGAGACCGGTGCGTTCAATTTCATTGGTAACTTGGGCTCCAGTTTCAGTAGCCAGTCGACGAGCACCAATAGCACGCCGTTGTCGACGCCTCCGCGAACCATGTCGTCGATCCTCCCGCAGTCGTTCACCATTGTGCCCTCATCCATCATTGCATCCTTTAGTGACGTAAATTCATTTCTTCCCACCCTCGCCCAGGTGCTCGGGCCATTTCTGGTTGTGCTAGGGTCCGAGATGCTGGTTGACTGGCTCAAACATGCGTACATTGGTAAATTCAACAACACACGGCCTGCAATTTACAAGCGGTTCCTGGACATCTTGACCAAAGACTACTACACCAACGCCTTTGGAGATCAGAACCTGACCCGCCGACTGGGACTGCCGGTCATCCCGTTGTCATGCCTCTTCTTTCGGGTTTCGGTCCAGACATACCAGATGTTCCTAGCCGCTTTACTACCGCAACAACCATCATCTACGGCTGTAGAATCGACATCCTTATCTTCTATCTACAGCCACTACGTCCCAGCTCCGATTCCGTCACCGCCGCCGCTGACGCTGCGGACGATCGTGCCTGCCTCTGCGGCGCACATAGATGCCCTTTTCCGACAGCTCTTGGCGAACGCCATGCCGTCCCCGGCGCAGTCCGTGTACATCTTCACCATCGTCCTGATCTTGACCGGATATCTGGTGCTGTTGATCGTGAAACTGTTATTAGGGATGGTGTTGTTGACTTTCGCCCGGTCCAAATACAGAGCGATGAAGAATCGGGAGGCTGACCAATCATCTCATGAAAACAGCGGTCCACCCCGCGGCCGAGAATACGCGGTGGAGGGCGGGCGTCGGTTTGGCGGATGGGGTGTAGTGGAAGTCAATGACGACCACCGACGATGGATTTACGAGGATGATCCCGAAGGATTACGGCGGTTGAAGGCTAAGGAAGAGAAAGATAAGAATTCCAAGGAGGAGTTGAACATGGACCACGTTCGGCGGTATGAGATGGTGGCCAAGAGAATCTGGTGACATGGATTTGTACGTTATCTTCTGTGTGGATACCTAATGATTGCTGTAAATTATTGTTGGATGTATATATGCAGAGCTATGTGAAATATGCAAAGGGAACGTGGCTCCATTGCGTTGGAAGGTGAAGAAAATAGTGATTGTTCCAGACTATTAAGGTGGATCTCGGGATGTTCTTTCTCGGGAAGTGCTGACTCCACCTCCATAACTATTGAACTTTTGTCTCTCTCTCTTTGTTCTCATTTTCTTGTTCGTACCAACGTTTGATCCCCGGATCAACCACTACGCTGGAATCAATGCGAATGTATGTCAGTATGGCTTCTCTTCCATTTGACCCTATGGGAGACCACTTCGCTGACATGGACCAAGAAATGCAAACCGCAGGAGGCAACCCCATTGCCTGATCGCAGCCAGAAGAAGTATTCAATCCCCGAATCATGGACGGGACATTGACCTTGGCAGGAAGCATGGCCTCCCCACTCGCCTTCCTTAGCGTAGTCGTGGGAACGCAGCCCACGAGCCGGAAAGCCACGCTACAGGCCTGTGGAGCCACTCCTTCCAAATAGTGGTTCCTTTAGTGTTCATTCCGAGACCTTGGGTCAACGGTTATGACCCACCGCAACCGGATAAACCTGGTCTAGGCTTCTCACTTGGGTCAGGGGGCCTGTTCCCATTTTCCCTCTTGAGGGATGTGCATGGCGGTTGGAGACTGATGCCGTGGCTTCACATGTGGTGAAACTGCTCCGCAGGGAATGGCTGTGATGATATATATCTTGGAAAAGGTCCTGAGAGCGTGGGTGTCAGGTCCATTGTTTGTTTCACCCCCAGTGTAGATATCCGGTCGGTCATGATGATAGGCATCATACATACTCTGCTGTTACGGTTGTGGTGTCGGGTTAGGAAGATTCTGGCCCGTATAGGCTTGGCCTTTCCTGACGAAGAGGTCTATCTTTTGGATCGCAATCCCAAGGAAGCAGCGAGGTAAGTATTTCATTCCTCTCATCTTTTGCCTTCTGTCTGGTCCATGCCACATGTTGAGGACACAGACTCAACTCTCAACATAACTTTCTCGTCGATTTAATTGGGGGCAGGCCCGTCCATCCTGCCATTCCAACAGAGAACCTCACGGCCGTAGCAGATGTTGCAACGGGAACCGGGTGAGTACTGCTCCTTTCTCCATTTTTGCCCTCCTTCTTTTCTATTTGTCTCTTTTTGATGCCCCAGCCATTGTAAAAAAAGCAATTTACTAATAGTAGATTTAAGAATATGGCTCTCCTCCCTCATCACGGCCCCCAAAGCATACCCCGCCAATCGTCTCTACCTCCACGGCTTCGATATCTCCTCCACTCAATTCCCCTTATCCAAGGATATTACTCCCAGCCATGAACTCCACCTCTCGGTCCATGACGCCCGCGATCGATTCCCCCCCGAGCACCGAGGGCGGTATGATCTAGTACACCTCCGACTGCTTGTCGGCGCCCTCAAAGAAGTAGATTACCCGCGGACGATGCGGAACATCTATGAGCTGCTGAGTACACCGTCCCCTTCTTCCTACATCCGAACGATGCTAAAAGGATCGTGTCCAGAGCCAGGAGGCTACCTCCAATGGGATGATTGCGATACCACGGCCTTCTCAACGGCCGAATCATCTCCTGACCCGTTCATTTCCTGCCTGCAGGAAACTATTGCGTCAGCTGCGGTGAACCTGGGTCTGTGTCCTATGGCACCGATGCTGATCGAGAAGTTGGCAAACAACATTGGCTTCGAAGATGTGTCCCGGCAGTCGTACAACACCATCGACAAGCCGTATCTACACGATGCCGCCCGGACATGGCTGGTCCAGGTCTTGAGGTCATTGCTGCCAAAGTCGATGCTCGGCACGGGGGAGGCGACGGAGGAGAGCGTTGCCGTGGAACGGACAGAGAAATTGGTGGGGAAGCTACAGAGACATTGTCAGAATGTTGTGCCGGTGGTGAACCTGCATGTTGTCATTGGGAAGAAGCCTATATCTTCTTAATATTAGATATCAAATCTGACGACCACATGAAATGCACAATAGCCTAGTTTCTCTTTTGATATAATTTTTCGGACTCACGAGCTTATCCGAATGATGTATATATGCTACACTCACATAATGCTGGCGCTTTCATGTCGCATTCATGCACGACGCAATGACATCTTATACCTGTGAAACGTTTACTCCAGACCTCACAATAATAACTTCTCTTCCTCTTCAACATACTATTATACGATCTTGGTCTAAACATCTGTGCCATTTGAACTTTTTGTATACCGTCTATCCTCCTATACCGTCTTTATCGACTCTATTAACTGCGCCAACAACACATAAACCATCATACACTCTACCCATGCCTACTGCCCCATATCAAATCAACCCACAATGAGATCAAACAAAACCTCCTCCACCGTCATGCCAGAACCCGACTTCATCAACACTGTCTACACCATCATTTGTAACACACCCTCAATAGCACCCTTCACACCCGTCCCCCCAATCCACATCTCCTCCAACTCTCAAATCCAAGACCGCCTCGACTTCGCCGTCTCCCTCCTGTCCCACCCCCTCTACAACCCCCAACTACAAACGCGCCTCCCCCTCGAAGAATACCAAACCCTCTGCAACGCCCTCCTCCACCCCCAACCCTCAAACCCAGCCTCCACCTCAAAACAAAACTCCACACTCTAGAATCCACCCTCCAATCCAAATTCCTCATTATAGACCGCATGACACCCAACATCACCTCCACAACCCTCTCCTCGAACCCCACCTTCCTCGAATCCGACCTCAGACTCCTCACCAACGAACTCCTATCCCTCCATCTCCAAGCTCCCCTCACCCGCTATGGCTCCCTGATCCCCGGACACTCAAAATTAAAAAAAAAAAAAAAAAACCACTACTACCATAAGGAGAGATACAACACCACTTTCTGGAAAACCATCCACACCCACCTATTCAACGACACGCCTCACTTCACAAAGATCCTCACCAGCAACACCTTCTCCGCCCCCTATAAATTCACCCCGTAACCATTCACTTTGTCCGCATCTGCCATGCCGTAAATCTTGATATCCTGGAGATGGCCTACGTCCTTGAACATGTTATCTTGGGGGAGGAGTGCGTATCCCGCCCCCGGATGCGAGTATCCTGCTGTTCATGGAGAATGGGGATGTGGCGGGATTGGCGGGGGGGAGGTTGAAGAAGGATTTAATGGTGCTTGCAGGTGATGTGGCGAGAGGGATGGGACGGGATTTGAAGGTTGTGTATGATGTTGTTGGGGAGTTGAAAGGGGGCCTGCTTGATTTGGCGAGGGGGATGCCTTTGGGGAAGGGTTTGGGGGGGGTAGGGTTGTGCTGCACCGTGTTGGCGTAGAAAGGTGGGATTGTAGGGTTTTTGGGGAGGAGGAGAGGTTGAATAGTGGGTTTGAGGGATATCTTGATGGGGTGGTGATGGGGTATAGTAGTGAGGATGATAGTGAGGAAGTTACTGAGGATGACACTCAGGATGACACTGAGGGAGAAGAGGAAGAGGACAACGAAGACAGCGAAGACGGCAGTGAAAACGACAGCGGAAATGACATGTACGAGGACGCTGAAGAGGAACAACAGGACGATGAAGGGAGTGATACTAAAGACTACATCAAGGTGGGCATGCTGCCCCACTGGACGACAAAGGAATGCTGGAGTTTAACATATAACAATGAATTTCCTCAAGAGAAAGTGGGTCTCGGTGACGCTGTTATAAAAGGTGACCCTGTCGATTCTATTTGTACAATCGAAGATGGCGGTTAGGGTTGGAGGTGATATTGTTTGGGATAGCTCGCCTCATGGCCTCCTTGGATCTAGACTAATTCTTGTCATAACCATGAGTGATATACTTATTAAATACTATTTTATTTGCTGCCAATTTCCAATACGTATCATATGCTACCTCTGCATAAAGCCCACGCCCAACGCCTCACCGTGCATCACTTCCGCTCTCTCTCCGGCAAGCGCGAAAACACATAACTGAAGATCTCTCTACTCTTGTACAAGTTCTCCACGCGCAATCTTTCATTGTACAAATGCGCGTTATCACTTGCCTGTCCACAGGGAAGGTTGGCCGCCGGAGCGGAGAATTCCTTCTCGAGAAAACGGATCGTTGGGATAGATCCTCCCTCGCGGATATAGATGGGGCGGACACTGGACGGTCCGGAGACTGGTTCAGCCGGCGGAGGTGTCTCTCCCTGAGGCGCGGGAGATGTCTCTCTGGTTAAATCACCGGACACCACGGCGGGGCTGGACTTGCTCGTCAACGTCGAGGAAGTGGGTACCCCCATGCTGAGAGAGCTTCGTTGGCGCGTCTCGGCCTTCCTTGCCGAAGATGTGGTCGACGACATGATGATACGATCAATATGGGAAGCCAGACTGTCAGAAGAGTCTTTCCGAGAGAGTCGAGGGCCTGGTTCCTTGGCCAATTTGCTGACCGTTCGATCTTGTAAGTTTCGTTGAACCGGAGGATACTGGTGTTTTTGGTCTTGCTGATCCGGCGTCCATGCCGCCGTGATGGCCTCTGCAAGTGTCTCGAACATCTCGTTGTCCGGGTCACCTAGCCAAGGATCAGACTTGCCCGTAATCTCGACTGTCAGATCATTTTGTGATTCCAGGCGATCAAACTGCTCCTGTGAATACATGGTCAAGCTTGCTGCCACATCGTCCGCTTCCTGGTTTGGCACCAGTCGAATGGACACACTGGCCTTTGCGCGGCGCGAGATGGTCGTCGTCGTGCTCTTACTGTTACCCGGTACTTCGATGGAATGAATGGTGAGGGATGGCTCCCTCCACCGGTGCATAAGGGAGTCAATCAGGGCGTCGCGGTCGGCAATCTCGGGGTGTTGCTGCAACAGTATCTGTGCAATATCCGCATACCGCTGTTTCTCGGCTTCGGGGAGAGGCAAAACCCGATCCCGAAAGTCGGGGAGATTAATGCGGCCCTTGGGTCCCACTAAAGTACCAAGTAGCAAGGTAAGGTCTTTCAACGGTTCATCCAGTAAGGCGCTCCCATCAATACCGCTATGTAGGTCAGGGTGGTCGCTGGTCACAATCAGGTTCGCGTGAACGACTCCGCGTTGCCCATAGGTCAAGCAGGGATTGTAGTCGTCTAGCCAGTAGCTGTTGGCCAACAGGATGTAATCCACTGGTCCGATCTGCTCTTTATGTCGTCGAACAGTTTCATGGAAGCCCTGGGAGCCCGATTCTTCCTCGCCCTCAATGAGGAATGCAACATTGCACCGGAGCGCTTTTTGACGTGCAAGGTCTGCAGCGGCGTATAAAGCAGCCAAGATAGGGCCTTTGTTGTCTGATACACCACGACCGTAGAGAAAGCCATCCATCGAAGTCAGCTGGTACGGATCCGTTTTCCACTTGTTGCGGTTGGCATCAGCCCCAACGACATCGTAGTGACCGTAGAACAGAATGGTCTTGTCGATCTTTTCCGAGGAGGTAGCGTTGAAACGAGCATAGACAATTGGGTTCGTGTCTTTCCCGGTGGTGAGAAGCTTTGTTTTGGCTCCCAAGTATACGCAATGTCGTCGCAGAAACGCCGCACCCTGGTTGCATTCGCCTGCGAATTTGGGGCTCGCTGATATCGTCTTGAATGCGACGAACTTTGCAAGGCAGTTGACCATTTCATCTATAGGTCGTTAGTGATCATTGTGATTGGCGTATACACATGTTCATACCGTTGTTGATAAGGGGTAGTTCGCCCTGCTTCAGAGAGACATCCGTCAGATCCCAGATACCGACGGTGTTGTCATTTCCTCCCGAAGCATAAATCAATCGATCCTTAAATCGTCCAGCAGCCGAGGCGAGCATCGTTCCTTTATGAGCGGTCCAGCTACCAACCTCCTCAAATCGCGAGTTGAATTTCTAATATTCAGAACAGATCAGATACCTAACCTGAAGTATAGGGTCAGACGGTGATACCTTTACGATTCCATTTGAGTCTCCACACACGGCCACCCCATGGACGATATCCACCGCCCACAGATCGCCGGTATGCCTAGTGATCCGCTTCACGAGCTGATGAGAATCAAGATTCCAGATGTTCAACGCACCGCCTGCGAGACCACAGTAGAGAAACGACCCGTCCACTGCGATAGAAAGTACTGAGTCGCCATTTTGCAGCTTTGCTATGGCGGATGGTACTGCATTCGATTTATCTTGGTCCAGACGCCAAAGTTTGACGACGCCGTCACCAGCACCGGTTATGAGTACTTCCTCGGAGGGTGCCGACTCAACCAACCCTCGAACAAGCAGCATAGTGTACACATAGCCATGGTGAGAAAATATCCTGTGATGATCCCGCTTGAAGGTGAGAACTTGGCCACCCTGTGTGACGCAATGCGTCCCGTCCGGTCCCGCATCCGGCCTCGGAGCACGACTACCGTCAGGGCCTCGAGAATCAAAAAATCTATGAGTCCTTCTAGACAGATGGGCTGCCGACAATTTCGTGGCAGTCTCATCAGCTTGTGAGATATCACACCACTGCGCCACGTCAGGGGGTCCAATCAAAACAAAAAGTTGACCGAAGGAAATACCTGGATACTGGTGTTCTGGCCACCACAGTAGATCGTTTTCAAACTCGGTGAGTAGGCAACCGCAAAAATATCGCCTACATCATGGTGGGAGTGAATCGAGTACAAGCGATCAAATGTCCTAGTCGACCAAACCTACGCACGTTATTAATCTCAACTCTGCAGACAGTAACGTTAAAGAAGAGAATTACATTAACGACTGAATCTCCACCACTAGAGAAGAGCAATTCCTTGTCTTCAGACAGATAAAGATCCAGGACGCTTTCTTGGTGAGCGTGCACTGAGAGCACGAGTTCATATGTTTGAAGCGACCATGCCTATCGGAAAGAAGTCAATTGGAGCTGGAAAGAAGTAAGAGGGATTGACGCGCCACATACTACAATGTCTCCGCCCTGCAGACCAGCGAAAACACACTCATCATCTAGAACTAATGCAAGGACTGACCGGCTAGCCTGAACACGGTGGCCGATGCCACATTCAATCATCACATTGGATCCATTTGCGACGTCGTCGGCGGGAGTTAGAGAAGGAGGCTCTGATTCCCAGGTTTTAGTCTGTTCATCAATTTCGGAAGTGCTATCCGATTCATGTAGTACTGTGTGGTCCATCACTGGCACGCAATGGCCGAAGAAGTCTCAGCCAATGTTTTCTATTCTTTCCCTTCGGATATCAAATCGATCAACGGTGTGGCCCCACGTGACACTCTTCGCAACCACTTCTTTGTATAAGCCACTAATGTTTGAAGATAATATTGCACGAGAGGAAAGAGATTTACAAAGGTTGAAACTTTAGTACATCAAGGCTGGAGTAAAATATAGAAAAAAAAATATCAACTTATGCAGAAAGGAAGAAACGGAGGTTGAGTCAATTGGCCCAAAATGGGAAAGTCGACGGACTGGACCAAATGTCGTGATTTCAATGGCGGTGATATATGGCAAATGCGCAGAAGTGTGGCGGTGCATGGGGAACAACACCCTCGGATTTCATCTTCAAGTATCACTCACCTCTCTTCTCGCAGCATCTGCCACAACTCGCATTCCTGCAGTCGGTTAACACGCTGGAAAACTCTCGTCATTTTTCTAGGCCCTCGTTTCTCTCCTATCTTTACCTCCAAACTCTCCTTCGTTTTGGACAAGAGTCGCCAGCCAATGAATGAATGGATCTATAACGGAGGAAAGAAAACTACTAACCTTGGTTCCCATAGTAGACGAGCTAATAGAGCGTCAGTCTTGCAGCGAGACATAATTCCGAAAATACCATCACTCAGATGGTGCGGTACAAGGTACGAAGGGAAAGTAATGATATCGTGATGTGAAGGTCAAAGAACTCAAGGGGCCCTAGGTGGCCTACTGTCCCCTATATGTGCGATAACAAATCCCTTGGTGAGGCCGAGACGATAAGTGGGAAGCTGCAGATTAATGCTAAACGACTTGGAATCGATCCGTCATAGCCTGGTCCACAGAAAGCACACGAGGAGCCTGATTCGAGCCCCTAATCCTCATTGATCGGCTTACAACTTGCGCTGCATGTTGTACAACCCTTCTAGCCAGCTAACAGTGTTTTCATCAAGAATACATACCATCGGATCTCTATGATATCGTACCGTGCCCTGTTTCTTTTTCCTTTTTTATTTTTTTTTGTGACCTTTGATTTTATTTCAATATGATTTGATCTACTATTTTAATCATGCATCAGGTGCTGCTGAATTGAGTCAGCATGCATACAGAGTAGGGATTCAACGGTGTAGGTATGGTATGGTAAATGTGGCACAGCACCAGCCACAGTGGCGGTGGTTGCACCGGACCAATCACGACCCCTGGCATCACCGCCATTCCTGAGACTGAAGTCATGGGATTCGTCCCCCCTGACTAGAGTAAACTTCCATGATTCTTTTTCCGACGGAGGAAAAGACAAAGAATAGCAACCAACTCATCATCGCCTCAAAAGGAATATCAACGAAATTCTCCAACATCGGACTATTTGCCTCATTTTCAGGTACAACAAAACATCCCCCCTCCTTGTACCCAACGATTCATCCAATGAGTGGATTGGCTCCCCACAGGGAAGCCAATAGGGCTGTCAGAGGGTGCGGTGACAGCGAACACTTGGCTCTGTCCCCACCGATTGGTCGCTACATAGTCTATACGAACAGCCATTCACCGTCCGTTTTCCCAAGGCATTTTTTCCACCAGAATCGGCCGCCTTGTCATTGACACCCAACCGTAAAGGCTTCTGGCGGTACGGAATCCTGTTCGCTCTTTCGTGCCCGTTTTTTAGGCGCTTGAGTCGCTATCTCGTTCTTTTTAGAACCCACCAGCCCCCTCCTTTTATTCTTTCCACGATTTTTCATCTTTGGATTTTATTCTTTTAAACATCTCTCTTTCGTGGCCTTGCCTCCGATGCAAAGCGACTTTGTGGTCGTTTGACTTGGTTGACACACCCGGAAATCGCCGTCTGATTCGATTTGTATATAAATCCATCATCCCTGACCACAGCTGAGCGGAAGCAACTTCCACCAGGCACCAGCTTTCCCGTGCGTGAGAATTCGCCATCGCTTCCTTTATTACTGCAGCCCTGCGAGCCTTTTCTTTTGTTTCCTTCCTGGGCCTAGAACGATCATTTTCGTTCTCAAAGTTTGGAAGATCGGGTCAATTCTCCACCCGGTGGACTTAGTCCCGATATTTATATACTCGATTACCTTACACCGCTCAGTCTCGGGCCTGTTCGCTTATCACTTAAAGGCGATCGCTTTATCGGTAGGTACCTTTTTAGGCTTGGATGTGGACGCCTTGCCATCGCGTTTGACTCGAAAGTCGGTCGTAACCTCTTACCGTTTCACGACCTAAGCAGTGTCATTCTGCTCCTCAGCCATAATGGCCCCATTCGGCGAAACCGTTGCCGTGATTGACAAGTCCGGCAAGGTAGTAAGCACGGTAGGTGCCATGTCCCGTACTATTCGTGTGGCGGGTTACTAACCATGTTTCCTGACAGAGTAAACAATTGTTTGGTGTTTTCAGCCATGCCAAGAATGCCTATCGCGACCGCAAGGCCCAGTTCCAATCTGAACGTAATGCCGTCATCGCCGAAAAAGAGGCCCTGAAGGCATTGCAAAACTACACCATTGACGATGCCCCCTCAGTCGCCTCATCCCGGAGGAGTCGTTCGCGACACCATTCGGGCCGCAGTCATCACTCCCGACATTACTATGACGACGACTACGAATATGAATACGAACGGGATCGCGGTTCGGTTGCAGACTCTCACTACGCCCGTCCACAGGACCTAATTCGTCGGCACACCCATCATGATATTAGCATGCGGGACCCCGGGGCCCGGCCGACCGCTAGTCGCTCCAAATCTCATGCGCACGTTGACATGGACTTGGCATACGGCGACTACAATCCCCAAGCAATGACAAAGCAACCGTCCCCACAAGCCGGCCAGCTGCAGAAGATTGAAGACCCGGAACTGAGCGGCCTGGTGAACCGCGCCCAGTGGCTTATAGAAGAAGCCAACTGTGTGCACCACAGTGCGACAGCAACAATCGCGCACCTTCAGAAGAACCCGGATGCCATGGCCGCCGTTGCACTAACCCTAGCGGAGATCAGTAACATAGCTTCGAAGATGGCCCCGGCCGCACTGTCGACGCTCAAATCGGCCGCGCCCTCCATTTTCGCACTGCTTGCTAGCCCGCAGTTCCTCATCGCCGCCGGTGTCGGTCTCAGTGCGACGATTGTCATGTTCGGCGGCTATAAGATTATCAAGCAGATGACTGGTAACGGCAACGAAGTCACTCGTGGGCCCGGCCCGCGGCCCGAAGAGTCCGCTGCCATGGATGACATGGTGGAGATCAACACCGAATGCCTGAGCGGCGTTGAAATGTGGCGGAGAGGTGTGGCCGACGCTGCCGACGAGAGCGTTGGCACATCAGTCGACGGTGAATTCATCACCCCGACTGCTGCTATGATGTCGGGCATTGACGTAACCACCGCCCGCATGATGCGGGATCCTCGGTTTAAGTTCGATGACGAGGAATCGAGAGCATCCTCCCATCGGTCGCGTCGCTCACGGGCCCCGCGCTCTCACGCGCCGACTCGAGTAGACGACCGGCCAGAGTCGTATGTTGCCTCAAGAGCACCGACCAAATCCATCTTCGGCACTCCATCGAAAGCATCATCCTATACTCCGTCGAGGGCCCCCACCAAGGCACCCTCTCGGGCTCCCACCCGAGGCCCATCTCATGCACCCTCCAGAGCCCCGTCGAAGGCCGAATCCCATCGTTCTCACCGCTCGGATAGAGACCCCCAACCCAAAGAGAAAAAGAAACGATCCAGCAAATTACGACTTATGTTCACGGCTTAATTCTCCCACTTCCTCCCTCTATATCCTTAAGCGACAGACTATGCCCGCCATTGTATACGTTACTGTACATATTTTATTTGATATGATGGCCCCAGCCCTACGAGATACGTCATCACGAATGACCTGCACATGACCGACAGATACCAGTATGAAACGACGCCACCCTTTTCTTTACGTGTAATTTTCTTTCTGTTCACTCCGTCCGGGACCAGATCCGACGGCTATTTTTATCTAGTCGTTGCATATTTACGGCGTTGGAAATGATATATTTCTTTTCTGTCTAATCATGTTCTAGATCGGAGGGTTCTATATGTTGCTTATTATCATCGATGCGAATTCCCCTATCTGGACATCAAACCAAAAGTGCTTTCAAAAGTGTACCACAATCGAACATATTTGGAAACAAGATCTCCACAATTCAATTTAATCGTAGATATATATATAACTAACCTAGGAACAACAATCAGGTAAAACCATCAACCCGACCAAACAGAACAAACAGTCCCCACTATATAATAGACGTCACCCCTCCCAAGATCTATATAATAAATATACAATACTTCCCACTCCTACATAGAAAAAAGAATCACTTTAATCTCTACCTACTATAACCCGCCACCTCTAAAATATAAAAACCACAATCCACAAAAATGGCCCCTCTAATCCCAACTGCTATCCCCCAACGCCCCCTCCCCGCCAAAGAATCCCTCCTCCAATTCTACCTCCACAAAACCCTCACCGAAATCCCTAAACCCGCCGCCATCCTCGACCGCGCCATCATAACCCGCCACTGCACGTCCATGCACAAAACCATTCAAACCCTCGGCGTCGACTTTCGCGCCCACGTCAAAAGCCACAAGGTAAGTACATCACCAAGACACCCAACCCCAAACAGCCAGAATAGTTCCGGGAACGTCCATTAAATGTAGAAAACAGACAACCGAACTCGCCCGCCTCCAAGTCGGGACCTCATCTCAGACCATCAACTTCGTAGCCTCCACCCTCCTGGAGATCGAGAACCTGGCCCCCCTGCTAAAGGAGTACCGGGATAACGGCCACCGGGTGAACATCCTATACGGGATCCCTGTGGTGCCGTCGCAGGTGGACCGGTTAGCAGCTGCCGCGGCAGAACTAGGTGAGGGGAGCGTATCGGTGATGGTTGATCATCCGGACCAGGTAAGGTTCTTGGATGGGTTTGCTGCGGTGACGGGGTTTCCGGTCGGGGTGTTTGTGAAGGTTGATTGTGGGTATCATCGCGCTGGGTTGCCGCCCGCGCAGGTGGATAAGGGCGGGTTACTAGGGAAGTTGGCGGAGGCGGAGAGTCGGGGTCTAGGGAGGTTAGTAGGGGTTTACTCGCATAGTAGTTTGAGTTATGGGGGGAAGGGGAGGGGGGATGCGCTGCGGCATTTGAGGGGGGAGGTGGAGGCTTGTTTGCGGGCTGTGGCGGGGAATGCGAAGGGGTTGCCGGAGAGGGAGTTGGTGGTTAGTGTTGGGGCGACGCCGCAGGTTGTTGCTGCGGAGGCTGTTGCGGGTTTGGGCGAGGGGGATGAGGAGCTGGAGGCGTTAAGGGCGTTGTTGAGGGAGCCTGATACTGGGGAGTTCCGGGGTGGGGTGAGGGTTGAGTTGCATGCGGGAAACTATCCGTTGTTGGATATGCAGCAGATGAGTACCGACGCTGGAGGTGTAAGGCAGAGGTTTCAGGATGAGGTTGGGGCCTTTGTGGCTGGGGAGACATGCAGTGTTTATAATGATGGGGAGCGTGAGTGTCCAGAGGCCCTGGTGGCTGTGGGGGTTCTGGGCTTGGGCCGTGAGCCATGTCCCAGTTATAAGGGCTGGGGGGTTATTGGGCCTTGGGGAGTACCGGACTCTGAGGCGTCTGGGGATCGTCTGATCATTGATCGGATCAGTCAGGAGCACAGCATCGTGAGTTGGGAGTCAAGGGACGCCGCCAAAGAGATTCCACTCCGCGTTGGTCAGACAGTGAAGATATACCCCAACCATACGTGCATCACCGGGGCGATGTACGGTTGGTACTTGGTGGTCGACTCGTCTAGTGACCCGGATGCGACCAAGATAGTCGATGTTTGGGTCCGATGGTCGGGATGGTAAGGTATGCTCTTGCGCATGGGACGTTTACAGCCTCATATACCAATATAAGATCATGTTCATGTATTTTCTGTGGCGCCGGATATTAGGTCAGCGTTCATCTTTCCCGGTATTTGACCGATTAAGGTCAGCAAATAGTTGTACCTCTTCGATATGGAGAGGTATGTGTACTAGACAGCATGCGCAGTATGGGAAACCCCATCAAGTAGGGAAGCCAATTTGACAACATTGACATTACTGATCTCTGGAGCTCCTGTTGGCTGAACCTTCACTTCGTCTGGGATGATAAATGTCATTCTGCAACTGCCACTATATGCTATGCGAAGGAAAAGAAAAGAAAAGAAAGAAATTAAGAGCAAAACCACTCTCTCCATACATGCAACATATCCCCGTCCATTCCGTGAAGTAAAATTACAGAGAAGGCATATAAATTATCATGCATAGGGTTCTCATCGTCATGCGTTAGTATCGTAGATCAATTGCACAAGGCTCGCGAGCGGCTATCATCGAAGTCCCATGCATCCCGGATTCTCAGGCAACTCTCGCACGAAGTGGGCTTTGTTTTCAAAAGTACTATTTGAATGGCATGTCTTCGCCCCCAAAGGCTCGCGATTTGCAGTGTAGTGTCCTTGTAATAAGTCTGCTTGCTGCTAATCTCCCCTGTGACACTAAAACTAGCTTACACTAGGGTCAGTCCCCTCTGACAGCACTGCAGATACCTTCCTCTTCAAATGGGGGTCACTTAATTGTGACGTAGAGGCCCGTAGTGTTAGGTAGGGAATGGTTCCTGTTATGTCAAGGTGATTTCGCAAAATGGGACAACGCCTACCATGCAGGTTCACTTCCAAGTTGTACCATTGGACCACCTACCACGGGGGCCTATATTCATCTCCTGCAGATCCTCAGCTGAAGATACACTGGGAAATAAGGGGTAAGAGCTGACCCAGGACGAGTTGACTTGGAAAGTACGGGGTAGAGGCCGATTCCAGAACTCATAAGATGGGGGAATCGTTCGTCCTCGGAATCCAGTTTGACCATCAACGCCTCCTACAGTCCCGTTGTATCGATTCCTCTCCGTGCGCTGAGCTTTTCCCCAGAAGCATACATTACTCAAACTTGCATAAATATGGCGACCCACGATGCTTCCACCAAGGACGGAAACCTACCGGCAGTGGAATACCCAGGCCACAGTGTCAACCTTTTAGCCCGTCACTGATGCCACTGCAATGGAACCTGGACTAACAGGACAAACAGCAATCGTTCCTACGGATCTAGACAGAGTCCACCGTCCTATCCGGAAGTCGGTGGTACAGAATCGTCGAGTCGGACTGGGGCGAGAGGCAGGAGCTCTCGCTCCCAGGCGTCGAGGGCAAATTCTACCTGCCTAAGGACTTTCGGTACGGCTACAAAGGGCAATGAACGTAGTACAACGACCTCGAAATCGATAACGGTGCTTCCTTAGCCGAAAATCTCTCGGCCTCGGCCTCGGCAGGGTCAAGTACATGGGCGTCTCCGTGACCGCTTCGACCGAGTACGGATACGAGAACACCATGGAGACGAACAGCTACTACAGAGTCTTCTCCTTGGATCTGTGGACGTATTCTGCGTCCGTTAGGCCGGCCGAGTTAAGCTGGAATAGTATCAGCGATAGCTTCTTGAGAAACACTGAGTCCCTTCCGGTCTGGGATCCGGAAGACTTCGATGTAATCGATGCCTGGAAGGACTTTTCCAAGACAAAGGGCACGCACATCATCAGTCAGACGTACTATGGCAACAAATTCCAGTTCCATGTGATTAGTCAGGACTCCAAGTCCCTGAGTTGGGTGCGTAGGAAGGCTTCGCGTCGAGGCTGAATTCATGGATATTGTTAATGCTACTGTAGGAGCGGCAACCGAGACCGAAATGTCCATTTACAATCGGTCCAAACGAACCCAGGCGCAAGTGCACGGTGGCGGTCATGGTGAAGTTGCAGCCCTGGCCCGCTACCCGAATGGCGAGCTATAGGGCATGGACAGCAAGTCTGCGCCTGACCCTCGATCGCATGTATAACGTTCAAGTGCAGAGCTTCTACAGCCTGTTGAAGGACAGCCCAAGTGATCGCCACAAACAGGCACCAGCAAAGCTTAAAGCGCCTGAGGGGTGGTTAAAGAATCGGCTCTATCTCCCAGGGAAGTTACAGGAAGACCATCCTATTATAGGCTATATTCTCAACATGTTGGTTGGATATCGAGAAGCCTGCTAGTGCCAGAATCCTCAACGTCGAATCCAAAACTCCAGCGATGATCAAATGGGATGGTCCGCGCCGGTTCCAGATTCAGGCGCATAAATGCTGGCGGCTCGATAGGTGTCTCGTTTGTGGTCTTCGAGTGTCCCCGTGATCGTGCAGTTGTCGCTGTTCGAAGGTCACGGGATTTTAACCCAACCCCATAGGTTGGTCGAGTACTTGAATTTTCTCTCAGCCAGACTCGATTCAAGAGTGAGAAAATTAGTGTAGATTGGCAAAAGTCACGGGCATTATACTCCCTCAAAGTACCGGGAGATCATCGTTTATACACTTCATAGTCTGCACATAGCTAACAATTGTCTTCTTTCCATTGTTATGTTTCCAACACCATGGTTGTAACTGTTATAATGCTTTTACAGAAGCAAGAAAGGAGCGGCAATTAGTAGCATGTCCATGTGATCCCTTTGATCAATATGCAAGAGTTACATGGAAGTAAATCAACAGATATCGATGTAGTCATATTTTCCAGTTGGATGTAGCATTCTGGGTGCCTCGGAGTGGGAATATTTATGTCGTACGATCGTCCCTGTCCTTCGGGCACGGTCTGCGAGACTATGCAACAGTTGGATGAGTGGCACCGGAAATCTACATTTGTTTGGTTCTTTCTATCTCTCTTTTCTTCACACAACGCGCCATTAGCTAGGCTCCGAGAACTAGTCTGAACAGCCTGCAAAAGTACATGCCTGTATACTATCAACGTTCCCTAGGAAGCAGAAAAAAAGAAGGGTCACCAATATCCGATTCTAATCTTGAGATGCCGAAATATCAACCCCATCGACACTAACTTCCTTTGAGATAATGTTGCTGCTATCCTTTGTCCATTTCATTGAGGGCGGAAATCCATGTCCCTCGCGATAAGACGCATAATTGCGCGGCTTCCCCCTTCCAACGACTGTGGAGGATCAAATTCCGTCCGTGCTCACCGGAAGAGCTGTTTTAGATCTTATGCCCTATATCATGGAAAGTATTCCTTATCACAATGGCTCGCATCAAACCAAGTATAGATGGCCTAGATTGGCCACGTAGCTTCCTGCTTACGGGAGCATTATGAAGCTTCCACGGAAGGGGCCTAGTCCGTTGAGGCAGTGTAACTTCTCAAGTATCTGACCATTTCAAATCTACAGGGTTTGTTTATCCTCTGTACTCCAGACCGACCAGTGGTGTCCTCTCTTGCATTTGAAATCGATTACCAACCGTCACCCCCGCTACGTTTGACCTTTGAGTTCGCAGTAATATCGAAGCCATCGCATCGACGGAACACTGGTTCGTCTTTCGGGGATATCAAGAATTTCGCTCTGGCGCGACAGCCGCCAACCAAAAGCGGATATTGATCAAATGGTATCACTAATCGGCAGAGGATGCCACCAGACTTCTAGGTCGGTATATCAGGGTGGCCGGCCCTGGTACTTAAGCGGGGCTAATATGTTTCTCCATCAGTGCGGATGTTGAGTTATATTTTTAGAGGCCCATAACTGATTTTGCCAAGAGTCTCCCCCATAGATTATACACATCGATACCTAGGGTCGCTTAATCGAAGGAACTATGTCGAATTGTGTACACAAACCGACGATTTCCTTTTAGAGGCGCTATAGGAGCATAGGCGGCTTGGACGGCGGGTTTGCGCCATAAACAGCAGCTCCTTTTCTCTCGAGCTAAGAAGCCAATTTCCAGCCATGGTCGCAACAAGGAAGAGCCTGGGCGCTGAAGGCCTCGGACCCGGCGCTTCCTTAGCTATCAATAGCATCACTAGCCGCCACCATGTCGGCGAAAATGTGAATGCAAGGTCTCATGAGCAGCTGTAGGACGAAGAGGTATTCTTCCAAACTGTGTAACAAGGGTCTAGAGCGTCGTTGGCTGGGTGGTGGTCAGACAAGGTACCAAGGCACACAAGATAGAGAATCCCTTCCGGGAAGGGAAACAGACGAGAAGCCGGTGGTGGACTCTTCATGGGTTGGATGTGGAGTTCGTACGGCGGGGGGGAATTTACCACCGATCAACTACCCAGGTAGAGTTAAGGATCTGCAGTGAACTAACCACAGCAGTCGTTAGAAGATCAGAAAGACGCCCATTGGTCGGGACATTTGGGAGCTTTTTCAGCTCCTTGCATATTTTGTCCTTGCTGCATTATCATCACACTATTATGCATGTAACGCTGCCGCTTTGTAATTTGGGGTCGCTTATAACAAAAGAACCCAAGTGAGGAGCTGAAGAAAAAGAAAAAGAAAAAGAAACAGAAACACGGAGGGGCACTCTAGGGGCAGGAAACCATGCAAACACCAGTCAACACGGCAATACCCCATACCAGCGAAGGCAATCCTCTAAGAGGCATTGTGACCATTGACCTGGAAGCGACGACAAAATTGATCGGCGCAAATTGCTAATCCGCGATGTGCACTCCAAACGGTTGCCGGGATGCGATTTTCGCAAATTGCCAGATTCTGACGCGTTTGTTGCCTAAGGATTAGACAACGATGACAGTGCAACGATGTGGGTCTGAGGAAGACTGATTTTGGGGAATAGACAGCACCCTTTAGCCTGCCTGGAGGCAGAGGAAACTCGGCATATGGGGGTTGGTAGGAAGCCGGCCATGAAAGGGAGAAACCCTTGGGGAAGTCCTTTGCCTCGTGGGGGTAACCGCCCGCCCTTTACTGAGCGGCGCCACCCATCGGTTCTTAATCTTGTTCCTTCTGTACTACTTCGTACAGTTTCGAGAATATAGCCTACCCGTCTGGATTGCTGGCAATTATCCGATTGAATACCCTCCATTGTAAAGGAGATTAAGAGAAAAACAAACAATATTTGGGAAGGGAGGAGGTGGCGCAAACCCCACCCCCCGCTTGCCCTGCATTGTTCGCACGAGGCAGGCTAGAAGGGATGGTTGGCGATACGACACATAACCCCTGGTCAGGGTCCGAATGGCTTGCAACAGCTCTCGTTTCCTAGTACTTCCCTTTGGTGGAGATAGTTCTAGTTTTAGTAGCCTCTCCATCAGGGCCGGTAGAACAGATCGGGGTGTCCGTGGAACTAAATAATGTCTTCGCTGCCGTCTTCCATTGATTCTTATTTAGACCAATTTTCATAGACAGCGTTGCTGTTATAGACCGGGTGATGGACTCATAGAATGACTTGGATCTTCGCGCAATAGTCTATTTGGCTTTTCTTGTATACATCATTTCTTAGGCGACTAGGTCATCTCCCCACGCGTTAGAGTCTGGCGAATCGCCGTTCGGGGACTTCTTGCCATCATGGTAGCACAGGCGAAGACACCTTTCCAGGTGATTGTTGTTGGGTAGGTTGCATATCTGAAATTCTTGGTGAAGACCTCACCAAAAATCGCCATGCTCTAATCTTAGTATAGGGCAGGTACGCTTCCGCGTTTCCGGAAACAGAAAGATTTGGCCACTGATAGACAAAGGGATCGGTGGCATGGCGGCAGCCCTGACTTTAGGGTTGAAAGGGCATCATGTCATGATCCTTGAATCTGCTCCACAGGTATGCGACTAATGTGCTGCCTCTGCTGCTGAAGTTGTCTTAACGAAGATCAATGTATAGCTCAAGGAGGTCGGTGCCGGCATCCAAGTTTCCCCGAATATGTTACGGCTCTTTGACCGTGAGTACTTCGCTGCTGACCACGGAGAGTGGGCCGTCTCAACTAATTCAACACAAGGATGGGGCGTGTCTCCGTTGATACACTCTAAGGACGTTGCACTGGAGCATATCCATGTCCGCCGATGGCAAGACGGTAGCCTTCTAGGGACGATGCCTGTGAACAAGACATATGGCCAACAGGTAGTCATTCATCGTGCAGATCTCCACAACGTCTTGATTGACAAGGTACTGGCGCTACCAAATGTGAAGCTCCGAGTAAATGCAACCGTCACAGGTGTACAGTTCTACCCGGCATCTGTGACCTTAGCTAATGGCACTGTTGTTCGAGGGGATGTTGTGATCGCTGCTGATGGCATCAAATCCACCATCCGTGGCCATCTGCTTGGTGAAAACTCACTCTCCAAGGCCATTCCGACAGGAGATGCGGCCTATCGGATCATGCTGCCGCGGAGTGTGATGGAAAACGACCCTGAGTTGAGAGATCTGGTGAACGAGCCACAAGCAACTCGTTGGCTTGGGCCTGAGCGGCACATAATCGCTTATCCTGTTCGCAACCATGAGCTCTTCAACGTGGTATTGCTCCATCCGGATGGACATGGCGTGGAGGAATCGTGGACCACTAAAGGGTCGAAGCAGGGAATGGCTGACAACTATCGCGGTTGGGACCGAAAGGTGCAGAAACTCATCGACTTGGCTGCGGACGATGAAGTCCTTGAATGGAAGCTCTGTTTACACTCTCCATTGAAGACTTGGATTAAAGGTGGTGTGGCACTGATCGGTGATGCCTGCCATCCCATGTTGTGAGCTTCTCCCTACACTTTCTGAAGTGACACTGGCCAAATTAACATCTCAATCAGGCCATATGTCGCTCAAGGCGCCGCACAGGCCGTCGAAGATGCTGCTGCTCTTGGGGTCCTCCTGTCCACAATATCATCTGCACGTGAAATCCCCCTGGCTCTCCAAGCGTATGAAAATTCTCGAAAACAACGCGCGGAGAAGGTTCAACAGTCGGGCTCGGCAAACCGTATCACGCTGCATCTTCCCGATGGACCTGAACAGCAGGCTCGAGATGAGCAGTTCCGTCTATCGATGACCAGCGGCTCTAATCCCGATCGATGGACAGATCGTGAGACGCAGGCGTTCTTATGGGGATGGGATGCTGAGAAAGCGGCCCTGGAGGCTTGGAATGGTAAGACCCCAAAGGTTCTCTTGCGACCCTTTGTTTGTCCCTTATAATTATGAGGTGAGATGCTGACAAACAATTTATTTGCACAGAAATCCATGAAGGAAGTTCGCCCGAACCGCGTCATCATCTGTAAGAAAGGGGGGTTTCTGTTCACCTACTCACGTGCCGTACCTTAAATCTCATGTTGTTTTGCGGGGATATCCATGCTTGCATCACCCTCGATCCATGTATATTTGGAGGCCAGTTTTATGTAAATACGATCGAAATTGAGTAGAGTTAACCGCCATTTCCTACTATGTTTAGTTACATCCTAGCAGCCAAACAAAGAAGACTAGTTTTTATACTTAGTGCCTTATCCACAACATCTGTTGTTTGTATCCTCATATACCCTTATGTATATGTACTCCACGAACCACGCACTCTATAACTCTATATCTTGTCACATCTTTTCCGCAAGAACGGCCCGGCGCCACGGCGAGAGAATCCCCAGCGAATCTGGTTAGCCATGGAGATCTCGACGTTCAGATCATCGGCCCAGGCCCAGACCAATCCCGGATTCTTCTGGAAGCCGCGTCCGACCATGACAAAATCCAGACCTTCTTTCTCCAACAAGGAGTTGGCCAGCTGCGCCGAGTCTATCATACCAACTGACCCTACCTTCAGCTTGTCCCCAACTGCCTTTTTCACGGCGACGGCAAAAGGGGCCTGGAAGGCCGGCTTCGCATGGATGTGCTGAGCCGAGTGGGTGCCACCGCTGCTGATATCAATCATGTCGACGTAGCCGCTCTCGGCGAGCGCCTGAGCAAACTTGACGGTGTCCTCTAGTTTCCAGCTGGGCTCTGAGGGCCGCGATTCTTCTAGCCAGTCGGTAGCTGACACGCGTAAGAACACGGGTTTATCCTCAGGGGTAGCCTCTCTGGTCAGTTTGGCAATCTCCATACTGAGGCGAACTCGGTTCTCGAAGCTTCCCCCGTACTCATCGGTCCGTGTATTCACCGCGGGAGAAAGGAAGGACATGAGGAGGTAGCCATGTGCATTGTGGATTTCGACAAAGTCCGCACCGGCCTTGACGGCTCGTTTGACGGCCGCTGCCCATGCAACCTTCAGGTCCTCGATATCCTGCTTCGTCATCTGCTTGGGAGTAGGATTCTGAGCGTTGAACGGAATATCGGCAGGGCCTTTGACATGATCTGGCCAACCGCCCACTCTTTCGGAGGCTGCATCATTGGCCGATAGCCACGGTGCCACCGTGCTTGCCTTCCGGCCTGCATGGGCGATTTGGACCCCGATCAGCTGGTTCTGGCTGTGGACAAACTCAACGACGCGACGCAAAGGCTCGATTTGCGAGTCTTTCCATAGTCCTAGATCTTCGGGAGTAATACGACCTTCGGGTTGAACGGCCGTTGCCTCAACCATGAGAAACCCTGGTCCACGTTGAGCAATACCTCCGAGATGGGCCATATGCCAGTCCGTCATATGGCCATCGTCACCGGAGTACTGACACAATGGCGAAAGCTTCACGTTTCAACTCAACATCAGCATTGTCGCTTAAAACCAGGGAAACAGAAGTGGCATACTCCAATGCGATTGTGGAAAGTGACCCCCCGCACCGAGAGGGGCTGGAATAGCTTCGGAGGTGCCGATCCATCGGATTGCGGGTTAGCTGCTGTTCCCGCGGGGGGGTCTTGGGCGGGTGTGAAGTAGGAGATGCCGGGAGCGGCTTTGTTTTCGATATCTAGAAACTGACGGGGACTCATGGTGCCGTTTTGATCAAATAATGAGAGGGAAGATCGGAAATGGAAGAACTGTCCCCTTGAGCAGTGTGGTTATAAATGACGTGCGATAAAGTGATGATGTCACTCTGCCAGGGGCGTCCTAGTATCAAGCGATTCTCCTGTGCTTCCGACCCTCCCTAGTCAAACGATATTGATGGTTTGATTTCAAATCACGAAAGATGCTGCCAAGATCTTGAATCGCAGGTGGAAACGATCGACAATCCGCCAAGGCGCCAGACCCGCAACCGTGAATCTTAGCAATGGCATCTTTGTTGAAAGTCAATTCTTCCCAGGGGTCACGCTTAGGAGGGCGAGAAGCCTTGAGTTCACCAGTCACATACCCGTCACTGGCCGCTGAGCCATGCTGTTGGGTGTATCGTGTAGAAGCAAAGTAACAGATTAACGAGGAGAAAGGGATGATGTAAAATGAACTGGGCAAGTTCTCGAAGGTGACAAATCCCCGTGACTGCAAGGCTGTTCAATTAATCCATATATGTCGGCCCCCGGTCACACAGAGTAATTCATCCATGGTATCTGTGTGGTGTATACATATTGAAAGTAGCTAGTACTACTCCAATGGGTGACAAGAGAACCCCATTGAAGTAAGTGGGGTGACGGGACCGTCATGATGGTAACAATAAGGTTACTAGTACTACTTTGATTTAGGAGTACAGTGGGAAATGCTCCGAAAGTTCATTGGACATTTAGCCCATTGTTCCTTTCACGTTACATTGGAATACAAAGGGTGTATTTTTTGGGGGGGTGCCGTACATTGTACTACACCCTCAGTTGGTACAACTACTGGTACCTAATACCTATTGGCAGAGGTAGTTAGTATTATTGAATGTTGCCACGTAGAAGTTGTTGGTGAAACTTGCGATCCTATCGATTATCTGCGCTTTGGATGTGCAACAGCAGTGAAGCCTAACGGGAACTGGAGATTGTTGAGTTCTTTATTTTGTATCCATCCAATACTGAAAATCCCCGTAACCCATATATTTGAACTTCCTCAATGGATTTTTCCATTGAGAGAGTGGATCTTAACGAATCCTCATTGGTCCACCGCGGCTCTTAGATAAGATGAACTCTGCCTGAGGAACCAATGGCATTGCACGTTTTCCCAATCAATTTACGGACTTCCAACCAACCAGGACGAAATATTCAAAGAGACGCCTCACATTTGAGCAGTGAGGTTACAAGTAAGGAGCCGCAATGACCCTGGAATCAAAACGAGTGACGATGGCCGAGATTGTCCCACCAGACCTGAGGTCAAATAGGTCCGCAACGTATCTCACTGCTTTGAAACCCGATTGTTTTAGTCCGGCGCCTTGGTGGAGACCGCAAGGTCGACTGTCATTGTCGTCTAACTCTTAAGCCAACCGCACCGACCAGTGGTTGGAGAATGCAGATCGTCTGTCGCGAACAAAGACATCGTGATAACCCGGCTGAATAGGCGACTAGCATCGCCCCCTAAACGGTCAGATCCTATTGCTCGGACAAAGCTATTTAAAGATCCATGACTGCCTAGTATAGCCGCGCATGGTCCTGCCTTTACTATCAATAATAACCCTCCTGCATTCTGATTTTACTCAAGGCTGTTCCAAATGATCGGACTTCCATGGGCGACGGTCTACATCGCGATTGCAGGATATGCAATCGCCAAATCTACCGTCGGCAACTTCCTCCTTTTATCCATCTTGGCATCTTTGCTCAAAGTATTCTATAATACGGTGTTGTATCCTGAATTTTTCACCCCTATTAAGAAAATCCCATCGCCTGCAGTAAGTCTTCCGGACCAGTGACTGTCGCCGGTAACTATGAAGTTTTCTAATGGGCGATGGATTAGGGTCGATCGTGGCTCACCGGAAACTCCAACACGGTGTTTCTGGAGGCTCCTTACGAGGATATGCATAAATGGCTCGAGAGCGTGCCAAATGACGGAATGATCCGCTATTATGTCTCAATCAATCTAGAACGCATCCTCCCGGTAGGCCCTAAAGCCTTAAGTGAGATCCTCGTCGCCAAGGCGTACGAGTTCCCGAAACCCGACTTCATAAGGGCGAGCCTCAAACGCCTAGCCGGGGAACATGGCTTGCTCCTCGTGGAAGGAGACGACCATAAGGTTCGAATGCAGGCCAACCAACTTCCCCATTTGTGACTAATTTTCCGATAGAAGCACAAAAAGAATCTCCTTCCTGCGTTCGCGTATCGTCATGTCAAAGAGCTGTACCCAGTATTTTGGTCAAAAAGTATCGAGATGGTGAACATAATGGACCAAGACCTGCAGAAAAAGGCGGATCCCACGGATAACGTCCTCCGCATGGGCTCCTACGCCAGCAGGGCGGCGCTCGACATCATCGGCGTTGCAGGCATGGACCATGACTTCCAGTCGCTTCGTGATCCTGATAACACCCTCGCGAGAACGTACCAAAACCTGATGAGTGAAATGCCATTGTACATGAAGATTGCCTTTCTTTTGGCACTGCTCATGGGCAAACCTGCCTTTGTTCATGAACTGCCGTTTGAGAGGAACAGGAGTGTCCAAAAAAGCTCTGACACCATTCGCGCGGTGGCGCGGCAGATGATTCGACAGAAGAGAGCGAAATGGGAAAGCGGAACCTCCACCTCGGAGGAGGACATAGACATTGTCTCGGTTGCCCTGCGGAGCGGGAAATTCACCGAGGAGGAGCTGGTAGACCAGATGATGACCTTCCTGGGAGCAGGACATGAAACAACGTCAACTGCCTTGCAGTGGTGCGTGTACGCCCTGTGCAAGAATCCCGAGGTCCAGGCCCGACTGCGTGAAGAGATTCATGCGAATCTCCCGTCCATCTCCTCAGAGAACCCCGAGCCACCCGCTGCGGCCGATATTGATAACCTCCCATACCTCAACGCCGTTTGTAATGAAGTCCTTCGCTTTCACCCCTCCGTGCCTGCCACTATCCGCATTGCTAGCCGAGACACGACCATCATTGGAGAACCCATCCCAAAGGGCACTTTATTTCTAATTGCCCCAGAGGTCATCAATAAAAGCAAAGAGATGTGGGGTCCAGATGCCGACAAATTCAACCCAGAACGTTGGTTAGCCCCTGGCCGATCCAACAACGGCGGTGCCAATTGCAATTATGCCAACCTGACATTCCTCCACGGGCCACGAAGCTGCATTGGCCAGGGTTTCGCCAAAGCAGAGCTGGCCTGCATGGTAGCGGTCACTGTGGGTAAGTATCGGATGGAATTGCAGAACCCCAACAAGAAACTCGAAGTGCGACAGCAAGCAACCGTCTGCCCCAAAGATGGTGTGCTTGCTAAGTTTACTCGCGTCGAGGGGTGGTGAAGAAGCGATCCTTCTTTGACTTGTTTCGTGTACATTAATAGTTAGCCGATCGATTATTTGGTCGGGGTTTTAAGCCATATCACCTCACTATGAGGGTTGTCCGTTCATATTGGCGGTTGTTGATATCATCTCATGTATTCTTCTCTGCTCGTCTTTTCAGCCCTAAAATTGACTGTATCGAGCACAAACCTCACATAAAAGTCTAATCTACTACATGTTGATCTAATATGGTTCTCTAAAAACCATCACATTCTCTATATCATTCCCAGAGCCATCCTCCTCCACCCACGCCCTCCACATCCCTCCACAATTGAAACCAAACACCACTTTTCCGCGCCCCAACTCCTCCCCAAACACAGGCAGCCCAGTATTCTCATCCACCTCCACCTCCGCCTCAATCCCAATAATACCCCCCTCTCCTTCCCCAGTAACCCCCCAGCGCCCTCCCGCCGAACGCTGCAATTCACCCCCGGGCCCAGCAACGGCAGCCACAGCATCCGCCAGCGTTTTCGTCGAAGACGAAAACCGAACCATAGCACACGCCGTCCTAGCCGCCGCAACCCGCAGAAACGAATCCCCATTCCCCGTCCCAGAAACCGCAACAACCCTCTTCTTCACCCGCCCCGAACTAGGACCCACAATGGCCATCTTCTCCCCCAGCCCAGGAACCCCTACCGGCACCTCCGTCCCCAAAGGCATATACTTCCCCCTCCCACTCCTACCCCCCAAAAACCCCAAACAACCCCCCACAAACGCATCCAACAACCCACTCCCCTTCCCCCCATCACCCTCACCCTCAACCCCAGAAAGAGAGCTCTCACAGTCCCACCCCTCCGCCCAAAACCCACCCCCCAAAGTCGGCGTATCCCCAATCCGTCCAGGCCACTTATTCGTCATTCCCCCGGTACTAGTCGCAACAGCGATCCCACCCCACTTATCAAGACAAACACACCCAACAGTCCCCTGACTAAAACTCACCGGCTCGACTTTCCCCTCCAACCCCCGCCGATGCTCCTCCCACCGCCTCCTCGTCCAAAACCACTCATCAGGCATAACCTCCAAACCCCACTCCTGAGCCTTAGATTCCACAAACGACCCGACAAGCTGCGAATGCATGCTCCCCCCATCATTCCCGTCCCCAGTCCTAAGCAACGATTCCTTGGCGGCTAGGATCGGGTGTCGGATATTGGTTAGGCCCATTACGCCTGCGCCTCGTTTGATGGGTTCTTGGGAGGAGCAAGAGGAGGAGGGGGGCAGGAGGGAAGAGACCATTACGGAGGCTTCCATCTCGATGGTGCCGGCCGACGTGAAGACGCTGCCGCGAGCGCAGTTGAAGAGGGGGTCGTCTTCCATTAGGGTAACGGCGTGGGTTGCGGCGTCTAGGGCTGTGGAGCCGGATTGGAGGAGGGAGTGGGTTTCGCGGAGGTAGGCGAGGAGGGAGGCTTCGTAGGCTTTGTAGAGGGGCGGTGGGAGGGTGGATTTATGGAGGTTGCCGGCGCCGCCGTGGAGGATTAGGGTTGGTTTGAAAAGAGGGGAATTTTTGGTTGTATCGGGGGTCATTTTGGGTGTTGAGCTTGATTTTGGTTTTGGTATCGGGGCGCCGGGGGGGGTTGTTTAGTTGTATGTCGTTGGAGTTGAATCGCGGGGAAGAGGGTGGAGAGAGCGGGTGGCTTCTTTTTCTTTTTTCTTTTTATATGTTGGGTGGACTAGATTTGGGCTAAGGTTTGGGTTGGTTTTTATGTTGCTTTGCGTTTGGGAGGGTCTTGTTCTTAGTACTGTAGTGGTGAGGAACTGGGTAACTAGCAACTGTGCTTTGGGATGGGGTTGGAGAATAGCTCATCTTGGGGTACTTCTGGGGTTATTTATATACTCCCGGTGCATGTTGGCTTATCCGTTGATAGCCAGGCGGGAGATAAGCGTGTCCATTAGTCCGATGTATCCCTTTCCTCTATCACACTGCGTATAACTCAAAAGGGATCATCGGGGGCTTGGGTAAATTGTCGCAATATGGAGAAGTAGTGATATCACATTATACCATTTATCAGGAAGTTAATATACAAGAAATTCCAGTCCAAGACCGGCAGTAAAGACTCTTTTCCCTCCGTCAACGTAGGAACATTCGGATGCAATGCTGCGCACTCCAACAAACAAGGCTAAAACAATACAACGGATTAATGAGCAGGGATAGAAGCACAATAGGAATAGCAACCTCTATAGTATGCCCCCATAATGAAGACCACACCCAACACCTGAGAAGAGAGACACGTAATAATGTAGCATATGGATCGGATTCGGGGAGGATCGTAGTTGGGTGTATTTATGCAACGGCCTTGTCGCCAGATGGGGGAGCAGGAGGGAGCTGTGTGCACCAGATTAGCTCAAGTCCACGCAAGAATAAGGATAATCCGCGACCAAATTGGCCTTCAATGGATAACATTGACAGTACTCACCTCTAGTTTTGTGTTGTCTGCCATCATTCTCTGGAAACCAATGCCAACACCCTCAATGACAGCCAGGAAAACAGCGCACATGATGGCGGAGTTTCGAGCAGCCTTGACACCACCACGGACGGCCAAAGATCCACCTGTGAAGAAACCAGCAATGACTGCAATAAGGAAAATCGATTAGCAGAAGCTCTTCATGACAGACACCAAAGGCGCCTGGACTTGCTCAACAAACTGTATTAAAAAGTAGAGCAGTGACGTACTGGCATTGTAAGGATCCTCCTTCTTTCTAATTCCCTTGATCGCACAGTCGTATGTCGAGAACAAACCACCCCACACACCGAAGTTACCACCGAGGACGGGCGCACGAGCCTTGATGGCTGTGATGGCTCCTATCCGACGCTCTCCGTAGGGGCTGTTTCTGAATCCCTTGATACCGTGCCAGACTGCACCACCAATTGCCTATAGATATCATTCCGTTAGCCCCGTTACCCCGGGAGCAACCGCGATTGAACGTCAGATCGAGTACATACACCCATACAAAAAGCACCGCCGAAATCGCTCAGGGCAACCCAGGGGCAGGGATCTCTGGAGTGATCCATGACGAATGTGAAGAGAGTTGAAGGAACAGCTAGGTAAAATTAAGCAAGCAAAATGTCCGTGATTTTGAGTAGCTGTTGTCTTGACAGGCTACGCAGGTCCCGCGAGATGACTTGTCGTAACAATGAATCGAGCGGTTGCTGATAGGTCGTACGAGGGAAGAGGCGGGGTGAGTTTGTACGTATCGACAATTGTACAGCGACCTTGTGTATCGTCTTCCGACGGTCAACCTGGGGAAGAAGACTGTCTTGTGTGGGGACAATGAGGTCGGCGATGGAGAAGATGCCGGATCGCAGCAATCTTTTTAGATGGCGTTTTTTTCGTCCCGAAAACGTGACTTCGGATGGGGGAATGGGGTCACGTGCAGATAACGCCCCCGGTTCCCGTTCGTATCAAAGCAAACTTTTCTTGCCGTGCGTGAAAAGAAACTACGACTTTTCCCGTAGCCTCGAATATTCTTACTGCATATGTGGCAAACAGATTGGAATATGAAAACCTTGTTCTCTTTGTTCGATTATTGGACTGACTCGAGAATAGCCCATGGTTGAATAAAATCTTCCACAAAACTCAAGCGGAAAAATGTTTACATCTATATGTACGCACAGACGCTCCCACGTCATGTGGCGAGTATTCTATTTAGAAATGATCTCAAGACGGCAAATTCCAGATAAAGTTCAAAGCTCCTCCTTCGTATGCAGGAAATTGTCCTGCGCTACTGATGCCAAACGGGGCCATCGACGGATCGAATGGCAGCGAAAGCCAATCATCGGCTGCGACATCATTGAGTGATGGAATGAACCCCATCTCAGAAATATTCTGTGGCATCGGAACATCCATCATGGGAGTATTGTTGCCGTGACCGGTGCTTGAGGGAACACCCATGGAAGGTCGTGATGCGGTTCCCTGGCTGTTCTTCACGGTTTTTGAAGATGCCAGTAAGTTCCGCCGCAAGCGTGCTACGTGCATTTCTAGCAGCGCAGCATAGCGAGTACTCAAATGAATGTCGTCCAGGGCATTCGACCTCAATGCTTGTATACTTCGCTCGAGGATATCTAGAGATTCTCGCAGCGTCGACTGGCGGGTACCCAAACTGAGAGCCTTCATGAGAAAGATAGACGAGCTGGTGATACGGAGGAATATCCGGACAGGACAAAATCGTAAAACTCCATCCTCAGCCATCTGTATCACCTTTTGTAATATCTGACAGCACCCGTCGATGACTTCCTGTATGTACTCATAGTCTATTGGGTCAATGTTCAACGCCCGGACCTCGTCCGCTTGAGGATCGCTATCCGCGAGCACCCGTTCTACGACTGCTTGCATCCCCACGGAGTGTGTGTAAACTCGAACGAAATGATACTCGATAAAGAGGATATCAAAGAATTGCTTATTGAGTGCTGCATACTATGTTAGTTACATTCCTGACTGAAGGCCCCAATAGTAGAGCTGGTCGTAACACTCTATGGTCAAGGAAAGAGTTGCAACCTACATCGTATTTGGAGATGTTCGTCCTTCCACTTGTCAAGTATTGGTCGAAAATGATCGAGTAATTCAATATACCGCCCACTATGCAGTTGCTGCCTGGCAAAGGAGACAGTTGGGAAGAACATATCAGTGACCGATTTTGCCAACTTGGTAAGATCCATCCAAGAATCCATGAAAATTAACCATTCATCGCCAGGTTGGAACAGTTCTTTTGATGTCCGTCGTCCTAGAATAGCATGGTTCAAGCTTTGGGGCATAAGGGAGACGCAACCTATTCGCCATGCGAGCTGGTTGATGTATACATATAGCAACCGCTGCACCCGCTGCCTGCGGAGTTTGATTTGGTTACTGGAAATGAACCCTTCATAACCAGAAGTATAGTCCAATTTTTTATCGTCGATCTCGAAGATCCCCAGTTCATGGGCAAGTGACAAAGCTGAGCCCAGCAGCATCCAAGACATCTGGTCCGATCGTCTTGCAGGCTCAATCATATCCTCGAGCCATCGATTCGTGGTTGATGTATCTTCTGACCTTTGGGGTTCCGGGGGAACCGATGTGAGGTCGAAATCCCAGCCATCACTCTCTGGAGGAAAATGGAGAGATCGAGGGTGCCATTCCGACATTACCATGAGAGCCTCAATTGTCCCTATACTGCGGACTTTCGATTGCGAAGATTTCTCCTGTCCAAATATAAGTCGCATGACCAGTTGCTGGCAATGCTGCCAGAGTCGATGGTGGATGAAAAAGTTCCTCGATCCACCACCGGCACCAGGCAACAGATGATAGCGAGAGGATATCATTAAGATAGTACAACATAAGACTGGATCATGCGAAACAAGCCAGCGGTGGTTATTATGGTCTGCATAGAAATCAGTTAAGATTGGAGACAGGTGCGACATATTCTTGAAAAAACTGATCTAGCAAGTCAGCTTCAGTGTCTTAATTCTAGGTCAACTAGTACACGAACAGATCGATGAATGTAACAGCCTCTCTCGCAGTGAACCATCCCATCCGAACAAAGCGACATGCTCCCCAGACACTGAGGACTTCTTTAGACGCCTGGGATATTTCTACGGGCTGCGCTGCTTTGGCCAAGACCTCCGGAGGGACGATGGAATGGTTCAATGAGTTCTCGTAGTTGTTCGGGCGGCCTGTCGAGCTTCGCGCATTGCGGGACGGCGTACTGGATTCGCTTAGGCCATTGCCATGTTCTTTACTATGGGCCGCAGCAGCCTCGAAGAGGATATTGAGAGCATCATTTCCACTAGACACTACAGTGCGCATCATGGAATTTGCCAAAGTAGACGTGGATTGACGCCGCCTCTGACTACTGTCCGCTGGGGACGGTTGGAGTGTACTATCATCGTTGTCCCGGTCTTGCTCTGCATAGCTGAGTGGACTCGGACCGTGACTTGAAGTGTGGTGTGACTCGTCCCTACTGATCCCGGGATTACTGGACAGTCTCGGACGCGCGCTGACCGGCGATGGCGCACCATCTTCCGAATGCCCTTAGTCGATGTTAGTTGGCGGTCTACCTTCCACAGGCAGAGAAAAGTAGAAGGAGGACATATGATTCACCTCGTTTCTTCTGTCTCTCCCATGCCTTCTTCTCACTGAAAACACATTCTCTTTGTTCCCTTCTACATTTGGAGCACGGCGGCCCTAGTGAATGGCCATCCGGGCCAGTTCCTAGTTCACATTTCGCCTTTCGTTGCCGGCAGGCAAGACATGCCTTGTAGGTACGCTGGTACGTCCGGTCTGAAGCATGTCCGTTGCGGGACTGTCTCCTGATTTCCATCCTCACAGCATGGCAAATCAACCAATCACATAGTCGTGATTAATTATGGTCAGAGGGGAATAATGGGCCAGATGCAGGGGCTAGAGGTGTGGACCGGCTTTCTTTGATTTTTTTCGCCCTTTTTTTTTTTTTTTACCTCTCAGATATTGCGGATGTTGGAAAGAAGGGATGGTTGAAAAATAGCCGTAGGTTGCCGAGGTAGGTGGAAATACCCGCCCCTGCCTGAGGTTTATTCCTTTCAGTAGTGAAATCCTTGGAACTATAATGTCACACGCACATAAATGTATGTTTCGTTACCTCCCATGACACATCAACACCTGGTTCATTGTTCAGTAGTGTCAAGTAATCTGATGTTATGATGCAAATGGTTTTATTGAGGCAAGTATATGGTCTAAGTGGTTTTAAGTCACATGTATATGTTCTAGCCCTAGCACCAGAAACCCTGTAGGAGTCCTGACATGACCACCTTTATCGAGAAGTAAAACAAGATCAAGCATTTCTACATGTCTATATCTATGTTATTTATTAATTAATACGGACCATTCGTTTGACCTTGGTGGCAGTCTATGATGTCATCCAACAATGGCAACCATACGGAAACACCTCATAGGAAGAAGGCAAGTCTAGATGCCCGTCCAAGCACAACCCCACAGTAGGTAGTCCCGGCAGTTTATTAGTACTACTGTAGTTTACCACGCAAATCGTACATTGAGACGCGACCTCGGAAAAGAGCGGAAACTCATGCGCTCAGAGTCGGATATTCACCACGACGGAACCATTCCGCCTACACCATCAACCAGAAAGATATAAACAAACCGTCCAGATATAATGCAGAGCTGAAAGAATTAACGGAATAGTCTTAGTTAACATGTAACATCCATGCATGGTTCACAAACATTATTAAATTACCGTGAAGTAGAACCGTAGAACCTTCCTTACCCTTGTACTCGCACACTCCTCCACCGTACCCCCTCTCCTAAACCATCTATAATATACCACGAATACAGTACTACGCCTACTACAAGTCCACATACAACTCTCCATACAAACACACACAACCCTGAAACCCAGCAACAGCAACCGAAATGACTACCACCCAAACCCCCAAAATAACCCTCCACACCTACTTCCGCTCCTCCTCCGCCGCCCGCCTCCGCATCGCCCTCCATCTAAAATCAATCCCCTACACGTCCATCCCCGTCAACCTCTTAAAAGGCGAACAAACCTCCCCAAGCAACACCGCCCTCAACCCCTCCGCCACCGTCCCAACCCTGGTCATCCAAACCTCCACCTCAACAGTAACGATCACCCAATCCCTCGCCGCCCTCGAATACCTCGAAGAAACCATCCCCTCCCCCACCCACGCCCTCCTCCCGCCCCCCTCCAACCCGGAGACCCGCGCCCTCGTCCGCACCTTATCCCAGATAATCGCCTGCGATGTGCAGCCTGTGACCAACCTGAAGATTCTGAAGCGGGTTGCGCCGTTCGGGTTCAATCGGGAGTCGTGGTCGAAGGAGTTGATTGAGGATGGGTTCCGGGCGTATGAGGCTATTGTTGTGAAGACGGCGGGGAAGTATAGCGTGGGGGATGCGATTACGATGGCCGATGTGTGTTTGCTGCCTGCTGTGTGGGGGGCGGAGAGATCGGGCGTGGACTTGGGCGCGTTTCCTACTATTCGGGGGATTGCGGAGAGGCTGGAGACCGTGGAGGCGGTTAAGAGGGCGCATTGGAGGACGCAGGGGGATACGCCGGAGGAGTTCCGGGTGGAGGTTTAGATTGGAATAGGAACGTGGGGGTTCTAGAAGAAGAAGAGAAGTTTTGGTTTGGAACGAAGTATAGCACTACGGTCGAGAGAATGGGGATGGAATCGGGTTTGTCATGGCATGTTCTAAATAAATAGGTATTCATTCATAGCTATCTCATGATGGGAAATCAAATCTCAAGTTTTCTTTTCTTTTCTTTTTTTTGGGGGGGGAAGGAGTGTGATGATATAAACAGGTAAAATTAGTGCAACGGACTAGAGCTTAGAGCTTAGAAGTCCAGCTTGATGGCTGGGAGAATGGTTCCGGTGCAGTCTCCGAAGCCGACATAGTTTCCTTCTGTGCCGGCCTTTCCGCGCAGGACGATCGTGTCACCGTCTTCCAGGAACAGGCGGTCGGAGCCGTCGGCTAGCTTGAGCGGGTTCTTTCCATTCGTTTGCTCGAGGAGACTTCCCTCGGTGCCGGACTCGGTGCCGGAGATGGTTCCGCTTCCTAGCAGGTCGCCAGGGTTCATGTTGCAGCCTGTGATGGTATGGTGGGCCAACATCTGGGGGAACGAGTACAGGAGGTTCTTTGCGTTGGACTTCGACACGAGGGTTGGCTTTCCTCCTGCGTTGGTTATTTCCACTTCGAGGGGGATGTCGTAAACGTTGGCGGCACGCTTCTCACGCAGATATGGGAGCAGGGAATCCCGGTCGCCGGGCTCTAGACCTGTGGTGCGGAAGGGTTCCAATGCATCCAGCATGACTACCCACGGGGTGATTGTCGTGGCGAAGTTCTTTGCGTTGAATGGGCCCAGGGGAACGTATTCCCAGGCCTGGATATCACGAGCCGACCAGTCGTTCATGAGCACCACTCCGAAGATATGGTCTTCGGCTTCGTTGATGGATACAGGCTTGCCCAGATCGTTGGGCGTGCTGACGAACGCAGCCAGTTCGAGCTCAATATCCAGTTTCTTACATGGAGAGAAGGTGGGGAGCTTAGGTGTAGCGGCCGGGTTGGCCAAAATCTGGCCGTTCGGACGGTGGATAGGCGTGCCTGAAGTCACGACAGACGAGGCGCGACTGTGGTATGCGACGGGAAGGTGCTTGTAGTTGGGCTGCAGAGCATTGTCTGGGCCACGGAACAGAACCCCGACGTTGTACGCATGGTTCAGGCCGGCATAGAAATCCGTGTAGTCGCCAATCTGCATCGGTACATGGTTGGTCACCTCCGATAAGGGTAAGAGGGCCTCCTTCTGTAGGGAGGCATTATCCTTGAGCACTTGGGGGAATGGGGTGTCCGCGCGGAAAACACTCTGGATGTATTCGCGAACTTGGCGGTGCACAGGCCTACCTAGAGCTGCGAATGCGTTCAGGGTGGGCTGGTTGAAAACACTGAGATGTGGCTGGATGGCGGGGAGTTGCGCAAAACCCCCGGCTGAAGCAAAGGTGCTCAAGTCCAAGGCATAGTCGCCGATTGCGGTCGCTGCCACACGGGAGGTACCTTTCGCAGAGGAGATAATTCCAAACGGAATATTGGCCAATGAGAAAGGCGAGCTTTTGGGGATCTGCAGCCAGGAAGCCATTGTTGCGATTATAGGGTTAGTAGAGGAAGAAGAAGCGACGGTGAAGCTGGAATATGTGGCAGGAGAGTGTCCATGTGAAAGCATCTGCGAGTTGAAATGAGAACGATATTAAAAGCTAAGTCGCCATGACCTTTAGTCTGCCCCTCATCTCTCTCTCTCTTGACTGCGATATTTGATTTGATTTGATTCCGTTGGGAGGGAGCGGAATGGAACCGCTGTCCCGCTTATCCCCGGCTGTTTGGCCTTCACCTCCTTGCTTGCTCGCCAATTCCGCGGTTACAATTTTATACTTGTCGACTCATTCGTAACAGAGTTGCGCAATATTTTGAATTCCCGCGATCATGCCCGCTCCCCGGAGCGTGCGACCGCTGTTACTCTCATAAAACGGGCGGCAACACCGCCTAGTCCCAACTTCTATACGACTTCCAATATCTCCAAAGTCTTTGAAAGTAAGCAAAGTAGCATTGACATCATGCCAGCCACCAAATTCTCACACCCAGACCCTTACTCCTATCAGAATGGATTCGACTCTTATCATGAGTATGTACTTCCGACTGTGGAGTCTGTGGCAGCGGAATTAACTCTCTTCCAGGTCAGAAGCCATCGAAGGAGCCCTCCCCGTAGGCCAGAACTCTCCCCAGAAGGCTCCATACGGCCTCTATGCCGAAAAGCTGTCTGGCACGGCCTTCACGGCCCCTAGGCATGAAAACAAGCAAACTTGGGTATACAGGATCATCCCTGCAGCAGCCCATGCGAACTTCAAGGCCGAGGATGCCGACTCCTACCACACCCGCATGACTACCGAGACCACCAAACTGCATCACATCCCTAATCAGCTCCGATGGAACCCCTTTGATCTGGATGAGACCGTAGACTGGGTACATGGACTGCATCTTATTGCGGGGTCCGGAGATCCCACCTTGAAGCAAGGACTGGGAATCCTGATGTATGCGGCTGGAAAAGACATGGGCAAAGAGGCCTTTTATTCTGCGGATGGGGACTTTCTGGTTGTCCCACAGCATGGCGTGCTGGACATTCAGACCGAACTGGGAAGACTCATCGTCCGTCCAAATGAGATCTGTGTGATTCCCCGTGGTGTCAGGTGAGCCCCTCCTTCTCCGCCATAAGTTCTGCCCTAAACTGACCACTTCAATCAAGATATCGTGTGACTCTGCCGGCTGGACCGGTAAGAGGGTACATCTGTGAGCTCTACCAAGGCCACTACCAACTCCCGGAACTGGGCCCTATTGGCTCAAACGGTCTCGCCAACGCGCGGGACTTCCAAGCCCCTGTGGCTTCTTTTGATGACGAGGAGGGGCCATCCGAGTACCGTCTGTATAGCAAATTCAACAACACCCTTTTCTCCGCTCGCCAGGAGCACACTCCGTTCGATATCGTCGCCTGGCATGGCACCTATTACCCATACAAGTATGACCTTGGTCGCTTCAACACCATCGGCTCTATCTCCTTTGACCACCCCGATCCTTCCATCTTCACAGTCCTCACCGGCCCTTCGGACCATGTTGGTACCGCGATCGCCGACTTTGTTATTTTCCCACCGCGCTGGCTAGTAGCCGAGAACACTTTCCGTCCGCCATGGTACCACCGTAACACCATGTCCGAGTTCATGGGTCTGATCTGTGGTGGTTACGATGCGAAGACCGGCGGTGGCTTCCAGCCAGCCGGAGCTAGTCTGCATAACGTCATGAGCGCGCACGGCCCCGACTCGGATGCTTTCGAGGGAGCCAGCAACGCTGAGCTGAAGCCACAAAAGGTCGGCGACGGAAGCATGGCGTTCATGTTTGAAAGGTTCGTCTCTCTTTGAAAGCGTGCATCGAGTGCCACATACTAATGATCACATTTAGTTCTCTCATGGTAGGAGTATCTGAATGGGGACTGAAGACGTGCCAGAAGGTACAAGAGGAGTATAACGAGCATAGCTGGCGGCCCTTGAAGCGACACTTCAAGAACCCCAACAAGGCCTGATGATAAAAAATAATTATGTACCACATATTTGTAACCATTGATTGTCAACTTGGCAGAGATACCTGTTTTATCCAAGTGAAACATTGATTTGTATATTTTATTGAACACATAGCCACTCGTAAGAATGTCAAATGTCTAGCATTGAACCAACAAATCCAGCCTTTACTATATAACTAAGATAAAAAGAAAAGACCCTACCAAACGTCCACGGTTTCACATATATACACCACCTTCAACCCCCATAAGTATCCACTCCTCATCCCCAAAAACAGACACATTTTAACCAAAACAATCCGTTGATTTACATATATACATACATCACCCCTAGCCCCAAATCACCTCCCACCCCCCCAAAAAAAAAATCACATCGACCCCTCAACCTCCTTCCTCAACGCCTCCTTAACTATCGCCCCACACATCTTCGCATACGGATTCGTCTGCACAGCCAACTGCTGCGCAACCCTATTCCCAAACCTCCCCCCCATAAAGAAATCCCGACTCGCCATCTCCTCCACCTGATCTGCATCTAAAGACCTCCACCTCTCCGGCCCCTCAAATCCCCCCCTCTTCCCCTTCGCCAGCCTCAAAAGCAAATACCCCCGGTGCGTATGCGCATCCGCCAACAACCGCCCCTGAATCGGCGACACCGCATCCGCAGGACTCAGCGGCGTGGCTAGCCGGATGGCCTCGCCTAGATCGGACAGGAGGGCGGAGAAGATCGGGGTGTTTTGGGCGTTGAAGAGCGTGGCGTCATTCCCGTCTTTCTCTGTCTCTGACTGATTTTCGGCTTTGGTCAGGTTGTCGATGAGCATGCGGCGGGCTTGGGCTCTGTTCGCGTAGGCGGGTGGGTAGGTTGGGTTCTCTTGGATGAGGGTATCCAGGGCAGTTATGGCTGTTTGGATTGTGGAGGGGGTTGTGGTTTCGGAGGTCAAGGGGCGGATTATGGTCGTTGAGTGGGATTGGAGGGTGTCGTGGAGTTCGGGGGTGATGTCTAGGTGGGCTGGGAAGGGGGGGAGGTTTGGGTTGATTGTGACGCCGGAGGAAGGGGAGGATTCGGCGTCAAAGAGGGCTTGGAGGACGGCGGAGTCGTTGGTTGTTAGATTTGGTTTGGAGGGTGTTATTGAGGTCATTTTTTTTGGTGGTTGGTTTGTTCTGGTTTGTTTTGAGTGTGAGTTGAGGTATAGAATCTTTGAATGTATACTTGGTTTGGCTTTTCAACGGCAAGAGGAAGGGATGGGAGGAAGTCTGGAAGATAGATTGGGTCCGCGGCAGATGTCTCAGATCCTGTACTGTGGATATATTAATGGGTAATTACACAATGCGCATCTATGAAGAATAATCGATAAATGCGTGAATTAAAACGCGACAGATAAGATATACTTGGCGGATGTTTCACCGAGTCATCTGTACACCGGGTATTTCAATATACCCGGCCCCAGCCGGTCATCTCCATGAAACACCCGTGCACAGCCGATGCGAGCCCCGATTTGCCATCTTCTCAACGGCCCGGAGTAAAGAATGTTATCATCATCATGCATCGGTATTATAGGGGTAGTTTAATGAAAGGACTAGCAAGATATCCGGTCACCGAACCACGGCTGAAAGCAGGATTGTATTTAAATCGGTTATCGTTCGTCGTGGAATCATGATTGATATAAAGGCTCAGCGACTGGTCCAATCTACACCTTCCGCTCAGACTCAACCAAATCTTGTAGTCTTATAGATAAAAGACACACGAGTCAAAAAAAGAACTCGAACTCAAAAAGCCATGGCTCCCATTTCCACCAGCCCCCCTCCTACCGACCGGAACTCCCTCGCCAGCTACAAAGGCTACGACCATGTCCATTGGTACGTAGGCAACGCCAAACAAGCAGCCTCATACTACATCACCCGCATGGGCTTCAAGCGTGTAGCCTACCGCGGCCTCGAGACCAACCACCGACACATCTGCTCCCACGTCGTCCGCAACGGAGACATCACCTTCATCCTCACCTCGCCTCTGCGCTCCCTCGACCAGATCGACCGCTTCTCCCCCGAGGAACAGGAACAGCTGAAAGAAATCCACCACCACCTGGAACAGCATGGCGACGGCGTCAAGGACGTTGCCTTTGAGGTCGACTCCGTCGATGCCGTGTTCAACGCTGCCCTGAAGAACGGTGCAAAGGTCGTCTCGCACCCACAGACATTGAAGGATGAGCACGGAGACGTGCGCGTCGCTACCATCCAAACATACGGCCAGACCACACACACCCTCCTCGAGCGGAGCAACTACCGCGGTCCTTTCCTCCCGGGATACCGGCTCGAGACTGCCGAGGATCCTGTCTCGAAGTTCTTGCCCGGCGTGCACCTGAACCGGGTCGACCATTGTGTTGGCAACCAGGACTGGGATGAGATGGACAAGATCTGCGAATAGTAAGTCGATATTGGTATCTTGTCACGCCATTTGTTCAAGAGCTAAACCGTCCATTTTAGTTATGAAAAAGCCCTCGGCTTCCACCGGTTCTGGTCCGTGGACGACAAGCAGATCTGCACGTAAGTCCGCACACCTATATCAGGTTGTACGAACCCTAACTAACAACCCCCCCACAGCGAATTCTCCGCTCTAAAGAGTATAGTGATGGCCTCACCGAACGAAGTCGTCAAAATGCCCATCAACGAGCCAGCCAAGGGAAAGAAGCAGTCCCAGATCGAAGAATATGTCGATTTCTACAACGGTGCTGGCGTGCAGCACATTGCTCTCCTGACCGACGACATCATCCGGGACATCACGAACCTCAAAGCCCGCGGTGTGGAATTCATCAAAGTCCCTAGCACCTACTACGACGATGTGAAGATCCGTCTGAAGAAGGCCGGGTTGGTCCTGCAGGAGGACTTTGAGACGATCCAGAACTTGGATATCCTGATTGACTTTGACGAGAATGGATATCTCTTGCAGCTGTTCACTAAGGTATGTCCATCGGGGTTGCTTTGATTTGAGAATGATGGTGTGCTAACGGATGTAGCATTTGATGGATCGCCCGACGGTTTTCATTGAGATTATTCAGAGGCATAACTTCGAGGGTTTCGGCGCTGGAAACTTCAAGTCGTTGTTTGAGGCGATTGAGCGGGAGCAGGAGCTGCGGGGAAATCTAATTTAAGGCTCTCGGGGTGAATGATGTGAATGACCTATGCTTCTTGTGTTGTTGTTTCTTTAGATACCTATTTTACATCTTGTTCGACGAGTGTGTTGTTGGTTCTGTCCTGTTAGCGTCTTTGCTGGCTTTTATCCTCTGGAACGACTGTGATATTTTGACAGACTTTATTATATACATGCCATTTCTCCATATGCGGGTGCTTTGTTTGCTTGAGTTTGTGATATGTATACAAAGAGTTGAGGCACTCTAGAGTATGCTTGTATTTTGTTTCATTATTTTCATTTCGTTGGTTCTATCCCGACATGTTTACAAGCGTGGAAGGGTGATCACAGAACATAAGATCGATCCGACGCCTGCTGCACACATGGTAGTCCAGTCGATACTCGCCATCACTTCTTCTTCGAAGAAGATCCTCCCGGCGTTGAGCCCGGACGACGTTTGTACTTCCGTGGATCCTTCCGACTCATCAACACTTTGTTCCTCGTACCTTTCCCACCTTCCCAGAATCCACTTCCTGCTTTCCCTATCAGAACTGCACGGCATACCCCACAGTCTTCGGGTCGGTATATCTGCTCCCGGGAACAGAAACCGCAAATCATACGGTTTGCGTGTTCATTGGGGTGGTCGGACGCCGCATCATGACATTTGTCGCAAGGGAAGACCTTCGCGCAGCAGCTAAATCGAAACCAGCGATAGCTTTTACCATAGTGCATGCAACGACCGCGACGGGGGAGCTCCTGACCAGCAATGATTCCAAGCACTTCCTTTGGCTTCCTTCGTTGCGGTGCTTGATCACGAGAGGTATATGCGGCAGATCCTACTCTGAGGAATTTGACCTCAGGGACCTTGAACACCATCTTGCGATGACATTGGCGGCATGAGGCTGCAGCACTCTCGCCGCGGACTGCAACAATACCGGGTGCAGGGAAGGAAGTTGAGCATTCAGCGCATGTTGGAATAAAACTGCTAGGGAGAAGATCGGCGATGGTACAACCATCCAAGTCGAGATAACCGGCACGGCTCGAATGAGGATGTATCAATTGTCGACGGAAACCTGGGTAGAAGTGTTAGTTTAGCCGCCCACTTTATATATCGTTCGAGAGTCCTACCAAAACTCATAGTGTTGGCGCATTTCTTGCACAACTCAACTTTAGGGGACAAGGCCGATGCCTTGTCCTTAACCTGCGGGACGTTCTTAATGTCCATGTGTTCCTTACACCGATCACATTTTACCGTGATCGAGAGACCAACAAGCTCTAAGAGTTCGATTCCGTAGAGTTCCAAGAATGGGAAAGAAAGAGCGACCCCGCGCTCCACGGTGGGTTCCAGGAGGGTTGGCACTGCGGCTCCCCCGTCGTCTTCATCTTCATCTGTGAAGTCATCTTCGGACTCGGTTATATCTGTGCCTTCACTCTCGCTGTTGCGCTCACGCACTGTCCACTCCGGGGGCCGCGGAACGACAACAACATGGGGCTTGTCCTCTAGTGCCTGTCCTTCCACTGCCTTTGGATCTTCAGGAGCCCTGGAATCTGTAGGCGGCTCAGGCGACGCATCGAGAACGCTCTCCTGTGGAGTCTCTAGCTGGGTTTTGGCGAAATTATGCAGATTGGCTGTCAGGTAATTCACTTGCGACGTCAAGTTCAAATTAAGATTTCCTCCAACCCATTGTGCAAACCCCACCTCAACGGGCCGCGCGTCTGTACTATCCACACCTTGAAGCTCAATGGAACTCTGTTCTAGTGGGTATAGAGGAGGCACCGATAGTTTGACGGTCTTAACAGACCGTATCGAAATCGGTAGTCGATCGGGTCTAGGCGGTTGGATAGGAACAACAAACGAGAGCCCATCTTTTGATTTCTGAAACATAGGCAGCCTCCCCAGACGAGCTTCAATCTGCTTAGTCTCAACGGCTCTTCTTTTCTCGGCCTGCGCTTTCTCTTCCGCAGTGTAAACCCGAACCGGCACCTTAGGCGCAGATGACGGCTCTGGTTTCGAGACGTGCTTACTGGACGGCGTAGACACAGTCAAAGATTTCACTCCGTTCACAATTGGCTGACTCTCCAGCTTCTGCTTGCCACCAAAATTCGGCACAAACTTGAGAGTAGGGCCTCGTTCCGTAGTCGTCAGCAAACGCTCAAGGTGTCGGTCCAGTGTGTTCATCCATGTTAACAGGGTCCCCCGACCGCCACTCCTCAGCGTACTATCAACAATGTCGTCAAATCCCCTTGCAACATTATCCTGGAAGGCACTCTCCATTTCGGAATTGACCACTTTGAGAGTGGGTCTTTCACGGCCAGGATATGATGCTGGCACATGCAAAACACATTGTAATTTGTCCAAGTCGAACGGGAAGTCCGGGTCTGAAGGGGCCATTCCAAAAGTGAGTGTTGTGCCCGCATCATCTGTGCTCTCAGCTGGACGGAATCGTCGCCTCATCTGGTTCATCTGGAATTCGCGGGGGTTTGAGCTTTCAGCTTTCGAGAGGGGCCGTTGGCCGGCGGCTGAACTTGTGCTGGTCATTTTGCCGGCTGTGGATGAAGAGTCGTTCATTCAATGCTTACGTGACAGCCAAGATAGAAAGGGAAAGATACAATGCGGTACATCAAAACCACTACAAAACCCGGAAAAGGTTGTCTAGATAAATAGCACGACAACTAGACAACTGTTGAAAACGAAGCTGTATGGGCTTAGACATCTGACGTCGCCGCTGCAAGAAGTGGGTCTCAGGCACTAGTCCTAAAATAGAAAAGCCCCCCTTGCCCCCCACGATGACTCGTGGTGACTCCCAATGATTCAGGCCGAAATGACTCAAGTGTTTTACGATACGAGCCTTACGGCCAAAAACTGCTGTTCCTCACGCTCAGCCACATGGACACTGGGAATAGCTTCCTTTGGGTACATGCACCTCAGTCCCACGGAGATTGGATTTCAATCAAACTGCATTCAGAAATACCGTCCTTAGTCGATTCACCACGGTGACAGGTTTTGTTTGTATTCAATAAATTACCGCTGAACCTCGCTTTTTTATCTCTCACTCCTCTCTCTGTCATCCACGGTCCAAGGTCTACGGGCTAAGTTCCATGCCAATCTCCTTACCTCTTCATCTGTCTTCCTTTGTATCACTCCAAAATCTTGGAATATACTCAATCTTATATGACTTATATACCTGAACATCGGACCACCCTTCCGATCAGGCCATCCCTCAGCTACATTGTAAAATTTCCACACGTGTCAAGCCACCAGCATACGAAGAAGCTTGGTGGTCAGGTTAGCCATCGACTCTAGAACAGAATGCGTCGTTAGCATCCAGGTGGAGTGACGCCGTGCCACACTCAAATTTTAAATCACCCTACTGGGACATGTCTGACACATTTTTCCTCGTAGAGAACACCTAATCATGCCTTACATACTAACGGAGAAAGATTGAAGATAATGCCCCGTGTCGGGGAGAGGGACGGAGCCTGGAGAAAGGCAAATGACCTTGACACAATCTCATAATTGCCTGTGCAATACTTGGGCCCACGACTAGGAAATGATCAAGTCGCGGAGGTCAAGATTCGTGCACTTGATAAGCCCACTAGTTACAAGGTCTGCATTGTCAGTCATGGAGAGAGGTGATTATCACCGAGCGTGGGGAAAAGCTCGCATGAAACAGACGACAGGCTTTGTCGGATTTAAGCTCTTTTGGGGACAAGCAGAGCCACTTATGGTGCCGTTTCCCACCTGTAGGAAGAGTGTCGAAGGCTGTTGGTCGCTCTCTCTTGACCAAAGAGGGTCTCTTGAATGAAGTCGATCCTTTTAGCCCTCGCAGGATTAAGATCAGAAACAGTGGAAGACGTTCTTCCGCATAGCCCAGTCCCTCTCTCTCCATAAAGGAGAAGGGCAAGAGTTTCACCTCAGCCTCTATGTCTACTGTAAGCTTCATGGAGGGTTGCTTGTCAGCACCTTAAAAAAGCACATAGCTTGATAGTACACAGTCAACGCAAGGTCAACTCGGTACCTTGCAGGTTTCCACCCCCTGTGCCCTGACTATCGGACTGGGACAAAGGCAGTCCAGAACTAGAACTGAGTTAAAACAAATTTTCGGATCGAGCCACTTTCACACCCTATTATGTGCGTACTCACCGGGGTTCGGTTTCTTCGTTCACAAAAGCTGCAAGGGGCGGGGGTTTTTTTTTTTTTTTTTCCAATTAGGGCGTCTGGAGTGGTCCGATTCGGAAGCCAACTTACCGGCTAATGCTAAGTACTCCAGTATGGGGGCCAGCCTCTACACATGCGCATTGGCTGGATTGCATCTACTAACTGTAAACTGAAGGTACTTTGCGTCGCATGTCAAGGTGGTGTCAGCAGAATTGGGGTGGTTCCGATTGCTAAAGGGGCTGTGCTCCTGTTTAGTAATGGCTATCCTCATACTTACCGACCAGGGGTTCCAGAATAGGCGTACACATTTGCGTGAAACGGAAATGTAATCCAACTTCCTTATTTTTAGTCGATATCTTCTTGATCCTTGCGCTCCTTTTCTCTTCCTCTTCCTCTTCCTCCTTCCTCCTTCCTTGTCGTCGCGATCTACTCTCGTCGCAGGAATGGCCTCCTTCACTCTCGTCAGCGCCTACGCGGCCGCTGGCCTGCTGGCCATAATCGCCCTCAATGTCTTGCGCCAACTCCTCTTTCGTAGTAAGACTGATCCACCTCTTGTATTTCACTGGGTCCCATTCGTGGGTAGCGCCATTACCTATGGCATGGACCCTTACAAGTTCTTCTTTTCATGCAGACAAAAGGTGAGTCAGGTTTGCGTTGTTTTTTTTTTTTTTGCGTTCGTTTTACTGCTTTGTGTGAAGCCCGTTGCTAATGGATGCGAATCAACAGTATGGTGATATTTTCACCTTCGTGATGTTTGGCCGGAAGATGACGGTGTATCTGGGCATCAAAGGCAACGAATTCATTCTCAATGGCAAGCTGAAGGATGTCAATGCCGAGGAGATCTATAGCCCGCTCACCACACCAGTCTTTGGCTCCGACATTGTGTATGACTGTCCGAACTCGAAGCTTATGGAGCAGAAGAAATTCATCAAATTTGGGCTCACTCAGGCAGCTCTCGAGTCGCATGTCCCTCTAATCGAGAAAGAAGTGCTTGACTACCTCAAGACATCGCCCAACTTCAAAGGCACGTCTGGAAGAGTGGAAGTCACGGATGCCATGGCGGAAATTACCATTTTCACTGCCGGTCGCGCCCTGCAAGGCGAGGAGGTTCGCAAGAAGCTCACTGCTGAATTTGCGGATTTATACCACGACCTGGATAGGGGGTTCACCCCCATCAATTTCCTGCTTCCATGGGCACCGCTGCCACGTAACCGGAAGAGGGACGCAGCTCACGCGCGCATGAGGGAGATCTATATGGGCCTTATCAATGAGCGCCGCAAGAATCCAAACGGCGAGACTTCGGATATGATTTGGAACCTCATGCATAGTACCTACAAGAATGGACAGCCTGTGCCGGACAAGGAGATCGCCCACATCATGATCACTCTGCTAATGGCAGGCCAGCACTCTTCGTCATCCATCAGCTCCTGGATCATGCTGCGACTAGCCTCTGAGCCCGCGATGATGGAGGAGCTCTATCAGGAACAGATCACGAATCTCAGTCCGGATGGAAAGGCCCTTCCGCCACTGCAATACAGCGATCTGGATCATCTGCCACTTCACAATAACGTCATCAAGGAATCTCTGCGCTTGCACCTCTCTATTCACTCTATTATGCGCAAGGTCAAGAACCCAATGCCAGTTCCAGGCACGTCCATCGTTGTCCCCGAAGGCCACGTTCTACTAGCCTCCCCCGGTGTGACCGCTCTCAGTGACGAGTACTTCCCGAACGCAAATCGCTGGGATCCTCATCGCTGGGAGAACCGGGTCGAGAAAGAAGATGAGGATGACCTGGTCGACTACGGCTATGGCATCGTGTCCAAAGGAACATCCAGCCCTTATCTGCCCTTTGGCGCTGGCCGCCATCGCTGCATTGGTGAGAAGTTCGCGTACGTCAACCTGGGAGTGATTGTGGCCACCATCGTGCGCAACCTGAAGTTGTCCAATGTAGATGGCAGAAAGGGAGTTCCTGACACAGACTATTCGTCCATGTTTTCCGGTCCCATGAAGCCCGCCGTTATCGGTTGGGAGCGACGATTCCCGGAGAAATCATGAGTCCTAACCTAATTTTTCTTGTGAAATTCGTTTGATCAGAGCAGATTTCACTGTTCCATTTCGTCTTTGTATAACATGACCATCTTTATGCCAGCTATCTGGAACTAGCCGCTGTTGGTGCTTCGCATTCTGAAAAGGATATGTATGACGTTAGCATTAGATATTGAATAATAATAGTAATACGATGTCCACACCATGCTACTCAATACCCTCGAAGAACTATTAGCAAGAGCAGACAACATCCCAATAGACAAAGACTACAGAAGACCTCAGTCACGAGTCTAGTCAGAGGATTCTAATTTTGGACGACCAGACCCGCTCTGCCTGTGGAGTTACTAAAGATATCATAGTAGTATAGGAAGAACACGCATGAAGCATTGAATACAAGCTGTGAAACAGCCCCATTGCAGATCTATTGAAATAAAAGGCCGTCAGACGAAATAAGACACTATTCACCGGGAAGGACTTAGCGGCGAAACACGCATTTAACCCCGAGCGCTTATTAATGGTGGTAAGCATACTGACAAAGTGGCTGTCGCGGTGAGGATCATGCATGGGGAGGGAGCCCTTTTTCCGCTCTCTCATGCACTGTGCTCGCCCCCAACTTCCCATCAGCCCCTCGCGAGAGAAATAGAAAATCCGCAATTCTCCGGACTCTACTCCACCGTCATGGCACCCAATGCCGAAGCAAACCCGACGATTGCGGCACGCGGACGCCAGCGTGCTGCCTGTGATGAGTGCCGACGCCGCAAGTTGCGCTGCGATGGGCAGCAACCACAATGTAGTGTCTGTCAAGAGACGGGAGTTGTATGTGAGGTGACGCAGCGAGCTGTCCGAGGACCGAAGAAAGGTCACCTGAGGGCCCTGAAAAATCGACTCGTGCACCTAGAGGCTATGTTGGAGAGCCGTGTCCCGGCCCAGCAGCGACAACAGGAGCTCCTCGATAATACCCGATGCAGCAACGAGCCAACGCTCTCCGCATCACCCGTAGAAGTGGCTGGCACCGCTGCGGTTGATCCTACAGGGCCATGGCTGCCAGATACGAGAGCGTCCTCCGCGTCGGAGAGTGCGGCGTTCTTACCTAGTGGCGTCCTGCCTGACTTACTAGCTTCGTTGTCCCATGAAGTACCGTGTTCCTCAACGCTGCCCGTACCTAACACCTGTACTCCTCCCACGGATGTCTTACAGGCCGAACTGTAACCAAAGACCTACCTTTGTGAGAGAAGATAGTACACTACGGCTAATACCTTTCTACCAGAGACCAGCTCTATTTAGATCGCGTGCACCAGTCAATACCTATTCTTCATCAGCGGCGGTACTTGTCATGGTCCAAATCCAGTACCAAGACGATGCCGCGTAGATGCTTGCAGTATGCCATGTGGACTCTGGCCTCGCTGTTGTCGGCCCAGTTCCGCGACATGATAGAGCCATTCTACAGGGAGACCAAGCAGATGCTAGAAAATCTTAGTGCCGAGGGCGATGATCACAGCAGTGTCGGCGTAGAACTCGCTCAGGCGTGGGTGCTTCTCGTGGTATTTGAGTCGATGCGAAGCTATCATCGACAGGCATGGATGAGCGCCGGTCGGGCATTCCGCCTGGTGCAGGCCATGCACTATCATGAAATTGACAGTCCTAATGACAAACATGACACGTCTTCCTCGAAACGTGGAGACTTCATTGAGGTCGAGGAACGTCGCCGGGTGTTCTGGATGGCCTACTTTCTTGATCATATCATTAGCATACGCGATGACTGGCCCATCACGCTGAATGAACATGTGGTAAGGAACGCAATGCAACATATTCAGCACAAGAGCTAGTGCAAATTACAGTCTGACTGATGACCATATTTGACGACGACTCATAGATATGCACCCGGCTTCCAGCTTCAGATACCGGGTTCCAGAGCGGGCACCATGAGCTAGGACCCTTCCTATCCGAAGCCATGACTGAGCCTACTCTCAAAGTACGGTCTTCATTCAACGAGTGTCTCATCCTGGCCACTATTTGTGGGCGTAGCCTGCTTCAGAGCCAACGGTACCACATATCCAAGGCGTACGGAGACATGGTATTAGGCTGGACAGAGCAGCGTCGGTGGCTGGATAGCCTCCTGACATCCAGGCTCCAGGCCATATTGCAATGCTATCCATCACCGACTGAAGCATATGACCCTCTGCTACTATTTGCCAGCATCCTTGGCCAAGCTACAGTTGTCTACTTCTGCAAAGCCATGGCCGGGTCAGTGGCAACGCCCGTCGACCCACTGCTGGGAAACAGCGAATTGTCCAACTATCAAAATCGCGCCTTGGAAGCTTCTGCGACTCTCATCCATCTCGCCACGACGCTGCGCGAGCTACCCTTCTCTAAGGTAAGCCATATAAATGTTTCCATCAAGCCTTGACCAGCTAACACCATTTCGTTTAGATCCATCCGTTAATGCCTATGCCCCTATTTATTTGCGCCGAGTTTCTCTACGACAATATCCATAATGGTGAATCTTTTAGACTGCATCTCCAGGAGCTATTTCACATCTTCCGCGAGCTGAAGAACATCAATAATCACCAACAAAGCTACTTGGATCTACTACCGCAGTCGTGTATATCCAAAACCAACGAACTATTTAAATATACTATCAATGGAGCAATCTAAAGTAATGAATAATAATATTCGGGAATTAGCCAGCCCGATCTTTCATCAGAGTGGACTGCTCTTTTGGTGTATACCACTCGCCCGGCTTCATGATCATGATGTAGTTGATTAATAGATAAAGGAGCACCAGCATGGATGGACAAACTGATCAGCATAAAACTATGGTATAAACCTGCTTATATAGTCAGAAGACTCAAAAGCTACTATAGTTTAGCACAAGGGCCTTACCGAGCTACCATCATGATTAACGCTATCTCGAAGCCTACCACTCAACTATAGAAACAAAATACGAGCTTTCTCTTCGCGGTCTAGTTAAACATCAAACGCTAGGAATATCTGAAATGCAGTAATCCTATGCTTTCTTGATACACTCAGGCTCATTCTCAAGCGCTCTAAAATCCACCTTGCCTAGGGCTCAGACGAGTCATATGATCACCACCTCCCGGTACTTCACTCACGTAGCACGTTCCGGAGGGTTCCAGGAGCTCTCGGTACAATTGACTAGTCTCAAGTGTTAGACTATCTGCATAGCTGTCTATCTAGTCTTAGGACACATTCTGCAAGAAGAGAAATTGTCAATCTGATGCTATTTAAATTGACGCTCTGCAATCAGCCTCGGAGAAACAGTCGGAGAAATAGATGAGAGAACAGGCGGTTTCTACCACAAATTATTTAATTATCCGGGCAGGCATCTGGGGATCCGAAATGAAACAATTAGTTATTTTTCTAGAAAGCTAAGCTGAGTTTTTGGTTTCGAGGGCGAATTAGAAGTCTAGGATGGTATTGTTTTGTAATCTCGACGGGGAAGACAGGAAGTATGGATATCAAGTTTGCCTTCATGTGTCCAGTATTTGCTGCACTAATCTACCATTTTGCCGGCTACTGAGAGTCACTTGTGTTCACAGTGTGATTGTTTCTAGTGGTGCTCTTCTAAAATATGGGTATCGGTGCTCGGCCTTCATGAATGCGAGGTATCTTGTCACTGCAGCGTGCCCCCTTTCGTCTTATCTCCGGGCTGTGTTGTTTGTTGGGCTATATCTATAAGAGGGAGTTCTCTTCTATCAGCTTTAGGGATCGAACTGTCTTTCCACATATATATAATTTTGGGAAGGACCTATTGGTATATTCGCAGAACACACTCTTAGTCCAAGTGGCCGGTATCTCGAGGGAAGCAAGTTGATTTTGAAAATTTCACGATGAGTCTTTTTGAGCGAGGAAACAATGCTCTCAATGTCAATCCTGTGACCGGGGTTGATGGATCGTTGTCTGTGCATGGATCTGACTGGTTCTGGGCTGTCACGGCCATCTATGTTTTGTCCTTCGTGAGCTTCCTTTTGAATACAATCCCTGATTCTCAACTACTTACGTCATGCTGGTCTTCTAACACATGGGGGTCTACAGATTGGCCTTCTGGTGCTCTCCTTCGCGGCAAAAGAAAGTGAGAGGGTCTTCCACTACCTCTTTACCTTCGCCCTCATGGTTGGCGCCATCACCTATTACGCCCAGGCTTCTGATCTTGGTTGGAGTGCTGTTGAGCAGGTCAATAGTCTCAGCAAAGGAGTTGTCCGCCAGATGTTCTACGCCAAGTATATCAACTGGGCTGTCTCCTTCCCTTCGCTCGTCTTGGGACTCGGTCTATTGTCTGGCGTTTCCTGGACCACTATCGTCTGCAACATCGCCCTCGCGTGGTACTGGGTCATCAGCTATCTCATAGCCGCTTACACCACTTCGAACTACAAGTGGGGGTTCTTCGCCTTTGGCACGTTCGCGTGGCTCATTCTTGCTATGAGCACTCTCAACGAGAGCCGCAAAGCCGCAGCCCTGCTTGATGTAGAGCGCGACTATATCATCCTTGCTGGGTGGTTGAATATCCTGTGGGTGCTTTACCCCGTTGCCTTTGGCCTGACCGACGGCGGTAACCGGATCAGCGTCACAGCTTCTGGTATATTCTTCGGTGTTCTCGACGTGCTTATGGTGCCAGTTATGAGCCTCGCTGTCTTGTTCTTCGCCCGCAACTGGGATTACCGCAAGCTGGACATCGCCTTCAGCGACAGCCGTCCCAGCCGAGAGAGCGAAGCCGCGATGAAGGCGCCCGTTAGTGTCACTTTGGATTCCTAGATATCCTCAAAGAGGCTGTACCATCGAATACTTGAGCTTTTGCCTTGCATGTAAGGGCCACTGAGCACTTCCTGCATCTTTTCTTTGGCCGTACTTGTTGTTGAGAAGGTATCCCTGATGTAGTGCCTCAGGCTTTTATTCACCATCAGTCACCTGATCTTAAATAGCTTCGCCTTCTGTTTCTTTCTCTAGACAGATTAATTCGCGTTTCCACATCTTTCCTTCAATCAGGCCGTTGGATTATGTACCTATACAGAGGAATGCCAGTTAGACACCCGAAGTTTAAACCAATCAATTTCGACCGTCCGCAAGAGCCTACCCCAATCAAAACAACATTGTAGTATGTGATTAGGCGGAGTTCCCGCTATAACTGAATTAAAGTTGAGACCTACCTTCAAAGGCCTAGGCATCAAGGTAGGGACAGTCATACAGCGCTGGGGTTACAAGTGGTCAAGCTGTCATCGGGTAAATGGCAAGTGGCGTAAGCCATCAAGTTGAGGCTGAGCGCTTGCCAACTCAGCATCGGAGATTGATTTATGTGTCAAAATAAGAATAATAGTGAGCGTGTGATCAAGAAAATTACGGGCCGTTGGGTGAGATTCAGGGGGAAGGGGGGAGGGAAAAAGCAAAACGTCTGCGCGTGCAAGCATCCGGAATAATCATGGCACACCATCAGTCAAGGCAATGTGCTGATCGACAAGGACCAGGTCTAGAATACAGAGTACAGAAGAGATGCACCATAGACGGAGTGTCATCTATTCTGGGGTGAGGTTCGTGGCACCGTGGTGGAGTGATCTGACCTTCGAATACGATTCTAGGTCGACTGATAACGTCAAGCGTCTCGTTCGCCAGGTGGGGTCGGGGTCTGTGGAGGTCGTCAGCCATGCCTACTGTAAGGCGCTCCATGTAAGGTTGAAACCTGGCGAGGGTGGTAAGCTGGTGAGGTACTTGCCTACCGTCGACTGCATCAATCGGCGCCAAATCCGTTAAGCAGAAACGCGAGGAGATTCCCCAAGAGACACGGATGACTTGTCAGTGGGTTAAGCCCGGATTCTGGGGCAGGGGAAGAATTCGTAGTGTGATGAAATTGCCAGCTCATAGACCTGGTGACCTTAAGATCGGCAGTGCTCAGGTCCTGCCCAATGATATTGAACGAACAACGCAAGCGACAAGGCCAGTTCCCAGATCTGCATCTGCTGGATGAGTGAAAAAGAAAATGAAAAATAGGCGAACCGGTCTGGATGACGACGGCAAGAGACTGGGATTGAAGTGATGAGCACTTGACAAGGTCGGTACTTTTTGTTTGTTCAGTAATGAAATGGAATTCAAGACATGAAGTACAGTTGGACTGAAAGTACTAAGATGTGCCCCCACGTGATCCCCCATGACCACCATGGCGGCATTAAATCCGAGTTCTTCTATAATTGGATCAATTCATGTCAGATGCAATGCAGATTTTTCGTTGTCACTGGCATGGTTCTAGATGTTTACGATCGGCGCCTGATGATATCATCGGCAGGGTCGATAATCAGGTATCAAGAGCCCTTGAGGTTCTCTGTTTCTTTCTTTTCACGCCTGGTTCCTGTACGACTAAACGCTACACAGCGAGTTGTACAATACATCCAGTAAGCTTATCTTGCTATGATTGATTCGAATGAATACCCCAACATCCTGGATGGACTCCATTCTACAGCATGAGTTGCACAAGATCCAACGAGTGTTCCTCGACGCCAATAGATGTCGACCACAAAACCGGATATTTTCTTCCTGGATCGAGACCAAGCATTCTACACCTTTCGACCGATGTGGGTGGCTCAAACAACTCGTGGACGTCTAGTTGGGGAGTTTTTAAGGATTCTTCCACCCCTCCCAACGAGGGTCGTTCAACCTTATAATATCCATTAAAGTGTATTTGACGGTTGGACTTCTGTACACGCAGGGTAAGATCAGGATTTTTGACTGATAACGATATGCATCTCACCATGACATGCAGCTGGCTATCGGCAGCTCCGGGCTGCACCTGCAGTGGAATTCTGGTTGAGAATTCCCAAAGCGCCGTGGCCCATGTCGTGGGAGAAATAACTGAACCCATTATACGGGTACGTCAGCGTTACTTTCTTTTGCCGCCAAAAAACACGATGATTTTATAGTTGAGTCGAGGTAGAGATAAAGTACTCGCAAGTATACTCGTAAAGCAGAAGTACCCCCCGTATGTAATCCCAAGTTCTGATACGACTCCAAACCGGAACGATGATACGCATCTAGAATTACGCCGATCTAGATCCTTCACTTTAATAGACTTCCCGACACCACTCCAATGCTGCTAAAGTTTCCGCCAGAGCAATCGATACTAAAACCGCCACAAACCTACCATCAAGCCCCCATTGATAAACAAGAATTTACTCGATGATTCAACCCTTGATCCTGGTGTGTCTCGAAAACGGGAAAGATGGAGGGCAGTGGAAAGGCGTTTCCACCCCTTCCAGCTTCATCTCCAACTATTTCCCCCCGCCAGAGTTGGACCCACCGGAACTCCCGCAACCCCTCACAAACAAAATGCTCCGCTGAGACTTAATATTTCTAAATTCTAAGACCTTTTATTTTTCAACTCGGGCGGTTCGCTGTTCCATCACAACGAGTCAGAGGTCGAATAGGCCCGGAATGCAACCTCGCTCCACTACACGAAAATAATCAGGAACCTCTTCCTCCCTTCTCCCATCCCAATGTAGGCGTTTTAGGTTCATGCTCGAAATTTCAATTTTTTGCAGTGTCCCCAATTTTTGGTGTTACCGCAAATGTCGGCTTTTGGTTATACATACCCTAACGGGGCACCCTCCCCCAGTTCCGAGTCAATGGGCTGATACCCCAGAAAAACCCCAGTTCCGCAACGTAACGAGCAGTTGCCAGAACTCTATCGATAACACAGGCCAGCAGAGAGGTCAAGCATCGACTGCCCTAAATAGAGGCCATATATACCTAATTTTCGAGCTCGTAATAACTGGATTCTGGTACCTTACGGGGCAGAAACTGGGAATGACGCTATCCCTGAGACGTTGAGTAGATTCGCACCATTGTCGGAAGTTCAGATCAGGATACTTCTGGCTTCGGCACTAGAAGGGGACACGAGGATATGGCTCCGTTCCCATTGGAGCACAAGGCAGATCGAAGTTCCGTCTATCGTTAAGGCTGTTTCGGCTTCATGTGGTAGCTGGGTGAGCTATCCGCTTTATACCGACAAAGGGGTTGTCCGGGGTGTTTTCGAGATCGGTATAAGCTTTTCCTTGTTGAGCCAGCGTAGTCTAGGCTCGCGATGACGTACTTCTTGTGTGGGCTTGTTCTCGATATACCAAAAGATATTGTGAGTCCTAAGTGTCTGTCTAACAGCAATGGATTTGCCTATCTGGGAGAGCTTCGATTGTATGGTTAGTGAGAAATACCCAAATCATCCTATGGATTTAAGGAGCAATCAAAAGGCAATGAATGGGAACCGCACAACGCAATTAAATGCATCTAGATGCTAGAATCGATAGAAAGATTCGACCATTTCCGAGTAAGCAACCTTCACACCTGCTGTACTACCTGATACAGGCTTGCAGGGTACTTACTGACTTAGGTTACACACGGATCCCCTTCATTCAAGCATAACGCCTATCGCAGCAATGGCATTCAATCTTCCCTGCCCTTTTAATTTCTGCATAATCACATCTTTGACACTTGTTCGAATTGTAAATAGTCAATCTCTACTATAATGCATTGATACGAGTCTCGTTGCATACATGGTCTCTCTACAGAAAAACTACTTTTCAGGGACGTATAGCGGTCTTGCGCAGAGGTACAGAGAAAATAAACCAGCTAAAGCAAGCCAACAACAGTCGTTGGATCTTCTTTCTAGAAACAGTAGTCATATCGCTTAGCTCTTATGGCCTAGTACTAGTAATATACAAACAGAGACCAATACAATATCATCATTTAGTGGGATGATGCTTGTAACGTGCTACGTCCATTCGAACATCGAAGACAAGGCCATGCTACCTTGCCGCACATATCATAAGGACTCTATTGCATGTACCCTATTTTTTCGTCTGACTTATCTTTTAGGGCAGCGAGATCTCATGAGAATCATGTGATGCGAATGAATCTATGTAGGGCAGTTAAGTGTTATCCACCTCCAAAGCTACATTATATTGAAAAGGGTGATTGTATCAGACGCATGTAATCAAATTACCGCAGGCCTGCTTTTATTGCGCGATACACAAACGAATTTTGGATCCGGGTTTCCCAATTGTATACCCTACAGGATTAGAACTTAGGGAAATACAAAAAGCATCAGCTGACCTCGATTGCCTCCAATGATTAACTAGCTCAAAAAGGAGAGGTGCGGTGACAATCAACCATTAATCCCAATCCTATAGCTCAATACACACAAAGCAGGATAGGTCTCATCCCCAAAAGCAACCAACAAAACGCACAGAAAAAGAAAAAAAGAACATAGGACAAGTTTCTCCGTGATTACTCCGCTCCCAGAACCAAACCTCACATCCCAAGAACAGTACAGCTAATCCACCAATAACAGTCGCGCCCAGTCAAGGTAAACCCCCGAAAAACGGTAAAGCTACAACCCTGTGCTCCGAATAATATCCCCGAATGCTCCAAAATACGGACGCTCAGCAGGCAATTGAATTCTACCTGGAAGCTTGCGCGTTTTCCATGGCAAGTCTAGCAGCGTTCCATACATACACAGAGGATGGTGTTGAAATCCGTCCGTGTCGGACGGAGCAAAGTCCTCCGAGTGATCTTTGTAATTAGTAACTAGTCCGCAGGCCGCGGCCACCATTCGATTTTCGAGCGCCTACTTGGTTGATATACTCCGCTTCTGCGGAGTAGCCGGGTAACTAGAATAAAGCAGTAGGAGAGTGATGGTGGCCATCAGAATACAATCACCTGTTGTTGCAGTTAAAATTTTTTTTTTGGCGGAGCAAACTCGGTGATCTCTCTGATTTGCGGTGTCTTCCGCTATACCAATTGTCCTTTATGGCAATCGAAAAGCGCAAGCAAGAGGGAGAAAAGCAATTATCAGATAAAAGATAAATAAAATAAAAAAGACACAAAGCGATATGCATCCATATGCATGCCCTAAGGTACCTTACCCTACAGAGCCATGATCACGAGCCGCCTCAACACCAATAACACTGTTCATCATCTCGCTAGCGCCAATTCACTACACAGAGATACTACCTAGTAAAGTATCCCCCACGAGAACCACGGAGCCGATGACAAAAGCAAAACCATAGAGCAAAAAAAATAATAATATAAAATAAAATAAATTACAATTATACTAATAGTCTTGATCAAATTCAATTGGGCATCGGTCCTGACCTGTTTCTCGGGCACCTATAGGTTGCTCTTCACGCAGGAAGTCATGAGTTACCCTTGAAATCCTTATACTCTGTTGAGAAGTGGATTTTATTACCAATTACACAGGTGCACCCAGAACCCGCGAGAACCGCCGTCTAATGTATGTAATAATGCATGTTTTACCAGGTGAAATTTTTTTTCTCCGGTAATGGGTATAATACCATACTACGCCTAGATAGTACTAGCGTATAGATATTTCCATCCCACACCCATGTATTCCCTTTTCTAGAACTTTTCTCGAAGCCACGAGCTAGAAACCTTGTTTGTCTACCGTAAAGGACGTACGGTTGTGGCATGTGATCAACCAAGGGTGGCCTTCACGCCGCCGTCGCAATCTATTACTGTATATTGGCATTGGCCCTGGCCCTGTTCGGGGTCCTGGCCCTTCGGGAATATACTCTTATATGGGAAGGAAGCGCGGGGCTGGAGATAGCATTTAAGTGTGTTATGGCGCTAATTAAGAAGACGGCATTATATGGGTAAGTGGGTTTTGCATGTATTGCATGGGTTAGTTGCACGGAGGACCGTGTATAGTACAATTTAGTTCGGTAGATTTAATATTGAAAAATGGGGTAGGATATTTTGTTTCACCCGGTTTGTCTCTTTTTTAATTTGCACTTTGTATCTTCATTCTCCACATTGAAAATTCTTGTTGGCGATGCTGTCATCGGGATATGTGTCTGTTCTGATTTAATCGCCTCACACCGCCCTGTCGCTCATATCTCCCAACACTGTTTCTCACCGTACGAGTCTCCATAGCTAATACTATCGCTTTCAACAATGTCATATGGCTAGTTGGAGCCGACCGTTGTTCGGTGCTGCCCAAGGCTCGGCTTCATCCCGAATTGTCGAGATGGTCTAAAGATAGTGTGAAACACAGACCGAGAGGCAACAAAACTTCCCCCCCAATCAAGAAAATAGAAATAACAATAAATGAATATAATACTAGGCCACGGTATCGCCTTTGAGTTGTGCTGTGGCTATAGATACCACCCAGAGTCTGTCCAATAGAGAAAACAATTGCAGTCGTTGGATAGATGGTCTAGATCTCGACAGACCAGGGTCATGAGACTCATTTCAAATCGAATGCTGCTTCGTCGTCTTGAATTTTCCACGTGGTATTATACATACGACGTAAGACATCTCACGAAATCTCGGAGTCCATGTTAATGGTTAGCTGACGAAGGAGGATCATCGGGATCCGGAGGACAGTCTTCCAGCACATCCCGAGTTCGCATCGGCATGCCGAACTGGGGATGCAATGTTGACCGGGCCACATTCGACCTTATCAGGTTACTATATGCAGAACCACACGGTAAAGCTTAGGTGGTTTGGAGCCATAATCTCACAGACAGGTTCAGTTCCCATTCTAAACTGCATCCGGTGAAGTGTCTCTACCGTCATGGCCACATACTGTAGTGTAAATCCAGTCAATTCTCCACACATCAACCCTAATCTGATACATTGAAATCAAGGCAGAGAAAGGGACGGAGTCAAGTTGAGTTGAGCTAAACCCACCCCCCATTTTCATCTTTTCACCAAAACAGGCCCAGAGTACCAGATACCCGTCACCCCCATACACGGTCATTGTATAACACCAGTACCGGTGAACAACTAGAATGGACAACTCCACTCCACGAATCAGCCATCTGCCGGACCTTCAATCGACCCACCAAATGACCCGCAACCACGCATCTTTAGAATTTAGAGAAAGGTGACTCAGGCAGCAACAAGGACATAAAACGGAAAATAAAATAAACAAAATAAGAAAAGGAGGGTCCACACAAGTCATCCTTTTCCCACATGATCACGCGGTAAACCATTTCAGGCAAGGCTTCCCCAAACCGAGCCCCCAATTGACTCCACCGTCCGGGTCTGGTCGTTGCGTACCAGCCACAGCTGGGCTGCCATCTTTTGCTCCACGTTCGTCTCGGGCACGGCCGGATGTCAAATTTTCGACCTTTGCTTGCCCTGATTCGGTAGGCGTCGGGAAATTCAGGAATGGGCGCGTTTCGCTTGTGGGGAGGCTCTGCAGTAGGCCATGGGTCCTACGGTCTGGATTTTGCACCTTAGTTGGATGTACATACATACTATGTTATGCTGTTTCTTGCACATGACTAGTTAGTCTAGTATTACAGGCTACTACTCACACCGTAGTTGTCTTAGGGCACTTTGATTGTACTGGAAGTGGGTTTGAGCCCCATTGCTGTATTGCAGTTTGGCTTTTGTTTTACAATGCAACATGTGCAGGTTGGTTACATCATACCGCTGGCGGAGCACTGCGCACCGAAATCAATGTCAATAACATTAACAATCCGATTGATATGATATTCTGCCACGTCAGATGTCTCTTTTAGGCAATATGATATACAGATTTTTTTATAGATTCTACTTGCTCGGTAGGTGATATTCTATATCCCCTCGATCAAAAAATAGAAAAGAAACCGGATATCCAGACGGAGAATTATCGTTCCAATCACGGGCTTTGACCTTGTTAGATCTGCCGCCAAGAGATGGGATATACTCTCCGTGAGGGATACCTGCACATGTAACCGGGCAGCAAAATGATCTGATCTGCAGCAAAATTCTCAATGATAAGATGATAATGTAAATCTGTTATGTATGCTAGTTGTAGCACATGTCTCATTCTATGCAACAGAAATACTATTCTATTGTCCACATCTATCAACAAGCTTCCCATATGATGTACCCAACAATACAACACATACAAATAAAAGTACATACACAACCCCAGCCCAACACAACACACTAAAATCGAAGAAAAAAGTATCGATAGTTCATACCCACAACATCCAAACCCAAGGGGCCATAAACATCCAAGAAAACCTCATGGAAGCAAAAAGTTTCCGCCCAACCATCAGAATGCTATCACCCGGAAACTCAATGCGAGGCATAAATCACAATTCCAATCCAAACTGAACACCACACCCTCCAAGAAAGAAAAAAGGACAAAGAAGGTCTAAACATAACCTCTACATCATAGCTTCGCTTCGATTGCTCCAATCGCCGTAGATGGTAGGAATACATCAACTGTTTGGGGGGGAGGCAAGGGCAGATGATGTTATAGTTTATGCCGGGTTACCTCATTGGCAATCCGAGTGGTTCCGCCGCCTCATTCTCGTCATACCTTGACAATTTATCCCAAGCTTGGTATGACAGATAAGACAAATGTAGGAAAACAAATTTAAAGAAATTGAGCAGATTAGGTAGAGGAGGTGTGATAAAACAAAGATGAGATGGGGGGAGGAACCCTCCGGTCGTCAACCTCCATCCATCCATCCTGGGGGATATAATGAGTGATATAATCACCAGATTAATGGGAATGGGCCAGTGCAGGTGAGGGGATCAATGCGATGATTCTAGATCTCGACAGGTACGATTTTTGGAGATATCGCTGGTGCCGCGGATGTTTTTCCAACCACTCAGAACTCTGGGGTTGGGTGGTCAATTCGATCCCTGCTCTGGATGGACGCTTATTTAATACATGGCTTGTGCGCAATACGTGTCAGTGCACGGCCAGAAGGTTCCAACTTTGGATTATAAGTTTCAAATCGATCGATCCTATATGAAAAGAAAAAATCATTTGGTCACTGGACTCTATTGGAGGAATTCTTCACTTTTAATTTTTTTTCATAAATCACAATTTAGCGTACATGGCATGTGCAGACCAAACCCCCCAGAGGAGGACCCAGTAGAGAAGGTGAGGAACAAAATCAAAAGCATATGTATGGTATCTGGTATCAGAACAAATAAAAACGTAAAAAAAAAAAGAAAGCACAGGGACAAAAAGGCTTCAAATGCATCGAATGATACCAACGACGTTTTTCTGCTAAGATGCAGTCACGAGACGCAGGAATGACATCCATCAAAGGCCTCTTTTAGAATTCCACCCAACCCCCACAGAAGGAGAACCCATGCCAAATCTGAATCGCAACCGTTCCGCCCGCCATTGAAGGTAAAAGGAGATCATCTGTACAAGATTAATCGCTCTTGAGGTTTTGTCCTCAATGTGGCTCGTATAATAGTAACATAACGGATAGCCACACAATGCCATGAAAAGAAAATAGAGAAAAGAGAACAAGAGCTGGGAAAGAAGAAAACCAAAGACCCGAAAAAAAAAGAAGTATTAGGTCGGAAATAACAACATATAATCCATAGCTGCGCCAAAATGCAATGCAGAGTCGTGATCGTACGTGTCACAGGGATATTCAATCGGCGGCTTTACATAGACGATAAAGAAACGCGTTGAAGTTGGGGGTATCATAGTCAATAAACATTACCCATCCACCGGAGGATATGTCATGACACAGATAACAAAACTTGAGGCAGAGAAATGAAGTAGAAAGCAAGCGAATTTTTTGAGTTAACATCGATAGTGACTGTCGTTCCAAGTTGCGATCGTCATGATCTCTTTACCAACCCTTCGCGTGGTACTCCCATGGCCCGAAATCAGTGTATTGATTGAAGGAAGCAGTCTTCGCCATATCCTTTTCTTTGTTCTGATTGGCCGCGCCCGGATTAGCCATACCAACGCCCTGGGCGTTTTGTGCGCCTTTAGGATTGGGATACTCCTGCAAATTCGCCATATCATGTGCAGTGTGTCTCCGCTTGAGGAAGGCATTGGCGGTCGCACTCTTCTGTTGTCGTTCCCATAGTAAATGACGCCGGAGGGACTCCGTCAGTTCAGTGGCAAGCATGTTTCGTCGCGTGGTCCTCGGTGAATGAGCGACCGACTGCGGAGTAGCCTTCATGACTATTGGCTTCGATCGAGGGACACCAGGGCCACGCATTGTCAGGTTATCCTCATCATCGGGCGGGGACGATGGGCCGTTAGGTGATGTCATACGCGACCGCTGCAGGGCCGGGGTAGAGCGGGTTGGGGCCCCCATTTTAGTTGGTTGGTGCATCATCATCGTCAACATGGAGCGTCGTGAGACGAGGTTAGGCTTTGAATCAACCCGCTGGAACATTTCTCTCTCCTCGGGACTCGAGCGTCCGCTCTCCGTAATAGAATCTTCCCAGTCAGAATCCTCATCCTCAATAGCACTCTCATCAACCTCGTCGTCCTCGGTCTCGATAGCATCCTCATCATTAACAGGGCGTTCTTTGACGGGCTTTATAGTGTCATCTTGTTCCTTAAATGAAGTCACCTTCTTTTTAGGAATAGATTCGCCGGTCGCCGACCTCGACAGCTCATCGGAGAGGGAACTGCGATGGGGGCCGCGCAAAACCATGCGTTCTTCAAAGGAGCTCTCATCGTCATCACCTGAAGAACCACCAAGCGTAAACATTCCACCCTTCTTCTTGAAAGGCGTCGGCTTGAGTTGAGTGGAGCTCTTTGCGGGACTGGGCTCGGCCGTCATTCTAGGCTGCGACCGATAAGATGAGGAGATGATAGAAGGAGAGAATCCACGGACAATGCTCGGAGATTTGATCAACCCAGGCCGAGATGGAAGAATTTCTGAAGAAGACACGCTCGTATCAGAAGCATTCGCGTTAGCAGCATCACTGTCATTGCAATCCGGCGCAGTAGTGGAACAAGACTCGGTAGAGTGGTTCGGTTGTTGAATGGCAGGATATGACGGTGGCGGTGAGGGTGCTCGCTTCACAGTTGACTCAGAAGGAGGGGTAGGGGTTGGTGTAGACGGCCGAGGTGTGATATCAACGACGGGAGGCGAAACCGTAGCCATTACGGTAGAGATGGGTTCAAGATTCTTCTTCTCCTTAATGCTCATAACCATGCGTTCGAGGCCCAGCGATGTAATGTGTTTTTCTTTCCCACGGCCGAGACTTGCCATAGAATCCTCACGAACAACGGTGGGCTTAATCTCACACTTGGGGCGCTTAATGTGATGTTCAATTCTCTCCGCTTGGTCAGATGCAGCAGATTCGACACTAGCAGAAAGTTCTGGCATGTCCGGGGTCTCCTGGCGTAGGAGTGGCAAAACCGAGGCATCGCTCGACGTCGCTGGCTCCACGCAGAAAGTCTCACGTGTCCATAGTCTCCAACTTAGGTTTTCGAGTCGACGGCCTTCCTCCATGTAATCTGCACATTTCGAGAAAACTGTTTGATGTGGTCAATGTAAATTCCAAATAGCAAGGTGACCTGCAAGAACAGCACTCACCCATCCACATTCCATGAAGACTCTGCGCATTGGCTGTGTCCACCTTGTGGATTTTGGCCGTGTCCACCGTGACAACAGGAGTAGTTAAACGTGAAGGCATCCTGCATACAATTCAATCCCAACTTTTACCAATAACGTTCCTAGCAACTCTCTCCACGCGGAAATTCAGTACGGGGTCGCCGTCTCCCCCGATCGTGGTCGTACGGCGCGAAGGTGATGATATGGAAAATCTCTCTAGTCCTTCAGGCTTCACCCCAAAGATACAACCCGATTTGATTGGTTTGCAGTGTGCTGCAATTGTCTTGAGCAAGGAATGGCGCCCCAGCCAGCAAATCTCCGATGCGAGCAGATCTAGGTCTTTGGTGCAGTAAGTACTGTTAAACCAGTAATCACAAGTTGAGTAGGGCGTAATGATGTTCAATCCTTTAGACCCGCACGAAAAGGCTAGATCTATTATGCGGAGGCAGAGATCGGCTAAAAAAAAGGTGAACGACGGTCGGGGCTAAAAGTCGAAGGTCGATGAGTCGGTTAGTAGTGGAAGAATGTATATGTGCCGGAGCCGGGGAGAAGTATAGAGGGTCCGGGAGGATTGTCGTTCGTGGCGGAGAGAATTGGGGTGAGGAGGAAGGAGGAAAAGTGAAAAGTGAAAAAAAAATTGAAAGAGGAATATGGGGGAGGAGAGACTTAGTAGGTGGAGCGAACTAAGAAGGGAGGAAAAGAGAGAAATAGAATAGATCGTTGTGAATGACGGGGTCGGTGGAGATGGTGGGAAGGGAAGGCGTATGAGAATGGTAACGGTACCAGGGGAGGGCCGCGAAGAAAAAGGATATCGAGAGTGGCCACCGTAAAAGCCCAACGAGAGGGTACCGAGGGACAGGTTCTAAGGTATGGATGGGGATGGGATGGCGGTAAGTAAAAGGATGGATCCTAGTCGCGCCTTCGTCTCTCCATGGTCCGGACCTGGATTGTTACAAAAAAATTTTATTTAATTTTTTTTAATAATAGTCGAATTTATTTTCTTATTTTTTTATTTTTTTTAGTGTGTTACTTCCGGAGTACCCCCATGGGTCGGCTGGTATTCCATACATTGTCATAACAATCAGTAAGATTACCGGGCTGTTTCCGGAGTTCCACCCAAGAAAAAAGTACGGAACTTGGGGGTAATCATACATATGGGTGGTTGTACTAACACTCAGGAAGCCAACAGGTATGGATAGATCCACTTTACCGCAACCATCTTGCGGGCTTTTTGCTCCTGTACTTACTTAGATTCACTATGAAGTACATGTATGTACATCGACAGAACACGAAGCTTCTCAGTTGACGATGTAGCATCACCAACAAATTGAATGAGTATTAGGACTCAATGACTATGAATGAGTAATCTCGGCCTAAAAATATCCATACCCATAACAAATAGGCCGAACTGCAAGAGGGTAAAAAAGAAGCAACTGGTTCTAGACAAACATTCAGACAAAGATCGACTTGTCCTGTGACCTTCCCTCCGCTGCTGACTAAGGGACGATGGATTCCCCTTTGCAGTTTCAATCGATCACTCCATCGCTCACGGGGTCACTTGACTCCTCAAAAACGGGGCCATGATGATTGGCGCAGGCCGCTTGCTGTTGATATCACTCCACTAAGTATTACCCATTCTCTCTCTGGTAGAGGGCATCCTTCCCCTATGATTGAACGCAGACCGCTCTGGCAGCTTCGGCCATTATCCATGTTGATTCTCGCTGTTTTGACGTACAGGTCTTGTCCACAGCTCAGGTACCTTCCCTACAGAACCTCCGCAAGCTCCAGCGCCACCTCGTAGATTGCCCAGCACGATTTCTCAAGAGTCCTGCTGACTTTCTGCTGGAGCCGTCTTGATGCAATTGTGTTCGCCACGGGCATGTTTTCGGCCACATTCAATACATTAATTGCCCTGGGTTGAGGTTCTGGACTACATCTCAAGCCACATTTTTTGCTTTCTTTTTCTCTCGCCAGATGATTTCATTAGCGCAAGACCATTTTTCCCGGCCGTTGAATATAATTTGAAGTTTATCCGCCATCATCAACCAAAGTCCCTGTGAATGTAGCTGTGCCTCCATCCTTCTGACACGTCGGCATTTTTGGTCAACACATCCCGATCCAAAAAAAAAAAGGGCTAAACAACGCCCTGCTATTAACCGGTGGTATGCATGTACCATCAAAATGCCCCCAGGTTGAGGTCGCATACCGGGGAAACGCTACACGGTTTCCGATCTTGCTGATCATTTCAGCTATGGATGTTCAATTATGCATGGCTCTTATCGGTTCCTTGATTGATCTCTGCTGCTATGTATGTAGCTATCCTAGTGTACACAGTCCAGTATTCAATCTTCTAGTTTCCCCTCCCTCCTATCATGCGGACCTTCTCTCCCTAAAGTCTTGAAGCATTGCTCAGTGCTACAAATCATAAACTCCGTCTCTATCCCTAGCGGGATGCCGTATTTCGCCCCCAGAATTGAACAGCCAACACGAAAGGGGGCTGTCAACGGGTAATGTCACAGCTGCCCGCTTCCTCTACTAACAATAGTCACAAGGTGAGGTTTTGCCAGCTGTCACCGGTAAACGCGTAGTCAAATGATATCAACATGACCGCAGACTTGGGACATCTGGATAAGATCGTAGAGTATACACATATGTGTATCCATAAACGATAACCGCTTGACACCCCATGCCCCATATTTTGTGTTTTGTTTGGTACTTTTAGCCTTTAGCCGCTCATTACCTTTAGCCTTTTTCCTTAAATTTTTATTTTTTATTTTTTACCTTTTATTATTATTATTGTTATTATTTTGAGTGTCACGGGGCTCTAAAGACTTTTTTTAGTCCCATTTTCTTTTTTCCCCTTCCATAGTCCCCTGTCTCATAATACTGGGCCCAAAACGCCACAGTTTGATATACCCCCCAGTTCCCCAGATATGTGGTTCGGGGCGCTGGGATGAAGGAGATCTCCCCGATTCACTCATCACCTATCAGCCTCGAAACCCATTCTCCCTTCCCTTTAATTTGCTCTTCGTTTTCCTTCTTGCAACTTCCCGTCAGCCCCAGAGTAACACATTTCGCACGTTTCATCAATCATGTGATAATAACTCCACGTCAAGGGCTCCAGCTCCGAGAACACCTGATTGATGAGTTGTAAGATTCGGTTCCATCTCAGTGACAACCCCCCGCATGATTTCTTGCCTATCGGACTATATCGGTGGACATGAAATGATATGATGTCTTGGTTCAGCTTAATGATAAACATATCCAGATTCGTACGTAACCTCCTCGAAGCAAAATTAAAACCAAACCCAAAAAGAAAAAAACATTAAATAAAATAAAACCCAGCTGATTGATTATAAAGGAGAGAGAGATAGTGGCTCGGCTTATTATCTTTCCCAAAAAAAGCCTTGTAACATAAACATAACATCTACAAGCGCAAGGCCCCATTCTCATCCTGCTTGCCCGGATTTCGCTACTTTCCAGGTACCTACAGTACAGGCTTTCGCCCAACCATTATGGGCTCCGTTTAATGCCGCATTTATTTGCATTAGTAGAGAGTGCCCTGCCCCGTCCGCTGGCAATTACCGGAAATGGAAAAGAACATCAATAAGCGCGATAATCATTGACGTTGACTTGGCTGGAGCGAGGATTAGGATTAGTATTATTACGATTATTATTATTATTACTCCGTAGTTAAGGGTGCGGAGTACAGTAGTAGTATGTACTGTTATATACATTTTGCGCAGGTTGTCGAAGCTTGACTCGTTGCGAAGTAATCTTATTCGGTGCTGCTGCGTAGTTTTGACTTCCCAGCTACTTGGGTGGAAATCTCCACTGTTTCTGTCGTGCATATACTCCTATATCCATGCATACAATACTTGCCAAAGTCGTTGTCGGCATCATTAGACTTACTTAGACTTGGGTCCAACCTTGCATCGCAGAACCCAACGTCAAATTCAATACCAGAAAGAAACCAATATTAAGAAAAGAGAAGGGGCGCAAGACGAATGAGTTACAACCTGACCTCATTCCACCCATTGACTAGAAGCTTAACTTCCCGTCTTCTGGAAATTCGCCCCTCTTTCAATCCTTATTGTTTTCATAGATCGATGCAATGATGTCGGGGACGGCTGTTCAGCTGCCCATCATACATGCATGTAATCGTTCCACGGTGACGAGAGAGAGCGAGCCACGTAGCTGCGCCTTAATCCCGCTGAACAGGTTCAGGTCCAACTGGGGGGTATCATGCTGCAGGGTCTTCCGGGAAGGAAATGAAAAGCAAGAATTTTTTTCCATTTTCATTTTTATTTTTATTTTTTTTTTAACTTGCGGAGTACTTACTTACTTCCAGAAGCATTGGGGTACGTGCGTGTCGGGGGTTACATTTGACATTCTTGATGCCGATATTTTCTCCCCCCAAAATCGACTGGATCCGATCGATCTACCTTTTTGGTTTTTATTTTCTTTTCCTGTTTTGTTCACGGCGGGAATGTAATGTTCTGTTCCTCTTACGTTGGACTGGTTACTGGATGGAAGGACAAGTACTGTACCCTAGGTAGGAGTGAGTGGTGATGATTACTAGAAGTTAATTAAGCTTATGGGGGGGAAAAGAAAAAAATGTATGGGGATGTTCGGCGATCCGTATTTCTTGATTTTCGTACTTCCATACATATGTAAGTACATCGAAGTAGATGTAGATATACATCGACAACTTACCTTGTATGTACTCTTGTAGCTAGATACTGTACTACAGTCATGATAGCAACAAAACAGGTACAGGCAAGCTAGTTTTCCCGTCTTTGACCTCATGAGGCGCAAGAATAATAAAAAAAAAAAAATGTCCGACCGTCTCATGATCCAAGTTCTAGACAAAGGGAAACGGCAACCTTCGAGAAGACAATTGGAACTCGGTGACCAAATCTGTGTTTTTCTCGGGCTCTCAACCAACCACTTCTCGGGCTCTAAATGGGACATATCATACTCATAGTAGGTTTCTAACTATCTTTTTCCCATGTGTCCGATAGAGAAGGTTAATCTCGGACTTTCTGAGGGAATAAAACTTATCCTTCTGTTGGACTGGATACTGTTGCGCCCGGCCGGAGGGTTGTTTCATGGTACTATCTTAACGTTTATATTTTCAGTTTTGTTTAGGATTTGAACTGGCTAACATTATTTGAGGATAAGGGAAATTTTGATTAAATTAGAGATTGATGAGAGCGAACGACCGACTTCCCTCTCATCCGAAAAGTTGCCGAAAACTCACGGCTACGAGGTATCCATCTTTTTTTGTGGTTCGCTGTTCTGATTTATTTCAGCATACTTCTTTTTCGTAAAGGATAGCACTTGAAGCTTAACACTAGGTTAACGTTACGTTAGGCCCTACCAAATACTAGCCTCACTTCGGGAGAAAGGTAAGAGAAGTAAGTACCGATTGAGACGACTATCGATGTGGCGGAGTCAATAATGGGGAGGGTAGGTAGTAAATGGGCAAATACCAATGGGTCCAAAGTAGGTATACATGGAATACCTCAGTGCAAGACAGTAACTATTCGGTACAGGTACCGCATTACCTGTACGACCTTGGGTGATACTACATCTGCCCCTTAACGTGGGGGAGAAGGATTGAAGAGGCTTAGTGGCGAAAAAAATTAAGAAAGTCACAAGAACAATTCCCCTGTCACATGATGTGGGGTCGGTCCGCGGCATTACGAGACAGAAGGAGGCAAAAGCGCCTGTCATCGGCCGGTAGATGATCAATTAGACTCACGGCGATGAGAGGAGTGGATGACGTTTACTTCTGGTAAGTGGCATTATCCCTGTTGGAAGACGTCAATGTTTTCCATTTCATCATTGCCTCGGTCTGGATAACGGAGTATCTCCCCCACCTCTTTCCCTCCTCTTTTGCTCCTTTCCGGTAGATGTCTGGGATGCCTCGGATCCTGGTGGATGTTCATTATACGGAGAGTAAGGAGATGGATGTAGCCTGCTGTTCGAAAGGGTAATAGTGCCGATGTGTTCACCGGTCTTCTCAATGGCATCCCCAATTGCAGCGGTGAAATAAGCAATATCCCCTATAGATAACGGAGGACCTCAGTCCGGTCTCTTACTAAACTCGTGTGTACTCTTGCATACTTGCATGCATAGTACGTCTTTAGAATGCGGTATACTGAACGGGGTATTCCGTGAAGAGTATCTAAATAGGGACAACATCAGGTGCCTTCTCCAGATCGGTCAGAGAATTGCCTAGACCACATCGGCCAAATTTAGTTTTGTTGTGGCTGGTTTGGGCTCGGGGCCTGAACAAAGGAGTTTGATAGCCACCACTGCTCGATGTTGCTAGAGCATAGAATCAACTGGCGTATCCTTGATTGACCAGCATAGAGAGGACCGGGAGCAGAGGCATGAATGTGCGTACGCACATCCATTTCTGATGTTGATCCCGGCCAGTCCAGCCCTACATATATATCAAAGATGTTTCAGGCGCCCCTTCTCTTCTAAGTCCTGATATGCATAGCTTAAAGCTTGAATTGGCGCACAGATAATAGTATCGTGAGCTTGAAAAGGTCTAACCCTTTTAAGGGCCGAAGGGATACAGGTGCGACAAGGAGTAGAATACCTGTGTCAGGTACCTGTTGCCAGAGATCGAGCAACAGCAACAACCACAATAAAGGGACTGACTGTGTTTCGATCTCCTTCGTTATAGACGTATTTCGCCCCATTTCCCTGGTGTTCTGGAAGCCTTAGTCCACACAGACAAGCGTAACGTCCAAAGCCAAATCCCCAGAACAGAAAGAGAAAACCAAAGGGAAACTGGGTACCTTCGAGCAGTCACATTCCACACATATTTGCCCTCAGACCTGCATCCCCGACCAACTTTTTTTCTTTTTTGCGCCATGATCAACATCAACTATGTAGCTCCCTACCACCCGAAAGGTCTTAGTACATAGCAAATAGACCGATTGGAAACCTGTCCTTTGTTCGAGAAATTGGAACTAGTGGTCAATTATGCGATCTTGCAGGCTAGCTCTAACCCTCGTCCCCTCTCCTAAGGCGGATGCAAGGGTTGCGCGGATCGCGGGTTAAACCCTGAACAAAGGACGATCTTAGTCAGGGGAGCCGTTGGACTGTGACCTCCATGGTCCTTGAAACAGGGAGAGTTGCGGAAATGGAGGGAGATAAATGGATCTATTCTTGGGATGACTGTTTGTTATTCGCAATAGTAGGGCTAGGTATATACAACGTAGAAGATCCGTGCTCTGCTCCTTACACCGTCGAGGACCGTGTCCTTCTTCCAGAGTCGTCTGTTTGCCGTTTCGATGTATCGTATCTCATTCCCTCCTTGATGAACGGCAATCGCAGGGATCTTCATCTCCAAGTGTCGGTCTATAAATTGGATGCATGGGTGGTGAAATTAGGTAAGAGCTGTTGGTCGGTGTCGGCGGCACGTTTACGGGGTAATTTAAATACCCCAGATTGATGGCGTTTGGAGCCCACGATAGCCTCACACCGCTTACAGCCAACAACAAATGGCGCACGTAGGACAGGCCCTCGTTTCCCGGCTCATGGGGAACTGGCTGGATGGTCGGCGAGAAAAAAAGAAAGGAAAAAAAAAAAAAAAAAGGAAGCAGCAGTAGCAGGCAGGCAGGCATGGAGGATTCGGAAATCCCTTGATTCATTCATTCAATCCCTCTGTGGAATCAGGTACGAGGAACAACGAAGCATATAAAAAACGAAGACTGTGTATCCATACATTGATACGTACGACCATACATACATACCACCTCTGTAATCCTCAGCGCCCCATTGGGGGGCTTATTTGTCCGAACAACGAAGTAGATTTCGTTGCATTGAAGTGTGTCCAGGTTTATGGGAACACAGGAATGTTCTGTTACTTGCCGAGTACCTGCTGATTTGTTAGTCTAACTTTGGACCCGCCATGTCGATCATACATTAACGGAATCGGTGGGTAAGGGGGCCGCTATACAATCAATTCAATATATAATATATGCAGGTTCAGAAGTTATTCCGGTCTGACTCGGCTTAACTGCTGGGGGAAAGTCAGTAGGTCATGATTTGTGGTGAATGCAGGGAGGACTGTGTTGATTGTTGATTATTGTATCAACACACATTGGAGGTTGTACAGGTGATGAGGTAGTATATACCTCATATTCTCATCTGAGAGATACCTACACCACGTCTCTCGAGCTTATGCTAAGGTAGTGTCGCCGTTCATTGTCAGAGTCGTAGATATACCTGCCATTTGATAGGTCTGGAATATTTGATAACCAGGGTCCATGAGTTCTTCATGTCCTACGAATGTTTAGTGCCGATGAGTCAGGTCTCTTGTTCGTTGCATCATGTGGAGAATACTCGGCAGTTAAATTCTTAGACGAGCTCCGTTGGATATACATCATGATTCAGTTACTAGGAGTGAAGTTTTTTTTTTAAAAAAAAAAAAATTATTATTTATGAGAATGTCCCACATTACCCTGGTCCACTGATAGCGATCGGAGACCCGTATATGTGATTCTACTTACGCGTCCATTAATCTCCACCATGTGACTTATGGGCTACAGTAATTTCCAGTATCTATGTGCTAATAGTTAGTCAAAGAGTGCCAAATCCGAGGCTGAGGGGGGTCCTGATTGGGTGCATTGGTATTTGATTGTTCCTGCTTCTCGGTTCCTTATTGGACAGGGTAGAAGTGTCAAGCACAACGAAGAGCAAATAGCAATAGCTACGATGACACTCTTTTCCCTTTACTGACACTTGTTTACGGGCATTGAGTTTGCCAATCGTTGAGGTGGAAAATCTCATAGATGTTGTCGAGCCTACAAGTTGGTCTTACCGCTGGCTATCTGAGAATATATCGCACCGTTGCGGTATACTTCAAACGAGGATCTCCCAAACCTATGGACCGCTCTGTTCCGGTCTAAGTAGAACAGAGTCTTGCTAATATGGATCCATTGTACGCTCTAGCGTCGAGCTCCGCCTTTCCAAATGCATAGATGAGCTCATGCATTTCTATCGAGATACTGGATACATGGTACGACTGATCATGATAACTAGAACCACTCGACCTTATCCAGTACTTTTGATAGAAAACAAAGCATACAATAGAAGAGAAAGAATCAGTAACAGGAATCCAACATACCAGACATTTCATACCGGTCAAAAGAACAAAAACCGTAATAAAAAATCCAAAAAGGAATAAGGGTAAGAATCATAAAAAGCAAAGCACGGGAGGCGCTGATGAAAAGCATCAAGTCGAATATCTCACCGCAGTCGTGTGATAACAGCGATCACCAAGATGGGAAGTAGCGGTATAGAATGGAGCCAGCATTGATAAGATATGCCCAACTGTTTCGCCTGTCTCTTGCCCTGCGAACAGCGTCGTTTGACGCCTTTGTCTTCGCGCTGTCACGAGAAGCGCAAAGGTTTCTTTATTGTGCCGCCGGACGGGATCAGGTCTTAAGCAGCCGCGAACAGATCTTGGCCACGTCAATGCTCCTCTCATCCATGTGACGAAATGGATGCAAAAATAAACCATGGGGATTCAAGGGGGGTTGGTGGGAAGACCAGATAGGCAACGATGGATGAACGGGGCGAGGCTTACCGGCAGGCAGGCGCAGGACATCTGGGGGTTGGTGGGTGGAGGAAGAAGAAGCTGTTACTGATCGGGTGGAGATTTGGCACCGTGACGGGGAAAAGAAACATCAGCTGCGTTTATTGGGGGCATGTGTGGATCGGCTGGGTCTAGAATGAGAATTATCATGCAAGTCCAGTCAGGCGGTGGGGAATGGAGGAGGGGAAGAAGTTTGAGAAAAAGAGTTGAATGAGGTGTCAAATTGTTGTTCCTCCACATGGTAAGCATTAAATCAGCCAACGTCCGGGTCATCTGAATATCGTTGTGCCTGGGATCCAGGGGACAGTTCTTACTCGTCGTTTCATGGATGATGATTTTCTCTTTCTCCTTTTCAAATCTTCCCCGACTAATAATAAGTTTAACTTAGTCTCAGCATTCAGGCCAGGAAATCAAATCCGTCCGTCCTGATTGACCGTCGTTCGTTATATTTTTTAGCCCTAGGTGTTGTATGTAGATTAGATGGAAAAATATATTAGAATTGCTCCCGTGCCATCTCTTTTACCCCCTCGCTCCTCTCCCCATAAAAATGAGAAGAATAGAAATAGCATGACCCGTATATAGTCCACAGGCCCCGTTACACAAATCTCAATCCTGCATCAGCCATGTTCATTGTGAATCATTATTCTTAGAACTTGACACTTCAGACCCCAAATGACTCGCTCGGACTCTGAGCTGTCCAATTCTGTTCTGGGATCGACTGACACCCTACTAATCCGAAGATATGGTACCAGTGGATCTGTCCATCGTGACAGGTGACCCTCCCGGCATGTCTGTCTATGAGTATAGTACAGTACTTATCTACTAAGAGTGAAGTAATCTGTATGCAACATCGTATATGAACCTTCACATGTTACCTAAAAACCCCCCTCGAGTCCGTGGAATTGGGCCTTCCATTTCCACGCGATGCAAAACCTCGCTGGCGGGACCAAAAGTACGACTCTTTCTCTCTTTTTTTTCCCCTTTTCCTTTTCCTTTTCCTTTTCTTGTTTTTTGTTACTTCCCCTCGCGCCGAATAAGCCGAGACAAGCGGAATCCATGGAGCTTTTTCCCTCCATGTGACCTACAATACTACGGAACGACTAATGCTCCTGAATCACGTTGCCCACTGGATGCTGATTATGCATTTCAAACAGTCATCACCATCTTTTTGATCACCTTTATTGAACTCTGATTCATTTACTCATCGTGACAAGAAAAAGAAGCTGAACAGCCCATCCCATCCCATCCCGGCCCGCCCCGTCCTTCGCCATTCAGAAGTGAAAGCTTCCTACCTTAGCTCTGGACAAGGGCCATCCAATATGATCCAGTATTGTACTCGATATAGAATGGTAGGCGGGTGATGTATGTACCTCTCCCTGTATCCTATACCTAGATACTACTATGTACAGTACATACTTAGCCATAAGAATCGGAGTTCCCCGAACATAAAAGACTCTTACCTCAGCCCCTGGTCCCCCTGCATGGCCGCGTCGTACTGGAAGGTATCTGCTACAGAGTGACTACCACTGTACCATCGTCATATGACTCCGAATCACCGAAAATAAAAATAAAATCAAAAGTAAAATCAAAAATAAAAATTAAAGGGGTGACGACCAGGCACACTTTAGATTAATTCCCCGAAGGGACAGTGCCCGAAATGCTGGGACGCGACTTGAGGTACATACAGCACCGTAGTGGGGCGGATTAGGAAGTCGGATGACTCGACTTTGCTTTACGTTCATTTTCCCTTATTGCATGGTGTTGAGACCGATAAGCATTTTGGTTGATCGTCAGTGAGGGGAGGGGAAAGGATTTTTATGTTTTTTTTTTTTTATATGAGTCAATGGTGTTGAGAAGGTCTATCCTGGTGGTTATTGGTGACGGATGCTGGACTCTCGTTAGGCATCTAGGAAGGTTCAGGTGATGGATATTGGAACCTAAAGGGGTATATTATTGACTTGGATTGGCTAGGGCGGTCACCCGTGGCAGTGGTATATATAGATAGTACTTAAGAGGATGAGATGGGAGAATTCGAATGCTTGCGTTAAGCATTAGAGATAGGATACCGGGCATTACATGCTGGGAAGTAGTAGACAGGCTCCTTTGCCTCTCTCGAGAAGTAAAGACATCGTGATGTATAGGCTAGGGAGGAGCATCATTGAAGTTCATTTCTTTAATTCGTTGCAACGGACCTTCTATGTATTCGCCATGTTTTACATGGACGACCAACTAATTACCCATAGCATAAATTGTGTAGTATCAATCACCACAACCGAAAGTCTCACTTTTTGACCACCAAAATCGAACTTGTATACAAGAAATCTAGAACTCCTGCTCGTCATCGCCAGAAATGATGACGTTGTTAATCTGCTTCCACGTTAGTTCCCCTTGGCCGCGGATGATGCAGAGATGCGGCGCTCACCTTAAGGACCATACGGCAGAGCTGAGTGGCGAGCAAGAGCTGCTGCCTCTTTCCAATCAGTGGGTCAATGGCAAAGTGCTCTCTCATATCTAGATCAGACCAACGTATTAGTATCCATTTCTACTCCCACTTTGACTGTGAAACCTACCGTTGTTGCCAGTCATCATGCAATCAACTCCCAACCGCGAGTTGTTCTCCTTGACCTGGCGAGATTTGATCGAGGCGAGAGTCTCAATAGGGTTCAAGCCAGAGTTCTCAGCCAGTGCCAATGGCACGGCATCCAGAGCATCGGCGAAAGCGCGCATGGCATACTGCTCAATTCCTGGGCTCTGTAGATTATATTAGCCCGAGGGCTCCCCCAAAACAACGGCTGTGACATACCTTGACTGCGGCATCTTCCACGGCAATAGAGCAGGCAATTTCAGCAGCACCGCCACCATACACAACCCGGTTGTCTCGCACCAGGTTACGTACAACGCAGAGCGCATCGTGAAGTGACCGCTTAGCTTCGTCAATGATCTAGGATGATATTAGTATGTGGAAGGCGGAACGAACAACACTCTGAACTGACCATCTTATTGCTGCCTCGTACAAAAACGGTGACAGCACGGCTGTTAGCGCAATCTTCAATGACAAGCATCTTCTCACGGGTGGTGCCAAAGGTCATCTCCCGGACACTACCAGCTGTTCCCAGCTTCTCTGCACTCAAGTCCTCAAAGCGAGGAACAATCCGACCGTTCGTTGCGATAGCAATGAGCTCAATTTCAGGGCCGCCAACCCAGCGTACGGCAGGGAGTTTGTTCTGGAGGAGAAGATGGTTTGCCTCGTCATCGAACCCCCATTGACAGATAACCAAATTGGCTCCCGAGTCCTTCAGGTGTTGGATCATCTCTGTGAACTTCTCTCTCTCATAATCTTGCAGCTTCTTGAATTCTTCGACCGATGTGATGTCGAGCTTGTGCTTCGTCTTCGGCTTGGGGGGTTCGAACGGGCAGGTCAAGATTGCCAATTTGGCATCCTTCACTTCATCGGGCATCTGGGGATGAGAGAAGTCTTTATCCACAATGACACCCTTGACAAGTAATGAGTCCTCAAGGGAACCGCCAACTTTTCCGTCAACCTTGATCAATTCGAAGTCGACATCTTTGCGTTCGAGATCTGCAACGGAGAGTACGGCATCGATAGCAATATTGGCAAACTGATCGTGTGACTTGGAAACACTATCAAGGAATTAGTGCCGAAAAATGTGAAGACGTTATAGCCGGAGCGGTTTTGACATACATTTTGCTACCCAAGCTAGTCTTGGCAACCTTGAGTAGGTTGGAAGTGTCCTCCTTGGTGAAAGGAATTTCATCACTGATCTTATCGAGGTGTGCAACAGCAATCTCGCAAGCTTGATCATAACCATCTGCGATACGAATAGGGTGGATGCCCTTATCGATCAGGTCAAACGCCTGCTCCAGCATGGCTGCAGCCAGGACGACGACACCCGTTGTTCCATCACCAATTTCTTCATCTTGGGACTTCGAGAGCTCCACAAGCAGCTTGGCAACGTTGTTTGTGATATCCATCTTCAGAAAACTTCAAGTTAGCCATCTTTCGGGGAACGACGGCTACGCGGTGGACGAACCTGAGACAAGATGGTTGCGCCGTCGTTGGTCACGGTAATATCGCCATCTGGAGAGATAAGAATCTTGTCGAGACCACGAGGACCCTAAATCATTTTTAGATGCTGTCGAAAGGCGATCCCACGTCTAAGTCATACCAGAGAAGTCTTCACAATGTTAGCAACCGTTTTGGCGGCAACGATATGTGCTTTCACGGCATCGGTGCCATGCTGTCTCTTCTTCTTTCCCTGGCTATCAAAATCCAGCATATCAGCCACCTTCCCTGAGAACGCCGTAACCCCCTCATCTTATAAGTGTAGATTCGTGACGTACTCTCGAACGACGATGAAAGGCCGGCCCTGTTCATCTTTCAACACAGAAGCTATCGAACTGTTAGCGAAACTCCCGAGATGTATAGGCTATCGATATTGTGGAAATATTCTACCTTGAGATAAATCAAGCTCTAGAACGGGAGGTTGAACCCGTCAGTACAGTAAATTCCAATGAGGGGCACGAAGACATACGCATCGCCATTTTTGTCGGTCTGCCACACGGCAGGAGTCCAAATTCAAAAGATGGAAAAATGTGAGTGACACGGAGGTGAGAGAAAAGAAAAACCCCCAAAGTACCGTATTGAAGTGAGGTGGGGAGTTCAGGGACCTGGACGCTACCAACACTCTTTCATTTTTAGAAATTCTGGAGACGGTTCTGATGTCCCAGTCGGGCTAGTGAGCTGCTTTCCATATCGGGTATAGCGCCCTTCTGCCTTCACGCGACTGCGCGACTTGGCTATTGTAGCAAGCACCGAGAGCGATAATTATCATCGACTATTTCTAATGCTAGCCTGTACAAGTTCAGCAAAGTAACTAGCTCCCGCTCAATTTCACCAAATCCTTCAAGCTGTTTTCCCGCATCTTAGCTTTGGCGTCTCCTTTCCGTCGAACAATGCCCCGTGAGTGATGAAGATACTTGATGCGCCTAAGATGCCATGTGGAATTGACAATCGCATAGCGCCCGTAGAAAATCTCTCCGACGATGAGTCGACCGGGGAATCTATCCCTTACAATGACGCGAAAGAGGACCATAAATCAGACGCCGAAAACCAAGAGGACAATGATGACGAGGACGAGGAGGATGAGGAGGGCGTGTGAGTTATGATGCGCTGCGACAATCGACAAACAGCGCTAACATAACCAGTTATATCGTTGAAGAGATTCTCGGTCACGACTTCGCAAAGAATGTGGGCACAAAAACATCTCGCATTGCATTAGCGCAAATGGAGCTCCCGTAGCTAATTCTGATATAGGGCAATCTCCTCCTACAAGTGAAGTGGAAAGGCTACGATGACCCTGCAGATCAGACAATGGAGCCGGAGGAGAACTTGTTGTATGTCCTGGCGCGCCCTTAGCTTCCGGGTTCGGTACCAATTAATTTCTATTAGGGAGGGCGCAAAAGATCTGGTAGAAGAATACTACCGTACCCAGGGAGGCCGACCTGAAAAGCCCCGGCCAAGGAAACGGAAGCCGATGACAGGGCCGAAGCAAACGCCAGAAAAGGCCGAACCTAAACGACGACGAAAGTCCCGAGCAGACAATGCCACCGAAACTCCAGGTGAAGATGATACAGAGTTGCCCGAATGGGTACCCCGGTCGAAGAACTGGGAGAATGAAGTTCAAAATATTGACACAATCCTACGTGAACCTGGAACTTCGAATTTAATTGCGTATCTTCATTGGAAAAATGGGAAGAAGTCTAAGGTTTCACTTGAGACCTGTTATGATAAGTGTCCGAAAAAGGCAAGTTTAGTCCCCAATCAATCTTTCGAGATACCCACTAACGTTTAGAAGATGCTTAAATTTTATGAGGAGCATTTGTGAGTTATCCTATCTATTATCAATATTTGTATGATTCTAATCGTTATTAGGGTTTTCAAGGAGGCTTGAATTCGAATCAATCTTATACCGCCCGTCTGCCTCTTTTTTCTCCTTTGTTTTATGTGCGTGCGCGCGTGTATACCATTTCTAGGCTCGGTTTGTAATTGGTTTAAAACAAGATCTTTGCCTATATCCCTAAGAGGTGAAAGGCAGTATCTTTGCTAGATGATACTGTTGGATCAGTGCATAAATGGGCGTTTCGTTGGTGGTCTCAATTTATCCTTTGATTGACAATTGGTATCTCGGTAGCTGGAGAGCAAAAAGTAAAGGGGAAAGAGAGAGAAAAGAAAAAAAGGGGAGGAAACCATTGACATAATAGCTCAGGGCTCTCCCATCGTCTATCGGATATTCTGGGCTAACAACCATTTCCTCGCCTTCGATCATTGTACTTTGGGTTTGCTCGATATATGTATGCTTCAGAATCTTACCCGTCTGCGCGATCGAGGCCAGCGGCTTTTGCCATCCTAAGATACTCCCACCGGCTGTTGAAGGATTCCGAGCCATGCTTCTTCAAGACCCGTTCGATGGGTCGGGTCTCTTCTGCTTCAATACACTCATCGTCCTCAGCTGTCCATACTCCGGCCATATTATCGGGGATACCTTTTCCTGCAACCAGATAGTCTAGAACCTTGTCGGCTAGATATGGGTCCATGCTGGTGCAGCACAAAGCCTCGATTATTTGCTCCTCGTTATCTGCTTTCCCTATCCGCAGACGATCATCAATCCATGCGTCGATATCTTTCTCAATCGGATCTTCGGGTCTAGGATCTGGGCTTGATGGTAGAAAAGGCAGTTCAAGAAACAAAGGATCGATGGTGTTGTCTGGATCGTGGGCCAGAGATTGTGATTCTTGGGGCTGTACAGGTCCTGGTGTGTTCGTGTTAGGATACAGAGCGCTAAGTGTTTCATTAATTATTGCATTTGCTGAAATCGGACCTCCTTGAATGTTTGGGGACTTGGTCTGTGGTGTATATATCGGAACAGGGGTGGTATCTTTGGGTGGTTTATCAATCGCTCTCTTCTTTTGGCTCATGAGGCGCGTTCCGTCCAATTCATGATCGATACTGGGTTCCGGGATTCGCTTTCGTTTTCTACCCGCTGTAATATGAGCAGCTGGGGGATCGTCTTGGTATTGCTCCCTATGTAACTCTGGTGGAGTTCGTTCTAGCCCTGAGGATTCTCTGCGGCTGTCCCCCGCCGTGGAAGCGGGATGATCTGGTTTTCGCATAGCCCCCGGACGCGGCCGCCCACGGAGTCTCTTCAAATAACGATCACGATATGACTGATATGTGTGTCTAGGGTTCTATGGAAGGATAAGTCGTAAAGCTCAAAAGTATATAGCTCACTTGATTCTGGATGTCAAATGATAAATTACCTTTGCGGCAAGTTCCTGATAAATCCTATTACCCTGAATACGGGCGTTTGGGACTTTTTCATAGTCTGCCATGTAGTCCCAGAGATACTGGTCGTCTTCCAGAGTGAACGGGAGCCTATGGCTTCTGGTTGGGATATGTGTGGCCCCGACGGGGCGAGCTGCAGATGGACCAGCTCTGTGTTTTTCAAGATCTTCCAACTGTCCATTCTTGACAGACCACTCGACATATCGATATGAATATCTTGCGAACCGTTAGCATATGTAACTCGAGGTAAAAGAAAGCAAACAAACAAACTATGAAAAACAAAACTTTGATAAATATATATGCAGTCCACTCACGTATCCGGTGGGAGATTCTTCCTGGTATGATCGACTAATTTAATATCTGCATCCTTCTCGTGGAGCCTAATGATACCCCCATGTTGCTATAGACGCGTCAGAGCAACAACGCTAGGAGGTCGGATTAAGGTGAATACCTGAATGAGCTCTTTGAATCTACTTCTTTGGGGGACATTTTGTGATAACCAGAACTGTTTGTCTTGGAAAAGAGGGCCAGGCGGAGCGCTGGAGCCCTTATTCCCCATGGCCCTTTTCTTCTCTATCGTCGCCCCAGGACTCATACAACCTAATACAGCCGAAGAGCTGTCCAATGGTCCGTCCCCCTTCTTATGACTAAGGTACGGGTTGCCAACCGTCCATGGCAGGTTTTCTCGCTGCAAGTTAGTGGCTGATTGGTCGCGCGTATATTATGAGTAGTCCGAATTAAGGTGCAAGCATTAAACTCCTCCCAAGACTGGGATATCCAGGACAATTGTTGTCTGCTCTTATCAAAGAGTCCAAAGTCAAGTTGCGATCTATGAAATCATCACGTGAACGGACGCACGTAGCAGCCAATCATAAGGCCGAACCCAGCCCTAGCCTAAGCGGGCCATCAGGTGACCGACCGCACAACGACGGCCCATCTGGATTTTTGATCACGAAAGTCGTTTTTTGAAGATTCGGACCACGCCGACAACAACCCCAGCGACAACCGTTCACCCTCAAAATGGCCGTCATCAACAAGAGTAAATACCCGCTACCCATTCGATTTCTATGCGTCAATATATCTGGTCTTGGATACTGGGGATGGCTTCATCCGGCAGGAGGCTCTGGAGAAGGCCCGCAAGACCCTCAATCCGACGGAGTATGCTAATAATTCGATCGTCTTAGGCCTTCACTCTTCCCGGAGCAAGTCCAGAAAGGCGCACTTCAGCGCGCCCTGTGAGTCTTTTTTTAAGAAATTGTTTGAACAAATGTTAATGCAAATGCAGCCTCCGAGCGCCGTGTGATCCTGTCTGCTCGCCTCTCCAAGGAATTGGCTGAAAAGTGACGACTCCCTTTCCGTACTCGTCTTGACTCGAATACTAACCGTACATGTTTCCACAGGTACAATGTACGTTCAAATAACACCGAAGCGATCTGCAAACCCCTCGAAGTCAAAGTGGATGTGGCATGAACCCTGTCCCTCCCATTGGGATTGGGAGGGAGATGGGAGGAAGCAACATCGACGACTTGGAAATTTATATGAACACGAAATGGTCAACGCGCACAGTTCTGACGCAGTTCTCGACAGGTCCGCTCCATCCCCATCCGCAAGGACGACGAAGTCCTGATCCAGCGTGGAAGCCAGAAGGGTACTTGAAGACACCTAGACCTGATATAACGAAAGATACTAACATCATGACTAGGTCGTGAGGGCAAGATCACCAGCGTCTACAGGTAGGCTGGCACTTCTTCAACTGCGCTGGTCGCGATCAATCAACTAACGTTTTCGAAAGACTGAAGTGGGCTGTCCACATTCAGAACGTGAACCGCGACAAGAGCAACGGCCAGAGCGTTCCCCTCCCCATCCACCCCTCCAACGTCATCATCACCAAGCTCCACCTCGACAAGGACCGTGAGGACATTCTGGCTCGTTCGGCCAAGGGCCGTGAGGCTCGCAAGTCGGCTTAAAGGGTTTTGTCCGGGGTTTAGTTCATGTTGCAATGGCGGTAAAGGCGCGGGAGTTCTGATAGACTCGAAAAATGCGAGATCCACCCTTCTATGCCGAGGATATATCCGCGGAAATAGGTGCATTGCGATGAAATGAAAAACGAAAAACTTTATTTCCGCTATCTATGGTTTGCACCACGGGTTTCTAAACCGTAGTGTTAGACCTTTCCTCTCCTAGAATCTCGGCAATGGCTCAATTTCAAAAGACTTACTTTTTCCTTGTTACCGAGTCCGTTGATTGCCGACTATTATTCGATTTTCTGTTGTAGCATGGCCATCTCCCTTTCGGCAGGAAACCTCGGTTTGGATCCCCCAATATGGCGTCATGATATCTTCTCGAATTCGTTCGATCCTGATGGTAGAAGGGATAATAAAATGGCGTGTAGACGTCGCAGAAATATACTTATTGACTAATTATATTCTATCTTGTAGATTTGAGACTAGTAGCTTCGGAATACAATCCCTAATGTCCAGTCCATATTGAGAAGGCGTATGATTTGACACGCCTCGTAGCTAAATATATCTTCTATCCAGATCCATCATTCAATAATAGTTGTAGTTTCCATAGTACTGTCTACTACAAAAGTCTATAGCACCTAGAACTTTCACTGTTTTTTGATCTGATTGGTCGCTGTAGAATAGCCCTCATGTGATATCACCACACTTGCCTTAATCATTTACCTTTATCTAGAATTATTGAATTATTATCCTACATCAAACTATATAAAGGACGGCCTTGAAGTGTGTTTAGAAGTTTCCTGTGATTAAACTCACTATTTCCTATATAGCGAGCGGGTGGTAACTTTGGCCGATATCTACTTTTGCTGAATGAACCTGCGTGCCCACGAATATTGATATCAATCTCACATTTTGCAGCACTATGTCTTGTTATTTTCATTGCTTAAACGGCATTTATAGATTTATCTGGTGCATGTCGATGCTTATGTCGCTTTTTGGTCTTCAGCTTCGCAGAGCCCTTAAGATGGGCTAGTTTTCAACTTCTTTCCAAACTAGAAACCAATAACGCAGCGTTAAACTACAAATCTACTCTAACCTGGCAGTTGGTGTTAGGTAGCTGGTATGGCGGAACTTGTGAGTAATGGCGGATACTGCTTGCGAGTACGTGTACCTTTATTCGATCCACTCAGAGAGTCAGAGTGATGAAAGGGGGCACCATCCCTAAAATAATAGGCCATATTATCTCCGCATTTATTTGTATTCGCGCAGACAGACATATGGCCTTCACGCAAAGTTTCCGCATTCCTACCACAGCCGTCTCTCCAGCCTTCCACCCGCGTTCTCCCTTGAAATCTTCCCAGCCATCACGGCTCATTGAGTGCAGGTCATTCAGACTTCCAATCCTATACTTAGCATCCCAACGGCTTTTCTCCGCATCCCACTCCTCTCTCAGGGCTGACAAATCTCGTCCTTCTTTCCCACTCAGCACAAGATAGTACCTCCCAAACTTCCCTAAAAGAGACTTCCCACCGTCGTCAGCGCTCTGGAGAATCCATGAGATGCTTCCCAGCGGTGGAGCTGGAAGATCGTGCCAGATTTCCTCGTAAGGCGCGAGCCGGCCCCCGAGATGCGGACAAGCCATGGTGCCGGTTTCGAGGTCGTCGCCGTTTGGAAGTTTGGTGAAGACACCTTCGTCAGGACCTTAAGACGCCGGTCGAGTCGATGATGTGGGTGAAGCGGACTGTTGCTGCTTTCCGTTAGTTCATATTGACTAGGGAATGAAGGAGGTTGATTTTGCCAATTTACAAGGGTTCTCCTCCCATAGAACAGTTCTGTTCAGCGGGTGCCTAGTCGATACTTCCATCGGATATAGTGACTCTGAGATCTACGTAGTAACCCCCAACACAGAGGACCAGTGTATCTGTTGGCTCTAATGCCGGCGGGAGGCCAGCAGATGCTGACGCCGGTTGATGTACTAGCAACAATGGTTGTCAGATTTGTCAATGGGGATGAGTGTATGGAAAGGAAGGGATATGTGAGTTCTATATAGTACACGAACGTTGGATTCCACAGTGGAGTGGCATCTCCTGGGACTGGTTCAGTATGGAATGAAGTCCAGCACGTGGTCGTTACCTTTGCAATATGAGTTAAATATAGAGATTAAATGACACGAAATTTCTGCTTACCTGTTGGATTTATCATTTCCGATAAATTCCCGCTCCAGCTTGCTTCCAGAATGTGAGCTGATCTCAAGGTGTTTCGTATCTTTAGTTTCTCATAAAGTTTCACGAGTAAGCCTTTCGCCTTGATTCTATCCTCGCCCATTGCCTCATGTCTGTTTATATGACAGTTAGATCCAGAATACCGGTTCGTGTTAGGAGCGCTTACCCGGCTGTAAAAATGGGTGTGGTCAATAGAACCCACGGCGAGAGTTCACTGACAGGTAAAATTCCAATAACAGTATCCAGGATCCTCCGAACACAATCTTGTACGTTCGCTGCTGAAGAGGGAAGCTTCTGAACTCGGCGATAAATATGGATCAAGGCAGAGTATTGATATGCCAGATTGCAGACAGAAAACTGCGTAGCCTCTTCTTTAGAGAGCGAAGTATCTGGAGCAAGCGCGGGCCCCATTCGACTGTCACGCGAAATCATTGCTCTAACGGAATGCTCTAGCCACTTTGCCCGGTTCCTTAGATTCATTTCGAGGAGCTGTGACCCATTATTTGGCATGTTATCTAGCTGTTGACGCTCCCATGCAGCAGCACCAATTTCTCTAAATACAGCATCGAGGTCTATGGTGTAGCCACTATACAAGTCTAGAACCCCACTTTGTTCCCCTTGATCGCAAAGCAGCGGTCGAGGGCCACGCTGCCATTGCTCTTCATGTTGAATGTGCTGTGTAAGCGCTGCGAGTGACTGCACTGACTCAAACCATCTAATCGATATCCAATGGTGAACTGCATCGGATTCGAGATTTTCCTGGGAGATGTTAGTTCTGGTTGATTCGATGAGCGCCTTCGCCCCTTCCATATGAATGCGCCAAGAGTTGTCTGCTTTGCCGGAATAGATCTCACAGATAAATAACGTCCGGATGGTGGGCAAAAGCGAGAATCTCGTCTTCGGATCTGCTGTTTGGAGCTCTTGACGGAGACATTGTAAGCTTTTTGCCATAAAACTGGAAACATCTTCTTCTAGAGCAAAATCGACCAATTCTGGGCGTCGCAACGTATTTAGATGAAGAGCAGATCGGGCAATTGTTGCAAACATCAGGGAAGGAATTTGTAGAATCATTGGGAAGATCATGTCACAGATTTGGGTGCGGATATGCCGGTGGCATGCAACGAGAGAACATTTGGTAACAAAGTGGTGTAACAGCATCCTATGAGTATATGGTAATCCAGACAGGGGATCTAGGTAGTTGATCCCCTGGAACTCAGCAGGAGGTGTTGGACTTTTTGTAGGAGATACGACTACCCTTGGTGATACCACCAGCATTGTCAGTAAGTATATCCCTGTCCGCAATGGGCGACAGACGTACGGCTTTTGCTGCTTCTATTTCCAGCTCGCTTTGGCTCGTCACGACGGGGAACTCGGCCTTCCCATTTTAACACAATTGCATAATTACATAGAGCGCCGGCATCTTGACAGCGCTTACAGCTGGGCTTCTCTTCACTACACTTTTGCCGTCGACGTTTGCACCTCGTGCAGCCATGATGGGATCGGCCCATACTGGAAGTCACATATGGGCTAGTCGGGAGCCAAAGCACAGGTCTCAAGAGTAATGTAGGATAAGAAGCATTTTTTGTTCAGAGATAAGAAAATGATATACTAAGAGAGAGTGTGGGGAAACAGGTGATCTCCTCGACTTACTGTAAACGGACTAGCTCTTCTCCTGATAAGCCCATCTCCTCGACTTACTGGAAATGGACTGGCGTATCTAGTAGATAGTACGAAGTAGATAGAAAATGTTATCCCATTCTCCTCGACTTGCTATTTTAATCACTCTCCGAAAGATGTCGCCGGCTCTTCCTGAAATATATAAATCTCCCTAGGATTCTGAGAAGATTGACCTTGGAAGCTATGATGAGAAATAGCAACCAAAGCCTCAAAGACCTCCTCTTTTATCAGATTGAAGAACAATGTGGGCTTTATATCTTATCGCCATAACATGGGTGTTGTCTCTTGTTGCTGGGACATTTTCAGTTCTTCGAACAAGGGTTCCTGGCCCATTATACGCCAAGTTCACAAGTCTCATACTCAAGTATCAGGAATTCTCAGGAAAGCGCCGCACCTATATTCACAGCCTTCATCAGAAATATGGCCCCGTAGTGCGCCTGGCTCCAAATGAGATCAGTTTCACAGACTTAGAAGGGCTTCGGGAAATATACCAGAGTGGGGGAAGTGGATACGATAAAACGGAGTTCTACAATCTATTTCAACAGTATGACCATCGGTAAGGGTATGGCATTGTCTTTTCGAATCAGGATCTCTCTCTGACTCACCGCAGGACAATGTTTTCAACTCTAAATAAGCAAGACGTTAGTTAAAATCTAACCTCTACCAAAAACCTAACTAACTACCTCCACAAGCATGCTGGGAGAAAGAAACTCTTTGCAGACCGATATGCGATGACAAACGTGGTCCGCCCAGAGATCGTCCAAGGAATCCAAGATCGTGCCGCAAGCGTGGTGGAGAAATGCAAGGCATCGTTGGGAAGTTACCTTGACGTCTACGTTAGTAATCGTACAATCGAGGTGTATAGTCTACTAAATAGTATGCAGATTACTCTACATTGCTATGCTCTGGACTGTGCCTCACTCTTCCTGTTTAACCCCGGCGGAACTGACACGTTGAATAACCCCGAGGACTTCGTTCTGATGCAAGAGTTATCCTACGATAACCGCCTGAAACGTAGGTCAATTCCTCTCATATATGAACCATCCTGTTGAATAAGGCTTATTATCTGCGCAGTACGGTGGCTCGAATACTACTCCCCGAAACTTGCATCTTTCATCCATTGTTTCCGAAAGAAATCGAGATCTTTATCAAAAGATTACGTCTTAGCTCAAAGCCAACAAACCAAACACAAAGAATCATCTTTAATACACCGCCTGCAAAGTAACTCATCTTCACTACAGACTATCCAAATGGCCGCAGAATGTATGGATCATATGGCTGCAGGAATCGACACCACCGGCGACGGGCTCTGCTTCCTTATGTACCAGCTCTCTCTCCCTGCCTACCAGCACGTCCAGCAACGACTACACCTCGAACTCGTACACAACCCAACAGCAAAACTTGACGAACTGATCTTCTTGGATGCGGTCGTGAAGGAAGGGTTGAGGCTGTTCCCGCCTATTCCAATGAGTTTGCCTAGGTATGTGCCTGATGGTGGTCGAAACATTAGTGGGTACGATATTCCTGCGGCAACTATTGTGAGTTGTCAAGCGTTTTCGGTCCATCGTATTAACGACTTGGTCTTTCCGAGACCGAATGATTTCGCGCCAGAAAGGTGGCTGGCGGAGGAGGGGTTACATGAGCGGAATAGATTGTTTTTCTCATTTGCCTCCGGGGGGAGAGGGTGCATAGGCAAAAAGTGAGTTTCTTTTCTCCCCTGGAAGAGATATTAGAAAGGAAAGCTCACAGGTCATGAAACTACAGTTTGGCGTTGGTAGAGATGAAAACTCTCTTGCGGGAGATATACTCCCGATTCGCCACAAAAGTAGCGGCGGAGATGGAAGGCGACATGAGTATCGATGACCAGATTATTTCATCTAGACCGAAAGACCAGACATGTTTGCTAACCTTTGAGCTTATTGGTAAATGAAGTGGAATGGAATGGTTATTACGTCCTTTACTTTTTTCATGAGTTTGGAGACTTGTTCACATTTTTAAGTCGAAGAAATGGATGCTCAACCAATTCGCGTGCCGTCTTTCTCTCCTCCGGAATCCGGGCCATCATCATCTTTATGAATGATAAGAAGTTCTCTCTCTCCTTCTCCTCTAGAAAGGGGAGTGCATCTGCGAGAGTCTGGTTTGGAGTTAAATCATTATGTAAAAAGCTGCCTGGTTTGACATGTCAGTAAGATCTCATGTATCGTTTACACAGGAAATTTTACATAGTATCTCTATCAAAGAACGGGCCCTCAAAATATTGCTCGGAACTCTCGCAAAATTTGCCATCCTCTCCCCTTAGTGACTCGGGCAATTTGTGGTCCAGCATTGAATATGCCCTTGTGACCCGCTCAGAAGGAGGAAGACCAAGTAAAGCAATCGTTTCTGCAAGATGTGCTTTAGCCATATATTGACCCCTGTATTATAAATTTGGTGAAACAACTCTCTGCCTTGGATGAGATCTCAAAGCTAGCATGGTCTTAGTTAAGCAGTAATCTATAATCGGAGAGTATAGAGCGTACCAGGATACCTAGGTTCCATATATCTGTACTCGTTTTCCAACCACAGCCAAGGATAACCTCTGGTGCGCGATATTGACCTGGCTGGATGGGATATATACCCCATGCGTCATCAAGCTTTGCAGATAACCCAAAATCAAAACTTTGGGTATATTTCTTACTTCCCTTATTGGCCCGGAACCATTGTGACAGCGATAGACTGGTCGGCCTGTAGGGTCAATTTTATATTGCATTGGGCTCTCAAGCTGAGAATTCATGAAGTCATTAAGTACAACCGGATCTTCAAATGTGACTATGATGTTTTCAGGCTTTAGATCTATAAAATATATCATAACCTTAGCATCCCGAATTGATTTAATAGGCAGGGATAAATACTGCTATGAACAACACCGCATGCTGTATGAAGGTAATCCAAGCCTGTAAGGAGAATACGGATATACGGTACTGCTATCGAAGGACTACAGGTTCCTCAAAGGTGATCGAGAGAATAAGTAATCGTATTGCATAAGCGATACCTCGGTTTGTGCTCAATGTTTACCATGGTGTCTTATCAAAGTTCAGCAAGCCCTACAGGACGACATTCAGGAACTGGTCCATCGCCAATATCAGGAAATCACCAATTTTATAAATTATAAGTTCTTTCTCTCCGTATCCTCTAGAGAGGGAGTGCAAGATAATGCCAAGGGATTGTAGATGTACAGCTGTATATAATTAATATACAGAAAATGTATCATAGTATCACCGATGACTCATATGTTCTACCACAGGCCATCAGTATGGCCTTCATGGCCTAATTGCCTAGATCACAGAGATTTTGACCAAACATATAGACAGAAATGAGACCCCTTGTCGCTTGAAGCTGCGAAACTAATTCCCCCAATTATCGTATAATCGCCAGGATCATCATTATCCACACCAGCCAGATGGCCATTGAATTCATCAGATATCTTTTCAATCATACTCCAACGGATAGGAAAATCCTTTGTTCGAGATTGCGGTAAGAAATTCCATATATCCAATAGAGTCGTGCGATCAGAGGCCAATTCCTGGAGCCGAGCCCCGCTCTTTAATCTAAACCGAGCAAGAATAGCGATACACTCGTTGAGTCTACAGAAGACAGCCCTGTCCCTGGTATACTGAGCTCTGGAACGCCCGCGCTGAGAGCTATAAGCAGGAATTAACTTCCATATTCTCTGTGCTCTGTGGGCTAATACAAAGTCCGCTTCAAACTCCTGTGGTATTGCATGCGGTAAGATGGCAGAGAGAATGGATCGCCTATAGGCTGCAAAACCCCAATAAAACTGGGATCATGCTCTGATGATGGTGTAAAGTTCCCTCGAAGAAGAAATCGACTGGAGAATATTCACCGGCAACTCCAGCAACAATAATGACAAACCTCAAGACATCAAGGTGGTACAGTGTATAAAAGCTGAAAAAGATGGATTTGGGATGACAAGGAATGCGATCTAAACTGTAGGTGTAAGGAATTGGGCCATCGTCAATATCGTGGTATCTACATATAACTATGTACATACTCCTCTCCTAAGCAGTACTAAGTACCCTAACTAGGAACCTTAGCCAATAGAGGCTCATGAAGTATCGCCTAGCAGTTGGCATAAGGCTGCTGCTATATAAATAAATCCCATTCTTATTTGAGAGACTCAGATCCCGTTGCTTCACGGTGTGTCTATGCCTAAAGGGACTTCACCAGAAGAGTAGGTACTAGACCGCTTGCCATGAGTTCTTCAAAGCTCTACTAATTGATATCTGTAATGTCTGTGACCATTGTTTGTAGGTACGATGAATCTTTCAACCTAAGAATAACACAAAACCCGTTTGTAGAGGACAAAATCATCCATATTATTTCAATATACACGTAAAGTAGACCTGAGACTATGGACGCAGATCCGTAGTCTCCGATCTAGATCTAGGAGATAATAGACAGTACTCTTTTTGAAATCCCATAAAGCCAGCTTTTACATCCCGTACAAGCAAAAAACGGAAAAGGAAATAAAGCAAGTCAATCACATCCGTCCCTTGGCGGCTGCCCTCTTGCTCTTGCCAGGTCTCTTAGCACCACCCTTAAGGCCACCCTTCATCTTCTTCGCCGAGAAATTGCGCAGGTCTCCGCTGGACATAGCATCACCGCTCTTGGCATGCCGCTTCTTACCGCCGAAGCCGTACTTCTCGTTCTTTTTCTGGCGTTTCGTAGAGGGACCACTACCTCCCTCACGGCCACGTTTGAGGCCCTGGGGCTCGGAGTTATCTATGGCGACGTCGAAGAGTTCGTTGTCGTTATCTGTGGGACCTGATGAGTTGGTCTTACGCTCTGTTCAAAGGACATTCTGTCAGCAAACACGTTCCACAAAAGCGACCACGTCAAAAAAGAAAAGAAAAGAAAAAGAAATCAAACGTACTCTTCTTCAGGTCATTGATCTTCTCCAAAGTCTCACGCTTCTCCTTCGCGCGCTGCTGCAACTTAGCAACCTGAACCTGCTTTCCGAACTTCTTCAGATCACGCTGTTTGCGAGCCTCCGCAGCCGCCTTCTTAGCCGCCGCCTCATCATACAGCTTCTTCTTAATCTTGCCCATGTGCTCATCAGACTTGACCATCTCAGCAAAGTAATCTCCAGGCCGAGTAAACGGAATACCCTCCTTCTTCAGCAGTCCACGCGCCGACGTAGCAGCCGCTTGGCAAACCTTGTAGAAAGCCAGTTCACGAGCCAAGTCATCGTTGGGGTCAGGGACATCGATCGGCTCTTGAGAGACTAGCGAGTTGTGCTCGGAGAATGGGGTCTGAGATGTGATGAAGGAAATACGCTTGAGGGAGGCTTTGATGGCGGCGGAGTTGTTGATTGTGAGACGTTGGTGCGGTACGACGTCTTCTCTTTCGTCGGCCGAGAGGTCGGAGAGCGGGATATCTTCTTCTTCTTCCTCGTCTTCCTCGTCTTCCTCTTCTCCATCGTTGTCATTGCTTTCTTCTTCCTTGTCAAAGGTCTCATCCTCTTCTTCCTCGTCGCTAGATCCTTCCTCAATCTCTTCGGCCGTGCGCTTCTTAGACTTCACTTCTTCGACCTGGTTCAGAAGTTAAAACCGATCGCTCAATCCAAATTGAACCCCAAATCAACCAGCCCAACCAAAAAGTACTTAAAAAAGGGGAACCTACCTGAGCAACCTCCCCAGCAGCAGCCCTTTTAGCAGCCTTCCTCTTCTCCGCCGCCTTAACTAACTTCTTCTGCTTCTCAGCATCATAATCACGACCCCGATGCTCATCAAGAGCCTGAAGCAATTTGCTCCTCTTAACCATTTTTCTTAAAGAGCTCGAGCTCCACAAACTCGTTAAAAAAAAACTAAAAACAAAAAGAAGAAGTTAAACAGAGATGAAAGGCATCGTAAACCAAGGACCAAACTCACAAGTAGCAGCAAGCACGGGAATTTTTTTGGAATACGCCCTATACCCAATACAGCTAGAGCTCTCGATAAGGACGCACTAGTCTTTACACAGTTTAGTTTCGTTTTTACGCGGTATCGGGGAATAGTTGTCCCCGTGTACTTCTATGTATGGCATAATGCATTGTATGCATCTTATCGAAGATTAACCTGCTTCTCCTGGGATTTGGAGTCCTACATTACATACATACACTATATATATTGGTGCGGAGGCTACGGTACTCTGTATAATCGGATTGATTTTATTAACAGCTTTACTCCTTTGAAACTATACTTCCTTCTTTCTTATTTCTCTCTTTCGACTCCCCCCTTTTATCTCAAGTCAATTATGACAGCAGAAGACGACAATAAATCCGTCTCTACGTCTGAGGCCGTCACGCCCCCCACTGGTGAACAGGTACTTCTCGTCTACCCTCCAATCTTCCCTCCTCGGCGCCTTCCCATAACTAATTAGGTACAGGCTACCGATGCGCAAGGCCAGCTCAACGCGGCTATCGACGACCTCCTCGACCAACTGCAGCATAAATTCGATAATGTGTCGCGGGAGATGTTTGGGAAGTGTAGGTCTTGTCTTGTCTTTCTCTCGTTGAGTCCTGCGGGTGTTGTTTTGGTCCGGATAACTGATGGGTGGTGGTAGTGGATGATATGGCAAGACGACTTGATGAGTTGGAGGCTTCGTTGACAGTTACTGGGGATTCGAGTCCGGGGACGGGGCCGGCGAGCCCAACAAAGTGAGTTGTGTTGGAGTTGTAGGGGGGATATATATGGAGAGGTTGGCTTTTCCTGTTTTTCCTGAAGCTATGGGGGAGTTGGGTGGTTTGGGCTTTTTTCTTTTTTCTTTCTCTTTCTATAGAGGTTTGCTTCTTTGAGTGCTGGGGGTTTTTCTTGTTTTTGAAGGCAATCGCATTTGCGTAAGATACCCTGAGAATTCTATTGTTCGGTTGAATCTGATTATTTGCGTCGAGCGGGTGTATTTTCATTAGGTAGTAGGAATGGTTTGTTTTCATATCATTTATTGTCTCTGCTAATCGTACAGAGAGGGACACATTCTATAAAGCCCTATAACCAAAAGCACATTCATGTCATATTCGCTCTCCGGGCATAAATCCCCATAGAGCTAATCACATCACATACTAAAATATACATTTACAGTTCATCCTTCATATCCACGTCATCGTTCTCCGGGGTCAAAAACTGGCGCAGAACGTTGCTACGAGAGATCAGGTCATCAACCTTCTCCGGCGCCGAACCGCCCTTGGCGATGATCTTTGTCAGCCGGGCAAATTCCTTGCTGGCATATTCCTTGTTCTGGCTGAGCTTCTCAGCAACCTTGACATAGTACTGAGCGTACTTGTCCTGCAAACCCTTGGCAGCCTTCTTCACCTCAGCGACCAGCTGCTCGAAGTTCTGAGAAGAGGTGTACTTGGCGACCAGCTCGTCGAGGGTGGCGATGGTGCCTGCCTTCTCATTAAGACCGCCTCCCGCGACACGGTTAGTGCCGGTCTTCTCATTCAAGAACTCAAGGAAAGCCTCCTGCGAGCGAGCACCGGAGTAGGGGATGCCCTCCTTGGAGCCTTTAGGGAAGAACTTGATAGTCGGGTAACCGGTGACACCCTGTTCCCTGGCTGTAGCTTTGGCGTTCTCTGCCTCGGCATCGACCTTGGCAATCACGACGTTGGGTTCGAGGGCAAAGTCCTTGGCGAGGGACTCCCAGGTAGGGGCGAGGTTCTTGCAGTCTAATTACAAATCAGTCCACACTCGAGTAAAAATAAATCTCCGTAAAAAAGGGGAAAGGATAAACTCACGTCCACACCAAGGAGCAGTGAAAGCAACCAGAACGTCCTTATCACTACCAATAGTAGTCTTGAAGGAAGAATCCGTCAACATCTCCACGTGGCTGGGCTCCTTCTTGGGGCCTCGAGGCTTAATGCCCGTCTTCTCGGACACGAAAGCAGACAGGCTCTCAAGATCACGGCCACCGTTGTAATCCACCGCCTTGTCGGTCTTGCCATCAAACCATTTCAGCGTAGGGAATCCCTGGACGCCAAACCTCTTACCGAGGTCGCGATGCTCATCGGCATCGACCTTAGCGATAGTAACTTTGTCTTCGGTGTGGGCGAAAACCTGTCCCAGTTCCTCGTACACAGGGGCCAGGTTCTTGCAGTGGCCGCACCAAGGAGCAAAGAACTCAACAAGCGCAGGCTTGCCGGATTTAAGGACGACGCTGTCGAAATTTTTGGGGGTCAGGTCGACGACTGCGGAAGCAGCGCTGACGATGCTGAGACAGCTCAAGAGTAGGTAGCTCAGACGAGCCATGGCGGCAGTTTGGGTGGGTTAAATATACGTGCGTCAGGTGTCCAAACGCTTAATGGTTGAGAAAACCAAGAGGTTGAAGCAACTGTGCCCTGACTGAAGATGACCAGTCTCCGGAGCAGTAAAGAGCATTGGCGGAGAGCAACGGCAAGAGCTCCGCGGATCGACAAAGCGGGTCGGAAGAGGACACTTGGTATCAACGCCCAGCAAGTACTCTTTGCAACTCCCATTGTATATATACAATTTTTTTACCACACAAAGATAATATATATATATATATATATATATATATGTAATACCCTCCTTAAGGAGTAACTGATCTCTGGGCACTCAATATTCCTCTTTTTTCCTACTCATACACTATTCTTTGAGTAGAAATGGCAAGGTCTCCCTCCCATCAAGCTCGGTGGCGATTCAATACCATCCCGACTGACAAATCAGTGCCATACAGGGGTCTATGTTATTGGATTACTGTAATTCATATTTGTCTGCGTTTCTCGTACTCCGTAAACCCCATCACCGCCTCTCTGCCAACCAGCTGTTTGCATCTCCAAACAGTTTACTCTCCTTGAACTCTTTCCCTGCATGCTGCGATCCTTTGTAGACCTTCATCGTGAAATCAGTTCGAAGCCCAACCCGGATGTCTATAACATGAAGCACTTACCGCATCCCAAAGCTTGAAAGCCAAATCCAAGTTACCAGTAAAACTATCGCTGTGTTGGAACCACTCCTTACCCTTCGACTTCACTTCGGCCCGTGCCTCTGGCGATGTCGGGTCGGCCTGCAGAGGCAAGTCGTCAAGGTAAGTACGGACGGCAATTCCCAGGCCGCAATCGTTATCATCGATGAAAGGCAATCTAGACCATATTAGATAGGCGCATCCTTCGGAAAGTGCAAGGTCCGCTTACTTGGCATTCAACTCGGCCCAGTCATCCCGATCTCTTTCGGCGTCTCCGCTGAGCAGAAGACCAGTCAAAACAACCTCAATTAGGTTCCTCAATGTGACGCGGACTTCCGAGATCAAAGATCGGTAGCAGAGCAGTTGTCGGCTCAGAGGCCCAGAGTAGCCAATGCTCTTATGCTGCAATTTAGCGATACACGCCACACGGGAAACAAGTATATTGAAATTTTTGTCCTCGTCTACGAAAAGAAAGAATGTCAGTATGGGTCTGCTTGCATGGTAGCTGACCGGAATAGACTTACCGGAACCCCTCATTGGACCTCCGGATACATGGGAGAACCATTGCTTCGCATTGAGAATACCAAAGCGAGCCAACTCAATGGCAAGGAAAGTAGCCTCTTCGAGGTTATCGGCCGGGTCTAGTACCGATAAGGCTTGTTCGAGACAAACGCCCCATAAAGTGAGCTGGTGTTTCTCGTCAATGTATCCACGAAGTTGCAGGAATCTCCAGAAAACATTGGCAAGGATTTCTTCTTGGGACGATAATGGCTGGCACTAGTCAGATCTCAAGCTTTTCAAGGTGCCAGGGCCGGGAGCATACCTGAGAATCCTTGGCAGACAGAGACTTGGACACAAATTCGGAGTCCGTCAAGCTTTGGACGGCAAACTTGAACGGACCGTTAGGCCCCTAGATTTCGGTTAACAGGTTTCTCCAAGGCTGGACATCAGCAAACCAACCTGCAATTTCTTCACCCTCTCAGGAAGTTGATCCGTACGGACTTTCCATGCCTGGATAGTATCCTTGACCGAAGGCAGGGACTTAAGATTGACCGGCGTTTCGGATCTCTCATCATACCAAGTGCGCACTTGGATCACCTTTGTCTGGTAGAATCTATGGAGTGAATTGGAAAGTAGGCATATCGCCTGGGTTCTGATTGGGGTCAGAGTGCTTCCGGCAACCTGGCGATAGATCTCTGTATCTTCCACGCCCAGAGGCCGAGAGACTACAACCTCGCCCGACGTCAGGTAGTTGGGCACATCAGCGCCCAAGACGCCTTTAGAGAGATAAAAGTAGAGTTCCTCAGGAAGACGCTGACCGATCAGCTCGTGCATGTCGGAGGGGGTGTTCTCCGGGTCCATAGGGCCCACCCGACCTTCCGTGTCTATAAACACATGGTGCTTCACTGTCATAAACGCACTCTTGTAGCGGTCCATATACTGCAGCTCCTGCATGCGGCGATCCTCGTCAAACTGGGCGCACAGTGAGAGAGCGCTCCGTCCGGCAGAGTTGAACATCGGCAGGGCATCCCGAATACTGGCGCCCTTTCCAGGGAAGGCGGGGTTCTCGAATATGGGGAATGTCGGTAGGAATGAAGATCCCAGGAGGAGACAGAAGTCCAGGAACTGCTCATTGGACAGTCTGCCCAATTCTTCCTGACATGTCGATTTAGCTATCCAGGAAAACTGCGCAGGGTCGGTGTCAATCCGCGTGATTAATTTGTCCACGTCGAACATCAAGATTTCTGATGATCCGCATACGGCATCCACCAGGGGATTTTGGCCTTTTGTAAGGTAGGAGAGCTATGCCGTAGGTGGATGTTAGAAAGCGCTTGGGAGACGTTTACAGCAAATCCTGAGCTGTCAACTCACCTGAGCTGCAGCACTATAAGGAGCCACAATATAATCTATATCATTATGATGAAGGATACGCTGCAAGAACCGATAAAGCGACTCTGGTCGAGGAGTACCTAGAACACCCAATTATTGTCAGCGCGAGTTAAGGTTGCTGGGCAGCGCATTGCGGGTCGCGCTACGATTCCAGGATTCGGCAAGTCCCTACCAGCACCACTGAATGCATCCACCACTTGATCAGCTTGTTGTTGGTCGTAGAGGTCCCACGCTTGTTCGAATGCCCGCACTGATTCTGGCGATACGTGGGGTCGCTGGTTTTTGGTGCCAAAGTCGAGACCGTCGAAGACAAAAATAACAGTGACGCCTGAATCCTTCAAGAGCAGCAGCTCTCGCTCGATATTATTTCTCAAAGCGAACGGGAATCCACCCAGAGCGACCAGCAAAGGCTCGCGTGTGGAAGGGTGGAGGAGGTGCTGCTTGATGTAATGCGACGCATCAATACCGACAACAGCACCTTTGAGAGCGGAGAGTGGAAGAGACTGGGTGCGGGCAGCGGCCCACTCATCCAATGGACGGACTGTTAACGGCAAATCCCATCGGTCAGTTTGACTTTCGTCTCAGTTGAGGTAGGAGGAGCAGTAGCAGGAGCTTACTCGGCATAATTGGAGCTGAATCTGGAGCTGTGTCAGGAACTAAGGAACCTTAACGGGTATCAGGCATAGAAGGTGACCGGGGAGGGGAAGAAAAGTGGAGGGGAAAGGAGTGCAGAAGAAGTAGTATAAGGAGGTGAATTGGAAAGTAAAGAAAGGGAAAGAAGGGAAGAGGGGTGTACGGAGGGGTGGAGAGAGACAAATTGGCCGATGTTGAAGTTCAGTTGTTTTTGGATGATCATTTGTTTCCATTGGCGGGAAGGCGGTGCTTCCGGTCAGCCAACTGTCGAATGTATTTATACTATGTACACACTGTTCTAAGAACAATGGAAAGTTTGATCTACTATTTATAAATCCATGCCTGTATTCACATTATACTTCTCGCATTTCTATCTTAGTTCAAGGCTTTTTCTTTTCAACCTGGACTTGTGGGGTTTTTACTATGCACATTCGGTACAGGTTATTTTTATATTGTCACGGTGTACCTGCTTACTATAAGTAAATACCATTGGTCATGAGCAGCAATACATATAAAATACCTAGACATAGGTTTGTGTATGGGTACATAGACACGGGAGCAAACTTACTATCACTACTATTAATACATATTGAGATTACTTCAATTATGCTTCCCGTAGGATGCCATTATAACCCTAAAGGGGACTGGACCTATGGTTCATTCTCCATTCTCTAACTGAAAGATTTATCCTTGTGTCGCATCGCTCCGATCCGATGACTGTCCAGTCCTGATAAGATAGACATGTGGCACCGTCCTACACTTTATATTCTGGCATTTCCCTCCACGGCAATCTTCTTCTTCCTAAAATTTAATCACAGGATCTATCACACTTGAATATTCAATTTGGACCAAATGACAATCATGGAGGAACACACTCCCCGGGGGCCCCTCATTGAACTCCCGATCTTGGACATCACGGATCCCAACGACCCCGCCGTGGGGAAGGCAATGCTAGACGCAGCCGCGAAATATGGCTTCCTCTACGTGAACAGCAAAGGGACTGATTTCGCCGTCAGCGATGTTGAGAGGGCTTTTGAATTGGTACGGCGCCACTCCTTATTTACGAATTATGAAGGCACTCTCCCGTTGAAGACCCAATATTTATACATCGACGAAACTGACTCAGTAATGACAGTCCAAGCAATTCTTCAAGTCCCCCGCGGAGGAAAAGGCAGCTTGTCGCATTCAACCCAACGTGAGCAGAATCCTTATTTTATACAAGAGCCTGTCTCATCTAACTAACATGCCTAGAACTATGGCTGGTCCGGGATGCATGTCGAAACCCTGGACCCAGAGCATCAACGGGTAACTATGATCTCCACTGATCTCTGAACGTAGTCGTGGCTGACAACTATATGCACCCATAGACTGGTGACTTCAAAGAGTAAGTCAGAGTATCCCCGTACCTTTTCTTCACAGAGTCCAACTGAGGCCATGCCAAGGGCATTCAACTTTGGGGAATTCAAAGATGGAAAGGCGCCACATCCGCTGCCCAAATCACTCGCCTCGCACGAGGCAGAAATAGCTCATTTCGCAGATCTCTGTAACAAAACCTGTAGTAGGATCCTCAAACTACTGGCACTTGGGCTTGAGATACCCGATGACTTCTTCACGGCTCGCCATGACCCCAGTCAAGGCTCGTCAGGCTGTAACCTGCGCTACCTCTATTACCCTTCAATCGCTTCCCCAGCAACCTCATCCTACGAGCATGGTACTGACGTTCGTGCGGGCGCTCATTCCGACTACGGCAGCATCACCCTTCTCTTCCAGCGCCCCGGCCAACCGGGTCTGGAGATCCTGACCCCGGAAAAAACCTGGGCACCCGTCCCCGTCCAACCAGGGCAATCTGCTCAGAATGACCAGGATTCCCCCTTCCCCTTCCCTCCGATCTTGGTCAATATCGGCGATCTGCTTAGCTACTGGACCGATGGATTGTTAAAGTCCACCGTCCACCGCGTCGTTTTCCCACTCTCTGAGCAGCAGAGTCCAAACCCACAGGACCGTTACAGTATCGTCTACTTTTGCCATCCTCTTGATAAGACCGAGTTGGTTCCTGTGCCCAGTGACCTGGTAGCTGCTTATCGACAGAAGTGCAAGGAGAATGGAATCCATGAGGGTCAAGTTGGTTTCGGCGGCGGAGCTGGGAATCTGGAGACCGGCAAACGAGCGCTGACGGCTCAAGAACACCTCGCATCGCGGTTGGCTGCAACCTACAAATTTTGATTAATGACAACTGTCACGTGGCTTCGAAACCACATCACCATGCCATTTTACCTGCAGGTTAGTGGTACATATTGTGTTACCCAATACCAGGCACATGTATGTAGAGACGTATCCAGCATTAGGTTGCAACAAAGTCATGAGACTATTCAATTCATAAAGGGAGATTAATCAAAACATATTATGCACATGGATGCAAGGAACGCAATAAACAGAATAGACACGACTGCTATCAAGCAGTACATTCACCGTGGTGTGTAGAAGCCAAGACCAATGATTCGCCAATGAAGAAATATCGACAATCACAAAAAAGGCCAAAAAAGCCAAAAAAAAAAGGTTGCTCCCGACAAGACCGATAGGGCAAGGGAGTATGCGAAGCGGTCACTGACAAAGGAAAATCGTCGGACGTCCAGGTAATGAAATGTAAATTGTTAGAGAATAACCAATGGAAAATGAAAAATAAAATATGAAAAACAGGAAGACGAGTGACACGAATGTCGAGCGTTTCGAAGAAAACACCCATTGACCGCTAGAGGTAATCCATATGAGCAGTAAACAGGCATAATGCCCAACGTTAATGGAACAATTGTACTAACAAGGGTTCAGATATGATAATTGCAGGATAAACAACATACAAAAGGTATCTTGAAGAGAAACGCCGCCAGGTTCTGAAATGCCATGCACGGGGTAGATGTGGAATCTCGAAAACAAAACAAAAAAATATGGCAGGTATGACGCTATGCAAACCAGGTATGCATTAGATATATTAGACAAATTTTCATCCGTTCATATCATGGCGTGGTGTGGCACCAGTGACGGTGGTAGACCCAGGCGGCCTTCTGACAATCTTTGCTGCAGTACTTGGTGCGACGGCAACGGCGACATTTGGCAAACTGCCGCTGGAACTCTTCCCATTTCCCGCACTTGTACCATGCGCATTGCCGAATGCCACCTCTGGACTCGTCCTTGCGACAGAGATTTCTCATGACGACACAGGCCCAGTACTGCATGTCCTTGGAGTGATGGCGCACGGTAAACTTTTCTACCAACGGGAAGATGTTGACATCATCAGCAAGTAAATACTCGTCCTCCTCCTCTGGCGGTTCAATCGGCGATGCTCCTTCCTCAAGCATTTGAAGTTCACGATCGACCTTGAGCTTTGGCACCAGATGGGAGTGTTGGAAGTACGACCGCAGATTGCAATATTTAGAGACATAGGCCAACAGTTGGAGCGACATCAAGACGTCCTCATCACGGGGCATCGTCGTTAAGACATTCTGGGGTGCTGCAGATCGGTCGCGGAAGTACAGCGAGTACGGGCTAGGGACGAGAGCGGGGGAGTTGGCGTTGTTCGCGGCCTGCGTAGGAGAAAACCCTAGAGCCGTGTTGGTCTGTGTGGTGTCGTTGTTGATTATGCTGCCATCTACTGTGGAACGATGGGTGATATTGAACGTCTCGGCTTCTTGTCCTTCCGAGGGGTCGGTGACAGTCAGATCGTGGGAGTTGGAAACGCCATCAATCATGGCTTGCCGGTCGCCCACTTCATCAATCTCCATCTGGTTGTGAAGACCAACAATGGGTTCCGATGTCTCTGCGGAGCCAGCGTTTTCTCCCGTGGTGGAGCCCTCTCCGTTCCCATCATCGGAGTCTCCTGATGCCGACTGATGCTGTCTCAAAGCGGGCCGTTGTCTCGCGGCCGTTGTTGACTGAGAATGGCTGCTCCGAGGCTGCACCGGGCCGCTGGGGGTCGTTGGAGAATCAGGCTGCGACGCAATACCGTTGTGCATGGTGGGAAGCATGCTTGGTAGTCTTTCCGTGTCTCGCACGGGGCGGAGCCCAAATCCATCAGCCGCATCCATCGGGGGCAATGCAGTGGCTAGAGGTTGCATCGCCCTGTGACGAGGACCCGCATGCACATAGCGACCATCGTGCGATCTGTGGTTGTGGGCGTCTTGCCCGAACGTGTTCCTCTCCGGAGGCGATGTCATGGGCGCACGAGGTGACGATGTAACGTCCATGGCATTTGCGTCGGGGGCATGATTGTTTTGGTGGAGGAAGGCAGGGATCTCGATGGATGGAGGCGGCGCCTGGCGGCGAGAGGTACGTTGCTCCGTAGTGGATGACTGGTCCAAGAAGGCCGGGCGCCCAGACACCTCGCCGGCAGTAGGGGCCGCCGCCGCCTTGGGGTGATGCCGTAATGAATGTCTCTGGTTTTCGCTATCCGCCCGGGCTCGCGCCTTGTCAACCACCTTGATATAGTTATCAAGAATAGTTGCGATGACCGGGACCATATCCGCTTCGACTACCCTCGTTCTCACGGTCTCTGAGCCCCGCACTCCGATGTTGACCACACACTGGAAGGCGAGGCTCCACTTCCACATCTCCATCAAATCTCTACTCCGACCCTCTTTGAGGACGCAGATCAGCCTTTCAATGCCGCCATCGACCGTAAGAATATCGCGAATACGGGCCGAGGATGTGGTGAGATAGGCGAGATGGTTGAGGGAATTTATGAGGGGCAGGGTTGATGTACAATCGAGGGCACGCCTGTCATAGAGGGTAGTCGTAATGCTCACGGAGGCCTTATTGACATTTGGGATACTGAAGTTGACCTCCCGCATGATGGGCGAGAGGATTGGGAAGAAGAATCGGGTTCGTTGATGATATTCCGTTAGATGACCGAAGTAGGGAGGATGATATTTCGATCAGTAGTTGGCTTACTTCCCCCAAGTAAGATGGGAAGGCCAATCGCTCGAAGCGTGACTCGGAGAAACGGGGGGGAGGAGTCGGTGGAGAACCTAAAGGGGAGGGGGTCTCGAACTGCTTAATTCCAGGTCATGAAGGATTAAATTTGAGATCTTGCAGTAGTCAAGGAGGACCCTCAGGGTCTAGTCGATAATTGTGATGGGAAAATGTTTGCAGAAAGGATGAGGAGGTTGAAAGGGAGATTTAATCCAAGCCAAGACCAGTCCGGTCACCAAGTCCGTCAGACCTAGTGGATGATGATTCACCGGGGGAATGCGAAAAAATGAGCGCAAAGCAAGAGGGGAACTGTACAAGGAGGAAGAAAACACGGATGGACAGAAACCCCAACGATAAACACCAGCGCGTGTATGTCAGGGAGACTCAATGTTATGAGGTGATGGGGGCAAATGTCGACAGTGAATGAGTTGAGTGCTTCGGGGACTTGGCTTTTGGGCCAAAAAAGCGAAAGCGGAGTTCTCAAGTCAGGCGCCTTGTCTTCCTGTTACGCTCTCTTTCTTCCTCTCGTTCTCCTTCTACCCGCCACCCGCCACTTGCAACCCTTTTCTTTCTTGTCTCGTTTCAAATACTTTTCTTTATTTATGTCAATTTTTCTTCTTTCTTTTTCGGCGTCGGTTTTTTTATCTTCTTACGTGCCCAGCGCAGTGGAGATTGCACGCTTCTACATAACCAAATTAAGAATCGCCAGGAAATTGCTTGTATTGAGGGGGAGATGCGCAGATCCATAATCATCTCCCAACTCCAGTTATTACTATTACGTAGAATCCTTGACTCGATGCAGATAATGCAAATAATGGTTTAGCATTGTCTTACTTTAATTGTCGGGAACTCCGGCAGGGTTTAAAATGAAGGCCCATGCTGAACACATGGAATTCTTCTATAAGAGAATGTTTCTCCATAATACATATTAGGGGGCGAATTGATTACATTACCACTAGCTAGTTAACGTAACTGGTAAACGAGCCGCCACTGTAAGCGGCCCGCCATCTTCTGTTTTCCATAGTAAACAGCCTATTTTTAAGCAATAATATTTCAACCATTATTAGATAGATTAGTTTACAATCAAGGTATTATACTAATATGGTTATATTTCTTATATATAAATTAAGCTTAAGTAAGAAAGAGCCCTGGAATATATATATCCTTACTATATACTATAAAATATGGTATATTTTACCTTAGCTTGGTAGTAAGTGTCGAAAAAGATTTGTACTGTTTATATATAATTATTCTACTGTATAGTAAGTTATATATTAATTTTCAAGTAGAGATAAACTGAATTGGTTGAGATATTATTGCTAAAAAATAGGCTGTTTACTATGGAAAACAGAAGATGGCGGGCCGCTTACAGTGGCGGCTCGTTTACCAGTTACGTTATGTATTCCGATTACTAATTATCCTGGTTCAGGTTCTGCTGACCGTATATCACACCGCTTCACATTCCGCTTCAGCCCAGCCCTAAGGCCCTCCATCAGTTACCACGATCAAATGCCTCATACTCAACCTCATTCTGAATAAAGAACTACCTAGGGTATCCCTGCCCATCTGAATTAACCTGTTGTACCATGATCCAATCCTGCAGCGGCGTGCACAGTCACCTTGAACCGTAACTACCGTACTCGGGTCAGCTTCATGAACCTAGATGAAACCTATCTCCATCCCATATACCAGCCCCTACCTCCTCTCCAGCTTTCAAACCATACAATCATAGTTCCCTGGCCATGTCCTACTCCTAAAGAACAACACTAGACCGTTTTTAGCCAGTTACACAGCCCCATGACCAACCCCAACCCATATCCCGGCACAAACCACTTCACTCATTACTACCCATTATATTACTCTCAAAGCTTAATACTTTCATCAATCAAGCATGTTAGCTCAGGGGAAGAGCGCCGGGCTCATAACCCGGAGGTCCTTGGATCGAAACCAAGACATGCTATAAATTTTTGCCTCCTCATAGTCACCGGAAGGTATGTCATGACTCAATCAACCAATCACTTCTCGGAAGGCTAATAAGTACTAGGTCCTTGGTTCGAAACCGAGGCATGCTATATCTTTGTTATTTTTGCATATGTTAAGAGGTGAATGGGCGTGCTTCGGGCCTGGCAGGGAATTATTTTTTATTTATTTTTCTTTCTTGTTGACATCTTAGGTGAGGATGCAAATTTGATGCTCCTTTTTACTTGTTGGAATTCAGGAAGAGATCATACCACGCAGGAACACTCTTTATCCACTACGATAAGTGTTGTTTTACCCATGATCTTGAGGGCGATGTTCTGAAGTTAGGTTTGACTTTTATATATCTCAAAGGGGAAACCAGTCATGTGTTTACAGCAACAACCATCATGTGATGTACATACTATCCCAACTACTTAGAAGCTTCAAACATGTGACTTTAGATTGAAATATGCTTAGGTATACACCTTTTTCCGCGACTGTCTATCACAAACAACCATATTTTTCCCATGCAACGTCTCTGGAGAAGTTGGCTCTCTTCTAATGTATACCCGTCTAGCACGTCAACTAGAGAGTCCGTCTTCATTATATTCAAAATGCCTTCTGTCGTGAGAAAGGTATGGAATTCTCTATAAATGTCCCGCTCTCTGATTGAAATCGCAAATCGACTTGCAGGGTCCCAACGTATGCATAATGCTTTCGGATGAAGATTTTCGGCTAAATGAAGTTGAATGAATACTTCATCGCCGCCTTTTAGCTCTGGTCCAACAACTATGATACGGCAAATCGGAAGATCTTGAGTAGCCGGGAGGATGCTTGAATCAGGCTCCATTACTATCCATCCCGTCTGTACAGCAGCTCGGGAAGGTGCAGATACCATCAGCCACAGTTCTAGGCGACAATCGACAAACAATTCTGTATCTGCCCTAAATGCAGGGGAGTCTCGACGAATATTTCCCGTGGCTCTCGATCTGGCTCTGCGTATTTATGACAGGGGCGGTCAACGTATCGGAACTGCATTTGCTGCTCCATTAGCCAGCCCACAAGGCTGCATCAGATGGTATTCCTTGACGATCGTAGTCTAAATCAGCCCTGGCATGGTGCTTTGTGGTTGGGGTATGTACATCACATGATGGTGGTTGCTGTAAATACGTGACTGGGTTCCCCTTTGAAGGATATAAACGTCAAAGCTTCGGAACTGTAGAATATCTGGAAAGGTAATCGTATAACACGGCTTCAATACGATCAGATTTATGATCCTACAGAACGATCAAGAAGGCCTATCTAGGTGGGAATCGTGAGGGCTTTTTTATGGGGTCTGATTACCATAGTATTAAACAATCCTCATACTTCCACGGGTGGTCGGTTCACCAGGGATATGTCAGGTGCCTACGTTACTAGGTAGTTTCAAGGACATGTTCAATAGATATCGATCAAGAATGTATATCTAAATAGATGATTCATAGTACTATTTTGTCAAAGGTAACTTGTAAGCTTAAGAGTCCCGATGGCCAAGTACGTTACCATATATGATATATATATCACCTTATGAAATCAGCTCCGAGTGGAGTTGTGTTAGGAACACGCCTAGGGGCACGCGACCCTAGCAAGGCCTGAAAAGACTGATCTATGCCCGATCACTAGTGATAGGAGCACCCCTAGAACATATATATAGTAGCGCAATGATAAGTTACGTAGGTAGGGCCATCAGTGGACGCCTAACTAGCCTAACAAGTTGATTATAGTGGAAAAATTTTTTTAAGCTAGTGGGAGGTGTTCTAAAACCCAGGAGTACCACTAAAACTTTATCTCTTCTGAAGAATATTCACGCATCTTTTTTATTTTATTTTATTTTTATAAAAAAAAACCAAAATTACCTGATAGGTCCAAAGCGCGCCCATTCACCTCCATTGTATGGAGGAATGGACAAAAACATATAGCATGTCTTGGTTTCGATCCAAGGACCTCCGGGTTATGAGCCCGGCGCTCTTCCCCTGAGCTAACATGCTCTGGCTGGTTGATTATGTTGGAAGGAATTGAATCTATATTTACTTTTTAATGAAAACCAGTCGGGCTTATTTACAACTTCTATGTGAATCATACTTCTCCCTGTCATACTTAGCCAGCCAATCTGCACCCTTGAATTTTGAGATCATGCAATATATAGTTGAGCTGCTTGTGAACCCTGAGCTAACATTCTCTACTTATTATTTTATTGGTTAAACACCTACCTACAGAGTACTTAAAAAAACCTCTAGATAGGCATGTAGCGGGCTGAAGCCCGTTAGTATACTCAGGCTGTTGGTCCTCGTTTCCGTATTCGCCACATGGTGTATTTCTGCCCCTCCTTCCTGTCATACTTCATTGTCTCCTCGTTGGTTGATTCTTCTCCTCTTTTCTTTCTTCTTCAGCGTTTTCTTCTTGTTTTGATAGCTATGATTATCAACGTTGCGGGTCTTATCCCTTACAAGGCACAGTCCATGGGATATCAAGCCACTGAGGAACCTTCCACTGTTATATATTTATTAATATCTGGGCAATTCTATTTGTCTACTGTAGTACGGTGCGAAAAACTCATGGTGTGAACATGTGGGAGGAACTGCAACATCCTTTCCTTTTGCTTATAATGTTGCCAGTTATACCTACATAGAAATTGTTATAGAAGATGAGATGGGCAGTGATACCCTCTGAGCTGAATATTGCTGTAATTTTCGAGACTTTTCGCCGTATTTAATTGTTGGCCTAGTGAAAGGGTACTGTAGGACCATAAGGACCTTTATGTAGACTTGCCTATACAAAGAGCCTTTTATACCCCTTTATATCTCTCGGGTTAAGTACCTCAGACAGTATTTAATTTATCGTTTTATCACTCAGATGTTTCTATACTTTCTGCTGTGATTCAGACAGCTCCACCACGGTTCCACGATATATTCACACTGTACCGCAGTATAGAAAGATATAAATCTAACTTGTTCCTCCGAATGTTTGCAAAGCTAGATCATCATTACTGGGGTCAAAAGATGTTGAGACAATTCTCGAAGAACGCCTAAATCCCACCCTAAGGAATGCCTGCGTAAATGGTCAATTTACGCTGGCCAAGTACATCATCAGCTTCTCCCTTGAATCCTGGAATGGAGTTAACAAAGGGGGGTAGCCTGAAAGCCATCAGCCAGAACCCAGAAACCTCAAACGGCTCGGGCATATACCTCCACATTATGTGGAGAAAGTGTAATCTACAAACTTCTGGTTATATTTTGGACAGGCAGGAAAACTCTACGAGGGAACTCGAACGCATAATGATGTTTACCGTCGACGACGCAACTCCTCCCTCCATTGCCGTGTTTGGGATTCGGTAGTGGATATGAAAACGACATTTATAACACTCGCTACCAATGCAAGCCCAACCTGCATCACTGAGCAGCTTTTCTTAAACCTCCAAGAAATGTGATGGTGCCCATAGTCCAAACATTGACATTGCATTTGGATGTGTATCTACTTGAAGTTGTCAGCAAACTCTGGTCAGGGAGTGACCTTAAATGTCGCACAGCCTTTTGCGACAGGGAGATTTACTAAAACCGATGATCAAGACATGCGCGAGGCGGTTGGTGGGCGACTATATCTTTTGAACAATATTTATTTTCTGATAACCCAACTTTCCGTCAATGGGCTAAGCATGCCAGGGATGCGTTCAACAACATATAAAACTCCCGATTTTCTACTTCGCAGATACTACCGTGAGTTTCTTTTTTAGTGTCAAGCTCATATCTAGAGAAGCTGGCAAAAATAAACTAGATAAATATAAAGCAATATCTATCTGAGACAAGGACTACCGTCCGGGAATCTCGTAAGTGTGTAATCTATGAATTATCGTGTGGTATCTTCCGATTTACCATATCACAGTTGCTACTGATGCGAAGAGCGTGCGAAGGATTATACCTTGACTCCCCCAATACGAGACACTAACCGCCGAGAGATAACGACCAAAATAATCATGATCCCCCCTTTCTGGGGCTCCTTCATTTGAGAGCCTCCGAATGAGTAAGCCCCTCCGGTGTGTGGATGGTTACTCCGTTGCTCGAACGAGCGGATCTTAATGTAGACCTAGTAAATACCAAGTCGGTCACCCACCATTTTGCTGACATTTGAAAGCGAAAAAAGGGCTGGACACCGTGTCCACTGTCCTCCTGAGTATATGACTTCCTAGTTTGAGAAGGTGGGAAGGAACTCGAAATTCTGCCCTGGTTACGCCGTACTAGACTGGCCAAAAGTGATTGTCGCCCAACCATGGATATTAACACTAGCGGGATGATCTTCGAATACCCTTGTAATGTCGGCCAGTAGGATTTGCGTTTCAGGCTCGAACATATATTTGGCATCTTCACCCCATACAAATTTGTCGCACTAGCCCGTGTATCGACTGCGGCAGGTGTGAAATCGCTGTCTGAGCAATCACCATTGTAATGACAACAGAGAAGGGACATTATCCCTGACCGCGAGAACAATACGATGATTTGCTATAGTCAAACGCACAGACAGAGTGAAGTTCTATGATTAGAAACCAAACAAACGCAAGCCGCGAAACATATAGCTCCAGCAATTACAACTAGCCGCCCTCCAAGAATCAACGTCATTTCGAATCACTCCGATAGGAGGGCCGAGTACCATGGCCTATCCATACGGTACCCTGCAGGATTTAGGGTTATTCCTACGCCCCGTTCTGATATATAGACCAAGGGATTTATATATTTAGAAGTGTATGGCTGATAAGCCGATTGTCCCAGCTTTGATACTTTGCCTCTTATTCTTTCAGCCGTCGGGGGCCAGCCAAACTCGGCAACGCCACTTGCACTAACCTAGGTATGGCCGATAACCGGGCCGGTCAAACCATATATCGTCGTATTTAAAAAGGTGTAATAGTACAGCCTTGAAGAGTGCGGGTATGTCGGAAAACAAAAAAAAAATAGAGGAGAAAAAAAAAGCAAACTTAAAGACTCAATATGTATGTACTAGATACCCGGGATGTGTGCCGGCAACAATCTGGGGAACAATTATGATCCTCCTTCCTGCATTATAAGGCCTCCATTATTAATCACGGTTAATGATGACCTTCGTTGGAGAGGGGCGTCAGTCAAACTAGTCAGGCACGGTCTTTGAGCTATGTTCCTAACAGTGGAGCTATTGCTTGAGATGAAGACAGAGTCACGGACCACTCGGAACAAGTCTCACTTGACCTGGATCGTTGACCAATTTCCGCGATGGAGGCCCGCCTCGAGGAACACTGACCACCGTTATCCACAAATCACATCCACTGATTCTGTATCCCCTCCAAGCAGTAGGTTAGGCCCGAGGTATTTACGGCGCCGTTACCGAATCAGTTATTTTCCTTTCTGATTTCCTGACGCAGTAAGATTGCCTTCGACGACCGGTGTGTTGGTATCCGGGCTTAAGCATGTAGGATGTTATAGACTGCACGGATTACGATGATCCCATGCATACCGCTTTTATTTTCCGAGTTTACACCATCGATCCATCGATGCAAGTCATAGTCAAGATACTACCACGATGGGAGCCTGCTGGAAGTTGTACTACCCCGTCCGCAGTGCCTCAAGGTTGTACAACTGAGAAACAAATTTAAATGGGAACCGATAGAGCCGGGTCCTCTTTAATGAGTGGGTATCACCAACCGGGGATGATGCAAGGCTTAAAGACAAATTGTATGTGCATGTACATGTTGTATATCACCCCCATCAGATGCTTTGCATGAAAGACAGTCTGAAAGCATGAATATGACAGCCACTCTAAAAAGACATTGGGATCTTCCGGTGCCTTGTTGATCTTTCTACCCTTCAATGTTTAAGATATCCTTTAACGTCCCGCTGCAGCTACCCGAAGCACTTGATATACTAACATATAAGTCCAAATATTTCCCTGAAACCGTTTCGATAACAGTCGATACCCGCCTGTCTCAACGATTTTAGGTCTCTACTTACGAGGTATTATCAGAGTACGTCTATGCATTACACGGCTCCTTACACCTGAAGAATCAATAGTGTTAGTGTTGGTCGTACACTGTAGTCATCTTACATATACCAGGGTGTACTCCAAGGCGCATAGCTAAAAGGCCCTGGAGTTAGCATATGTATGCACATACATCCAGAGAGGTTTCCCCAGGCAGTGAGTAAAACCATAATATAATTATGACGGACAGACCGGAGACGACTAGCACTAGTAGCTTTGGATAAACTTTCTTGGGGTGCATAGAAAGCCAGAATGACTGCACACTTAAAATGACTTGTATACATACATTCAATGAAGCTGAGGGAAGTCAGAGATCGGTAACCAACAAACACCCTTCCACCTGATGCTCCACCGTCTATATTGATGAATTCCGGTCCACTTATGCTAACTTTTCCGCGGTCTTTTTAAGTTTTACCCCTCCACTTGTGTGAAAAGTCCCCAGGGCCAACCAGATATTGGTAAATCTCCATGACTCCACTGAGTACGGAGGATGGGCTCTGCTCAGCTTCCCCTTAAACTTAGCCCCCTAAAGTAGGTACCTACAGTAGCTCGAGTCCCGCGGTGGTACAGTGAGTGGTACCCGCACCGCGCAGATGCTTGCTGACCAATCATGGTGGGAAAATGCCTCCGTAATTATTGTCAACCATCAGGAGGCTCCAATCTCGGGTTCAGCGAGTAGATTAATTAATTCTGTCTTTTCTCCTTTCGTGAGCCGTTGGGTCGGTGGGAAAAACAAAGAGAACAAACGAGAGATTGATCTATCTATCTATCTTTATTAATGGGGGATCATCCACTGATTAAAGAAACCAGGAGTTTAATTCCAAAGTGTCGAAAGGTGTAGTAGTAGACTAGTTAGTGATAGTACTTAATAAGGTAGGTAGCAGTAAGTAAGTAGTAGTACGATCAAGTTATCATTGGTGCTCTTTACTTACCACCCGGAGTTGCAATTGGTAACGACAACTGTTGTCATCTGAGGCTTTCCGGTGATTATTTTTTAATTTTTTTTTTGCTGTATTTTATTTAATTTTCTTGATTATTAGTATTTCTATTAGTATTTTATTTTTGAATTCTCTGAACTTGTTCCTCCAGATTTCTTTCCCCTTTTTCTCTCTTGTTGTTTTTTTTTTCTCAAGTTTTTGTCCCTTTTTCATTTTCCCTCTTTCCTTCCTCTCATTCTTTCTCATTCCAAATAGTCTTCCTGTCTGTTTGAACCGTTCAAACCCTCCGGGACGCAAAGTTTCCTCGGTCGCTTCCGCCGAACTCGCTCCACATCCAATCAAACCCCCTCCTCGTTCCTTCGCTCTCCCTCACCCTTCTTCCCTCAGCTTTCACCTACCGCCCTCTTCCCGCGTCCCCTCTCCCTCGATCTTTCTACCCTCGCTCCCAGTCCCCTGGATAGTACGACGCCGCTGTCGATTCTTTTTACTTTCCCTTCCCGCCCCATCTGCTACCCCGGACACGTTCACATTCCCCTCCAATTGACCATCACCCTCTCCAGGGGCTTGCTCGTCAAGATGGCAGCCGATATGAGCGGCGAGCAGATGCAGGCCAAGATTACCGCGGCCCGGCGCGAAGCTGAAGGTCTGAAGGATAGGATTAAGCGCAGGAAGGACGAACTGGCTGATACAACTCGTATGAATCCCTGTTACCTTCTGCAAGCTACTAGCGCCCGACATTGGGGGGTTGATTTCGTGCTCGCAATTTCCTAACCCCCCATTGGCTGTCTTGTTTGTCTCCTGAAGTACTGACATCGGCCTTGCAGTTCGTCAAGTCGCGCAAAATCATACCGACACTTTGCCTCGCATCGGAATGAAGCCCCGGCGCACGCTCAAGGGACATCTCGCCAAGATCTACGCCATGCACTGGTCGACCGACCGACGTCATCTCGTCTCGGCCTCGCAAGATGGAAAGCTTATCATTTGGGACGCCTACACCACGAACAAAGTTCATGCAATCCCTTTGAGGTCATCGTGGGTCATGACCTGCGCCTACGCCCCGAGTGGAAACTACGTTGCCTGTGGTGGTCTCGACAACATTTGCTCGATCTACAATCTCTCTTCTCGTGAGGGTCCGACTCGTGTCGCGCGCGAGCTTTCCGGACACTCGGGGTACCTTTCTTGTTGCCGCTTCATCAACGATCGCCGAATCATCACCTCATCCGGAGATATGACTTGCATGCTATGGGATATCGAGTCGGGCTCGAAAGTGACCGAATTCGCCGACCACCTTGGTGATGTTATGTCGATTAGTATCAACCCTACGAACCAGAACATCTTCGTCTCAGGTGCCTGCGATGCCTTTGCTAAGCTCTGGGATATTCGTACCGGAAAGGCCGTCCAGACGTTCGCTGGGCATGAATCAGACATCAATGCTATCCAGTTCTTCCCCGACGGAAACGCATTCGGCACAGGTTCTGATGATACTTCTTGCCGTCTCTTCGATATCCGTGCGGACCGCGAACTTAACATCTACCAGGTATGCCAATTTTGGTTTTCCTTTTCACCAAATCAGGACGACCGATAACTGACTTGACCCCGAATCTTCAGAGTGACCAAATATTGTGCGGCATTACGTCCGTTGCTTTCTCCGTCTCTGGAAGATTGCTGTTTGCTGGTTATGATGATTTCGAGTGCAAGGTATGTGCATGTTATTAACATAAACCCTTCCCGATGTGGACAGCTGGTTGACTTCATTAAAAGGTGTGGGATGTCCTCCGGGGCGATAAGGTTGGCTCTCTGAGCGGCCACGAGAACCGTGTTAGCTGCTTGGGAGTTAGCAATGACGGTATCAGTTTGTGCACTGGTTCTTGGGATTCTCTGGTAAGTTCTGAGACATTATTGTCCGTCGAGTGGCAGTGTATTGTACTAAGACATTTCTCTCTTTACAGCTCAAGGTCTGGGCCTGGTAAAAGCCGAGGGCCCCGAAGTAAAAAAAAGCAAAGATACCCTGTCTCTGTCTTGCCATGTCCTTTTCCGAAATTTTCACAACATTTTCTTGCAGCAATAGGTCGAATATCCGCCGTTGTACGATAATCTTATTTACCGAGCAGTTTTGTCGCCTTACTTCCATAATATATGTATTATGTGGGAATGCCGGCGAAGTCATCCAGAAGGGAACGACGAACGATTAGGGGCAGAATATCAGGGTGGTTGGGGATTTGGATCGAAATCTGTCGCACCGCACCGTGGACGTGCCACGACAGAAACATAATCATCAGAAAAGAAAAGAAAAGAAAAGAAAAGAAAAGAAAAACAACAACAACAAAGTGACACTATTCGATGACTTTACGTGGTGATTTTAATAATGTTGTCGGTCGACAAGCCACTTAAGGATGGTTGGCAGGAGATACCGAAAAATGGTGTCCTTGTGAAGATTGTACATGTTCACATCTCATCCTCCGTGGGCTTTGGAGATCTACTTTTCTTTTCGCCCCATTTACACTTCTTCCTCTTCTAATTTTACCTCTGCCCTCACCCTCTGCATATTCCCCACCTTTTTCCCTTCATTTTCTTTTTTCCATTTTCTTATATTTCCTTTGTGACTTCTCTTGTCCTCCAATCATTGGACTTGTTTTGATCGTTTTGTTTTTGATAGCCTCTCTTATGCATGTATTGTGTTTTTATTACTTGGTGGTGGACAGGAAGGGAATGGTTCTCCGAACAAGCTATGACGTTTTCCTTGTCTGTCTCGTTATTTTTTTTTTTTTTTTCTTTTTTCCTTTTTTTCTAATCAACTTGCCCGTTTTTTTCCTCGAAAGTGTCGGATGTGCCATTTGGCTGTTTTCACGAGAGCTTGTCTCGACCTGGAGTTGGGTCTTACTACGTTTTCAGCGGCTCCTCTTTCCTTCTTCGACCCTTAACTTTTTTCCCTTCGTCTTGTTTCATGGTATCTTATAGCCCTCCATTTGCAATTAGCTGAGATCTGGGAAGACGATTGACATATTATTGAATCATTACTGGTACAAATGGCATACGCAGTTACTTTCGGAGCTATCTTACGCAATGTCAGCGTGGCTTTGTTCTTCAGCTGCTCGTAGTCGCTGTGAACATGTATTATTTCCTGGGTCGGTCAGGAGCGAATGAAACAGAACTACCGGAAGACCTGTAAGGAACTTCGTGAGGATGCACTGTCCCTAATCGGGGCCATCTTTCCCTAGGTGACTGGAGGTGACTGGGCTCGACTGGTGGGCCTCCACTGCATGGGTAGGTTGAGTTTCGGAGTACACTCAAAATTGAGTGATTCGGATTTGGAGCCAGCCTGAAAAGTCATCCTCGTATTGTGTGCATGATGGGCACGGGCCTCGGGGCACGATGGACGGGCAAATCAACGGTGCAAGATGTAGCTTCTCAAGGTTGGTGAGAATGACTCGGCTTGATCATAATAATGAGTGTCTATGTACTGCGTACTATGGCTGTCATTGATTGATAGATTGGTTGCAGGAAGAGACAAACAAGGGTCACGCGTTCACCTGTCCACGTGGCTGCTGCCTGCTAAAAACAGGAAATTGCCAACTCAATTCCTGCTGACATCCTTCCTCTATGGCAACGTCAACAGTAATTACTCACGCGTGAACTGTGTCTGGATGATGAGTGGAAGGTTCTTCGTCTCTTCTAGTCAACGGCATATGCTGAAACGGACTCCACTTCTTGAAACGTAGCGAAAAAAAGGGGGCGCGCCGGCGATGATGGGACGAGAATGGGGGGATTATGATCGGCCCCATCGGAGATTCCCTCCGGTATTCCAACCTTCCCACCAATCTGTTGTCTCATCCCGCCACTCTTAGCCTCTGCTTTAGCCTCGATTAAAGCCAATTCTCCTCTTTTCAGCATCACTCGCTTCAGGGGGGTCATACAGAACACATCTGAAACAACCTTGCGGAGTCGCAGTCGTCACTCTCACCGTTTTTCGTTGCTCATTACCCAATTTCTTCGCCAGGAAACCTAAAAGTGGGACGAATATTGGCGAAATAGAGAAAGACAACTGAAAGAAAACAACACAGAGACAGGAAGGTTTTTTTTTTAATTTTTTTTTTTTTTAAAAAAAATTCCAGATCACAGGAACGAAAAAGCAAAGAGAAACGAAGGAACGCTTCCCTGACGGTTGTTGCAGATCAAGGCGCAGCTCGACTCTAATAATATCACTGCCCTCATTATCCTTGGCTCGTTTAAAAGCCTATACCCCCCCTTCGGGTTCCCTCTTTTCACCATGTCTTCTGCCCAAGACGAATTCAATCACCTAGTTCAGTCCAACCAAGAGAAGATTTCTACGCATCCTGAGGATCGTGACAACTCAGACCGTGACTCCAATCCTTCAGACGACGAACAAGACCATCCACAGTTCTCCGAACCCGAGGACCACGATCCCACTATGAGAGCTCGCACATCAACCTACCATGTTCCGAAGACCGTCTTCGATGCCAACACTGGTCCCAAGGGTGTCATAGCCGATGCTCAGGCCTTCGAGCGTGCGCGCCAAAGCTCCTTCCGCAAGACCTTGCTCGGTGACCCCGCCAAATCCATCGCTGATGACTCTACCCTTCTACATAATACCACACCTCCGGACGGCTCTGCCAGCGATGACGATGAGTACTTCATGCGCCAGTGGCGCGAGTCGCGCATACATGAATTGAGAAATCGGAACTTTCGGCGGCCTAGCCCACGACGGAAGATGTATGGGTCTGTCGATACAGTTGATGCGGTTGGGTATCTTGATGCCATTGAAAAGGTCACATCCGATACGGTGGTGATTGTTTGTATCTATGATCCCGAGGTATGTGTGGAATAGACTACTACTCTCTAGTGGAAAGTTACTAATATCTACCAGTCCAAAACTAGCGCGGTAGTAGAAGACTGCCTGGAAGGTGTTGCTCGCAGAAACCCAACTGTCCACTTTGTGAAGCTCCACTACGAAATCGCAGAGATGAACCATATCGAAGCTCCTGCGCTGGTAGCTTACAGAGACGGCGATGTCTTCGAGACCATCGTGGAAATTGTCCGACAGATCCCGAAAGGTCGTGATTGTACCTCGCACACGCTTGAAGATTTACTCAAACAGTATGCTTACTCGACACTCCTGATGTTTCACATCTGACTGACTGCCATAGATACCGAGTGCTCTAGATATCCACCCATTTTACTAGTACATGCGTGAAAGTTACAGGTTGAATATGCGCCGGGCGTATGACTTCCTATTTTAGCATTTCTGTCGTGCTTAAAAGATCTTCCATTCTTACGATGTCAAGTTTTGTTTTTTTCTTTGGGCAGTACCAACTATTTGTCCAATCCTCATCTGATTGCATATTCATGGTGTTCGGTTGGCGATGTATTGTGGATCTCCATTTTTCTCTTCTGGTTTAGTTGTCTGGACTTCTTGGGTTTTACGCGGGGCGATTGAGCTTGAAGATATCCAACATGGTTCGTGCCGATATATCTCTATTGTCTTTGGTCTTCATTGCATAAATCTCACAATGATTGTTCCAATTTCTTGTATTATTACCAAGCTGCTGTCAAATATTGGCGTATGGCTCCGTATTTCATTAGCCCGGACTTTCGTTATCAAGCTTTCCGATCTCTTTCTTCAAGGAATCCAGCATCCAGGTGCATCCTCCTGTTGAGGATAAGTTGGTCTTGACTCGTATAGTGTATTCGTTTCAATCCATCCGATATGACTGCGGCACCTTCCGCTCCCTCTCATTTTTAATATTTTCGAAAAAAGAAAAAATGCGTCGGGACCCTTTCTTTTATTCCCTTTTTCACCATGTGGTCCATTGATCAGAAATACAAAAAGCAATGCAATAGGGGTAAGAGATAAAAAAAAAAGGAATAAAAAGAGCAAACGACAGCCAGTGATGTAAACAGGTAGAGTGGATGGAGATGGAAGAAGAGAAATACCCCCAAAAATTATTTCACAGAGCGCCCTTCTCTTGCGTAAAATCCCACAGCATTTTGATCAGGGTGTCTGGTAGGGTATAAAGATCGACGTGGAATTCTCCCTCTGTAGGTTGAGTTCAGCCATTAGCACTTTTTTCGGGTGGTTTTTCTAGGGAGAACTTACGCTCGACATCGTTCTTGGTGTACGAGTCCGGGGCTTTGTTATCATGTACCATCTGCACCACTTGGAGAAGGTCATCTTCTCCGAGCCGTTGGAGGCCGTCGGCTAATTTGTCCATATCCACCTGTGAAGGTCATGTTAGACCGGGGTCCTTCATATTAGACACGTAGATGGATTAAACTGAAAACTTACGCTCTTCTCTGTCCGCTTCTTCTTCTTTGATCCTTCTTCGCCTGTTGCAGCACGCTTAGACTTCACTCCATTCTCATCTCCGGGCACGGGGCCCGATTCCCGCAGGGCTGCCAATAAGGCAGGCTTGGGGTTTTTAAATGTCTGATAATAACGCATGAGCGATCTGCATTAAGCATGAGAGGATAGATACGGAAGAGAATGAAGACACCTACAATGACGTGCTTGGACTCGTAGCGTGTCTGTGCAAAGTTGAGGTCGTGTGTCAGGTAGTGATCCTTGTCGGCGTGGAGAGTGATTTGCATGTCGAATTCACCCCATCCTTCTTCCGCAATCCTAAACGGCGGGTTCTTGAAGGCTGTTATCATGTTTGCGCGTCAGTTACTTTTCTGTTCTCGATGTTTCTGACGGTCTCTGGCAGAAGAGTGTTTCCTTTTAGGTTCAATTTCGGACATCTCCCCCAAATTGTGAAGCGGTAACTTCTACCAGACGATAGAATGAAAACGAGAGACATACTTTGAATGGCTCTTTCACCGAAACTAGGATGCAATGTATAAGTCACTTTGTCGAAGACACTGGCCGGTACTTGTTCTCCGTGGTCATTGACGAGGTAAATTTCGATCGACCACGCCCGGAGAGGAAACCCTTCAACGCCCGAATCTTTGTTCCTATCGAAGCGAAGACGCGACCAGTCAGCAAAAAAAGACAGCTACAGAAAAACCAGGTTGTCATTCCCGTGGCCCTTGATCATAGTGTGCGTGCGGAACAGAAAAGCCACCGCACTTTGGTTGCCCCGGTACTGCGACAACAACGATCAAGGTAGAATAACAGAAAGGGTAGGGAAGCGTGAGGGCGTAGAGGCGCGAAGATTGGGCTGATGAGACTGTGACGATCTCTTGGGGAGGGAGATTCGCGTGTAGAGTTGAACGTACACAACATGCTGTTCCGTAACCAGTCTGACATTCCTCTTGACCTGAAAGGGTAGAAAGATAGTATTAGTTAAATGCGACAGCAAGTGATTTACCAATTGGTGGTAAAGGCGATGCTAGGAACCCAAAGCAATCGTATACTCACGTCGGGCATTTTTGCCAGCGGCCTCTAGTTGAGCTCACCGGAAAGTGAATATAATAGCTCTGCTCGTGGGTGAATAACGGAGTGGAAGGATTCGAGCTATCGGGCTCGGGGATCGCGCGAATGAAAGGTGAGGCAAGGTTGAATGGGATGCTTGTCGGTGGGATTCTACTAATACTCCGATTGGATGAAGCCCTCAGGGAACGCGCGATGACCGCGTATGGTTTACCTAGTAGGGGAGTTGTGGGGGTGATGAAGGGTATGAGAGGGGAGAAGAGTTAGAGTGAAGAAGAGTGTCGGCGGAGGAAGAGGGGGAGAGAATATGGGCGGATGAAGCGATCCGACTGACTTGTCTTTCAGGCAGTAAATTCAACTTCACCGTAAACTTTTCCCACCCCATCAACCTTCACTTTCCACCCCAAAATCAAAATTTATTGATTGAAATCTCATCAAGACTCAGATTCTTCCCCAGGTGCTTTGCTCCCATACGCTACGTGTCAAATTGCACTGATCATTTACGAGATGAATTGATACATACGTCTACATATCAGGAGCCAAGTCGGAGTCATGGAATAGCACCAGGAGTATTACACTAGACAGCAGGAGATCTATAATTATTCTGATGGGGATTCAATACATAACGGGTTCATGGTGCATTTCAAACATATATTTGTAGTAAGAGGTGGAATTTGGGGTCTACCAATCTACTGCCGAGTCAACATACATTCGACATCAACGGTGGATGTCGAACGTGTCTTAAGTTGGTTCGTGATCTTGTCGTGATCGGTCTCAATAAACCGTTCTCGTCGCGCAATTGTCAGGGAATGGGGCTGGTGGGAAGTGATAATGTCGGAAAGGGTGTGATGGGGAAGGGATTCAGACGGGTCACTGATGTTGGACGAGCTTTATATTAACCCGTAGAGTTTTGAATCAATCAAATAGGTGATTAATAATAGTTCACCAATGAAATGACATTTCCGTCGACTCAATGGCGCAGGTTTTTACTGGCCGGCGAGGAGCTTCTCGTTCTCCTGCTGAGCCTTCACGAAAGCATCCTTGAACAGGTTGGCGTCTAAAGCGGAATTAGCAAAGCCGTCACCCCAAATATTTCTCACGAGACGAATCAACTTACTCTCGCTGTTTGCGAACCGAATGGCAAGGGTCTGGGCTTCGGGTTCACCCTCGCTGACATCGGCAGTGGCGTTCCAAACCCAGCTGCGATCACTGCCAACATTGGGGTTCAACTTCATCTCGGGAACAACTAGACGGCTAATCAGCAACCGGGCGGAATGCAAAAGGGATCTGTTCGGTATGCAAGTAAACTTACTGTAGTGGTTGGCGCAAACCTTCAGGGTCTTATCTCTGCGCATCACCAGACGGGTCTTCTGGTTCTCCTTGTGCTTGAGCAATCGAACATCACCAGTACCACGCTCCTTCCATTCCTTGCTCTCGCCGTCGAACCGGAACAGCTTGGCGCGCATCTTGAAAGTCTGCTCCTCAAGTTCTTCGTTGGTCTTGGTTTCGACCTTCTCGGTCAGGCGGATAACAGGTTCGAAGTGAACATCAGGGGACTCAGGCGCCTCATCCTGTAGGATTGACATATTGTTAGCCACTTGAACTAGACCGAACAAAATAATGCCATGATTTGACTCATAAAACTGAAAAAGGCTAGTGCGTAGAGAAGTCACGGAAAAGATACGAAAGATAAAGAAGGAAAGAGAGACATGGTGTCGTATATAACAGGAAAGCAAACTGGTAAAAACTCACTTCGTCTTCGCCCTTCTGTGCCTTTGAAGAGCCAGAAGGCTCATCCTTGTTATCCTCAGTCTCTTCCTTCTTTTCCTTCTTGGGACCCCCGCCGAACATAGAGAAAACACTGTCGGTTGTCTTGGTGGTAGCCTCCTTGGCCGTGTCGGCCACAACTTCAGTCACAGGCTTGCTCTCCTCAGCCTTGGGAGCTTCAGTAGATGTAGTGGTCTCGGCCTTCTCAGCGCCCTCAGGAGCGCTGGTGGTGGGGTCAGGCTTGGTCTCAGGGACGTCGGACATGGTGACGAGGTTATGAGGAAGTTCTGCTGAGGTGATTAGTTCGACTAATTTTTAGACTGTTGCGGGACCGTAGAGGCGCACCTATTGTTTTGGGATGGAGGAAGTCTTATAACGTGGTTAAGCAGAGAGTGGGAGAAAATATGGTCGGCTGTTTTTGTTGTAGAAGGTGGGGGGCGTAGTTCATTGCCTCCGGCCTAAGGCCGCTAGTGCCACCGCCTTTCATTTATGTATAAATTTATCTTTTTACGCCTTCATGAAGCGCTATACTTCAGGCTTGCAAATAATACTAGGAGGGTTAAATAAACAAATAACCAAACAATAATGGATAAAACCCATTAAAAACAAAGAATGAGGAGAGAAAACAGCAGATGATAGAGCGATTGTTTCACATCATATTCATTTCTACATAGCATTTGTCCCGAGAACCCTACGCCATTCCAGCCTGTTAAAAGATAAATTAAAGCAAAATATCACAGTACCCTTTCGCCGAGGAACAAACCAAACCGCTCCCCCCCCCAAAAGAATAAAAGAGAAAAGAGAACGATACAAGGAGAAAGATAATTGAAGGAGAACATCGGAGGCACGTATGAGAAGCAAGTACAGGACCTAGAAATGTAAAAAGATGGACGCTATAGTTTGTATATGAGGTCCATTGGTCGTATCACGAACATTCAGAATGTTGGCACTTCCGTTTCATTAAGCCTTTTGCTCTTCTCTGCGCCTTGTCTAACGCATGGCACTTTCTTGCATTTCGAATTTGGTCCTTTATAGACTTGAGGTCAAGTCCATGCGGCTGTGTGCTAATTCTATGCCATGTATCACTGATGGCATCCCGCGTCTCTCGATTTACTCTCTTAGTTGTGTCCTGCAGCACAGAAGAGGCGGCGAGGAGCGGTTGCACGGCAGTACGCTTGGCGACCTCGGAAAGCCGCTTGGACGTCGAGATGACCACATCTTTCGTCTCGAGAAGTTGTACAGGGCCATGCTGAAGAAGATTTGATTCGTGGCGTAAGAGGTGAGCTCTTTTCACAACATCCCCCATGAGAACTTGCAAATCGGTGCGGTATCGGCTGTATACTTCTGACAATCCAGCTTGTGCATTGTTGAAGTCACCCATAAGTTGCGATGAGATTACCTGCACCGCACGCTTCCAGTTCGCAATCTTCAGCCACGGTGTTCCAAAGTCCACAGATGTAGTCTGATTGAGGGGATGTTTCGAAGCCATAGTCACTGTGACATTCACTATCCCGAATGCATCCCCACGATCAAGTTTGAGTGTGTATACCCCATCAAACAGGTGAGAGAGCTCATACGCGAGATGTTCGCCCCCCCGACTAACTTGAACCCCAAATTTTGGCTGCTTCTTCCCGGCCACAGACCTCTTGGGTGGTTTTATGACAAGGTGGCAATCACCGACAACCTGAATCTCAAAGCCACTGGACTCCTGCTTTTTGGCAGGAGACAACAGCCCATCCACCAGGGTGTCCAACGGAGAATCGCTGTGGGGCCGGTTGCCCAAAACTTGAATATCAGTTACCGAGGAAGATAGAGTTGAAAGCGAAGTCTGTTTTGAATCATTTGCTGGTATAATACTGGTGGGGGGAGTACTGCTCGGGCCCATGGATACAATGGTGGAGATGGCCGACTGAGCAGAAAACTGCGCGAATAGAATCGACGCTGCACGTAGGGCAGAGTGCGCTAGAAGGGTAGCTACGCTTAAGAGAACGGTGAGGACGATTAAACGCAGCACAGGCATTAGCCCACAATCGTCATTCAGGTGCGCGATGAAGGGTAGTTTCGTATATTTCTCAACATTGAGAAGTGGCTTCGTCTGAACGTTTTCTGTATTCTCCAGGGTAATCTTGCCAGACTTCTTAGTATAGATACTCACTAAGGAGGCAAGATTCCTATTGAGTTGTCCGGGTGTGATGCTTTCAAAAGTCGCTAGATCAATGGGATATCTTCTTAGGACTGTGGTTTTACCGGTCAACGGATGACGCGATTCCAGGCACATGTGAAGGCTATGGTGGTTAAGTGGGATTAACTCGGCCAGATTCCAAATTGGCTTCTCTGAAATAACCATAGTTGGAATGCCATGCCTTTCCATGAATATGCGAGCCAGTTTTTGGGTTTCCTCCGCAGCTGCAGAGTCCCTGCTGGATAAAAAAATGATTGCTACATTGGGAAGTGTCCATTCGGATGAAGACGAGATACAATACTCACCCCCTGCCCAGAAAGACGTGCATGAAGGTCGATTCTTGAAGTTCAACTTAATGGTGTTGGGCTTATCGCTTTGAAAACCAACAGACGCCTCAGGACACTCGTCAACAATAAGTTGAACATGGATTGGAAGAAGCTCAGCGAAATTAGGCACTGCGCCTGTCCCGAAGGATGTTGGTACAACGTGATATCTAGAAGATTCTGCGGAACTGCTTTCGAAGCCACTACACGTGCTTGACACAAGAACATCGCCAATCTTGTCGAGAATGATGTTTCGAAACTCGTAATCTCCAATATAGAGCACACGAAACGGCTTGTCAGTGTCTAGGCTCTTCTTCGTCATCGTTTGCTGGACGGTAGCAGTAAGAATAGAGTCCTGGAGATCGACAGAGAACTGGTTCTTCAACCCAGCAGCCTCGGCTCCCTCAAACATATGAATGGTATGCTTCAGCTCCACTTGTTCGACCTCAGGCCATTTCTCAGGCTCAGTGAATTCTATTGACTCGGTTGACTGGCGGAAAGCAGTCTTGGTGGTAATGTTACTGTCATCGATAGAACCCTCAATCTGAGGGAAAAGGGCGGGCAGTTCCTGCGAACCAGAAATGTTGCTTTTTGAATCGTAGTCATCCTCCTCGTTCTCATAAATCTCACTACCGCTATACTGACCGTCAAGGCTTGCAACATCATCCGGGCCGGCTTGGTCAATTAGAGATCCAACATCGGTCTGTTCAGAGCGACTGCCGTCCTCAGAGTGAACATCAGAGGCGCTCAGTGTCGCCCAACTTTCGCTCAGTGACCTGGGCGTGTGGTCCATCGAAGGGCTCGACGTCATACTGATAGGCCTCGAGCGAGACAGCCACTCTTCAACTGAACCACTTAAGGGAGGAAAAGTGGGATACCGCAGATGTGAGGCCGCTGAGGTAAGGGATGGGCGTCTGGATAGAGGTCTTGGAGAGTCAGCCATGTCGTGCGTGTGTAAGTATCATGGAGCAAAAGGTAAGAGCAAGTTAGATCCAAAGATGTAGAGTGGAGCTTCGATCGTATACAATGGACGTAAACTAAGCGAAAGAGCAAATAAAACGAAAGTCAGCGGGAAGATACGTTATCTCGTGAGAGGGACACTTTAGCCTTGTCTTTATGAGCGACAGAGGGCTGTTTTCCTCGAATTTTCCCTCGACCAGCTCAGCCTAAAAAGGCGGGTGCCCGATGACGAGGCGGATCCTGTGGGGTGAGGGAGGGTCCCGGGCCCGAGCGGAGTAGACTATTAGACGCTCCTAGACCAATGATCAAACTGATTCTGAAGAGGATTTACTTGATATCGAGCCTATGAAGATCTCAGCATGGTAGGCTTCAAATAATAACTTGTGGCGCGGCTAGAGGTTGAAGATGAGAGAGGGAGAAAGATGTCAGGATGATAAAGTTATAGATAGCGGCTGCCACAAGCGGGGCACATGACAAGGGCATCGGGGGTATGCTGACTAGACTACGTAGTAGTGCGGAGCTCACCTGTCACTGTCCGAAACGAATTTGAAAGAAGTATGAAATGAAGTGAATTTTTCTACCCTTTAAAGAACTCAAGTCTCCTATTGCCTATTTTTCTCTATATACTTATTATTCCTTCGTCAAAAGCCCTTTAGTTGTGTAGATACTGATAAGGCAGCTCTGTTATCGCCTATCAGATCCCCTAACCTGAATGGGCCTAGCTATCTACAGCCTAGCTAGTATTAGGTATGTATTATAACATACTCTCCTGATTTTCAGGTAGAGGATACAACGATACAATTGTATACAAATCTTCGTATTGGGCCCTTCGCGTACCAAAGAACGATCCCATACTCTCTCTATAAACAAACCATGCTGTAGTCATTTATTTGCGTTCTGACGGCTATGCATCTGAAATGACCTAGGTTCACCAGGATTTTAAAACAAAAATAGAAAAATAAAGAGTTATGTACACTTCATGACATAATGGGGAGGAAGGGGGGTGAGAAAGAGGAAGTTGAGAAAACAGGGCAGGGCAGTGCATAAAAACATCGAGCGTAGATTAGTAGTTTCCCGCAAGATGAGGCGGATCAAGAGAGTATAGCCGCCGCAAGTCCTTCGAATCCTCACCTGTTCACTGGAGCTTTCCTAAGTGTCGCTGACCAGTCTCGCGAGAACAAACAAGACGTAGAGGGCTAAGGCTGCCTGCCAGTAGGCATGGCTGAAAGCAAGGCTAGCGCACATCGAGTTTCGGTCAGAGGCGCGAAATGCTCAGCATACCTGGGGCGTATGTTTGAAGAGCCCTAATTGTATAGAGACCGGATGTAGGTTCCAGTGGGGGTTCTCGACAAGCATCCTGAAAACGACAGCCGGACAGCATTTGTCTCTTTCCAGAAGAAAATTCCTCTGCTTTAAGCGAACGCGGCAATCCGAATGAAAACATACAAAGCACGCTAAATGAATTTATGAATATTGATGAGAGTGATCACACCATTTTCGATAAAGAAGCTGTCAGATCCGTTGAACACCGTCCAGAACCCCACAGCCAACATAAGTCGAAGGCTCAAGCACAATAACTCCAAGGACAGCCCGAGTAATGCTCATAGTCGAACAAATAGGTATGGAAACGAGGAGGCGAAGATTATACTGCGAACAAACCAAAGAGTTGACCGAATCTAGGGAGAAGCCCAACCTCCTGCAACTTCTACCCACTCGGCGAGACAGCTGCCTTGTTTGCCTTCAACATCCACGATGTCTGTGTCACACCTGCACCTGCAACCGACACCATTCTCTTTGACGGGATCGGCATTTGCCCAGTACTCATCCTCTTCGAACCGTTCTTTCTCATCTTCGGTGGTCATCTCTAGCCACGGGATTCGTGGTAGTTGCCGGGCAGGAGCGTTAGCAGGACAGTGTTGGATGGTTGTATGCCGGTAGCCAAAATCACGGAAGTAGTGGATATCGCTGGGCGATAGAAGAACACCTGCGGCTAGCGAGTGAATAGGCGCGTCACCCCACTGTGGTATTGTTAGCGATGAAAAATCAAGCTCTGTTGATATATCCCCAGATACTTACTCTTTCCATCCAGAAGCCACCGCTCCTATCCATCATTTCAAAGAATTCTTCATATTCCTTACTGCGGAACCAGTCCAAGCGGGCAATTTCAAAGTTACTCCAGAAATGGCACATGTTGTACTTCTCGCCTTCCATGGCCTCAGGGTCAACATCGGGAACCGTGTTTTCTCCAGGCTCATTCTGTAGGATCTCCTCAGGGAGCTTATCATGTTTCCCTTCCTCCGGTTTGGGTTGCTCTTCCTCAGGAGGCCTCTCAAGGAACATCTCCCAAAGTCCCTTTGACTCGAAATTGTTCTTCCGCTTATAAGCGGAGGCATAGCGGAAGATGTTGGGAACCGTTTCACGCAGTTCTTTAACTGCAATTGTAAAACCATATGTTTTGTTCGCTTCCGCCATCTTGACGAAAGGGTCGCTATTTCTATGTAAGCAATGGACGATCAAGCCTGGACGGGTGCCAAGGGTTGCACTTACTAAGTGATGTCGCAAAAATAACTGATCTCTGGCTCCAGACGCCAGTACCATTCATACTTCATAAGGAGAGGATGCTTATAAAAGAACCTGTCCACAACATTAGTAACTCAGAAACGGGTAATCGTACCAAGGCCACTGACCCAGAATAGAATCTGCACATATGATGGTAGCTCTCCATTCCTCCATACATGATAGCGGCATCTCCCTGCTTTCTGATGCCTTCCTTAGCTACTTCATGGTCAACCCACTTAGGGTAACCCCACATGCTATCATCGATCTTGCCAAATTCCACAGGAGCGCTAGTGTAATTCTTTACGGTATCCTTGAAAGTATCATCGAAATCGCCATCGTTCAGGAATACGTAAGGATAGTGAAACCATCGGTTGAAGTGCCTCTCAATCGACTTGAGTGACTGGATGACACCCTCTAACTCCTTGTTTCTAGCGAGGACGACAAATGCGGCATTCGCACGTGGGCCCTTCTGTTCGTTTTCAACTTGCAGACAGCCTGAAGCGAAGACCTTATCATGTTTTTCACTGATTTTTCTGTATAATGTAGCAGAGTTGTCAGCGAATAGGTCAAGGTTCGGGGTCTCTTCGAATGTCAGGAGTGCACTAACCTTATAGATGGTGGTGTGCCAGCTGGAATTAGAATACCTCCGGGAGAGGAAGGATGGCGGACAAAAAGAAGCAGAACCAGAACTATTACAAGGCATGGAAATAGTAAAACAAACCCCAAGGGTATAGAAATCGACGAATTGCCCTTCAATCGTATCCTCCTCTTAAAAAACGCGAATCTGGAAATGTTGCGGCCCTTTTCGCGCGATACGTCATCCACAGGGAGACTCGGCGAAGAGGGCAGCCATTTCGAGATCCGCTGCGTCAAACCCATGAGCGCAAAGGTGCCCACACTGCGTTGATTCAAAGGAGATGGGACCAAGTACTGTTAACAAAATCTAGTGAGCATAAAAACTTTCTTGCGGAGATCCGGAGAGTGCCGAATTGGTGATATCCGAGTGAATATCGGGGATGCTGAACGGCCAACCGTTTGCATAAAAGCAACAGTGAGGCCAGGCCACACTCCTGATGTCGGGTAGATACGATCCAAGTGTATGCGTTGGATGCAGATGAAATAATTATTATACGGGGAAGAAAGAGAAACGTCGGCCAGCAAGAGAGACAAAAAAAAGGAAAAGAATAAAAAAAAAAAAAAAAACGAGCGGCCGGAGGAATGCCTCCTTTCCAACTTTTCCCCTTTCAGTCGTCGGCCAGAGAGAGATGGCGGGGGTAAACGTTGACAGCAACGCAGGGGACCGTTGTCCTTAGCAATGAGGCCGGGAACACGGAGCAGGTCGACGAGCTCATCAATCGCGTTGGGTTGAAGAGCAACTCGGGGTGGGAAGGTCGGAGACTGCGGGAGGCAATCAATGAGATGAAGGATTATTTTGGGAATGGGGATGGGAGGAAGTCTCGCCAAGACCAAGGAGGCGCAAGCGGCCATGGTCACGGACGGTAACTTGTCCTCCAAATTGGAAGGTCGCAGCTATCTCTTACGTTTCTCATACCGTACTCGGTACGTTTTCTTTTCTTCTTTCTCTCTAACCTTCGGAGCCCGGAATGGACGTCGAGGCACCTCAACCTGATTTACCAAAATTACCACTACTGGGAACAAGATGACGCTCTATTTAATTTTTCACCCCTGTTTATCAAAATTGGAAAGGGTTCTTCCATAATGTCGGTAAAACTGGCTGGACCTGAAGCTCAACCTGCGAGACGCGTCCTCACTGAATCAGGTCTGGAGTGTTAATTAGAGAACCTGACTTGTGAAGAGAATTGTACCTCTGGAGGAGTTTCTAGGTCCTGTCCTTTCTTTTCTTTTCTTTGCTTTCTTTGCTCTCTCTCTCTTCCTTTTTTTTTTTTTTTAAACTTTATTAAAAGCCTTGGCCCTATAGTTGCCATTTCTGAGGTCGACAATGGATAGTCTTGAATTACGGTTACCTATCAATGTACTAGGAGTTTATACTAAGTACTACTAGAAGTGTATACAGTATTTCCTTCAGACTATAAGAAGGGTTGATAACAAATTATTACTATAAGTTTACGGAGTACGGAGTACTCTATCCTGCCGTTCGTCCAAGTTGTGTCAAAAAATTGATTATGTGGAAGATAAGACTGAAGGATATCAAACATGAGTACAAATTAGTATATGACTGACTAGTAGGCGCCAAGGGAATTCACATGCAATCACCAAGACCATCTGATTTGAAGTCCTTTTATCCAGCAGTTGACCAAATAGACTACTACTTAGTAGTAGTATATATGTGTGTAACGTCAGCATCATTACCAGTGAATTTTTAGAAGCTGGCCAACGGACTGGAACAAGTGGAAAAGGAATTTGCAAGCCTAATCATAAAAATTATTGTGCGATTAGTATATACCTGAGATCATATATTCAAGGGACTCAGCAGGAGGATAGTTATTGTATACAAGCATCCATTGTATGTATCTGGCATAAGGTAAGGTATTGTAATATCGAGATAGCCATACCACTAAGTAACATGGACTAGTAATTTATGCATCCAGAACTTTGATGCCCCCCATATGGCTCCACGTGACCATAGCACTAAGGATCTGACAATGTGGCCTTTTAACCCATTCAACAAATCACGGAAATAGGTCATGTTAAAGCATAATACAGTCAGGTTAACAATACTCCCACTATGGCACAATATAAATGACATCTCATAGATTATCACATCTAGACTTTGGCACCATTGGTCATCCCATCCTTGGATTACATTTACTAGCAGCTGTATTACGATAGCCATCGTGCAGAATCCAATTCGTCTTGGCTGTGATTGGGTCAATAGAGCTATTGCTTTTTCAATGTTTGCATTGGTTTCATGTATGTACTATGTCCGTGTATGTGCACGGTGACCAAGAAATCTGTAATACCTACATGTAGGTACACGAACATGCATACAGAGTACTTGGAGCTTACCGCTCATGGCTCTCCTTAGTACTCTCAGTCACCTGTTCTACTAGTAGTCGCAACCAATCATCATTTCCTGGATTTTCGGGTGATCTCTGGCCTTCGAACGTATTATATGTGTTATGTGAACAGGATAAAATCGAACTTTCTAGATTTCTCTTCCTAGATACTACCGAACAGTATGAGATGCACATATCCCTTGGTTGCTCACAGATGTATACTAATGGAGCTTGACGTTCATCAACCCATACCGCTGGGGGGATGAGCTTACTCATGGGCTAAGGACAGAGATGTTGACCTACAAGATGGCACTGGAATAACAGAAACCCACCATAGGAAGGTTCATAGCCCGAGTGACTAGTAGCTCGTGCTCTGAGCTAGAGTACAAAGGATGATCTTCGATCCTGAGCACAGAGAATATTCCGTCATTTGTCGTTTAAGCATGACAATATCCGTCACCACAAGACGATGGAGGGCCTCAAAGCAAACTGAATTAAAGAGCCCGTTATAGTGTTAGTTTCTGCACTGCTTAGTTTCGCATCGAAATATCCTAGGTATAAAGAATTGTTGTGATGGTTGACACTGGTATATTCTCAACGAACTGCGAGGGCGACTCGAGGCCGAGACAATTTACTGGCGAGGTACGAACTTCGGTGGTCAGCTCAATTCCTACCATGTAGGCCGCTTCAATAGAGCTGTGTGTTTAACAGTTCAACCATTGTACGCATCGCCCTTGACGAGATGTTGATCCTGTAATTTGAGTCCTTTCGCCCTCGTAAGGGCGAAAGGGGGTGGGAGGGACACGGTTCGTCAATGTTGAGGGGCCAGAATGACAAATAGATATCGGCCAACTATTTACGGAGTAACTTCATCCATGGATCAAAGGAGATCAACCCTCATCTAATGCCGCAAATCGGCATATATAATCCGGGACGTAGAGAAAGGGGTAAAAGGAGAATCAATCCACCGACATTCTAGTTCTGTGGTCCCAACTTTTAGGCTATTGCTTAGCTTGGTGGTACTACGACTTAGTAGTAGTGGGAAAGACCCTAACTAGTGTGGACTTAGCTGATTCATGTCATCCATCAATGCGCTCTTGCGGACTAGATATATACCGGGTAAAAAAAATGTTTCCAACGAGGGACCTATATGGTTCAATAGGAATATAATTTAATGAATGATTTAATATTTTAACACTTACCAGACTCGATTATCTGCTAAAAGGAAAAAGGGATTGATTCCCATCACGTGGGTTCAATAAGACGGATGAAACAGCACCTGCGACAATCATCCACCGCCCTTACTTGCTAATAATATTAACTCTTCTATGACCTTGAAACGCCCATGCGTCTTCCTTCCCCCTGTGCGACAACTAAAAAGAACGAACAAAGCCTCCGACTTGTCTCGATTACTGGAGACCATCCCGCTGCACATATGCTCCGGTAATGGGCGCTTACTGAAGCAGCTTTATGCCTTTACTCGATCATACGCTCTCCATTTCTTTTCTTCCACTGCATTCGGTTGGTTATTTACCCCGGGCGCTTTTCTCACACAGCCTCTCCATGATGCCTCGTTGAGATCTGCTGAACCCCTTGACATTCATCAGTAAGAACATTTTGATTTGCTACTCGCCCTCTTATACTTTACTGCCTGCTCTTGTCACTTTCCTGGGTAGGCCACCATTTGCTATTTATGGAGGCTTATTCTCTCTAGTTCGCCCAGATGTGTCGATATATGTGCGCTTTAAACCACCAGTTCATAAAACGTTACCATCTCTTTATCGCGAAATCTGAGCTGCATTAAATTCACCGACTGTACTTAATTTCTATATCCCACAGCTAATTAAAACTCCCTTGGTCCCGGCAACCCTGAAAGAACCTTTGCGATATGATGTTGACGTCGACCTCGGAGGGGCATGTCCAAGCTCCAGCGATTCACCTCCCCGATGGCACCGTAAAGCAGTCTACTCTCCTCCGAGCTTCCACTGTCCATCGAAATGGACGTGTCAATCTGGACACATTCTCGCCAGTCAATGAAAACGGAAGCTTCGAATTCGATCGCGTCTTGAAAACTGGAAAGGTGCTCCGCCGGGTTAAACATAAACATGTCAGTCGGCTATTCGGTCTCCCATCAACCTTGCATTTCACCGCTGACTCTCACTGTCTAGGCATTCAGAGCCTCCTGGAAACAGGCGTACTTTGTTCTCCGCCCGAATTTGCTATCAGTTTACAAAGACGAGGAGGCAACAAGGCTGCGATTATCCATTACTTTGTCGGAAGTTACTGCGGTCGCTCCAGTTAAATCTCCCCGGTCAACCCGCCAGCACGTTTTTGGGATATTCTCCCCCTCGAAGAACTATCGCTTTCAAGCTTCGTCGGAAAAGGATGCGCAGGATTGGATCGAGCGCATTCGTGCTGAGACTCGCGTGGACGAGGAAGAGGAGGCTTTCTTAGCTCTATCCATGAAGGAGAACAACACGGCGACTAGCAAGCAGCGCATCGATGACACCACTGATTTCTCGGATATCGAGAACGTGGGAAGGGCCAGCTCGCCTGAATTTGGACGGGCAGGCTCCCCTGTTCAGTCGTCAGGACGTCTCGCTGCCCACCAGAATTTCTCAGGACATGATATAACATCTTATTCGGAATGGTCCGATGGGCCTGCGAGCAACTCCAGTATTCGCCCCGCATCAAGGACGTCGACAAACCCTAATTTATCTGTGTCTACTCCAAGTGGACATCCTACCACTGCGCGCGATACGGGTCGGATTCAGGAGTCGGGTAATACTCGGCGTGACCCAGAGAGAGTCATCTGTAACGGTTATCTTCAATGTCTTCGAATTAAAGGTGGAGTGCGCCAATGGAAACGGTTATGGGTTGTCCTCCGCCCAAAGAGTCTTGGATTTTATAAAGATGAACAGGTATGAGAATCCTACCTCGGTGCTCTTTCATTTACATCACGTTCTTCCCCTCCGGACTGCGCACAATATAAGGAAACTTACTGACTATCTGTCTCGCGCAGGAGTATTCCGCGGTCAAAATCCTTTCCATGGCCCAGGTATTTGACGCCGCAGAAATTGACCCCGTATCTCGTTCAAAACTATATTGTCTCCAAGTTATTGCAGAGGAAAAGTCATATCGACTATGCGCAGATAACGAAGAATCGCTTGCAAAATGGCTAGGCTCCCTGAAGAGCGTTCTGGTCGCTCGCAAAAAACTAGAATCAGAGACTGCACCAGGAGCTGCTGCTACTACTGCTCCTGCCTAAATAATTGTACAACAGCTAATCTTCCGGGTCTGATAGTAGCCCGATTGTCGCTCCCTTCACCTTTTGCTTTTATAACTTCACACTGTGTCTCTCGTTGGCACCTTCTTGTTGGAATACTGCATACCTTATATCCCTTCGCCAGCTGTGTTCTCTTTTCTCATCCAGTGAATTTCTTTTATTATGACATACATACCCAAGTCCTTGATGATATAGATTTCTTTGTCTTCTTTCTTATTTCTTACTCTTCCCTTCTAAGCACCTTTATATTCGCCTTCATACCTTGATCTTTGAATAATGCTGGTAATGTTGGTTTCTACCAATGTTTAATGAGTTCCCTGTACTAGTTAGTGTTCGAAACATTGGGTAGTGAGGAATCACCAGTGTAATGAATGGTGGAGGGTATCCCAAGCCGCATTTCTGTATTCTTGAGCGAGTGGCTTATGTCTATTATTATGTACTACTTTTCCCCTACATATATTATCTCCTGCTATGGATAGTTGTAATCCAATGCATGTTTTTTTGACAATCTAAGAAACAAAGAAAGTCATAACGTAGTCGTACATTGTATAAATAAGTGGGTTAGACTCCTATTGATATAGGCTAATTCTAATCTAATTACACACTCGGTGATCACATCTATCACCTCTCTGTCTCTTCTCCGGGAATAGCGTCATAGCCTCCCGCTAATGTGTCTTCGCTACTTTTTTCCTGACTTTCATGGTTCACAACCAAGAACGACAGGAAGACGATCGCAGCACCAGCCCAATACAACGCACTCGAAGTTACGCCCTGAAGGAAGATCTGGCCTACCAGAGAGAGCGGGATGGTTAGTGAGAGACCGACGGTGACGACGAGAGGAGTCGTCAAGAGCATGGCGTAGGCCCAACAGATGTCCGACAAAAGCGAGGAGAGGGAGTTAACCTTAAGATATGAGTGTTAATATAGCCAGCGTACCATCAACATGGTAAGGGAAAGGAAAAAGGGATCAATACCAAGATGATAGCCCAAATCTTGCCTGTATCGGGCAATGCAAATTGCTCGAGACCGGTGAAATGCATAATAATGAAACCGGGCCAAAGGAGAAACATATTGATGAGTCCGACAAGACCAAAGAATAACGTCATGTTAACCCGGGACTCATCTCCGACCTGCTTTTTTAGAACGATCGTGTACACTCCGTACATGACTGCACTAAATCCTGCCATAGCATCGCCAAGCGCGATCTCGGCAGAGCTTTTGTTCGGAAACCTGCTGCCGCTGCCGTCTTCTGCAGGAGGGGCATCTGACGCAGATAAATCCACGCGAGATATCAGAATGATTCCCACTAACGAGGCGACGACACCGGCAAGTTTGCGGACGGTGAACTTTTCAACCCCAATGAGTGCGCCGAAGATCAGTGTCCAAACACCTGCGACCTTGAACATTAGAACTTTTATCAATGGTGATCGGGCGAGGTAATGCATACCGCTAGTAGAAGTCAGAATAGTGGTACTGCCCACGGTCGTATATTGCAGACAAGCCATAGCGAAGTAATTGGCCTATTCGCGCATAGCGAGTCAGATCAGTTTGGCTCGACCGTTTATCAGCCATGAAATACTTACAAGGAACTACCTTCTGTTAGCACGATTGGATATTGATCTTGCACATCCACGAAATCTGCCTTACCCATAACATGCAAAACTGAAGGCTTAGCTTTGCGGTAGCCCTCAAGCCCAGCTTGAGAGGCTCCTCTTCCTTCCCTCCCGCATCTAACGTGGTCGTATTCCACGTTTCAGGGTCTCCTGACTGGTATGCATTGTCCTGCCCAGATATCCCAGCGTCCGGATCATGTGAATCGATGTGTCGCAGGAAGCTTTGAAACGAGTGTATTTGAGATAGCTTTCCCGAGCGCCATAATCTCCAAATCCTGCCGAAGATTATAGTAAAGAGAGGTAGTATAAAGAACGAGGTGTTAATATAAGTCACAAAGAAAGGCTTGGAGTACGTGTCATCGGCGAATATCGTCTGGGATATAAGTCAATTAGTTAGTCACCGCACAAGAGTGTGGAGAGACACTGTCGTCAATCTTTGCATGGGATCAGCGTACACTGGCCAGGAAATTTGAAGCCGTCCACAGGACAACTACAATCAAAAGCAAAACGATGCCAAGTGTCCGTCTTGCGACGCCAGGGAGTCCCAAACTTCTGGTCATAGGGAAGGTATCCATGGAGAGAAGATTAACCCAAGAAACTATGTACAAAAGGCTGAAAGGTCGAGGCGCCGGCGTAGTAGGAAACCCGTAGAAGCTCCATTCATCAAGATTAATTGACGAGCGCTTTTCGTGCTTCGGACTTACCCGGAGATGCGTGAAGCATTAATGTTAGTTAAATGGTCGCGATTACTAAGAACTCCAGAGGTCGGTCACGAAGGGCAATCGTAAAGCACAGATAGTGCTCAGCTGGACTAGCAGGTGACGCGACCTACCTGCTAATCATGGGATGCCCGGTAAGTCAAGGGGTGTAAGAGAGAAAGAGAGAGGGAGAGAGATGGGGTAACGCCCATAAATTGGGAAGAGATGAAACAGATAGGGAAAGTTCCGCCGCCAAGAGTTGGTAAATCACGGGATACCACCACGAGTGCATGCTATTATAGTAGTATTGGGAATAGATCGACAGGGTGTATACATAGCCCTGATTTTAGATCTATCTTATGCATCATGTCCATATACTGGCAAACCCCATTTCGAACAGTGATATTCCAGACTCCTAGAAACACGATTATATGTCGCCTGTAAACATGAAAAGCAAGACGACTGGTAAAGGATATCCCCATGCGACCCAGTAGACAAAGCAGACGATAGAAACTTCATACATGAGAAACTCCCAAGATATATAGGCTCAACAGGTAAGGAAAGTCAGTTCTTCCTTCAAGCCCGAGAACAAAATAGGGAACAAGCAGCATCTCTACAAAACCCAGAATTCAAACAGAATGCCGCAAATCTTGACCATGGATTGTAAATCATTGGAAAGTCATGTTCATCAGTGGGGTATCAACAGGCACATCCATCACGCTCACTATCAAGGTGGATGTTGATAGGGTCACTGAATTCACCACTGAATTCTTCGGCTTCTTCTTGCGCCAAAGCACTCCTAGCGATGACTTGTGTCGGTGTCAGTATGCGTCTTCGGAAACATGAAGAATGCTGCCGCCGCTCGGCTTACCTTCAAAAGCCTGTTCGACATTAACAGCTTCCTTGGCACTGGTTTCGAAGTAAGGGATGTTGCCCTTGGATTGGCAAAAAGTCATGGCACGTTTCGAGGAAATCATCCGCTTGCTCTCTTCGACATCAATCTTGTTACCAATGACAACCTATATAATTGTCAATTACCAAATCGGAAAAGAACGGAGAAATAAAATCTAGTAGGAAATCATACAAAGGGAAAGTTCTCAGGATCTCTCGGGCTTGCCTGGATGAGGAATTCATCTCGCCAGCTGTCCAGAGCCTCGAAACTCTTAGAGTTGTTTACGTCGTACACCAAAACACAGCAGTCGGCTCCTCGATAAAACGCAACACCCAAGGACTGAAAGCGCTCTTGACCGGCGGTATCCCAGATCTGTTCGTCACAGGTTAACCACCAACTCTGTAGTACCGCTAATCGACGGTAGAGACACATGCCTGCATTGTTACCAGTCGGTCATCTACTAGCACTTCCTTAGTAAGAAAATCTGCGCCGATTGTTGCTTTGTAACTGGCGCTGAACTTCTTGTTGACCTGTTGACGTAACGGTTGTCAGCGGGATATGGTACGACGTATGATTCTACGGCAATGAAGGTCACGGACATATTGGTTCATCAAGCTTGTTTTACCGACACCGCTATCACCAAGAATGATCACCTAGAAGATAAAAAGACACGTCAACAGGAGGAGACTAGTTGTAGACATGCAGTGGGTTCTTACCTTGAGAAGGACCTTCTTCCGTGACGACATGGTTGTGGCTATGTAGATATAAGGCGGTATGCGCGGTGTGAGGTAATGGGAAGCGGCACAAATGAAAAAGAAGGTATTAGTGGCTCTCTATGAAGTACCGAGACCGAGAAGACGATGTGGACGTTGAAAATCTTCCTAACCTAGCGGATGGCTGTAAAGTAACCAGACAAGGAGTAGATAGGGAGAGAAGTCGTAGTTGGTAGTACTAGTCTAAGTCGAAGCTAATGGGAGGCGGTTGGTTTCGATGATGCATGAAGCTGGGGCGGTGGGGCAGGCGGTGTGCATGTGTTGTGTATTTGTATGTACATCGTCATCAGGTTGCGCGTGGCCTCCTGTAATAGCTTGTCAAATACCCTAGGCAAGGCCATTCGTTTCTTTACACCTCAGACTCCAGGTAACAGTTGCGTCCTGTTCCTCATCTGCTGTTTACTTACCTGTACCGCAATGTATCCATAATTCAAAGCTCTTCCATTCGACATCGCTTATCGTAACTATATTATCAATGGCCCACTGGAGAGAGGAGTACTCCGCCGCTTTGGCGGCTCGCGATCGACGAGAGAAAGCAAACATTGCTATTTTAAAAGCCTGTACGCTCTGAAAGGACAGCTATTCCTGGATTGTAATATTCCTACGTGGCATCTCTTTCTTACTGACAGTTATTTACTTCTGTAGATACGCAACTTGCCGATCGGACCGGTCGTATAACAACAGCTGTTGATAGTGCCCAAGGTTCTACTCCGACAGAGGTCCACCATAGTGCTCCTCAGCCCCTAGCAGTAGACCATAAGAAGCAGCCTCTAGGAGCGTCGGGGCTCTCCCTCCAAGATGCTCTAGCTGCAACGCGCTTAGATCTGTCAGAGGCGCAGCGGTCCCGCTCAGAGTTACAGGATAGGCTTACTCGTACAACGGCCGAGCTGGAGAAGCTGCGAAAACGAAACTCTCAGGACTCCCGTCGCATTGGCGCACTAGAGAAAGAGGCCACTCAGCTACAAATGCGGCTGAAGGATAGGGATGAAGAATTGAGGGGAAAGGCGAAATTACTGGACGTACGATACCCTTCTCCGCGCTGGACCGTTTTTGTTGACTTAGCCATCCTCAGGATTTCCAAGATGAGCTTGCATCACTAAACCTGCAGCTCAATATGGCCGAAGAGCGATCTAATCGTCTACAGAAGGAGAATCAAGAGCTAGTTGATCGTTGGATGGCGAGGATGGGCAAGGAAGCAGAAGCAATGAACGAAGCCTCACAATTTTCATGATCCTTGTGAGTTCTGAGATGGTAGAAACACTTCCTACTCTTCCCAAGGCCCTTCAAGTCTCAGGAAATATTACGCATTTCCCGGTGGTTTATCCTGACCTATCAACTTTATCTATACCATATTTGTATGATACCCACTTATTCACAGAGCCCGAATGACGCGCGAACCCAATCAATGCCATACCTTGTATGACGTGCCACAAACACCCAGAACATTTTAGGGAGAGAGTACAGAAGAAGTCCCTGAGCACAACAGGTGAAGAGCCGAGAGCACGCATCTCAAAGAGATGATGAAGAAACCATGCCGACATTTATACAAGAACAAAAGGTATCATATCTTCGAGCCAAAATAACTATTTCCAAAAAGAATAAGAAAGAAAATGGTAACAATAAATAATTAACACACGAAGAAAGGTTTACAGAAACTGCATGCAGTATTTACCAACCCATGATAGAGTAAAACGTACCAAAAGTAAGGATAGTTACCCAAAACCTGTATCTTTGTAGACCCGACACTGCACAACGCAGATAAACCGGCGAGCATTTCACCTCATGCTCTCGGCAAAAGCCCTCAATCTAGAGCTGTCTTTGGTGGCAATGAAATAAGTACCGCCGACGTCGGTCCAGCTGACGCTGTTGGACCAATATTCCCTCTGTTTAACTTTCAAAAGGTTGATAGGTGAGTTTAAATTTCGAGATTGGATCTTGTGGCCAGCGGGGACAAACGACTTGAGAGACACGATCTGGCAGCCTTCTTTCATGTCCAGGAAGTGATTGATCAGCTCGTTGTTGAGTTGTGGGGTAAAGGCCTGGTTGTTAATCAAGATGACGTCTGCGCGCTTTAGGACATCGATGATGCTCTGTTCCTTGAGAAAATCTCCTCGAACGAGATGTGTCTTCCCTGGTGCGATACCCCATAGGCGGCAGCGAGCCCTGAACTCGGTCTGTTGGAGTTCGGCAAGCTCGCACGCATTTTGCATCATTTCACAGCCCCAACTTTCACACCCAATTTCCAAAGCCGCCTGCAGAACGACGTTGCCCACGCCAGATCCTAGATCGACAAAGACCTGACCCGACTTCAGTCCGGTCTCCTTGAAAATCGTACTGATGAAACGAGGGAGTAACTCTCCGTAAACATTGTCCGTTCCGTTTTCATATTGACGGAGAGATTCAACCCGAGGTGACACAGTGCGCGAATATATCTGGGTTAATATCCTCTCTACAAGGGGCAAACCGAGCCTATGAGTCGAGTCTAGTTTCTTTGCGATGCTGCCGTCGCGCCTTAATCGTTCGATTGTATCATTATAATCAGTCACGACTTCTCGAACCTCAGCCTCGGATGCATGGGCGAGCGCACGTCGCAGTCTTCTCTTGATCCCAGTTGACTCATTGTTAAATTGATCTGCTTCGTCTTCAGGTATGTAGTTTTGGGAAACGATTTCGATGACTTGGAATATGTCGTCAAGAGGTCTAAAATCGTCTTTGTCTCGGGGCACGACAAGGTTGTATCTATTGCCGGAAATAAACCTGTTAGTAAACGCCGTGAGTCCCATCAGTGCTAAGCGCTTTACGATCTCGTACCTCTCTTTCGGTGAAGCACTTGGATACTGTAAAAGAATCTCTGTAGGCCGGCCCGTGCTTCCAAAAGCTGGTTTGAAACATCCCGCCTTTTGAACGGATGTAATGTTGGCTGCATGTACTATTGGCAGTGCTTTAACCTCTCCTTCCGAGAATGCTTTCAAGGAGCGTAGGCGCCTTTCAAAATCTGGCTCAGCACTGTCGCCTGTTCTGGCGCGCTTACGGACTTCGAACGAGGTATCCGTGTCGCTGGAGTCGTCATCGCTAGAAAGACGTTGTTCTGGAGTCTGTCGCTTTCGATTCTGTGACGGAGTATTCAATCGCCGCTTCGAGGATGGAAGATCTGGATCTCTCGAGACTGACCTGCTCCCCGATCCTTGAAACTTTTTGGGTTTGTCAGAGGGCGACGTTCGGGATGATGTACCGGGAGTCTGTGATGACGATCTTGAAGGAGGCGCAGGTCGTGTCTGGACAACTTTCCGAATCTGAGGCTTCTTCGGTTGTAGAGAGAAGGCTCCTCCTTTTTGGAGATGGTCAAAGAAGCCCATCGAGTAAAGCTGGTCGCACCGCACTCAGGCGGGGAGGTACTGTACAAAAACCAATATATGCGAGAGTATATGGACAGTGGGGATGTGGGTTAAAATACTTGACTTTGAACATGTACTGGAAAAGTATAGAAAATAATATTTGAAAGAATGAAATAAAAAAGCAAAAACAAGTTCAAAGAGGGTTGAGAGAAAAGGAAAAGACCGTTGATCGAGCGGAAATGCTAGCAGAAAGGGCCGCGCAAAGCCTTAATCAACTAAAAAAGAAGCGCGATCGATAAGGTAAAGGCTCAGCGCCGCCACTCTGGGCCGCATGTCTTTTTAACCTTAGGCACTTCCCGCTTTCCGTGTACTCGGATCTTTAGGCCGCTCCCCGCAATATTCAATATTTTATACTCTGAAGTGGTAATCTAAAGCGATGACTAAATCTTTTATTTTCACGATGATGCTGTACATTTATGTATATCAAAAAGCTGCAGAATGCTACTAGGTAAAGGCTTCTATACACAGACACAACCCTCGAATGGGTATCATATCATATTTTGCGACTCAATTACACCGGCAGCTCACGACGCGTGGTATTTTTCGGAATCGTCTAGGCAATCATCTCATTTACCTTTGTTTCTTCTTTGCAAGACGCTTCTGGGCCCGAACATCCTTCTTCATCCGGGAATCCACAATCTTATACTTACCCTTCACTCCACGTGGGCGACCGGAGATACCCCTATTGGTTCCCTTGGCCACAACCAGCTTCACTTCCTTCTTGGGCTTCTTCTTGGTTGCCTTGCTCATCAATTTCGAGATGGCCTGCGACTTGTCCCGCTCACTGAGCGCTTCATCATCCGCTAACAATGCGGACTTTTTGCGCAGCTTTTCTAACTTCATCGCAGCCTTCATCTTCTTCCGACCCTTCGCTTCCATGACCTTCTTGATTGGCCGTGCATTAATAGCACGCATCTTCTCCTTGATTGCAGCCGCAGCAGCCTTGGTGATGGGCCGATTCTGTTTACTATGCTTCGTCTCGTCGTCGAGAAACCACTCCGGAAGACCGTCAACGTCCCGGAAAGCATATCTATTGAACCCGTCATCAACCACGTCGTGTGATTTCTTTTCACCACTAGCCATCTGCTGAGCTAAGGCCATAGCTTCCGCAGTGATAATATCAATGTCTGTGACTATAGTTAGCAACGGAAGGGGTCAATCATAAAATTTGTTCCAGTAACACTCACCAATTTGACCATTCTTCTTTCGCGGCTCATCGAGGTCCTCAGGCTCTTCATCGGAAGAATCTACAGCCATTTGCGCCCCTGCCTTCGCATCCTTTCCTTTCTGCTTCTCTGAGACGGTACCGTTGCTCTCCGGCTGGTCATCATCATCCATTTCGATCCTACTATCTTCCTCATCTTCCTCATTTTCCTCATCGTCTTCATCTTCAATATCATCAAGGTCCTCCAAGCCTTCGAAGACGTCTTGGTCAAAGAACATGGCGGCATTATTGGACAAGGTTCCATTTTTAGGAGGTGTAATGCCGGCAGTAGTCACTGCAGCAAACCCAGAGTCCTCATCAACCGACTCTTCCTCACCCGACTCTGAAAAGCCCTCCCACTCATCGGCTTCGAAATCCTTTCTAGCTTTCTTAGCTCTTAATTTGGTATCTTTGTCCTCTTTGCGATCTTGATATTGCTCATACAGGGAATCGAGCTCCCTTTCCAGTCGATCACCTTCATCATCATCGCTCTCGTCGGCAGCGTCTGAGTCCGAGTCTTCGCTTTCACTCTCAATCATAGCTTCTTTTCCGGAAGCGATCGCATCCCTTGCTCCTTCTCTGTCGACACGTTTAAGTGAAAAAGTGGAATCCTCCCCAAAAGGGCCTGCTTGCTCCATACCAATATCCATAGGAGTGGTCATATGCATTTGCATACGGACGATCTCTTTGCGCTTCTTCTCGTTTTCTTTCCGCCTCTCCTTTTTCGCCTTTGAGCTTTCCTTTTCCCGAAGACGCAGTAATTCCTCCTGAATGGCTAGCTCTTCATCCATTGGGGCAATTTCAGCCACTTCTTCGGGCTCATTCTTTTTGGCTTGTCCTCCTTTCTTTATGGCAAGGCCAAATTGCTCACGGACTTTCAATCGCCATCGTAGTAAGTTGCGGAATTCCTTTTTGCCCAGCACCTTCAAATCTTCACAGCACGCACGGATCTCATCTGTTGTTTCCTCCAGCCGGTTGAGTGTACTCAGGGCAATATCGCCATTGATTGGTTGCTGGAAACTGAGTTTGTTGTACGAACCTAGGATAGCAATTGGGTCGGTGGTGTTAATGAAGTCGGTGACGGGTATCTCCTTGTACTGCGTCCAATCGCCTTCCTCATAACCTTCTCTCTTACGCTTCTTCTTTTCGGGGTTGAACACACGCGCCTCGTTGTTTGGAGTCGGGTTTGTTAATTCCGCGAATACGTGCTTCGGATCAAGGAATTTAGGATCCATGCGCTTCGGTGCCTTGAAACCACGGCAGACAACGAAAATTTCGGCGGAGACGTTTCGAGATGAAGGGGGTTTTGTTGCTTCCACCGACGTGAACAATTGCTTGAAAACCCACAGCAATGCATTGTAGTCCTTAGAGCGGAAAACTTTGGTGACGAAGGTACCACCCTCAACCAGGAACTCCGTAGCCAATTTCATCGACTGCAAGACCAGCTCTGCCTGTGAGAACGCATCCTGAACCCATGCTGTACCAACGTTTGGCGCACCGTCATGGAGTACTGTATCCGCTTTCCAATGTTTCAAGTGTTGTCTGATAGTAGTGCGACACTTCTCAGTCGTGATATCGCTCTGGAAGGTGATGACTCGAGGGATTGGCTTGATGGGGGCGAGATCGACACCAATAATGATACTCTGTGCGGGCATACATTCTGCAGCAACTTGACACCAGGACTATCTCTACCGTTAGAAACAAATGGTGAAACCAGAGGTTTTTCTCCACTTACACCTGGCGCAGCACAAAGATCGAGAACGACCTTGCTTTTCTCCAGAAAGCCGTATTTCTTGTTCAACTGAATGAGCTTGAATGCAGCTCTAGCTCTGTATCCCTTCTCCTTTGCAAGGCGATACCACTTATCCAAACGACCCTTACCATGCTACTGGGAGTTAGTAAATGAATACTTTTTATTTACCATTGTATGCAGAATCATGTAACATACCTTCTTCTGGATCGCCATATTTAGAAGCGGGTAGTCGAGAAAGCTCGACAAAAAAACCCGAAACTAAAAAAATGAAAGAGTCTTGGTGAAGAAAGTGATGATATGTCTGCAAAAGAAAAAAAGTTATCGGTGGCATGGATCTCGACTTCACACCGCCCGTAAATAAAATTTTCCCCTAGTGTAGGACCAGAACTGTGGCGGTGGCAGTTTCCCCCCAGCCATGCCACGAAACATACACCCCAGGCACCCAAGGCGGTCAGGGATCGGGCAAGCCATGTGATATCACCTCTATTGGCCCAACTAAACCTCTCCCCCCGGTGGCATTGACTCGACGCAGATCGTCAGCACCGCCCATGGCTTATCTTCCATTCCAGTAGTTCTCAGGGCCCCTTGTCCTCCAAATTTGCTTAACAGTTTCTCGGTTCTTGGCATGGTAATGTGTTATGATCTACGTTCATGGCTCCCACGGGTTCTCGCAAGAGAGTAAAGTCCATCCCGTCAGTTGCGGACTCTCAATCGTCCAACGATGGGACGACATTGCGGCCCAAAGGCAGAGGACGCTCGGGCTCACTGAAACAAGGGGGTAGTGGAGTAAGTTCAAAGATTTTCGTATAGCTCTTCAAAGTGCATTATCCTATACCTTGTGTCTATATTCTCTGGTAGCTGATAAAACGCTGCCATCATAGAACTGGTACCCAGGAGTTTGGCCCGTTGCCAGATCGTCTAAAGCGGCTCCGGTTACCGAGGTTGCCTGTGAGAGCATTTCGGCCGCCCAAAACCTATCTTCAGGCATCACTTCGTTGCCAGTGTCGCAGCTTGGCTCTCCTAAACATCCTCGAAACCCTTCTCTGCAACTTACTAGAAAAGCTGGCGCTTCGACTCGCTCACTTCCCGCCAACGCCACTACCACCAAAATTAACGTAGCATCCGATGGTACCGCGTCTTCATCAGCAGTAGAAGCCCAGCCCGACACTACTGCTTCGGCAGTCGAGCCAACAGATAAGGAGCCGTCGAATGACAAGGACGCAGGCGCTGGAGTCAACGTAGATAAGGACCAGTCGGATGCTGCGACTGAGGTGCCAGTCGCGAATGCAGGGCCCGAAGAGGTAGAACCTGGTCAGGAGCAAACGACATCGCAGCCCAGTGGGTGGTTTTCATGGGTCTGGGCCCCTTCCAGGATTGACAGTTCCCCTGGCAATCCACCGAAAGAGTCAACGGTAGCTCCGATAGGTCAGACTGCGGAAAATCAGACTTCAAAAGAAGAAGACACTATACATACCGATCAAGGTCACACAGAACAGACAAACCCCTCTGAGACGGCAGAGATTGACGGAAGAGCACAAAAGCTATCTTGGCTCCAGATGTGGTACGGCTCCGCATCATCAAAGGGTGTAGAAGAACCCCAAAGCGGAAACCGTCCTGTTGCAGATGAACCAAGTCCTCCTGCTGGTACAGCGTCTGCACCAAATGAAGATATCAACAATTCCGCTGCGGACAGTTCAGCATCTGCGACTACAAAAAATGTTAAACCATCCGGCTGGTCCTTCTGGTTCAGAGAGACCCCACCAGACACTTCGCAGGACAAATCCCAGGAGGTCCAGGCTGTTGGAGGCTCCGCTATCCAGGATTCTACGACTAAGAAATCAAAGGATTATCCCGAACCCGAGCCAGAACCAAAAACAGAGCTCGCAAAGAAGGGAAATATTAAGATAAAAGCCCCCAAGAGCACCTCCGCTCTGCCTGACCAGGCTATTGCCGGGCTAGACCCCAGCTCCAATGCCCCCGCAGCAAATGCCCCCGAAGCAACTGCTTCAAAGCATCTACAGAATATTCTACCTAATCAGGTTCTGCCGCGCTTCGGAGATACTTTCGCCCTACAAGAACGGCCTAGCCTGTTGCAGACAATAGGACGGTTTCTGCATTATAACAAGGAGCCGGATAACAGGCATGTTCATATGGTTAAGGACCCACCACCTATTAAGAGAGCGTTGGCTATAGGAATACATGGGTACTTTCCCGCCCCATTGATTCGGAGCGTTCTTGGCCAGCCGACGGGAACGTCTATCCGGTTTTCGAACATGGCAGCAGATGCTCTTCGCAAATGGGCAGACGACCATGCCTACACGTGTGATATCGAGAAGATAGCATTGGAAGGTGAAGGCCGCATAGCTGAACGAGTTGATTTACTGTGGAAGCTACTGCTGAATTGGATGGAGAAGATACGGCAGGCAGACTTTATATTGGTTGCATGCCACAGCCAAGGTGTGCCTGTTGCAATAATGTTGGTCGCGAAGTTAATATCCTTCGGATGCCTTAATGCCGCGCGGGTCGGTGTATGTGCCATGGCTGGTGTCAACATGGGTCCTTTCTCCGACTATAGATCTCGATGGATTAGTGGCTCCGCTGGGGAGCTATTTGAATTTGCATTACCTTACAGCCAAGTTTCAAAGGACTATGAAGCTGCGCTTAAGGCTTCTCTCGATTTTGGCGTACGGATATCCTATATTGGGAGTATAGATGACCAACTGGTCTCCCTAGAGGTAATCCCTGGTTCAGCACCAGCTTACGGGAAATGGCTAATGTTCGCTTTTGGCGATAGTCCTCACTCTTTTCGCCAGTAGCCCATCCGTATGTTTACCGAGCAGTATTCGTCGATGGTAGAGTCCATGCTCCAAGCTTGTATGTTGTTCTTATCTCACATGGATGCATTGCGCTTTCCCCTTGGGAACCCTGCTGATATGTATCACAGCCTATCACATTTGGTTGGGTTTGCTCTAAAGCTTCGTAATCGCGGGCTTCCAGATCATGGCCTCATTCGCGAACTGAGTTTACCATTAGCGGGTAGTCTTTATAGTGGCGAAGGTCACTCACGTCTGTATGATGATGAGGCTGTGTATCGGTATGCTATTTCCCCTAGGACTAGATATAATAGAGCTAATATCGCCTCAGATTGGCGATTGAATTCGCTTTAGAGACTTCCAATGTTCAGGGTGCGACTCTTAGCATCAAGCGAAGCCCCCCCGCGTCGTCAGTGAACCCTTACATCCTCCCATTCGCTATGCGAGGCCTCCTTGAAGAAGAGTACGTCCGGCGTGAACTCTATGAAGAAACGATGGAATTATTACGCCAGTTCGACGATTGGAAACCGACTAGTAAGGTCCTAAAGGATGTAAAGTTCCGATTGGAAGGAATCCGATCGAAGCTTTAACCGTAGCTCTACACTTGGCACATATTCTCTTGATTACTCCTGACATCTTCTAAGTCCTAGTCCTGACCTATCTAGCTGTACTGCTGTACATCTAGGCCTCTTTGCTTTCCTTCCCTCACACTTTGTACACTCCGGATGATGGGCTGGTAAAAAATTATTACGATATTCTAGCGGGTGTTAAATAGACTTCTCTTGCTTCTGTTGGTTGCACAGATATTAGTTACGATATAGGACATAATAAACACGAGCATTGAACTCTTTCTCTGTTTCCTTACAGACCAGTATTCTGTTGATTATTACATGAAAGTAGTATTCTAGGTGGTAAAGATAACTGAAAGGACATAGTGAATCGTAATTATCGTCATTAGAGAATCGGTGCAGGCAAATCCCATATTTCGTAGCCAAAAGATATAGAACGCCGTGGATGAGTGAACGATAAGTTAGCTTTTTCTTATTTTAAGACCTCCATATGCCCAGTTTATCCACCCATCCCAATAAACCGATGGACCAGATATCAAACCCTGTGAGTGATATATATAGCGCCCTACCGAGGTGAAGCCAAAGAAAGATAAATCGAAAGGTGAGAATTAGCACGAGAACGAATTCCAGGGTTATTAGAGAAGAAAGGAACAAAGAAGAGAGAAAAAAGTGGTAAAGAAGTCGAGAAGGAAATTTATGGTTGAGGGAACGCCGTTTGATATGCACCTTCGATCTCGTCTAGATTGAGAGTTAGCTGCATAGCTCAAAATATGCACTGCGCAAGTGAATGGTACCTCTCATTCCATCTAACGCCTCAAAAGCAGTGGCATAATTTGTTACTGTGGCAATGATTCGCTCTAGCCCTTGTCTGAGTTCCTCTATTAATCGATCCGAGGGAGTAGACTTGTTCTCATAGTCTGATGACAATTGCTTTTCCACGCGAGCTTTGTAGAATATCATCAGCATGGCGTAGCTGCCTTGCATCAGACAGCAGGCAAATGATGGCATAGTTCGAGGCAGCTGATTCGGTGGTTGTAATGTCATTCCCTGTTGGCTCTTGCACCCGTCCATAATCGGCTGTGGTAAGGGTAGACTGGGGAACATGCGTGAGATTAAAAGAGCAGCCCTAAGGCAGACCTTGGCGGAGTGCTGAATACTGAAGGGAAATCCGCTAGTAAACGAAAACTGGGACATCGACTGATAGTCCGAAGACGTGGAAGAAGCAGATGAAGGGGTGAACTCGCTCGATGACTGCTGAAACGGTTCCAGACTTCCGCAGGAGCATTGAATATTAGAGATTCCATTCTGCGTTCTCGAATTCTTGGAGGAGCTAGATGCAGCCAAATTGTTGGCATTGGCTGCAGTTAGGTCACAATGTTTCTTAATGAAGATAGGTATGTCTGAGAATGCTCTAAAGCGGTGAATTTTGATTTGTGCGCTAGGACGATATCAGTGGCATACCAGAGATGATATCTGGATACATACATACCTAGACAATTTGATCCGCGAGATTGAACGTATACTTTGGGCTGTTGTGAATTCCATACCATCTCCGCAGTTCATGGAAGGGGGAACGATAGGTAATAAATTAGACTGAGCCAACGCCGAGCTTGCCCATGTATCGAGCTGCTGCATCCGCTCATATATGTAGGGCATATTGGTCCTCGTCGAAATACATTTGTTCAGATCAATTACGAACTGAGTCGCCGAGACTAGCACTTGCTGGGCTTGCATCAGAACAGCCCAACCCTGTAAATCTTGTTAGAGATCGTTTCCTCGGCCCAGTTTCTTAAGCCCCCAATTGGTGAAGTGCGGATGCGACTTACATCCGGATCAGCAGCAAAGCGCGGATAAGGTGTTACAAACTGAGGATCGTTCGCTACAATAGCCAAAGGCTGGTTTATTTCAAGCATTAGTTATGGAATTGTGAAAGAACGAGGGGAATTATATTTTTCAGTGTAAAACTCACCGTTGTGCTGACGATTGACCCTTGAAGAACACAGTAATACTACAGAGGGCACAGAGTTAGTGGAAGAGGCGCGGATTCAGTCAAATTAAACATACCGTCATCCACCAAGCCCTTCTTCGAGCCTCAGCGAATTCATCGTACTCTTCTCCCAAAGAATGCAGAGACATATCCAGGGCTATCGCTAATGCTTGGCCCGCACGATATCGCATTTTGAGCAGATTTCCTCGTTGAGTGTATTCATAGACGGAGAGAACCAACAACGCGAGAACACATTCGAGTTCCACGGGCGAGTGGGGGTGGAAGCTCTCCCGGTCTATAAGAGGCCGTTCGCTTGACAGGGCCTGTGAAGGATCGGTCGAGGAGGCATGGAGCTCACAGTCTGCCTCTATGCTAGTGTTCGCCATCTGGGCGAATGTATGCGCATATGTTCTCCGTCGTACAACAGAGGCAGAGGACGAAGGTTCTAAGTCACTTGGATGTGGCACGAGGGCTAAGACTGCAGACAAAGCAAGGCTAAGTGGAGACCGTGGCCGGTATAATAGAATTGGTTCTTCTGTCGGAGAATCCGTATAGGAACCCACCGTATCTAACGGCCGGTCTGGAGAGGCTGGAACCACCCTGGGTGGAAGAATAGGAAAATAATGATGAATCAAGTCGTAGTAGGCGTTGAGTCTGCCTTGAAGATTAGAAGAGTATAGTAGAAAGGCTGGGGTAATATGAAACCCACATGTCGTGCTCACTGCCGTACGTCCTTACCAAGGACTGAGTCGGTATGTTGGACGGCGAGGGCGTTGGCTCCATTTGGGGTGGTGGATGACCAGCATCATTGGGGATAAAGAGGTCGGCAAACATCGAGTGAACATCTGCTGGGAAATCCAAGCTTCTCAGCCCGGCCCCTGGTACTGAGAGCCCATCGATCTGGCCAAACATCCCCGTCGCTGTACCTCAGTAAGTATGGACTGCTTTTAGACTAGATATTACACAAGCTCACGTACGTTCATCGAAGCCGGGCGCCGCCGGGGTAACGGTCGAGCTGTGAGCATCACCCTGCGGAACAATCCCTTCGGCGGAGATGGATGCCCTTTTCTTCTTCCTTGGGCCGCCTCTTTTACTAGGCATATAGGAGCATTTCCTCTTTTTACTGAGACACTTTTCGCGAGTTTAACAGTCTCAGTAGCTGTCTTTATAATGTATTTTGCAGGGATAGTGTAGTGTAGAGTGGAGAAAGCATTGCAACGGGGCATAAAAATAAGAAGGGAACAACAAAGAAGAGAGAAAGAGAAACGAAATTAAAAAAAGAGAAAAGAAAATAAAAGAAGAAAGGAAAGAAAAAAAAAGGAAGAGTAGAAGTAGACCATAAAGAAGGCGACCGGAAATAGAATGAGACCAAAATAAAGGAAAGACCTACATTGGAACAAGGAACTTGTCCGTCGCAGCGTGTCCGCGAAGCACGACTTTTAAGGAACGAACCCGCATGTCAGCAAAAGTTCAATACAAAGAGCATTGTGCAGTAGTAAGACAGGGACTTGTCTCACAACCGTGCATGGTAGTCGAGATACCAAAAATGGGCAACGTAATAACCACCATAGGAATACGTACCAGGCTAGGCATGCTACTTTGACTGGTGGTTTCGCAAATTTCTTTCGCACCACGCTGGGCCTTGAGACTTTGGACTGTGTAACTGTGGTGGTTCCGTTGTCATGGAATTTTTGGAAAGTCTCCAGAACCATGGCGATTTCTTGGAGCAATGGAAGATATAATATAGCAGAGGTCTAGAAACGAACCGTCTGGTCCAGTTCAGTCATCGATCGATACACAGGGGACTTCAAAACTTTCACTGCGAGCTCCCGTCATTGACTGACTAGTAGACACTCGGGTCGCGCATCATTACTAGGGGGCGTAAGTGAGAAGCAAACGACAACGGGGATCCCTTAGAAAGTATGGAATAGTGTTTATTTCGATACCCGAAGAGGTGGTCTGATATACGCAGTACAGCGTCGAGTACTGGGGTGTAGTACTGGGGCTTAATCATCCATAACCAACGATTCAAATCCCGAAGCCTGAGTGTTCGGGGTTTGCTTTGCCCCCCCAAGAAAGCGTAAACGGCGGGCGATTCGCGATTAGTCAAAAAGCATGTTCTTTCCCCTGAAAGTGCTCCATCGAATCAGATTGTAGGAATTCCAATGATATAGAAAATGTTGATGCCAATGAAAGTTGGAAAGCGAGTATAAAAAATTTGTTTGCTTCACTTTGCTCTCCTCTCTCTTACTCGCTCTTTGCTCTCTTTGCTTGATCGGGTTAGATCTGAACGTTTTCTTTTTTGCCTTCTTTGTCTGCGTTAAACCGTTTTCGGATGACACCCACGGGAATCGATGGCCTGATCACATTATCTCACGTGAGTAGTACATACCTACCACATACTTTTGTGTACATGCATTACTTACAGACACTAGTAGATAACCTTAGGTATGTACTTCGAGTCACTATGTCAGCACTATTGTCTCCCGACAATCGAGAAGAAGGGGGCGAAAGCAAGAAAATGGAGAGAGAGATAGAGATCTACATCTATCAGACAATGCGAATACGATACGTAACAAGGCAAAAGCGGCAGAGGAGATATTACTACTAGATCGATCGATAGATAACAATACTCCATAATAGTACCCAACGATCGCACTAATGGTGATGCTAAACTGGAGATCTCGGGGCAAAGGAGGGCTAATCGATCGACGCCCTTAGATGAACTTTAAAAACCACAAGGAACGCCGAAGTACTGATGCAGGTATGTACAAAGGTACATTACATTCCGTGCCCCCCAATGGACCGAAAACATCATACTGGAGCAGTCCGACTATCTCCGAGTACACACCGACTTATTGAATATTCTGATTAGCTGAAAATACCTATCAAATCCGAGGCGGGCCATACCCATACTTTACTCCCATCGTAGGAATGTCCAATCCAACTAGCGCGGATTAGGTTGTTACTATACTAGGGCTATCCTCGAATTAGAAATACTGTCCTCCATGTCCAGATCGTCCTCTACGAAAGATATGGAAGGGAGCCCACTGCCACGTCAGGAATGGAAGTCAAGGTCACGTAAACTGATCCCCGGCACACGCTTCACACTGGCCCAAACACTGTCCGGCACTTTCGCAGGCAGTTTATGCCCCTTCAATTGCTGATCAATCAGCCACATCCCAACAACAAACCCCTCTCTTGTTAAGAGTCCGATACCTTGGGTATCGACGAGATCCCAGATCTGCTCTAGGACAAAGGGTTGCAGGCGACTTCGGAGCCAGATATCGCGAACCACGATGTTCACCACCATCTCGGAGGTATCCGGAGGCCATTTCTCTCGCAAGGGATCATGCGTTGAGCATTGTCTGTCTACTTCAGCTTTTGTAGGAATGAGAAGCCCTTTATTAGCGGCCCACACGCCCTCATAGCGTTTTCGCTCCTTTTCCGTAAGCTCACTCCGCCATCTTTTCCGATCGCCTTCATGATGCTTGTGTGGATGCTTTCGTATGAGATGTTTTCTATGTCGGGGATGACTACCATCTTCATCGTCCGACTTCGACGGTTTGCGAAGTGTGTGTCGTAAAGGGCTGGATGGACTAGGTGATTGGGAAACCTCTCTTCTATTAGCGTGCAGTCGTAGGACTGAACGCGACCTTGCTCGACGCTGTGGGGGTGGAGGCGGGGTTCCTTTCCTAGAAGGTGGTGCTCGGGAGGATGCCAATGACGACGCAACGATTGCATCTGAGAGAGCACCTTCACTCAAACCAGTAGAATCATCAAGCAAACCGGAGCTGCTATTATTATATGGCCGGCCGTAGACCGACGAAACACTCGGGCTCAATGGTCGCCTTGGAAATACATTTTTTCCTAGAAGGATTCGATGGTTGCTTTGATCGTTCTTATGCATGGACGGTGACTCGACAGGCCGCGGAGGTAATACAGGGGCTTTCTCATTTGATAAAGTAGGTGAGCCCTTAGAGTGGACCGAGGAGCGAGAGCTTAAAGGCTCGTGGGAGACCTGTATATCGTGGGACTGTACGCTTCTGGGAGCTGGTTCGAATGACCCAGGGCCATTTGTAGCAGGCCGAACTTTTCGAGGTGCTGGTGGTACCGGACGGGGCTTTGCAATGTCCAGCTGCGTAGAGTCTGAGGGAGTGTGAGAAGGTTGGATCACCGGCTTTCGACGGATCGATAAATTTCGAGCCGGTCCAGATTCGTCGCCCTGTGAGGATAGCTCGGCCGGGTAAGGCTTTGCTGCAGCGCTCGCAATTGAACCCGAAGTTAAAGATTCCATGCCTTGTCCACTATTGGTTTTCAGCTGGGGCCCCTTTGTACCACGTACCAAACCACTACTTGTGGTTGTTGCTGTGTTCTTAGGTACAGAAAAATGTTCCGCCGCAAACCGAGCGGCGATCTGCTGCGAGGACTGTGGTCTAAACATTGCTGGGCTCTTGGGAACAGTCTCGAAATTATTATGGGAATGTGCCGTATACCTCCCGATCTTTTCTTTTACGGAACCGACTTCGGGTGGCACTTCAGAGTCAATGCCGGGACGGGAGCCCGGGCCGAGACCACGATTGTTGGCATCTCCGGTCCTATGGTTGACCGCAAGCGAACTGCTTCTAGTACTAGGACCTGCATGAAAGGCGGTGGTAGCACCTTGCAGAGCCATCACAGGTTTATTGACATGGCCGTGAGACAAATGGGGAGCTACCCGCTGGTCCAGAGCGGGCGTCGAGCTCGCCATTCATGAGACGCGCTTCTGCAGGCTGAAGACACTAGATATATCAATCGAACGTGCGCAATGCTATGTCTTTTATACATATATTAGAGTGTTTCAAAAAAGCATGTTTAATTCACGTATGCAGGTGAGCTAGACACGGCTGATGCTTGTAAATTGTGGGAACAACTTAAAGTCAACTTGTGCTAAAACTCTTAGTAAGAGGTCAGCAGCAGCGCTAATCAAGATTGGGTATACCACTAACTCTGTACGGAATAGTCCATAGGTCAAAAATACGGAGTTCTTACCTCTATGTGCTTCGACTATATTAACCGACCAGCTCATGCCTTAGATTTTACATATATGACACTACTAGATATGCTATTGTCTTTTATTTTAATTGTAGGAATCGTGTCAATTTTAAGCCATATATACTTGTCAAATCTCCTTTTTTCCAAAATTCTTCTCATCTTCTTCTCTTTCTACCAATTTACCCCAATACCCATCCCCCTTTTCTATTTTCCCCATTTAACCGAAAGGTAAGACAAAAACGTCCGGAGGTGCGGGGAATTTGAGCACCACTGACCAATGCACATTGTCCAATCATAGATTCCCCGCTCTCTTTCTTAGTATAGGATGGACTACTATCGAGGCCCTCCGGAGAAAGTCCTGTTGGCCTAAATATTTTCCCCCGCTTCTAACCCGTCCAAGTTGCTCTTCACTGCTACGTAACTAATAGGAGCTAGTGATTCGCTGAGTCCACTGCCTGGGAAGATTGTAGTTGAAGAACCTTTCTTCTACCTATCTTCGATTAGGGTTTGAACACCTCAAGCGGTCGCTCCCAGTGATGAAATGCCAGCGTCGCAGGGTCTTTCGTGATGCCCCTCTCGTCACCTCTGTTATATGGCCATATAATTTGTATCCAAGGTGCCATGCCAAATCCTCACGCATCGACTGTCTTGAGGAACGATTGCCCGTAAGACGCCATGTCCCTGGAGAACAGCGACACTGGTCTAGGTATGAATATGAACATATAACAACATCTTCCTTGAAGGACTTCCCGAAATTTTCACAAAACAAAAGAAAAAATTGGATGTGCACAGAAGTAACGAATACATGGTAACAGTTGCAAACCGCCATGAGGCCGAAGAAGCGACCTTGGTTGAGAGAAACAACGACGATCAAGGAATACAGCCTCCTTCTACGACCTCCAGTCAAACCAAATGCTCCATATGTCACAGCACTTTTCGGCGTCCAGAGCATTTAAAGCGCCATTTTCGCAGCCATACCAAAGAAAAGCCCTTCGAATGTACGCAGTGTGGCCGGCATTTCTCAAGAACGTACGTTTCCTTTAATTTCCAGTGAACGCTTCGGTAGACCATAGGTAAGTGGAGACTGACCATGGATAGCGATACTCTCCATCGACACGAGTTGAGTCATCATACCTTAGGCCCAGAAGGGGGGAAAGACCGCACACATCGGATTACGGTAAAGACATTCCGGGCTTGTTTCAAATGTGCTGTAGCAAGAGTACGATGTAGCGGAGGAACACCATGCATCCGTTGCGAAAACCGATCACTCGAGTGTCAGTATCCAACCGAGAGACGGTCTAAAGCAAAAGCGCGGAAAAAATCATCCCAGAACCAGAACTCTGAGGACGACACGCCTCACGAGCACGCTTCTCGCCATGCCCGCTCTCCTTCGGCTGACGTGCAGCTTGCGCAGACAGGAAACTCATCACCCTCAATTCCCGGCTACCAAGTTGGCCAATTCCAGGTCCAGCTGTCTGGGCAATCTCCTTCCAAAACTAAGTCTGGTACTCGAGAACGCCTTAGGGATCAACCAAACGACCCTCCGAGTAGCCGACGAGCTTCTGAACCAAATGATTTGGGTCTGTCAAATGGCAACGGTGCAATAGATATCACACCACTTCCCTTTGATTCGTATGTAGGAGTAAACCTTCAGCAACTGTATCCGCAAATACCCACGTCGGATATGCGGGCAACACTCTCAGATGATCGAGGCGCCCGGTTCAATCATCAGTATCAACCTGACATAGCAAGCTCCAATATAAGCATGGATATGACGATCGCCCAAAACCAACAGCTACAATTGGGATACACCCAGTCCTATTTGGACCCATCCATCGCCTCGACGATCAACTGGATTTCGAACGATTTGTTACTCGATACGACGACTGACGATTCAATTGGAAACTATCGCCCTCCATATTCCTCGCAAGGAGGGACTGTAGCCAACTCCCTGGGCCAGTCATCCTGGCCTCCCGCGGCTGTGAGTGCCGAGAAGTTTAGTCCGTGTTTACCAGAGAATTTTCACCAGACGCCTTCTGGAAACACTTCGCTAGATACTGATGTGGACAGCCCTGGACGATTTCCCCGAGATGCTGCTCAGTTATCAACACCCCAGTCAAGGACTTGCAACGCCTCCCAAAGGTCTGCAGACTCGTACGTGGACGGTGGTGGCGCCCGGCTAAGACCTCCTGCAAGACTTATAGATATCCGTTCTCAGTTGAATCAAACAGGCAGCCAGTCTCGGTTCTCGTTCCCTCTCATTCAGGGACAAAGGGATGAAATTGCATCTGAGGAAGCAGCCTTGAACTGTCAGATCGAACATCCAATGTATGACAACATCTACAAAGCTTTTCTTCAACTGTGTCGCACGGAGAATTACCTTTACCCGGAGTTTGAAACAAGAAATTTCCCGCCCGTGGGAACACTGTCGCATTTTATCCGCCTTTACTTCGACTCTTTTCAGACAGTGTACCCTATCTTGCACAGTTTTACGTTTAACCCTAATACATGCCACTGGCTATTAACACTGGCGGTATCGGCATTAGGCTGTCACTTCGCGCGTATGAGCGACCAAAATGGTTGTGCTACAGCTTTTCACGAGTTTCTCCGGCGAGCTATACATGTTGAGGTATGAGGCTACCGAGCTAACTCCGGAGGCATCTGCTAATCGGTCTTGCATAGAAGGAGAAAAGCCGCTCAGGGCCAACGCCTCTTTGGCTTATGCAGGCAATGATGCTGAATTGTGTCGGATTGATCCACGGGAACAATGAGGAAGCTAGGAGTTTTGCATTGGATAGTTTTGGTGAATTAGTTAACCTGGCAACCCGTGAAGGGTTGTTTTGTCCTTCGACCCGGCCGAAGCTCCTGACAATGGAGACTTCACAGGAAGCACAGTGGGCGACATGGATTGATGATGAGACGAGAAAAAGAACAGGCTACTTTATATGGGTATGACACTTAGACATTACTGGAAACTGAGCATATGATTGACAAAGATATTAGCTCCTAGACTGTATGCTTGCATACCATTTCGAAAGCCGGTTGTTACTCTCTCTTGACGATGGCCAAGCACCGCTACCATCAGACGAGAGCCTCTGGCGAGCAAGCTCCTCCGGTGTCTGGAGACAACTCTATGACAAGTCTAAAGGTATTCACCCTGCCTTTTCTTTTCCTTATGTGTACTGCTATCTAACCTCGGCCCCTTAGGTTATGAAGAAATATCTCTCTACAGCGCTGTGCTCACGTTGTATATCGAGAAGAAGCTAGTTACTAATATAGGAGAATTCGGTCATATCTTGTTAATCCACGCCCTCTACCATCGAATGTGGGAGGTGGGTGACTACTTTCGCCGTCCCCTGTCGTTCTGGAATCCAACTGCCAGAAAGCAGTCTCGAGAGGATGCGATCCCGTCGGGATCAGTTTGGCTCCCGGGTATACCTTCATATTCGAGATGGCGCAATAGCGCATGCGATTGTTTGGATATACTTCACTGGACAGCAAATAGCACGATAGCCAAGGCATCTGGCCTTGAACACCCAACAGTTCTACATCTTCACGAAGCTCGGGTTGTTTTACTCGTGCCCTTCCGCGAAATAAGGGGCCTGATAACAACTCTAGCAACAGAGAAGGTTCGCTGGGACGAGCGTCAGCAAACTATTGAGTGGCATTATATACTTCGTTGGATCAAGCACGACCAATATAAAGCTCGACTCGCAATCATACACGCCGGTGCGTCTTTGTGGCATGTGCGGAGATTTTCGACCGATGCGTTTCATGAGCCGGTAGCTGTGTTTCTTGCAATACTTACCTTGTGGGCCTATGGCCTGTGCTATTCCCAGGTGTTTCCAGTGGTGGGCTCCCGTGGTAGACCTAACAATGGCCTGCCTAACGAGCCCTCATTCTTCTATATTGACCGTCCTTGTGACGATGAGCTGGTCCAGATCTTTGTCCGTGGAGGGCAGGCGATGAAGGCTAATGTAACTGGCGTCGGAGATATTTGTGCGCCCGAAGGCCCTCAGCGAATCCTACAGGTTGGCTGTGAAGCACTTGCTGGTCTCACTTCCTGGGGAATATCTAAGAGATTCATTGCAATCCTGACTAGGCTAGGGGAATTGATGTCCTGAGCCAAGCAGTCTTGAAACCCTTTATGTACATTATATGTAGAGTTGCTGCTTTTCTTTATTCTTCCTTGGTATCTATATTCACTTTAGATTACCCTGGTGGGTACTCAATTTCCCTACCTTAGATTATCTGGAAGAGAAATAGAATTAGATGTATTGATCCTACAAATGAAGTGAAGTCCTGATAAAGGCGGTGAATTTAATCCAGGTGGAGTGATGTCACATGGTAAGTTTTATCTTATCGTTGCCTATTGCAGCCTAGACTCCCAACAATGCAGATATATAACTACGGAGTACCACTAGCTGTAGGATATTCCTCCAAAGGCTCTCGTGAAGCAACAGTACTCTTTCTAGGCTTGTGCCATCGGGGGAAAAAGTACCAAGTTGGACATCTGACGAGACATGGATACTGATGATGATTTCAACGAGCCTGCCGGTAGCAAACCTCGTGTGGAAGACGAAGAGTCGGACGTAGATGAAAAGTAAGCTCAGTAATTTTACTTTCTTGCGGGCTATTTGTATGGGTTAGCTAATAGTTTGGCTTCAGATACCCCAATCGCCCACGTAATCGTTCCACTACATTACCATTTCATGTGCTCTTCCAGACACTGTTCAATCCCTTGAGCGAGATCAAAAAGAAACCAGCTGGAGCTGCGCGCAAAAAGGTCGGACCTCATGGACAATCCAGCGCGAATCTCAACCCACTGGAGAGACGGCGAGATGTTATCGAGCGCTTTATTTCAAGATGGAGAAAGGAGGTCGGGGACGACATATACCCCGCATTTCGATTAATCCTCCCCGACAAAGATCGGGATCGAGCTATGTACGGAATCAAGGAGAAGGCTATCGGGAAGCTCCTTATCAAGATAATGAAAATCGATAAAAACTCCGAAGATGCCCTCAATCTCTTGAACTGGAAATTACCTGGACAGACGACTGCGTCCAGTATGGCGGGCGACTTCGCAGGTCGATGCTACGGTGTTATCTCAAAACGACCAATGCGCACGGAAGTGGGTGATATGACCATTGAGGAGGTGAATGAGAAACTCGATCAACTATCCGCAGCATCTAAGGAAGAGCAACAATCGCCGATCTTGGCGGAGTTTTACCGACGAATGAACCCGGAAGAGCTCATGTGGCTGATCCGTATCATTTTACGGCAGATGAAGGTTGGAGCGACGGAGCGCACCTTCTTTGATGTCTGGCATCCAGATGCAGAGAACCTATACAGCATTTCAAGTAGCCTTCGGCGCGTATGTTGGGAATTGCATGATCCCAATATTCGCCTCGAGGCTGAAGATAAGGGAATCACGTTGATGCAATGCTTCCAGCCACAGCTGGCTCAATTTCAAATGCATTCATTGGACCGAATGATTAGCCGGATGAGGCCGATAGAAGATGATCCTGTTTTCTGGATTGAGGAGAAGCTTGATGGCGAGCGTATGCAGCTTCATATGGAGTCTAATGATTCGGTATCAGGGAGCAGGACGTTCCGCTTTTGGTCAAGAAAAGCCAAGGACTACACATATCTCTATGGAAATGGCATTAATGATGAAAATGGGGCCTTGACAAGATATCTCAAGGGCGCGTTTGCAGATGGAGTGGGGAGTTTAATTCTTGACGGGGAGATGATCACTTGGGATACTGAACAGGATGCTATTGCCCCCTTTGGGACGCTCAAAACGGCCGCATTATCTGAACAGAGGAACCCATATTCGAGCACCACACGGCCTTTGTTCCGGATATTTGACATTTTGTACTTGAACGGACAGGATTTGACAAGGTACACTCTCCGTGACCGTCGAAATGCGTTGCAAAAAAGTATCAAGCCTGTTCACCGCAGGTTTGAGATCCATCCTTACGAGGAAGCTACAGGCAAAGCCGAAATCGAAGAGGCGCTGAGAAAAGTCGTCGCAGAGGCTTCAGAGGGCCTAGTGCTAAAGAATCCCCGGTCACCATATCGCCTAAATGAAAGGCACGATGACTGGATGAAGGTGAAACCGGAATATATGACCGAGTTTGGAGAGTCTTTGGACGTCATAGTCGTTGGGGGATACTATGGATCTGGCCGCCGAGGTGGCGGTCTTTCGAGTTTCCTGTGTGGACTTAGGGCAGATGATGCTCATTTCTCACAAGGTGGCACGGCAACCAAATGTTATTCTTTCTGTAAGGTAGGGGGAGGCTTCACTGCGGCTGATTATGCAAAAATTCGACACCACACGGAAGGTAAATGGCACGAATGGAAGCCTAAGAAACCACCTACGACATACATAGAGCTGGCGGGCGGGGACGCACAACATGAGCGTCCAGATATGTGGATAAAGCCAGAGGACTCGGTGGTTCTCTGTGTTAAGGCAGCCTCAGTAGCTGTCAGTGACCAGTTTCGTATTGGACTGACGCTACGCTTTCCGCGCTTCAAAAAGCTGCGTATGGACAAAGATTGGAAAAGCGCCCTGTCGGTGCAAGAATTTCTCGACCTCAAAGCAAATGCGGAACAGGAGCGCAAAGAGAAGGAATTCAGCGTAGATAATTCACGCAAGAAACGTCTTAAGAGGGATACCAAGAAGCCTCCAGCTATTGCAGGGTACAATGCGGATGCAGATGCTCAGTTCTCTGGGCCATCTGGGCATATTTTTGATGGGCTTAATTTTTGTATGTTGCAAATCCGGTGTGTTGTCGTTGAGCGCATACTGACCAAAGCACAGACATCACAACCGACTCAACCGCTCCGGTCAAAAAGTCAAAGGCGGAGTTAGAGCAGCTTGTCAAGGCCAATGGGGGCAAGTTCTTCCAGACAAACAATGCCGCTCCTAATACGATTTGTATCGCGGACAGAAGTTCGTACTCCCTATAAGGAGACCCCTACACCAGAGTCACCAATTAACACGTTACGTAGGGACTGTAAAGGCTGCATCTCTTCAAAAAAGCGGCAACGTTGACATTATTCGACCTTCTTGGATTCTTGATTGTATCAAACAAAGTGAGGCTGATGCGGGTCTGCCCGAATTTCTCCTTCCTCTGGAACCTAGGTGCGTTTTCTTTGCACTAGGACAGCTTCCTGATCTCCTAACGTGTACCCAGGCACATTTTCTTCGCCACAGAGGGAAAGCAGGAGGAGATAGCAGCAAGCGTCGATCAGTTCAATGATAGCTACGCTCGGAACACCACGAGTGACGAGCTCAGAGATGTAAGCATCCCCCCATTCATTGTACAATACCAAGGTCTGCTGACGGTGTCAAGATCTTAAAACAAATGAGCAAAGATCATCACTTTGAGATTTCTCAGTATCCCAACGTCACCCGAAAGCTCAACGAGCATATCCAGGAGAAAGTCAATGCCGGATGGGGGATGCCCTCCGGATGGCTGTTCAAGGGTCTGACTGTTATCTTTCCACAAAATCACAAGGTGGACTATCCGGAATCAGACGAGGCTACGCAAACCGATCAACCGTACCGTCTCCATTTGGCAAGCAACACAGCGCGATTTGCTGGAGCGAGAGTTGTGGAGTCTTGGAAATTCTCACCTGTAACTCACGTCGTTGTGGCTCCAGATAGCTCGCCCTCGGACATCTCATCGATCCGAAAATCATACTCGACAAAGCCAGGGAAGAAGGTGCCACACCTGGTCACCGTCGAATGGATAGAAGAGTGCTGGAAACAGCGGACGCTGCTAGACGAAGAGGGTATGTCGGAGCCTTACCATCATACATGAGGGCTTTTGGACGCCTGCATTCTAATCATCCTCGGCAGGGTTCCAACCTCCAAAACGTGCTGCCTAAACAGGCGTTCCACATCAGTTCACAGCCACTCTAAGAATCAGAAGTCCCACCCGACATCCTAGTCTCTCGGGCGTATCCCACAGGGTTTACATAAACCCAAATTCCGTACACTGGAGCTACTTACCATTCACAATAACCCCTCTTTAGTTGTACATACCTGCATGCATGCTATTTAATAAGCTAGTATTCTCAATCTCATTGACCGGCTAAATCGGGTTATCTGCAACACTGCCCAAACACGGGACACGAGTCATTGGGGCAAAGTTAAGCCCGAAGTGATCATCCCACTCTTTCTATTGGACCGAGATAAGGCCTACAGGGAGAATGAGACATGGACACACACGCCATCACTATCAGGAGAGAGGGATGGAGGGAGGGTAATTGTGAGAATTAGCAGACAGAATAATTACCATACAGTACTGACATACAGTAATATACAGCCCTATCTTTCCTGTTGAAGGCTTCCACAACCCGTGTCTGCTAATTTAAAGTCCCTGAAACTTTAGCCCTAATTCGACATCTTGGATATAGATGTACACCCCAGTTCCAATATAGGGCAACATAACAGCGCATAACAGTGGTCTATCATAAGTTGGAAATCATATCTCTACATGATCTACAAAAGTCGGCGACTGGGTATGTCTTTAGGTGAAAAGACAGCAAGGACCATCCTCCAGATTAGTCGACATGGACAAAGGACTATGATACTACGCTTATCATATCCGGGATAGTAGAGGATCAGCTCAACTGGGAGCATCGGGCCTGAACAGTTCTGCTCCAGGACTCCACAGTAAATCCGGACTAGCCTTCGGACCTATATATGCATTCTATATTACCTCCGTAGCTAGCTGGTAAGTCCACCCCAAATCCATCACCAAGAACATCCTCAACTGAGAATGACAAACACAAACACATGAATTAGTCCTTCTACAGCGCAGCCACCTTCACATTCCTCAACATACTCCTCCACGAAGTCAAAAAAACTCACCCCGGCAACTCCTTTCTCAAAACTTGCTACAATAACCGCTCACTCGCCCGCCCTCAACCACAAATCCCACACCGCAGACCCTAGCATGTCTTCATCGACGTCGTCTTCCTCCACTCTACCCGAATGATGGCCACCGAGCCGATCCTAATAGTCATCCCAGCACTATGTTGATCAGAGACTCAGTTTCTAACCGCTGCTCCAGAGTTCGTTGTTGCGGGTCATACGACGGCGTGTTACAGTGTTTCTGCCTGCTTATGCGAGGGACGGGGCTGCAGATCTATGCATTGTGCATGTATCATAGCTTCCACGGAGATTATGATCTAGTATGGCTCTTGAAAATGTTGACAACGTCCATGGCGACCTTAGTACCAGGTCAGCGAGTTCTGGAACTGGTTGTATATCGGTCTACTGAGAATCATAGCATAGTAACAGTATCTTGAGAACTATACCCTTCTGAGGACAAGAGATATTAAAAAATAAGGAATTAGGTAGGAGTGTAGCTTATCAAAGCTCCGGCTCTTTCTTTCTTATTCTCATATCCTTCCCATGGATGAGATAGTCGAGGATGGTGGATCTAGACACTAAGACTATGTATGCCTACAATATGAAGAGACTAGGAGTTATATGTGCTGATAACTAGATGGGTGTCAGTCATGGTTCTCTTTGAAAGTTCTTGCCAGGTATAGATCCTGTTTTCCCTTGTGATATCTATCACGGAACTATTCGGGGATTAGGGCTTTTAGAATATTAACTCAAGCAGGTGACTTGACTTCAATAGTACTATTGATTCAATGACGTGGTGCTAAGAGCAAAGTTGATTACCAACCATGGTAACAGTAAATGTAATTTCCCCGAAGGATATGGTGGTAATTTATCAGGGATACGATTCGATTGTTTTCCCCTTATCTTTGGTTTGGTTTACTCTGTCGCGTGATAAGGTTGAGATCAAGTGATTCGATCTGACATGGGATACCTTAACCAGCCATGTGACGTGAGATGTACGGTATGTATGATACATGACAGGTAGAATAATGAAGTAAGCAAGGTTTGTAAGCCAGTTAAACTCTGTTTCTCTCTGCCATCCAAGAGTTCCGTGAACGCCGTTCGCTTTGGCCTCTAGTGCCCAAAAATGCAAGTGTAGGTCTCCCAATATGTACAATAGTCAATGGCCAAGAGAAGTAATATGGGAAAAAAAAAGGGAGAGGTAAAGAGAGGGAAAAATAAAAAGAGAGAAATAAAATAAAGGCGCAGCAAAGTTCATCATCGAACCAGGCATTGAGCTCATGGATGTAACATTTCACCGTCTCATATATGTGAAATTGAGAATAAGGGGTAGGGATCACATGCAGTTGGCCGAGATCCCAACCCATCTAAATGGAATGGCATGTTCTTCTTCGTCTTCGTCTTCGTAATAATCGTAGGGACTGAATCGGGTTTGGCTGCCTTTACGAGGCGGGAGCCAGATGCGCGCCCGCGTAGGGAGGTCATCCCGGAGTTTGCCGCTGCGCCGCATGTTCATTTCTAAAACCACCATGCGCAGGAAATCACTATTTTCCCGGGGTTCTCGCTGGCGTGACATTGGTGGGACTTCCGGATCAAAAGAGGAAAAGAGTCGACCGCGACCCCCAGATCCCGACAGATGGAACCCACTCCTACGGGAACCACGTTTTCCCGACCGGTGATAGGTCTGCATCTGAACGGAGACGGGGCAGTTGCTCGTGTCGAGAGATTCGTGCGGGTGTTCCTGATAAGCATAAATTTCCGCCGGTGAAACCGTGACGGGGTTAAAGTAGCGTCGCAGCGCCGGAGACGGTGGCTCGTGCATGGGCGGAGGCCGACGGTCGTCCGTCATCTTCGGCGTAATCGTGAAAAGGGACCGTGTAAGAAAGTCATCGGGCTGCACTGACGGGTTAGCGAATGTAGAAACCGTCTGTGCCGCGGATTTGATTGCTCGTAGCGAAGCTGTTAGATTGGACTTGAAAGTGGACCCTAGCCGTGGGAACGATCGAGCCGGTGAAGATTTCGCTGGGGTGCAGTCTAGGAATGTACACTGCTGGACCGGCTCCCGTTCTGTGTCTGATAATTCACCCTCTAATAATGGATGGTCGAAGGCGCAATCCTCATACTGCGATAGGTGTAGATATCGTCTCTCGTATGGAGTTCGCTGACTAGAAGGTGTATGGGGCATCGGAGAGCCAGACGGCGACTCTAGGTCCGCGTCTAACGACGGCATCGACTCAATAGACAACGAATGACTGGATAGCGACGGTGCTTCGCTATCGTAGTCGCTTCCACTTGCAAATCGATCATTGTCTTCCGGCGGGCCCAATAGTATGTCGAGCATGGTATTGCCGGTACTCTCCATTAAGCTATCATCCCTGGCCTTGACACCCTCCATTAACAACTTGCTAAAATCCTGTACATGATTTCCTGGTGGTATCCTCCGAGACTCCCGAGTTGCACGCTTGCGTCGAGGTACGGGGATTGCGGTGGCTTCCAGAATCGAAGCAATGGAGGTGGGTACAGGACGGTCCCCCGAGGCTGCCGATAGAGTTCTGTGGGCAGTCTTTGCACGTCGCTGAGACTTTGGGTTCTTGCTCACAGATTCTCTCTGTACCGGGGTCAATCGAAGACCACGTTTGGGAGGGATGATGACGGGGCTGGTGGTGTGTGTGCTCTCCTTGTCGTGCAGCTCCAGGCCCGCGACATCCGGCACGGCAACAAAGTCCATCTCTGACTTGGAGATTTGATGTTTCTTCCCATGATGCAGGGGAGGCACGGAGCTGAAGAGGAAGGCCCTAGGAACCATCATTTTCACAGATTAGGATCGAAGTACAATTGGCTGGTAGGAAGGTCCCAGGCCCGACGAGGCACTCTGATCGTGGGTCTGAACGAGATACATGGATGAATGGTGACACGGCGAGAGAAGAGAGGTGTTCCCAATGGAAACTCCTCCGGGGGAGGAAGTCTGGTATATAAGTAAAAGACGTCAACGGTGCTGCGTTGGCAGAGGATCCAGGCGAACGGCAGTGTCAGCCAAATGAAACCCAATGCGGGAAGCCGCCGGGATGCGTATGCAGGCACGCGAGTTTGCGGGATGTTAACAGATACTGGAGGGCGAGGGTAGATTCCGGAAAGATTTGCTTTCTGAGGAAAAGTTAAAAAGAAATAGAAGGAGATCAAAGAAGGGATATATTCAGGAAAATGAAGGTTAAGGACTCCAAGAAGGAGGGAAGGGCACAAAACAAAGAATGACCTCAAGACTTCCGAGTGCGATAAGAGTGACGGCAGGGGGGGTCACTACTCTACTTTAAGGTTGACCGTAACTTCGATACTGTGACTATTTTCGATACCACCGGAACTAAACTCCCCGGGGTTAAGCGTGAGACAATGAAGAAAACCGAAAAGAGTGAGGCGGAATGGCTGGGTTTGGGCGGTAAGGGCGGACAATGCCGAGCGCCGGAACAGTGTCGTGACACCCTTAAGAGTAGGAATCTTTCCAGCAGATGGAATTGAAACGTACTTATTACCGTACCATTTGCGTACGGTATGTTCTCGAAGGTCTAGACGAAGTGGGTTGGGTATGAAAGAAGCCTTCAAGGCGCTCCACTTTACCTGCAATCTTACAGGGTTACGTAAAACTGTATTGCTAATCACTTGTGCGACCTTCCCTGATCCAGTTAAGTCCGTTATGGGGTTGGATTGACTTGGTTTGGTTCTCGTCCAACCACGAAAAACAACAAAAAGAGTAATAATAATAGAATTATTTTGCTACTTCTTTTTTTTTTTTTTTGAATTTCCTTTTTCCCCTTCCCCTTCCTGTTTCAAGTGTGCGATGGAGACCCGAACACGTTTGTAGTAGCATAGGTAGTATCACCAATGTTACTCTGTACCCAACTGCCTATATACTCCAATGATTGGACTGCTAGTGCCTCCTTAGCACCAGCGCCTATGCAGGGCTTTACATGTTCGTCAATCAATTTATTGGTTCATTTACTCGATACCGAACACTCTGTTATTGTTTTGTTTTGAGCGCAAGGTCCATACCGCAGTTATCGAGTGATCAGTGGTCACCTATAATAAAAGATGAGTATCATTGTCTGATCAGCTCCTTAATCGAAATCTAAGAATACTTCTACTTATTCTTCTTCTTCTACTTGTTTCAGAATATGCTCCGTGGCGGCAAAAATAAAAACCATTACAAAGTATTTCTTGGATCAATTTTCACCTCGGTTCCAAAAAGAACGGGAATTCCACCCAAGACCAACTAAGTAAAGAGACTTGGCATCAAGTAATGACACTGCATTAGGTGCATATCTCTTTGTCGGGCCTTACGATGTGTTGTCAGCGCACATAATGTGAGGAAGAGCGGTAAGGGAGATTTTTTCGTTGTTGAGATCGTGAGAGTTTTCCCTTTCCAAGTTCATCGCACTTTTTGTCCTGAATAGTTTGCGTACGGATAGAGTAATAGGTAGAGAGGATAGAGTTCATAATCAACACACTGAGATCATGTACGACTCGGCCCTTTTTCTTCCCTTTTCTCTTTTTTATTTTTATTTTACTTTGTCACTACCAACTTTCTTACAATAAACCCCCACTGATTGGGTGAATGCACAGTCGTTCAGGTTCATGATGGATGAGCTGCACGGTACATCCCAATCGAGCCCGAGTCTTAGTACCAGAAAAATGTAAAGCCTCGCATATGGTATGAGACCAGGACACTTAGCCCCTCTTTGAGGGTGAATGAAAATATTCACGCAACATATCATCCACTTAAGGGGAGAGGACAAGAAATGAGTAAAGGGAGGAAAAAAAGGAAATAAAGGACAGCATTCATAAGAGACAAGGCTTCTTAGTCAGCGAGGGCGGTGACCACTTATCGCGATTTGCTCTCCAGTCCAATGATTTCAACTTGAAATGACTGAACGAGAGAGACTAGATGGATGGACTGCAGGGAGCTATTAGTAGCCTAACAGTTACTAGGACCTATCATATCTAGTCGTTCTCAAACCGTCACCTTGGTCCAATAAACGTCTCCGCACTTCAATCAGATCCTTATCTCTATTGAATTCAAGCCGACACTGCGCTACAGGTCCCGGTAGAAACCCCCTCTATCAACGCCCCCCCCCCCTCCTCCCCGCCTCCACTTGCGGGTCATTCACAGTCTGGGGGCGACCTGTCTCATTCAATCTACTTCCCTTTTTTTGGAATCTGTGCTCATCGATCTGCGTGGTACTGGACAATTGGGATTGCGCCATCCTCACTATAGCCGCCGCGCCGGTATAGCTAATGCGCCGCCCATCACAAGACTAGGATCTCCATATCGCGCATTCACTAGCAGGGACGTAGCCTACGGCTCGCCCTTCATCCATCTCTACGATCTGGTGCCAGCCATTCAGAAGCAACGCGCCAAGTGCTCTCCCCACGTCCGATAAGCATGCTCCGCTCTGACCCCACGCTGTCTCCGAATAATCTTGGGTGGACTTGACAAGTATGAACGAAGGCTCTGCTGAGAGGAGACTAGAAGTGGTCATGGAGTCATCAACATGCAAAGGATCCCGAGGGAAACTGGCAGCAAGGCTCCAGACAATGAACGCAAATAACAGTTCGACGTCGAAGAGGCGCTGTGTTAGTACAGCGTGCATCGCATGCCGCCGACGAAAGTCGAAGGTATAAGAGTTGATTTCCTTGCCATTATAAATCTTCATCTAATTTCTGCTCCCAGTGCGACGGCAACCTACCCAGCTGTGCGGCCTGTTCCTCAGTATACCATACGACATGTATTTCACCGTATCGACCAAAAGTGCACCCCAACAGACATAGCTAACCAGACTCATAGGCGTGTATGATCCAAACTCCGACCATCGTCGAAAAGGGGTGTATAAAAAGGATACGGATACTTTACGGACAAAGAATGCGACCCTACTGACCTTGATACAAGCCTTACTAAACTATGAGGAAGAGGATGCGTTTGACTTAGTACGACAAATACGATCCTGCGACAACCTAGAGGACGTAGCGCAGTCGATCATGGGCCAGGAAAAAATTTCTGTGGCCGCTTCCAGAGATTCCGTTCACAATAGAGAACACTCCCCGATAGAGGCAGACCAATTCGAATCAGAATTAGCGGGAAAGATGAGTGGGCTTATGCTGGACGGTTCTCGGAAGTTCATCGGCGGCACTTCAAACCTCATCTTCTTGCCGCCCGGATCGGAGCTTTATGACTACAACGCCGACTTAGATAGTCAGGTGGTGGGCGACACAGACGACCTCTCTATTACTCAATGGACGAAGGTTACGGCCGATGAACAGCTGATTAGCCACCTTATGACGATGTACTTTTCGTGGCATTACCCCTTTTTCACAACTCTGTCAAAAGATCTATTCTATCGCGACTATGTTCGTGGCATTTCCAGCCAGTACTGTTCATCTCTACTGGTCAATGCAATGCTGGCGCTGGGCTGCCATTTCAGCTCCTGGGACGGGGCTCGAGAAGATCCTCAGATTTCGGCGACCGCAGGGGACCACTTTTTCAAGGAAGCGAAAAGACTGGTTCTTGAAAATGATGAGCATGCAAATGCGAAACTCTGCACGGTCCAAGCTCTCGCCCTCATGTCCGTTAGAGAGGCTGGATGCGGTCGTGAAGGCAAAGGCTGGGTTTATAGTGGCATGAGCTTCCGTATGGCATTGGACTTAGGTCTAAACTTTGATTCAACAAGCCTTGGAGCTCGCAATCTTAGTGAAGAAGAAGTAGATGCACGGCGGATCACTTTCTGGGGTTGCTTTCTCATTGACAAGTACAATATCCTATCGCCTTATAGACATGTTTGACTAAACGGCTAATAATCACAGGTGCTGGTCCAATTACCTTGGTCGCCTGCCTCAGCTAGCAGGTACTAACGCGAGCGTGCCAAAGATTGATATTCTGCCTAATGAGGAAGCAGCATTGTGGTCTCCCTACACAGACGCTGGGGCAAGCCGTGAAAACACACAGCCGTCACGAACTAGAACGGTAGCCTTACAACTGTCCAAGCTTTGTGAAATCAGCGGTGATCTGCTTGTGTCTTTCTATGACCCAACCCCCAAAGAAAAGCCTGTTTCAAAACAGATCGAGCTAAAGAGGCTCAGTGAAATTCACACGAGGCTTGAAGCATGGAAGAGAGACCTACCTAAGGAGCTAGAACCGAAAGAAAGGCTGCTGCCTCAGGCTTTGCTCATGCAGTAAGCTGACAATTGCCTATCTATAATATGCTGGAGCAGTTATGTTGACACCTTTGCAGTATGTTCTACCAACTCCTCTTCATCCATCTCTACCGCCCTTTCCTGAAATACACAAAGTCCAATTCTCCTCTTCCCCACCATATCTCTCCTAGGAAGCTGTGCACGCAGGCTGCTTCTGCCATTTCGAAGCTGCTTCGTATTTACAAGCGAAACTACGGGTTCAAACAAATCTGCAATATAGCAGTCTATATGGCACATACTGCCTGTACCGTCCATCTCCTCAACTTGCCCGAAAGGAACGCTCAAAGAGACGTTGTTCATTGTCTGCGACACCTCGAGGAAATGGGTGAAAGCTGGCTTTGCGCTCGACGAACCCTCCGAATTCTTGACATATCGGCCAGTAAATGGCAGGTTGAGCTTCCTTCCGAGGCTGTTATCGTCTTGGAACAGACGCATGCGAAATGGGGCTCATGGGGGTCATGGGACCAAGCGACATCACCCTCTACCTCGGAGCAATCTCCATCTTCAGTCACCGCCCAACCTCCTACAACAATCCCAAGCAGCTTCCCATCGCCTGGTCAATACATCCCCGCCCGTGAGCTAGGTGATCCCTCAATTCAAAGCCCTTCTGATACGCTTGGGTCTATAGGCGCCCAATATCCAGCAGGGGTACCACTTCCTGCGTCTATATCAGCTATACGAGCAGCTCAGCGATATTCAAGTGCTCAGCTTCCACGAACAGACGCCCAGCTCCCAGAACCGACATACCTGCGGCCTGTATCTCATGCTTATGGCTCAATACAGAATGTTCCTCTCGCTCAGCATGACTCTTGGTATGATCTGAAGGAGGCGCAGGGCCGTTCACTGGGTACCAGTCAAGATATATCATCAACCTCAAGCACATCCCCAATGGCCGGTTTTGGCACTCCCGAGAATTTAGTTGAAGAAAGTCAAGATTGGTGGTTTCGCGATCCGAGTGCATTCAATCCAGGATATGACGGCTGGAAAGAAGGCTGGGGCTCTACTGTGACCGGGATAAACCCCGATTTGGCCTATGTCGGACAGGCACCGGGACCTGACAACACTTCTAGACCACAACCAGCTAGATATCCTATTGAAGCCCCTTCTAACGTCACGCAACCGGAAGAGACGCCGCGTATCGCAAGATACAACGATGTGGTCTATGCAAGAAATTACCAACCTTGACCGCCATGACATTTCCAGGGATGACTGTATTATAATTATTTTTTGAGATTTTCGGGTATATTCACGATTTTAATGAGGGTACGGTCTTTTTTCATCTCCAAAGTGTCACTCTCCTACATACCTTCTACGTGTTATATATATAAGCATATGCTGTACATGCTCCGAAACTCGTTGACTATAGCCCACGTTCCGGGCAAAAACCACGTTATTGTATAATTTTGAGACTCCTATTGCACAAGATCTGCTGTGTCTATGTCAGATATTATACAGAGACATATTTGGACACATATTGAGGGTGACTGAAGTTCTATAGTCAATGTGATAATTTATGCTACGAGTCGTTCTGATAGATATTCATTAATAGAGGGAAAAGGGACAATTCATCGGAAATATTGGGAAAGAGAAAAAAATCACCCTTTAAGATATGGACACTTGGACCTCAAGGGACCCATGGATAGACAGAATGAATGGTTCCTCGCTTTCAACAGATCATGAAGGTAGCTCCAAGTTTCGACTTCAGAATGCAAAAAGTATGCTCAATATCATCTTTCTAAAGTCATCGCTGGGTCTTGCACAAAAGAACTGGTACGGGCCGGCCTATATAAGAATGTAGATAGGACAGAAAGGAAGTGAAAATATGCGTCAGTGGTATCACTATCGAATGAGTTAGAAAGCCACGGTGCAGTATATCTAAGGGAAAGGGACTTACCAGGAAATAATCTGCAACAGGCTTCTTCGCGGGCATACCCCTTGTATCCTGCGCAGCAGCCTCAAACACCCTGTACCTTCTTCCGGGACTTCTCACGCCTAGCCTATCGGTTGTCATGAGACCGTTGCTCCTTCCGTAATCACCATTACTCCTGGTTACGGTACCCCCGTTACTTGTGTCTTCGCCCAGTTCCAATATGGATGCAACGTTGCCACATCGGTAGCAGTAGTTGGGGGCTGACCAGACAGTGACGATCCCGCCATCGAACATCTCCTTATAGCCCTCCATCACGAGCTGATGGGCGCGCGCAATCAAGGATAGATCGTTTCTGTAGTTGAACTGCTTCACGATGTCTCCGCCGAACAGGAACCCAGCACCTCGCGGACTCAATCCCCACCCGTCGATTTCATCGGGGTCCGACCATAGCAGGTCGCACATGGCGCCCTCGTGGGGAACTTCCTGTTTTCTGTCGATTAGACGGATTTTGTCGACTGTGTCGATGAGGGGGGAGAGACCGCCGTGGACGCAGAGGACCGCGCCGGTTCGGCTCGAATAGCTGCCTGCTTCGTTGCCCGAAGCGCCTGTGCCCGGCGCTCCTGATCTGGTGGGCGTCGGGCCTGACGTCGATGAGATGTCCCTTGACGGTGATAAGTTTCTGTTGTCTGTCGATGTATCTGATGATGCTCTCTGTCTGGGTCGGTATGAGTTGTATGTGACCTCTCCCTTCGAGTTTAGTACTTCAGTCTCCAGCTCCCCATCATCGATCGGCATGGTGGACTGGGTAGAATCGTTCAAGGCGGGTCCTGTCGGTTCGAGTTCCGAGCTTGCACCAAGAACGAGAGCGCCTAGCGCCAGATAGTCGAAGACCTCGCAGCAATACCGCCATACATTGGCGCTGCCGTATTTGCGAATACATTCGTCGTAGAAGCCGTAGACGGTTGTGATCTGGCGCGACTCGTGGTTTCCACGGATGAGGGTGATACGATCGGGATAGCGCACTTTGAGACAGAGAAGGAGCAGGAATGATTCAAGGGAATAGAATCCGCGGTCGACGAAGTCGCCCATGAAGAGGTAGTTGGTGTCGGGAACGTCGCCTCCGACCCGGAAGAGTTCCATCAAATCGTGGAACTGGCCATGGATATCCCCGCAGATCGTGACTGGCGCATCTACGCAAACGACGTTTCCTTCTTCTATGAGGAGCTCCCGTGCCTTGTAGCAGAGTTCACGGACCTGGGTTTCGGGTATCAAGCGGCACGCGCGTAGTTGGGCGATCGCCCTACAGCGCAGATAAGAGTTAGTTCGGTCATTCCCTACAACAAAAGTAGCTAAATGATCCTATACCTATCGAGATCGCTCATGGTGATTTAGCGCAAGAATAGAGACTGGAAATAGGCAGGTGAGTCGAAGTAGAGGGGTGGTCTGTGGGTCCTGACTACAGCGAAGAGTTGGGGAAGAGAAGCTGAGCCGGTTGAGCCTGAACAACCCAGGGAGTAAAGAGAATGGAGACCGCTATGTTGACGGCAAAAAAGCGATCATTTTCTAGTCTGATATCACAGCCAATAGAAGGACACGACAGGGTAACTTCGAGGAACTGTGAAGGCTGACTAGTAGACTGGGGAGGTCTTTTCCCGTGGCGCGCCAACAAGCTGACGGACTCTTGTTCTTGCTGGCAGACCGCAGACGGCTGTCATCGCAGCCAATCACCACCACCAGAGATAAGATTAGATCTGATCGCCAAGACTAGTCCGAATTCTCCTTCCAAAGTCCCTCAAGCAGACGTCCGTTCTTCGGTCTCCCCCGGCCTACCCTATACTTGTTTCGCTTGCTCTACTATCATTGGTGAGGCCATGTCTCCCTTGTGGGCGACTCCCTCATTGTTACTTTAATTGATCCTGAACCCATATCCGCAAGGTGTGTGGGTGCCAATTGCTCGTATCAACTATCCCGACTCTTGTTGTCCCGCACCGTGACGTCCTTCCATGCCTTGGTGATCATCCAGCGCCCTTGAAACAGATATTCTCCCCCCTCAATTATCCTCAATATGCCGCCACATCTACACCCTCGGTCGCGGTCGACCTCCTCTCTTTTCGCAGCCACCCTCCTTGCATCTCTTTTCGTCGTCGGCCTGCCGCACCTTTTCCCTTGCCCTGCCCCGCGTCGTACTCTCGCCGATTCTGAGATGATGGTCACCACTGATGGACAGCAAATACCAAGAGTCCGAAGGAAGAGGAGGAAGGATGCTGAAATGTGTGGCCCAGAAGGAAACGTTCTTTCCCAGGCACAGCAACCCCCTGACGAAGTGTCAACCTTCTTACAATTGGAGGAGGAGGCTGCACAACTAGCTAAGGCGGGAAGAGAATGCCCTGTCCCAAAGCCTCGTGGAGTCCTGGGTGAATTGCTCGGTTTCTCAAACCATAAAGAGGCCACAGACAACTAGAGCTCCGACGCGGAAGTCAGCGGTCCCGACCTTTCCTATCACGAGAAGAGTCGATGAATTGTATTGAATACCAGCGAGCTCGGTGAAGCTATGAGAGATATTTTACGAATCGGGTTATTGGAGTGTTAAACCTCCTGTTGAGAATACCTTTCGGCCCTGGGCCATGCTATGCAGTGAGGCACCAACCCAATTGCCAGCAATATACCCATGTACAGATAGTCATCTGGAGCCATGATGTACAATAGCATTTCTATGTCTATAACTTGACTCTACAAATTTCTAAAAAATGTATTTCTAGTTGGTTTCCTTTTTCTGTAGAGATACTGTTCTTTGTGGTGTCTGGAATTCCCTAACTTACGCGCACGGAACGCTAAGCCGTAAATAGACGAATATCATTGGCTCTCCCGCCTGAGGCCACATGCAAGTCCAGCACAACATCAATGATGGATCTGAAGCACTTAATCAGTGAACTGTGTCTAAACCCAAGACATACAGAATGGATTGCGCCGCTTCTCGTATTAGGCGATGCCTTTCTTTGTACTCTTATTATATGGAAGATTCCATGTAAGTCTGTATTATCACTATCGCGTGGTTTCCTCGCGCCTCCAGACGAAACTAATCATTGCGACTGCATATAGATACTGAGATCGACTGGACGACATACATGCAGCAAATAGCGCTATATATCTCTGGTGAACGTGACTATACCTTGATCAAAGGCTCCACTGGGCCCCTCGTATACCCCGCCGGCCACGTATATAGCTATACTGCACTCTATCATCTGACCGATGAAGGCCGAGATATTCTTTTCGGACAAATATTGTTTGCTGTCCTCTACCTTGCTACACTAGCAGTCGTGTTGGCTTGCTACAGGCAATCAGGTGCTCCTCCATATCTGCTACCTCTTCTTGTCCTCTCCAAACGGCTCCACAGTATCTTTATGTTACGCCTTTTCAATGACGGGCTTGCGGCCTTTGCCATGTGGACAGCGATTCTGCTCTTCCAGAACAAGAAATGGACGGACGGAGTTACTGTCTGGTCTCTTGGGGTTGGCATTAAGATGACGCTACTGCTTCTTGCGCCGGCAATTGCGGTGGTAACTGTGCTCAGCCTTTCCCTCATGCCAAGTATTCGACTGGGAGCTCTAGCGGTGCTTATCCAGGTACGTCTCAGCCAATCATGAAAATTAAGCCATGGCCGACTTACAAATTACTAGGTATTATTAGCGACTCCCTTTCTACAGAGCAACCCTACAGGATACGTCGCGCGAGCCTTTGAGCTGACTAGGCAGTTTTTGTTCAAGTGGACCGTCAATTGGAGATTTGTGGGGGAAGAGTTGTTTCTATCTAAACAATTCTCTGTAGTCCTGCTAGCTTTGCATATTTGTCTTCTGGGGGTATTTGTTGCCACAGGCTGGTTACGGCCATCGGGATCGAACCTTCCTGCCTTCCTGCGGAACTTGCTCCAAGGACGCCAACGCACCGCCGTGCTTTCCAAGCCCTTCATAATGACCGTGATGTTAACATCCCTCGCGATCGGATTGTTATGCGCAAGGTCTCTTCATTATCAATTCTTCGCCTATCTCTCCTGGGCTACGCCTTTCCTTCTCTGGCAGGCTGGGTTCCATCCGATCATCATATATGCGATCTGGGCGTTGCAGGAGTGGGCTTGGAATGTCTACCTAAGCACCAATTTGAGTTCCGCGGTCGTTGTCGGTTCGCTTGCCGTTCAGGTTTTCGGTGTCCTTTTGAATAACAGAAAGGCACTTGGCGACACGCGTGCGAAGGAACACGCTCAGTGATAAAGCGTCCGCCCGACTGCAAATATATTGTTGACTTCATTGTTTCATCATTTAAACCATTCGAGAGGCACACAAGATAACACATGCACGAGGTGCGACGATTACTATGAGTCGAGGGCTACGTCATGCATCGGAATCGTCCGATGGAGGCATCTTGCCCATATTGGATTCTTCTTCGTCTTCTGAATCTGACGCAACAGCAGTAACCGGCTTCACAAATTCCTTCGGCCTACGAACATATAATCAGCAACAGGAGCAAAGAGAGGGGGGGACAGCTCCAGCCGTCTTGCTTACCAGAATGGAGCCTTACGCCAGGCCTTCTCATCCCGAACAATATTAACGATCTCCCCGGCAAGCTTGTTGTCCCGGTCGTCGAGCGCATTGGTATCGACCACAACGTAGGAATTCCGTTTCATCCAGATCCTGGAGCGGAATCGGGACGGCAGTTCTACCAATATCGAGTCTTTGGATGATAGTTCGACGGCGTAGATGTTGTTTCCGGTTGCCTTGATAACTCGTGCGATTTGCTGACCTTGTTGGAGCTCGTCTGGAGGGGTCAAGGTTTCTTCCGCGGTTGCGAGGACCTTGCGTCGTGGGGGTGCCATTGTGATAGAATTGGAATTGGTCTTTTTTCTTCAAGTTTCTTGGAATTGATGTTGTTGCGGTCTCTTAGACGGTGGCTTGTCTGTGTGTGATACAACCGTTGATCCGATAAGGTGTGACGAGGGGTAAATATTTAGAGGGGTTAAATAAAAAAAATTATCCCCGGTGTGGGGATAATTTAGTGTGTATTGATTAACTCTTATCTTTAATTCTTGGCATGTTTTTCTATGCGATTCACCACATAATTAATAATCATTTTCCATCCTATTAGTTATTTGAATATGTTCTTAGTTCATAAAGGTAGGAAGTGCCATGTAAGTGAGAGTAATGTATGTTCCTAATACATAAGGACTAGATGCTGTAGGGTTAAGATTACGAGACCTAGCTAAGATTAAGAACTATCTAGTATCAGCCTACAGCTATCTCACTGGAGGACTAATTTTATTATTATAGGTCTAGGCTTCAGTGCGTTTTGGCTTCTTTTTGATGTTCAAAAGCTGAATACACAATATATGCTCTAGACGTTGGGGAAGGTATCAAACGAGCAATGGAAACAAGCCGTTCAGCACCATGAACACTTGCCGATACAGGCATAGTTGATTATCATCGAATATCCCCGACCTACGTCAGTTATAGTGATTAAAGTGAGGATCTTTTTTCATACGTGACAGACAATCAGAGCAGAAACCCTCGACAAGTCCAGCCTTCATCCAGCCTTCATGTCTTTATGTTTCATACTCTGGCTCTTGTCATACGCCACCGGCATCCCTGGAGACATTAGTACCTCCCAAGAAGGCGATCGCATACGTCTAGATCAGTATCTATCTATACCCAGTCCAGATTAGATGATTCCCTTCTAAAATGCAAGCTTTTGGTCTTTGTCGTACTGGGTGAGATTTAGTTCACTCCGTCGAACCCATCCAACGGAGGTTAAGCGCCCCCATTGCAATGAACCTGGTACCGATACTGCTGGAAATGCCCAGACTCAGGCATGTTGAATGCTTGCTCCTGATTGTGAGTTTGTCTAGAAGAATTTCGTAGTGGATGCCGTGGCGTTTCTTTCCCGTTGCTTAAATCATGCTTGGTACTGCCCGAGCTCATTAGGGCTGAACTCCCACGTGTTAGAGGAACATAGCAAAGGCTCTTACGAAACAGGATGCTGTGGGACATGTCACTGTTGAGAATTCCGGTGATTAAATCTTAGAGAACATGGGGCAGACACTGTGGTGTCCGATGGAGTTTATGGCTGTTCTTGTGAGTGGTAGGTAAATCGCTCGTGGCCTCTATAAGCTAAGGTTGAATGGATTTTGCAGAATATAAAACGTAGAAAACACAATCGATGAATAGAAATGCCAGCACAACCGGATTTTAAGTGGATACGAGATAATGCGCGGTTCGAGACTAGTCGATCAGAGATAAACCATCGTTATTCGCCAATGACTGGGCCTCCTAGAATTCCGATTGCTTTCATAATAATGGCGGCCGGATTCCATTTTCCTATATTATTTTACCGCTCTTTTGTAAGTGAATTCACCCCCCTCCTTTGTTCCTCGTTCTTTCTTTCCTTCACTTCTACTTATATCCTAAGGTTGAGTGTTGAGTGCCCTCAAGATATCGACATCGGCGTTTGGTGCTCTGCCGCAAGTAGAGTGCTTGCCACCAATCGGTAATCCTGCAGCTGCGATACATCGAGAAAGCAAGGCTTTGCCCATGCATCTTACGATGTGGGCATCAAGCGCACTGGCGATTGGTAATCTAGTTCCCTGTATGTAAGGTATAGCGCCTGTAGTACGAGGGCGCAAAATTTTATAAAACATTATAGTACCTGTATCAGCTTTCAGTGAAAAACAAACAAGAAAGAAAGGAAGGTATCAGGTGAGAGCGGGAAATTTTACCTCAAAAGGTGGGTTAGATGAGTTTCAGCGCGGCCCAATTCCAACCCTCGAAGTCGATTACAGGCATCAACACACCACTTACATCTATAGGAGTGGAACCAGAAGTGTAAGAATCTGCATATCCCAGCAGAAACCAGGCCAGCCCATCAAAAACTAAATGGCGCTTGCTCAGCGCTTGTCGGACGAGATTGGGCGGTGGAATGAACGACAGTGCTCCAGGAGCCTAAATCCCTTACATCGAGGAGAATTATAGTACCGGCTACGCCGTCGTCCCTCTCTCATTTTCGTAATCAATGCTCTTGGATTCATCCTTGCTGCACGCTTCACTCATGCATTGGAGATGAGACTCGGGCATGGCGAGCTTCTTTCTTCTTGGATTTGGGCTTGAATTGCAACTGGCTCTCAACAATGTCTTTTGCGCCAATCTCGCGAATGCTACGACAGCGTTAGGTTTTCTTCACGGTAGCTATGAAATTAGCGGGATCATGGGACCGCTTATCGCGCCAGCTTTGGCGTTTCATGGGGACCGATGGTCCTTCTATTACGCTCTCACTATGGCCCTAGCAGTATTAACATAGCATTTGGGGCTTGGGCATTCCAGGGTTATGAAAAGGAGCTGCCTGTGCAACTGCTTACTGCACTCCAGCAGAATGCTTCCCATCAAGAACATGAACGTGGCGTTTCAAATCAGAAACACTCGTTGAAGCAAGCGGTCAAGACAAGAACTACTCTTCTCGGTGCACTCTTCATCTTCGCTTATCAGGGTGCGGAGGTCTCTATCTCGGGCTGGGTGGTACGATTTTGATCAGTTTTATCGTGGTGGAGACCCCTCGCGGGTCGGGTACATGAGTGCAGGATTATGGGCTGGGATCACTCTTGGGCGTTTCGTCCTCTCACGTCTCGCCCATATGATCGAGGAGAAGCTGTCCATCGTCGTGCTCGTGATAGGATCAGCCGCTCTTCCGCGAGACGAGGCTCATTCCCAATGTAATCGGAGACGTCGTTGCAGTAGCTCTCGTGGGTTTACTGCTAGGACCTGTGTACCCTTGCGCTACCACCGTGTTCAGCAAGCTGCTTCCCCGATCGATACAGGTATCGAGTCTGAATTTCATCGTGCATTAGGCAGTAGTGGTGGCGCAGTATCGCCTTTCTTCACCGGTCTACTTACTCAAAAAGTGGGGTCGTTCGTCTTGCACCCGATCTGTGTTGGATTGTACGGAGAGATGCTGGCGGGTTGGACCTACCTCCCTCGGATCTCGAAGAGAGATCTGAATAAAAGGTTAATGTGGCATTCGCTGCATGATGCTGACCAGTAGGATATATTTCTTGCTCCGGGAGCTTTTAGCCTTTAGTTGCTTCTCTTTCCTCCCTTGCTACCTTTCTTGGTTTAGAACGTCATTTCCCTCCTCTTTTTGCTTTTGCGCGTTTCGAGTATTATAGTGTGATTTATTAGTCACGAAAGCAATGTCAATGTCTCACCACCAGATTCATCACACCGAGGCGAGTCATGTTCAGTGATAGTCAACATCCCTTCTGGGCGGGGTACCAATTGATATGCTTGCTTGGTGCGCCACATGACCCTTGGATGCATCAATGAACTGCAAGGGGCACACAATCATATCTGTTGTCATCCATTGCACGAACCCGATAGTGATACAGTCGTAGTACGAAGAACGTGCATGTTCTACTTATTGTTGCTTGAATCATGCATCTGGAAGCGCCCCTGTGGATTGATAAGTGAGACAGGACAGTGTAAGTAGTTTGTGATGCCGCGGATATGTGAGGTTGTTGTAGTCTCAGAGCTATGGGAAGACCAAGTAGAGGAACCATTGTACCACGCATTTATGGGTGGTACTGCTACTAGTTAGTACAGTACCTAGGAGTATAAGGTTGTTGTTGTCAGGTAGTTCCCGAAGAGGGAGTACTAGTAGTATTGCCAGGTGGAGGTAGACCCTATGACTGTCTTGGAGATGCACACATGTACGTATGCAGTGTACTAATATGTACAGCATACCAGATGACAAAGACACTTTTCGGACACCAATTTTTCTTCAGGAAGAATCATTTAAGGAGGTACATAATACAAACCATATCGATAATAATAAAGGGACAAAAAGGCAAGGTCCAAGTATTTCTTCAAACATCGTTTAGTACTCACTGAGAGTCCGTGGTTCGCCACCAGCTGTCAAGTCAATTCGGATCAACAAAAGTGATACCATTGAACTCTTGGCTCGGGGAATTTTGATTTATCTTGTTGATCGTTTGTTTTCGTTCGTATAAATTTGACTTTCCGATACATTTGATGATCAATTGAAAACACATATCAGTACTCTCTTTCTCGGTCTATCACTAGCGGAAGAGGTTACCTGGGTTTAAGTTAATAAAACAAGAAGAGGTATTTTACATAATTTCTCCCCTACACGTGAAGGGGGAGAACCGGATGAAATTACCCAGTATTTTTTATGTTAAAAAAAAGAGTTGCCCCTCCGTCCCGCGACTGCCTGAGGAGTAAGTCATGTATTTGTTTGTGGGCGGTAAAGAAGTAAAGCCTGACTGACTGACCCTCACAAAAAAAATAAATAAAAGGATCTTAAAACACAATTGTTCCTTTTTCTGTGCTTTGTGTGGTGGCCAGAAATTCATTTCTAGAATTACTTCTCTTCTTGTATCTTTCTCTCTCTCTCTCTCTAGAATTGAGCGAGAGCACTCAGTGGACTGGCACGACTCGTCATCGAAACGGGGGAACCTGTCTCACCTTTTCCCGAGTGGCATTAACTGAACGGGAACGTTGACTGTCAATCCCGTTGCGATTCATCGAATCACCCATCCCCTCTCCGTGGAGTTAACCCTGTCAACAAAGTACCCCGCGGCGAGCACTTTCTTCCCTTCTAGTACGCTTTGTCTGCTGGCTTCACCCCATCCTCTAATCCCTTCTTATTAAGATCGCATTGTCACTCTCCCAGCTGGAATAATTCGGAACGTCGGTCGTCGTCCCACCACCCCTCTCACTATGGACGGGGACGACCTCATCGCCTCGGTCTACCGCAAGATCGAGCGGGAAAAGGCCCTGATCACCGCCGCGTCTAATATGCGACAGTCAACTGATAACCCTCTGGTACAGCAGAGAGTAGATGCGAATATCCGCGATGGGCGGAAGAACATTGCATATCTGGAGGAGAAGATGAGGGAGCTGCAGTTACGTCGAGAAGGTGGTTCCCCCACGGATAAGCGTCTCCCGCCCGACCCTGGCGCAGGACCCGCCCCTCCTCCGAAAGACTATGGCGATGATGAGTATGATGCCTCGGGAGCTTACCCCCAAGGAGGAGCCGGCTCCATGCCGACAGGCGCCCCCTTCAGAGATCCCCGACCTTTTGCTCCAGTACCCAAGGCCCGGCCGAACTTCACTAAACTTGGTATGCTTCATCTGTTGTTCAGCACCGGCAAAGGCTCTGCAAGCTTCCAGATGACTCACTGACGCTATGGCGTGTACAGACTTGATCAAATACGATACAGCGTATCTCGGACCTAAGATTCAGCTCATGCTGTCCCAACTCGAGTTCAAGCTGAGCGTTGAAAAGCAATACAAAGCGGGTATTGAGAAAATGGTTCGCCTGTATCAAGATGAGGGTGATAGGAAGAGTCGCGCGGATGCCGAGGGTCGACGAATTGAGAGTAATCAGAAGATTCAACTGCTAAAGCAAGCCCTGAAGCGATACGAGGATCTTCACGTGGATATTGAATCGGCAGACACCCCAGATGGTACTCCTTCTTCCACATCGGTGAACGCTGCCTAGTAGCTAACAGTCATGTTTTTCAGATGAAAGTTTGAACACGCCTAACATGCGCAAGCCCCTAACCGGTCTATTGACATTGCGTATTCAGGCGGTCAGTGACGTAGACCATGCCACCAGCTCGAGATTCTCTCGGGGCCCCGAGACTTTCGTCATTATCAAAGTTGAAGACACCATCAAAGCTCGAACAAAAGCGACCCGGACCGATAGATGGCAAGATGAAACATTTACCATCGATATCGACAAAGCAAATGAGATTGAACTTACTGTATATGACAAGGCCGGTGACAGGCCTACTCCGATTGGCATGCTTTGGGTGCGCATTTCTGATATCGCCGAGGAGATGCGCCGTAAGAAGCTTGAAAGTGAGCTCAACGCATCAGGTTGGGTTTCTGCAGACAAGATGGACCATGGCGGTTCGTCTCGTCCTGATACCGCTGGACAGCTGGGATCTCCACATACCCCGGGCTCCGCGGGGCATTCTGGCCCTCCTGCGCAGGGTTATGGGGTTGCTCCACCCGGCGCGCCTTCTTCAAACTCGGTCATGATTGAGTCCTGGTTCGCATTGGAACCTGTGGGTCGAATCTATTTGTCGATGAGCTTTGGTATGCTACGAGCCCTAGTTTTATCACTCTCAATATGGATATACTAACCTGTTCTACAGCCAAACAATTGAAGGATCGCCGACCCTTCGATATTGGTCTTAACCGACAGGGTGCCGTTCGACAAAAGAAGGAAGAGGTCCACGAGAAGCAGGGACACAAGTTCATCACTCAGCAATTCTACAATATCATGCGTTGTGCTCTCTGTGGCGATTTTCTGAAATATGCTGCCGGTATGCAATGTGCCGACTGCAAGTATACCTGTCACCGCAAGTGTTATCCGAAGGTTGTCACCAAGTGTATCAGCAAGGCGAACTATGAGACGGATCCAGACGAGGAGAAGATCAATCACCGTATTCCACATCGTTTCGAGGGCTTCTCCAACCTTTCTGCCAACTGGTGTTGTCACTGCGGGTACCTGCTTCCATTTGGACGTAAAAATGCCAAGCGATGCTCAGGTATAACTCCCTGTCGGACTCCCAAGCGGGTATATATCATATACTGATCTTTACGTTTGTTTAGAATGTGGCCTTACTTGTCATGCGCATTGTACTCATCTTGTACCTGACTTCTGCGGCATGTCCATGGAAGCCGCGAACCAGATCTTGGAAACTTTGATTCGTGCTAAGAATCACAACAAATCCGCCTCTGTTAGTTCTGGTCTCAGTGGCCGCACCCTGCGGCCAGGTGGCCCGCCTCAACCCCCTCAGGACCCTGCTCTTGCATATCCGCAAAAACCTGTTGAGAGCCCATATGGGCTACCTCAAAGAGAACCTTCCGCCGAAGCCGTGAGCGCTGCGACTAACTCGTATATGCCCCCACAGTCCCCAACGGCCGCACAGCGACAGCAAATGCCACCAAGAACGTCATCAGCAGGTCCTGCTGCTGCCGCTGCCGCTGTGGCCACAGGTTTGCGCACACCACAGCCACAGCAGATGCCTGGTATGTTTTTCTTTACGCCTCACTCTTTCTCGTCCCCAAATCATGTGGTAGAAAGAGTCAAACTGACAATGGGGAAGCAGTGGATACAAGTCGTCCGGTGCAAACCCAGCCGCCTTCACATGCGCACTATGACCCTGCTGCGTACGTATCCTACCAACAGAGCATGGCACCACCGCCTCAACCACCGATGCAGCAGCAGCAGGTTACGTCCCCTTACAGCATTCCACCACAGCAGCAGCCTGTGCCAGTAATGTCGCAGCAGGTTGCTGTGAAAGAGGACGCTCCGCCCCAACAACCAAAGGTCAGGATTGGCTTGGATCACTTCAACTTCTTGGCTGTCCTTGGTAAGGGTAATTTCGGAAAGGTTATGCTGGCAGAAACCAAGAGTACCAAGAAGCTTTATGCTATCAAGGTTTTGAAGAAGGAGTTCATCATCGAAAACGATGAAGTAGAGAGCACCAAATCTGAGAAGCGTGTCTTCTTGGTTGCTAACAAAGAACGTCATCCATTCCTGCTCAATCTTCATGCCTGTTTCCAGACTGAGACTCGCGTGTACTTCGTCATGGAATATATCAGTGGTGGTGATCTGATGTTACACATCCAACGAGGCCAATTTGGTCTGAAACGAGCACAGTACGTTTTGTCGCTACTTTCCCCAACCTCCTTATATCTAAAATACTGACGACATGCAGGTTCTATGCTTCCGAAGTTTTGTTGGCGCTCAAATACTTCCATGAAAATGGCGTTATCTACCGTGATCTGAAGCTTGACAACATTCTACTGACCCTGGACGGTCACATCAAGATTGCAGATTACGGTCTTTGCAAGGAGAATATGTGGTATGGCGCCACCACGAGCACATTCTGTGGAACTCCCGAATTCATGGCACCTGAGGTAAAGTTCAAGTATTCTCTTTGAATCCTGTCATAGTTGACTAACCTTTTGCAAAAAAGATTATCTTGGACAAGAAATACGGCCGAGCAGTTGATTGGTGGGCGTTTGGTGTTCTTATCTACCAGATGCTTCTGCAACAATCACCCTTCCGTGGTGAGGATGAAGATGAAATTTACGACGCTATTCTCGCCGATGAACCTTTGTATCCAATCCACATGCCCAGAGATTCGGTCTCAATCCTACAGAAGCTGCTCACCCGCGAGCCAGAGCTAAGACTTGGCTCCGGACCGACTGATGCCCAAGAGGTCATGTCTCATGCCTTCTTCAGGAACATCAACTGGGATGACATTTATCACAAGCGCGTTCCTCCACCATTTATGCCGACTATCACCAGCCCTACTGATACGAGCAACTTTGACCAGGAGTTCACAAGCGTCACTCCTGTTCTGACGCCTGTGCAGTCAGGTAAGCGACTAATTCCCGCAACCTCTCTACTAAGAACTAACGATAGCCTTTCTTTTCCTAGTCCTCTCCCAAGCCATGCAGGAAGAATTCCGCGGCTTCTCTTACACGGCCGATTTCGCCTGATCAAAGCCTATATCCCTTGGTGACCTAATGCTACTCAGTCACTACATCTATTACTCATTTGTTCAACGCGGACCTTGGAATTCTTTGTTTCTCTGGCTTCTTGATTGTTACCGGCCACCTTCAGCACTTTTTTTGCACTGGAAATGTTTTACAACATACCCATGACAGTTTTGAGAGCAGGTGTAAGCGCTGTTCTTTCTGGCTTTTGCGAGTGCAAATGGAATGAGTAATTTGGTCTGAGATTGTTTTATCCTATATCTCCCCAGCGTTCTAAGGCTTATTTAATTTCCTTGGGGCTATTTCCCATTCTTGCAGTGTAATTCTTCCTTTTCTTCTCGCCTCCAATCGTTCTCGTCAATGCTTGAATGTAGTAATTTTTTTTTGTACTGTTGTGTGTTGTCTGTCCAGAAACTTGTAGTTGATCAGCACAAAGTCCCATGACCCCCAACCCTCTTGTCTAAAATTGCGCTCCAGCCCAATCTTCACTCTTTGCCTTGCCCTTCTTCTACACTTGTGTTACGGCACGCTTGAAGCCGACTATGAGTGAATACAGATAAACTTATGCTTGACCACTCGGTCTCATTGTTTCCCACAACACCCTTCACTGCTTTGCCCTTTTCCTTCTACGAAGCGTTTGCAGACTATAATTTATTATTGTTCCAACAAAGAAAATACCTGAAAGGGACAGAAGAGACTTAAATATAGATTCCTTGCTTTTGGTTCCATCTTGGGACGGCAGGCTCCGAGTCTTTGAACACTCACTCAAAAGCTCGTTTTTTTGAGACGAATCAGTCATCCACTCCTATGTCAAGTGACATATCGCAGTTTCTGATCCTCGTTAGTTGATTACATCGCATCTCTCATTGCGCTTTCTTTCAATACCACTTACTCTCGTGGGACACTTGTGACTCTTAATTCAATGAAGATAGATGAGCCTAGCATTCCCCCAAGCGAAGTATTGAAGGAACACCAGAGAAACATTCGATTCCTCGTTATCGATATATAAAGCAAGTACAAGTTCTCAGACCTCACAATACGATGGTAAACTCGGATAAGCTCGATCGATCTTCGAATTCTAACTTCCAATCTCGCGCTTCCAATAACACAAAGGCAAAAAAGAGAAAACCCGTGGATCCACCATACACTCCGAAGGATGATACCGACGAAGAGGAATATGTCTTCACGGGTCTTTGTACGCCAAAACGAACACCACGGAAGATGAAACCGGCCCTTAAGATGGAGGACGAAGCTTCCAGGCCCAAAGACCTTGCATCCATTCGACCTTTCAAGAAAAATAAAATTAGAGAGGGATCGGACAAAATGACATTGGTCCACCCAGGACTCATTCGTGATTCAGTCGAGGCTACGAAAGGTAACACTACCAATGCCGGTGTATGGCATCATGTGGACGCATTGTCAGAAAGTGGGCTTGATTTGATAACTCCAACAACCAAGATCATGACAGTCGCTCATGGTAACATACAGTCTTTTTCTATACCAGTTGGGGCTTCACCTTTACCTTGGACAAATGAATCGTGCGGCGCCACAGAAGTTCATAGCGTAAAGACCACTTCATCGGTAGAGCAATTGACGGTTCGGAATAGAAGCCAATCTCCCAATACATTTTCCTTTACACGCCGCATAAGTGATGAAGAGGTATTTGATGACCCAACTTTCCGCGTTTTACATGTCGAAAAGTCGACTGTTGTCTTTAAACTCTCAGTGGAAAAGGCCAAACGCTGGGCAGGTGCAATCAATATTCCTGGAGGTCTTTATAACGAGGAAGAAAAGGATCTCTTCTTCCGACTCGCCATGCGTGGATTTGAACCTCTTATACCGGAGCATTGGCAACTCGATTTTCCTACCCTTCCAGATACCCTATTTTCTGATACCGAAGGGGATGCCGAACCACTTATACAAGCATTCAGAAGCTCCAAGACACATGGTAAGTTGACAGCTCAATTTTATTTATTTCTCTTTTTTAAAAGCAAGTGTTGCGCATCGCTTACATCTTTTATAGCAATCAAGTCCCTTGCCAACTTATTTTCTCTCGGGGGCCGCGTGAGGGACTGTAGGGTTCTAAAGAGGCGTCCCGAAGTCATAACTAAAACTAGCATCAAACGATATATTCGCTGGGCCTTGTGTGATGTTGGCCTAGATACGAATTCGAAAACGATACCGGTATATGCTGTTTATGCCCAGAAGAAAGGAGAAACTACACTTGATGCCGTGAAAAAGCTAAACCGGCGCCTACAGTTACTCGCCAACCGGTACCGCAAAGCCTTGAGTGCAACAGCCCCGGATGAAGACCATAGTTCGATAAGACTTCAGCCCAATAGGAAAGACGATGATTGCTCAGCTCCCCTCCTAAACTGTCCCCTTCTTATTGGATTTATCATATGCGGCCCTATACTCGCAATCTTAACCCTCGGTACTGATCCTTCAAGCACAACCGATGACACCGACAGCAAATTCATCTCCCAGTTTGACCTAGAGGACACAGGCCACGACGTCTGGAACTCACTGGCAATCGCAATTGCAGTAATGAAAATCCGCAAATCTATGCTACATCTCGCAGACAGAGGCTTAGGTGGCTTCGTTAGGCTTCTTCGGGGCACCAAGTCCAACTTGGGTGCGGATGTCTGACGATATAAAACAACTGACTGTAGCTTTATGCAGCTTCATCGTAACTTCAACTAGGCTAGCATAGTTTAGGCAGCATATATGCTTCTTTTGTGTGTATATATAGATTATGTTCATTTCTTTTTTTCTTTCTTTCTCTTTCTTTCGGGTTTATGAAATGTGTTTTGCCTTACGGTCTTTGAATGAAACTAATATTCCGTTTTTAGATAAATGCCATGGACACTGAAGACATTTTACGTATAACTTTCACATAATTTCCTTTTACAAGCAACTATACATACATAGCATAGATCACAGCTAACAATATAGAACTATACTATTTAGATTTACATCTCTAACCCGTTCTTCGAAACTTCTTGTAATGCGATGGTTGTGGCCTCACGCCGGTCACATGACCCGATACAATGTTGACCAATCCCCCCGCGGTCCAAAATGTTGACATTTGCCTCAAGCACATCCAACACCCCTAGGCGCAATTCTATCATGGATGCAGTAGAAGACAAGGATGTTAAGCTCCAGCGTGCTTCCGGCGATTTGGTCAAAGAGTTTTCAGAGAAACTTCCTTCTTTACTCTGGAAGCCACGAACGGAGAATGGAAATACCCGAGTCCCACGACGATGGACACAGGCTGCTAAGACCGAGAAACTCGTAGGACTTGTAAGTTGACAACACCTCTCCAATATGCCGGGGAAATTGGGGAATGTGTTAGGATTGCCCATACTAATGCTAATCTTTGCTACAGCTGGAGCCCTTTCAAGAATGGCCTCAGCTGTTGGATCCACATTTCCAAACACTTCTGCCACCTTTAGTTGATGCTTTCCTAGCATATCTGCTCAAGCATCGTGACCAATATAAGACAGATAAATCGCAGCAGAAGCAGGCACTTTATCCCTTGCCAAGGGCGATCTGTAGGCTACTCTACACTTTTTGCAAGGTCCGTGGGGTCAAGGTTATTAGCAGGTTTTTAAACAATGAACCGAAGTACCTTGACCCGTTACTTCGCGCATTTATCGAATGGGATACGGTGTGTCGAAATGATTTCGAAGTGGTTTCGTTAGGGGACATTCCCCGACGAGTTGTTTGGGAAGAACGCTATGTGATGCTGATTTGGCTCTCACATTTGTTACTCGCCCCTTTCGACCTAGCATCTATGTCATCGGACGATATCCCCGTTCCATATGAAAATTTAGGCCAAATTGCGCCCCTGCCAGCTGAGGTACCGACCGTGGCCAGATCTCTTCTCTCAGTATCGTTGAACTATGTCAATGCCTCTGGCAAAGAGCGAGAGGCTGCTACTGTGGTTCTCGCACGCCTAGTACTGCGGCGGGATATGCAGGCACTCGGACTGCTTGCCAATATAACAGACTGGGCTTTCTCTATTGTACAACCCACAGGAGATCATGGATCACCGTCTGTCTACACTTGCATCGGTGTCCTTTCTTTCCTTGCACGAATGGGCGCTTCAGGTCAGGTTGAGGACTTTGCTCCTTTGATCGTGCCTGTGTTCGAGAAGATACTACGGACTGCTCAAGGGGACTCTGAAATCTTCCATATCATTCAATCTTCAGCTCTGGCACGTAAAACGAGCATAAAAATCATCCGTACCATGGCAATCATGGCTTTGTTGCTCAGCGAAAGAGCGGATAATCCGCTCTCAGATGATAAGGTATCTTCCATTTTGGAAGATGCGATTGACCACTTTCTGGTGGCACTTGCTGACAAGGATACGCCCGTACGTTTTGCCGCGAGCAAAGCACTTAGTATTATCACTCTGAAGCTCAACCCAGATATGGGTACCGAGGTTATCGAGGCTGTTACCGGCTCATTGGAGGAGAATATCCTTTATGAAAACAGTGAGGGTACCATTGTGACACCGCTTGAGGCACGCGGGATTGGGCTGAGCAATACGAAACGTAATCTGAGCGCGGTTGATGCTCCGAAGTGGCAAGGTCTCATACTAACATTAGGTCATCTGCTATTTCGTCGTGCTCCACCGACTAATCAACTACTCAATGTACTCCAACCACTCGTTTCCGGGCTAGATTTTGAGCAAAGGTCCTCGACTGGAAGCTCTGTAGGTACGGGAGTACGTGATGCTTCCTGTTTTGGCATATGGGCTCTATCCCGGAAGTACACAACTCAGGAACTGCTAGCATTGGATGCACATGCAATCAGCACATCTACCGGTCAAAAAGAATCAAGCATATTGCAGATGCTGGCTACCGAGTTGATATGTGCCGCTTGTGTAGATCCTTCTGGAAATATTCGGAGGGGTGCTTCTGCTGCTTTGCAGGAGTTAATCGGTCGTCATCCTAACACAATTGCCGAAGGTATACCGTTGGTACAAGTTGTGGACTATCACGCCGTGGCACGCCGTTCAAGAGCGATGATCGATGTTACAAAGGCTATTGCGACATTAAGTCACCAGTACTGGAGACCGCTTTTGGAATCGTTAATGCACTGGAGAGGGATCGGCTCGCCAGACGCTGAGTCGAGAAGAGAGGCAGCAAAGGCGATAGGGGTCTTGAGCACACAGGGCTCCTACAAGAGTATGAAGATTGTGCTTCGGCGGTTGCTTAAAAAACTCTCCAGTCTCCCTCACGGTGACGTCGAGACGAGACATGGGTGTTTCTTGGCTCTCTCAGCCACAATTGATGCGTTCAATTCCTACCATGATACACCAGCTGATAACAGTGACCCCTCTGAAGCATTGGAGGTTACTACGCAGATACAACAACTCTGGGATATCTTCAATTCCCCGCTTGGTCCCGCAAAAGAGGACTTAACTCTCCAAGTTCGACGCCCGGAATTGACTGCTGAAGCGTCATCATGTCTTATATATTCACTCTCTCGATCGACTTCTCTGATAAAAAGCTCTCAAGGTTTCCAGCCATCGGATTCTTTCTTTGATAAAGCTTGCGAAACCCTACTCCTATGCATTTCTCGAAGCGAAGACACAGTTATAGAAGCTTCCTCGAGGGCCATATCAGAGTTGTTTCCCCTTCTACCGCCGCCGAAACAAGAAGAAACGATTAATGGCTGGTTTTCCTACATCCACTCTACTTGGAAGTTACCAACTGGTCGCGGTCAGATCTCAGTTCTTGGTGCTATATTCAAGCAAATTGGACCTGAAGATGACATTAGGCAGTCAATTATAAAAGAATTGCTCCAATGTGCAGGAAGAGAAGAATTGATAGAGAAACGAGTGGTAGCTGTCAAAAGCCTAGCTACTGGTGTCCTACCGCATATAGGTGCGTCAATCCCAGCGCACAGAAACGATGCTGACTATGCTGCAGATGTAACGGATGTTATCCTAGACCATCTCGTCGAGTTTTTGAATGATTATACGACAGATAGACGTGGTGATATCGGGTCATTGATAAGACTGGAGGCAATTCAGGCTGCCAGGATAGTTCTTCAGAAAGAATCTAACCTTGCAACTCGCACATCCCGAGTCCAGGACATCATCGGCTGCTTATGTCGACTTGCAGCAGAGAAGTTAGACAAAGTCCGCCTTCAAGCTTGGCTTGGCTTGCAAAGCTTCTGGGAGTCAGCCGAAGGTTTTCCACCGTTACAGAGGTAGGTGATTGTATGCGCATGTACTAGGGTCCTTACTGACTATAGCAGGCAATATGAGCATTTCAGCCACGTATCCTTGCCTGACTATTTCCTTCAGCTACTTGACCTGCAAGCTATTAACTGGCTGCGGCTGCCATTATTCCAGGGTTTGGCAACCTCTGCAGTGACTGGAGCTGAGGGTCTCGTTCGCTCGACCCGTTCGGCTCTGGTGCAGAGTATCAATAAGTATGAGGTTGGGCAGCGGCAAAATATAGTGACCTCCATTATTAAAGACCTCATGGTTGTACTGAGCGATAACTTGCAAGAAGATCGCTATGCTATCCCAATGCTGGATGTTTTAGCCTTCTTATTAGACGGTTATATTAGTCCTATACCCTCATCTTCGGAGCCAAGGTTAGTTCGTACAATCCCGTTGAATTGAGACAGCCACTGACAGCTTGTAGCTACAGGAAATTGTTTGTCCTCGTTCAAAAGGCGCATTTCAAATCTTCCAACATAGCCAGACTGGAAGCCGCAATCAAAGTGTATGCACCATTGTCACGGCTAGAGTCGTTACGAGCAGAAGTGTTGAAGAAAATGACTACAATGCTTCTGCATCCTTTCCCAAGGGTACGTCTGATTTGATTTCCTTTCAAAAGGAATTATCACGTTGACCGGAATATAGGTTCGGAATGCTGTTGCAGAATATTTGTTTATGGAGACAACACTGAACTCGGTGAAGTCAGAAGATTGGGCGAAACAGCCCAAGGAACTGAAGGGTCAGGTTGAGAATGTGAGGAAGGTGTTAGCATGTAAATAAATGTCTCGTCGCCTGATAGATCATATAGGCACTAATAATGAGGGCTATACTACTATATAACAATCTAACTGTGCAAAAGTAAATCAAAAAGTATTTCTTTTCGAAGGTATAAAAAAGAAAGAAAATAATGGTATAATGATGAGTGAAAGTCGTCGGGGATTTAGACAAAAAAGTATGCATCATCCGTGAATCGAACACGGGCCTCATCGATGGCAACGATGAATTCTACCACTAGACCAATGATGCTCTTATGAAGGAACAGCGATATTTAAAATTTTATATTCCAGTTCAGTTTCTCTAAGCCAAATACGCCAATCTTCAAAAGTTCCGCAACCCGTCAATTGCAATTGCAACACCCCAGCTCAACCAAGAGCTCATCAGTCGCAAACATGGCGTCGATGTCCGCGCCTAGTATCTCCCCCAACCCCACGTAAGTTTCAAATACCAAAATCATCCTATGAAGGAAGAACTAACCCACTCGGTGCAGAGTCTATGTACAGTTTCCCCTTCACCCCCTCCCAATAACAACCCAACGCCCACTAACCCCAGCTCCCAACCCAGGTCCGGAACCTCGAAGAACGAGTCAAAGTCGACCAGCTGAAAGAGGCACTCGAGGAACTTTTCTCGGAGTATGGCACCATTCTCGAGATTGTCGCCAAGACCAATCTGAAGGCCAAGGGCCAGGCGTTTATCGTTTTCGATAGTGTCGAGTCCGCCACGAACGCCATTGAGGAGATTAATGGGTTCGAACTCTTTGATAAGCCTATGGTACTGGATTATGCGAAGACGAGGAGCGATGCGACTGTTTTGAAGGAGGGTGGTGAAGATGAGCTAGAGGTTCATAAGAGAAGGAGGTTGGCTGAGAAGGGTATGTTTGTTCTTTTCTTCTTTTCTTTCTTCTTTTTTCTCCCTACGATGTTCTACGATGTTCTATGAGACTGGCCCGAGACTTGATTGAATCCGTGCTAAATTATCCCTTAAAGAGCGCAAACAAGCCCACGAAGCCCTCGAAGCACAAAAGAAGCTCAAGCGTCCCTCCGGCGCCCCCGACTCCACGCGTCCGGCCAAAACAGCCAAGGGGGCTGGTCTCAAGCCTACCAGCGGTGCCGCTGCAGCGGTTATCCCCGACGAATATCTTCCTCCCAACAAGATTCTGTTCTTGCGGGACCTCCCCGACACGGCGGACCAGGAAAGTCTTACGGCCGTATTCGGTCGTTTCGAAGGCTTCCAGGAAGTCAGATTGGTGCCGGGCAGAAAGGGAATTGCGTTCGTCGAATACGAGAACGAGTCTGGTGCTATCAGTGCGAAGGAGGCTACCTCGGGCATACCTATGGGAGACGGTGGCAAGCCTATCCGGGTTACGTACCAGAGACAATGAGCTGCTCTGTGATCTTTCTGAGAATTGGAGCAACTTGTTCTGGCGTTGGGGTGGGCTCTTTTTTCTGTTTTACTATATTGATTGGAATTTGACGCAGAGCTTGAGCTTGAATTTTCCTGCGATGGGGACTTGACTCTATTTTTATGTCTTCTCTCCATGGAGGTCGATACTGTAATAAGTGAGGTGCAGGAAGAGAAAAATAAGCGTATGAATGATACCAATGACAGCTACATGCTAGAAAGTACACTAGTTACAAGACAGAGAAAATGGAAAGGGGAATAAAACTAGAAAATGACATCTGCATCTTCCTGCTCTCCGAGGACATCGGGGGCGTCAGGTGCCTCCTTTTCGGGTTCCAACGCAGTCTTCTTCTGGGCCTCCTTCTCTCGCGCGGCTTGAATCTCAGCGTCCGCGGCGGCGGTATCGCGCTGTTTCTTATTTGAAACCTTCTTGAGTCGATAGAACTCTTCTCTGTCAAGCTCGTCGAGCTCGGACATAATATCTAGTTTATGTTAGCTGCGAACCACAAGTGAACTATTCAAAGTTACTGACATTTTATGGTGTTCTCTGTCCGAGGAATGATAACATGCTCGCTGGAAAGACAAGTTAGTTTGTGAGTTCCGTTACTAAATGGAGTGTCTTACATGGCGTTAACTATAGACGAAGTTAGCAATGAGCATGGACTCGCATGTAGTTGTAGGGTACTCACCTCTCCGATTGACGACCTTAATCACCTCATCTAGAATAACGAATGCGGTCTAGATTCCAAGCGTCAGTCGTCGGAGATATTCAGCTGACCTTTCTTCACTCGTCCGTACCTGTAAACTTGCTAGTTCAACCAAGGTCTCTACCGCCCGAGCGTATGTCTCTCGGGACCGTTGAACTTGCTGGCCTCCTTTCCCTAGACCAGTCAAGCCAAAGTCATTGACTCCATCCTCCGTGTAGCTCTCGAAATGAGGCAAGAAGACACCGGAGACGTTCTCTTGTTTGGCGCGTACACGGAATCGGGCTTGTTTGGCGGATTCTTGAATCTGGTAGCCAATATCGCCTCCAACAGCGTAGCTCACTTCGGCCAGAGAGAAAGCAGCAATTTGCATGACCCTCCCCATCTTCTGTTTAGCCTCATCGATACGTCGAGTAATCTCTGGCTTCCCACGTTAGTTTGGGATAGTGCGGGGAAATGCGCTCATGGTGCCCACTTACCGCGGAAGCGCCTGTAGTTTATGACATCTTAGTATATTCATTTTCAATTGAACCTTGGGCCATGGACTTACTTTGTCAAGGCTTCACTCTTTCTCTTCAACAAGCTGTGGCCCGTTTCCGCGCCTTTCAGCTTACTCTTCATTAACCCCAGCGACTGGCGAGTCGGGAAGACAGCCTCACGGCCCTGAATGCGAGAAAGCCATCAACATGCGGCCAACACGAAGATATGGGCCAGTGGCAGACTTACCACAGCACCCGACATGGCTAATAGACGCAGGGAGCACACTCAACTTGATCTAGAGAGGCCACGACAGGGAGACCGTCGAGATGACGAACGGCGATAGAGGGGAGCTTGGACCACCTTCGGCCCGCATGATAGCAGGTCACGTGCCCGCTGCACGACTTCATCTCTGCAGCCTCTAAGGCGGCTATCTGCCAACGCGACCAGAAAACGCTTCAATTAATGCTACACCCCTTTCTTCGCACTCTGTGTTGACCGTGTGAGCCGATCCCGCTCGACTGAGTGGCGAAATGCCAGGGACACTCCTGCCCCCGAGATCCCACCGGCAACACGCGCAGATGGATCGAACAGTGGCCTCAGGGCCGGATCTCTATTTGATAGTAAGTTGTGGCGTCGGATTTTTGTAGGACAAAGGCTAAATGTGTGTTCTGATCATAGGCCGATCAGGATACTGTATATGAACAGGATCTCCTTAGGGATACCGGCAGTATCAAGCCATGGCTTTCTTATATCGAATATAAGCAGCAACATGGGACGCTTTACGAGCAAGCTTTTGTAGGGTTCTGTCGCGATTGACACATACTAGACATGCTGCTAACATTATCACAGGTGATGGAGCGTGCTTGTAAGCAGCTCCCCAGATCTTACAAATTGTGGAAGATGGTACGTTCCTTCATTCGTCACACCCCGCCCTGTCGCATTGAAGTTTGCTGATTATAGTAGTACCTAGAATTCCGCACAAAGCATCTCAAGGGCCGCAACCCGACTATATACCGAACTGAGTTTCAGAAGGTTAACGCCCTTTTCGAGCGTGCCCTCATACTCCTCAACAAAATGCCGCGGATTTGGGAAATGTATCTTTCGTTCCTACTTCAGCAGCCCCTCGTGACACAAACACGACGTACATTCGACCGTGCGCTACGAGCCCTGCCCGTCACTCAACACAACAGAATATGGAGACTTTACAAGACTTTTGCGCGTTCTGCTTCGGGCCAAACAGCCGTGAAAATTTGGGCTCGTTACATGCAGATCCACCCAGAGAACGCGGAGGAGTATATAGAGCTTCTCGTGGAAATGGGTCAATACACTGAAGCCGTGAAGAGATACATGGAGATACTCGACAATCCCAGATTCCAGTCAAAGGAAGGGAAGAGCAATTTTCAACTGTGGACTGAAATGGTGGACCTGCTCGTGTCGAAGGCGAAACAGATCGAAACAGGCCCCCAGGTCGGCATCGATGTGGATGCAATTCTTCGCAGTGGAATCGACCGGTTCGCCGATCAGCGAGGTAAACTGTGGGCTGGTTTGGCGACATATTGGATCACCAAGGGCAGTTTCGAAAAGGCCCGGGATACCTTCGAGGAAGGCATTACGACAGTCATGACAGTTCGCGACTTTACACTTATCTTCGACTCCTATGTTGAATTTGAGGAATCCATCATTGGAAATTTGATGGAAGCGGCGGCCGTCCGCGCCGATAAAGCCCAATCCGATGAAGAGGCCGATTTCGATCTCGATCTCCGAATGCTGAGGTTCGAACAACTCATGGACCGTCGACCGTTCCTTGTCAACGATGTATTGCTTAGACAGAATCCTAACAATGTCATCGAATGGGAAAAGAGGGTTGCTTTGTGGGGCGATAACAAGACGGAGATTGTCAACACTTACACGGCAGCTATCGCGGCTATTAGTCCTAAGAAGGCCCATGGGAAGTTCTCTGAGCTCTGGGTGAACTACGCTAAATTCTACGAGAATGGAGGTGATCTAGATTCAGCCCGGGTTATTTTCGAGAAGGCTGTGAAGGTTCCCTTCAAATCGGTTGCCGAGCTCGCTGAGACATGGTGTGAATGGGCAGAAATGGAACTTCGTGGTGAGAATTTCGATATGGCTGTCGAAATCATGGCAAAGGCGACGCAAGCGCCGAAGAAATCAACAGTCGACTACTTCGATGAAACTCTATCACCTCAGCAACGTGTTCATAAGAGTTGGAAGTTGTGGAGTTTCTACGTCGATCTGGTTGAGAGTGTCGCATCACTAGAAGAGACGAAGAAAGTCTACGAGCGAATTTTCGAGCTACGCATCGCCACGCCTCAAACTGTGGTCAACTATGCCAACCTTTTAGAGGAACACAAATACTTCGAAGATTCGTTCAAGGTTTATGAACGGGGATTGGATCTCTTCAGCTACCCGGTTGCGTTTGAGCTCTGGAACCTGTACTTGACCAAAGCAGTGGACCGAAAGACCGGTATTGAAAGACTGCGGGATCTCTTCGAACAGGCTCTGGATGGATGTCCTCCAAAGTTCGCCAAGCCACTTTACTTAATGTATGGCAATCTAGAAGAGGAACGCGGATTGGCCCGCCACGCCATGAGAATCTACGAACGCGCTACACGGGCGGTGTCCGACGAGGACAGATTCGAGATGTTCGAGTTCTATATTACGAAGTCTGCTTCAAACTTTGGATTACCCTCCACGAGACCGATCTACGAACGGGCTATTGCGGCATTGCCCGACCAAGAAGCCAAGGAAATGTGCCTCAAATTTGCAGAAATGGAACGACGACTTGGCGAAATCGACCGGGCCCGTGCTATCTACGGCCATGCTTCTCAGTTCTGCGACCCCAGGACCAACGCTCTGTTCTGGCAGAAATGGGAGGCATTCGAAGTTCAGCACGGCAACGAAGACACTTTCAAGGAGATGCTTCGTATCAAGAGAAGCGTACAAGCACAGTACAAGTATGTATTCTTTCTCGACTTGGCAATATTCTGGATCAAAGCTAACATTACTGAACAGCACCGATGTCAATTTCATCGCCTCCCAGGCTATTGCTCGCAGTCAACAGCGAACCCAAGAAGGTGGCAACGAACAGGGGGTCGAAGAAGGAGATGGTTCGACAGACCGTGCAGATGCGATGGCAGCGCTGGAGCGGCAAGCGCGTGCTCCGGTGGGCTTTGTCGCTGCCAGTACTGGCCCGGAGGGTGGAAATCGACTTCCACCTGCGGGTCAAGAGCAGCCAGCTGCTCCCGCGAACCCTGATGCGATTGACCTTGACGAAGACATGGACGCTGAGTGAAGAAATACCTTGCGATTATAACCTTTGTGTTTCCGTTATGGCTTTGGATAGTTGCGCTGGCCGAGTTATCTCAATTATCATCAAACTGATGCGTGAATATCACACTCCCTTGATGTTTACCTTGTAACATTTATCCGCATGATATCTCCCCGCAGCCTTTTTTTTTCCTTTTTTTCCTGGGCTGTCTGCTATCTCATCACTTGCTTGAACCGTGAATGTCATATCTGTCCTTCACTTCTCCTTTGTTTGTTATTTACACCGCTCCTCTTGGTGGTCTGTGAGATACCTTCAACGGCGTTTACTGTAGACGGAAATGGCTATCTCAATCTGGTGCTCTGCGGATTGTCTTCCCTCTATCTGTCTGTGTCTGTATAAACCGAATTATCTTCAGTAACGGCAACGTTCCTTATTTATTGAGGATATTGGAGGTCTCGCGTAATATGTATGTGCGATCTCAGGTTGCAGCTCAGTACGGGGAAAGATAGGGTTGATGATAAGTTCCCCAACTCACTACACGAGATTTTTGGAGATAAGTTATGTGTAGTCAGCAGCATAATTACGCTTGAATGTGCATAATTAGAATATATCTGCTCGAAGCTAGCATAACTTGAATCAGAAAAACCAGTCGGAACCGGCCTTCCAGTCATCAGCAACCCTGGTCTCAGATATACCTCCAGCTTGGCGTACAGATATGGTGAATTGAGGCTATGTAGGTAGCATGCGCAGCCAGCTGGACCGTGGCCTCATCCCCTGTAGATCAAGATAGCTAAAAAAAAAAAAAAAAAAAAAAAAAAAAAAAAAAAAAAAAAAAAAAAAAAGGGAGAGAAAGAAAGAAAGAAATACTAACAATGCGCAAAAACCGTCATTCACTTACTCATCACTACAGAAATAACATGAAGGTTCACCTTATGCAGACGTAATAGTCAACCCTCAGCCTAGAAGTATACAGCTCACTATCAGCTAAGACACTCCTATCATGGACCTAAACATTCCCAATGAAAGAGATGCTCCCGCTCAGCTGTACTCAGCGAACGACGAAGTTTCCGCTTCTTGTAGTTTGTAAGGAAATAATACGTCGCCGAGCTGGTATCCTGCGTCTTCGCCTCGAACATCTTAACCTTCTTACCCAACTCATGCTTCTCAAACACCAACCCAGTCATCGCTTCAGAAAGAGCCTGCACTCACTTGCGCAGGTCCTCAACTTCAGCCCTCGCCTCTTCCAACGCGACAGTAGTCTGGAGAATAAGATCAGCCTGCACACACTCTGTCTCCGACGGTTCATCTTTGTCCCCTTTCTCCTTATCCTCATACACGCCATTCTGGCCCCCATCGTCGTACTGGTTATCATTGTACTGGTATTCTTGATTCCAGTCGTTGTAGTAATCGGTCTGCTTGAGCAGCCAATCCACCTTGCCGTACATGTCCTCTACTTTCTTGGGTAGTTCGTCGGAGTCGTCGGCATTGGTACCCGTCTCCTCTGGGCTTTGGGGGGGTTTCGGGCCATTTTTCTTTGGATACTTCGTCCTTGGGCACTTCATCTTCGGAGACTTTGTCTTTAGCCACTTCGCCCTTGGACACTTGATCCTTGCTCTCAGCGCTTGTCACCGATGACTCGCTTTTGATTGACATCGAGTCCATCTCTCTTGAGTTGGAGGCCATGTCGTTCTTATTGGCTATGAGAATCAGAATCATGTAGGTCGATTTACTAACGTAGTTGTTTTTGGTTTGTGCTTTGGAGAAGGAAGGAGTTTCTTTAATATCAGATGGTTTAGTGAAGAGGGTAGAGTCAGCGATCAAGCGAACGGGTAAGTGATAGTAGACATGTGATTGAATATCTTAGAATAGATAGTTAAGTAGGAAGCTCCGAGTGATATCCATGAATTGTGAAGTTGGGTATGGCACGCAGGCTTTAGAGACAAGGGTTGATCATCAGCCAAAGTCGTCAGCTAGGGGAATGCTGAGGGAATCCGCGCATGTTGTTAGATTGGATTTTCGGTAGAGGGCTATATTTCTGATAAGAGGTAGCATAGAAATGTGGAGTTGTGTCGAGGTAGGTGGTGGCGTTGCTTTTTATGGAATATTATATTCACTTGTTTTCTGGGAAGAGCGGGGGTTTGGCTGTTTTATACATGACCTAAACGTTGACAAGGAGGTTGGAATGGTGGTGTTGAAGTGTAGAGTTAGTAAGTAGAGTATTGGCAATGTACTTCTACATATAGATAGATATTGCTGCTTGTTTTGATATTCTACTTATCTTTTCCCTCCTACCCAAACAACACCACTCCGGGTGTGGGGAGGTGAAGCTCTTGTAGTGATGTATGGACTCATATTCCTACCAATGCTTGGGAGAGAGGATGTTGACTCATTTCCTGTGTGTGGTTATTCCCCCCCAAGAAAAAAAAGGTAATGATTACAGTGCACGGGAGGCCACAATGTGGTGATGGGGGTGGTCCAAATGGGCTTCGGGATATCCCAGATCGAGAATATGAATGCTAAGCAATGAGCATCTACAAGTAATTATTCAACCGTACATTTCCACAGGGGGACGGTCCTGCGACATTCATCTCGACTTACATATGTATTAAGTTGAACTAGATAGGTGGATGTTCGCATCATACGCTCTGCTCGAGTGTAGTTGATAAGAGATACTAAAAACAGTGTCATGAGTGAACTAGAGGGATTCTGGATCTCTGTGGTTACTTTCTAACTTGGAACACATCTTTGAAAAAATTAGATTTGAGGTATCAGTAGAGATCAACGTCTGTAGGACCTAATACTGTTAGGCATCTATCCTAGCCCCGTTACCTCACTATACATAGAGTGAGAATAACAAGGAGAAGGGGATATATTCTTCAAGACCATGCCCTGACACACTTGATTTCAGCATGGAAAGATAAATAGGCATACAACCCATTACCTCCTAGACTATTGTTACTCCAACACGTACAAGAAGGTATTTCTCACATCCACATAGGAATAACATACCATTTACATCCTGCGCGTTGTGAACAATATAGTTACTCCAGTGGTAAAACTTTGTGCAGAAGCAAAGTCCATGGGTACACGAGCCTCCGCATCTTCTCTAGAGATGGTACTGTGAGTGCTGAAGCTAGACACGATGAAGAATGCAGGATCTAGTAGTTCAAATGCACTTCCCTCAGCCCGTCATCCTTCTGGTCGTGGGGGCTGGTACTTTTCAAACGAGCTGGAGTTGAGGTGGGCGGCAGGAACATCGTGACTCGAAGCAGTACTAGGACTCAAGGTTCGTTGAGGGGAGCTGGTTATTGCGGTCACAAGACGCAGACTAATTATGATGAGAAAAGTCACAGGAAACTTAAGAGGAAGCATGCTGCTCCAGAAAAGGAAGGTCTTGTTTATGACAAGATCCATAGAAAGAACGAAGCCTGGGGATTAATGAGAGTATAAGTATCCGTCCTGGACTAGAATCAATATCATAGTTGGATTCGTAGTCAAGAACGTATTATTTAATTACGAAATGATAACGAATACGCTGTGAGAGGATATTGAGTCTAATGGCAGTGGAATAATAATAATAAGTTTTCTCCTTGTATGTTGAATGATATTGTACTGTATCATTCCCTATGGTTCAATTTGCCCAACCTTTCTGGGATACACTTTCTGGTCCATTGTCAATAGATTGCTCTGAAAAAAGAAAAAAAAAAAAAAAAAAAGGTGCCTTGTCAAGAAATAGATGTCAAGATTGATATAGATTCTCAACCAACACGGAATCAGGTTAAATATTCAAGTCCTGTATGTGATACGGACTGTATTAATAACTTTACTTTCATATATCCTTTTTATGTCCTATATTGGACAAATAGCTCGCATGGCTTAGTTGGCAAAGCGCATCACTAGTAATGATGAGATCCTCGGTTCAAATCCGAGTGTGAGCATGCTTTCCCACCATTTTTTTGGGTGGTATCTATCTCCCTCCACCTTCTGGTAAATGTTCCAAGTTGATAATTTTGTATTGGAATTTACTTTTGTATCGCAATTTGTATTTAGTTTGCCTTATTAGATATCGATGCTAGGATCCTTTTCCTTTTTAGATTATGAGTTCGACTTTATAGTGTTACTGTGTTAAGTCCTTGCTCTTTACACACGAACTATGGACAACATGTTTAGATTATCATACGGAGTTCAATCAAACACAGCTTTCTAGTCAATCTCTTCTGAATAAAGTAACTTTAAAGCCGTAATTCAGTATCGATCTAGCGAGATAATCCGCTCTCGAAGAGACAGCTTGATTGTAACTGTAACAGGCCAAAGCCCGAGTATAGAGCATGTTTGAAGGTCTTAGTAGACTTGCGGCATACATAGGCCACAGACTTAATTTAAATACAAATGATGATGAATCCTGTGTAACAGCATAGTATTAACTAGTAGCAACCACCATACCAATGGAACTAATTCTGCAGCTAAGATTGACTGCTGGTACTGTAGATATCGTTATCAAAGCTTGGCAAAACCCTCGCGATCATGTGGTATTTATGTCATACTACTAGAAAACCAATTTAATTCGATGCAACCTTCAATGCCGCCATAGGTATCATTTTCTATATATCTATTTCTCCTTCTTACCTTACCTCCCCGTAGTTCTAATTGATACTATTCTTCCCTCTTTCCTCCTTCCTCGACCCTACCTGCGAATTCCATCCCTCCACTGACATCACTCAAATCGCAGCATGGCTCCCATTCGACGTTACCTCAGAATAAGCAAATATACCATCCTCGAATGCCGGATCTACTTGGAAAACCCTGCGGACACACGATGGCTCCTCGACAGCCGAGATTCCGTGCTTCCCCGGATATTCACTGCGGTCAGACCTCTAATCCTACCTAAACTCCGCGAGGAAAACGAAAGGCTCCTTGCCAGGAAGAAAGGGAAGCCGGTCAAAGATGTGATCGCCGAAGGTATGTACCCCTACGCTGGAGCCGCTGCAAAATCACGGTAATATTTACGATCGCTAACCGCACGCTCGATGTAGAGGACTTTGAGGTTTCATTATTTCTTCGCGAGTCGCGAACACGTCACTCGCTCCTCACGCGACATAAGGAGTTTGATGAGCCCAAGAACACATTGAGGGAAGGAATGGGGAATCAATCTGGACCTATGAAAGGTTCAAGCGGGGGTGTTGATGGGGGTATTGTGGTCGAGAGCGACAGCGAGTCGAATCTCGATTTGCACGATATCCCGCAAGCTACTGCGGAGGAAGGGAATGATTCAAGGGGCAAACGCCGACGGAATACAGATGAACCAGTCGATACCGCGGCTAGTCGGCGCGTTTCGAAACGTCGGAAGGATGAGGAACCGGATGATAAAAAGATGCGCTTTAGGACGAACTATGAGGGGTTTAATATCTATGGGTGGGTGTTATGCTTGCTTGTGACGCGTAAAGGGGATAAAGCTGGAGCAAAGTCGGTGTCTTCGGAGTCTACACGCCAGGCTTTGATGGAGGAGTGGATGTCTACACAAGCTCAGGGGGTTGTGGATGAAGAGCAAGATGTTAGTTGATTTGAACGTTCGTGTTTTCTTGGGTAGGCTGGGCTGTCGTAGTATGTATAGTGCATACACTCGGTATTCCATTCCTCATTCGCAGGATTAGAAGCTCTGCCCTAGTGACTACAGGATACGCTGGAGATGACGAAGTCAATGACAAGGTTAGACAAGACTCCTCCCTGCAATGGGCACGGGGCTTACGAGCGAATTATTAAAAAGCTTAGTGTCTGGGTGATACTTCATATCGAGAGCCCATTAGTATCAGACAAACCGGCAGCATCTGATTAATGCGTTGCTCTGAATTGGGTCCGAATCCCGAATCTCCGAGAAGGAAGATGATCCCGGCAGCCGAATCTGAGCAAGCTCACTCTCTATTTGGGTGGCCAGTCGAGAGCCACTTGATTGGCACCACCACTAGCCCTGTGCCCAGGCTGTGCCTGCAGTTCACCAGGGTTTGGGCTTATCTTGTCAATCACGTGGGAGACGAGTATGTCATGCTCAGTCGTTTCTATCACTCACCTATAATCAGTGGTAATTCTATACGCACATGAACGATGACTTGGGTAACTATTAAAGCAACCCTTCCTTTTTGAGCTTCCAGACACCCATATACATGAAGGCACATGTTCAGGGCTTATTTTATCTTGCATAAGCAGCGCATTTCCCCTGTCATACTATCCGCAGGGAGAGATGCTGAGCCTGAAATCACGCGAGCATGGTTTCTTCGAAGGCCTGTTTCAGACCAGTCAGTCCCGTGGATTATGTCCAATAATAGGGTATCGTGGACTATACAGGATGGGAGGTCAACATGTTTATACCACTATGGATTCAGTTGCATGTTCATCGTCATGGGCTGTAGTAAGATGGCGATATTATTGTTTGTCTTAGCTGTTTGCATTTGCTTGGAGGAATTCTGATTATCCTTGATGTTGCTTGATATCCAGGAGAGAACCATAGGCTGAATGAATGTACATATGAAGTCTATCGGCATGCTTCTACGGTGGTGCAAGTACACAGCTAAGATCTTTGCATCATTGAGCAATAGAAACATTATATCGTTTACTCATAACCTAGATCCTTCAATATATCCTGACGTGAAGTCCGGTGTACCCGAATGTATTAACCTTAATAGCGAGGAATATGTACGAAACCTACGAGCCTGAGCTCTTCTTCTCCTAGTCATCTAAACATTTCAATTTGACGATCACAAATCCGATGTATCTACTAGTAAGCTACGGAATATGCTCTTTCAGAGTGTTGGAATCCAGAGCTCAACATCTGGTTTCAAGGGACATAACCTACTACAGGTATAAAAATGCGGATTAGAGTATCTTTTCAACCCGAAAAATAAAAGTATCTTAGGTATATACCTCGGTAGTAAAAGACATACCCTCTGAAGAGGTATCTCTGAATAACTGAGTAGGCAAGCCAGAATTAGTAGGTTCACTTCTTCGATATCGCTCTTGATATGCCTCACTAATAAGCTCCTCATGAGGGCTACTCTTGCAAAGAGATGATGAAAAATGTTCGACAATGGCTACTACCCTTTCAAGATACTTCAGACTATTTGAATTAGACATAGATATTGGCAATAAAACAAAAAAAAAAATGCTCACACTCGGATTTGAACCGAGGATCTCATCATTACTAGTGATGCGCTTTGCCAACTAAGCCATGCGAGCCGATTCGTTGAGCGCTTCTGATTAATATGGTTTAGATAACTAGCCCTAGTTTTCAGGTGTTCAAAGATAGTGTATGCACAGTGCCAAAGGGAATTGTTGACACAATCAAGACATAGCAGTTGTTCCTTCGGTTGTTAGCGATGGATGGTATATTTAGATGTATCAGGTAAGGGCCGTACGGCACATGAGCCGTCTGCTCTTTCCATTCGAATAATAGTGTGTAGCACTATGTAGAACTGGAATTGTAGGTCACATAAATGGTATGGTTTTGACTCAGTACTAAAGTATATAAGATGCGGAAATCAAGATGTACCACCTTCCAATAACTAAACCTTGTTCAGTCAATACTAAGGATATTTGCTTTTCGGTAGACAATGCCAACCAGTTAGTTGAAGATACAAGGGCAAAACTGCTGAGAAACGTTATGTGTATACCGATTGCTATAATACAGAAGCTGAGGCTCTTTCCTCCGCCAGAAGAAGGGATAGTGTACGCAGTCATATACAAGGCGATTCCACCATTCAATGGGATGACGTTGGGGAAGGGTGATCATATCATCGTAGTAAATTGACAACTACGACATCGAACAGGCTCCAGTTTCTCCTGGTCACACACACTGCCTTTTCTTAAGATCTAACTAACTGTCAAGGAAATCTGTGAAGCGTTCTTCTGGTTCTCATTATACTATCGTCATCATACCAGCCATCCTTTTGAGGAACTGGCCATGGGATGGGTTTCGTCTCTTCTGTACCGCCCTTATAGATCAAGAAAATTTCTGGACGCCCATAAAATAGCTCGCATGGCTTAGTTGGCAAAGCGCATCACTAGTAATGATGAGATCCTCGGTTCAAATCCGAGTGTGAGCATTTCTTTTACCTTTTGCTAGTCAAATCTAGCTCTAACGGCGCCATAGAAGTACTCCGTATGTACATAACATACAGAGCAGATGTTGTTGATAGAACCACAGCATAAACATGCTTGATTCTCATTTGCTTTTCAGTTTTTACGACTAAACTGCTTTGCCATTGATTCTTAATATATCTACCATGGTGAATTATGTTATACCCAAGGCTAGGCTATACTGGTTCTTCCTGGTAGAGGACCGCGGACCTTCATCCCACTAAAGCTACGCATTTATCATCTACCATGCGCTTTTCCCTCTTTAGTTCTGCTACTCCTAGTGTGCAATAGTATCCTCGAAGGGTGTCTGAACTAAAGTCAGCAGCACGACTGGAAAGGGCACGATCTTAATAAAAGAGTGGAAACCAAGCAGCTAGGTCGTTCGAATGTGTCAATACGCCTGCTTGGTTCTTCACAGGCCTTTGTTCTACGGGCCATCTTCCAGGGGTATGGAGGTAGACCTATAGGGCCATTGATAAGGCCTTATTTATACTGGCCTTTTTGTAGATGACCAGTGTAACACACATAAGTAGAAGGCAATGTTATCTACAGTTCAAAGGCATGATAGATTTTCATATATTTTGTTGTTCATATGGGCAGCAGTCATATCTAATGAAGCCATCTTACGCTACACATAATGGTCTTCAAACCAACATCAACCATTTGCTCTGTCAGCTAATCTGACTTACCGGTGGTTATATGATGCCATGTCTCTCTAGGCCCGAAGTAAGAAAAAGCAACTTCGTCCAACCGTGTAGCCATAATCCAGACAAAAACCCAGCCAGCGCCCCCCCTAACAAAACGCAAACAAAAGAGGTAATACAGCAATCACCTCAGCTCACACGAATTACCTCCCTACGCCATTCACAGAGGGTGAAAATGTAACTGTCACGATGTCACGAAGCACCTTATGATCTCTACATAAATTATAGTCAAACAATACTCAGCACAACCAACCTCTGCTTATCTACTGTAGCTAGAATGACTCGATCGAAGACATTCATCGCATCGTACCAGCTCCCTTCAATATCCAGCCGTGTTCCGTGTAACTCACCACCCACAGCCAATATCAAGCTTGTTGACTAAGATAGATGCATATATCGCATGGTGTGCGCAGCTCTTTCCTCAAATTTTCAATATTACGTACTTTCCTGCCGTGTAACGGCGTCCAGGAAAAGTCAAGATACGCGCACGCATCCCTGGATGACGACATACAGGGATTCCACCGCTGGGATTCTAGCCCCGCATTCCCAACGCAGCTGGATATGGGCCCAGCTCATGTACAGCACCTATATGAGATACGCATATAGTGCGTGATGTTCTCTTTTCTTTTTGGGAATGGGGTATTCCGATGGGGTCCATATATGCATACAACATATATATTATATTACACCGCATATTATTGAAACCATAAGACGGAGCCCTAAATTGAAGGACATGTTACTGAGTCACGCCACATGTACTTACCCTATGCAGGGTTGTACATATCTGCAGAATATTGAAGATCAATTTAGACTTCCGGGTTGCTGCAGGTATTAGGTAAATGTCATGCAAGTCATTTACAATTTTAGGTATCACATGTATGTAGGTATGTATGACTTACATGGGGAGTTTCTATATGGGCGTGTGTCAAGATTTTAATATTGGGTGTACGGAGTTGTATAGGTTGGTTCGGCCGGATTTATCTCTGGAGTTATGGGGTTGGTTATAGGCCAAGCTATTTTGTTTTTATTGAATTCATGATGTTCTTTTGTGATATGACAACTGTCTATTTATCAAAGAAGGAACGCGATATAGCCCAATCTCGTTTAATCGTACTCCCTATAGAGAACCTTTTATGATTGTGGAGCCTCACTAGATCCTAGCTTCATTTAAGTCTCAAACAAGCTCCTTGTCGAACAATCCAGATACTAAGTCGAAAAAGAGGCAGGCCCTGAGGAATGGACGCAGGTACCCCTTTTTACTATTTTTTGTTTTGGTTTGTTTTCACGCTCTATCTGTTACATGGTTCCCTATCAAACCTATAGTTCTGGACCGAACGAAACACCGCCACGTCGCCGAGATAGGGGCTAGACTGGGCGAATCCCGTTGGGACTTATGGACACTCGTGACTGGAGTCACGTCGCCGGTTGCTGGTTAGTAACATTATAGAAAGTGCATATACGAGCGATACTGCAGCCTTGTCATCTTCATGTTTGCATTTAGCAGTCTTAAAAAAGAGGATGTGGAGGTGCTAGCGGTGGCTGTTCAGATCCTGCAGCAGATCCAGGGACGAGTAAGACGAGTCGAACAGAACCTTATTCAGGCAACCGATTTATCTCCGCGTTTTCTGCTTTTCAGCGGCACTAGGATTTCCATATCCCGGACTCTCCACGGGATTGGAAGTTGAAGGTTGCAGGCCAGCATTCAGAGTTCAACGATGGATGAAGATGCCGAAGGTCATGACATCACGACTCTAAAGGGATCCGATGGTTCCTGGTGCGGTTCCTGGAAACCAAAAGAGGTCACCTGGAGGACCACGGGCTGAGTGAAACAACCTGCCTTTCTTGGGGAGACAAGAAGAGGACTCCACCCCGATTAGTGGGCTGCTAGTACTGGCGCTAAGCGGTGAATCCCCTCATCAAAGAACCAAATGGAGTCCCAACTAATGAGCGGTGAACCATGGGAACGAAGGCTTCTGGAAGGACTGCAGTTGTTCTACCGAGAGGCAAACAAGTACCCATCGGTCCCATACGGG